TTTGCACGTTGCCTGCTTCGGCCTCGCATGCGCTGGGCTATGTACCTTGGCCCCTCCCCCCTCCGCCCTACGCTTCCCTCTCACCAAGGGCCGCGGGCGCTTCCAGCCCGGACAGGTACCGCTACTTTAACATCTCACCCTACCCATTCGCACCTCGCTACTGCCGCCAGACGTTGTCATCTGCTGCGGTCCCATCTTGTGGACGGGCGGGCGGGCGTAGGTGTGCTTTACTTGCCTACCTTGCCTTGCCTTGCCTTGCCTTGCCTTGCCTTGCCTGCCCGCCTGTCCGCCCGCCTTGCTTGCTTCAATGAGCTCACCCCTCTTGATGCATACATACTCATGCGGTGCCTTCCCACTATCGGGTGTATCCCCACGCTCATCCTCGCCGCTGCTGGCTGGCCCCCAACACCGGCTGCTCCTCGATTGCCACGGCCTACAAATCTGACCCTACATCTACCCACCGCGCCCCTCCCGCTTCCCTCCAGTCCATTCGTTCTCATCTTGTTCCTTTTTTGGCACCGCGACCGTCTTAATTACCCTCTGCTCCAGGCTCTAACCTTGAATACTTTATCCAGCAGATTCTGGCGACACCTACCGTCCCGTGAGTATTGCACCCTCGCATTCTTTCGTTACTGCTCCCTGTACTCCCTCCTCCTACGCACCGGGTTTTGGCTTGCGTTGCCGACCTCCGTGCGATGCGTTTTGATTCTGTTGGCGCACAATCGCGCACACGGGAGCCCTCCCCCAACACCATCAAGGTTCTCGACCCGCCGCTAAGCTGTGGGCCAACCCATGCCACCAAGCGACCGGGCCGAGTACAATTTAAGCTCTGGCCCTCACTCCCCCATCACGTCGCCCGGCTTGGCTTGTTATAGTCTGCTGCTCCAGCGCCGCCAACAATCATTTGCACTGCACATTGAAATCCGATTTGCCATCTGAGGGGAATCACCGACTGACCACACATGCAGCGCGAGAGATCCCGATCTCGTCGTCGATCACGGAGTCCAGTCCGCTCGGCAAACCGCGGACACCGTTCCCTTTCACCCAGAAGTGGTTCTCGCAGTCCTAGGCAACGACGCTCGCGAAGTCCCATGACCGGCCAGGGCGCACCTGCGGGAGGATCGGGCCAGGGCTACAGGCAGCCACACCAGTCTTACGAGGACCGCCAGCAGGCAAGAGAGCAGATGATGAGTACTGTCCGGGAGAACTCGCAGCAAGACCGCCGCGTCTACGTCGGCAACTTGTCTTACGATGTCAAATGGCATCATCTCAAAGATTTCATGAGGCAGGGTGGGTCTTCCTGGGAAGGGCAGAGAGAAGATCGCGGGACCATGGCACTAACGGGGTTGTTGTGCTTGTAGCCGGAGAAGTTCTCTATGCCGATGTCTTGCAACTTCCCAATGGAATGTCGAAGGTGGGCGTCTACAAGTAGCTTCTGGCTGGTTTCATTTTATTTCCCTTGCGGTCTCCCCTCTCATGGCACTTTTGATGGAACTGTTGGATTGACGGGTTGGGACGTTGTCCGCTGTTGCTTGTAGGGATGCGGGTAAGCGACACCGCCAGTCAAGACATTTGTGCCTCCTTCGGCTGCTAACTTGGTATAGAATTGTGGAATATGCTACGAGGGACCAAGCCCAGAATGCTGTCCAGACTCTTAGCAACCAGAACCTGATGGGCCGCTTAGTCTATGTCAGAGAGGTGAGATTGCTTCTACTTGTGCGCCCTTCACGCCACAAGGCGACATATTGATGTTGGAATAGGACCGGGAAGCTGAGCCTCGTTTCAACTCCGGCGGCCCTGGAGGTGCCGGTGGCGTCGGCGGCGGCGGCCGCGGCGGATTCGGGCATGGTGGCCCCATGGGCTTCCAACAAGGTGGCCATGGTGGATATGGCGGCGGCATGGGCGGCGGCAACGACCGACAGCTCTACATATCCAATGTTTGTAGTTTCCGAGAATGGCGTGGTGCGGCCCCCGGCGTTGACCTATTACTTACGATGTCCTAGCTTCCCTACACTGTCGGATGGCAGGATCTGAAGGACTTGTTCAGGCAAGCAGGTACGATCGGAACTCTCTCATTGAATGCATAGGTCTCCCCTGTTGGTGGGCAGCGGAACGCTTACACAAAATAACAGCCCGCACTGGCGGTGTCATCCGCGCCGATGTTCATCTGGGGCCTGACGGGCGACCCAAGGGATCGGGTATCGTGGTGTTCGAAACCCCCGACGACGCTCGAAATGCGATCCAGCAATTCAATGGCTACGATTGGCAGGGCCGCATCCTCGAGGTGCGTCCTGACCGGTTCGCAAACTCCGGGATGGGCTTCGGTGGCCGAGGAGGCTTCGGCGGCCGTGGTGGCTTCGGCGGCGGCTTTGGTCGTGGCGGCTTTGGCGGAGGTCGCGGTGGGTTCGGCGGAGGTTACGGACAAGGTGGGCGTGGAGGCGGCTTCGCAGCTGGAGGCTTCGACCACAACGCGGCTGCCTCTGTCCCGCCCAATCCCTTCACCGATTTCGCTACAGCGGGCACCGAGAGAAGTGAGATTATCTACGTGCGAAACGTGAGTTGACTTACCCCAGCTTGGAACATTCCCTTGCTACTTCTCCCTTCTCCTGGTCAGGACTCGCTGACATCTTCTGCAGCTCCCTTGGTCCACCAGCAACGAGGACTTGGTCGAGTTGTTCGGGACAATCGGTAAAGTTGAGCAGGCTGAGATCCAGTACGAACCAAGCGGCCGCTCCCGAGGGACTGGTGTCGTCCGATTCGATGCTGCCGAGACAGCCGATACTGCCATATCCAAGTTCCAAGGATATCAGTATGGTGGCCGTCAGCTTGGACTTAGCTACGTCAAGTACCTCCAACCCGGTGGTGGTGACGCAATGGACACCGACCACGGTGGCATGACCCAGAGCGACATCATGTAACCGCCCTCCTGACCGACGCGAACATGCGACAGATGCCATGAACCGTTTTTTTTTTTCCTTTTCCAAAAACAAATGGTTGGGCACATCTTCTGGTCCACTCGTTACCCATGTGGTTTAATACTTCATCCTTGACATTTTCCCTATTGCATCTCTTTCAATCATTCGAACGACCCTACTGCACGTTCAGGTCTCGGTCGTCCAAAGCGATGGCTCCTTTATTCTGTCGGCGAGACGACGCGGATCGGACCAAAACAGGCAGGAAGAAGAAAACAGAAAAGAAGTGATCGTGGCATGGACCGAGATTGATACGAGCGGCAACGAGGCAACAGCCCAATGCGCTTCGATTTGGTGGATTTGACGGAGGATCGGAACGCTCTTAAGTTAGATTGTCGAATAGCATCTGATTCTCATCGGGAGGCGTTGCTGGGGTCGGCATCGGGCAATGGCGTTATGGTGCACGGGTCGACAAGGTGATATGATCGCGTATGATTGCTCGCAAGAGGCTTGCTCCGGAGACCCTCATCGGAAATGAGGACCGGGGTTGTAGGACTGCTCGGTGCCATATCCTCGGCTTTCCGTTGACGAAGGACGCATCACACGGTGACCGGGCCGGTGTCTTGGCAATTTCGCATGCAGGCTTAGTAGGAGGGTGAGTCTTGTGAGATGTGATTGAATGGGTGGCTTGACCTGGCATCACAGCCCACCACTGATGGGCGGCGCGTTGAGTCGGACGTGGTGGGACTCATAGCCACGAGCATTAGCTGAATTTCTACCAAGTAGAGATAATCCAGAGTGATATTGGCACCGTCGCCCTCAATGCATCTGCAGAATCTGTTGTCCTCTGGGAATAATCCGCATGTCCCTTCGTATGTCAGGAGACGAAGCAACAGCCTGCCAAAACGTCTCCAACATCTTCTACATCACTTTGACCTGCTGATTTGTTTTAGCGGGCACCCCACTCAGTACTCGTCTGGCCGGCGCCGGCGGCGCGCCGGCGATTGCCTGAGACGAACCAAGTTTCTGCGTAGACAAACATGCAGTTTGCTGTTTCTGTCATCCCAACTGATCGGCTGACTCTATTTCAATATGGAAACTGCAGGCCATCCAACAAGGGGCAGTGCAACAGACGATTTTTCATATATAATTTTAATCGCACGGTCAACACCAGTAGCGGCCAGATTTTTTAGGATGTCATTAGGGGTCCTACGAAGCAGCTGCCACTGACAGAGACCCTCCAAAGATAGAGAAGGTTTTTATTTTATTTTATTTATACAACACAACACATATTGAAAGGGCGCGCGCGCGTGCGTGCACACAGCTTGTATCCGGGTGCTGCAGCAAAAGGAAACTGCACGAGGCAGGCAATCAAATCTTGGGTGAAGCAACCAGTACCAGCCTACGACAAGATAGACACTCAGAAAACACGTTGCCTAGGTGCGTATGCAGAGAGATCGTCACAGGAGTGAGAAACAGGAGTCGAGTTGAGCGAGGGCAATGTGCGAGATACATTATCTGAAGTGCGCGTGCTGTGGGAGACGATGGGAGGCACACAAGAAGCTCGCCAGCTGCGATGAACCTGATGCAGATGCTAGGTGCCCGGACAACCTCGTCATGTATGTTGGTATTCCAAGGAGGCCCGAAAAGGGGGAATGCGAGGATTGCAGACGAGTCAGGGAGGTGTTGGAGAGTCTGGAGGACGGAGATGAATAGAGGAGGGATGAGAAACCCAGCGGCAACTACAAGAGAGCACAGTCTTGTAAGTGGATGATCCTTGGGCTGTTCGAAGGGCGTCATTCATCTCTTATTTCCTTTGGACGTTGCCTCGGCTCCTTGTCTCAAATGATGCGAACTCGATATCTCCTGCACCCCTCTCCGAGAGTGACAGGTTCGCCAGGCCATGGTGCTACCGCCTCGATCAGCCATGGAACTTTGCTATGCTGCTCCTCCATTGGGCATGGTCAAGCGTATCCCAGCTTTATGCCCTCGTGGCCGTCCACCATTGGCATGCGCATTAGGAGTCTACAGCATGACCTTTGACCCCACCCTGAAAACCAGGTTGGAATGCGACGCCTTGCCATCCCATCAAGCCGTTGTCTTCTTCTTCTTTGACTTGGTCTTCCGTTTTGTCCGAACCCTAGGCTTGAGCGCGAGCATGCCGGCCTTGCAGATCTCGGCGTAACGTGCGTAGAAGGCATCCAGGGCGTCAGACTGAACAACGGTAGCCAGTTTCATCTTCCTGCCGGCTTTCCTGTCTTCGCCGGACTTGCCGTTGGTGGCGCGGACAATGACAGGATAGGAGACGCCGTCATCTGTGCCTTTCAGATCAGCCAGAGGATCATCAGCCGCTGGCACGGGGGCACTGGAGCCATGGGCCACTACAAGGGGAAGTTAGCATTTTTGACCAGAGCACGAACGGTGCACCTGCCCCTATGATTCTGCCAACTGGGCGTGCATCGTGCCTGATGCCGGCGAGGGATGCGCACTAAGCCGAGCAGGTTGGGAGGGTCGTACTTCGTTTCTGGCTCAGGAAGACTGAGCCATGGTCCTTGCCCTTGCGAGCTGTGAAAAGGTCGCCGAGCTTGGTGAAGAACTGATTGGGCTGTTAGCCAGCTGCGCGCACAAGCAAGGTCTTTCCTGGGGCGGCCATACCTCATCGTGGGAGAGATGTGGCTCGGGCATGATGATGAGTAGTCGAGCCTTGACGGAAGCAGATGGGTTGATCCACCCCTCTCCAACACAGTATGACCGGGTGAAAAGATTGATCAGGGCCGCATGAGCGATGAGTGATATGCGAGTCTTGTCATCAAAGGTCTCGGACACGTTGAAGGCGGCGGTGGCTGAAGAATATCTGGGTAATGAGTGGGTGAGGTATGAGGGTGTCTGTCTGGTGAGGTTGGCAGTGGGCCCGCACAGGCAAATGTTAGCGTTGCCCCAAGCTCCTCGACTCCCGCACAGGCGGGTACCGTGTTGGAAATGTACAGGTACATGTACACACAAGTAGCCCCATGTCAGGTCCACAGTTGGAGGGCTAGGGCCCACCTAAAATTCAGACCGTCGAGGCTGGTGTAAGACTACTCGAACCATCCCGTTCTTGCTTGCGCTTAGTACTTTGCATATAATAACATTTTTTTTTATGAAAATAAGAAGAGCCCAACAACGGTTCAAACAGCATTGGACGGTAGTATTCACCGTCAAGGCTGAGAGAATCTGACCTATGCAGAGACCTTTTTGGGAGGAATAATTCGCAAAACACCATCAACCGCGTAGGGGTAGCTGCCTCCAGGCGACGGCTGCAGCTGCAGAAAGACTCCCCTGTTCCTCGTCTCCGGTCTCATAGCCTATCATCATACACGTTGTGCGCCTTGGTCTTCGGCTTTTGGTCTTCTGCCCCCGTGGGGACGTCTCGGTGCACTATGCCTCCTCCAAAGAGAGGACGTGAACCGCTCCGGCCAGCCCTTCCGGCCAGCCTCCTCAAGGAGGTCGGCAGCAAGCCCACCTCAGACTCCCGCAGGCCGTCGCAAACTCAAACCCGAAAGGACCGGCGGAAAGCCGAGAGGACCCAGAAGCGCCATCGCGATGCTTCCAAACCCAAGCACAAGCCTGCTGCTGTTGCTGCTGTTGGCAGTGGCGGTAGGCGTCGGCGTGGTTCGAGTGAATCTCTTCCACACAAGCCTCTGGCCATGAAGAAAGCTCCTGAATCCAGCAAGCCAGCTGCTCCAGTGTCGGATGAGGAGGGCGATGAGGAAGAGGATGAGGATGATGATGATGACTTCGGCGGCTTTTCGGAGGAGCTCTCGGATGAGGAAGAGGAGCCCCGCAACTCGCTCCCGTCAAGGGCAACCAAGGACAGGCTGGCTGAAGATGATGCAGAAATTGCAGATCTCGAGAGGAAATTGGGTATCAAGCAACGAAAAACTTTGCCCAAATCGTTTCATGAGGATGGCCTTGACGAGGTTCTGGGTGAGTTGGCTGATCAAGACGACGACGAGGCCCTGGTTGCGAAAAGAAAGAGGAAGGCCGAGGCAGATGAATGGCTGGCACAGAAAAGGAGAAAGGCCACACAGCAGCCTGCAGATGACAGCGACGAGGGGAGTGACGACGACTCCTCCTCTCTGGCCGGTCTCGAGCATGGGAGCGACTTGGACGATAGTGATGAATTTGACGATGACGGGGATGTCTTCGATTCAGAGCACGAGGCGGAAGAGGCGCCCGCGCGGAGACGTGAGAACCCGTACGTGGCTCCAGTGCCAGCAACACCGGCCGCGCAGAAGTACGTCCCTCCGGCGCGGCGTCAGGAGAGCGGCTCGGACGCAGAGCTCTTATCCCGCATCAGGAGGCAAGCCCAGGGGCTCATCAACCGTCTCACCGAATCAAATTTGATTGCGATCCTCGGCGACATAGAAAAGCTTTACCGGGAAAACCCACGGCAGCATGTCACATCCGTGCTGACCGACCTTATTCTGGTCCAGATCTGCGAGCCTACCAGCCTGCCAGATACTTTGTTGATCCTACATGCCGGATTCGCGACTGCAGTCTACAAAGTCATTGGACCGGATGTGGGAGCCCAGCTGGTACAACAGACGGCCGAGAGGTTCCACCTTTACTACGCCCAGGTCCCTGGGGATGCGTCACGGGACGTCTCGAAACACACCTCCAACCTCATCACATTCCTGGCGGAAATGTACAATTTCCAGCTCATTGGGTGCAACTTGATTTTTGACTATATCCGACTCCTACTGGACCATCTGACCGAGCTCAACGCCGAGCTCCTCTTGAGGATCGTTCGAATGGCAGGGCAGAACCTGCGACAGGATGACCCATTGGCGCTCAAAGACATTGTGGCCCTGATCCGACCGGCGGTCAACAAGGTCGGCGAAGCGAACCTCTCTGTCCGAACCAAGTTCATGATCGAGAGCATCAATGATTTGAAGAACAACAGGGTCAAAGTGGGGGCGAGTGCGTCGGCTGTGAACCAGGACCACACAACGCGCATGAAGAAGCTACTGGGCTCGCTCAACGCGAGGAAGCTCAAAGCAACGGAGCCCCTGCGCATCGGCCTGAGGGACATGGAAGAATCGGACAAGCGAGGCAAATGGTGGCTTGTCGGAGCGAGCTGGGCGGGCCGGGACGGTGCCGCAGGGAAACAGGACAAGAATGACGGGGCCAAGGGAAGAGCGGGGGCCAGTGGCGAGGAGGAGGAGGAGGACGACGACTCGGAGAGCACCACGCTTGACAGTGACGAGGAAATGGTGCCGGACCTGCAGGCGCTTGCGAGGGAGCAGAACATGAACACGGACGTGCGTCGATCGATATTCATAGCCGTCATGTCAGCGAGTGACTACGAGGACGCGTATGGGCGGGTGATGAAACTACGGCTCAGGAAGGACAGACAGAAGGAAGTGGCATATGTGGTGATGCAGTGCGCGGGAGCAGAGCAGCAGTACAACCCTTATTACGGGCTGGTGGCGCGCAGGCTGTGTGGAGACGGGAGGATCAGGTTCGCGTTCCAGGACAGCCTCTGGAAGCTGTTCCGACGGCTGGGTGAGTCGATATTCGGCGAGGATGCCGAGGAGGAGGAGGACGACGACGAGGAGGACGGCGAGGACGGCCGGGGAGAGGGCGAGGCGAGGGAGGCGCGGCGCATCTTCAGCGTGGCCAAGATGTTTGGGTTCCTTGTGGCCAACGGGGCGCAGGGGCTGGGGGTGCTGAAGTGCCTCAACCTGCCGTATCTGAGGGCCAAGACGCGAGACTTTGTCGAGGTGATGCTCATCACACTGTTCCAGGAGCTCAAGGCGGCGGGCGGCTCGGCCACAAAGGTGTTTGCGGCGGTGGCTGACATGGCGGAGCTCTCCAAGGGGCTGCAGTGGTTCCTGAGGAAGAGGGTGCGCAAGTCGGACCTGCTCACCAGCAAAAAGGAAAAGAGGCAGGTGAAGCAAGGCTGTGACGAGGCCATGACTGCGCTCGCCGCCCATGAGGAGCGCGCAGGTGGGGGCAATTAATTAACTGACAGGCTGTAGCAGCAGAAATTTGCTAGATAGAGAGACAGGGTGAGAGCTGTTGGATGTCACCTGCGAAGACTCATTCTCGGTAATTATTGGCTCCATGTCTCTCTCTACTCGACGACGTGCGGACAACGTGGGAGAGTATGTAGACTATGTGATGACACGATACACCTAGGTTAAAATTAGACAGACCATACAATCCAACGCATACATGCACACACACATTCCCACATGGACAGAGAGAGAGAGAGAGAGAGAGAGAGAGAGAGAGAGAGAGAGAGAGAGAGAGAGGGAGAAACAAAGAGTCTCTGATCTGGAGCGTGTGGTATATCTTAGATCATCTACTGTGTAATATCTAGACTATCTAGTCTACGTCGGTAGCGGTAGCCGATGGGTGATCAGTCATCAACCAGCACTACGCCGACGGTGGGTGACTCCCGGGAACCTTGGACGGAAAAGAACGGGTCTGGGGGGAAGAGAGGCAGGGTTTTAAGCCGGTCGGCCCAGCCGATGCAGCCCCCAAACCTCATGTATCAGGCCCCAACCGTTGAACGGGAAATCTCCAAAAAAAAAAAAAAAAAGAAGAGCTCACATCAAACACTGCTTGCTGCTTGCTGCTGCTGCTGTTGCTGCTGTGTGTGCCTGTCTGGACCGTCTGACCGTGCATCTACACCTTCGTCTCCAGTCCAGGTGAGGTAGGTGACTTGTTCTGTCCTATCCCGTCCATCCACCCAATCCTTATCCCAGCCCAGCTCAGCCAAGCTCGCCTTCGCCCCCCCCCCCCATCTCCCCCAACCCGGAGGCCCGAGTCCACAGTCTACACGCAGCCCACAGCCCCCAACCCACAGCCTCTAGTCCCCGAGTCCCGACTGCTGCAGCTGCAGCACGATCAATTCTTCTCCCGCATCGCCGCTCTCAACTTCGAGTGCCTTCCCTCCACGCCCCGCCCTTTTTGCCTCCTGACAGACCACTGACAGACTCGTGACAGTCCTGTCCAGCCCAGCGGTCCTCCTGTCTGCTCGACTTGCTTTGTTGTCTCGGGCGCCGCCTACACCACACCACAGCACAGCATACCTACACAGCCAGCATAACATACTATACCCGTCATGCTCGCAAGCCGGTTAATACCGCGGACTGCGGTCCGCTCTGCTTTCACCAAGCCGTCCCTCCCTACTGTCGCAGTCCCGAGATGGCGACGCTCATACGCCACCGAGGCTGAGGAGAAGGACCTTGTCATCATCGGCGGTGGTGTCGCTGGCTACGTTGCCGCCATCAAGGCTGGCCAGGAGGGTTTGAAGGTGCGTGCAGCTTCCCACCAGTCTCCGTTGCCCTGCCTCCCGCGCCCGCCTGCTAACCCATCTCCACCCCCTTCCAACAGGTCGCTTGCATCGAGAAGCGCGGCACCCTTGGCGGCACATGTCTGAATGTCGGCTGCATCCCCTCAAAGTCCCTCCTCAACAACTCCCATCTCTACCACCAGATCCTCCACGACACCAAGAACAGGGGTATCGAGGTCGGCGACGTCAAGCTGAACCTGGCCAACCTCATGAAGGCCAAGGACACCTCCGTCGCCGGCCTCACCAAGGGCGTCGAGTTCCTCTTCAAGAAGAACGGCGTCGAGTACCTCAAGGGCTCCGGCTCCTTCGTCAACGAGCACGAGATCAAGGTCCAGCTCAACGACGGCGGCGAGACGAGCGTCATCGGCAAGAACATCCTCATTGCCACCGGCTCCGAGGCCACCCCTTTCCCCGGCCTGGAGATTGACGAGCAGCGCGTCGTCACCAGCACCGGCGCCATTGCCCTGGAAAAGGTCCCCGAGAGGATGGTTGTCATTGGTGGCGGCATCATTGGCCTCGAGATGGCCTCGGTCTGGTCCCGCCTGGGCTCCAAGGTTACTGTCGTCGAGTTCCTGAACCAGATCGGTGGCCCCGGCATGGACACGGAGATCGCCAAGCAGGCCCAGAAGATCCTGAAGAAGCAGGGCATCGACTTCAAGCTCTCCACAAAGGTTGTCGACGGCGACAAGTCGGGCGAGACGGTCAAGCTGAACGTTGACGCCGCCAAGGGTGGCAAGGCCGAGTCTGTAGGTGCTCCCTCCCAGGCCAGGTCTGGCCTCTCCGCAGGCCGCGCCTGCTCGTCTACAGGACGGAGTGTCTCTTGAGAGGGGGGATTTCTTTTGCTGACCAACATCTCTTCACTACACAGCTCGATGCCGACGTCGTCCTCGTTGCCATTGGCCGCCGGCCATACACCGGAGGACTAGGCCTGGAGAACATTGGCCTCGAGCTTGACGAGCGCGGACGTGTCATCATTGACCAGGAGTACCGAACCAAGATCCCCCACATCCGGTGCGTGGGAGACGTCACCTTCGGACCCATGCTGGCCCACAAGGCCGAGGAGGAGGCCGTTGCCGTTGTCGAGTACATCAAGAAGGGCTACGGCCACGTCAACTACGGATGTATCCCATCGGTTATGTACACATACCCCGAGGTGGCATGGGTGGGCCAGAGCGAGCAGGAACTCAAGGCAGCCGGCACCCCCTACCGTGTCGGAACGTTCCCCTTCAGCGCCAATTCCCGTGCCAAGACGAACCTGGACACGGATGGCCTGGTCAAGATGATTGCAGACCCCGAGACGGACAGGCTTCTTGGCGTGCATATTGTAGGTCCCAACGCCGGCGAGATGATCGCCGAGGGCACGCTGGCTCTGGAGTATGGTGCTTCGTCCGAGGACATTGCGAGGACGTGCCACGCGCACCCCACGCTTGCTGAGGCGTTCAAGGAGGCTGCGATGGCGACGCACGGCAAGGCTATCCACTTCTAAGCGGAGAGGATGTATATTAGGTGTCTGTTCAGCATTGTACATGAAAACCACGCATCACTGCTAGGACGGGAGAGTCTAGGGTCAGGTGGTGTGAAGGAGTAATAATGATAGAGCAGCTAAGGGATCAAAGAGAGGGAGAGGGGGGGGGGGAGAGAGAGAACAGAGCGAGAACAGAGAAAGAAAGCCGAAACGGGAATAAGTAAAATGTTTCAAAGGCACAATTCTCAAGTTTGTGATTGATGCCAGTTTCCCCGCCCAGACTAGTCTTGATTTCACAAGTGGACATTGCAGGATGGGCAGCTGAACCTGTTCAGGTTAATCTGAGCCCCAAGGCCAGCGCCAGATGAAGGGCCGTTGAAGCCATGGGCGAGGTTCAGGCCACCGCCGCACCCGGAACTGACGCCACCAAGACCGAGCCCAAGGCCGTTGAGGAACATGCTGACGTTGTTCAGGCCTCCCAACCCTGCCAGCCCTGCCAGCCCTGCCAGCCCCGCGGCGCCCATCTGCGATTGCTGGTGGACGTGGTTGGCGGGAATGACGAAGACGTTGTTGGTGCCCATGTGTGGCTGTGTGGCGGTCGGACAGGTGTGGACGCAGGGAGCCAGGCACCTGTTGACGGGAGCGGCGCCGTGGCAGTGAGAGGCCGGCGAGGAGGGCGAAGGGGTGCAACCCCAAAGGGCACCGCCGTGGCAGCCTGCGTCGCCGAGGCGGGTGAGGTGGTTCTGCAGGATGAGACGGGCGACGAGGCTGGAGACGGTGTCTAGGCTGAGGCCGTTGAGGCTATTGGGGTCTCCACCGTTGCATTGCGGGGAGAGAAAGTCGTGATTCCTGCGCGAGGGCGGCCCGAGGTGGTTAGATGTGACATGGAGGAGTGCATACTTGGGTGAAGGGCCGGGGTAGGGGAGACGGGAAAGATGAGAACAAGTGGCAGTCGACGTACAGCCTACCGCTCCGGCTTCCGTATCCTGCACCGAACGCTGGACCGGCACGTCAGCATGGTGAATCGTGAAACGACCCAGGGATGGGTGCGAGGGAAGGAAGTATTACTCTGCTCAGCCCAGCCGCCTGGCTGGTGGACGAAGGTGTAGGGCCAGTATGCGCCGCCGGGATAGCGAGGCATGGTGGTTGCTGTACCAAGTGGGCGCCCACAAGCTGAGAAAAAAGGATGAGGTTGTGGGAAGCACGTGGGTCATGGCGTTTAAGCGGGAGCGCAGTGCGATATGTTATACACGAAATCCATAGCTTGTAGCTTCTTGGACATGACACGATAGTCTATAATGTTTGCTGTCGGCGTCACACCATTTCTACACCTCCACGACCTGGGCGAGCCACGAGTTTGTGAGTAGGGGACGGTGACTAGACAAACATGCACAAGATCTTAGTGAACAGTTTACCGAGGGTTTTATTTGAGACGAAAAGGCGGTCACCAAACAGAACCAGAACCGGATTGTCGTCTAGACAGAGGACGTGGACGTGGACGTGGACGTGGACATGGACGAGGAAGAGGACAAGGACAACATACCGTGCGACTGAGTCCATGAGAAGAAGAAAATATATAGAGAGACCCCCAGTACGTAAGGTGAGGCTTGGGTCAAGACGCATATGGAAGACGTAGATAATACAGGCGCATAGTACGTCGACGGCTTGCGGTCGATTGGATCGGAGCGGCCTCGGCGTTGCATGACGGAAACTCGGGGCCGGGGCCGGGGCCGGCGCATGTTGGGCCAAGATAATCCGACAGTCCGTCGGCCCACCTCCGCAACGCTCTGGGTGCTACTGTTGCCGCTGTTGGTGCCAATGCAGCAGCAGGAGCACCCAGAACATCAACTGTCTACGCCGAGATTCACCATCAGCTACACACAGGCAAGCAAAGCAGCCGTCCCGTGCGAAACAGCCGAAACAGTTGCAGTGCGGGCCGATACCCGCTTGCCCTAGTCGAGCGAGGCAAGGCGAGGCGAGGCAAGGCGAGGCAAGGCGAGGCAAGGCAAAGCAAAACCCAGCAAAAAGTCAAGCCAGTCAAGTCGGTCGAGTCGGCCAGGTCGTACGATCACCATCGCAATTGCCCACCGCCAACGCACCAGCAATCGACTGTTGGCCTGTCCATCGTATCATCCAGCTCTTCCTGTCACCTACTGGCGGTCCATCCATCTCTTCCTCTGCTTGATTTGGTTTCCCTCTTCACTCCTTCTCGAGGCCGACTCAATTCACAGAGGCCCAGCCTTCCCAACACGACACGGTCGCACCCTGGCTTCGATGTCGGTAGCGAACGACAGCCTCAATTGCCCTGCCCGACCCAAACCGACCCAAAATTGACGCGAAACCCCGCCATGGACACCAGCAAGCGTCGGGCACCAGCCCGTCAATACCCCGTCATGACCCCGAGGGAGGTCGAACGCCTCATAGCAGATGGCAGGACCATTGTTATCCTGGACCAACATGTCCTCAAGGTTGATGCTTGGATGAAGTACCATCCTGGCGGCGACAAAGCTATTCAGCATATGGTCGGGAGAGATGCCACCGACGAGGTCAACGCGTCCGTCCACTCCCTTCCCTCGCTCCCTGTCGCACCGTCCTGGATGGCTGACTAGAAACCTTTCTGCGCAGCCTTCACTCCCCCGAGGCACGGGCTATGATGAACAAATATAGAATCGGTCGGATCGACCATAGATGGAAGAATATGTTGCCCCCTATTCAGGGCGGCGTCTTCACCCCCCAGCCAGGCCCTGATGGTGGCTTAGATGACCCCGGGGTGGAGTGCCCCCCGAAGGACTCCCCGACCTCTAGTCATGCTAGCTCTCGATCCGTCTCGCCTGTGTTTGACGCACCTGGGAATCATGGACAAGCTCTGCGCAGCCGCAAGACTGGCGCCGCCTCGCCCTCGTCCATGCGGCCATCTTCCGCCACCTCGGTCACATCCGCTGACGACGATTCGGATGGTCACGACTTCAGTAAGGACAACCCAACAGATGGCATGAGCCTCTTGGACCGCAGGACAATGCAGGAAATCAACCAGGATCTTGAAATCTACCCGGCCTTGGACCCTGCCACACAAGACAACATCGTGGACAAGTACCGCCAGTTGAATGAGAGGATCAGGGCCGAGGGACTCTACCAGTGCAACTACTGGGCCTATGCCGTCGAGTGCTTTCGCTACACCCTGTTCTTCGGCCTCTTCGTCTTTTTCCTACGCTGGAGGTGGTGGGCTACGAGTGCATGGTGGCTTGGTTGCTTCTGGCATCAGCTGGTCTTTTCTGCCCACGATGCCGGCCACATGGGCATCACCCATAACTTCCACGTCGATACCGTCATTGGAATCATCATAGCCGACTTCGCGGGCGGCTTGTCCCTGGGCTGGTGGAAGAGGAACCACAACGTGCATCACATCGTGACCAACTCCCCTGAGCACGATCCAGACATCGAGCACATGCCCTTCTTCGCCATCTCGCACCGCTTCCTCCAGAACCTGCGCTCCACCTACTACGAGCGCGTCATGGCCTATGATGCGTTCGCAAAGGTCCTATTGAAGTTCCAGCACTACTCTTACTACCCAATCCTGCTCTTTGGCCGCTTCAACCTCTACCGTCTCTCGTGGGAGTACCTCCTCGGCCGGCAGGCTCCACGGAAGGGTCCAGCCTGGTGGCACCGCTGGCTCGAATTGGTGGGCCAGGTCTTCTTTTGGTACTGGTTTGGCTATATCGTGGTCTATAAATCTATCGACACAAAATGGGCCCGCTTCGTGTTCGTCATGGTGAGCCATATGGTGACCATGCCTCTGCATGTGCAGATCACGCTATCCCACTTCGCCATGAGCACCGCCGAGCTGGGCCCGGATGAGTCCTTCCCGCAGAAGATGCTGCGGACCACCATGGATGTGGACTGCCCCTTGTGGCTGGACTTTTTCCACGGTGGGCTTCAATTCCAAGCCATACACCACCTCTACCCGCGTATCCCAAGACACAACTTGCGCAAGACGCAGAAGCTTGTACAGGGGTTCTGTGAGGAGGTCGGAATCCCCTATGCGCTGTATGGCTTCGTGGGCGGCAACAAGAAGGTCATTGGCCGCCTGGCGGATGTGAGCAGGCAGGCGGCCATCTTGGCCAAGTGCCAGCAGGTCCTGGCCGAAAGCGGCGATCCACTACATCATCACTGATGTAGTTTACGAATTATTGAGATGATTTGAGGTGGTCCGGTGATTCGATTGTGTCGTATCATTCATAGTGTGACTCGAGAGATCGCCGGACAACACCATGATGAATGAGGGATATGTACATACACGTTTCGGAGTCTACTCCATGAAGAAGCCTCTTTTGGCTCGGGCGCGGTCCCTGGTCGTGAGGTCGCATTTCAATAAACGAAGACGAAAGCTATTGGGCCGCGACTCATCGATATAATTGAAGCAAAGCGTGGCGTAGTTTGGCTAGCTCGAAGACTTGGTTGATTGTGACTCCTGCAGGCCTCCCAAAATTCGAATCTCTTTTTTTGTCTTGGTTGTTCCTTTTTTTTTTTGCAGCGCCCCTCTCGACAAGCGAATTGGTGATGATCATTATGTGCCGGCGGATCAAACGTGCGCAGCTGTGGGCACGACTTTGAGGATATGATACGTCGCATGGCAGCGAGATATGCAGGACGCCGTGCTTGCCAGATAGGCGAGCCTCAGACAGGTCCAAAAAAAGGTGGGAATTGGCAGCTCGCTTACGCTCGGCAAGCGACCCTCCTCTCCCTGGCAGCCCTGGGCAGTCAATGTCACTCATGCCATGTGGCTCTCGGATGCAGCAGTACAAGGGTTACAGTGGGCGGATGCACGCCATTTGCCCAGCAAAGGATGATGGGTCGCATCGTCCGGTTGTCAGGCGCGCCAGGGCCCCAACAACGTCATGTGACGTGAAGGACTCCGCGAGCTTGTTCTCCTTTGCTCTCCCTCCCTCCCTTTGTGTTTATTTGCGTACTGCGGGAGTGGGGACAGACTCCCGGTCGATCTTGCTGCAGCCCCATGGTGGAACTTTAGACTTGAAACAAACAAATAAAGCGATCACCGTGTTCCGACCGGGGTTCGCCAGAGGCATTCAGGGTTCACCGACAGCGAGCCGGGACGCCAGCCACGTTTTGTTTCTTTTCTTGGTTTATTTGAAGTCGCTGCCAAGAGGTGAACTGATAGGGGAGAAGTAAGTTCAGCTCGCCTGAGGGCCAATCTGCGCTACGTTTGTTATTAGAAGCACCATGTCGTTTACTTGCGGTAAAGTTTCGTGTTGGAATGAATGAGATGCAATAAGGACAGGGGAGGGGAAGTTGGAGGGTGACGTGCAAATCTCAAGCAGATCTGCTCTTTTTTCCCCCACAAAGGAGGAGGGGAAACAGAAGAAGCAGGGCAGCGCAGGAGATGACCGGATGTGTGCGCTTCGGTGAGATCGGGGTCGCACAGGCGTTGAAGTGCCAGGCAAGGAGAGGGGGGGAGGGGTCACCGAGTGACGTGACACTCTGCGCGTCTTTGTCGTGCAACTTTCTCGCTTCCCCGGAATGGTAATCCTGAGTTCCTGAACCTTGCCATCCAGGCTCAAAGGTGAGCCCCTCAACATTCCGAAGCGGTGAGCCACTATTTGCCTTGGGCCCCCGGCTTCTGAAGACCCTCGATGTCGCAATGAGGCTTCAGCACCGGTGCGAAACGTGCGCTGCGACTCACGCATAACTATGTGCAATAGCATTTTGTTCTTCGTCGCGCTTCCGCATCCCGCCGCCGCAGATTTGCGCACATGGCACAGCAGGGTTCAAGCACCCAGCCTACCATCGAGACGTGGAACACGCAGAAAATGACAGGCCGGGGTCCCGGTTTATCAGGCCCCCACACCGTTTTCCCTGGTCACCCGGCATGTGTCGGTTCGCGAGGGAACCATGAATGCTGCGTGTTCCTCGCTTCGGGACTTGATTTGCTGCATTTAGTACGGCAGCGACGAAGCCCATCGGAACATTTTCCTCGTGGTCTTGCTGCAGTGTCCCGTCCGACTGATATTGCTCGGGTACGTACTCGTAGCAGCCGGAAGCGTGGCCGACGTGTGTGGACTCATTAAAGATAGTGGGCCAGATCGTAGCCCTCCTTGGGACGTGACAACGTACCCTCAGTGACAAGACATGGGTCGTCCGCTATGGAGCTTGATCCTCGCTCCAGCTCACAACTCTGCCTCTGCTCGGACCAACAAAGCAACGATGCCAGGGGACGTTCACACCGAGTTTTCTCGACATGGCCACCGTTGTTGGCCTTGCTGGGCTGAACCACGCCGTATATATCAAGGCGAAGGGACGCCCGTGTAATGGATCTGAATATGTTCCCCCATCTGTCACCAGCGCGAAACGAGCCTTTCAATTCTGCAACTAGGCCCACGACCACACCCAAAGACGCAGAGAATACAAACCCTTAACTCCATTTGCTGCTCTCTGCTTTCGCCCTTGGGTGCTATTGTGCATCCCAGGTTTCAACAGCTTGTCAGCGCCTCACAGCCAAGATAGCCAGTCTCTGTTCAACTACGTGCGCGCATCAGAGCCACAAGCCCGCCAAGCATCATGGGTAGAGGCAAGATGGATGAGGCTGCCGCCGCACGGATACGCAAAGCCAGGGGGGAGAAGGTTGAGTGACCCGCCGACAACCGTCTCAAATGTCTGGTCTCTAACCACACTGCTGCAGGACGACTTCGCAAGACGAGCCGCTATGGCTGCCAGAACAAATAAGGACAGCTCGGGACAAAACGGCCAGGGTGGAGGGCAGGGCGGAAGCAGCAGTGGAGGTCAGGGCGGGGGAGGGAGTAAAAAATGAGAGTCTGTTGGCAGGTTACAGCTCGGAACAATGGCCGACGGGCTCAGACATTGATATCCTGGGGGTAAGATGCAACAAAAAAAATGGGGCGCATTTCGGTCTCTGGAGTGGTTGTCAACGCGGGGAGTAAGGTTTGCAGAGGAAGTTGGACATGGTCAGGTCGCAAGCATCCGGTTGGGCGCTACCGGGCAGCGAGTGGAGTTTGGAGTTCACAGATCGTCAGCGCAGACTGAGAGCGACGGGGTTGCCGTTTTCTTCGTGCGGGAGAAGGCATTATCGAGTAGTTGGATGTACTGCTATGCCTCCTCGGTGGCTGTCCGATGTCACGCTCAGACGGAGTCCTGCTATTGCCCTTGGGAACTTTACCCAGAGATGGCGGCTGGGTCAGTGAGGCATCGAAAGACGCCGGTCACCTCGAGGTGCCAGTATGAATGCCGCATCGTATCAGCAAATAAGCACCAGCATTATCAAAAACTCATCTCGCAACATTGCGATGACCAATTTGCCATGGTGGCTGGGGTTCACCGATGTAGCCCTACGAACCACCTTTCAAACGACAGGGACGTTGGTGACGTGGAATCTTCAGGTGACACAGCGTTGTGCGTTGTGCCTGCGCTTTGTCTGAAACTGAGCGCGACACCGGAACGCTTCCGAACTGGCGGCCGGTCAACCCGGTCAACCCGGTCAGGGTCGGGTGATTGTCGGGGCCCTTCAGCCCTCCCCCGGCTTTGGCTTACAAGGCAGACTGGAGGGAGATGGCGAGCGACCCGAGCAGGCTTCGAAAATGCCTGGGTTAGGGGACGGGGAAACCTGTTACAGCTAGGCGGTAGTGTGGCGGTTTTGCATTCGCATTCTGCTTTTGCCTCCGAGTGTGGCCCTCGTTCCTGCCACCCGGCTTCACTTCCTATTGTCTGGGGAAGAAAGAAGGTGGCAGCCGGGAAAGAGAGCCAAGAAGATCTCGTTCGACGAAGACCCGATGCCGGCTCGGAGCGCTGAGAGAGGCGTTCCCGCAGGCCTGGGCATGCTGCGCTCGTGCATGCGTGCGTGCGCGCGGGTGCCCAGGATTATGGGAAGCATGGAGCCGGGTGCGATGGCGTGGGGAGAGGCAGCACGGTCTGAGCAGAGCGACGGTGGAGACGAGCCCTGGCGTGGAAATGTTGAAATTGAATCAGGAGTGCAGCACTGCGTACGCCAGTAGTAGCAAGTGGCATGTTGCAGACAGGGACACAATTTAAGGTTCTGGGGCACCGGCTGACGTATCATCGTCTGAAAGCCAGGGGAAAGGGGCCCGGGACAGGCGAAATTGTCCAGAACGCCAGGCTGGCCGCCGACCCCCGGAGCACAGTGGTGATTTGACCTCGGGAGGCGACGAGACCACGAGACGACGAGACGGACAAGGTAGCCGTGTCAACGGGGTGCCATTCTCTGTGGCAGCAGTGTAGCATGGCAACAGATGGTGCTTTTCCATCCCCAACAACCTTGGCACTCAGCAGATTTGGGCGCTACATGAGCGCACGTCATGAAATTGGCTGATCGAAAGCTGAATTGCCGGCTTGTGAAGAAGGCCCGATGTTGCCTTCTCTCAATTGACTTTCTCAGTGCCCCTGCCAGACGACTTGAGAGTTAGGAGCAGCACACTGATGTGCCACGGAAATTTATATGCTGGAGTTGAAGCAAACACAGATGTTGGTGCTCTTGTTGTTGGTGGCATGACGTGGTTGTTGGTCTTGTTGTCGGCGCCGTCGCTGTCGCCGTCGCCGTCGCCGTCGCCGTCAGGATACCGGCCGAGATGTTGTGACGAGGAGCTGGAGGTGAAGGTTGCAACGATCGATCGGCTGGCCAGAGAAGGAGGCGCGGCGAGGCGGTTGCACGGCGCTGATTAAGCAGCACTCGAGCTCCCTCAGCAAGACCTGTCGCTCGAGCGGGGCTATCTTGATAAAGACCTACACAGTAGGGGGGGGGGGGGGTACCCCAGCACGCCCAGCACCTGGCCAGGCGACGTCATCTCACTGGTCTCACTGGTAGGTCGCCCACCCAAATCCGTCTATCTACCAGAGCTGTAATCAGCGTGACGGTGCGGTATGCAGATGCCTCCACCCCACATCCTGCAGCCCTGCACCCCTGTACTGCTTGACGACGGCACCCAGCCTCCTCCAACGTCAACAACCAACCCGACCAGATATGCTGTAATGTGCTGATATTGCCGACATCAAGTCACTCTTGCTTCGAGCCACTCTACGCATCTCTTCGTCTTTTGCCCATCGCATGCCTGTGCACATCTGAGCCGACATTGCCTGCCTAGGTATCCGCCTGGAGGGGCCTGCCCAGGTCGAGCTCGCTCTCCGCGGTCCGCACACCGACGATACCCATCCCAACATCCAGCTTCCACCACCGACACCAGCTCGTCTCGACCTCTCTCTTCCTCTCCCTTGCCGGCTCATATGATCTGACAAGCAGCTCACAGTGCTGGGCTGGCCTTCGTCTCCATCGTGGCGTGACGTGGCTTGACGCGCTGTGCCGCGCTCTGCAGGAGCCATGGATCCAAACGTCCAGCGTGCCCTAAACGACAAGCTCTACGACAAGCGGAAGGTCGGCGCTCTCGAGTCTGTACCATCACCACCATTCCACCTCACTTGCCAGCTGCTGAATCCCCTCTCAGGCTCGAACGCGTCATTCGTGAGCTAGTCGCGGCCAAGGACTATTCTAGAGTCACCGCTGTTCTTGACCAGCTTTGTAACGAGTATGCCTATGCGGTTCACCAGCCTCATGCCCGTAACGGCGGTCTGATTGGCCTGGCAGCCGCTGCCATCGCTCTTGGCCCGGAGCTCCCACGCTATCTCGAGGTCATTGTCCCGCCCGTGTTGGCTTGCTTCACCGACCAGGACGCACGAGTTAGGTACTATGCATGCGAGGCCATGTACAACATTGCCAAGGTCGCCAAGGGAGAAATACTCAAGTACTTCAACCACATATTTGACGCCCTGTGCAAGCTAGGCGCCGACTCGGAGTTGTCCGTCAAGAACGGTGCAGAGCTGCTAGACCGGCTCATCAAGGACATCGTCTCAGAGTCTGCCGCGACCTATGTCAGCGTGCTCGAGCTCCCAAACACAAGGGGCGACGGTCTTGATGACGAGATCAACAACGATAAGGACATTGTTGAGGAGCCACCAGATCTTCCTACTGCCTTCTCCTTGAAGCAATTCATTCCACTGCTCAAGGATCGTAGCTACACCATCAACCCCTTTACCCGCACCTTCCTTGTTGGCTGGATCACCCTCCTCGATTCGATCCCAGACCTCGAGTTGGTTACATATTTGCCCGAATTTCTCGGGAGCCTGCTCAAGTTCCTGAGCGATCCGAACCGGGACGTGCACCAGGCGACCCAGGCTTGCCTCGACAAGTTTCTAAATGAGATCAAACGTATAGCTCGGATAAAGAAGGGCATCGCCGAGAGCAAGAAGTCAAAGGGGGACGGCAAGAGGAAGCGTGAAGAATCCATCGACAGCGGTAGCGTCCAGGCTGGCCTTGAGGAGGGCGACGAGGTTGCTTCGACCTTGGCCGCCGAAGAGGACGAGACCAGCAGCGAGGATGACTGGGTCCCAGGGCAGGACGTGCAGGTCAATTACAAGGCCGTCCTCGAAATACTGACCAACTTTCTAGACCAGTCCAATACGACAGCAGCCCCGAAGCCGGGCGAGCGCGCCGTATTGGCAGTCACAACGGACGAGGATGGCTTGCTTGAGTCCTTGAAATGGATCGTCGAATTCCTGGATATCTGCCCCGAGGAAGTCCTGCCTTTCACACCAAAGATACTGGCCCATTTGCTCCCCGCAATGGCCAGTGGCGTTGAATCAATCCGTCTGGCAGCTGCAAGGGTCAACAATGCACTAATGAACTATGTCGTTTCGCTTTCAGATGAGCCAGAGCTATTTCTATCGCACCATCCATCAAGAGCCGCGGTCGCGGCTGAGCATCAGGATGGGGCATCTAGCAACCGGGCATCCCTATCCAATTCTCGGGAACTCGATACTCGGAGCCCCACACCGAACTTGAAGCAGGGGCAGTCACCCGCCGACGGAACACCGAGGGGACCAACGCCTGCTCCCTCAAACCATCCACAGGCGGACCTGGACTACGCAGCGGCTGTTAATTCTTTGACCTTGCTATTTCTGAACGATCACGAGGCCACCCGCGTTGCGGCCCTGACATGGCTGATTATGCTTCACAGGAAGGCGCCGCGAAAGGTTCTCGCCTTCAACGATGGAACCTTTCCTGCGCTGCTGAAGACACTCTCCGATCCAGCCGAGGCAGTGGTGACCAAAGATCTGCAACTCTTGTCCCAGATATCCAGGAACAGCGAGGACAGCTACTTCACCAACTTCATGGTCAGCTTGCTCCAGCTCTTCTCCACGGATCGGAGACTATTGGAGACTAGGGGAAACCTCATAATCCGGCAGCTGTGTGTCAGCTTGAGTGCAGAGCGCATTTATCGCACCCTAGCCGACTGCATAGAGAAGGAGGAAGATGTCGAATTCGCTAGTATCATGGTACAGAACCTCAACAACAACCTCATCACGGCTCCTGAGCTCTCCGAATTACGGAAGAGATTGCGGAACCTCGAGTCAAAAGTGAATTTCTTTTTATTTTTTTATTTTTAAAAAAAGTCCATTGCGTGCATGGCATGGTTTCAGTGCTGGCGCTAATCGAGATTTCCACAGGATGGGCAGACCTTCTTTGTCGCCCTATTCAGATCATGGTGTTACAACGCCGTGGCGACGTTCTCGCTCTGCTTACTTGCGCAAGCTTACGAACAGGCGTACAACTTGCTTCAGATATTGTTGGTCAAGTCCCGCCGGATGACACCGTGTTGGGCGGTTTGCTGACGCGCTGGAATTTAGTGCCGAGCTGGAGATGACGGTTAACATCCTCATCCAAATTGACAAGCTGGTCCAGCTGCTCGAGTCACCTGTCTTCACATGTAAGCGTTGGCCTCGTGTCTGCCTCAAGTTGCAGGGTCGGAGCGCTGACTCCTCACAGACCTTCGACTTCAATTACTAGAACCGGAGAAATACCCCCATCTTTACAAATGTCTCTACGGACTTCTGATGCTCTTGCCACAATCATCCGCATTCGCGGCGCTCAAGAATAGGTTGAACAGCGTCAGCTCTATAGGATACTTACACATCGCACCAAGACCGTATGTCCCAACGAATGCGCCTCTATCACACTCTCGACAAGGGTCTGTGGTGGAGGCGATTCAATCTCTTCAAGCCCCTTCTTCACGTCCAAAATTCAGTACAGGATTTGATACTCATGCTGCACATCTCAGTAATGCCGCGACACCGAGTTCAGCGTCGTTCGACAGACCCAACCGACTCAAGGGTCGAGAAGAAGGCATCATTCGCTGGGGTGAACTGCTTGAGAAGTTCCGCAGCGTTCAGGAGCGCGCGAGGCGAGCGCAGAGGTTGGGGGGCGATCGAGACGATCAGCCAACTCTGGGAGTGGGGGATCTGCGTATCCTGGACGCGGCCGAAATGGCTCCTCCCAAGACAGTTGTTGGCCGCCCCGGGGCTGGGCCGCCCGTTCCTGTAAAGGACAGCCCTGTGCCGACGCCGCCAGCTGCTAAGCCCAGGTCGGGTCTCGGTAGGCAATTTGGGAGGTTGGGGGCCTCAGTGTCGGGAAGGGGAAAGAGAGGGCCATAGTGATAATGTTTTGATCATCGGGTATTGCTTCGTGTCTGGCCAAGTCGGCATAAACACACCTTGATGATGGCGATAGTGTGACGAGGACGAGGTCGTCTGTAACCGAGGAAATCATACTGCACAAAAGACGTGTCGTTGGTCTGGGCGTATCATCTTGTCTTCCTCGGTGTCTCCCTCTCGACGAGTCCTTCAAAGACGGCGTCACGCCGCTCTGTGATAGTGCGCAGTTCCTCGCGAAGCCGGTCCAACTGCTGACGGGCACGGCCCACATCCGCCGGCAAACCCTCAAACTCGTTAACCTGCTGGTCTAGATGGCGCCGGAGATCGAGGAGCTCCAGATACTTTTCCTCTTCCTGCTTGACTTGTTGGATGGTCGGGTTGGGCACGCCAACCGTCCGCGCCAGAGAAGCGACTTTATCCTGCATCTCGGGCAGCTTCTTGGCTATGGCCTTGACCTTGCGCTGCAGGTTCAGGTTCTGCTGGGCTAGATCGGCTGGGGCGCGATACTGGTCACCGCAGACGTCCTCGAGCAGTTCGTGCAGCCTAGCGGATTCGGACTGGGCCAGGCGCTGAAGGGTTCCAACCCTGGCGACAGCTTGTTCCATGTCAAAAATGCGCGTCTGCAGGTCGATCAAGGCTCGGGCCAGCCTTGCTGGCTCCGGAAATGCCATGCCTAGGTGCCCAGCAGAAGAAGCCATGGCATCCAGCGCCGTCTTGCCTTCTCTGGTGAGGTTGTCCTCGATTGCGGCGTAAAACACGTCCTTCAAGGCGGTGAGATTTGTTGGCACTTGGCTGGCCTCATGACCTACACCGTGGTCGGCATCTCTGGCTGTCGAGATGTCCTCGAGTGCGGTGGCGTCGACTTGGCTGACCAGACGACGATTTTCATCAGACGTCTCGTTGAGAGCAGCCAAGGCGAGAAGGGCCTTGAGGGTGTCTGGATTGCGTTCAAACTGTGGGGGAGTGCGGCCGTCGAACTTGGATGTGAGCCAGCTGTCGACATAGTTCCAGTCTTTGGCGGTGGATGCGGCGAGGCGGGCGACGCTTGGTGAGAAGATGGCTGTGTCGGGCGGAAGTCGGGCCATGGCCATCTGTTCCTGGGTGTCAGACCAGGAACACCCTTATGTCAGTCTGCTAGATTTGCCGAACAATTTGTTCTAGGTTGCAAGGAAAATAAAAGGCGTTGGAACTTGCAATGGACGCGATGTGGTTGGGATGAAGGGTGCACGTGCGTGTGCGCGTTGCTAGTCTATGTACATATCTAGATAGGCGGGACGGTACTGTGCTTGGGGACTTGTGCTCCACATCGGTACCCCAGTCGGCCATTCCCAGTCTACACTAAGTCTTAGCTGGTCATTTGTGGAATTGACAGACAGGTACGGTGCAGGAAGTCTCCAATAGGCCACATGTCTGCATGTACGGAGTACGTACCGTACCGCACCGCACCGTCAGTACCGTCAGTCTACCACGTCCGTGTCCTCTTTCGGATCTAGATCCGGCGCATCGACTAATGAATTCCATAGCCTCGATCCGATCCCCAGCGACACGGGTCAAAAGGCCAACTTTCCCTTTCCACCTACCGCCGTCTCCATTGCTTTCTACTTCGCCATATCCTTCATAAGGACAATTGCCCTGGCACCTTCATTGCCTCGGTGACTGGCCCGATCCATTCTTTGTTGTCTTTGTGTCTGCCTGCTCCTGTGCTTGTTCACTTGTTCAGCCTGTGCCTCACAGCTTCAACTTGTCCGCCTCTCTTCGCCCATCTCCCGCCCTTGCGCAACCGACCGACACAGCACACCCTTCCCCCCCTCCTTCCCACCAAGGCCTCTTTCGTTTCTGCATAAGCGACAGCCATGCATGTTCGACTCTCCACGCTGGCCCTGGCCGCCAGCCTGCTATCGTTATCGCCATCGATAACCATGGTGGCGGCCCTGTCTGCCAAGGACATCCCCTCCGACACTCCCATCTCCGCCCTGCTCAGCTCAGCCCAGCAGCATCTCGCCAGGGGAGAGACGGGCGACGCCCTCGTATACTACGATGCCGCTGTCGCCAGAGACCCCAGCGACTACCTTACCTACTTCAAGCGCGCGACCACCCATCTCTCCCTCGGCCGCACCTCCCAGGCCGCCGACGACTTTCAGAAGTGCCTCCAGCTCAGGCCCGGCTTCGAGGGCGCCCACGTCCAGCTGGCCAAGCTGAAAGCAAGGTCAGCCGACTGGGATGGCGCAAAGGAGCAATACACAAATGCCAACAAGGGCCAGGGCTCTCCCGAGATGGACGAGCTGCTCGAGGCCCAGGGCGCAGCCAAGCTGGCCGAGGCCGCTCACGCAGCTGCCAACTGGGACGAGTGTGTCAACCAGGCCGGCGTGGCCATCATGGTCGCAAACCGCGCCGTCTCCCTGCGGGAGCTGCGCTCGGCCTGCCGCTTCGCCAAGGGGGAGGTCGAGGAGGGCATGGGCGACTTGCACCACATCGTCAACCTGAAGCCTGGCGACACCTCGCCCCATGTCACCATCTCGGCCATCACTTTCTTCGCCCTCGCCGATCTCCAGCAGGGCATGGCACAGATCAGGAAATGCCTGCACTCCGACCCCGACTCCAAGATTTGCAAGAAGCTGCTCAAAGAGGAGAAAGCAATCGAGAAGACAATTGCCAAGATTGAGAAGGCTTTTAGCAAGAATCAGCCCATGACAGGAACCAAGCTTCTGATCCCTTCGGCCGAGGAAGCCGGCCTTATCCAGGAGGTCAAGGAACAGGTGGCAGAACTCCGACAGCAAGGTGTTATCCCCGCAGCCGCGCCCAACTCTCTCGTATCCAAACTCGTCGAAATGGCTTGTCAAGGTTACTATGAGGTGAGTTACCCAACGACGCCGTCGGTGTTGGAGCCCCCTTTCGTGTTGACTGACATCGTCTCGCAGATGAACGGCAAGAAGGCACAAGATTACTGTACTGAATCCACTGCCTTGGATGAGAACTCGTTCTATGGCTTGCTCCACCAGAGCAAGAGAGCGCAGGAGTCTGAGGATTACGAAGGTGCTGTCAGGTTCTTAGAGAAAGCCAAGGAAGTGAAGCCCGAGAAGCAAGACGTCGTCAACCCCCTCCTGCGCGACGCCCAGATCGAGCTGAAGCGAAGCAAGACCAAGGACTACTACAAGGTCCTGGGGGTCGCCCGCGACGCGGACGAGAAGCAGATCAAGTCGGCCTACCGGAAGCTCTCCAAGCAGCACCACCCGGACAAGGCCGCCAAGCAGGGCCTAGCCAAGGAGGCGGCCGAGAAGAAGATGGCGTCCATCAACGAGGCGTACGAGGTGCTGAGCGACCCGGAGCTGCGGGCGCGCTTCGACCGGGGCGACGACCCCAACTCGAACGAGCAGCAGAACCCGTTCCAGGGCAACCCCTTTGGTGGCCAGCCGTTCATGTTCCAGCAGGGCCAGGGCCATGGTGGCCAGCAATTCCAGTTCAAGTTCGGCGGCGGGTCACCATTTGGCTTCTGAATCTAGATCTATGGCGTTTAATACTTTTTTGTGCTTGCATGGCGTTTAATACTTTTTTGTGCTTGCATGGCGTTAGCTGCTGGAGCGGGATCCAGAGGGGGCGGGGCTCAAATAGGCTTGAAATGAAGATATTCACGCAGGGAAAACGATGGGCCGAAGAATATGAAAGCGCCTCGAGAGGGGCGAACTGGCTACGCGTGAGATAGTGCATCAATACGTGTAGCCAACATCAAGTCCACATCATGAGCTGATTCTGGCCCCCACGTCTCATTTCTGTCAACCTTTTTGCCGGCTGGCTGGGAGTCTAAATATCTTCCCGTCACGAAGCCGCCCAGAGACAACGCAGCTGCTTCAAGACGCGGGCCTAGAGACGGGTGGGGTATCAAAACACACATCCAGGGTTCTTTTCATTCACATTGTCAGTGTGGCAGGCAGGAAACAGAACGACAGACGCTTGCGACCCGCTCTATAGATCTAGTAGTACCCGCACATCCATATCATTCATACATTGCAGCCTTGCGATTTATGTACATATAAGGGCGCTTAGCCCTTGCTGAACGCCGAATGAGATCGTCGTCAAAAGACGTCGGCCCAAAGAACGGACGTCTATGATGGCCCATCGTGCACGGGTCGGAGCTCCGGGGCAGGGCGAGGCGGACGGGGCCGCGCAGCAAGCGACGGATGCCGCAGTGATTTGCGGCACAGCCACTGTGGGTTCGGATCGGTGCCGACCCGCTGAAAGACGGTTTTCAGATTCGCCATGTTCCAAGACCTGTCGAGGGAGATACAGGGTGAGAAATTACTTTCTCACACTGGTGATGCCCTCATTACGAATCGTTTGAGCGGATGAAGTATGCCCTGGAGTGCGCAGCTTGTCAGCAAGCCGAAACAGCCCGGGCCACAGGCGTGCGAAAGCGAGGGTGCGTGGATCATAGAAGAGGTTGAGTAGAGAGGAAGAAGGGGGGGGGGGGTGACAACGTAAGAGACACTTACTTTGAGAACTCGTACGCCGACCAGCAAATGGCCGTGCTGGGCATGGTGGTGACGATCCTGGGCCGGACGCCTTTGAAGAAGCCCCTAAACCCCTCTCTCCGGTACAGAAGCTGGCATCCTGCTTTGAAACCGTTCACTGTTCTCAACTCGGAATCCGTAGCTGTGCCCCTGGTCTGGAGCATAGTTTTGATGACATCCATCGGCGTCGTAAGGCCGGAAGCGAAACCACCGGCAACAGCACCAGCCACGCAGTGCGTGAAGGGATCATATTCCTTACTAGGGTTCATGGTGGTGGATATCGACTCGTAGGCGAGAAACTGGAGAGCGGTGAAAGGCACGGTCATGGAGAGCGTGGTCGGATACGAGACATAGAAGGCGCCGAGCCCCTCGGTCCTGTAGACGTACTTGGCGCAATCGAACAGAGACCGGTACATCTTGCTCGAGTTCTTGATCTGCATTCTCTGCTTGATGACTGTTGCAACGTTGTCAGCGGCGCCGTGACTAGCCTCGCCGAGCGGGCTGCAATAGGCCACACATGGGTTTGTCTCGTACCATCAAAAGGATTCATGAGCGCATCACTCGCAATGGTTGCGGCGGCTCCACTGGTGGCTACTGGGGTCAGCTGCTGGATATGCTGTGCGCTCCATAGCGGGACTCTAACCTGCTGCCAAAGGATGGTGCACGCCGGCCTTGTTCCCGCCCATGACGTGTTTGACGGCTTCGTAGGTTGCGAAATATACGGCATGTGCCGGCCCTGCGCCAACGACCACACTCGACATGCCTCGCCACAAACTCAGGACCCCTTCGCCGGTGGCCATTTTGTATGTCCCTTGTATCACACCGTTGTAGACGGCGGTGGGAGACGGATTCAAGACTTGCATTCGAGTCTGCGGCGCATTGTTGGTTAGGTGGGATGATCGACCCAAGGGCTGCGATGGAGGAGCCCCCGCGGGGGCGCACGAACCTTGATAGCATCGATGGGGTACATGACTGTGTGCTCCTGTTGCTGCGGTCAGACTCTCGACTCAAGCGTGGGAAGGGAAGACGGAGAGGGCTGGGCGGGCTGTACGTACGGCTATACCGGCGAAGGCACCGGCAGCCATGTTCTGTAGCAGGCTGAAGTTGGGCGGTAGCGATTCATAGCTGCGGCGCGGCCGAGGGCCAGGTCAGCATGTGTGTGGTACAGGACAGGTGGACATGGGGCGGGCGGTAGATAGCTTGTCGAGCCGTGGTTGAAGAAGCCATGTGAGGGCTGAGGAGCCAAGGACAACTCACTCGTAGTCCTCTTGGTCCTCGACGGGCTCGGCATTGGGCTGGGCCATTTGGGCCGCAGCGGCAGATGCTTCGCCGAAGGACTTCTGGAAATCCAGGTTGGTAATGACGGAGGATCAGGGGCCTTTCGTAGGCGACGGGCGGAGGCAGAGGGCAGAAGTGTCGAGTGGCCAATGCAGGGCGCTGGATGTTCCTAGAGATTGGCGCAAGAGTTCAGCTCGAGGTGTCGCGAGGCGGACGAGGCAGCGGTTGAAGGGGAGCAGGGTGCTCGATATCTGGAGCTCTCGCTTGATGTGGTGACGCAATGCAAGGAGGACAGAGTGCAGGCACAAGCACACAAGTACAGGACAGCTGCCGCAATATAGGAATTGAGAGGAGGGGAGAGAGAGTAGGACGTGGCTCCGTGGGGGAGGGTGCCAGTGCCAATGGCGGTTGGTGGTTGTGATGTGATGGTAATGGATGGCCGGTGAAGAGGATTTCTCTTGACCAATGCAGAAGGTTTGCGCAGAGGCAAATGGGGCGCACGTACGGACGGATTGGATTACTGTGTACGGTAGCACAGCACAGCACAGCACGGCCCAGGCGCAGCGCAGTAGCTAGCTCGTGGACGGGCGGGCAGGCGGGCGGGCAGGCAGAGAGCAGGTCCAAGCCGGAGCAGACGGGAACAGAACAGGTGGGTGTGTGAATTTCTCAAACAGACAGCCAGCCAGCGCCCCAAACTCAGCAGCAGCAGCAGCAGCAGCAGCAGCAGCAGCAGCAGAGCAGAGCAGTGTCGAGGCGAGTCAAGAGCCAGAATTGCCAGAATTGCTCACCTCGGTCAGGCACTTGAGCACTCGGGCAGGTCTAATTGACATTGACTGATCTTTGTCGGGGGCGCGGAGACGCTCAGATGTGCTGTGGACGGGTGGTGGTCCATATAGGCTACTACTGGCTCACAGTACTCATCATATTCTTTCTCTCTCTGCATGATAAAAAACTGAGCTGGGGTGAGCTAAGGCGTTCGTTCCTTCTTCGGAGCACCGCAGACAGGGGTGGCAGGTGAGGGTACGTACCCCCCCAGAAACCCCCCCCCCCCGAAACGGGGCCAGGCTGGGAAACGGACCCTCTATTTTCTCGGATCTGATAAGGAATTCTCACTCGGGCAGCCACGAGCGTGACATGGCACGCATGGCACCCTACACACCACCAGGGCAGTTCCTGCCGACCTGGGGACCCAGTGGACCCGAGGACTCCAGGACCCATGAACCCGAGGACCCAGACTACCTAGACTACCTCTAGGTACCATATAACCATGTACCTGACTGTCCTGCCAGCCTGCTCAGCACACACACACCATGTACTTTGTGTGGTAGAGCAGGGCAGGGCAGGGTACACAGTACAGGCAGAACAGTAGACTACATGCCTTTCCATCCGGCCTCGGTCCTGTCCTCTCGCTCTCCTCGTCCAAATTCGGGTCAGCCAACAAGCCGTCTGCCCGTCTGCCCGTCTCGACAGTCAGCCATCCGTGCCACACACACACCCTTCGCCCGCATGGCCACAGTCACACATGACCCGCCCCCCCCTTCCTCTAACCATGCACACCTTGAAGTACTTACTGCATGGACACATACATGTACACACACACACACACGCAGACACCATGGGTGGTGGTCTTATTGTATAGACAATGTGTTTTTCTATATCTTTACCTGTCCACTCCTCCAACGACTCCCAAACTCCAAGACTCCAGGCCCGCCTGTCATGACACGATCTGAGCACCTTGCTGGCGTCTCACAGGTCGTCGAACCGCTTCCCTGCCCTCAAAGGATAATCACAATATGTTCCGTCCCCTCCATCGTCTCTACTCCGACAAACGCCAATGTCCCGACCCGCCCCGCTATCATATTCGCATGCTATATCATCGCAGCCCCCCCGGCATGTGCTGCAGCTCTCGTTGGAATTGGTACATCATCCCAAACACCCCATCTTCCCTGTCGCCGTCGTTTGTCGCGCTATTGTCGCGACCAAGGGCTTGCGCCGGCGACGCCTGCCACGCAGACTCGTCCAGCCCATGCCCACTCTCGTACGCATCATCCTCCTCGCGCCGCCTCGCCTCGCCCTCATTGTTCTCGCCTTCAAACCCCTCCTCGATGATGTCCTGCTCGTGCCTGCCCTGGCGCGGCCGATGCATGCTCCGGCCCAGTGTCGAGACCTGTGGCTGGTGGTGCGGGTCTAGCAGGATCGACGCCATCGGTGAGAGCGCTGGTGGCCCTCCCGCGTGCCTCGGCCCCCGGCCCGCGTGGGACGGTCCTCCGGGTCCACGGCTTCTGGCCCGTCCAACTTCACTGCGGCCCATCCGCGATGCCGCCATGTCTGCCGCCAGCGTCGGGGACTGCAGGCTGGGGAATGCCGGCGGCGGCTGGAACTGGTTCCGCGCCCCCGGTGGAAGGTGGCCCGGGATCCCCGTCCTGGGGTTGATCACGTAGTTGTCAAGGAACCCGTAGTATGATGCCGCCATCTTGCCATGCTTTGTCGCGTAGTAGTCCTCACGAGTGTCAGTGTCTGCCTTTGGCTTCCCGACGCCCCTCTTGAAGTCGAACTCGGCGAATGAGCAAATGTACCCCAGACCGTCGACGTGGATGGTGAACTCCCGGAAGAAGTCGACAATCTGATCGCTAGACCGTGGCAGGCTGACGGAGAGGATGAGCGGGGCGATCAGGATCCCAACTATCTCCTCCAGGAAAATCACCAGTTTGTTCTTGTACAGTGATGAAAACTCATCCTTGACTGCGGAGCTATGAAGCCCCAGCCCCTGCCAACGGTCCGGCTCGTAGTGAGTGTACTCAATCACTTGCCTCAAGGCGTACTCGGGCTCAAAAACCGTATTCTCCTCTGGGACCATGCCTCTGGCAAAAGCCCACGCACCAGCAAATATCGGGAGATAGAACAGAACCGTCCGGTCAGGCGTGAGCTCGAAGCTCAGGAACGAGTCGGTGTCCACCATCGTCCCAATCATTAGAACAGTAGCAAGGGCCCCGGCGATAAATGTAACGGTCCTCGCCATGCGCGCCGTCATTTCCTTAGGGAACTGGTCCAAGTAACGAGTCGCAAAAGGATATGACATGTTTAGGCGCTCTTGGAAGATGTGGGGAAGCTCGTTGAATTCTCGGAACTTCCATTCGGCTAATGGCGTGTACGCTCGCGTGCCCAAAGCCGAGGGGTTCTTGTGGTATTCCTATGTAACAAGTCAACACTCGAGTCCGATCAGGCTACACCAGGCCAGGCGCCCAGAAGTTTCAAAGCTTACGTGAAAGTAGGTCAGAAAATGCATGACGAACAAGTAGCCAGCCATGAACGGCGCTATCATGAGGGTCATGACTCCAGCGAAGAGGAACCTCGCCCGCAATTTCTGGCTCAACTGGCCTCGACGATCCGACTTGAGAAATTCTTGGTTCACTTGGCCACGTTCGTCGAAGACGTAGTCCATGATGCTAAAATTCAAGGTCCACTCGAGGAGCCGGGAGAGAAACTGGCGCCCACTCAAGAACGGCAAGGGGATGGTCAGGTCTAGGATATCCTTGTTGATCAAAGCGATGAGGAAATTCTCCCTTCGCATCAGGCGGTTAGCGATGTCGTGCGCATCAAGCCTCTCCTTGGACTGGCTCCCGAGCCATCTCCGCTGGCGGGGGGTCAGATGATCGGCCGTCTTTGGGTTCTGGTCCCGGAGGCCCATGATGCGGACCACGACGTCTTGCCACGAGACGGTCTGCATATCGTGTTCTGGGATTTCGAGCAGGTGAGAATAAAAGTCTCGGATGTGCAGAAGGCGCCGAATGTCGAGAGGAATCTGGATGGCTTTCCAGATGAAGTAGAAGACGAATATCCACAGGCCAAAATTCCAAAGCCCGGACATTTTCTTGGTACACTGGGGTACAAGGATCTGGTCCATGGTCTTGCTGTTTGGAATTGTGGCATAATTGACGCATTGTGTCAAGAAGGTGAGGAACGCGACAATAAAACCAACCTCGACCAAATGGAGGAAACGATCCAGGAGAATGCACCATAGGCCGTTACCCCGGTAGTAATCGTAGACGTCCTGCATGAAGCTGTCGAGGTTTGTGACGTTAACCCATCTCCACATAGCCTTCTGCTCGGCCGTCCCAGTAACAACGCTGCCCACAACTCGGTTTGAGCGAGCTCTAGTGTACGGAAGGGCCGCTGAGGAGTTCTCGTTGTGATGTAGCCTCTGCTGATATTGAGTCGCCTCCCACTGGGCACGATTCCTCCTGGTCGAAGGCCCGGGGACGCCATGGGGCCGTGGGGGCGTCGTTGTTCTCGACTGCCGGGTAGCCCGACTCGCAGGATCTGGGGCATTGTTCTCGACCAGGAGTGAAGCGGGGACATCGTTGTCCCCTTCGTCATCTGGATGTGGCCACGCAGTCTCGTGTTCTCGGGAGGCAGGTCTCTTGTTGCGCCGGCGATCCGGGCGAGCATCACTGGCTTGAGTCATCCTGCTGTGTTCGATGGCGAGGGTGTCGGGATCCAAGTCATCTTCCTGGAAGCTATGGTTTAGGTTCTCGTCGTCCAGAGCGAAGCCAGCGCGGTCCTCGATGTCGACATCATCGTGGCGAGAGCGCAGTTCTTCATAGAAAGACCTCTGCTGGCTTGCAGGAGCGAGCCTTGAAAAGAAGTTGGACGTCATTTTTGAAGCAGGCGGTCTTCGCTATGTTTGGCCGAACAGTATCTGTTGGGGGATCATGATAGCAGGGCGGGGGCAGAGGCGGGAGGCGGGAGGCGGGAGGTGGTCGGCGTGCGGCGTGCGGCGGTCGGCATGCGGCGGGGTGTTTACTCTGCTCTTCTCGTGGATGGGGAGGGGCCGAAGGGGTTACGCATCTGGAGATGTATATCGTAGGGCGAGAGGGAAGGAGGAGGGCGTCTCTCCTCCAAAGGGCAGCAGCAGGTCAGGTAGGTGGGTAGGTGGGTAGGTAGGTATGTAGGTATCCAGTAGTAGGCAGCCTATTGCTGCCTGGGTCAGGTGGGCTTTGGGTGTTCTATCACAAGGACGGCAAACAGACGACGTCCAGACAGGTTCGGACCTTGCAAGGCAAACAAGTGACAGTGACCGCAGCTGTCCATGGGGTCTGATGACGCCAGCACCGGGAGCGGTAGGCGGTCAGAGACTCCACACCCCGCCCAGCGCCCTGGAACCTGGAGCTCCAGCTCCCCTTACCCACGCAGCCCCCCCCCTGACAGCTGGCCATCGTGCGAGCGGCGCGGGGGGAGGCCAACCCGCGTCGTCCAGGCTGTCCACTCACTCCAGCCATATTATCGCGTCGATTAAATTAGGTAGGGTCTCGGTGTCCCACCCAATGTTCCGGCCCCTCTACATCGGCAGCTGACCTTTGCGGGTGCCTTCAGTCCCTGTCGCAGGCCGGCCCAGGAATGATGACCTCGGAACCTCCCCTCCCCTTGGGCCATGTCCCAGCCGGTGGGAGCTCTGTGCCACAGACGCCCACGACAGCATCGACCTTCAAGGGCCCAAACCCATTCTCATCCAAGGTCACGACCGTCCTGGCCACCTCTTACGCCGACTCCGAGTTTCGCGGTGCTCTTTCACTCATAGACGACCGCGGCATCACCAACTCTGCTGCAACCCGCCGCCAGGTGCGACTGCAGCTCCAGAAGGAGGTCATCGACAGTAATGGTAACATCATTGTAGAGTTTGGGAGAGTCGCCGATGTGAGAGCCCTTCTCCTTTCCTCATGGGAGAGCCTAGGCAACCCCTCCTAACCTAGCAGTCGTTCTAGCAACTGCGCCGTATAGGTGCTACTATCTCCAAACTCAACAAGAGTTATGATGAAATGAAGACGCACATTTCCGCCGCCCATGGCGCAACTGCTTCTGTCACACATGACGCCTCTTCCCTAATGACACAGCGACGCCAGGTTGAGACCAAGCAACAGGTGCTTGCGTCTTTCAACAAGCACTTCTTGCTCTCAGAGGACGAGTTGTCTGCCCTGAGCTCGACCGCAGAGCCTGTTGATGACGCCTTTTTCACCGTCCTGGCCAAGGCCAAGGGGATACGCAAGGACTGCGAGGTCCTGCTTGGTTTTGAGAACCAAGCACTCGGGCTTGAAATCATGGAGAACACGTCCAAAAACCTCAACCTGGCCTTTCAAAAGCTGTATCGATGGATTCAGCGTGAGTTCAAGACCTTGAACCTCGAAAACCCTCAGATGGGGTCCCCCATACGACGCGCCCTGCGTGTGCTGGCAGAACGCCCCTCCCTCTTCCAAAATTGCCTGGATCTGTTTGCCGAGACCCGAGAACAGCTTCTCTCGGATTCTTTCCACACCGCGCTCACAGGGTCCTCGGCGTCTGGTATCGAAGACCGGTCAGTGAAGCCCATCGAGCTGGTTGCACATGACCAACTGCGGTACGTGGGAGACATGCTCGCGTGGATACATTCTGCAGCTGTTAGCGAACGAGAGGCTCTGGAAATACTGTTTGTTTCCGAAGGAGACGAGATCGCCAAGGGGATCCAAGCTGGCCGCGAAAATGAAGTGTGGCGCTTCATGGATGAGGGCGACGAGGGCGAGGCTGCTGTTTTCGACCCCATCAAGGCTCTGAATGAGCTGGTGGATCGCGACATGTCTGGCGCTGCCAGGATCTTGCGCCAGCGGGTGGAGCAAGTCATCCAGACGAATGAAGACGTCATCCTGGCATACAAACTCGCCAATCTACTGAATTTCTACCGTGTCACCTTTTCCAAACTACTCAGCGCGGCTTCGGTTTTGGTGGAATGTCTTCAGGGTCTTGAGTCTGAAGCACTGCGCCAGTTCCGGTCGCTTATGAGAGACTACGTGGGCAACCTTCAAGGGGAGTTCCAACAAACGCCTACAGGCCTCGAGCCCCCCGATATTCTGCACGAAGCGCTCGAGCAATTATCAGCCGTCATGAAGACGTACGACACATCTCTCACGGCCTCGGACAGGCGGGAAGCTGATTTTCAGCCAATCCTGGCCGAAGCCTTGGACCCTTTCATGTCAGGGTGTGAAAGCATGGCACAGAGACTCGAAGCCCCCTCGGAATGCATCTTCTCCATAAACTGCGCGCAAGCCGCCATCGAGACGATCTCGAGGTTTGACTTTGCTCGAGGGCGCGTGGACAGTCTGCAAAGGGAGGTTGACCAGCGTTGTCAGGCGCTGGTGGACAGCCAGTACCTGTTCTTCAGGAGGGAGTCCGGCTTGGATGTTTTGCTGACGGCGGTTGAGTCTATGAAAGAGACGAAGGAGGACATCGAACACCTGCGAGGACTTGAGCCTTTCCAACCGGGCTCGCTGGAGCTCACAAGCAGAACGCTGGACAACTTCCTCGCATCAGCTCTGATGGATGCTATGGAGAACATCCAAGAGCTGCAAGACTCCCGCCTCGCGCGGGAGATCACCGAAGAGGCAGCAGAAAAGTTCCTCGCCGACTTTGGTCGCCTGGAAAACATGCTCATGTCTGCAGACGAGGCTGCAGAGCGGAAAGGCAGCGGAAGTGGAGCGGAACAGGATGCGGTGAGCCTCCGCATAGCCTTTCCAAGGACGGCCGACGAGATCCGCGTCCTGCTCTCATAATGGCCCTGGGTGGGACCCTGGACGTGTAAAACGAGGCTATTTGTCCCAACTTTATGCGTGATGAAGTAGTGGACAATGCAGGACAGCGCAGAAAGATAGACAGAAGCAAGTAGCAGATGGCGCTGGCCGTGCATGAGTGCTGTGTCTATGTCGCCCGTCTCATCTTCGAATATCCTGTGGCTGTCATCCAGAAATAGGTGTTGTAGGAGCAAACTATGGGCCTCGACGGCTGCATCTGGGGTCAGTCTCCATAAATGGCTGTTCTGGAGGGCTGGGGATGACCCCTGCAAAACCTAGGATCAAAAGGTACCGCGGCACCAGAGGCTGATCAACTGGGACCTCACCTTCGGGTTGGGGGCTGCCTACGTCACCTGCAAGTGGTCAGCCAGCGGCCCGGGGCAGTCAGCAGCCAGCTTGGGTACTTGGGCAGTAGTCTAGGTACTTTGGCGCCCCGTAGCCAGCCTAGGTTAGATACCTGCCTCAGTGTGTACTGTGTACTTATCAAGACAGACCTGATGGGTAATGCAGGTTGGTGGTCTATCCTCGAGGGGCCCAGTCAACTCCACTTCCGTAGACTCTTCGTCCCGCAACGCGAACCACTTGCGCGACCGCATACATTCACGCACAGCACAACGCAACTGGGCACATCCATACATGCTTGCTGGGTACTTATGACACCGAATATCTGCTGTTCGCAAACCACAAACCACCTCCCCCCAAGACCCCACGAATCGGCTCCAGCCTAGCAGACGGCACTCCTCTATCCTGGCTCGAAGAATCGCGTAACCTGCTTCCAGGCGGTTGTCCCTGCAGCTGTCGTGCGTATGCCCACCTCATGAGTTACAACCAAGGCCCGGGGATGGTCTGGACGGCGGCACAATGCTTCGAAACAAGGCTACACTGCCTGCCCTGCAGAAAACATACGATGAGAGCTACCTGACATGTTCTACCGCCGTGTACTATGAGGGCCAGGTAAGCGTCCCCACGGGCTCTCTGCCTGCTGCGCTCCCAATATCCCAAGTACCCGCTCTCTGGTGGCTGCGAAATCAGCTGACGGCTTTCTATCAAGGGCAACGAGAAGGAGGCCATGCGCTGCTGGAAGTCAGCCCTCAGCAACATATACGACCACAACGCCAATAAAGTGCCATCCACATACGATCCCAGATCCGAGACTGAGAGAGCATTGATCGAGAGCCTGAAGAAGCTCGAGTTACAATGCAAAGAGCGCATCGACCTCTTGGAAGCCTTGAGAATGTCCCGTCAAGAGGACGCCGCCAACACCCCAAGAACACCATCAAACGGCAAATTGGTCGAGTATATCGAGCCCTCGGACTTGGAACCAAGAAGCAGTACTCCGGGGAAGGGATGGATAGGCGACGGGACAATCCCTGCTATCACCTACCCCGAGTTGTCAAGGCCAGCTTTGCCGCCGCGACCGGCCTTGAACACTAGAACGTCTTCTGAGCAGGCCGTGGTGGGAGGCAGGCGCACCAGCGCTGAGGTTGGAGGCTCATCCTCAGGGTCGAGGCTGCCAGGCTATTACACACCCTCTTCAAGCAGGCGAACTTCACGTTCGCCAAGCCCCGAAAAGTACATGATGAGGACCACATTGCGCTCGAACAAGTCTGGCGAAAGACCCGCCAAGTCTTTCCGTCGCCCCTTGCCTAAGGCCATCGACGAACCTGGCGCGAGCAGGGCTGCCACACTTGCTTGGAGCGCCCTCGGCACAAGAAATAAGTCATCGCTCGGGCGTGATGCAGACGCTTCTGCAGGCCAGAGCACAAGTCTCCCATCGTTAGACGCCGGTGGGTACAGTTCGAGGAGACAAGATACGTCCTCGCCGACGCGGCAATGGGACAGTCACTCGCGCAGACTAGTCAAACACAGAGATGAGGAGACCGGGGCGGCGGGAAAGAGACGCAGCACCGAGCTGTCGAACACCGTGTCGTGCGCGGAGGATTTGAGTTTCGGACCGTCCGCTCTCTCTGTAAACGCTGCGTCGAGTGCCCTGCAAGGGCCACCTGGGCCCGAGTACCGGGAGCATGAGCGCACATCCCGACATAAATCGGATCGGGCGGCGAGGTTGCAGGCCAAGCTGTTGCGGGGCGATCAAGATCACACACCGAGCCGGTCTAACAGCAAGAGCAGAAGTAGCACAAGCCTCCCTATGCGCACCAAGGCGAGCAACCCAGAACGAGAGCGCGTTTCGAGTCCCAGCTGGGCGGCCAGTGCAAAGCCAACCCCGCTTCGCAAATCAGCATCCGAATCGAGCCTAGAAGGGAGTGATTCTGGCTTTGCGTCCTCGCGTCCGAAAAGACGGGTATCACAAAAGGAACGGGCTTTGACTGCGAACTCGAGGAGCCATTCGCGGTCAAATTCCAGACCAAATTCTAGGAACAACTCGGGAGAGTCAGGCGGAGACGACGCAGCGCCAGAAAAGTCGTGGAAGAAGAGGAAGGCGGAATTGATGAAGAATCTGCCCCCGGGCGTGGACAAAAACGCTGCTAAGCAGATTCTGAACGAGATAGTTGTGCGCGGAGACCAGGTGCACTGGAGCGATATCGCTGGGCTCGAAGCGGCGAAGAGCGCGTTACGAGAAGCTGTGGTATACCCTTTCTTGCGACCAGACCTCTTCATGGGGCTTCGGGAACCTGCGCGAGGCATGCTGTTGTTCGGCCCCCCTGGAACGGGCAAGACAATGCTCGCGCGGGCTGTTGCTACAGAGTCAAAGTCGACTTTCTTCTCCATCTCGGCGAGCAGCTTGACAAGCAAGTATCTGGGAGAATCGGAGAAGCTGGTCCGGGCCTTGTTTGGGCTGGCCAAGGTTCTGGCCCCTAGCATCATCTTTGTCGACGAGATCGATTCGCTCCTCTCACAGCGATCGGGCTCCGGGGAGCATGAGGCAACGAGAAGGATCAAGACTGAATTCCTGATTCAATGGAGCGACCTACAGCGCGCGGCAGCCGGTCGGGATTCTGGGGATAAGGAAAGGGGTGATGCCAACCGTGTACTAGTGCTTGCGGCTACAAATCTTCCCTGGGCCATCGACGAGGCTGCGCGCCGAAGATTTGTCAGGCGGCAGTACATTCCTCTGCCCGAGTCCGATACCAGAGCCATCCATTTGAAGACCCTGCTGGGGCAGCAGAAGCATAGTCTGACGGACGAGGACTTTGCGAAACTCGTCGAGTTGACTGATGGTGAGCACGACACGACCAAGTCTTGACATGCTTAAGCCGGCGGGATGTTTGCTAACCCATGTCGCTCTAGGCTATTCGGGATCTGATATTACTGCACTGGCCAAGGACGCTGCTATGGGTCCCTTGAGGTCCCTTGGCGAGGCATTGCTACACATGACAATGGATCAAATACGGCCCATCGCGTTGGAAGATTTTGTTTCTAGCCTCGCAAATATACGGCCCAGCGTAAGCAAATCGGGCCTCAAGGAGCACGAGGATTGGGCATTGGAGTTTGGGGAGCGGGGGGGTTGAGCTCATCATATTGGGAAGATGCCATTTTGCTTTTACCGTCGCTGAATAGTATCGAGGTGTCAATGTGCCTAGGAGGCTTTGCAGAAATGGGACACAGGCATCAGTCAAGCTGATGAATGCTCCAGTGCCGGACCCATCCTGCTTGGTCCGTAGAGCAAGTCATACCTGTACATCCCATATGATACACATGCATGCGTACATTGCTTGTGTGATTATACACTGTTCCTTCTGTCCTTGAGGGGACATCAACTCGGGCCTGGCCCGGTTGTTCTCCATGCATCACCGCCTCGTAGGCCTCCCCGTTTGCCTCGGCCAACGGCCGATCCGACCGCCCCAAGTGAGCCCGGACTGCTTTGTCTGCCCAGCCACTGCCCTGCTACCCGTCGCCATGCCACTCGCTACCACAGCCTCACGGCGCGCGATAGCCCAGTTCCTTGCCCAGCCGCGTGAGCTCTTCCATCTTCTTCTCGGCCTTGGTCACGGCCTTCTCCATGGCCAGCGCGTGGTTCCTCAGCTGCTTGCGCTCGGCCTTCTTGGCCCGTTCGGCGGCGTGGGCGGCCTCCCTCTCCGCGGGCGTCGGCACGGGCGGGCGCTCCTCGATGGGCGGGCCCCAGGGCGCTATTATGCGGTTGACGACGTGCCGCTTCCACTTGGACGTCCGCCAGCCAGACGATATGCTCACGATATCGCCGGTCCGCAGGGAGTTGTTGGGGTCATGCACCAGGTGGCGCTCGAAGCTTTGGAAGTTCTGCGGCGAGGCGGAGTGGCCGGGCATGTCAGCTGCTGGAGGCCGTGTGGGTGCTCAGAGCACAGTTGCGGGCGGGCTGGAAGGCGGAGGGGCCGGTGGCTTACCTTTTTCACCTTCTTGTTCCACTCTTCTTTTGCTATTTTCACCTTGACCGTGTTGCGTGCCAGCCCTGCTGAGACGACGACCCCGTTCATCTCCCTGGCCAGGGTCCCCGAGGCGGTCCTCGTGACGGTCTTTGCCGCCGCCGCGACGGAGGGCGTCACAGCTGTGGCTGACATTTGCGCGCTGCGGGCTGCCAGTATCGATGGGGTGGTGCTGTAGAACCTTGCCCAGGGCCACTTCGTTCGCTCCGCAAAAGCTTCGACTGGATAATACTGCAGTTATGAGGCGAGTTTCTTGCTCATCGGCTCGCATGCCGTGAGGTCGCGTGGAGGCTGCTTAGCCAGCTTCCAAAATTCAACGGCCTGCGCCGGCTCGGCACCGGCGTAGACCCTGACCCTCATCAAATGCCCGGGGGCCACCCCCATGTGGAGGGGGTAGATAGCTTCCACTTCAACCAAGCCAACCCATCTAGCATGGAATGGAAAGTATGTCTGAAGTGAAGAGAAAACAAGCCATCTGTTGATATCCGCCATGTTCTGTGTGTTCCGTCGAGATCTCTAAGACGCTCGCAGTGTAGCATTCGCCCACACCAATGACGGGTGTTCACTCATTGGGCAATAATTTATCTGTATTTTTCAACTCAGACTCGCTACATACATGTCGGACGACAAACGGCCCAAGGGGCTACGATGCCAGCGAGGCCTCCTTGGTCGCTTTGAGGGCGCTACGAAATATAGAGACCAACAGGTCCGTCTCCTCCAGCCCAAGACTGATGCGGATCAAGTCGGGGTCAACACCAAGACTCGCCGCCCACTCCTGCTCGGCATAATGCGCAAGAAGGACATATGGTGAAGTCAGCGTGAAGTTCGTGCCTAAACTCGGCCCCTTGGCCGTCTCGATGCTGTCATAGAACACCATCGCGTCCACCTTGCGATGGAAGACCACAGAGAGAAGGCCACCGTACCCCTTGCCTGGTATTTTGCACGCGTCGTAGTTTGCCCTGTCCTTGTTGTACTTGGGGTAATATACCGTCTTGACTAGGTCGTTCGAGATCAGCACCTCGCAGATGGCCTCGGCGTTGGCGTTGACGCGATCGATGCGCGTGGCGAAGTCGCGGCTGTTGCGCTCCAGAAAAATTGCGTCCTCGGGCCAGTACGTGTCCTGGAACTCGCGTTGCGCAACAGCCGTGAGCTCGGCGTAGTAGCGGCTCTTGGGGTTTAGGACGGCGCTGCCGCCCATGACGTTACAGTCGCCCGAGAAGATCTTGGTCAGGCTGCTGACCACCACGTCGGCATACGGCAGCACGTTGATGTTTGCGAACGTCCCGATGGTCTCGTCCACGACCACGGCGAAGTCGTACTTGTCCGCCAGGGCGCGGATCCGCCCGAGATTCGGGCAGCTCAGCAGCGGGTTGCCTGGGAATTCGCAGAACAGGCCGAGGAATTTCTCACCAGACTCGAGCCTTTGCTCCAGGTCATCCAGGTCCTTCTCGGATGCGCGGCCGTAGAATAAGCAGCCAGGGCCAAACTTCTGGAGAATCTTCAGAGTGTCAACATATGGAAAGCCAAAGTTGATGCTTTTCTGGCTGCCGCGGGCCCTCAGCAGGAGACGGTGCGTGTTGAATATAGCGTTCATGCCACAGGGGTAGAGATAGATGTCGCGCTCTGTTAGGCCCTTGACACCTCTGTTGCTGGGCTCGGCTTGTGGCAACGGGTGGTTCTTAACATCGACGTCGTGTGTCAGCGTGCCAGCAATGCGTCTCCTGATGGCTGTCTTTGCTCGCTGCACGAGGGATATATCCAGATTCCTGCCAAAGCGCTCCTCGACAAAGCGAGATGACTCTTCCGAGTCGGGCGCACCGGAGCCGTTCCCGTTCCTTGGTGGTGATACTGTCTCGTCAACAGACATGGGTCTCTGGTAGCGCTTTGGGCCCTTGCAAGGCATTTTCCGGAGGGGAGAAGTGGGCGGCTTGGGCGAATCATCTGGCACGAGCAGGCCCTGGTCGAGGAGGCTGCTGCAGAATTCGGCGCGTCGGCTGGAGATGCCATCGCCACTGTGCTGCCAGTACTGCTTTGCGAGGGGAAAGGCTTCGGGGACGAAGAGCACGGCTGACACTGTTGGGCCGATAGGCTTCAGGGGCGCAGCAGATGGGCTCGAGGAGTCCAGAACCAAATGGACAGTCTCGAGCTGCTCCAATGCCGAAACGGGGGCTTTGCCCTTGATGAAGTCGACACATCTCAGCGCGATAGTCTCATTAGGAAACAGCATGGCTGACTGTCCTGGTCGACCGAACTTGTCCGCAATGTCCTGGGCGAGAGCAGCTATACTTCGGTGGATGAAGAATCTGGGATAGCCGGTTGTCATGCTATTCACGACCCATTTTTCGCCCTCTTCGTAGCCGACATTGGACTTCCAAGTAGGCAACGACACACTCACAGCCTATAAGATAAGTGTCCGTTGTCAGCAAAACACTCCATCATCCTGAGCCGTGTCTTGTGTGTCCTGGAACATACGTGGGCTGTGTCCGGGGGAATGGACTCCCCTAATTTGAGGTGTGGCATCGCGCCGCCGGGTCAACGATGTCTTGCAAGACAAAGGGCTGAAGAGGCGGAGTAGACCGGTCTGTTCTGATATGTTCTGATATCAAGGTGGTTACAATTGCCAGGGATCCAGTGAGTGAGTGAGGGAATGGTCAAGCCGTTTCTGCTCAACTGCGGCCGTTTAGTGCGTGTTGGAGAGGCGACTTGATGACTGATCGTAACAGCAATGAGTGAGTCAACGATAGACGGCTGAAGGGTAGTCAGATAGTCATATAGCCAAGGCACAGCAGTGCAGTCTACCGCGGGGTTTGCAACTAGGAAGAAAAATACCCATCCATTCACTGGGGACTCATTTCTCACCAAAAGGTCCGCTGCAATTGATCCACGGCAGATGGCTGATAGATAATTCTCATTCAGTCTCCGCCCCTCCTCAACCCCCGGTCCGGGGCCGTTGTAATTCCACAACGGAGCTAGAACATGGGCCGGCCGACTATCGGAGCCACAATTTGGGGGTGGGCAAAACTTCGGGAGGCGGCACAGTGATTAAAGTCCATTGTTCTCATTTGCACCGCCGACCCCACCCTCCCAATAGCGTTCTCACACTGCAGCATGGCGGTACAAGGTTGGCCGGCATTCACAATTTGCACGGAGAAGGAGTAGGCTGGGATCTCAACAAACAATTACCTAGGACGAGACCAAGTTGGATGCAGGTCAATGTCAATAGTATGGAATCCGGTGGGAGAGCGTTGCGAAATTCACATGACCGAAATATGTCGCCATCCATCATTGCACCATCTATATCCACGCTATGCCCTGCTTGGGATGCGAATATATTCCGTACAAGCAGATCGCTCTGCACCGGATGGTGTATGAGATGTTAGAGCCCTCGGGGGCATCGCTGTCGTCACGAGCATTTTCGTCCTGTATGCCGAATCCACTAATACCCACCTAGCCGTGAATAACAAGGAAAGGAAACCTGAAAAGTAAAAGGAGGGAAAGACAAAGTGTCAGTATCACCCCTCCCTTATGCATAACCAACCCCGGCGACATCCTTGGGTGACCAATTATCAGTGTTCAACCTGGTCTTGCTCATTGATACAACCTCTCACTCCTTGGAATACCCACACAACTGATGCTGTCACTAGGTGCAAGACTCTCCAGGTCATCATCCGCATAGCTGCTCCCTGCACCACTCGCGGGCAGCGGGACACGTCTTGCGGAGACATAGCTATCAGGCCTCCGCGGCGTTGCGGCAGACATCCGGCTGTTCGCCTTCGATGCCGCCCGGGATGCATGTTCGGACTGCGCTGCTGGCGGCCCACGAACAGTGCTTTGTGTGCGATGGCTCGCCGCTGAAACATAGCTATAGCCGTCGCCCTCGGGTACGTCGTACGTACTGCTCCGGCGAACCGAGGGCGGGTGCTTCGACGATCTGGACGTATGTCTCGAGCTGGTGTGACTGCGATGGTCTGGCACCAAGACATCCTCCATCTCGCCCGTCCTTGCACTGGACCTGGAGCTTGCGTGGCTACGGCTGCCAACGTCTGTCAACAGGAGCGGCTTGCGGTTGGTCGATAGCTCGCTGCGCGTGCGGATACTGGGTGCACCAGACGGCCTAGAACGTCGGCTACGGGCGTCGTCATAGTCAACGCCGGCGTCTCTGTTCCCGGCTGGTGGTGCCTGGGAGTATGAGTGCCTTGACATAAGGGTGGGAGGCGGCCGGCGGTCCGCTACCGACGTACCGCCTTCGCGCGGGCTGCGAGAGTCTGGATACGGGCGTGGAAATGTCGACCGACGCTGAGCCATCGGCTGTTCAAAGCCTTGCGAGCCCCTGACTACGCCATACGTGATCCCGGCCCCGAGGGCGGCGCCGGCTGCGACTCCCATGAGAGCTGCCCCGACAGCGCTGAGGCCGTGAGAGCTCTGTGACGGCGATTCCGTGGGGTCCATCGGTTCGAGTAAGGTGGTGGTGGTTGTGACACTGCGGCGCAGAATGGAAGGGCGCTCATCGTACCGGCCGGGCTGCCTGGGTGACACCAGACTTGGCGAGGCCGGCGCGAGTGGCGCAAAAGACATGCTTGCGGCCGAATCGCAAGCAACGTCGTAATTCCAGTGAAGGATGCGACTGGCCTCACTATGGGTTGATTGGGTCTTCCTGACGGTCGAACCACCATACCATTCCGGATAGTCCTGCACTGGAGGCACATATACAACCTCCATCTTGATAATGTTGCCGTCGAGGTCCGTCTCGGTGGGATCCGCGCCAGTCTTCGACTGCACAAGCTCTGCCCCAAAGGATGACTCTTCAGGCTCGGGGTAGTCGCCAACTTGTATGGCGCCCGAGTCCACTCCCTTGATTCTCTGGACCAGCGCCCGGAAGTCCCTGACGGCCCCCGGAGAGGCTGCAGAGAAGACGATACGCGAGAGCTTGAGAGGCCGAGCTGAAGTCGGCCTAACCTGGCGTAGCTCGAAAACTGGCAGCGGGGGCAAGGTGGCTATGCCGTAGACGATGGATGGCGAGCCTGGTATGTCAGGGGAAGGACTGGCTGCAGAGATATACCGCAGGCCCAGCGGATGGGTGACTGTTGAGTAGAAGGAGGATGAGGCAGCAAGATTGCTCACCTCAAGAAAGGGGAGCATCGAAGACATGTACGAAACAGCCCGGGCAGGGGGCCTGGCTGTTGAAGTACAGGGGACAGTGGAGGGTGGTGAAGGGAAAGCAACGCTCAGACTCGGGCAGCCTTGCACGGCGCCGTACACTACAGACTCGGCAAGGCGAGACGAGGCGAGACCAGACCCTGGACTTGTGGCTTGGGCGTGGTAGAAGCTGGAGGCAGCAGTGTTGCCTGCGTGCCCCTCCTACAGCACACGTAGGGGAACGGCGACAACCACTGGGGCGAGGGATGGGGCAAGCGTCGTGCTGTATGCGTGTAGCCGCCGTGGACGCGCCTATTGTGCTGGGATGTGCTTTGACAGAGGAAGAGCAAAGATGCAGAAATGGCCAAATGCGGAACAGCAATGAGACTATGGACTACATAGTAGGTATGTGTATTTATATGAAGCCATGATAGGCGATGTTACTGTGAACAGATGGCGAGGAGACGAGGCGAGTGGCAGGTTGCGTATACTGTACACAGCACAGCACTGTGCTAGGATCTTGGACGGGAGTCGTGTGTCCCACTTGGTCGTCATGGCTGAAGCGGCTGTCGACACCGACATTTGAGGAGCGAGAATAACTAGCTTGATAACTCGCACATACTGTAGACAGACCACGTAGATCAGTCATAGTACATAGGCGTAGGTGTGTTGCGTGGTGAGCGGTACGAGTCGAGTCAAGTTGCTGGCAGCACGTCAATGGACGGCCTGACAGCACGCGGCCAGAGATGCTGACCTTGACCATTCAATGTGGCAGAACCCTTTGGGCCTCTTGGGCCTTTGGGCCTTTGGGCCTTTGGGCAACTGGAGGAGCTGACGGCCCTGGCGGCTCGTCTGGTTTTTGCAACAGCACGACTGCCTCGTTTGGATAGTGATCTCGGTCTAGGGGGGCAGAGCCGGCCGAATTGGAATCGCAGGAGCTGCAGCGAGGCGGACGTGGGCCGCGCTTGCCATCGAAGCGGATGATGTTCTGGTGCCCAACTATGCCGGGGCTCTGCAGCAGATTCCTGCAAGGAGGGGCGCGTGGGGTGTGAGGCGATGCGAGGTGGTGGGTGGTGGGGACGCCCGGGGGAGGTTGTGCGATGCATAGAACTCAGTAGAGCACAGCTCGAATGCGGCTTGCAGTTGGACAATAAGTCATCTCGGATGGCTGGCTGGCCATGGCTGGCCAGGAGCGATGGAAGGGGGCTGCATGCTGCAGGAGCCACTCGGCAGCACTTTACTCTCTACACTTCTTCTGCTCACGTCTACTCTACCCCCTCCTGACCCTCCATGCCGCCTTTAGTCTGGGCATTTTCACATAATCACATTGCATTCACATTCCATCCATACCTACCTAGGTCGGTATGTCTTCTCGTGGTAATAGGCACCTTGGTCACCCAATTGGCCGTGATATCCAAAGGGTCGGCCATTTACAACAGACACGGCACGCACATGCGTGCGCGCGTACACAGTACAGTGTATAGTCCAGGTTGGCCCCCCCCCCCCCCAAGCCATCACCACTGGCAACTCGAGGCTGGCACTAACCAACGAGCCCCAAGCCGTGCGTGGCCAGGGACGCTGGCCAACCTGACACTGTCGCTCGACCGATTCTGCTGTGGACTGACCGGCCGAGTGAGGGAAGACACGGCCACATCTGATTGATCCGTCTTGGGTCAGTGTTGAGCAGCCAGACCCGCTCCTGACAAAGTCTGGTGGCTGGCTGGCTGCCCACGCCATCTTCCGAGAGGGCAGCCTCACTCTCGACCGGAGTAGCCAAGCGGAACAGCGCCAAACGAGCCGAGTCTCCGGGACATTTTGTACTCTGGGACGGGCAGCTGCCATGCCTTCACGACGAGGAGGGAAAGGAACCCACTGAGTACGGCACATCTCTCGTGCTCTCTAGTTTGGCCGTTTTTGACCTGGTCTTGCGATTACTGTGATGTTCACACGGCCCACCCGGTGGTGTTCAACCAACGTACATGGAACGTACAAGACTGTCCACCCGCAAGCAGTCATCGTCCCATTCCCTCTTACGTCACGTCGCATTACCTCGTGAACCGCGCGAGTGGTCCCGCAAGTGAATGTATCCTCCCCTCTCCAACTAGACACGATCCACATCTTGAAGCGCGGGCCCCCATTCGATTCGGCATCCAGCTTGTTCTCTACCATCTGCCACCCTGTGTCCTATGTCTCCTGTCACGGCGGTAATCACCACGTGTGCAATTCAGTGTAAGCGGGCTTGCTGGCCAACGCCCTCGAGTCCAAGCAAAGAGTGCACAAACGTCATCTCCAAGACTGGTTCATCACCAGCTTCTTGTATTAGTAGGCTCTTATTTGTCTGATTCACATCCAAGTCCACCTCTTGCATCCTGTGCGCTCCTTCCCGAGCTTCAATCCTTGAGCCACACGCCCGGCATTGAAGCCTGTACCAGTCCAAATTTGGCTACTCGCAGCGCGCGCTAATCATACCTTTCCAGCCTGCGACAAACTCAGAGACTGCTGGCTGCAAGCCTCCAATGGATGTCTTTGTAAGTCACGTCATCACCAGGCACTTGTCCGGGAGAGGTGGTGAAGGACATCGCGGCAGCACTCTGCCTGATTCATGCACAGACGAGCAGAGGAATCCCGAAATAAGAAAACAGGGGGGGAAACGCCTGACCAAGTTGAAGTGGTCTAGACAAGCATTAAACAATGCTCCTGGATCCGGTGTTGAACGCACTTGTTTTGGTTGTAAAAACAGCGACAGTGTAAACACAGACGACCCAAGCTACGTGGCGCATGCCCCACCGTCGTCGCCATGTTGTGATAGCTAGTACGGCGGAGCAGGCCCTTCCCTGCCTCCGAGGTCTCCTTGATCCGTCTCTTCTTTCTCGGCCTTTAGGTCATCGACACGCACCCCGCACGTTGACCCGGGCCCTGCCTACAAGCGCCGCGGCGCCCCAGGGAAGATGGAGCTGTTCAGAGCACGTCCCAAGCGTCCTCGGCGGCATGGCAGAATTTGCTGCAGGCGACACTGGCGGACAAGCTGAAGTTGCTGATTGAGATTTTCTCGTCCACGTATGCGTCCGCAAAGTTATCAGGTCCTTTGGCCATGGCGCCAACGAAGACGCAGATGCTCTCGTCCGACTCGAGCCCGTCGATGTAACTTCTCACGTGTGTCACAGGCGCATCAAAACTGAGGGTGACCTTGCGGCACTTGGGAGGGAGGTGTTCAGTGATGGGGTTGTTGATGACGCGGAGAAGCTTCTCCTGTGAGTTGGTCGACCTGATAGATAAGCGGTGTAGCAGCTGGACCATGAGACCGGCAAACCGTTTGAAGGTACGGGGTATGCGGACCGAGGGCGAGACCTCGATCAGGACGCCTTTGGCGGTGGATATGTAGATCTGGAGCCTGCCTGCCTTGTTGATAGGCGAGTCGAGGAGGGTGAGCAGACACTGAAGACGAGAGAGAGCAGATTAGTACATGACCAGCATGTTGAATGCAGAGCGTCAAAGCAGATGAGGTTCGTGTTGAACGCCAACCCCAGCGATTGGTTGTGTAAGGTGGGGTTGGAAGCTTCAGAGGGAGAGGTCGAACCTGGTGTGTGATGTCGGGTCTTGCTTCGGAGATGTCGCGGTTCATCTTGCGCATGATACCAATGTGCTCATCGCTGTTGAGAAGAGAGTACTTGTCCTCGCGCTGGACGCCCATATGGCCGGGTCGCGAGTGTGAGGATTTGTAAGTCTCGAGCGAGGCGTGCGAGAGAACGACAATCAGGCGCTTTGAATCCTTGTCGGTTGGCGGGATCGCGACATGCTGCTCGGCGACCAGCTGGGGCAGCTCGGGCGGGGGGAGTGACTGGGTTCCTGCCATGGCAAATAAAATAGGTTAGACCGGCGATTGATCAAGGTCCACGAAAAAGGAGAAGAAAGCTGATGTGTATTGCTCTGGCTGTGGCTTGGTTGGGGTGAAAATTGCGTAGGGCGTACGGTAAACGGATGGCATGTTGTGGGCCAACGACCTGACACGCGCGAAGCGGGTGGGGGAAAAGTCGAGTGTGGGCGGAAGGGCGGCGGAGAAGGGCAGTGGCAGAAGGCGCGTTCGGCCCTCACACTCCAACTGCAGCTCCCAACTCAGCGTGTCTCCCTGATCCAAGATGCGGATGCGAGGGGCACAAAGTTCATTTGATTGTAGGTGTGAAGGACGAGGGTTTGATAATGCAGGGGAAGATGGGCGCAAGACAGCGGCAGGACTTGGGAGAAGAGATGGTCTGGTCTGCTCGTCACATGGAGTCACATTCTGGTACCACTGACGACTGCGTCGGTGGCTACACAGGCTCGAGTATTTGTAGTTCGTGACGGCGACGGCGAGGGTGATGCATCAAGACATCACCAAGGGCCGGGGATGACGCCGAGTGGCGCTGATGGACAGAGACATGAACGAGGACGAGCACGAGCACGAGCACGAGCATGCCCGAGAGGAGAAGTGAAGCAACTTACGAGGTCGTTTGGCACGCCGGTTCGGAGGTGGTGAAGCAGACATGGTGAGAGGAGTATGATGATGAAGATGATGATGGTGATGATGATGGCAATGAGTGGGCGAGTGGCTGACTTGAGAATGGATGTTGTCACACTTGAGAGACGGACGAGGGAGGAGAAGAGTGTTGTCGTGATTAAAAGGCACGTTTGCAGTGCTCCACTAGGTGGGAGAGCCACTAGTGAGCAGTCAGAAAATCTAAACGGCGGGCGGAAGCGGGGAAGAAGACGACGCAGCGCATTCTAGACCGGCTGACATGGCTCGGAATAGGCTCCGAACTAAACGATGACTCGGGCAATAACCAGCTCCGGCTGTACGGACTTGCAACGAGTAATTGGTCTATCTAGAGACCACTGGAAGAATGTCTGAGACCACCGTAGACTAGACTGACTGCAAACATTTCGGCGTCCGAGTGATTGTGCATATTCCAGCCGCCAGCCCATCTATTCGCCGGATCCTCCGGGTCATCTTTACATCCACCTGCATAACCTCCGCAACTCCATGTGGGAGATCGGCTCCTGTCGTGGTCCAAATTCGACGCCAAGAGCCCCCACCGGGTCATTCTCCCTCTTCCCAATGCGCCTGACTCGGGACGCAGACGCCGACGCCGCTCTTGCTCACTCGGGGTCAACTATCGCGCAGCATTCCACGTACAATACTGTATGGAATGGAATGGAATGGCCTGGCACGGCATAAAAGTCGAGGCCAAGACCACATCAGCAATATTGCAACAAGTGGTATGGCAAGGGCTCGGCCGGTCTAGCAGGGTGCGGCAGCAGGTGGGCGATGATACAGCGTACCCGAAACCAGAGTCCGTCCGGGCACCGGCGCGGCACAACACCCACCGGGCAGATCGTCCACCTGGGTAGGAAGTGATGACTGGCCTGCTGACACACTGACTGACTAGACAGACGAGACAGACGACTGTATTTCATCGTACCGCAGGGGAGGGGACGGGACGGGAAATAGCGAGGACGAGGCCCACTTTATTGCTGTTGCAATTATTTACCCAAGTAGTGCCAACGGTCTGTCCTTTGTTCTGCCAGGCCCGTCTGTGCCTGCTGTGGCGGAATGCAGTGTGGACACAGCAGGGACCAGAGTAAGCGCAGCCTGACCTTGTCTGGGGGCAGTCGGATGGGCCAGCCCTGCTCTGCTGTTTTGATCGACGTTTCGTTCTCGTCGCATCTTGGCGACGACCAATCCGGGGCCCACAGCCGTTGTTCAGACGGGCAATTCTCCTGCCGTGGCTTGGGATGGAATCCCGATCCCCTTCCATTTCACTAAAAGTTTTGCAGCCTTGTCGTGCCGTGGGTGCCGTGGTGCAGCACGACACAGCAAGTATCTCCGAAGTTGTCGCCGAATCGACAGCCTGGACCGGCCGGCCTGGCCTCGCATGGAGACTGGCTTGTCTACAGCATTGCTCAGGCTGTTCCATCTTGCCATATGGCAATGCTTGGCCCAAGGGTCTGCGAGGAGGCGGCTGACAGCTGCCATCTCGTCCTCGATTCCGGCAAACTTGATTATGTGAATGTTTCAGACGAGGCGCCCGCGCCTACAGCCTTGCAGGCGCGCGCACGTACTCTGCTATACTGTACCGTGCTATAGATGTGGCTTGCAGGTGTGAGCACGTTCGCTCTCTCTCTCTCCCTCTCTCTCTCGCGGATTGGGCAGAGAGGAAGTGCAGCCAAGAGTCCCTGTCCAGGGGGCGCGACGGTGACGATGAACTCTCTTCGGCTTGTATAGAGGGCTTCTCGGATTACTTAATCTTGTCGAGGCTGTCAGGGAGAGGAAGAGAAACTGCCGTGCATGGCGCCCTTCGAAGTGGTCGTTTCGCCAAGACGAAACCATGGCGTTGTTTTGGTCAGCCGGCCTGAAGAGGCGCGCATGCCGACATGCCTGCAGACTCGATGATGGGGGCGTCATGGGTTGTGATCCTGACTTTGTGTTTCCCTGGTGTGTCGTTTCGCAACGTGAGCCCTCTACTCCATTGTATTACGCAGTATAGAGATCTTGGTTATGAATCAATCATGTCTTGGCTCTGGGGACGAAACAAGGGCTGGTGGAGACTGCAGACTGCAGTCCCAAGGCGCGGGCAAACACCCAAGCAGAACAGACAAGCTTATTTGAAATTGGCTTGCATTTTCCGAGGGCTGGGCGTGATGCCAGACGTGACTGACTTTCAGACCTTGGTGCTTCATCCGAATTGAGGCTCCGACTTGCATTTGGCAGCCCTGCGGACAGGATGGTGGGCCCAGCATCATGGATGCAGTTGAGACGGTAGTTTTGGCAGTGGCTGCTGACATGAATGGACTCAGGTACTGTGTGAGGGACACAAGGTAGGCAAGGAAGGCCAGGAACACCAGGGACGGGATCATCAGGATGACGCTGAGGCTGAGGGGAGGGAGGGAGGCAAGCTGGCTGGCTGGCTGGCTGGAAGGGTGAAAGGGTGAAAGGGTGGAAGGGGGTGAAGGGGGAAAGAGGACAGCCCTGCAGCGTGGGGTCGCGGGTTCTCTAACAGATGCCGTTTCGGCGGCCCACGATCAGCTAGATGGTGTAACTCGCCGGCCTGTGAGCCAGTGAGCTGGGGAGACCCAGAGATTACGGGCCCGAGTCAGCCTGGAGAGCCCAAACCTTGAAAGAAAAGAATCCGAAAGGGAAAAAAAGATTTGTGCAGATCGCCGTGGGGTTTTGGAATACGTACTGATACTCATGCTCACCGTGATGATCCTACTGTACTCCGAGTGTCATGGCATGGGTCTGGCAGGTTGAGCGATACTCACCACTACGGTTGTGCGATGCCAAAGTACTGTGCATTGCCAGTAAGTTCCAACAACAGGGGTGCAGCCTGGAAGCACCGAGTTGACAGCCTACCTGATGATAAAATGTCATGTATGGATGGCAGGCAGGCAGATAGACAAAGTACAGACGAGATGGTCTAGTCAGGACGAGACAGGGCAGCCGACACGTCCAACGTCTCTCGATCCGATGGCAGCCCCCGTGCCCCCCCGGTCTGTGCCAAGCTGCCACCGCTGTGGTAAAGCTGTGCAGGGAACAGGGACAAGCAGTACAGTAGTGTAGTAGTACCCGCTTTTGATTAGAGCCTCCTCAGACACCGGACGTCACCTCCACCCTCTTTGCACCTGTTCCACCTTTTTCCACCCTGCAGCATTGGGACATCCAAACTCGAGTTCGGGCCGGTACTTCTCTGCCCCATACTATCTACTGTGTATTCTGGTCATGGTGCCTGGTTCGTGTGGGTACTGCATCGGCATGGCATGGCATGGCATCGCATCTCATCTCATTTGTCCCATCTCCATCCCCATCTCCATCAGTCGCCCTGCACCACGAGGGCTTGCTTGCATGGACACTGTGGGGATGTTTTGCCGCCCAAAGAGATAAACTTGTCACGGCCATCATCATCACCTGCCATCTCAATACGCCATCTACTACTACATACAGTACACTAGAGACATCTGCGACGCGGGCCTTGTTCATCCAACCTTAACAGCGCCAAGCTTTTCGGCTCTGGGGGCGCTGCCCCATTGGCTTCCAAGCCTCGCGTAACTCTCTCTCTCTCTCTCTCTCTCTCTCTCTCTCTCTCTCTCTCTCTCATCTACCTAAACTACAAATCTGTCATGTCAACAATGAATGGATAGCTATGTCTCCTAGACGGGGTCATCTGTTTCCGTGGCCTTCTCCTGCCCTCGAAATCAAACCCCTAGCGAGATAGTCTCTCTGAATCCTGCAATCATGAATACCGCGGCATCATCGCCAGTTGCAGCCGTCCTGGGACCGATTTGATGTTGTACCTCTAGACTTGTTTGCCTATTTCCCCCCAGCACTTGGTTCAGTGCGGTACATACTCTCGGACGTCTAGGCATCTTCCAAACCAGCAGGGCTTCATCGGCCTCGCACAGGGCCGGGCACACGTCCATGGGTCAGGTACGCAGGTACGGTGCCTGTGCCTCCCCCACACCCCTGCCCACACCCCTGCCGGCGGCCGGCTTGGCTCCTGCGACGACATCTTCGTCGCATGAGGTTTCACCTCGAACGGGATCTTCTTACCCTGCCATCACTTTGTAGAATCTCCTTTCGACAGCCGGCCATGTCCATGCCAGACATGGTGTTCGTCTCTGGGCCTTCCCGGCCGTGCCAAGCACTTCCCGCCGCCGCCTGCATCCCATATATCAGCTTTCTTCCTCGGACGGCCTTTCAGATGATTTCTTCCCCTTCCTGCCGCTACTTTGACTGACGCAAACTTCTTTTCGCTCTCTATACTGAAGTTCTTGCAAGTCGAGACTACCGACTCACGTTGATCGTGGTCCAACTCACCTAGTACTTTCGTAATTGTCTTCTTCGCGTCGGCTGGTCTTCGCGTCGACTGGTCCCTTACATTCATTCTCTTGTCCTCGCTTCTTTTACACGCTCCCTCACGGCACCCGAGAAACAATGGTCTCCAAGACATTCCTTAGCGCTGCGGCGCTCTTCACCCTGGCCTTTGCGCAGAACAATAAGGGCGGCAACAACGGTGGAAACCAGAATGCTGGAAACCAGGGCAATGGAGGCAACAACAACGCGGCCGACTCGACGACATTGAGCCAAAACGCGATCCAGAGCGGCTCTTTCTCGGATGGATCCCAGGGTCTCGGAGCTGAGGATGGACAAGCCGCTTCTCTGACCTCGCAGAACAACTTCATCAACGAGTGCGCTGGCAAGACCCTCACCAACGGTCTTCAGATCACGGACGGCTCGTGTAACGGTATCCGTAAGTAAAGCATGCGCCCCTTTCGTTTTCCCCCGAGTCCAACCCTCATGTTTGGCTGATTGGCACGACAGCTATGGGAAACATCCCCGCCAAGGCCCAGATGATCTCGTCCATCATCACCTTCCCTCAGAACGGTGATAGCGTCCCGGCGCAGCAGGATTTCACCATCTCTGTCCAGACACAGAACCTCGAGGCCGGCTCCTTCACCAACGCTGATGCGACCTACTATGCCGCCCCTCAGACTCTGAACGGACAAGGGCAGGTTATTGGGCACACCCACGTTACCGTCCAGGACTTGGGCAACTCCCTGAACCCTAGCCAGCCCCCAGACCCGACCCAGTTTGCCTTCTTCAAGGGTATTAACGATGCCGGCAATGGCAAAGGCCTTCTCTCTGCTGATGTTGCTGGCGGTCTCCCCGCCGGAAACTACCGTCTCTGCACCATGACTTCTGCTTCCAACCACCAGCCTGTTCTCATGCCTGTCGCTCAGCGTGGGTCTCAGGACGACTGCACCAAGTTCACCGTCACCAATGGCGGTGGCAACAACAACGCCGGCAACAACGCCAACGCCAACGCAGGCCAGAACGCCAACGCCAACGCAGGTCAGAACGCCAATGCCAACGCAGGCCAGAACGCCAACGCAGGTCAAAACGCCCAGAAGGGCCAGCAAGGTCAGCAGGCACAGCAGGGACAGGGCCAGCAGAAGCAGAACGGTCAACGGACACGTAGACTGGCCACCGATAAGCGCAGCCGGCTCGCCCGCATCGCCACTCGTGACTTCGTCGCCTGAAGGCGGATGGGGCAGGGACCAGTTCTATGAATAGCCGTGTCGAGAGGACATGGGTCCTGGACGACATGACTGAGTCTTGTCTGTCACTCACCTTTGGGGGGTTGGTCGCTTGGTGATTTTGGGGGTTGTTGTGTCGGGGGGCCGGTGGGTGGTTGGTTTGTACCGTGCTAGACGCGAGTGAGAATGATAATGGTGTACATAGAGTCGGTAAGAGAGGTGTGTACGGCAGCTACTTCACGCTTGAGACGGCTGCTTATTCTACGATGATTATTTCCTTATACTCTTCTTAAACTAATTCATGAATACGTTGGTGTCTATCCTGTTTGTGCACCCCGCGCAGCAAGCCCAATGATCCTGACGGATTGAAATCAACACATTTTATTAATCCTAACAAAATAAGGCCATGAAAGCTGTTGGAAGAAGGACACTCGAGCAGGAAGGAGCCCAACCGCCACCTCCCGCTCAAGCACCCGGCTCCCAAAGCACACCCAAAAATGCAACGAAATGACAGACACGAACAGGCATACCACCCCGTTCTCCATGGAGTTATTGAAATGCCGACCAATTGACTGATCAACAAGCCATGAGACGGCAGTTGACCAGGCCGGATCCATGAATATTCGATGCCCTCCAAGCGCCGAGGACCTGAGACAGAGATCGACGACAAGAAACGCCCACATATGTCGGGTGATCCGCCGTCCGAAAAAAACACACGCGTCAACGCCTGGTATCAAGCCTTACCTAGGATTTTTATCTCGATTTCTTATTCTTGACCCCTCCGCGTCACAATTAGATGGCCACGGCAATCCTTTCTGGGCGCTTAATGCAGCATTCGTGAGCGATCGTCTAGACGGCGTTGTAAACGTCATCAGGGACGCCGGTTGCTCGGACGCTAAGGAGGCGTGGATGAACCGTCTAGTGGCTGTAAGTGCGGCTCTTGTAACCAACCCAAAAGTAAGTCATGGGCTGCAGGCGAACAGATATATCCCTGAACAGTTTCGGATTGAGTTCGCGCTGCCCAATTGTGCCAAGCCCGGGGAGAGGTTTTGTTCTGTTTGTGCTCATGTCATGATTTTGCAAGGTGTTTTGAGAGCGAAATATCTCGTTTGTGATCCACTTTTGAGCTGAAGTCATTTGTGGACATTCAGACGAACAGAAGTTGGGACTACCTCATCTTTGCAAGTTATCTAGCATTGGAACAGGGGTAATGCCCCCCACAGAGTTGCTAGACCGCTGCTTTAAGCATGAGGCACGCACCACGGGTGGGACTGCAGTAGTGTGACAGCAGAGACATTGGACTAGACATCAAGTTCGGATGGCCGCAATATACGACTCAGATATAGGACGATGATCTCAAGCGCGCGTGAACTCCAGCAGAATGTCGAGCGGGCAAGATACCGCCCTCTCATTCTCCATGGATTTCAATTCAGGCTTGTGTCTCTTCACAGTACGGTGATCGCCCATCGCTCGTTGCTGAGTGGGCTAGCTGGCATGCTGCCTGCGATGGAATATCGAAACTTCGCAATTCTTTGTCGTCCCCCTTGCTATGGCAACATTATAGCGACTCAAGCCGTCTGGTGTGCGGAATGTTGTGACAGAGGGCCGAGTATGTAGTCAGTCAATTCTCTGACTGCCTCGTCATGACTTCGCATTATTCTTCGCAGCAGCATTCGCCACCATAAGCAACGGCCTCGGCGCATCCATCTTTGGCATGTGCAATTCGACAAATTGCAGATTCCTCGCCTCGTTGAATTCCCTATCCGTCAATAGCCTGTTCAGCTCTTCCTTGGTCTTCACGACGTGTGTCGAGACCTGCTTCAGAGACGCCCCGAAGGCCGCAGGAGTATCTTTGAACTTCCATGGTGAGATATCGTTGTACTCGGCATCAGCGCCGTGGATGAACCGCTCGATGGTATATCCCTCGTTACATATACAAAAAAGTGTGACGCGCAAGTTGTGCTTGATCATCGTGCTGACCTCCTGCGCCGTAAGCTGGAAGCTGCCATCGCCCACAAATAGTACAGTTCGCCTGTCGACACCCGCGTCTTTTGCCGCGAGCGCAGCGCCCTGACAAGCACCTACGGACCAGCCGATCGATCCCCATAGGGTCCTGCAGGATCTAATCAGCTCCGTAGAATTGCAGAACAAGTTTTGTACACATTGGTAACTGAAGGGGAAACCTTCTTCACAAGGCCAATCTCACTGGCTTCAGCCTGGCAATTGGCTTGGAAGCAACCAGCGAGATAGCCTGTGATGTTGCGAAAGACCATCCACCAGGAGTTGAGAATGATTTACCGAAAGCTACTCACTGGTTTAATGCGGTAACGTCCTTTGGGAACTTGGTTTCCCAGATGCCAAAGTTCGCCGTACCCGTCTCCGTTATGACGATGTCACCTTCAGTCAGGTATTCGCCAATCCGTGGCCATAGCCAGTACTGGGTAATCGTATGCGAGCCGTCATCATTGGCGGCGACCTCATTCTCCACCCTGGGGGAAGGTGATGCAGAGAGCCTTGTGGTGTCGACCGTATCGATGATCCTCCGTAGGACGCCCTTCATGGTCACCCCTGGATACTCGGAGTATCGTACTGTGCAATGGGTGCTGTGAAGGTCGATAGTATTCAGTTGTGACAGCCGGTACGAGAATCCCGCGGTGTTGAGATCACTCTACGAAAGGCATCAATTAGCCTGGCCCAGAACACATGCAGTCTCAACGGAAGGGTCTACCTTGAGAGAACCGATACTCAGGACTAGGTCCGCAGCCTCTACGGCCTTTGCAACGTTCGGATGGGATGCGTTGCCGGCGTAGATACCTCCGTAAGTCGGGTGTTGCTCGTCAATAGCTCCTTTACCCATAGGAGCTACGAACACTGGAAGGCTTGTTTTGTCGAGCAGCTGGTGGACCTCGCTCACAACACGATGACGGATAGCGCAAGCGTCGACAAGAATGATGGGATTCCGGGCCGCATATAAGTACTTGAGGATCACATCAACAACATACGCCTCTTTGTCAGGGTCATTCAGTGGGTCAGACAAATCGATAGGTATTTTCAGGCGGGATCCCTCAACCTTCTCTTCGATCATGTCTGAAGGCACCATGATGTACACTGGCTTACTGTGGATCCAGCACTCGCGAATAGCAGTATCGATCTCAAGCGCGATCTGGTTCGGTTGGTTGAGCTTAGCGACGTAGCACGAGATCTGGCTTGACATGTTTTTGAAGACGTTGAAATCTCCATTGCCAAGTGTGTGATGAAGTAGCAGCCCGTTCTGCTCCGATATAGTCGACGGGCAGCCAACAATGTGGATAAGAGGCACATGTTCCGCGTAGGCCCCTGCTATCCCGTTCAGGGCGCTGAGTTCACCCACACCAAAGGTGGTCACGAGGGCAGAAATGCCTTTGACACGAGCGTACCCATCTGCGGCATAGGCTGTGGAGTGGGTCAGCTACAATCACCGCCCATATTCTCTGAAAAACAACACTCGCCTGCGTTAAGCTCGTTCACGTTACCAACCCACTTCAAGCCGCACTCTGAAATATAGTCGAGGGAGGCCAAGTTATAATCACCAGGAAGACCATGAATGGACCTAATACCCACTTGATGCAGTCTTGTGAAAAGGTACTTGGCCACATCAACAGGCTCTTCGAGGCTCTCCAGCCTGTAATCGACGGAACCCATTCTGTACTTTCCGAAAGAGATCAAATGAATAGAGAGAGGAGTCTGAAAGCATCTGAGGTGATGGATAAATAGGCTTCACTTGAGGCCTTCTCATGTCGCTTGACATGGAAAACTTATATCGTCCAAATGGGCCGGCTAGCAGCGGCGACGACAAGAAAGGCTTCAGAAGGACGCAGGAGAAATCTCACGATGCCGAGCACTGGGTCTCTACGTCAGACCACCGACATGACCGAGCGGGCCGATTCCACATGGCGGAAAGAATTCCTCGTGCTTCCTGGTTGACGAGGCACTTGTTTTCCCGACAAGTTCGCCACGACAGGCCGCAATAAGCACGCGGAAACGAGGGCATGATCCGATACATCTGATGTGCTCTGCTGCATTGCTTTGACAAAAATCTCTTCGTTGAAGAATGCACCCGATCTCGACAGCTGAATTCTGGAGGCTGGCCAATGGCTTAAAAACAATGGACCCAGTTTTCTGCTGTACAGTACGGCACTCTGGGCGACGGCACTTTGGGCCCGCGGTGCCCACAGTATCGCTGTCTCGTGAGCACTCAAGGTTGTGAGTGTCCCCGAAGTCTTTGTTGCTGCCCTGTGAACGCTTCTCGTATGACCAAAGTGCGATAACCTTAACTGTGGCTGTCGGTATCCAAGGCCTGTATAAGTCAATCTGTCCAGGGTATCTTTTTTTGCAGTTCTGTTGGCGCATGATTTGAGCATCCAGAGTTGATCTGATCTATTCATAGGAATTACACGTGAGTGGTGATGAGTCTGCCGACTCCCTATATCAAAGAGCCGAGTCTATTTTTCCCCTGTAGTCGTACATTAATATGCCGTTGAGGAGCCGGATCGTAGGATGGTGCGGTCAATCGCATCTCCCGTCCTTCCACCCCGTGCGCCATCTCTCCTCCCACTTGGAGCAGTCAAAGACAGGCTTGCCTAGCTTCTTGTTGACGTCGTTGTGGGCGTCGCACAGCCACTTGCCGAACTCTCCACGGCTGCCGGCCTTGACCGGGTCCTTCTGGATGTAGCCCCGGAAGTCGTCGGCGCAGACCCAGCATGGATACAGGCGGGAGAAGAGCTGAACGAAACTGACTAGGTCGTTTTGCTGGGATGAGCTTGGAGTGGTAGGGTATGTTGCGGCTATTGAGTGGAGGAGTGTCCATGTGCTCCGTCCGAGGGTCTCGACGTCGGCCGGGCAGTCGGTAGCCGGGGCGGTGGTGACGGTGCTCGTCTTGGATGTGGTTGAGGCCGGCGTCTTCAAGGACCTGGCCTGCGCGGCCAAGGCGGAGAAGGCGGTCTTGCTAGAGCAGGCACGGCAACTATCGACTGGTGTCAGTTGTTGCGCACACCAGATCCTATTCCAGATGCAACATACGGCTTGCCATCGGGTCCGAGGACGACTCCGGGGGGTAGTGGTTTCGCGGCACCCGTCGCTACAGCGGTCGCGTGGCCGTTTGCCTGCGAGTCGTTACGTTCTGTTTGGTCTGCCATGGCGCAATGCTGCTATGCTCTGCTCTGCCCTGGCCTGCTCTTCGTGTGACAGGCTCTGCTGCGCTGTTGTTGTTGAGCCCGACAAGCTTCTTCCCGTTGACGTCGTCACCTGCTTGAGCTAGGCGAGTGCCTGAGATGCATTGTGGAATTTGGGACTTGGGAGATTTGTAAGCCTCGCAGCGTTGTCCCGAGGCGACGCCCAAGAATACCAATCTCTTTGGATTGGTATAGGAAACCAAGCTGAGGGACGTCGGCTCAGACAACAGACAGGGCCAAGAGTTGTCGTGCCCCACTAAGTCACCCGGGCACTTTAACATTGCACTACTTGCGCGAGACTTTGGCGCGATCTGCAATTAAGGCCTACCCGTACAATATACCCGGTACCTCAAACCTCATGACAAGCAAATTCGAATCGCTCTTGCTTGCTTGTTCTGCTTCTTGCCTCAGACAGTTCCTCGTCGCATTCAAATGTCACCATCAGCAGCAGCTGGCGTAGGAGACGGAGCGGTGCCGATATTACTACTGAAAACCAAATCGACCCCCGGAGACAGCTATGAGGATATCTTCTCGCAGCCGCACAGCGGCCTATCCTTTATCCCATCGTTCGTGCCAGTTCTGGAGCACAGGTTCCAAGATACCGGCATGGCCCGAGTCCGGTCTGTCCTCAAGTCTCAGATGGTCGGCAAACACTTCGGAGCAGCATACGGTGGTCTCATATTCACATCCCAGAGAGCCGTCGAGGCCTTCACACAAGTTGTTCAAGATGGCCTAGGTGAGGAGCTCATCCTTGATCGCCTCGGCCCTCGCTCACAACCACCGGCTCACATTAACATGTAGGTGAGAAGCAGGGTGACTCCTCCAAGAGTGCTCTGGCATGGCCCTGCCTCCAGGAGGTCCCCATCTACAGCGTCGGACCGGCCACCACAAGGGCGCTCAAGGCTGTTCCCCAGGACCCGCCTCTGCAGGTATTCGGCGAGCACACAGGCAATGGCGACAGCCTCGCCCATTTCATCCTGGAGCACTACGCGCAGTGGTACACAGACCGGCCCGAGGAAAAGCCTGCGTTACTGTTTCTGGTGGGCGAGCAGAGAAGGGACATCATTCCCAAAACTCTTATGGATGACAAACTGCCAGATGACAGACGAATCGAGGTGGAAGAAGTCGTGGTCTACGGCACTGGGGTCATGGAGTCGTTCGCAGACGACTTCCAGAGGAGCCTGCAGGAGACGCAGGGGAGCAAGATGGTCTGGATTGTCGTCTTCTCCCCCACGGGCTGCGATGCCATGCTGCGCGGCCTGGGTATGATCGACGAGACCACAGGCAAGGCAAAGCCGAATGACCCGAACAGGACGAGGTTTGTTGCCACGATTGGGCCTACAACAAGGAATTACCTGCAGAGGACGTTCGACCTTGAGCCAGATGTATGCTCTGAGAAGCCGAGTCCAGAAGGCGTCCTCGAGGGGATCCAGCAATTTATATCGCAAATGCCATGATCGATACGGGTGGAAGCGGAAAAGGCAGTGTCGTGCCCCGCCCAAGGCCAAGATATCACGATCCTAGCGAGTCTGACGGCACCAGAGCTTCGATCATAAGAGTTGTAGCCAAAGGTCTCCGTCGAGTTGGATGGGGCCAGGCCAACCGCCATACTGCTCCCTGAAGAACTGTAGACGAGCACCAGAGTCACTCCACATTAGCCATGCCCTCCCTCCCTACCTAGGTAGGTAGTACAGCAGATCCTGAAATGGTGCCCGCGCAACAGGCAGCTGCAATCGCCGTTGCAACTTGATCAGCCATAGTAACTTAGTCACAATGGGGCCAGATGTGGTACGATGGCCTGGCAGACGGGATGGTTTCCAGCTGGGCATCAACAGTGCAGTACTGAGCCGCTGAAGCGTCGGCTTGGCAGCACGTCATAAGCTGTCCAGGGCTGGGGTTCTGGATGTCAGCCCAGGATAAGCCCTGTGCAATCGATCTCCCGGGGGCCTGGGGTAGCGCCAAAGTTGGATGGATCCCAATACACCCTGACATCCATCCACGCATTCTTGTTCCTGATTGCTTGTTTGCCATCACCCTTCACCAAACAGACCAAAACAGAGCGAAACAACCCACTCCTACTCCAGTCTGCCGTTCGTTTCTCCTTGTCCTCGGTCTTGTTAGAGCCTGAGCAAGCGAACGCTTCGTGCAACCCGCCCTCAACGAGCGAGACCGCCAACGGTGACATGGTGCCGTAAGTGAGACACGTTGACCGTTCTCAATCCAGCCCGAGAGAGAGAGAGAGAGAGAGTTCCACGCACCATATCCACCCTGAACAAAGGGCAGCTGCTGGCTGGCCTCCTCGCACCACCTCCCTCTCTGGACTCGTAGTCACATACACGATCTGTACATGACTTAATGCCCCTCCACGACTCCTCAACCAACGGCGACATGTCCTACCACGACCGACCAGTCCGCCATGGACAACCAGGCGACTACTCGCCCTCCTCGTCTGGAGCCGCCACTCCCACCACCTCGGCCGCATCCTCGACTTTCCTCACACACTCATTTTCCGGCCTTGCCAGTGGATTTGGCGGTCTTGTACGCCGCTTTTCAGATATGACCGCGGTGCAGGCGGGTCACCAAGGCCCCCCAGACGACATCTCCAAGACCTCTGCCTCACACGGCAGCCCTCATTCTCACTCAAACCACTGGAACAATGGCATAAATGGTGTCTACACTCCGCCAATAAACAGATCTGTTTCGCCACTGAGGCCACCTCCCCTTGAGCCGCTAGAGCTAAAAGGCTTCAGGGAGGATACCACACAAGCGGCGAGGCTGTTGACGCCTGCGGTCGCAGAGGAGATCCGAATCATGGTCCCGGAGCGCCAGCGCATTGAGGAAGAATGGAATCTTGTGTACAGCCTCGACCAGGATGGGGCGAGCTTAGGGACCCTATATGAGAAGTGCGGTCCATACCAGGGCACGCGAAACAGCTTTGTCCTCGTCGTCAGGGACAGCTACGGTGGCGTAAGTGCTACACATGATATGATCCCTACTGTCAGTGACTGCGTGACTGACTGAATTGTTGACACACCGTATAGTTATTTGGCGCCTACCTATCCGAATCACCACACCCGTCAGCGCATTACTTTGGCAACGGAGAATGTTTCCTCTGGCGAGCATCTGTCCTCGCAGCCTTGCCTCCTCCACCGTCAGAGGATACGACAAATCTCACACGCGTGACAACCATCGCCAGCCCCACACAATCTCGTTTCCCAAGATCTCAGCCACCACCACCACCACCACCAAAGCCAGAACCAGAAGAAGACCTCCTAATCGATTTCTCTGACGACCTGCCATCTAAACCAGCCTCCTCGACCGATCCTGTGCCCTCACTACTAGGCGTGGCCCCAGCTCCTCCTCCGCCGCAAGCTGTTTCGCCCGCCAGGACCCCGAGCCCCAACATCCCAATGAGCCCGTCTATCCGTTTCAAGGCGTTTCCGTACAGCGGCGAGAACGATTTTTACATGTACTGTGAATCCCACTGGCTATCAGTAGGGGGCGGCGACGGACATTATGGCCTGTGGCTGAACGATTCGCTGGCGAGGGGCGTCAGCTCGCGCTCCCTGACGTTTGGGAATGAACCGCTGAGTGACGAGGGCGAGAAATTCGGGGTTCTCGGCGTCGAGATGTGGCTCATTGGCCGCGGAGGACGGCGCTGAGGCGATGCGTTGGGTTGGGTGATATGCCGTCGTCCAACAACCCCTTTAGGTCAAACAGCCTCGATACGTATGTCATCCGCTTTGACTTTACGGCGCGATGCTAACTAGGGACACCTAGCAGCAATCCGGTGGGAATTGGTCACCTCAAGAGCAAATCTTGAGATTAGAATGTTTTCGATCTTTGCTTCTTCGGCAGACGGGGCTTCCGAAGAGAGATGCCCAACATCGGAGGCAGGAGGATGAGGTTGAGCACCGCGAAGGACGAGAATATCAGCTCCAAGAGCATGTTTTGATTAATGGCCGGCTGACGAGAAAGGGTTCTATCGATTTCGGAATATGGAGAGAGTAATTCAGACAATCACCGGCACAATTAGGAGCAGCTAGGGAGCGCCGCGGAAGCAACAGCAGCATGTCTTGTATGTTTCGAGATACCCAGGAGAGATCCCCCCCGCGAGTTGAAAGCATCTTGGACGAGGGACGAACTACGTATATACCATAGTTGTGAGAACAGGACCAGAAATCAATCATGTGCCAGGTTCCGATGGGCTGGCGATTGAGTTTGTTTGAATTTCGCCCAAGGTCGCAGTGAGGGGGCCACCCCATTGGCGATCTGCCCGTCATCTCAGCTGCGGGCTGGAGCAGCACTGCATAGGTGAGGGGGCCGTGCAGCAGGTGTCTTGTCATGCTGTGCCCCAGGACAGGTGACACACGCAGGAGGGCACAGGGAATTAGGATTTGGCAAAAGAGATGATGGCGGAAGGATCAGGCAGGGTCTGCAATGCTTTGCATTTGGCTTGTGATGGGGGCAAGGACTCGCGCAGAGCGTCCGTCCACCCACATGTGTGCGTTGACATGGAATCGACTCGCACTTACACAGGAGTCGAGAACTACCTGCACGACGCCTGCAGCTGAACAAATGACTGAATGTATTGCAAAGTCTATGGTGGTCCCCCTTACCAAGTCACTTGTGTGACTTCCAACCTCCTACATAGATTTCTTCTCTAGAGCCATGGGCCCGTATCCCTGCTTTTCTCAGGGAACGGCACAATGACAAACTCGGCGGTAGCACCCCTGAGTTCATCCCTTTCAGTGGCTCCGACGATGAATGCTTTCGAAATCAATTGACCGAAATCCCACAAGACCTGGCACCGAAAAACAGCTACTGTCCCTTGCAACTCTCTGCTCTCCTAGATGATGACGATGGAATCCACCGCCCATTTCCAATGCTGCCTCCCCTCCTGAGTGTCAAATATCGTATATCCAGCTCAACGTGTGGTATCACAGCCATGTCCGAAACATCTTCAATTCCTGCTTTTTCTCCGTCACTGCGAAGTCGGTCGGGGTCAGCGTCCCACAGTTTGTGACCGCCTGATTACCGCATAATCTCTTGGTAGATCAATTGCTTGAGCTGGTCCTTGCTGAGGTTGTCCTTGTGCTTGTCAAAGTCAAAGAACTCCTCGGGAATTGGTGGCGCGGTCGGCTCGTCGTCGGGGTCATGATAAGGCTCCAGGTACGGGTGCTTCAGCGCCTCCTCCACTGTTATGCGCTTGACAGGGTTGAAAGCCAAAAGCTTCTCGAGGAGGTCCAAGGCCAGGTCAGAGGTCTTGGGGAACAGGGTGCGGAACGGGACCTTCTTCTTGAAGGGCAGCGAGCGGATGTACTCCCGAGCTCGGCGGGACTTGATGCCGTAGTAATCCTCCATGGTCGGTGTTCCGAGAACGTCGAGGATGAGGGTCAGCTGGTGATGATCTGGAAAGGGTTGTCAGTCAGACACTCTCAACTCGGCGGCGAGCAACGCAAGATTTGCGACTTACAGTCCTTGCCTGGGAACAGAGGCTTGCCGCTCAGCATCTCGGCGAGGATGCAGCCCACAGACCACACGTCGATGGCCTTGGTGTACTCCTTGAAGGTCAACATGATCTCTGGCGCGCGGTACCATCTCGTTGCAACGTATTCGGTCATGAAACCAGAGTTGTCCTCCTGAGAGGCTGCTGAGCGAGCAAGACCGAAGTCGCACACCTTGAGATCACAGTTGGCGTTGAGGAGCAGGTTGGAGGGTTTCAAGTCTCGGTGGAGGACATTGGCCGAGTGCATAGCTTTCAATGCCCGGAGGGTCTGGTAGATGAAGTATTGGCAGTGGTCGTCGGAGAGGTCTTGAGTGCGGATGACACGGTGCATGTCAGTCTCCATCAACTCCTGGAAAAGGCAGGTCACATGTTAGCGCGGACTCTGCTGATGAGGTAGTCTTGGGTCGCGGGAGACATACCTGGATCAGATACACCTCGTTGAACGTCTCGTAGCTCCGGGGCTTCTGGATGTCGAGGATGCTAATGATGTTCTCATGGTTGAAGTAGCGCAGGAGCTTCATCTCACGAAGGGTTCTCAGGCAGAACATGGAGTGGTCGAAAGGTGTGATCTTCTTGATGGCCACCTTCTGCCCGGAGGGCTTGTGTATCGCCGAGCTGCCGAGCTGATCAGCAAAGACGACCTTTCCTAAGTTGCGCCAGGGTGCAGACTCACCAGACAACACCGTATGCTCCCTCGCCGACGACATCCTGGATATCATATTGTTCGCTCACGTTGAAAGAGATCTTGCGGGAGCCCGCGGGGTTCGGAGGCTGGGCTCGAGACATTGTGAAGAATGTGGCCGAGGCAAGCTTGTCGCAATGACAGAGTAACTGCTAGGTCCTGGTAAGTCGACACAGGGCCGGTACGGCAGCAGTATCAGTGTTGACGACGAGAGAGATAGGCCGGGAACGGTGCCGCAGAGACCGCGCAGCGTATGTCCGAAGCAGCAGAGACCAGTCAGGTCCGGACGTGGAACTGTACAGGTAGTGGGTGCGGCGATGGCAGCGAATCGTACCAGGCCTGCCAAAGGTATGGAGGGCTCGAGCGCTGGTGTGCAGCCGTCTCTTGGGTCTCGGGTGCAGTCAAGGCGCTGCTGAGTCGGGGGGGTGAGCTGGTGACTTTCCAGCTGAGGCCTAGATGTGCGACGGCGACACGGTCGAAGGGCGGGAGGGTGCTGGCAACGGGAAGATGCCTGCTTCGAATTGAGAGGTCTGCAATGCAAAGAATTGAAGAGAAGGCAGACTGGATGAAAGTCTGGTCTGGCCTGGTCGAGTTGGGTCGAGAGCAGAGAGGGAGACAACCAAAGCTGGGACTTGGCCCTGGAGGGAAAGTGGGGTGGGGGGGGGGGATGGCTAGAGGGCGGGGTCTTGCTCCTCGTCCTCAGTTGCTCGTCGTCTGGTGCTCGTGCTCGTGCTCGTGCCTGTCAACTTCCTCAGCCCCTGTTCCGTTCGTGTAGTTGGTTGCAGGCAGGTGAGCTGTGCGTTGCAGAGACACAATCTGTGGGAGTCGAATGGTCAGTCAGCCCGTGATGCGATGCGATGCGGTGCGGTGCGGTGCGGTGCGGCAGGAGAAAGGCTTAGTAGCACCCAGCTTGCAGCTCGGAGGGGGACAGGCTATAGGAGACGGGGCGGGAGGGCAGGCTGAAACAACAGCAACGGGGATGACGGAAAAGGCATTGAGTCGCAGCGCAAAAGGTGAGGTCTAGAGCCCTGGTCTCGGGTGCCAGAGGGCTCGAGAGCAGGTGTTTGGGCTGAACCCTGGGAGCGGGAGAAGCGCCGACAAGCATACCTAGCTTGCCCCTTCGAACCTGCCTGGAGCTCGACAGCCAGCGAACCAATGTCTTCTAGAACCACCACCAGACTGACCCGGGCCCGAACCTGCAGCACAAAAAACTGCAGTGCAGTGCAGTATGGTCCAGTGTCCGGTGTCGAGTGGGTGCGGATGCAAGGGGGGAGGGGGTAGGGGAACGAGGGGGTCCTGTAACAGAGCTGCGGGCCGAGATAACTGTATTCTTTCGTCCGATACAGTCGCAGACTCCTGAGTGGAGCAGCTGGGGTTCTGCTGGGACTTGGGACTTGGGACTGGGACTGGGACTGGGGCTGGGGCTGGGACTGGGACTGGGACTGGCGAGGAGAACAAGACCGAGAGAAGATAATAAAGAGAGCAACAAGAATAAGACAAGAAGAAGAAGCTGGATTGCACGAACCTTTTGCAAGCTGGAGGCGGTTGCTTGGAATGGGTTTGGTTATGGGTGGCAGACAGACTCGGGAACAAGTATCCAGGAATTCCCGTCTCAACAATTGGCTCTCGTGGATGGCTGGGCTCGACAGGACTATAAGGTGAGGTGAGGTTAGGTGAGGGGAGGTCAGGTGAGCTCAGGTCGGGTCAGGAGAGAGGCAAGGCGAGGAGGTGCTCCTTGCATTCAAACCCAAGGTGAGAGAATACGGAGTCAGAAAGAAGGGTCGAGAGGTGTTTCTTTGAGCGAGAGAGGGGTATCCGTGTCCTGGTGCCGTGGTCTTGGTCTAGACTATGTACTCGGGTAGGCAGAGCAGAAACCTAGATAGGAACGGGCATCGGGCTGGCTTATACGGCGGCAGACGTGATAATATGTAGTCTAGCAAGAGCGAGCGGTGGATAACAATGATGAGAACAAAACCTAATGGATTACCACACCAGACTGCTGTGCACGGAGAGAGAGAGAGAGAGGTACAGAAAGCGAGACCATCTGACTCTGACATCCCACATCCCACATCCCACATCCTCTCCTCTCCTTGCCTCGCCTCGCCTCTCTCTCTCCTCTTTCTCATGGCCCCTTTCAGGTTCAGGTCCAGGGGCTTCAAACAAGACAATGAACCAACCTATCTTAATATGGTGCTGGGCTGGGCTGTGGCAGCAGGCCCTCCATTCCCATTCGAGCAGTGCGACCGGCTCATGGGCCACCTCCCAAGGCCAATGTCACCATTCTGTCACTCGCTCGCTCACTCCCTCTCTCTCCATCTCACTCTCTCACTCGCCCACTGGCCCCGGCTAAGCTGTCATTCCCAGACCGGAAGGGCTGGCTGGCTTGCACTCCTTTGTCGCGATCCGAACCTTTCATTCGGTCACGGCCCTCCTGTCAGCGGAGCCGTCAGCTGAAGTGAAGCATTCTTGTTGCTGGACCCTGGTGAGACAAGACGGTGGTCTAGATCCGCGAGATCCACGGCATCCATTGAACAACGTCGTGGATTATCATCATCCAGGACAACCGTACCGTCAAGTGCCAATGATGTAGAAACCTCACTCAGCCAACCACACCCGCCAGCCATGGAAGATGCTCCGACGAACGCATGCCGCACTCACAACCACACACAGCCTGACTAGCTAATCAGACAAGTGCCGTCAGGTCCAGATGTGACTGACCCCACGAGCCAACCAGCGCTCAGATTACGCGCCAGCCGTAAGCTGCTGGGCGCGTGTGTTTCAGCGCACATTGGTCTCTGGTGGCCGTTTCATCCACTGGGTCCGTTGACGAGCCCACATATGTGACCGCCCCATCTGCCTGCTCGAAAACGGGCTCCTGTCTACTACTCCTCATCCATCCCTACCTACTTACTGTATGTATCTACTGTGCCCCTTTGTCTTGTTGGGCCGCCAGGCGGCATCTATTTTTGGATGACGGCCCCGGAGGAGGCACCAAAGGAGTCGGCAATCGCTCCAGTAGCCCTTTCGCCTTGCGGCCACGGTTGGGGCGCTGGTCTGTGGATGGGGCTGCTTACCGGCATGCTTGAGCCTCAGAGCATACCCACACAGCCACAGGGCGGCCATTTTCAAGGCCTGGTGACCTCATGCATCTGCTAACCGCGGACCTGTCACCACCACCACATTGGAAGCCGCAACGGGCTGGCATAAAGGAGGGAAAGTGGGCCTTGGTTCATGGCCTCCGTTTGGGACCGCCTGGGGGACCGTGTGACTTCGGATCCGGCCCGGAGGGGGGGCTCACTGAGCTACGGGTCGCCGGTACTGTGGCCGGGCAGTCTGCTAGTGCATGCATTTGATTCGAAACACGGCATGTGCTTTTGTTTCCTGCATGAATTCGTCTCATTACTAAGGCCAGGCCCCGCCGGGCCAGCTTAATCTTGGCTGGCCGGCACGGACCCGAGGCCGGTGACCAGTCTAGCCGGTGATTGCACAGAGCTGTCCTCTTCCTCCCACGACCACCGCCAAAGGCCATATCAGAGATGCGGTTGGGAATCTATACATTTGTTGTCGCTACTTAAAACATGCCGCTCATAGCTGCATCACTGGACGACCTGGTCGGAGATTTGTCAGTACACGTCAGACCAAGTAAGTCAAGGTGGTGTTAGAATTGTACCTTCTCTCGCAGCACTCCCATCCATTGTGCGAAACTCATTCCTTGATCTGCCCGGTCCTCTACCAACAACGTCTGCGCCCAGAGCTTCAAGCTTGGCTCGCCATCCTCACGGACAATGTACAGGTGAGGCAGGATGATACTGCCAACACCGCGAGACCTGTAGTCCCTGCTCTTCTGGATGACCGCGCGGACCCGCTCGTTGAAGTCGTTCTCCAGCTCTGCCAATGTCCCCTTGCCAACGTGAAGCTGTGTCCGGTCCGCAACCCCGAAGACGTCTTGCAGCAAGGCTGGCACTGTATCCCGTCCGACCCACAGGAACTGTGTCTGGCCGTCATCAATGAGGTAAAGGCCATATGACACGAAGCGCTCGGAGGACAGGTTCAGAGGTGGTGGCAGGACAATCTGGCTTGTCTCGGGGTCTGGAGTGCCCGCAATGTCGGGCATGTCATGCAGGGAGTACAGCCGAGGGTAAATATATTGCATCAATAACGGCAAGGGGAGCGTAGAGAGCTGGCAGAGCGCTGCGGACCTGAGGTCCGAGGGGATCTGCGCCGATTTCCGCAGGCCTACGTTCTTGATCAGCCCAAGGAACAGGGCTGGTAGGCCGCGCAGATTGGCTGGGAATTGGAGACCACCGCCCATGCTTCCGCCGGCCAGCTCTTTCCTAAATGTCTGCAGCAACTCGATGATCTTGCTCTGCAGCGAGTCACGTGCAGAGTCCAAGCCGTTGCTCAATGCTCTCTCTACTGCCTTGTGGCTGAAGTAGGTGGTGACGGCGCACTGGTCAGCAGAAGCGTACACATCCGCCAAGCTCTGAGTGGTGGGTAGTGCCAAAGTCATGACCCGAATGCGGCGCTCGCCATTACACGTAGTATGGAGGACGGCTGCCTGCATACAAATCATACTCTTGGACAGGGTTTCGTCGATAGCGACTTCGACCACGTAGCACTGGTCGCGAGGGAAGGCCGGGAACGCGCAAAGGTCCGAGCTTCGGTTGAAGAAGTTGCCGTAGAATGTGTTCATCCTCAGACCAGTAGTGGCGCGCACCCTCAGCACAGCCTCCAGGCCGATCTCAGACGAGAGGTAGTCACTGAATTCTGACGCGAATTTGATCGCGTCCTCGGGTCGTCCAGCATTCCACCCAGGGTAGAACCACGTTTGGCCACCGGTGTACCGTGGAAGGTTGCTCAGCGAGGCGACATCCTGATACTGCGAAGAAAACAGGAACATGTCGATTGAAACTTGATTCTTGGAGCACTCGACGGCAAAGCTCTTGTAAAAACTGTTTGCGGTTTGGAGCAGACTGCTTTCCTTCGAGGTGCCAAGAAGCTTCTTGTCTTCCCTCATTTCAAGCTTGCCGTGGCCCAAATTCGGCAATGAGGCACTCAGGACAACAATCTTACCTCCAAGTGGAGAGATTAGCTTGTGACCGGATCGGAGAGCCGAGCCCATGCACGATCCATTATTCTGGTTGTTGACAAACATCTCCGGAAGCTTTGCTAGGAAATTCTCGATACTCTGTCGCGACTCCGTCAGGGGCACCAGAAGCTCAGTAGGCACCGGCATGAAGGGCTCGTCAAGATCACTGACGACAAGCATACTGGTTTCGCCATTTTCGTCGGAATCCTTGGGGATTGAGAAATAGTGCAAGCTGGAGTCCACGGCGACGAAACCGAGGCGAGTGCGCCGATCCGCATTGGGTATCCTATTGAGACTGTCCAAAATCGTCCGCGCGCTGGTCGCCAGAAGTCCCGTAGACACAGCCGCGTAGCTCACGTCGAACAAGAAGAGATAGACCAAGGGCTGTGGAGGTCGAACCATGTACTCCTGGGGCGCGACGAACTCCACCACAGAGTGGTTCAGCTCAGCCCGTTGCCACCGATCAACACTCTTTTGGGCTGCTGCATCCCAGTCAAAGGCCTGAGGAACGTCGTTTGAGAGGTTGCACATGTTGCAGCGCCATCTGTGCCCGTGGTCGAGGAAGGTAACGTATGGGTTTATGTACGACCGACACCTCCGACAGCGAGAAATGACCTGGTCTTGGACGACTGGAACTGGGTCATCTAGGTCATGGAGCGATGTGTATGGCTGTATGACGAGGGCAAAAGGCAGCTTAGACTTTTTGAGGAGGGAGTGCGTCGTGGGCACAGCATTGAGCGTGGATCGGATGAACTTTGGTGGGCAGTTCGCCTCCGGAGAAGGAGTACAGCTGGACTGTCTTCGGGTCAGTGTCTGCAAGTGCGAGGGCTGGCGGCGAACCTACATTTGGGGGAAGGATGATTGGAGGAGGTGGGAGATCCAGCTCGGATACGTTGAAAGGCTGGTTCAGAAGGTCGGTAGGGTAGAGCTGGTTGAGGGGCCCGACTCGTGGCTGGCCCTGAGGAGGCATTTGCTGAGGAGCTGGCTGTCCCGGACCCGGCCCCATCTGCATGCCTGCCATGCCCTGCGTGATGCCACCCACACCAGCTGCACCAGGGGCAGGAGGGGCGCCATATGCATCGGGCGGCTGGAAGCCCGGAGTGGCGGGAGCCGGCGAGCCGTAGGTCTGGGGGGCACCATAAGAGGCAGGCTGAGGTTGTGCGTCCTGGCCTGGGTACCCGTAGCCAGCAGCCATGGGCTGAGGAGTGCCGAACTGGCCGCCGCCTGGAAGCTGGCCCCCTACAGCAGCATTCGCGCCGCTGCCGACATCGAAGGCCTGGGCAGCGTAGGCTCTCTTCTTCTTCTTGGCTTGTCCTTCGCCAGGTTGCTGGGTCGCCTGAGGTGGAGGCGAGCCAGCGGGGTTCGCGTAGGCTTGGCCATCATCAGCATAGGGGACCTGTTGGCCTTGTTGTTGGAAGGCGGCCTGCTGGCCGTAGTCGTTGGGTGCCGACATGATCGCGCCAGAGGAGGCGAGGCGGTGGAGGGCAGGACAATGCTCAGCTGCGCCGATGATCTCCAGCCGTGCCGGACACGATTGCTACGGATGCTGGATTGAGAAGAAATGAAGGGCTGCCCGCGATGTGGTTGTGTGAGGGTGACAGGGGGCGAGGGCGTTGTCGTGGTGGTGTCGAGGGGTGGACGGAGGAGCTGTGAAGCTTTGGGTCCGGCCTGCGTGGACAAGTAGGACCTAGGTGGCAGCTCTGAGGTCTGGCCTTTTCCTGATTGGGAGGCGCAATGACAAGCTGCCCTGGGCTGGGACAGATCAACCTTGGAGCCTCGGAAGCCCAACAAACCGGGTAAGACGAGAAAGACGGGTGGATGGGCCGATGCTGGGGACCAGCTCCGGTGCAGAGGGGGACGATTGGGATCAAAAGTGGCAAAGAGGACAGAATGTCTCTTGTTCTTGTTCTGGACCAACCCAGCTCAAAGTTGCGAGTCTGAGTCCTAGGTCTCTGGAGGTGAGGCTAGGCAATGCTACACCTGGCCCTGGCAGCTAGCAGCGACTTACTGAGTCTACTCAGCGGGCGTCATGCCGCGTCCAACCTCCACCTGGCAGCCTCGAGCCTCGCTGGCCTTACTGTCGCTGGAGCTTCAAGGCCAGCTCATGTGACTAGTCACGTGGGGAGGGGGGAGTCTCATGTACCTGTGTACCTGTGCACCTGTGCACCTGTGCACATGTGTGCCTGGTGCCTTGTGCACGTACCAGCAGGCAGGCTGGCAGGGGCAGGCTGGCAGGCAGGAGAGCATTGGGCCCGCAGCACCTCGGCAGATGCGGGGTCGCAGCCATTGCTGGCCCAAGCTTCGATGAATGGATCCGATGGACAGACAGTGATTAAGCGGAGGTCTGCAGTGGGCGGGCAGGTGGGCAGGCGGGTCAGGGCCTTTTCCTTAAGCAAGACGAGCAAGCAAGCTCCCCTCATAATCTCCCAGGGGCCCTTCAGCCACCTTGGTCGACCTGACTGGCACTGGGCGACCTGAGCCGGCTACCCGTTTTCCTACCGCAACACATTCCCTGGGCATTTACTTAAGACAGGCAGCTCCTTGTCCAGGCTGGTCTTTCTCCGTAGTCACAGCATTCAAGACAACAAAATCGATCCCTCGCGTCAAAGATTCCAATCCCTCGCTGTCCCTGAAAGTATTAAGGTTGCTGCTGCCGGCCTTGGGGTGGATCTATCACATCTCAATCAATCGAATCGGAACGCTGTCCTTCAGGCTCCTCGCCGCTTTCCGATCCCCAGGCGATCCTCTCCGCAACCCACATTTGACAACGGGGCACTGGGCGTTTGGCGAACGGAGCCACGGGGTACCTGGACAGCTGTCGAACCTTCCGAGTCATTCCCTCCTAGGAAGCATACCGAACGGGCGTACCAAGACATCATGGCCTGGGGGAAGGCAAAGCCTCAACCACCTCCCTCGCTGCTCCGGCAAGTCCAACCACAGTCCAACCCCGTCGCATGCTCAGGCTAACCGGTGTCCAACTACGAACATACAGCCAGCTCGTGCCTCTCATCATCTTCTTCATCGTCCTGGCCGGCCTGGTCTTCGTGGGCTACCATGTCTACCAGAGTGCCACCAAGATGAGTGGCAACGTGTCGGAGCGCATGGGCAAGAAGAACGTTGTCTGGACCAAGGACGGCCTCAAGGTCGGCGTCAAGCACGTCGAGAACGAGAAGGAGGTTGACGCTACCCAGCGTTGGGTTGTCAACGCATGGAACCTGCGATCGGATAAAACCGGCAAGAAGGACAAGTGACCTGGCGCTTGAGGTGTATATTTCAAGATAAACGCTTTCTCACTTGACCCATCTGTTTGGATGCCGCCGATCGATACCCAGCTGGTTGTTTTTAGATTTCCTAGGATGAGAAGGTCCAAGATGGTTACGAGGCGCGGTCCGCCCAGCCTGACGGAACAGGCAGACCCACTTGGCCCTTGGGAACTGGTCTCGGTGATTTCGCGAGTCGGTTGCCATGTTGAAAACTGGCATAGGTTAAGGCAATCATGAGACTACTGAATTGACTTGGGAAGCGGAGCATCTGTGCGGTGTCCATATCTCTGAATTAGGTAACATCTGCGCTGCAACTTGGTAGTTTCGTAGCACGGCAGTGGCAGTAATGCATTCAAGACTTTACTGCAGTACACAATGTCATGAGTTCGTGTCTCAGAAACTCGGCTGTTATTTTCGTCACTATACTTATTGAATACTACACCAATGTAAAAGCATGCGCGTAATCAGGAATACTAAGAGGTTCTGAATTCAGCGGTCATTCAAGGATAAGGACCGACTATGTAGATAAGCCCGAATAAACTCCAACCCATAATGCTGACAGTTCCCAAGGTTCGCTCTGCTGCCCTCTAAGGCTAGCTAGCAGTTGTTCAACAGCCATTTCCAGATCTGGCCCAATTCTCCTGGAATGAGCACTCTCGTACAGTACGTTCTCTCGAGTGAACCCTCCCTGGATCCCAAAAAGTACTCCACCACCATGAGAATCTTTGAATAGGTTTAAGATGCCCCCAAAAAATAACAGACTCCAAAGTCAAGCCGTCACAAAATGTCGTGAGACATGCATCAGAACGGTGCCGCAGCCACGACCGTACGTACAAAAACACAGCCCGAGAAGATAAAGGTATACATGGCGAGCACGTCAGCTGCCCTGGCGATAGGTCCCTTTCTCAAACGCTCAGCCAGCTCTTGGCGACGTACTCCACGCCAGGACCTGCGTTGTTCGACGCATTCTGCAGGAGCTCCTTGCGCTTGCGCTCGAACTGCTCCTTCAGCATGGCCTCGCGCTGTTGCAGCGGGTTCATCGTGTAACCGGCTGTTGGAGGCGCGTACCGCGCCGACATAAGCTTGACAAAATTGTGCGCCATGGGGTACGGTTGTGCCATGAGCCCGTCCCGGCGGATTAGCATGGATGGGATACGGACGTTGAGCTATTTTGCGCGTGGCAGTCGTGTCAGTAATATATTCAAGGGGGGCAAGTAAAAGCAGTCTCCGGGCAAAAGCTCACCTGGCACAGAATATGCGCGTATTTCACGCCCAGCTCGTCCGCAATGTACTTCAGCCTTCCCTTGAGCCAGCTCCTCTGCGCGTCTGTGGTATAGTCCTGGCTCTGGACGCACCCGAGCGGCCACGTCAGGAAGTACCCAGCCAGCCCCTTCAATGAGTCGTCATCGCCGCACGCGAACCCGCTCAGCTGCTTCTCCAGCAGGTGCTTCCTCTCGGGCTTCAGGTGCCAGCCGAGGTGGTACGGCACGCTGGCGATGATGTCTGTTATCGTGTCGACGCACGTCCTCGCGGCAGTCGCGTACTCGGGCGTCGTCCTGTAGTCCACGGGTGAGCACACCCACGCGGCGCAGCGCACAATCACGGACGCCAGCACTAGCCGGGTCACGCGGACCATGTTCCACACGCTGGCGATGTAAAAGTCACGGTAGACATCGACGCGGCCGGGGAAGACCTCGGCCCTGCTGAAGTCGCCACTGGGCACGCTGTCCTCCCACGCCACTGACTTGTACCCCCAGCTGTCCGGCACATTCTTCATCCACCGCACACACTCCTGGTCGACTGTCTGCGCCCTCCGGATCAGCGTCAGCATGAGCTCGATGTTCTCTGGCGTCCGCGCTACCGTCGTCATTAGCCTCGTCACCTCGGCCCGCAGCTCCGACGTCTTGATATTGATTTTCTGGCACTCCGCCGCGCTCGAGTCCTTGACCGCGTCGCTGATCCACCAGTCGACGCCCATGATGGGCGCCTTGCCCGACGTCAGGGTGTGGATGATCATCTGCGTGCGCACGGCGATGAACAGGAGCAAGCCAGTCTTGGTGCGAAGCTGCTTGCGGCCGCGTTGTTTGACCAGCGAGATAGCTCCCTCGATGTGGGAACCCCAAGAGAACATCCCCATCTCCTTTGCTGTTATGTTCTGTGGATAGGAAGGATTTCGGTCAGTACTCATGAGAATTTGACCATCTCACAGTGGGGGCGCAAACACACCTCGTATAACCCCAGTAGTAGGACTGCCGCAAGCGTGCCGTCTGTTTTTGAAGCCTCCGGGTCCTTCAGCGCTGTGTGTGTTGCTGCCAGGGCCTTGGTGTACTCTGAAAGCGCCTTGTCCGGAATATCCTCAGAAGTCGATCTCACTCGGTTACCCAGGTGGGCCAGGGAGCAGGCGTTGAAGGCATGTTGGAGATGGCTGTTCTGGGCTTCCGACTTCATCAGGGGTAGCAGGTAATCCATGAACCCTCTGGTACTGCCCTGCCGCGGCACCAGGATGAAGTTGGAGAAAAAGTGGCACGAGGCCAATTGGTCGGTAGGGATGCTGAGCAGAGGCGAGATGCTCTCGCCGGTGGGTGACCTGACAAACTCCTTGGCGATAGGCGACAGCGACTCGATTGACGATGGAGAGCTGGCGATGCTGCTCTTGTCCGAGGATGATGAGGCGACTGAGCCTTTCCTGTTGGCCTTCTGTGCTCTCCTTTCCGTGGCCTTGGTCTCATTGCGGAACACCAGGTCGAACTCGTCCTTGTAGCCAGGACATTGTCTTCGTGATTTTGCACACTGATTGCAGGTCGGCTTTGCCTCGTCGCACTAGATGGATCGTCCATGTTAGTATCGGAGAATATGCTCGCGCCTCGGGGAACTTGGGTTGTGGCGTCGATTGCCCCCACAGGAACCAACCTTTATTCTTCGAGTGCGACACATCTGACAGCCCCTTGAGGGCTTCCCACAGTAAACCATTATGGCGAGTCACCGCGTCCAAGCAGGCGGCGCTGGGTTGCGTTTACGACCTAGGAGGATGAGGAGGAGGATGGGTTGTTTTCCAGGTGAAGTTGGCTAGGGTTTGCAATATCCAAGAATTCGGTTCTCCAGCCAGTACTTAACAACGAAGATAAGGCGGCAGCACGTCAAGGTATTGTATGCTCTCTCTCTCTCTCAGATGGGGGTTAAAGTTGGTAACGGAAGGTTGCCGTGATTGCGCCTTCGCTAGTCGAAGGGTGGTCTCACGCAGGGGAGTGCGCGATCGACGGAGTATGAGCGGCGAATGAAGACGCTGAAACTGACCGTACCTCTTCTTGACGGGCGATCATTTGTGAGCAAGCTATAGGCCGGAAACAGAAACCCCACAAAATGGTGGTAAGATGTAAGTGAAGATCCAAGAATCAAGTCGGACAGAAGCGGGACGGAGTTGTGTGCAGGAGGGCGAAGGCTGGTCGCCCCAAGAATGGCAGAAATTGGGGATGTCTTGGGAACTGGGGACCAAGGCCGAGGTTTCTCTGGGCCGTCTGGAGTGGTTGTTTCGATCGACGCAAAGATGATAGGACGAAGTTGTACTCTACCGGCGAGCTTCACACGCGGGACTGGCAGGTGGCACCGGATCCGATCCCGGGCAAAGGAACACAGGAGAATATAGAGAGATTCGAGGCTAATGCGGCTTGGAATTGCACTGGACGAGACGGATTGGCAAGTCAAGGGCAGAGCATAGAGAAGCAGCGGTCAAGCCGGGCGAGGTGAGCGCAACGGGCAAGCAGCTGGATGCCTCAAGAGATGGTTCAGACAGAACTGTATCAGAAAGAGGGCTGAAACGATGGAGGGCATCTCATGGGCATTATGTAGCATGGTAGCATTGACGAGTGAGGTGGGCCCGCATCTACGAGGGTAAGGATATACCCAGCTCATCATGATCCCCGGGCGACTAGACTGCGAAGCAATGCAACGCATTCACAGCACCGGTCTAAGGCCCCTCTTCCTGCCTCCGCTCCTTAGTGCACTTAGCATGGCGTTGCGGCCAGAGGAGCCGTACCATGGTAGGAGGAAAGCAGAAGGTCCATCTCTGAGCCACATCGCGTGCTTGACAACAGTAGCGCAACCGGAAGATGGAGCTGAGACAGCAGGGCGAACTAACCCAAGGTCGCAACAGATCGACTTTGACATATACACGCCCTACAACAGTGCTGGCTGTGGCAAGTGAGGCCGTATGGAGCGAACGAGGGAGCTTGACGATAAGGGGGCCGTCGAGGATGCTATTCCAAGCCGGACAGGTAGCGCAGCAGCCCAGGGACGGCGATCGAAGTCAGGGCAAGAACAGGCGAGTTCACAATCGTGTGTGGCAGCGCCACCTGGCCTGGATGGCCTGGATGGCCTGCATAGTAGACGTATGCTGGCTAGGCGGGTTGGCATCGCTGGTGGGCCCTCTGGGCTTCATTCCAAAGAGGCAGACGCTGGTGTTGATCCCTCCTCGTACCTGATCAGACATTTGCTTTTGAGCGCGGGGGGTGAGGTGAACTGGCTGATAGGTGATAGATGACCAGGCAAGACCCGACCTTGCGCTTTGACGGAGAGTCGAAACAAATGGCGGCTGCCAAGCGCGATGGTGAGGGCCCCTGACTGGCAGCCTTTCCCGAGCCTCACGAGTAACAGGGTTGTACTCGGGGCAAACATGACGTTGTGCCAACATGACACTGACGAGCGCCGTTATATGCGTCCGAACGACGACCAGACGACGACGGCAGCGGCAGCGGCAGCGGCAGCAGCAGCAGTGGGTCGCTGGCAGGCTGATAGTCAGCACGTAACCTTCGCGGTGGCTCCATGAGGTCAAAAGGTCAGAAATCAGAGTCAGGACGTGGCATCGGGCTTTGCTCTGTCCTCTCTTTCACTGTAGAAGATTAAATTCTCCGACGATGCCGTATTCGAAGGCTCCACCATTTCCACAATCGACGGCCCAACTCCCATTGCTCCACCGTGCCTGACGGGTGTGAGTGGGTATGCCGCACAGGAAGTGGAGGCCGGGGAGAAACAGGACATCCCCATTCAGGCCCATCAGGCCCGTGTGGGAGACTTGGGGCGCGGGGCATAAGGGTGTTCATGCCCCTTTGGCACCCTTGTCATCCTGTCGTCCCGTCGCTATCACGAGAGACGGCGGCCTGCGCCGCACTCGTGGACGTCATGAGCGCACAAGTCAGTCGACGGCAATAAGCACAAGAAGCAAAGAGTAGAGGCCGGTGTGTCGTACAAGGCATGGTCCGAACCCAGCGATCTGGAATGCGGCAGCGTAGCGTCCAAGATCTCGCATGTGGCTTTTTTCTTGCACATTTCCGCGCAGCCGGCAGCCTGGCAGCCCAGGGGACAGACAGGTCTACTAGCAATTGGTCCGTTGCTGCAGAAGCTTCCATGGGTACCGGGTCGAGGAACCCGAGGGCCAGCCTGGACTGGCCCGGTTTGTGTTTATGAAGTGAAACGACAATGTCGATGTGTTCGCCCCAAGATTCACGGCATCCTCCCATCCATCACATGACGTTTGATCGCCGGCGAGGGGCAGCCTTCGCTACCAAGACTTGTTGCGAGTGCACTTTGCTGGCGCGCGGTTGACGGCGCGGTAAGCTGCTTGCAAGCAGACTGACCAACCTAGAAAGATGAGACCTCGCGAGCCCACGATGCCTGCCGTCTCCCCACGGCAAACTCCGGCGAGTGCCAAGGTCATTGCTTTTGCTCCCGCTCCCACGGACCCCAGGCGCGAGACCTTGTCGGCAGGTGTCTGTCTTTTACGGGAGGCAATCGCCGACTCTCTGCAGCTGCTATCACTGGTCGCGCAGATTGGGCCAATGGGTGCTCTGCGACGGTTCGAGGGATCCGTGGTCACTTAGGCTCGATAAGGAAAATGGTGTGAGGAGTCTCATGAGGTTAGAGAAAGGACCGCAAATATGGTGTTCGCGCATAGCCAAAGAAGTAAGAGTTATGCACAATGCTGTGTGAAGACCAACTCGGTGAGCATATCCGGCTGGCGGCAACCTGCGTGCTCATTTCACAGCAAGAGAGGGAGCAAAGATGCCGAGAGGTTGCTGAGAAAGCTGGCTCGAACTCCCGACGACGAAGAAGTCGCCAGCAGCATCAACTGTACAATTAGCTACACAAGTCCCTATGTAGAGGTCCCCGGCCAGAGAACACGTCGGGAAAATCAGACGACGGTCGCCTCTGGTAACCCACCCCCCCCCCACCCCCCTTTTCCCCTTTCACTCTTTCGCCAATCCTACTTGTGCACAGCCAGACGCAGTTCTCAGCCGTCAAACAGGCCCGCCACCCCGGTAAGATCTGGCGAGTCCCGCCTGCCACCTGCCCGGCCGTTCGATGGCGGGGCCGTCATGAACTCTTGGGCCATCTTGCTGCGGCCAGACGACTTTTTCTTGAACCCTGACGGATCAGAGCTCTTCTGCAGTTTTCCCATCTCCGAGATGCTCACCCCCTTGAGGTCCTTGAGCAGATCCAGGATATGGCCGCGTTGTAGCCGAGGGTTGGACACCGCCCGACCGATGTTTGCGATGCAACCATCGACTTCTTCGGGCTTGATACTTCCAAGCGAGCACAGCACATCGCGTGGTGTCTGTGTGAGCGGGCTGTAATTGGCAACGATGGCTGCCATGACGTTTCCAAGCTCCCGCTGCAGTTCCACAAAGTAGGGATCGTGCAGAGATGTGATGCATGCCTTGAGAACGTCTGTCGAGATGAACTCTCTGACGGCATTCGCAGTGTCCTCAGGAATTGGAAAATTGTCAGACGCCTGCTTAGACGGCGGCTCCGTCTGCAGCAGTCTCTCGGAATTCGCGTTGTTGCTCCGGAACTCGGGTATGATTGAGCGGAACACGCGAAGCACGACTCCACAACACCTACCGTCATGCATAACAATGGCATGAGCCATAAACACCAGGAGCGGCTCGATAACAGATGAGTTCATCAAGCAGAATTTGCGGAGGGAAGGCTGCTGGGGTGCAAGCTCAGACCCTAGCTCAGTGTGCGTCTTTTCTTTCGGGGGCGAGTCTATAGAAGAAAGTAAGCAGGGGGTGCTGGAGCACCATAGTCGGTAGCAGTAGTCACTTACCCAACCTCGCAGGATCCAGAAAGTCCGCTATCATCATGACCGCAGAATACGTCAGCTGGCGCAGAACACTTTCCGCCTTCATTTCCTCCGTCAGCTCATCCGCAGCGGCCTGGATATTCCCTGCCTGTTCCAGTTTGTCCCACTCAGACTTGATCTTGGCGTCCATCCGCTGGAAGCAGCCTGCCAATATCGGGGGTAGGAAGTGGCGCCGAAGCTCAACGGGACACATATCCACCAGCAGTCTGACGAGATTGAGGAGAGCTATGAGCTGATGCGGGGAGAGACAGTAGGAGTCCGCGAACAACGCATGGGCGAGTGGCCCAGGAAGCTCTTCGAACCCATAAAACTGTTGCTCGAGGCAGCTCATGCAGAAAATGACAGAGTAGCAGAACTCGCGAACGTAGCGGATCTGACCACGTATTGATGATGCCAGGCCTTCCAGAGTGTTCTTCTTATTGATCACTCTGGCGTAGAAATCATCTTTGCTGCCTTCAGATATGCCAGCTTGCCAGAATCTGTCCGTGAGCACACGACCGACAATAGATTGCATTTCGACGGGCAGTAGCATCCAATTACTAGGATTGGCAGATGCATGTGCATGGCTGGGCCAGAGTCAGCAATTGTATAATGTCTGCATCCAGAGTCGTAGCTCACCTTAAAAACTGGAGCAGCTCGGGTAATATGATGGGGAAGCTATCTTGCCACAAGGCGCACGACGCAAGATATGATGGGGATGACTTCTCGAGTTTGTCTACTGAGTAGTTTAAGAAAGATTTCGTAGCACGCAGAGGCAAGAGCTGTGGCGAAATTAGCATCGGCATAATAGTTGAGGCTTTGAGGTGCTTACCTGCTGCCGCTCCTCCAGTTCGGCCTGTAGGGCAGCCCCCTCGGCGTCAAGCTCGACCGAGCCCCAGTCAGAGATTTGGTCGACCCGGTGGTTCGCCAGATACCTTTGCGCTTTGTCAAGCCCGGTAATTTCACAAAAGCCTTCGTATGTTGCGAGAGCACGCTTCAGGCCCTCGTCTCTCCATTGTGCCTTTACCGGCTCGACAAAGGACTGCAGCCGCTGAATACGGGTCGACTGGTCAATGTTGGTAGCACGATGGATAATTATGAAGAGGAAAGTCTTGTAGTTAACCAATCTCCGCTCGTCCAAGGTCCCCGAAGCGCTCATCTCGTTGATCTTGGCCTCCAATTGGTCGTAGACGCCAAGCAGGTTGTCCGGCATCTTGAAGGCCAGCCGTTGAAGCTCATTTAGACTCTCGGCTTGAAGATCTTTGATCGCCTCATTGAATGCTCTATGCTCAGGATGAGTCGCGGGCCAGGTCATCAAAATGTGCTCAAGAACCTTGAGCATAAAGCCGTTGTTCTTCTTCAAAGCAGTGGTCGAGAAGGCAACCAGAAGCTGGAGAAGCCGCTTCTGAATCAAAGGGTCTTCGAATTTCATGTCAATCAGTCGATTGCACCATGCCTCGAGGTGCTTGTCCAGCTGCGCTTTTTGCGCCTCGGCTTGCTCTGGATCGACGCCTTTCGGGGGCCGTGACCTCACATAACCTTTCAGCGCGGATTCTATGACGGTGAATTGAGCATCAACGCGCAGATATGCCATTGAGCTTTTGACGTAGTTGGCTGGGTTTATTGGCGGCTGTCCATCATATAGATGCTGCAACACGGTGTCGGTCTGCCCGAGGATGTAATTGATGGCATCTGAGAGTGTCAGCTCCACAATGCTCTCGATCACCTGGGAGCTATAACGTCTGTAGTTCCCCAGGAAAGCATGGCGTTCCGGGATCGTGTCGGTGTCTTCCATCAGGAGAATCAGCGTAGGATCTGGTGTGTCCTCCGGCAGGCTCTCATATCGGACCAACCTGGAGCTGCACAGCTCTAGCAGGGGTCCGACAAGATGCGTCTTCACTATGGACGGACCCAGCGCCCTATGACTGAGCAGCCTGGTCCAGGTGACAAGAACTGGGATTGAAACGACCAGACTTTGACTCTGAACGACTTGGAGGAGGAACTCCAGGAAGGGTTGGATGTCGGCATTTGGAGGAATCAAGCTAAACTTCCGATCCAGGTAGTTGCCTAGATGTGAGACCATCTGCGTATGTCAGCATACCCAGGTACACATCACGAATGGCAAGTGCTGGCCCTTACTTCTGAAAACTTCTTGGCGAACAAATACTTGTCGTCATCGATGTCCTCGGCGTCAACTGTGGACCAGGCAAACAGTTGGGAAAAGCGTTCGACACACGGCTTGTCATACATGGGCAAGACGAGGGCAGAGAACTGCTCGTCGCCAAAGTTGCTCCGAGAGTAAAGGGCATGGAGAGCTTCGAGTGACGCCTGCACAGGTTAGCCTGGTACTCGGTGGCAGCAGGTAGGACGGCATACCTTTTGGACAGCCAGGTGAGGCGCGACAAGGCCTTCATAGAGGTAGTGGACGGTGTTTGCGACAATGACGGATTTCGGGAAGGCCCACGGTAGAATGACAGTGAGCAAAACGAGGGCCTTGACAGCGGTTGATCGCACATCCTCGTTGCCCTGGATGTCAGAGGCGAGAGCCTCACCAAGTAGGCTGACGGCGCGCTGAAGCCAGCCTTCAGAGCCAAAACGAACGGGCGCGCCGGCCTCACGGTTAGGGAAGTCCTCGGTCAGGACGGACGCAGGCATGAATATATCAACAACGGCCTTGTCCAGAACGTTCTCGCGCATTGCGACAATGGGGTCATCCCCACCGATGATTTCCTCGGACAGCGACCCGAGCACGGACAAGACAAACTCCTTGTGGGCCCCAAACCCAGGCAGCTGCCAAAGCTGGACGAGCATCTGGTCCATGTCCATCCATTCGGCGCCCCAGCATCTCTTGGCGACTTCAACCCAGAGCTGTGCGATCTTGTTCCTGATGTACTGCGGGTCCTCTCTCGACGCCTGCTGGGCAAGCTCCAGGACCCATCCTCTCAAGCAGGCAGCCTCCTGGTCGTCATACTCGGCCCAGTTGTGTATAATCGAGTGCTCGAGGAGTGACAGGCCGTAGTATCGGACGATGGGCGACTGCGACTTGTCCGAAGCGAGGGTAAAGCCGTGCGATGGGCCCTCCTTGAGGGACTTGACTTGTTCGAGGAAGGACTGGGCTTCGATGCGTGTTTGGTTTGCTGACCGTGGATTGTAGACTACGTCGAGAGCGGATAGGATCCTTGGGACTATGTCGCCGTTTGCGCTGGAGTTGAAGCTGGAGTTGGCTTGGCCGTGTGGTGCTCCGTTTGCACTGCCAGAGCCAAAGCCCCCATTTGAGTGCAGAGTCGCCATTCCCGATCCCGATGCCGATCCTCTGGCAGGTGAGGCCGAGGGAGTACTGCCTAGGTCCGCCCACACTGATGCGAGACTCTTGTACGAGAAGCACGGCTAGTCCATTGCATGAAAAGGGCACCTCAGGGATAGTAGGAAGCGCGACAGAGTCACCAGATAAAGCCGGGCCTTGGAGGCTGGGGTGACTTCGGCCGGGTGCGCTTGCGCTCTCGCTCTCTTATCGTTTGGTTTGTGGCAGGACGGGGCAGAAGGAAAGAAATTTCGGGTGGGCAGGCGCGAGGGCGACAGTGTCACGAATGTGTGCAAAGCAAGGAAACAAGTGGGCAAAGGGGGCTCTGTTGGTCTGTTCTGTCTGAGTCTTTGACGGCCGGGTGGGCATGCGCAGACAAGAAGACGGCCGGTGAGGTTGAAAGCTGATGATGGGTGTAGCACTCCCTAAATTTTGGGCGCGCCGGAAGCGTGTCTGACAGTCGACGTAGGCGGGTCCCCTCCATCAGCGGGCCACCTTTCTAGCCCTGTCTGACCTGAGCTCGAGCAGGGATCCAGGTGTCTGGCCCAGGTGTCCGCTAAGGGCCCCACCAGTGAGTGAGTTAGTGACAGAATGACACGAGGATCCCGCCCGACAGGGGTCTGTCTGGCTGACTGACTTTCAGTTCTGCCTGACTTGGAATTGTTCAAAGAGCCACAGACACGCAAAGACACCAAACCCTCAGCTCTTTCCCGCGCCGCCCTCTTCATTTTGCAATATTTCTCAACGCATTTCCTCTGTATATGCACACAAATATTGCCATGAGTCTCACCAATCCACTGCTTCCATGACATCCACGGCTATTCCTATTGGTTGGGTCGTGGTCCCAGTCGAGTTGAGGTATGCCCAGCATTTGTGAGCTTCAGATGATAAACATGAACCTAGGCAGACAAATGATAGGGCTTCCCTCATTCTTGTATTTGCATAATTCTATTATGAAACACAATGAGGCATCAGGAGAGCCTTCCAAAGAATAGAATTCTCGTAGAAAAGGTGGTGCATCCCTCATTTTCCTCTCATTTTATTTCATATTACTGATATAACCATGTCTCAGTCTATATTGTCCCGCAATGGCTTGCACAGTGACATGATATCCCCATGTACCTTCTACTTGTCTCGCAGAGATGGTAACTACTTCTCACCCGGCACGGTGAGTTCGAACACTTTATCGTGTGAATCATTAGCAAGCCCCGTTCATTAATGACCAATGGAAGAATTGGGACGGCATCATGCCCCGAATATCGAACAGGTGGGAACTTACAGTGTACAGGAGCGGTAGAGAACTTTCGCGCTGGCGTCCTCTTCTGGAACAGGTAGTCCAGCTCGGCAAATGTGCGATTCTTCGTCTCGGGCAGGCAGAAGAAGATCCACACGGCCCAGATGCAGCACAGCCCGAAGTACAACATGCCGGCTTTGGCGCCCCAGTTCCACGCGTCGCTGCTCGAGTTCAGCATGCGCGGGTTGAGCTGCTGCAGGATGATCTGGCCGACGACGTACATCGCGCGGCCTAGGACTATGGTTTGCGCTCTGACACGGCTGGAGGGCGTCTCGCCCACGATAGTGTAGGTCGTGGGGCCGAGTGAGAGCTTGAATATCAGGTTTACAAGGATCATGACCACCGCGACAGCTATGGCGACGTTGTCTGCGCCCGGTACGAAACCAAGGATTCCGATGATCAGCATCAGAAGGCCGATGCTCGAGGACCCAAAGAAGAAGAAAATGCGGCGCCCAATCTTGCCCATCAGCGAAATGGCGATCGCAGTGCCCAAGATATTCACAGACTGGATACCCATGTTGTAGTTGAAGGCCTGGACCTGGGGCATGCCAGCCGACTGTAGGAATATAGTGGCGTACGCGCAGATAGCCTGGCCATTGAGGATCTGGATGATCCAGGCCATGCAGACGACACCGGTTCGCCGCAAATTAGTGCCGCGGAAACAGTCGCGATAGGTCGCGCCCGCTGCCTCGATCTTCTCCATCTCGTTAGTGTGGATCATCAAAGCGATTGTCTGCTATGCGTCAGTTATCTGCTACGGAACCCGAAGATAGGCCTTCTGGACGTTTCTAATGAAAGACGGATAGGCAGCCGTGGCGAGACAAGGATTATACTGACCTCGGCCATGGACTGCTCGGTGTAGTGGTCCTTGCGCGCGAGTCGGCGTAGAGCCTTCTGGGCATCTTCGATGCGGCCGCGGCGAACCAGGTACCAGGGACTCTCAGGCGCGACGAAGCCGACGATGAACAGAGGTACAACCCAGACCCATTGTAGGGCATAAGGAATCCGCCATGCCAGGTCACCTCGGAGGCCCAAGGAGCCACGCAACACTCCGGCAGCCAGGAACGAACCACAGCCCCAGCACATAGACACCCAGGATGTGAGGTAACCTCGCATAGCTGTGGGACAGATCTCGGCGGCGTAGGCGGTGGTGAGGGTTTGAAAGATACCCCAGGGAATGCCACACAAGATGTTGGCCGCGAACAGCATCTGGACGTTGACGGCGAAGAACAGGGTGAAAATTGTGGCCCCCATCAAAGCCATGGAGCCCATGTAGACTTTGCGACTCCCGTAGCGAGACTGCAGCCAGCCGTTCAACAGGAGGCCGATGATACTGCCCAGATTGTTTCCGTTGCCAATGGCCGCTTGCCACGAACTGGGTATGTGTTGCTTGCCGTTTGCATCGGGCCATCCGAACCTGTTGAGGTAGGCCTTTTGTCCAAAGAAATTATTGATTAGACCGACATCCATTCCTTCCATAACCAAGGCCAAGCTAAGAAGCATGCTATAGGTAGCAGCGGGCCAGTACCGTCTAAGAAGTTCCTTGCGAGGGAGCTTAGTTTCTACCTCGCTGGCGGCTGCTGCTGCTTCGACAAGGGCGATGTCGGGATTATATTCCGCATACTCAGCCTGGTCAATGGATCCGGGTCTGGCTTTGGCCACAGACTCGGCCTGACCCTTTTCATTGTCGGCCATGTTGTCAGTATCGAAGTGTGGCGATTAGCACAGCGATGGCGACTGGAGCTGAGAAATAGGCAATGCGATAAAGAGGCAAGATGAAAGCTCACTCGGACGGTACACAGAGGAGAGGAGGAGGAGGAGGAGGAGACGCTCAGGAGATAAGCGCGTTCGAACGTTGCATTCTGTATACTGTTCGTCCCGATGGTCTGGTCCCAGTGTTCCATGCCAAGTTGCCAAACCTTGTGCCAAGTAGGCGCCCACCAACCATGTGTCACTTGAGCAACTATACCAAGACAAACTCGCACAATTCAAACCCGAGTTCCTATTAGCCGCCCTCGCCTCAACCCCCGCAAAATCCCCATGGGGAACAATCCCATGGGCCCACTCGAGGTTCTGGCCCCTGGCGGATACCTTCAGCTAGCTCAGCTAGCCTCATCCCATGACCACAAGTCTTCCAACCGGAGATATGTTAAAGTGACTTCCAAGACACCCCGGAGCTGGATACTCACTAGGACATCTCTGCACCGACAAACGGGCGCCTTTGGACCGAAAGACGGGCGTCTTTAAACCGAGGGAGCAGCATCGGGGCAGGCGGGGAAGTGCATCCTTCAAGCCAACGGTTTCGTGGAAGGACCAGGCTGTTGAGGTGTCGGTCAGGAGAGAGCGTCAGTCAGACGAGGTGACTCCTTGGACTAATTAAACTAGCCCAGGCCAAGATCTGTGCCTTATCCTCATGCATTACTGGACGAGCGGCTGCAGGTCTCAGAGTACCTTCCCCATTGGTTGCTCGCTTACCTCGACCTCGGAAACATCCTGTCGAACGTTGGCGATCTCAAAATGGCCTCCCTTTACCTCTCTTGAGTATGGTGTCCGTCACTGGAAGCGGTTGGCATCGACACGGTGAGATATTTATGAAAGTCTCAAAAATCTGACAGGAGATTCCAGTTCAAGCTGCTCGCCTGAGTCCCTGCAACTCTTTTGCTTGGCGTTATTTCGGGCCAACCAAAGTTTGTGCTTGATGTTTCCCAACTATCTGTTTCACAGCTTTGGTTGCCGGCTTTGCTGTTTGTGTGTCTATAAAGCCAATCTTATGGCAAACATGAAGAAAAGTGCCTTAGTTAAAGTAGAAGTCACAGAAGCGGACATCCAAATTGCTTGGATGATATAACAGACACGTAAAATTATAGTATCAAACTTGAAGTACACTTCCTCTATAACTTTGCAGGACCAACTAGCATGTCTCTTCTGTAGAAAAAGAGCAGCTAGTATATATACTATCTTTCCCTTGACTACACTTTCCCCTTTACTTTATACTATTAGGCATTATATTTTATAATACTTTTAGCTACACTTAAAGTTTATATACTTTAAATATTATACCTTAAGGCTTTTTAAAATTATTATAAACTAATATAAATAATAATAAATTATTTAAAAAAAAATATAAACTAATTTTAATTAATAATTATTAAAGCTTTTAATTTTTTATTCTTTTTTTACTTTTTTATAGTATAAGGATTACGCAGGTACACGTTATTAGGGAGATTTTTAAATAGTGAAACAGCTTAACGTAGCCTGTCTTGGCCTTTTGAAAGTGACCTTGGCGTCCTTGAATACAATTGGCATCACAACACCGCCCGTTCAGTTTATACAACAGAAAATTGCAAAGTTTTTAAAAATAGATATAGCATGTAGCTAAAAGGAAAAGAGCAGACCATCACATCTATTCAACCCACATCTTACCCTCATAAAGGCTACCTTTTTCATAATGAAACATGTTGATACCAACTTACTGCTTACCAGACAGCCAGGCACATGTCTCGCCAAGGCACGGTACAACTCGACTTGATCTATTGTATGGGTCGTGATGAGCTTTGTTGCGATCAAGAACAATATGCAAAAACAAGCTCAGGTGAATCTGTTTACCAATTGGACCACGAGACTGCACGGCCAGCTGAATTTTGCCTCCACTTGGAAAGAAGTCCCGATGTTTGAGCTTATGTTCTGGCTCCGTTTTCACTATTCCGAGAGACGGCGAGAAGAGATTCACAAAGTGCAAGTGGAAGGGAGCATAGTGTCGTTCGCGTTGCAGTCCGGACTGTGTCTGTATGCGAACGCGAAGCTCACATCCAGGAGCAGTTTCAAGCAAGGGAAGGAACATGATCTTGAAGCAAATGAAATTCGCCGTCACGGTCGAAAAGGCGTCTGCGAGAAGCCAAGAGGTCCTTCCGATGTGAGAGAGCGAGTACAAAACGACTTGGCTGGGCTGTTCGATTCAGGATGGGTGACTGGTTCTTTGGGCTCAGCAACAGGAAGTCCAAGACAGGTAAAAGCGTATCCCAGGCAGTATACCAGCTCGATCTATTTGAAGGCCAACATTTTAGGCTAGACCCAAGATGAAGGTCTTCACTATCGGACCAGGGGTTAGAGAAGTCCTCTCTCAGACTGCATTCCTAGTTACAGGCAGGAGCGGTGCCAGTGTTTCAGGACTGAACACTCAAGCCATTTGATTTTGTGTTGTCACAAGAAGTCTAAATATATAAATAGCACTAGCTTAAAGTTAGTTACAGCTACGTAATTGCCCTGAATTCCTAATGCAGAATCAATGTCTGGATTTGTCAGGCTGGTAGGCCACTTGGACCCATAGAATCAGGCTGCATCGGCGGCGGGAATTCTCGTTCTCCTGATAAGACCATCGCAGGACTTTGTATTCAACAATTTTCCACCAACGAGTCTGCAAGCCCAAACCACAATCATGGAAGCCCTGGACGCTTCAGACACGGCCCGATTTGAAGGCTTTCACATCATAAACAAAATTTATAAAACTATCAATGGGCATACTATAGACCTGAACATACTGTATCCGAAGACTCTCTCCGTCTCCGACACTTCCGAATTGGCATCTCCGGTGCTCTTGAGATTCCATGGGGGCGGCCTCGTTGCCGGATCCAGCCTCTACCCACCATTCTTTGCCCCTTGGATGCTCCAGCTTGTCCAATACCATTCCGCGGTCTTAGTTTCGCCCAACTATCGTCTGATTCCCGAATCCACGGCCCAGGAATTAATCGATGATGCAAACGATGCCCTGATATGGGTCCGACGGGAGCTGCCACGGTCATGCGCGACGAGGCTGGCATTCAGGTTGACACAGATCGCATCATGACTGCTGGTGATAGCGCAGGAGGCTACCTGAGTCTCCATGTCGGTCTTAGCCATCCAGCTGAAGTACGGGCTGTCACCGCTGCCTACCCACTCGTGGACGCGGCCTGTCCGCATTTCATTGGTCAGTACACCAAGACGGTATTCAACTTACCGACGATACCCAAGGAAACTGTCTCGACACAAATGACAGAGATTGCGCACCGCAAAACCAAGGAGATTGTATCTTCGGACCCACTTCTGCGACGCGGTGGACTTATGTTTGGTCTGGTTCAGCATGGTCTGTTCGGCGATCTTTTCCCTACGCATCAGCGAAACATATTCCCCGTGTTCCAACTTGAAGATGGTGCTCGTTTCCCGCTGGGTGGTGTCCTCGTGTGGCACGGCAAGGACGATTCGGTCGTTCCCGTCGAGGGGAGCTTGAAGTTGAAGAAAACAGTCAGCGAGCTTGACCCCGATCTTGACTTCAGATTAGTCATCCGTGAGGGAGAGCACGGCTTTGATCACGCTACCAATGTCAACGATGAATGGGCAGCGGAAGCATTGAATGGCTGCGTGACGTCTTGGCTACAGTCCTGACCCTAGGGCTAGCAAGCGTGAAAGAAATGAATTTTGATGGGCTGAAGTTGCATTATAAATTCCAAAAAAGTCCAAAAACAAAAAGGCTTCTTTTCATCACTTGGAGTACTGTTAGCAATTTCAGGCTTTCAGTGACAGTCCAACCACCATTCATATTGCTCTGACAAAAGCTTGAGTCTCCTGGGCCAAGACCTAACATTTGTCTTTGACAGCCCCTCTCGTAAGAGAGTTCACTGATAATAGAGCATGCTATACATTCACAGAAGATTGGAATACTTTGCTTTATATCACAGTATTCGCCCTTTCTACCTGTAGTTCCCCGTTAGTCATCTTTAAGCATTCGTACTGGAGAGCAAGCATAGCAGTCACTCATGTGAGTGCGCAACAAAGCCATGTCTAGCTTTGTTTTCGAGATGCTTTCTTTTCCCGGTCGAGCAGTCTTTTCCAGTAAAGAACGATGACAGTTGGGAATAGGTATGAACCAGCCCCTATCCAACGAATGCTCAATCATGGTATCCCGTAAGACTTCAGCCCGAGATGCCATGCAATGAAGCTGAAGAGCAAGAAGATGAGAAGAGAATGTCCAGAGGCCAAAGCTATTAGCACCTTGCCCCTATGATTTGTCTCGTCAGTCATGAACCTCTGAAATATATGCCAGAAACAAGGTTGTGTAAGGAATTCTAGGGAATCACGTCGAAATGGAAAAGACCATGTCCAAGACGTCCACAAAAGTCAACCGCTTTTAGGGAGTACGTAATCCCTGCTCCAACAGCTGCCGAACTGGGGGTGGAGACTCGACTGGAGCCTGGACGACAGAAGGAGAAGAATGGACATTTGCTCTTCCAGATCAGAAATTAAAATCAACAACCTCGTTGAAAAGTCACCAGCACCTTTCAGGTCCGTGTCTTAGGTCAGCCTCTCGGCCCCCGGCAGGTCCGGAGGTGGTCTTGATGAAGGCCTGTGTTGTCTGTAGCTCGTTGGCATAACCGGCAGGAGTAGGCAGTGACCATCGGTGCTCGATAATTCTTGACTTGTGGCATATGCCGGCCCCTTAGGTGCTCCAACTTGCCACAGCCTTATCGGTAGCTCTTTTAGGCATCTCGAGGCTGGCCCGGTGGTAGATGAGCCCCAGAGTTGTAGTGCCTCTCTCTGTCCCTTCCTGAGCTTAAGACCACATTGACACAACCCCTTTTGCAACGATATTGATGTTTGCTGGTTTTATGACGCCTAAAGAGAATGTCAGATATGGAGGTTTTTTTTTTTCCTTTTTTCCTTTTTTCCTTCTTCTTTTTTCTTTTTTGGGGAGGAGGGTCATGAGAAGATTTGCCTTAAGAGCCGATTTACTTGGGAAAGTTTGAGTACATACGAGCATTAATCAGGCGCAGTATATGCCAGAAGATCAGCTTTGCTGCATGATGCATCAAACCCTGCCCGACGACGCAGCTGGAAAATCCAACCAGTGACTGGAACAGTGTCGTCGCCAGAAAGGTAACTGCTGACACTAGTGGCTTGGGGCCTTATTACGCTTACTGCCAGCACATTATCGCTTGACTGCGATTGTGTGCGCAGCAGAGATCTTACACACATATGCACTATGCGGATACTTAAACAATTCTCTCGCAGTATCACGATGGCGCTTGCAACTGACACCGCAAGCCACTGGAGAGGCTATTACTTTCAGCCACTGAAGTGCCAGCGAGGGAAGTAGTGAGCAGTCTCTGGCACTATCTTGATCATCCGTATCTTCGTTTTACATGAGCGTGCCGTCATCTTGCCATCCACCAAGAGACCGGGGTACTTTAGTGAACATGTTGAATCCCTCGTCTGGCTCAAGATAAAACGCATTCAACTCAGCACTGATATGAATGGGCTAACGTGTTGCTAAACTCGTGTCATATTAAACAGTTGACGCAATGCGACAAAGTCCAATGAGACTCCTTACTACGGTATACCATACGGGAGATGGTCTTGCGAGCGATCATTTCAGAGCGGGTCATTGTCAGGGCGATGCAAGCGTTTGGTGGATGGAACATGCTGAAATCAGAATTTCCGCTGCAAGAACAAATCTATTCGTGTTCTCTCCCTCCTCCTCTCTTTTCCTTTTTTACTTTACTTTTTTTGTGTTGAGAAGGGGGGTCTGCACCTTTTGCGTCCGCGGCGTGGCTGATCATGGCAACAGCATCGCACAAGTGAAGCTTGGTTCTAATTCAAGTTAAATCGAATTTGTGCCGTAAATCCGAGACCACATCTTTTGGTCTTTTGCTTCAACCAATTGTGCTGAACTGCATCGGCTCATAGGCGGCTTCCGCGTGTGTATAAGCAGCTCATACCAAAAAGCCGAAGCTGCTACCAGCTATCCTGTTCACCACTCCCACTCCCACTTCTACATTCACTTCCGCTTCAAAGTTTTCTGTTATCGCACATGGAAGGATCTGTAAGGTATTACTAAGTCGTGAGCGGGGGAGAAAAGCTGTCCGTGGGCGATCTCCTCCTCACTGAAGTCTGGTTATGAATATGCTTCATTTGGTGTTCCCATAGCTGGACGGATAAAAGGACAGGAGATATCAGATTTGAGATCATAGTACCTGAGAATATGAATGAAATTTCTAGTTCTATCTAATGAAACGGCCTCGTAATAACTCCAAAATCCTAGATAGCTCGAACTGTTAGCGATTAGAATTAAGAAGCAAGTTTTGGGCAGTGTTAGGGGGGAAAGGTACAGGACGGGAAAATGCATATTTATTTGGAGCTCACGGTTTTCAATTGTTGAGCAGTGCCATAGGATAGCCAGCTAAGATGGCCAAACAATGTCGGAGTGAGGATCTCAGAGCCAAGGTGGCATACCGGGCAGGCCAGAGGATTTCTGTACCACTGGTGGCCTGGGCTGTCGGCTGTTACACTCGGACACATTAGCAGCAGGGGTATTCACGACCTACGCAAATCATTACTTCTCGTACAAAGACTTAGATTACAAGATCGTAGCCCTTTTGTTTTGGAGTTAATTGACGGACTGTATTGCGTTACTAGTATCTCTACGTAATAATCAATTTACTGTGCATAAATTCTGTCGATCTAATTTGCTTTGATTTTTTCCACTTCTGCTAATGTCCTGCCTGCTAGTGTGGCGTATCAGACCTACACCCTCTGTGGCATATGACCAGTTGGACTGAGCCACGTGTCTGCCATACGGTTTGCAAGAACCTCGGAGGTTAGCCGGGTACTTCGAAGTACATAGAAAGTGGCAATCTACCCAGGCACGCCCTTGCAGGTTATTCAACAAGATATTGATACTGGAACTTTTTCGCTAGGAGGTTACTCTACAAGAGGTTATCCTATAGCGTCTAAGAGACTATCCCGCAGAAGATTATCCTTCAGGGAAGAGCATGTACCAGGAGGGTTTCTCTACGGGAAAGAGTGTGTACCAATCAAGTTCTGTACAACGTTCGGGATCCTCGTGGGCTGCAGAAATGCTGTAGTCTGTGTTTGGAGCCACCCCGTCTCACGACGCTCCTCATATTTCTTTCCACTTTTACGACTTCACAGCTACAACTTCTTAACGGATCGCGATCAGCTCCTCTGATTCACAATGTCGACTTGGCATAATTCGGGCTGCAGAAAACCAGACGTAGTATCCGTGGATGATATTCCCGTATGCAAGAGCTGTGGCTCAGCCTGCATTCGGCAGCAGCCTACGGATGCTCGTGAGCTACGCGTGGTAGTGTCGAGGGGTCAAGAAGGCCCAAGTGAGCTCAAGCTTGCGTGGCCATCCACGATTACTTTTTCACAACTCGAAAGTCTTCCGGAAGGTTCCGAGATCAGACTGCGATTAGAACAGCTGACGATGCTCAGGGGCCGGAATTCACCTCACGGGGAAGGTTTTCAAGATCTACCTTTGAACGAGAATACCTGCGTCAATATAATACGCCATCGAAACGGCCAGATTGTTGACCACCACGAACTCGATACACAAAATACGCCTTCATTTCAAAGCTTGTATAATTACGGTTTCGATGCCGAAGATGATCGTTTCGTCGAGAGTCTGGAAAATGACTTGAGAAACGGCGTCAGTGATCTCGTAGACATCCTGGAGATGGATTTGAAGAATATCTCGCGACGGGACGTGGACGAGACACTGCGAAGGAGCCAAAGATCAGTGAAGGGAAATAATCCCAATCGATGCCGCTTCCCGCCCATGTCAGGTCCTCGGATGAAATACCAGTCGATGTTGACTCAAGCTCCCACGTCGATGTCACGGCTGGCAAAGTCACATGCTCCGCCAATACATCCGCTGAATAGGAGGGTCGATAGGCGAAATTCAAACTCCGAAGATCAATGTCTTACACTTAGCCGCATGTACAAGGACTTGGAGGGAAAGGACCAAATCCGCCTGCTATATTTGAGCCCCGAGGACGCTGGACATGGAATGGTTCCCCGTGAACGAGCTCTTCATGGCTATTTAAAGCATGTGAGTCTTGCCGACCGCCCAGGATTCATCGCAGTATCATATACGTGGGCTTCTAAGGGGGGCGACAGAAAGGCGTCAAAGACGATATTCCTAGGCGATAGCTGGGAGCCTTTGGCCATTACACGTAATTGTGCAGACGCACTCCGCCAACTACGCCACGCTACAGAGACTCGCGCAGTATGGATCGATGCCGTGTGTATCAATCAGCTCAATGGAGTGGAAAAGACACACCAGGTCGGAATTATGAGGGACATATACTCTAGCGCCGAGCTGGTCAAGATATACCTTGGATGGGACGGCGTGTACAGGAAGCACGGCTTAAGGCGAGTGCGCGATTCACTTTTCTGCGATGGAAACACGGCAAGGCTGACGCAAGCCGATTACGATGATGTTGAGGCGCTCTTTGAACGGCCTTATTGGTCACGGATATGGGTGGTTCAAGAGGTCTTTCTTTCGAAAGAGGCCGTAGTATTGATTGGAGACAGCTCTATACCACTGTCATCAATTTTGAGGACGGCTTTTTGCTCATACTTTCCGACATGGGTCTCTCTGGCCCAAGGCTCCAGAGCAGGGAGAATTTGCCCACTGGGCAATGCAGAATCGTTTTCAGAGCTCCTTTTCGCTACATCGTTCTGCAATGCATTGGATCAAAGGGACAGAGTTTTCGCCTTGCTCGGATTGGTACAAGGTGCGAAATTGGAAGGCCTTGTAGCGGACTACTCTCAGACAGCGGCTGAGATTTATGTTGGCTTGACTGCGTACTTCCTCATCAAGCATGGACAGTTCAGACTTCTGAAGCTGGCTGCTATCGAAAATCGGAGTTCTGGCATATATGACAACACCGAGAGACGTTTTGCTGGAGAAAGGCCCTCGTGGGTCCCCACGTGGGACTATTCGCTGCGAACAGATCTAAACTCCATCGAGCAGCACCTTGTGAAGTGCTGCACTAACTATTGGAGCACTGAAGAGTTCATATGGGACGAAGTGCGCGAATCATGGGTGAGCACTGGAAAACGAATGTTGAGGGCATTCCTCGAGAATCTCACACCGGCATCTCCTAGCCGAAGGATCAGTATGGAAGGAGACATCAACGAGGACAACCCAGTTCCACGAGTTTTTCAAGGCTCAGGTGCGCTTCTTATCCGTGCATACTGCGTATTGGATCTGGATATGGCTTTGCACGGAGGCGCTTTTGTGGCAGACCTTTCTGGAGCAGGACTCGTCCTGCAGCCTCGGGTCAGCTCGCTGGGTTGGAGACTTCATATACTCTCAGATTCGGCATCTATCGAACGCGAAGATCGCTTCGTTGAAATTCCGGGCTGTGATAGCTTCCTCCACCTGAAACCAGTTGGGCGTGTCCCTGGAGCATATCGACTTGCGTCCATGTGTCTCATCGCTTTCGTAGCCGACAAGCATTCTGATATGGCACTGTTACTCACACGGCTTGAAAACTCGTCATCTTGCAGGAATCACCGTCTGTTGAATCGACTTATCCCGTTTCTATCGAGAGACCTACAATACCTCCAAGACTGGATGTTCGCAATGCGTTTGAATACGTGGCTAGTCCCTGCACGAGTGACGAAGAACACGGACCAGCTCGGTCAGGGTTTGTCAGCCAAAGAGATAAAACAGTATCAACAATGGCTGATCTACATCACCCAATATTCCACATCAGTCTTGGGTCAAGAAGATAGACCGGGCACGGGCGAGCTCGACGAAGTATTGGGAAAGCTATCGTCGCACTTGGACGAATGGCAGGAAATCTCCCTGTGGCAAAGAATATGCGGCTTACTGGAAGCAGTCGACTGGCAACAATACCTTATGTTCCTGACAGATATGAGATTTCGTCTGCATCAGTATTTCTTGCATTGCTCAAACATGGACAACGTTGAGATGTCCAGCTTCTGCGAGGATGCCGTTGAGAGCAAACTAGAAGGGTTACTTATCGATATATCGAGGACACTGCCGCTTGAGGATGAGCGATTGTATTTCGGTGATGTAACGCTATCTGACGCGGTGGCGGAAGTTTGCAATGGCAATGTGGTAGAGGCTTGCCGGAATATGACCATTTGGGCAAATGAGACGGAAGACGGCATATTTGGTCCGTGGATGAGGCTGGAAGCCTTCCTCAGGCACATGCTGCACTGTCAAGCAGACAGTAACAGAATGCTGGACAAGTTTACACAGCGACAGGTGCTGAAACAACTGTATACGAGATGGGAGCCGCAAGATTTCCTTTTATATTGAATGAATGCCTCGAGGTGGTCTTCCACCTTAAGCTACCTTGTCCCATTAGTGAGGGGTGCAGTTTAACTCCACTTCAAACACGGACATTGCTTTCTCGAGAACGACAAAACACCGACAACAAAGCACTCATTCATTGGAACCAGCACAGAACGAACTCAATCACAAAACTGTTAAAAAATGTGGTCTCGGGGAATCGACACAGGCCCGGTTTGAACGGACGCCTCCGAAGAGAATAGATATCATGAAGTAGAATTCAAGTCTATCGCATTAGACCACTCTGCCACTGTGCCGTTGAGGAATGAGGAAAATTTTGATATTATATATCCGATATTCCCGAGGCGTTCCGAGTGGGCCGGCGCCACTCGCCCCCGAGCGGTCTGACGTGGTTAGCCTGCACAAGGACGTGGGCAGCTTATTATCGCACTCATACCTTTACTATGCTATACGCCTTGGACAGTGTACATGTAGGCAAGGAAGTATATGCAGTTCTCAATCCCGAGCAAGACAAATTTTTGATTACTCCTTGCTGATGACTCACTGTACTGTTTGTTACCTGCGGCTTATACAAGTATCCAATCCGAGAAGTCGTGTCATTGGTTAGTGCAGACCCGCGAAGGCATTGCTTGAAGTAGCCTGCATCCAAGCTGGCGGAGAAAAAAAGCAGCAGGGCAAGAGTTTTCAAAGCGCAACACAGCAGAACTCCAATGCAACAACCAGGAGTCCATTCAACACCACCATAACACTGCAAAGCTCTCCTGTCCACTAAAGCGGCACAAACAAATAGAAAAGGCAACCCAGTTCGACCAAGCCCCAACATTGAACCGAGATGAGCCGCTCGAGTGACAAGCAAATGACCGACAAGGAGGTCTCGGCCGCCTTTACTTCATTTTACCTTCAGCGGGCCACTAAAGAGTTCGCAGAGGACCTCGACAAGATTCGCAATGCTGATGATTTCAAGAGCGAAGCAATTCCCACTCTGGTCAGCGCATTGTCCCAGGGTACCGCCATGTTCTCGTCAGCAGATCAGCGCAGGATCGTCACGGCGGATGGTCCGGTGAAGAAGTCAGCTTGAGCATGTCGCAACAATGGGTAGAATATGGGCATTTGAGGTTGCCTGTTTTGATCGAGGCTGGCTCAAGCAGCACGACGGCGGTTCCAATCCGAGTCGGTCCGTCCTTCTGCTTGAGCGCGAAGGGCAGTCTTCATTCGTCTTGGTCTGGTGCAGAGTCCTCAGAGAACATTTGCATTTACGGATTACGCTCATGACAAGACAACTTGGGCTGATTGCCTGACTGCCACAAAGGGCGGGAGCGGCGGGATAGGCCGAGAGAATGTTCAGAACCCCGATAAATCTCATGGCGCCTGTAGTGCGAGGCCTGACTCTCCCTCGAATTTCGAATCAACCACATGCACTCAATCACTCAAGGACACAATTTGTGTTGTATGGATAGGTGTTCAGCAGCACTCAACAGGCGCACGTACCATTTTCACAGACGGAGAACAATCTTTTAACTCTTCGGTCGGGCTGTGCCCCTGGTCTGGGCTTTCAAGGGATGGTACACATGAGATGGTACACATCGAAAATAAAATATTGATAACCAATACTAGTAGTCTTTGATCTTGCTTCGAAGCGTCAACTGAACTCTTTTCTGAGATCTTTCAAGGGCTCTGACCAATCAATCAGGGGTGCTGAAAGAAGTTGAATTCACTTCCTGAGCATAGCTCTACCTAGTCCTAAACTTCCTTGTTCATGTCGCCTTGACAGCCTCCACAATTTGCTCGGTTGCTCCCCCAAGTTGTTCGCTCGGCCTCAATACTCGCAACGCAACGCGCTTAGAATGCTGCGACGTTGTTCGCCTGTCACCTCCTAGACCATTCAATGTCGGTTGGGTGAAAGACACCCCAGAAAAAGACTGACCTGAGGGGGCAATGCCCTTCCGTGGCCTTTCCCTGACAAGCCTGAACTAGGGTCAGAGGTAAGAGGCCAAAGATGCAAGGCTCCACTCAACGGCATCACGGGTAATACTGACAGTATAGTGATTACGGAAGAAGAGCAAGAGGGCCCATAAAACGTTAGTATGACTCATCGATAGTGGCTCAATGCTCTTCACAACATGGCTTGGTCAACACTCAAGGTGCTACATTACAGGTTGCGTGGCAGATTTGAGCCTGTCCTTGGACGTGCTACACAACTCAATCCCTGGCGAGGAGCTTGAATGAAAGATGCATTGAAGTAGAAGGAATTCTCCTCAAATGAGCAAAATTCATTCAAGGTGAGGGCTGGCGATAGTGGCAGCGCCCAGAAATGCAATGCTTACAAAGCCTAGTTACCATTTGACGCTCACATTATGCGCCAGATTACATTTTGTGATATACGAAATGCATCATGCAGAGCATATTCGGTATATACTTTAAGCATTAGCAGCGGCAAGAAAGGGGACATCCAGTCTTTTAGCAAGAGCATCCATTTGTGGATCGAAGAAACGATATGTTGAACAGACAGCACTGGATCCATCTATAGATCGAAGAAACAATATGTCAAACACGCAGCACTGAATTCATCTCCCGTCCAATTTAAGAGTGCAAGTCCGTCTTTCACGTCTTTTACCTTTCATCCTTCATCCCCACTACCCTTCACATCCTCTTGACATATTGTTTCTTACCGTGCTCAGCAAACATGAAGCCACTCGACAAGGGTCCTTTCGAGGATGTCATGAAGATCGATGACCCTTGTGCCCATTTCATCGGCAAAGATAACCCCGGAGTTGAAGTTGATGATGGCTTCTCTTTCAAGATGATCGTTGGAGGAATTTGTCCGGATGGGGCTGGTGTCAAAGTGGAAATCCAGCATGAGGATGCTTTGTGCCCTGCGGAGCAACTTTATGTCAACTGCTTAGACCTCGGTGTCGACACTCTGGAAGAAGTGGAGGTCATCTTGCGCGGCTTGGACAACAACCCGTTCAAGCGGCTCAAGAGCCTCATGCAGGAGATGGGACCGATCATCCGCCAGTTTGGTGTTTGGCAAAGCGGCTCAGAAATGGTATGTCACGGCCCGCTCCACAACCATTGCCCTGTACTAAGACAGCCTATCAGCACTATGACAATGCGACTCTCAATATCCATGGTCGGGAGTATTACTTACGAACACAGTTCCTCAGTGCAATCGCATTTCTCAACAAACTCATCAACATTCATGATGAGGGAGGCAATTTGTGCCAACTGGTCAATGATCTGGTCTACTTTGGATTTCAGTATGGAGACATGGGCAAGGAGCTATCCAGAGGTCTTGTGGAACTGGAGAATCATACAATCATGCAGGCGACCCATGACGAGAACACAGTCCGGAGAATTGCATCCGTGAGCCCACTTTGAATACATCAAGGCTACCTGGGACGCGCAACTAATCATATCACAGGCAAAGTCCAGTGTCTACCGAATCATAGCCACCATGAGCTGGATTCAGTCGCAGCTCTGCACTAGACTTTGGTCGCCCAACGCAGTCGACCTTGCACTGGGCACAGCGGTCTTGTCGTCAGCCGGCCATCTTTCGAGCCCTCCTGGTCGCAGAGCCATTCTCGGACGCAGCAATGGTGTCACCGACCTCGACGCGGCTACTGGCTCCGGAGCAGCAGGCGACATCCAGGGATATCTAGACTCTGGCGATGGAGACCGCGAAGAGACACAACAACGTGAAAGTGATTCTGAAGAGCATGGTACCAATGGCACCAATTCAGACGATGCCGAAAACAATGGTCAGGCTGAGAACACTAGCGTCGACAATCCAGAGGATGGCAATGATCCGGACGGGGACCCTGCCGAGCACGTGAACGCCAATATTGCTGCGAGACCGACAGTCACGTTCTTCATCATCCGAAATTTCAACCACGTCAGGGTGGTGAAGGCTGTCAGAATGTATCGCGACACGCCAATCGGCCGTGCGCTTGAGTACTACTGCTCTAGAAATGAGATTCCATACTGGTCGGTGTGGTTCAGTTTTCTAGGAGAGCCGGTGTGGCCGGTGGAGACTCCTGATGATGTAAGTCGTGCGCGTGGATCGTTGTCATCTGAGATTTAGTACTGACAGATTGCCTTAGATGGGGTTGGATGACGACGATGAGATCTTTGTCCACAGGTACTAGGTTGGTGGTTGCGACCAGTCATTCTGGTATTTGCAATCAGATGAAAACACGTCTTTTCCCTATGATGGCTTCGTAAGGGCGATGCTGCTTGTGGTATTCAATGGTCTAGAGGGGGGGGGGTCATTCGCGGTACATGATGCCGGATAAGAAATTTCGGAACGGAAAGAAGTGCGCTGATTTTATTTTCAAGATCAATGGCCTTCGCGCGGTTGGCAGGTGGTGATGTGATAATCGAACACAATACATGCCATTCATTCACGCGGAGCTTAAGAAACAGAATATCCAGGCATGCCACGCGCTTTTTGACTTGCATGCTACGAGGAACCATTTCATCTTGCTCCTGGTCGCCGCAATTTTATGTTTTCTTCATTGTGTTGTGTGACTGTTCCTGTTCACTGTCTCCGGCATTCCACAGGAAGCGCAGCTTTATAACTTCGGGTTCCTGCTACCTCCCGATCGACGTCGTTTTGGACTCTTCGTATACCAGGATTTGGCATCAGACAACAAGCCCTGAATGGCGACCACGAGGGCGGCCAACCTATAACGAGAATCGTCAGCTGTAGTGCCTTTTACCGCAGTGCTATTCACTCTAAATTACCATGCGGCATGCGCAGCAACAATTATTTGGCACATTCACTTCCCCTTGAATTTAATTACGAATCGGGCACCTTCTCCTCAGATTACTCATGGCAATTTCCGTAATGCAATTGGCGAACTAATGATGATACGAGGATTTGAGAATCCAAGTTGTGTCATGTTGTCTCTCCTTTTCGGTGACAAGTAAAATCCTGTCAAAGTCGTTGAAGAGCCACTCAAAGTTAGTATCTCTCTGCATAATGTATGCTTTGAACTCTGCCTTAATCCTAAGCATCCTTCGTTACAGGAACAGGGGTGCGAGGAATTTTTGTTTTGCGAGCAGTGGCTTGGAAAACGACAATTCATTTTCTTCAGATCCACACCCTAACGATTGTTGAGCACGACCAGGGAGCTCATAAGTTTCGATTGTTATGGGCCACAAATTAAATTGATTACTTAGAAGCTGGCAACAAGCTGCTTTTTTACTCATGGACTCATGTATGCCACAGTGGTAGCACTCGTAGTTGGTCCTCTACTGTTACAAGGCTGTGATCCGAGCGTGTTGTTATCGGACTCATCCTTGTCTTCATCATTCACACCTGGTCTGCCACTCTTAACAGTGTTCCAGGGTGAATCGTCGAAGTCAACATGGGTATCTTTTCTTGCTCAAGTCGTGAACTGACATGCGTCTCCTTCACAACCATCGGTGGCAGTCTCGTGAACCGATTTAAAAGGCTCTCAGGGACCCAAATTTGAGACGATTCGGCGGGGAGGGGGAATTCAAGTTGATGGTAGAGAAAATTTGTGCCTCAAGCCTTGCTTACTAAATGTTACTAAATCTTGATGTTGATTACATTGTCCAAAACGCGTTCAAAAATGCAAGACCAACAATCTTTGTCGGCATAGACATGTCATTCTTAAATGAAAGAAACCATTCTTCCTCTCAGGAAACAGGTGCCCAGGTTTTCTATTAAGCCCTCGACATTCAGCTTAGAATCACTTGAAAACCTTCGGACGCCAGCGACCATAGTACGGCAGAGCCCAGATACTCCTGCTTGATCGACAGATATAGGGGTGGGCCTATCGCTCTAGCACACCTCGCACTGTACCGGGATTGACCCCTTCCATTCTGAACATGGTTTAAAATCAACGAGAGAAAAAGTTCATCCAAACCATTCCTGACAAGACCAGAAAAGATGACGTGGTGTAAAACGATTAACGGTACTCTTAGTACTGAATCCTGGCCATCAGCACAATTAGGTCCAAGTCATGCAATGTGTTAGGTCATCGCCGACGAGTAATAAATTGATAATTGAGCAGACGACACGAATGATCGCGTGTGCCTCAACAGCATAACTCATAAACGGCGACCCGTGGATGACTCTCCCACAGGGCGTAGTCAAACTCATGCCAACACCACCGAATCTGTAGATAGTAAATGTCTGTGTATGGATTGCCACAACGCAAGCCCACATTCTATCTATCCATTTCATGCATTTGAATGTTGACAGGATATAAGCAATCATTGATGTCCAAGACTTTTAGATGCGCTCGGACATCAAAGCAACAGACGCCAGGCTTCCCTGAAGAAACATTGTCTTGTCAGCCAAAAGCATACTCCGCATAGTGACTTGGTGCCTAGCCCAATTATCATAGAGCTCGGTTGTTTCTTGTGAGGCAATATCCCGAGCATAACGGCTGACATCTGTCAGACCCGCAGAATCTTCTCACTCCCTAAACAACATATCCCAGCTACATTCTGGTGAGTCTACATCACTTTACTTGGGATCGGGAGTGTCATCCTTCACTTGTCCTGACCTCAACACCAATAAGTGACTGGCACTAGCAGAGGAGCTCTTAGATCCAATCAAGTGCTATGTCTGCCTCTGTAGTCTCACAATATTGGTCCACGGCCGTCTGAAGCATCAATAAACAGGCTCATCAAGAGCTCTTAGGGCATTAGAGTTTAATATGCGTAGGTGTCCAGGATGATATTAATAAGAGTCTGGCAAAATGTGCGGGCTCCTTCTTTCTTTCCTCCTTTCGCTTTATGGAAAGAACCAAAGAAAAGAAAACCTCAGGTAGGGGGATGGCGGAAGTAATCAATTGTACACACTGATGCTCCACAGCTCCACCAGCTCGAGATCCGTCCAGTCGGAGAGCGTACCACAGGATAACCTGCTGTACGATGTCTGCTGTGTAATAAAGCGTTATAACATAACCTATGATGGGATAATATACTATGGGATAATCTGTTGTGGGATAATCTGTTGTGGGATAATCTATTGTAGAATAATCTACTGTGGGAAAATCGATTGTGGGATAATCTGTGGTGAGACAACCGGCTTGGGATAACCAACACCGTAGTGGCCTCATGGCCCATGCGCCCCAGCACGACGCACCCGCCTATTCAGGTAGCTATAGTGATGAGATAGCGGCGTCTGTGATAGCTTGAGGCCATATTTTGTCTTCTCCCTCGGGCGTCCAGGGTTCTGGGGTTTGGTGATAATCCCATCCAGCTTTATACGGTTCAATCTTCCCTGACGGATGCTTACACAGGCTCGGTATCTTGGCGAGGTTTTGGATCCCCTGTCCGCAGCCTGGCCATCTTTCGGGACACCACCAATAAATGAGCCTTGCGATATATAGACTCTGGCCGACGCCTATTGGTCAAAGCAGCTCTTGCCGCTTCGAAAGAGGCAGAAATGTTGGGTTATTCTCTGCGGCTATGGACTACCTAGGTAGCACGTAAACTAACTCAAGCCTCTCTTCGGCGCCCCTCACTTCCCGTAACCTGGCAGTGAAAAAGGCGTGAGATTCGACAAAGAGGAGCAAACAATTCCCGTGAACCAACTTCTTTCTAGGAGTGAGGCAAAAAGAAGTGCAAAATATGAGCTTCCGTGCAAAATGGCAAAAGATTTACATCCGATCTCCGATACGGGGAATCGAACCCCGGGCGCCGCGGATCTCGATATGAAAACGCGGAATGTTGGCCACTACACCATATCGGATGTTACATTTGCCTTATTCACAGTACTGACATACCCAATTGTGTTGGGCTACTCCACCCACGAACAGAGGCCCTATGAGCATATGATGCATCGTTGCAAGTTTGGAACCCCAAGCAAGCTTTGACAATGACCTAGATCTCCCCGGTCCCAATTCCGTGACCTCAGGTGGAAGCGGTGTCACTGCAGTCTTTTTGTTGACAATGGTATTGACATCGGGCGTGGATTGCTCTGGCCCTAGGATTTGAGTCAGCAGCAAGTTCCAAACAAACGTTTCTGACGCATTGGAAATGTTGATGCCTTGTCCAGCTTGCCTCATCGATAGTGTTGACTCAGTAGACGCGTTGATTGGTGTAGAAACGCGTGCAACGAGCCTGAGACGGAATGGGCCTGCTTCGAGGGGCGAAAGGCTGGAGAATTCGAGACGAGAGGGCAATCGTCTAGATTTCATTGAGCCCAGACAGTTAAGGGATCGACCTAGGGGAAGCCGAGATGGGATCTGGGGAAGGGTTCAGTTCTGAGATTGAGCGTTTGTGGCGCGTTTGTGCACACTACCGTCTCGGAAGTTTTGGCATGTTAGCATGGATAAGCAAAGCCCAAAAACAAGCAATTGCCATGAAAAGTCTTGTGAAAATGGGTAGAAATGGGTGCAACTGTCCAGGTGTGCCTGTGTGACTGTGTTGTTTTTGGGTGTTCGAGCTAGGAAGTAGTTGCTTGAAAAGGCAGGTACGGAAAAGATGGGATTGTTGACTCGTCGAAAGGCGCTGGACTCACACAGGAGGACAATTATATCAGGGCCATTAGTCACCGGGTATACCAGCAAGGCAGCGTTGGAAGAATCAGATGCCAGAAACGGAGGCAGGGGAATGTTTGAGGTGGTTGGTGTAAAGCAGAGCTACGCTGATTGTGCGGAAGTGTGGGAGGGTGCCAGGACGAGACATACCAACATGCATCTAAGCTACCTGGCAGCTTGTGTTAATCCAGCTGGCAACTTTTGGCCCGTGACCACAAGTAATTTGTACATTTCAGTAGCAGTCTACGTGATCACCAACAGACTCAGCATCGGAGATATCAGACAAATCCTTTCAGGCTTCAGGGAGAATGGGTATGCCCATCATGGCCTCTTTTGGGGTCTCTTTTGGGGTTCCAAGCTTGCCTCTAATGTATCATACACACACTCATGGCGAGTCATCGGCTTTTGATCCTTAACCCACGACGATTGCTGCTCAAACCCTCTAACTCTACCCAGACTCTTTCCCTACGCCGCCCAGACATCCTGGCCTGACTTCTCGATCCAGTTACCCAGCTGGTTGACACTGCTGTCCCACTCGGCCAGACGCGACCGCATGCTATCGATCTGCTTGAAGTCCAGAACCTTGGGTTGGACCCAGTTGATGTTCGCCACCTCATCCACCTGATCCACAGTTCCCCGGAGCAGTCCCAGGCTCAGCGCCTTCATCACCAGGTGCTCGATCTCGTGGGGCTTCACCTTTGTCTCCTGCTCGATCGTTGCGAAGCTCATCGCGCGCTCGTGGGGTGGCCGCCGGAAGACGGCTTCTGTGAGTGCTGCCAGGTAAATCTTCTCCCGCAACTTCTCCTTGTGTTGGGCCAGGAGCTTGTCGGAGTTGATGCTGCCAGACAACTGGTCATACTTCACCAGGTCGCCTGCGTTGAATGTGAAGAGTAGCTCCCGCAACCACCGGTCCTTGTCGTTGCTCAGCGCGTCCAGTACAGGGTGCAGCAACAGCTCGCCAAAGTTGTAAATGCTCGTCGAAACCAGTGCCGCGGTGGCCAGATCATATGCCCGTTTGCGACACTCAGCGGCGTCCAAGCTCTTGATGTCAATGCATGCTAGGTATAGCAGTGCGTTCCGATAGTAAGATGCGAAGTCTTGCTTCAGGTAGTAGAAGTCTGCGTTGATCTTGTAGAAAGCAGCATGGACGACCGTTTCAACGGAATCGAACACGTCCAGCTTCTTTTCGGCCTTGTCAAGGTCTTTCCGCGCGTCTTCGAGGTTGCCGAGGTCGAGCTTCACCTGAGCCACCGCTACTGTTGCGTACACATAGGCGTTTCTTGAGTTCGGGTCTTCCTCCTCATCGGCGCTCTTGCTCTTCTTCTTCTCCTCTTCGGGGTCCACCTTCTTTGCAACAGCCTCCGTGAAGCTCAGCCGTTCTTGGAGATCTGCCTGCTGTTAGCCGTATATTCTCGTGGTATCGCGCGCGCGACTCTTCGGATACTAACCAGAGCATTGTTGCGCGGCCTTCAGGGCCAAGTCGACAAGCTTCAGTTGGTTGATCTTATCGGCGAACTGGAGGATGAAGTTGTTGTAGATGGGGAGACGGAAGGAGGCGCTCTCGGGGTTGTTGAAGATGGTGATGAGGGTCTCAGTCAGCTCGTGCCACAGCTTCTGTTCCCACAGGTCTTGAAGGCGTAAGACATCAGCCTGGAGGTGGTCTGGCGACTGGAGAAGGATCTCCTGCAGGAACGCCTGCGTGCTTTCGTCGTTACTCATGGTGTCGTCTGTGCCAAACGGGGAACGTAAGAGGTGCGCTGGACTGTGCCCTCTAATGATGCGAGCGGCCCGTGTGTGTTGTCTAAGGAAATTATCGTGTACTCTGCGTGTCTCGTTGAAGAGATCGTCGAGGCGTAAAAGAGGTAAGTTAGGAGGGAAAGGAAGAGACCGTTTGGGAATTCGAGGTTGAGTGGCTGATATCGTCGTTGGCAGGCAGTGGTCGCTGGGTCGACGCGGCTGAAGTGCAGCCTGTGGTCGAGCTCCAATGTGGAAAGAGCTCCATGACGCTCCAAAATGACCTAACCCAACAAGGGGTGCTTCTAACGGAAGGGGGAAGAGGGGGGGGGGTGTTCCATACCTCCACGCCCAAGCTTAGGTAAGTAGCCCGGCCTTTAGCTGGCCCAAGCGTCCTTGACGGTCGGCATTGTGCTTGGGAATTGGCAGCGTCTGGTTGGAGCTTCGAAGTTGTCAATCCAGGGCGAAGCTTCATCGAATTCCTGACGACAGTCGACAGCCCATTGAACACAACACCGGCCTTCTTGCGACCCCGGATATAGCAAGGATGGCTTCCATACCAACCGCAGCGCGGTCCTTCCCCAAGATCACTCGGAAAGCCATCCAACAACGATCAATATCGGACGTCGCGATCACACGCACGGGGAAGCCTATCTTCAGAGTTCAGGGTGGAAGGTAGCCATTCCATAGCCCCCTTACTACGATCCAGCTCAGCAGCTGACACATACTCGAACAGGTCGGCGCTAGGCGGTACGAACTCACGACAGTGCTCTGTGTTGGCAAGACAATGGATCTCTGACTTGGCAGCGCAGGACATACGGCTACGGTATTCGGCGCAACGGGACAGCTCGGACGGTACATTGTGAACCGATTGGGTATGCTAAAGATGAGGGCTACGCACTGTAACAAAGTCGCTGATGAAGAACCGCACAGCTCGGCAAGGATGTCAGGTCGTCATCCCGTACAGAGAGGAGATGGCCAAGCGCCACCTCAAGGTGACGGGAGATTTGGGCAGAGTGGCTTTCATTGTGCGTGCTAGCGGATTTTCTGACTCCTTCAGGGCCGATTGCTCATCTACACCCAGGAATACGATCTCCGGAACACCGAGTCGATTGAGGAGGCCGTCAGGCACTCGGACGTTGTTTACAACCTGGTGGGGCGGACATACCCAACGAAGTATGCCAGCCTGACAAACCGAGGTCAAGAGCTTTGAACTGATATCCGAACATAGGAACTTCTCTTTGGAGGATGTCCACGTCGAGGGCACAACTAGGATCGCCGAGGCTGTGGCCAAGTACGACGTAGACCGCTTCATTCACGTATCATCCTACAACGCCGACCCCGACTCCCCAGCAACATTCTTTGCGACCAAGGGCCGTGGCGAGCAGATCGTCCGAGATATCTACCCAGAGACGACCATTGTGCGACCTGCGCCGTTGTTTGGTTTTGAGGATCAGCTCCTGCTAAAGCTCGCTGGCCAAACGAACCTGTTCACTTCAAATCACATGCGGGAGAAATACTGGCCTGTTCACGTAGGTCTTAATCGTGTCCCGTCGAAGCAGGGTGTAGAACTGACCGTGTCCTAGTCCATTGACGTCGGCCATGCCCTCGAGCTGATGCTTTACGACGACAACACGGCGGCACAGACCTTTGAGCTCTACGGGCCCAAGCAATACTCCACGGCGCAAATTGCGGAACTTGTCGATAAGGAAATCTTCTCTCAGCGACGACACATCAACGTGCCCAGGCAATTCCTCGAGCCCGCTGCAAAGCTCCTCAATCAGGTGCTTTGGTGGCCGTGGATGTCCGCTGAACAGATCCAAGTGGAGAACATTGACCAGGTAATCGACGAGAAGGCGAAGACCTTCAAGGATCTCGGAATTGAGCCAGGTGACATTAGCAAGTTCACATACCACTACGTTGTAAGTGATCTATTCACTCTACCGACCCAAGGCTTTGTTGTACTGATACCTCCGTATAGCAAGGCTTCCGTAGTGGTGCATTCTACGACCTGCCACCAGCAAGCGAGAAGGAGAAGAGAGAGGAGAAGAAGTATCTGCATGTCCTTGATGACCAGTAAAGAAGGAAGGGGAGGGGGGAGAACGGCCTCGGTTACCTCGACATTCCGGAGGTGCACGGCCTGTAAATATGTAGCTAGATTTCTTTGCTTTTCCGAATCGAGTGCAATGCGAAGAACCAGAAATATGCACCGTGAGTGACTGAGTGCGAATGCAAGATGATACCCTCGCTGTTGTATTTGGGCTTCTGTGGTCTGAAGGACGGGGCCTGAGGCTCTGTTGGGCTCGGAATCCCTACCAGTAAAAATCGACACCAACGACACCTCTGCAATCCCAGTGGCATTGTCAAAACACCAAATCCTCAGCTCCACAGCCAGCATTCTGAGTCCTCGAGCGAATTTCCGAACCCGGTTTTCCTTAATCGTATTCATTCCATTGACAGCGGCCCAAACATGGCGGATGCCGACGATGAGCCCATGTGAGTATAAGAGAGAGCGACCCGCAAGATCCAAGTGACGATCCCCAGAGAACGGCCAATGAAAGACTGCAGTAACCAACGAGGGACAACCCCGTCTACACAGAATCCTGTCGGCCCACGCCCTCGACGCCCTCCAGGAGTTCTACTCGGAGCGGGATGCCCGCGCGAAGCACTTTGAGCAGCTCAAAGCCGCGGCCGAGGACCGCGAGGCGGCAGGGCGTGAGGCGGCGCTCGTGTACCCGCTGTCGATGGAGACTTTCGGCGAGGACTGGAACGAGTCGCAATTCTGGGTACGCTTCTGGCCCAGCCTTGAGAGCCCGCCCATTCAGGCTCAAGGTGAAGGGAGTGGCTGTGTGTGAGATGGGGAAAGAAGGTTGCTGATGCGTGCGTGTATGTCGCTCACAGTACTCCGACGAGACGGCCAACCTCCTGGCCAGGCAGCTTCTTGACGGGGCCACGTCTGACACCAAGATCGCTGTCGTGTCGGCGCCGAGCGTCTTCGTTGCGCTGAAGAACATTCTTGTAAGCGTTTCCTGCGTGTGTGTATTTATATCTCATTCCTTGTGACATGTGCGTTAACAAAGGTTGTGGGCATCGTCGCCACCCGGGACCCCTAGGCCGGCCCTCACACTCCTTGAGCACGACCACCGTTTTGGCGTTTTCTCCGAGTTCCTGTTCTACGACTTCATGCAGCCCGTCAAGCTCCCCGGTAAGCTAATCATATCATACTATACTCGGCATTCCTCGTCCTCATTCCCCTCTCCAGCCAACTGCCTGTGCCCTCCGTGCCTCCACTCCCAGATCACGGTGGAATATGCTACAAGACTGACCCGCAGATGAGCACAGCCCACCTCAAAGGCAGCATAGACCGCATCATCTGCGATCCGCCCTTTCTCAGCGAGGACTGCCAGACGAAAGCCGCCCTGACTGTGCGGTGGATGGCCAAGCCGGCCGCCGATGTCAAACTCATAGTCTCCACAGGCGAGCGCATGAGGGATTTGGTAACCAAGCTGTACCGGTCGTTTGGTCTCAAGACTACCGACTACGAGCCGGCGCATGCACGTGGGTTGAGCAACGAGTTCTTCTGCTACGCTAACTTTGAAGGCGAGGCATGGAAATGGAGACCTGAGGATCGATAGCGTTGGCCGGTTTTTGGGAGCGCTCTCTTGATACATAGTATGTCGGGCAGCAAAGAACCTAATCAACTATGGACAAGCAGAATAAATCTGACTCAATGATCTTTCTTCTCGCGGAACGCCTGCCGATAATGCTGGGCGAAACCCATCCGACCCGTTGGTTGCTTTTTGTCTTCCCCACAGGTAAAAGAGCATGAAAATAAAAGAATATCCCAGACACCGTGTCTGTATGCATACACAATCGTTACCTCAAAACGCAGAAATCCAAGAAACTCCGTACATCAGATCCGCCAAACTCGTGACACTCCCCCTTGTCACGCCAGCGTCCGGACGATGTAGAACAGCAGATACGCCTTAGCAGCCAGCACGTCGGCCTTGGAAGCCAGCTCCACTCGGTGATCATTAAATGTGAACCACTGGTCTCTCGTCAGTTGCAAGTACATGGTTGAGTTTGATGGTGACTCAAATGGACTGGGTCTTACCTGTTCGCCCACACGACAGTAGCAGATGTAGTGGCCGGTGTCGATTTCGCCAACGTGCACGACGGCGCACATAAGGTCGTACGTGCACGACCTCGATAGCTCGTACGTCTCCTTCGCATCTGCGCTCCTAGCGCGATTTGTGTAGGGCAACATGTTGAGCTGCAAGGGGAAATGAACCTGCGTCTCGATTTTGGCTGCAGACTTGTCCCGGGTCCCATTTCGAAACTCAAATCGCTGCGTTCGAAGTCAGTAGGCCAGCTTTGCAGGACCGAACAGATAACCGAGACCAAACATGAGGACAAAAAAGTTCTAGGTGATTACCTTGAGCTGAATGGACAAAACATTTGGCAGCCTCTTAATGCTCGTATTGCGCCTCGCTTGCTGGGTGCCATCGCACTTATTGCAGCGGTACTCGCATTTGTCCGACTTGACATACTCGTCCTCGAGACATTCTTGCAGAGTCATGGACGTCTTGCCGTGGTTGGCCTTCTTCCCTCGCTTCTGCGCCAGGTTTTCCAGGCCTACGCTGAGGTCCAGAAAAGACTGTACCTGGTTCGTAACGCCGCCACAGTTCTGACATGTCGTCGTGGTCTGTAATTTGCCATAGTAAGTCTGGTGGATGATGCAGTTGCAGCTGTGCTCACTGCCAATCTCAGGCCTCTTGCCGTCGCCATTACGCTCGTGCAGTTCCTCGGCCAGAAACTGGAAGAATTCATGGGCATCCTGCTCTTTTGTCGTCACCAGATTCTCGAATGCCTTGTTCTCTGATATCCAGAAGCTCGACAGGATGTTTGCTGCCGTGTAACCATTAGTAACCTCGGAGCCCCAAAAATCCTGGAACATGTCGTCCATCGCGCAACTGAGGCAGTGCGGTACTTCGCAGGTACTGCTCGAATGGCCGTCACTCAGGTAAAAGTTCCGCAGAATGGGATTGTGCAGGAAACTTTGGAGTATGACGTTCTGATAGCAGGTTGCCCCAGCGTTGTATATACCACGCAAGCCATCTGCGCGACAAGACGGCATAATCGTATTAGCAGTAATGATCTTGGGGTCCTCCTTGATGGCCTCCGCTAGAAGCTCATCGTACTTCCTCTTTCGGCCTACCGGTCTGTCAGCTTGGATGTGCATCGCAACAGGTGGCGGCGCGGTAGTTTGCCAATCCATCATGGACTTTCGTTGTAGAAGGATGACGAAAGTGGGTATCTTACTTGAGAATGTGCCTGTGTCAATCTTGCGGTTCCGGAGGTCCTCCAGGGTTGGGTCCCAGACGAAATCATCGCACATATGGCAAAATAGTGACCCACTCCTGGAGTCGATGACTTTGCCCGCGCGTGTCAGCTTGAGGCAGACTGTAGTGCGGTCGATTCTCACGACAACTTACAGAAACGGTGGCCCTTCTTGGTGCCGTGCTTTGCCATGGTCTCCTCCTTCTCGATGGCCGGGCACTGCAGACAAAGGTAATTGCTAGTCAAGGTACTGATGACTTTTCCGTCAGAGTCCTTGCGCATTTGGGGGATTATGGGAACGTTGTCGAATATGGAGCGCAGGATGGCCTTGTAGTGCTGTATGCATGAGTTCGTAGTCTCCTGATTCTGGCTCAGAAGACGCTGTGCATGTTCTACATCTCATGTCAGTCAGCTTGCTCGTGCGACAGCTGCTGCACATCGAAAAGGGCAGATCCGTACCGCAGCCGAACACGGGAATGCCCTGGACGGGCGAGTTGATTTTGACATTCTTGGGCGAAGCCGGCGTTTGCGGCCGAGTTGCCATTTTGAGTGGCGCTCTCCCTCCCCTTCCAGTCTCTTTTTATGTATCCTGGGCCCCAGAGGGAGTCTCTGGCAGGAGAACAATCTCTTGGAAGCCTGTTTCGCGCAGGGCTGAACTCAGTTTCGACTGCAGAAACAGCGGCGAAGGCCCGACCGGGAGGAACAAGTTGTCGTGCCGACAAATGGCGAACTCCGCCAGTCCGGTCCGGTTCAAAGCTCGGGGCCAACGACCAAGAGATCGCAAAGTGTCGTCCCACAGCGTGTCTTTGATGATCACGCAGGAGCCGCAGTTCGGCAGATGAGATTTTGCAAAAGAAGGGTGCGTCGGATGTCGGCGTCGATGTCGGCGTCGATGTCGATGTCGATGTCGGTGCGGACGAGTATGCGATGCGGGAGGGAGGGCGCAAGAGGGACCTGCCGACTGCGAGCCAGGAGTAAGTCAGCCTGCACGCACCTCACAGCTTGGATACGGATTGAGAGGGACTGCTTCGTCAATCGTGCTCACCAGGACTGTTTAGTATAGGAAGCAACCAGATCAACTTCGACTGGGAGCGGCTTCAATAAAGTCGTCAATTAACACATGCTATTATTCTATCGTCCAGCTTCACCAGGGTGGTAACGCGGGCGGGTGCTTGTAAATTCTTATCGGCCACATCAGGAACGGCCTAGGGACCTGGAGCAAAAGCTTATCGCCATGCTGGGTGCAGGGATCGTTCAGCGTGTGCCTACTGTGTACAGTATGCTGCACGAATAAGAAGATGTGCCTGTTCTCCCCACTGTACCTTTGACACGCCAGGTACTTACTTAGACTACTTTTTTCTTTTCTTTTTTGCCCTGTTACTGTTCGATTTACCATGTAGATCTTTCATATATTCCAAGCTATTTGATCCCCAGCAGGCAAAGGGGCATCTGCAGATCATTTCACAATGACCCATGGCAAGAACTAATTCCTCTCCTCCTACTTCAATTCGCGCGAGGCTCAGAGTGTCACACGAAAATTGGAAATGCTTGGGTTTTCAGCAGAATGGAACGCAGCAAGCACACAGTCCATCCAGCATGGCTCTCCTCCAACGGCCATTCCCGGCGCCGGCTCGGCGAACTTGACCTGGGCAGGCAGGCTTATGCCCGTTCGCACCTCATCGGGCCTCTACATGGCGATGCCTCGGCTCTTGACCAGCAGCCGGCACCAAAGGTCATTCCCCGATCCCAGGCTTAGATACATCATCAGCAGTAGGCTCAGCGTTGTGACGCACTCGGGCATTGCAGCAGCTGAGGACTGAATGCGCCCGACACTTCCAATCCTCGCAAAGTCCAAAATGGCCGTCCAACTCGCCCATCTGCCCGAGGTGCAACGGCTCAGTCCGGCCTGCATCCGAATTCTCGGCGGCAACCCCGGAAAGTTCACCCTGCAGGGCACAAATACCTATCTGCTGGGCACTGGAAGCCGGCGTCTCCTCATCGACACCGGCGAGGGGAAACCCTCGTGGATCGCAGCTCTCAAGCGGACCCTGGCCGAGGAAAATGCCGTTGTCTCCCACGCTTTGATATCACACTGGCATGGTGACCACCAGGGCGGCATCAAAGACTTGCTTGCATTATCAGCGGAAACTCAAGTGCTCAAGAACCAGCCCGAGGACGGCCAGCTGGACATTGCCGACGGCCAAAAGTTCAGCGTCGATGGGGCAACCCTGACTGCCGTCCACACCCCGGGCCACACTGTTGACCACATGATCTTCGTGTTCGAGGAGGAGAAGGCCATGTTCACCGCTGACAACGTGCTCGGCCAAGGCACAGCGGTGTTTGAGGACCTGGCCACCTACCTGACCAGCCTGGACAAGATGAAGGAGCTCTTCGATGGTAGAGCGTACCCTGGCCACGGACCGGTCATTGACGATGGGCCTGCCAAGATACGGGAGTATATCTCTCATCGTCAACAACGTGAGGACCAGATCACCCAGACTCTACAGTCCGTCAATAAGGCAACCGGGACTGCTTCATGGGAGCCGATGGAGCTGGTCAAGATTATCTACCGCGACGTACCCGAGACATTGCACCTGCCAGCCCAGGGTGGGGTCATGCAAGTGCTGCAGAAGCTGGAGAAGGAGGGCAAGGCGGCTAAGGAAGGCAGCAGATGGGTTTTGAATGACCGATTAGCCCTATAGCCAGCCAGGCAGCCCATGAACAATTAGACATCGCGTGGTGCTGTTGACAAGCGGCGCACGACTCGTTCTGAGCTCAATAAAGTGTGTCTCAACCCCACGCACATAAGGCTGAAGAAAGACGTCACCTCGAGAAGGGTGGGGCCCAAGACACACATGTCGAGAGTCGTGGATTGCTCGAAATTTCGGTACGTTCCAAGAGTGGATGGCATATTAGACTTTTCATATCAGGCAGAATCTGGCCATGTGAAGCTATAGTGTCCTGGTGTCATGCGACACTAGTCACGGCTTTGTGCAGGCACAACACATGTATCACGTCACGAAAGCAACGCATTTTCCAATACCAGAATGCTCGACCGCTGTTTTAAGACCGTTCTTCCAGTCTTCCAGGTCAAAGGTTATTGTATCCACAAAACCCTTTCCTCTGGGAAATAGCCCAGTTTAGAACATCTTACCGAGTTGGAGGATGTCTTCTCTCTCATACATCCCTTCACCTGTGAGAAACGGCGTTGTGATTCACTCGATTTAGGGGGTTCGTTTACGATGGGTGCCTTACCCTTCAATTTCAGGTACTTCATCATGATCTCAGGTCCCATGACATTTTTTGCAGAAGCTTCTGGAATGCGTCGACATGGACGCAGCCGAGGGCGCAAAATCCAACACAGCATTAACCGCACCGAACTCTTGGGGCGCCATGGCATCCTTATCCTCATCACCAGTGATCTTTACCTTCTCAATACATCCCATTGGTGACCGTTACCCGACAAGCTTTTACAATGCTGCCCGTTTCTGCTCATCCCGGCCCATGACGATCACCATCGCGCCTATCGCGATGGCAAACTCCACACCTGCGCTGCGGTAGATACGCCATGCGCGTCAGGTTTGGGATCGAGTACCCCAGACCCTCACACAGCCTCTTCTCGTCGAGCGGGAACAATTCTCCATTGGCAACTTGGCGTGTTCCGCAAACGTTCCATCACACCAAAAATCCCGCATCAGCTTTCTGCTACCGTCGGTCGACCCCTTCGTAGGTGGCGCGGAGGAAGGAGAAGTCTGGGTCAGGGCCAATAAAGATGAAAAATTATTGCTTGGCAGGAAATTAGGCAAATATTGTGAGGTCTGATAGGAAAAGGCTTGCTGAGATGGGTGGGTAGCTTGGGAATGAGAAGCTGTCTTTATACTACATCTAAGTCGTGCACCGCCCCATGAAGAGACCAGCATAAACGCCCCTAATTTCACAACCACCTTATGTCATTTGAATGCAATTGATTGGCAACTGAAAGTCAATTGTCATGCCCTGGAGAAAATATGCGGTGCCCCGAAATGGTGATGGCAAAGCTCTACCTGGCTGAGGAGCGAGGCTCAGACCTGTTTCCCGATTGGGAAGGTTCTTCGAAAATAAGTACCCAAGTACCTTAGCTACTGCAAAATGACCCGTTCTTTTGCGGCAATGCACGAATCACGTTTCAATCTGGAACCACAACAACTTCGTCCCATGCACTACGTATCCTATCCGCTGCCAACCCAGGAGAGAGCGCAGACTATATGTTCGTCGGATTAGGTGCGGGCCATACCTTGGAGAAAAATTAGCACATGCGGCCAGTTAATTCATTGTGCAAGATGACCAACGAAGTCGACCGATTTTCGTATCGCTCGATGTGACTCGCTTCGAGATGCCCCTCGATTTTTTGACAGCCTTGGACACAATGTGCGCGCAAGTTCATCAAATGCCCTGGGTACTTGGATCTCACCGATCTTCGTGTTCGGGACGAGACGCAGGCTGTCGTGCGCATGGCCCAGAAGAGTACGCTGTCTCTCCAGGCTGACTCTTCTGGCCCGCCTCCTTCGAAATCTATAGCTGCGTCCTCGATATACAACAATTACAACACAACTACGCTGCGACCACACAGTAAGGTTGACCTTTCTAAGTCTGCCATAATTCGTTCTATCCCTCAGCCCGTGGAAGATATTGCAACAGTCTTGTTTCTGGCAAATTACGCGCCAATGTCAAAACTCTCTTCCGTACTATCCCCTCACTCGCCCCATCTCAGCAACCCAGCTCTCGACGCACTCCGTGCCACCTCTTCAGCCTATCTTTCCATGACACTCTCACCATCCGCCTCAAATACTTTAGCACACACCACATTTTAAACGTATGGTATCGCCCTCTCCCACACGAATTCCTCTCTCGCAGACCCCAGCTCTGCAGTCACAGATATGACCCTCCTCGCCGTGCTCCTATTGGCCCTCTTTGAGTGCCTCGCCCTCCGGGGACAATCCTCCCGCACCGCTTGGCTCGCCCATAATTGCGGTGTTCTGGCCCTATTGCGCCTGCGTAAACGGCAACGGGGCACAATATTTTCCCCATAGGCGCGAGAGCTCGACCGCCTGGCGACCCGGCAAGTTCGAGTAGCTGGCGTGTTGCGCGCCGAACCGGCCCAGCTACAAACTGGGGATCAGACGGAACAAGGGGAGACGGCGGCAGAGCACAGGGTGAACAAGCTGTTGGACCACATCATCAAGCTGAGGTTGCTGACGCAGTCTTCCGACGACGTTAAAGATGTTTTGGAGGTTGCGCGGCGGACGAGAGAGCTCGATGTGGGCATCGCCTCGAGGTCGGCCTGGCCTCTGCCACGTCCTGACCCTGGCCTGAATACGCGCGTGCTGCAGGGTCGTGGCTCACGATGCGCATCATACGCTTTTTTCAACCATAAGCTCCAGTCCCAGACCTTTGATACCGACGACCCCGAGCTGATCAATGAGGCCATTGCGATCCGGAACATGGGCCGCAAGAACAACGAAGACATAGCCGCCGAGATCATAGCTATGGTTCCAGACTTGTTGAGCGCGGCACGCGAAGGGTCCAACCTGGCAGCGGTAGCGCGGCATCTGATATGGCCGCTGGCGCTTTTCGCTAATTCAACCCACTGTCCAGCACCTAGGCGTGCGTCTCTCTTGGAACAGCTCAAGGAAATCACTCAGAAGTGGAGCCTAGTGCCGCCGACGGAGTTAGCTAAATTGCTCGAGAGTTCGGCGCATCCGGAGGACTGGTATAGTGACTCTTCCAGAAGTGTCCGATTCTTCCATAACTGACTGTCCACAGGCTCCTTCTATGTCACATGTCCTGAAGCAGGGATTTCCAAAACTCAGGCACGAGGCCCTTGCTCAAGAACGGAAGGATATGTTTGTCTTGCTTTCGCCCCAAGTGTGTTACTTCGACCCTGATGGAATTTTGAATACTCTGGAGGTAAGAGATGGGCAGCGTTACCTAGACACAGAGTCTTGATTCACTCGTGTGACTGGGGGCTCATGTTACGGACATGGGTTGCGGTAAAGCCCCACTCAAGAAAACGAAGGATACAGTTGTTTTCGCAGCAGGCAAGCACTGATTCAAATGGATACCATCGTATCGTTCAGCAGAGAATGTGGCTGGCAGAACTTCGAGGCAAAGACGAAGTAGCAGGGGTCTGTCATCAAAAAGTCGGAAAAGCCCTGCCAGAGACGACAACCGAACCCTGACTGTCCTCCTCCAACTTATCCACGCGGGCAGAATGGGCAAGCTGGACCACATTTGACCCGAGAAATGGCCCGAGGAACCTACCCGCTCCGCCTCTGTGGCGAGATGAGATGGGAAGGAATAGTTTATAAGGGGACTGCGTAGTTTCCAGTCTGGTACGCGAGTATGTACCTCAGGTGTCAATTTGACCGCCAAGTTCGACAACAAGTGCGACCATGAATGACGCGTTCGACATTGCCAGTAGTCTAGACGGCTACAGCAACCTCTTCCGGTAGCAAGACTTCGAACTCGACAATTTTGGTCCATTCCATCCAGACGCTGTGTCCCAGAGTTGAGGCAGGTGTCTGCTTTGTACGGAGCGAAGAGCCACTCCGCCACTTAGGGGACTTCAAATCCGCCTCTGGAAGAAAACTTCAGTTCTAAGGCTTCAAATGATCCAAAATCACTGTCAACTTCGGCGAGTCCAATTTTGACTACTCACAATTACTGTTTGGATTTGTTGGTGTAGGGGAGATTCTCTCGCCACCCTAGCCAGAGTCTGTTTTCACGAAAGACAGTGTCTTCCATTCCATCAACCAGTGCTCAGCCAGCTTTATCCCATTGTCGGTATTGAACGTTCATTCTACCACCGAATCCAAATCGACGGACTCAAATCAAAGCAAAGAGTTCCTGATGAGGGCAAGCTTTTCACCTGACAGAACTTACATCACTTCTCTGTAAAGCTTTTACTCGACATCTTCTTTCAGAATTTTGCGTTGATGTAGCTGAACCTAATAATACAGATGCTGAAATATTAATATCTCTGAACCGCCAATCCTGCCTTGGCGTCCTCTCCTCAACGAGCCCGGTTTAGTGCCGGACCATCAGCCGATGAACACCTAGGTATTACGAATAGGACTTCAAAATACAAGCAAACATCGAAACCTCCCGTTTTAGGTTCAGAGAGGCTTGATTACAAAGATTAATCGTAGTCTTACGCATCCTTAGAGCCCTCACAACGAAGGTGGGGAAAACAATTCGGAGGAAAGGGGGTCTAGCCGTTCCTCGATTGTGAGGTGTAAATTGACCCTTGATCCACCGGAAACTGGGATCGACTGCAAGGCTGGGGAACGAAGAGGACATCGTTTTGAACTTGGCGCAGGAAATGCGGCGTATGAAAAGTGGCCCAAACAAGTTGTTTTTTCAGAAGCGTCTGGACGTTCACCGGGGACAATGTGAGCCGACAATTTGTGCGCAAACATTGAGTTACCCGAGCCTTGAAGCACGCTCCGGCGAACTCTCATTGACGAGACCTGATCGGCTAGGGGCTTGCTATTCAGTCTTTTTGATTCATTTCGGTGAGAAGCAAATTGCATTGAACGTTCTGATGTCTAACAATAGACAGCAGAGGAACAGAGAAGTGAGTGTGCCATTTCTCCGGCCCTGCGGAATTTCGCACGTCCTGAGCGATTTGAGCCTCCAGAGCGTCGAAGCTGCCAACGGCAGACAATGGGCACGGCGAGCGACTCGGCTGGGCCTTGCATACAAGTCACGGAGCACGACGTAATGGGCATGTCACTGAAATCACAGCGCCATCTGTATGTCACTATTTGATACCGCCGCGGCGGGCCGGTTCTGGAACAGAGGTCGACGAAGACGGGCGAGACCCGCCGCTTTCGTCGCAGGGATTATGCGACTCCAACCTCGTCATCAGGCTGGGATCGGTGGTTTCGCGGGAAAAGTGGGTACCATACGCCGCCCGGGAGAACGGTGACCGTCCGGCCTGGGGTGCCATGTCCAATTACAAAGAGAAGGGGCATCTCTGAAGAATAGTCTTGGCGCGGACGGTTATGTCTTGAAATACTCCAAATTCGACCGAGTCTGGGCGTGTACGGAGTATGTGAGTGCCCGCTGTCCTGGGCATGGAGCCCAGGCGCGGAAACAGGTAGCCAAGAGCTATTTATGACTAACTTTCTAGACATGTAATCTTTGACTAGGCCCTTCCGCAGACGCATGGCGGAACTTTGTGGTATTGCTTTCAGCGGCTGGGTCCAACAGTGTCGGGGAATTCGTGCAAGCACCGAACCCCGATGGCGACGGTGTGACTGATCTGCGGTGATAGATCGCGCCCGGCCAAGAGAAGCCTCTGTGGTTGATGGTGGGTACCGGTATCACAGTAGTACCGCTACGCGCCGGCGTTGCAGTAGCGAGCGAGCCCGAGGTGAGGAAGAATGGGTGGAGGGGGGAGAAACAGAACATTTCACGGCAGCTTCGGAGCAGAAATGTCCTGACCTTCTCGCCCTGCGTGCATCAGGATGGGCGAATAGTTGCATGACGACCCTGCACATGTCAGGTCAGACAAGCAGGACATAGGCAGGGAAGCAGCACATTGCTGCCGGCTTAGCATAGCATCAAGTTGTTAGAGTGTCTGCCTTTTCCCGCCCCGAACTCCGAGTCTGGAGAGCCCCGCAGCTAAACCTGGGCGGCATGCCTACTGTCACAGTACATGGCCATGTGCCGCTATGAATCAGATTCGACTATGTCGTTCATGGCAACGGGTGGTCAGAGTCTGGCGGCCACGATGGGGGCCCGACGTGTCCGAGCCAGATTTCGTGGGTTCGGTTAGGACCCGCCCGCAACTTTTGCGGTCAGGGATCAAGACCCAGAGAGACAGAGGCTGGCAGATCTGGTGTGCCGTTGCGCGATCGCTTTCAACGTTGGCCAAACCAGCCCCACAACACGTTGATTCCTCTGCCGTAACACAGCCGTTTGCCGGGTTTAACATGTCTCGTGACGATGCCATGTAATGTAATTCTACTTTGCTGCAGGATGTCGCTGACGGTGGTTGTTTTTAGCGGGCGGGAGCGCAGAGCTGAGAGATACTGCACGGCTCCTTATCGCAATCGCAAGCACAGGGCGGTAGTGAGGCTCCGTGGATGCCGGCAGTTTCTGACACTGTGACATGGGGGCTCCGGAGTGACGTCGCGGCACTAGTCGGGCCCCGTGGGTACTGACAAACTGCACGGCACGGCGAAATCGACGATCGCATCAGCCCAAGGCCGATGCCGACACTGGCTAGTACCTGCGCTCCAGGCTCGCAGGATGGAATCGTACGAGGCATCTTGGTATCTGGTCAAAAATGCGGCCACCTGTGTCGCGGTTGGACGCAAGCTTGAGGCGAAACGAAACGGGGGCGCTCCTCAAGGGGTCAATCGTCAGTTGGCAAAGGACGAAGCTGAAACCCAGCTTCCCGTCCTTGTTGGATCGCACAGCACCGCACGGCATGGGAACTCTCAGGATGCTCAGACGCGCAGGGCGCCCAGCAAGCTCAGGACGTTCTGGCTTCAAGGAGTCCAGGTGATGGGACAAACATGGATGGATTCCTGGTCGTCTCGTGGGGTCCGCCCCGTGGCGCCCAGGCAAAGGAACCGCGGGCTGACCAAGACCATCCCGGGATGCCCTCTGTCGCATATATGTCCAGGTCGACAGCACAACCGGAACCTATTGTGACTCACAAGGCGATCGTCTTGCACTTGTGCATGCAGCTGGCGTTGATTTTCTACCGTTGACCGGTGTGGTGGGAGACGCGTGAGTCAGCACTTGAGAGAGGAGTGTTTGGGCTCATCGATGTAGGTCTGTGTCAGGCAGGCAGGCGGCCAGGTAGGCAGGGTGGCATGTAGTTCAAGTTGGTGTCTGACTGGGCCGGAGTTTGCGGATGAGCCGGAGGAGGAAGAGGACGACGGCGGCGAGGGCGGGAGAAACGCGAGGACGAGAACGGGGCTTGATTGTGGTTTGTCGAGCGTCGAAGAAAGCAGCCAACCAGCCAACCGTTCCAGATCTGCGAAACCTGGGTGCATGGGGGTACATGGGTACCTGGGCACCTGGGCACCTGGGCACCTGGACACCACAACGACCCCGCACAGTGTACAGACAGTGTGTGCGATTCGTGAGCCTCGCCCAGCCTTGGGGGGAGCTACAGCTTTAGCTAGCTTCTTAGCTTGGTGGCCGACCGTTGGTTTTTCTTTCTTTCTTTCGTCCAAACTGCCCAGTTACGCCGCCTCGGCAGCCTCGGATCTTGGCCTCTGCCCTAGGAAGCCCCCAGGAAGCCCCCAGGGAACCCAGGGAACCTGAGGAGCCCAAGGGAACGGCCATGTCAGCACGTCGTGTACGTCGTGGACAAGGCGATTGGTGATGAGGTCATCCCCTGGGAAAATGGGGAAAAAATAGCCCCTGCGCGCGGCGCCAAGTACCGCGACAAGCTGCATCGTCGAGGGTGGTGGGTGGTGGGTGGTGAAAATGATCGTGGCCTGGTTCCGATCCCACCACTTGTCTTGTGCTGCGCTGCGCTGCGCTGCGCTCTGCTGCAGTCGGGAATTAACTGGATCTGCTCAGACCGAAACGGAGTCTTGCATGGGAGGAAAATGTCCAGTTCCTCCGATTCTCTTTCGTTGATTCCCATTACCAATCCGCAATCCGGCTGGCGCTCCCTGGCTCTGGCGCCCCCCCCCCCCCGGTCATGGGAAAGAAAGTCCTGTACTGTACCGTACGTACTCCATTCTGCACAGCTCTGCACTCGGTAGGTGCCACCTGCCGCCCCATCGCAACCATGAACGGGTCCAGTCCGAACAATATAACACGCGCCCGCCTCGCCGTCCCATGTCTCGTCTGCCTCAGCCTTGAGATCTCTGTTTCCTGTCTCAGTCTTATCCCTCCTCCCGATCCCACTCCCATTCCCACCACCACCCTCCCACAGCCCAAGCTACTTATACCCAGTGTACCCAGTATACCATAGCTGTTGCCTCCCAGCTGAGATCCGGTTGAAGCACACCGATATCTCTGCGACGGCAACTTAATTTTATAACTCACCTGCAGCCAGCTGTGAACAGCGCTCCGCTTCTCGGCAACAGTCAAGAAGACTCCTGCTTGTCGGAGGGTCACGCCCAGAGACAGTCCGAATGCGATCGGCTACAACACCAGCCCTCCATCTGATTGCAACAGCTGCGGTTCTGGGGGCCCTGCTCCCAGCCGTGCTGGCGCATGGAGATGAGGGCATGGACATGGACGGGGCCATGGACGGGGCCATGGACGGGGCCATGGATATGGGCGCCCAGCAGCCGGACAGTGACGCCTCAGACTATCCGCCCAACTATTTCAGCCATCCAGAGTACAGGGGGACTCTGGTTGCTCACATCGCACTGATGGTGTTGGGCTGGGTCTTCGTGCTGCCCCTAGGTAAGTCGTGGTCGAGTTTCCCTTTCGCGTGAGGCTTCCCGCTGACCCTTGTGCAACAGCGACCATGTTCTCCCTCGCGCGATCACGGTACACTCTCCCCACGCAGTTCGTCTTCTTCGCGGTCAACGCCCTCGGCGTGCTGTTCAGCGCAATCTACAATGCCAAAACCCCCGATCTATACCCCAACAATGCGCACCACAAGCTGGGCTGGGTTTTGACCTGGATCCTTTCCGCGCAGGTTGTCGTCAGCCTGCTGGGCCGCCTCGCAGGCGCATTCAGCAAGAGTGCCGGCGGTGCGCTCAACGCTGCGGAGCGCCAGGGCTTCCTCCCAGTCTCACGAGCTGCCATGGACGAGCACCACCGGCTGCATAGCTCACCGTACGACAATTTGTACCGCCACTCAGACGACAGCGGTCACGGCACGGAGCCTCGGACCGAGTCGCTGAGGAGTCCGTCCTTCTCGTCGACCCCTGACACACTGGCCAGTCCCAGCGCCGAAACGGCGCACAAGACATTCCACGACGACGACGACGACGATATTGAGGCAGACACCGATCTTCCTCCGCGGGGAGGTGCGATCCGCAATTTTGCGACCAAGATCGGCAGCAAGATCTCGTCGCGCGCGTGGGGAGTCTTGATCTTTGGCTACAACGTCGTTGATCGCACGAGCATGATACTGGGCTTCGTGGCCCTGTGCACTGGCGTGATTACTTACGGCCGCTTCTTCGAAGGGGGAATGATCTTCACAGGTCTCGCGCATTGGATCAAGGGCGGCATTTTCTTCTGGCTGGGCATATTCACTCTAGGAAGATGGGCTGGGAGTTTCGGTGAACTTGGATGGGTAAGTCCTCAGCCCTACCGCTGTAACCGGCAAGCAGCATCAATTTGTCTCGCAACAGGATACTGACGCCGTGGTACGTGGTACAGGCATGGAATGTGAAACCAAAGTCTGCCAGCGGCCGGTGGACACCATCAGCCGAATTCGTCGAGAGCGCTCTCATCTTTACCTACGGCGCAACCAACATATTCTTGGAACACCTGGGCAGCTGGGGCGGTGAGTGGAGCTTCGAGGACCTCGAGCACATCTCAATCACCGTGCTTTTCATCGGAGGTGGCCTGGTAAGTAGTTATCCCTGTCATTGAGCCTCATCGCCTTACCCGGCACGCGCTACTGCACCAACGCGGGCGACGCTAACCGCTTGCAATTCCAGTGTGGCATGTTGATCGAATCCACACGCATCCGCGACCTCCTGAACACCACCGTCACAGAGGCAGCACAGGAATCCTACGATGAGGACGAGCGCGAGACGGCCCTCGAAGAGCCGCACACCTACAACTTTTCGATGAACCCGATCCCGGCGCTCGTGATTCTCCTCCTGGGAATCATGATGTCCAGCCACACGCAGCAGTCCATGATCAGCTCCATGGTGCACAAGCAATGGGGCAACCTCCTCACGGGCGCCTCTTTCGCCCGCGGCTTCTCGTACGTCATCACGTACCTGAGACCGCCCACCTCGATCCTGCCCTCGCGGCCGCCCACCGAGCTCCTCACCAGCTTTGGGTTGATGGCAGGCGGCATCATCTTCATGGCCTCGAGCGGCGACACCGTCAATGGCATGATCCACCAAAACCTCGACGCCATGTTCATGTACACCGTGACCATGGGCCTCATCGGCGTCTTCATGGCGTGGGAGATCATCCTCATTGCCATCAAAGGCTGGGCCGTGCGGAAGGAGGCTGGCAAGCCTAGGCCGGCCCGGAAGTACTTCTCGGCGTAAATGTCAGCAACAACAATTGCCCGGAGATGTGGTTGTTGGTGTGGTGATGAAAATTCCCTTCTCACTACCAAGGACTTAATGGGTTCATACCGCACGACCTAGCGTGCGCGGAGTTTTTTGATGAACTTTTTCCTTTCTTTTCCTTCCCTTTTTTGGAGTCCGATCGTCCATGATACCCAATTTATACCAAACCGACCATTGCCAGCATTTACATGGGATGATTGACAAGGGGGCTGATGTAAGCAGATGAGGCTGGGGTTCACGAATGATGGGCTGGCATGATACCCCCTATTTGGATATGAAACGCATTCGTTATTGTCTTGATTTGGTTCTATAGAACGAGCAGGTCAGGGGAGCAAGGTGATACCTGACGGCTTTGTAGCGGTCGCCTTTCTGATCAAGGTTGTAGACAGCGTGTGAGCTTGAGCGAGATAGATGGGTGTGTGAATATAATGAACTGGCTTCGTCGGACTCGAGACCTTCGTGCGATGGGTGAGAGAATTCCGTGTAGAGGTCGATGATCAATCATGCGTGAAAATTGTTAGGTTATTTATTTGCTATGTTGGATATGTCATTGGTGCGCCTGTGATGCCAGTTGGCGCTCACTCGGGCTGGATGGTTTCATGATCGTTATTGTGGTCGGGGACGTAGATATGGACAAGTGAAACTCACCGACCACGCAGCCACTGAGGTGGCCGTCTCACTCGTGTGTTAATGACCAAAGGATACATAAGTTCTCAGGAGAATGGATGTGTTGAGCTCTCATTTTATTGTGATAACTGTGAGGTTGGGCGAGGAAGGGTCGATGAGAAGATGGTGGGGGACATCCGTGAAGAGGCGATGGGCAAGCGAGGGTTAGACGTAAGGCTCACAGCACAATGGCGAGGCTGCGCACAATGTCTTACACTCACTCACTAAAAACAGATGGAAACTTGGACGAGGACAGTATCGAAATGGTGGCCATGCACGGCCGAGACGGCAGAATGACCAAGTTTGTAGGAGAGTTTCGTGTCACTAGCACCCGATATTGCAGCAGTGTCTCACTTTACGACACAACGACGAAATCACACGGCAGAGAACAATTACTAGGCACGTTCTTGAGCAATAACATTATTGAATTCAATCCCGCACAGTCTCAAGGGCCGAGCCGTTCATCCTCACTACTCCTTTCTTCTGAGTCGTAAGTCGGTTATGTACGCGTACTGTTTCGAGTGTGTGTATATACAGTTTCGCCTATCAATACATGTACTTTGGTGACTCGCTCTCTTTCTCGGAAGGATTCGCACCCAAGAGGGCAGGGGGGATGGGTCTCTGGACAAGCATCCGCTCGTCCCACAATCGAGGCTCGCCTCGGGAGGACCAAACGCCAGCCTGCTTCGCTTTCATTCGTCGCTGTCACTTTTTCCTTTCCTTTCCTTGCTTGCTTGGTTCCGCTTATTCCCCGGTGTTTGTGGCGCGTTATGTACAAGATTTTCTGGGTTGTTGGTTGGTGGTCGTGTGTCTCGTGGATGTACGTGGATAGGGGTTGGGATATCGAAAGACAAAAGAAGCAAGAAAAGTAGTGGTGGTATCGTTGATAGAGAGGTAGGAATTCATCATAAAGCGTAGCCCATCTTCACGCTGCCCTGGCTCGTCCTGCGGCTGCTCCCAGTGTACACAGCCCGGGGCCCGACATCAGGGCCCGGGTCGCTCCAGTCGTCCATGCTGCCCTCGCTAACGCCGCTCGTGTACTTGGAGCTGCCCAGGCTGTTATCCCTAGTGTGCGCGGCAGGCACTGGCTTCCGGATGACGTCGCCTCCCGGCACCGATCTGACACCGGACTGGTGCGCGATCGGGATGCTCCCGCTGGTGCTGGGGTACCGGCCGGCGCCGCTGCTGCCGACCGTAGAGAATGTGCTCGATGCAACGGCGGACCGGTCGAACGAGCCCGAGCCCTGCGATAGCGGCTCCAGGTCGAAGGGGTCGGATCGGAATTTGTTGCGCCTAGTGTTGAAGCTTTCAAAGCTCGCGGTGCTTTCGCGCATATACATTGTCGACTCGTATCCGCCTGGCCGTGTAGTCGCGCCACTGGGCGGACGTGAGACCCCGTTGACCACTCTCAGATCCATGACCTGGTTCAGGTCGATAGTGGTGCCGACGGACTGGCCTCTAGAACGGCGGATGTCGGCCACGTAGGTTGATGGTTGAGGAGGATAGGCGGGTCCTGGAATCGCATTCGCGTCGGAAAAGGGATTGTTGGCGCCCGAGACAAGGAGCGGGGCCGGTTTGGCACTGTTGCTTGTCATGGCGTTCGCGTCGCTAAATGGGTCCTGGGAGAAATTCAAGTTCAGCCCTCCCAGCACGGAAGACTCGCTGCCACCGCGTGTCCGTGACATCCGGCGTCTCTGGGCCTCGCGATCCAGCTCGGTGTCATCCATGTTGAGTAAAGTGAGGAAGTCGGGCTTATTGGTTATTGGCCTTGTTCTCGGATTCTCCTTTTCCTTCATACTGCCACCAAGTCCGCGGGCGGCGAAGATGTCGTTCTTGTTTTCATTCCATCCTGGATCACGCATCTTGGGCCCTCTAAGCTTGGCCAAGATAGCCCATATCTGGTCTTTGAAGGATGTGTTGCCTCCATCTGGTGCCACTGCCGACGAGTTCTTCCTGCCCCCTTCGACAATGGGTGACGAATCCATGAACTGCGAGTTGCCCCTGTTCATATCAACACTGCGCCCACTGTTTGTACTGGAAATGCTGCGTATGCTGCCGCTACGCGCGATGCGGCCACGAACTCGGCTATACTGTGCTCTCAGGGCGACCTTGACCTTGGTGGAGCGGGGGGTAGGCCCTATGCTATCCCGCTCGATCATGTATCCCCCTTGACGGTCCCTTCCGAATCCTGGATCAGCGGACAGTGGTGTGAGTAGTGTACTTCGCCGCTTCCTTAGCATCCGCCTCCTCCAGAACCATATGAGAAAAGCAACCAGGCTGATGACCGCTACGCCACCAACGACGCCACCGGCCACAGCTATAGTCGAGCCAGAGCCACTGCGGCTGGCACCTCCGCCATTCCCACCAACCGGAACGACACCTACGCCGGACGTGCTTTCGACAGCGTCTGGCGCCTGGGGGTTGTTTGCTGGCGTCCCGGGAGTAGCACCTATCGTAGTTAAGGGCACTGCTGAGGACGCAGTCCCGGATGAAGCGAGCTCGCTCTGAGGTGGTGAGGCTGCTGCGGGATTTGCCACCGATGGGGTGGGCACGACCGCTATCGAGGTGGACGCAGTGGTCGGGACCGCTGCGACGCTGGTGTCAGCTACACTAGCCTGTGGTTGTGGCGCGACCGCTACCGAGGGTATTGATTCTATTGAGACAGAGCTAGAGACAGAGCTAGAGCTGACGGGAGGAGGAAACTGCGGTATTGACGTTGAGGATGTGGCCACGGCAGGCGGCGGCGCGACGACGACCGGGGCGGCGGTCGTCGGCTCCACCTGAGGTGGTGGCACCAGCACTTGCGGCTGTGAGGCTGGAGTTGGTGCAACTACAGGCAACAGCGAGCTCGACGATGACGATGACGAGGACGACGAGCTCGACGAGGACGATGAAGAAGACGTGCTCGTACTTGTGGTGCTCGCCGGCGGAGGGCTGGCCTGGGTGCTGACGGATCTCGGCACAGCCGTACACCTCTTGCCATTGAGCGTCGTCACGAATGTCCCCGCGGTGGGGAAGTTTGGGCTCGTCGACATGATGGTGATGTCCGGGTGCCCGGTGTATGGGCGTCTAAGAGGGGCGATTCCAGTCGCAAAATCCGCTCGAAAGCAAAGTTCTCACTGTACAACAGGAGAAAACCCCCTCTCTCAAAGGGGGGCGAAAGAAGTGAAAAGGCAGGCCACTTGGGCCATCAAACTCGGTTCAGACTCATCCAGGTGAAGGCGCGGGCCGTCGAGAAAGGTGGTGATGGACGTTGTTGTCGTCGTTTAAAGTGTGCAACGGGCACGAGAGTGAGGCTGGCAGGACAGACGAACAGACAAACAGTCGAGGCCGACGTGGCACGGAGACGGCGAGGGTGGTGAATGGTTTTGTTGGACGAGCAGAGCGGAATTCGGGCGCGAGATGTTTGAGAAAGAGCAGATTCAGATCAAACCGTGGAGGGAAACCTGCGACAGGGCAGGGAGAGGCAGGGCTGGCATAGCAGGCAAGGAGCAGGCAAGGAGCAGGAGGAGGAAGAGAAGAACGGACGAAGGGGAGGGAAGCGTGAGGTGTCACACAGTCGCAGGCGGAGGGGATCCTTGGGTTCGTTGGAGTTGCACATCCGGTGCCGAGCAAAGAGGATCATGGCAGAACTGCGGCATGGGCGTCGTCGAAACAAGAGAGGTGGATCCGCCTGGTCGGGGCATGAGGGAGGAGGACATGGGCTGGGAGGGAAGTGATGTACCGGCCACACACCAGACGCCCACAGTATACGGCAGTACGGTCGGTGCAGAGTACTGCAGAGTAGAGACTAGGAGGGTGTGTGGGACACGGCAGGGGGCGCTGGCGGCGGGCGGCACCAATGTCGTCGGGCATGGAGGCGGCGGTTGACTGAGTTGAGCGAGACTAGCGAACGGTGGTGTTTGAAGTAGAAGTGGACGAGGCTGGGATTGGCCCGGGACGAGAGGGGTGGTGCGTGCCCATGTCAGTCCCAATGCGTCGTGCCTGTCGTGCCTGTGTCTCTTTTCTGCCTCTGCTTTGGGTGGTGGTAGTCAGAAAGGTCGTGCTGTGGGTAGGTAGTGGTGGTGGACGAGCCAGACAAGATGGTGGTGAGCCTCAATGTCCCCCCTGGTCATGCCTGGTCATGCCTGCCACACCCTGCACCTTGGCGCCGTTGATGGAATGGCGCTTTGATGCTGCAACCCCTGTCCTGCGACACGTTTTGCAGCATCCAGGCCAGGGGTAGACTACCTTAACCCGGGTACGCGTAGTCGGCTGCCCACTCTGCCTCTTTGAACCTCTGTGCCTCTCTTCCTTTCTCTTGTGCAACAGTACAGACAGCATTCTGGTCTAATTACTGTACTTGCTCTGCAGTATGCAGTACAGTATAGTATACACCACCATTGCACAGATACCGGTGACAGGGTGTGCCAGGACCCCAGGTTTGTGCTTGGTCGTTGATGCAATCAATCACCATGCGTAATTGCAGTCTTGGGTTTGGACGAGGCTGTGCTTGGTGTGCTTGGTGCTGGTGCTGATGCTGGTGCTGGTGCACCTTGCCGTCGCCGTTGATGCAAGTCATCGTGTGTGTGTGTGTGTGTGAGAACGAGACCAACGGCCACTCACTGTTAAGGTCAAGCTCAAATTTGTTGTCCCATCCCATCGACACTTTGCTTCATCAGGACAGTGAGGCGTCTCGCCTTCCCACCTGGATGAGCACGGTGACACAACACACACGCGCACACACACATAACATCCAGCGCTACAGTGCGTTGTATTGCGTGCCTGCGTGCTGCTTGCCGCATACTGCGTGGTGCGTACTGCGTGCTTCGTACCGCGTATTGCAGACCTGATTAACTAAACCGAGAGTGAGTGAGTGAGTGGGTGAGCAGGGAACGGCGCTTCCCCATGAAACAGGCGGGCACGGCATGGGTTATGTTTTAGGTTTCAGCCTCCCCATTCTGGGCTAGCACCATACCGCACCTTCTGCGATTGGGTTAGAGTGGAACCAACACTCGAGAAGCCCCTCCTCCCTCTTGTCGGCCGACGGCATCGGCGTCGGCGACGGTGGCCCTCGACTCAAAACCACTATACCGTCCATTCATCGCCCAGTCAGTCGCTATGGCAGAGCGCGGCAGAACACGGCAGATACGAGGGCTGCTTCATGTCCAACCCACCGGGTCACCCAGTCCATGCCGTGGGTTTTGTTTGGACTGGCATATTTGCCTCGCCCACGGACACAGTCACGACAAACAAACGTCACCAAACTCTGCTGTTGGCAACCATATCAGTGTCCAAGGGTCCAAGTGTCCAAGCCTCCACGCCACCGACACATAGGACACATACAGAACACACACCAGCCCTTGAGTTTTTCCAACCCTGATGAGGACAGATCAGCCCCAGGGTCCTCACGCCATCACCCTCATCCGATCCTCTCTTCGACAACACCGACTTGGGTTGACACGCGACGTGTTACGCACTAGACGCAGCTCGCCTTCTCCCGCCAATGCCAACACCCCCTTTTACTCAGGGCTACAGCTTCAAAAGATGGGAGGACTGCCGGGGAGCAGAGACAGAATCAGATGGCTGCGTGCCTCTCACTCGCTCAAGTGTCCGTTCTCGCCGCAGATCATAGGAACAAGAAAGACCCTACTGGCCAGCCCGTCGCTCACCCGTCAATCATCCGGACTTGACACAAAGAACTAGTGCGGCCTTGTCGTCGTGGTCGAATCGAGAGCGTCTGACGACGACTCAAGCACTTGGCCAGGCGGATCACGGATGAGACGGGCTGGTCAATGGCTGTCGAGTGTCTAGGCCCAAGCTTCGAGTGAGCTTCGGCCTGAGCGGTCACTCGCCCGTTGCGTTACGGACTGCCAGAAACTTGCCCACAGACGCTGCTGCTGCTGCTGCTGCTGCGTTGTGAGATGAGACTATCACCATGTCGCGAAATAAGGCAGTATGCTATAGTAGAACCAGGAAACCAGCGAATCCGCTGCAGCAGCGACCGTGACGTTGTGTTTCCGACCGAGATATCGACAAGTCAAGCGGTTTCCGGCCCCAGGATCCACTGCACATCACACCGATCGGGAGCAAATCCCAGGGCCTTCCGAGTCTCATCTGCGTGCCTGTCGACCGGCAAAGAGTCCCCGTCAAGGTTGAGTTCGTTTCTCCCCCGCCCCGCCCCGGGCTCAAGCTCAATCAATCATTAAGTTGCATTTGCTGTCGAGATCCCGTGTCACTGGTAAGCTTATGCACCACCACATCTCCACCGCATGGACAACCTTATCGGTGCTTGGATCTTTTAAGTGCTACACGTGTAGATACAGTATATGCGCGCTTGATAAGGCCCTCGCCTGATCAATGCTTCTTGTAAAGCTGCAATGAGGATTATCCCTACCCCATGCCACCCTCTCTTTGACCCCTCGAGCGCCCACTCCCCCACGGGAGGTCTTCTTCCCAACCCACCACCACCAATCCAGACCCAAACACTGTACAAAAACTTGTAAATGCGTCTGAGGGTTCGGGTTCGGAATCGGATACAAGGTTGAGTCAGGAATTCTGCTACAGAATAACGAACGGCATAAGTTGTGATCGACTGACTGACTACAGGGCATCCTGACAGTCTCTTTTCAAAGTCACCATCACCATCATGAAAACATCAAGGTTGCTAAGTGCTGGCTAATGGTTCAGGTACAAAAAGAAAAGTACGTTCAACATACCAAGCCAGCCCCGCGCAGCCCATGCATCAATCCGATCCCAGCCAAGCCCATAGATGGCAGGGGATGGGTGGTTCGAGGGCGCCTATTGAGCTCCCTGCAGATGCAGGTTGACGCAGCACAACGCAATAAGCCAATGCATTGCATCCATTGCCTTGCCTCGCCTTGCCTGCTGCCGCATTACCGTGTCGCGCTTGCAGCAGAAGCTATCACCTACCTCGTCCACCGCCAGTATCTTTCCATGCTGCTCACATTGGCAGTTCAGTGATGGCTTGATCAGGATCACGATCTGCAGAGAGGAAGAGTAGGACGTCTCGGCAAACAAGTCGTCGATTACTCTACCTCGATTGATTCGATCTACATTGCATCTCAACCGAGCTGCTGTCCATCATCATCATTATCATCATCATCACAATCATCACCCGCATCTCTCTGTGGCGGTTCTCATCGGTAGACCTTGCTTGGTCTGATCAGCGTGACTGTCGACAGGACAGACCACTCATCATCGCCTCTACCATCGGACAAGGCCAGCACCGTGTTTGAGTCGGGCTGATCGTGCCGATCACATACCCCAAGTATCGCAACCATCAACCGCGCCCATGAGCCTTCACCCATCTGCACCAGGTCTAAACTAGCTCTGGCGTCGAGCTGCCACTTTCTCCGACCTCCAACCCGGTTTCGCTCCGAGGCCGTTCTCGGTAACGGAGACTAAACAGAACATCATGTTTGGCAGCCTCTCGCAACTCAGTAAGTGCTAGCCTCTAACCTTACCTGTCTGTCTGCTTCTACCTGCCTACCCACCCAGCACACAGTTGTGTTTTGATACGGCGTGGCACTTCACGTTATGCTTTCCCGGCCAAGACGTCACAACCTGTCACCGTGCTGTCGTTCCTGCATTACTCGTCTTCAGACGAACTACCTGTCGCGAAGGGAAGCACCAAGCGTCAGGCACCATGCGTTGAGATCCGGCCGTCACAAATGCATCCGAAAGTCAAGCATCTCGCCGCTGCCAGATCACGCTCGTCAAGCTCGAGGGTAGTGCAGCGGCTCGGGGGTTTCAACCTCTTGTCATGCTTGACATTGTATGATCGGCCCTGCACCATGCCACACCCCAGCCCCGGGAGCTGTACTGCTGTTTCTTGTGTGCATCACTCATCTGCGTCACTTGTCGCTCTTTGCCACCTCAACCGCCCTTCACTTTGTTGCCATGCCGCAGTCATTTTGTTCCGGCTGACCGAGTGCCCTCAGTCCCCCCGGTGCCTCCGCCTCCCGAGGGCCCACCCAAGGATGCTCCACCACCAACACCCGTCGACCTGCCGCGATGTCGGCCAAGGGCGTCCGAGGGCCGATCAGTTGCGCCCAGTGACTCGGCAGGCGCCCCGGCACCACCCCATCTGACGTCCCTCCTGCAGGATCTTGTCCGCCCGCCAGATCAAGTCGATGTAGCTCATCTCGAGGCCATCGGCGTCGACGTGACCGCAGATGTGCCACTTACCCAGCTTGTGCCAGACCCATCGTGTCTGCCAGACTTTGCCCAATGGGACACCCTGTCTCGTGAAGAGGCACAAGTTAGTGACTCCGAGTCCCGCCCGACACTCAACAATGGGCGACTGGCGTCGGGGCCGTCCAAGTACGCCGAACTGCGGCAGAGTCTTGCCACCGATAACGAAAAGGCCTTCCGGGCTGTCAGGAGGGTGGCTCCCAAGCCTGGGGAGCAGTACGTGAGGCTAGGCTACTGCCATGAGTTCTTCCGTCACCTCGAGGCTCTGACTGGTTTCTGGGATGACACCTCGAAACCCAAGCCACCAGACCACACGGGCGGCAAGCCTGTGGCAGAGGGTGATAGGAACTACGGCTGGTATCGCACGAGTGCTGGCAGCGTCATGCCGGCTCAGTACCGCACCCAGCTGCTCACGTCCTTCCTGAAGTTGATCATTTACGATTTTTCATGTAATGTCATGTCAAGGCAAGAACCACGCCTGTACATCAAATCGCCCCTACCAGAACCTCAATCTACACCGGTGTCACCCGCGCCGCCCCGACGTCACTCGTACTTCTCATCCGGTTGCAACTTCGTGTTCCGCATGCCCTCGGACCGCGAGTCTGCCAAGCGCGGTATCGTCGAAGGCCCCATTGCGGCAGTCAGCCCTAGACACACCACTGTCTTCCCGCCACACGGGCGCGAGCGCGAGTCCGTCATCGACCTGTCCAGGGAGGTGATCGCGGCGCTGATCACCGCGCAGCACAGGGCGCGTGAGGGCCGCAAGGAGGAGCGTGTCGGCAAGGACGCGTGGTGGACGACGAAGCCGCGCTGGGGCGGCGGGCCTGGCGGGCCCATCGGCAAGGAGGCTGAGGCCCTCGAAGCCAGGGACACGACGGCTGTGCTGATCGGCGACAAGGACGAGCGTCCGGTGGATGCCGGGCGGTCCGCGGCGGCCGAGGGAGAGCCCGGTGACGTCGGGGCCCCTCCCATTGTCAGCCCGCGGCAGTACATGCTCCCCTCGCCGTCGTCGCGCGGTGGCACCGGCCAGCTGCAGCCTCCGCACCCCAAGCGGCCGAAGAGGGGGCTCGCCGTCTACGATGCGTACAGGATGGTGCGGCCGCCCGCGCTGCACTGGGATCCCAAGACGCGGTACACGCCTGTGGGGCGGCAGCGCGGCGTGGACTACGACGACGTCTTCGTAATCTCGTCGCTATTCCACCACATGTCTGTCCTGCGCGTCAGGGTGCCCGATCGCCTGCTGCAGGTGCTGGACGGCGCCCCTACTCCGAACGGCAGGGACTGGGGAAAGCTGCAGGTGTGGCGGACGCGGTGGTTCGACTTCTTCGTGCCAGATGACAGGGTTGATGCCATGAAGGCTGTCTGGGGTGTTGTTGCTTACGCCATGAGGGCGATGGAGGAAGAGGGGAATGCGGGAAGTGAGATGGACGTAGACAGGGGAGGGCCGGGTGCAAGGCGTAGCTGATGGGGATAGGATTGCCACTTGCTATGTGTGGACCGACGGGCGCGTTGTAGACCTGCCGCTTTCGACAGACTTGGTCTCCTCATCAGGGCTCGGTCACGGTTGGCTGGTTGCGTAACATTGGGCCTTGGCTACGTCCTTGACGAGGTATGCATCCGGAGGGCCGGGATCATAAACTTGGCGGCGGTTTCGAAGGTAGTGGCACATACATGGGAGTAGACATGCCGAAAGGCGGATAGAACACGCAATACAGGACGGCAGCTAAACTAGCCGATGAGAAAAGTGCTGCCTTTTGTGTTCGTGTGTGACGTGAACTTGCCGCAGTAGTCACAAGTCAAAGGAGGCATCTGACCCTTTTCGCTTGTAGTGTTGGGATTGCGAGGCAGTGTACAGTAGCCACCAGACGCCTCAGCTCAGACCCGAGTAAATCGTCAGCTCGCTTATCTCGGTAGTCCAGCTTTATAGGTATCCTGACAATCACTGTGGGGGAATGAAATAGGTATGTCCAAATTTTGTGGTACAGTAAGCGTGTTTCACCGATCTGTGTCTAAAAACGGCTTTGATTATACCTTCTCTTGAATCCTCCTACCTGAAAGATACCTGGTGTTTCTATCTAAGCTGTCATCATTTATCTTCGCAGTTCGTCTGACGAAGCTATTTGGATACAGTGGCATTTTTTTCATAGAACACATCGAATATGGGATCCTGTATACAAAGTGATAGCAGCATTCCCCTTTTTGCCCTCCGTTCTTACGCCTTGACGAGAGACTTTTGATGCTTTGCTAATGGTCACACTCGGTCTAAAAGAGCTCGTCTTGGTAGAATTTTACTCCAACTGGTGAAAATTATCTCATAGGCTACTACTGTACTTAAAAAAAGGTTCATTTCTCAAACTATATTGCAACATAACCAAAATAGCTGTGTGGGCGTAAACATGCTTCTGCGCGTATTGCCTGGCAATGCCTAAACCCCGCTTCAAGTTTATATGGCCAACGAATTATCTCGATTGCCATTACAGTCTGTAGTATCCAAGTAATTCGAAAGCATTGAAATCTAAATATGTCTATGGTTTGTGCCTGCCAGATTGTCAGCATGAGTGGACAAGTGCCCTTTACAGAACCGAATTACACAGTCGGACTTCATCCTGGTGTTCTTCGCTACCTGTGTACAGCCTCACATAATGTGTAACATATAGCCTTGAGGGAGTTGGACTTGATTCAATCGGATTAGTGGACGAGTGCGTGCTTGAAACTTTTCTTTTTGCCCCCGGGGGGGGGGCATCTAAAGACAGAGAGCATTAACATCAAACGTCTGTCTAATGAAAGCCGATAGTTGTTGAGGCACCTGGATACGGACCGGACAATCCATTTATTTCTCACGTGAAATGTTCTTTATTAATATGCGTGCAATTAGGTTATTTCCCTATATCATCTTTGCTTCTCTTGCCACTCTGAGTACACTATCCAGCACTGCTACCTCATCGTCAGAAAGTGGACCTTTGCCAATGACCATCATTTTCAGCCTAACATGAGCGACACGGCTCGGGCTAGACACGGTCGCACCTTGCCAGCCCAGCTCGGGAGTAACACAAGCCATCGTATTTCCGCTGCTCTCCTGAAGATGCGACACGGAGTGAGTAGGTCAATAGACACGACGTGACCCCAGGACTAGCCGCTGGTGTGCGAGCGCGCTGTACACGCTTTGGCACACTGTTGGTTTGATGTAATTTTCTGCCCTCACAGGCAGAGGAGGTGAGCTCCCCCAACATGACGAGTGGGAAGTTGCGAACCATCAGCTGTGTTAGGGTACAGCGTTGCCCAGGTGGCTTCACTTCTATTCTTCATTATCCTCGCGGGGACCGCGGATGGATTTCATCGAACTAGCCTTTCCTGTGTTGTGCCGTCGAAGCCAGCTGCCTAGTTCTCTGAAGGAGTGATTACACAATGAAAATCTCTCAACTGCAAGCTCTTGCGCGTCCTGGCAATGGATGTTGCGATTGTTTAGGGATCAAGAGGGCCTCTGAAGTCCTTCAAAATTATTATGGCTTTCTTGCATGTGGATATTGAATTGCGGCCACGCTGTCTCGGCCTGTCCAAGAAGAAGCTGCGAAGCCTCCGGTGTGTGCTGTTGCCTACAAGGCCCCCATTACGAGCCGTCCCCCGTCCTCCTCACTTCGTGTTCTCAGAGGTTAAGTGATCGTGTTCTCACTGATTCGGTGCTAAGGCCTCCGCAGCTAAATATGAGCTGTGGTGCTTTCGTAGGTGCCATGGACTCGGCGGGAATGCCACGATGAGGGTGACGGGACCAACTGCTGAAGGAGTGCTCTTGTTTCGATGATAATACCGAGGACGGAAGGGGAGTCGACGAGGGCAATCATTCAATTCTTCGTCAATGTTGTTAGTGATTTGGGTAAGAAGGTTCTTTTCAGTGGGGTGTTTGGCCTACTCTAAGGAGAAAAGCAATGTTTCTGGCAGAGTCATCACCCCAACATGGGGGTTGCGCCCTTCTTCGGTGTCGGCTACAAATTGAGTAGTTAGTACACACACGCGTATACATACACGTATAAGCGGCCCTGGAGGGAACCTCACTCTGGACCTTGATGACACGATTATTACCTATCTCATTTTTTCTGCTACTCTTTTATAATGTTCCTTTGATTTGACTGCATCATAAAGTCAAATAAAATTGTAGTTCCCACAGGTGGCCATCCATTAGAGACAACTGCGTCCGTGTGGCTTTGACGTCTCACACCATCTACGCTACGAGGTTTTACCTAATTTCTTTTTCGTTCTTCTTTCTTCTTTCTCTTAAGGGAGCAAAATTCTACGTTAAGTATTATTATGAAATGCATGGCATCGGAGGCTGATGCCAGATGAGCGTGTCAGATCTCTGCTCCTGGATCCACATAGTGAGATCAATCGCCAACAGCTCTTTCCGCATACCCAGGGCTGTTTGAAACCTATCGAGAAGCACGGTTCGTCGGAAAAGCTCCTTGCCCTTTTTGAGTATTTGACCCTGATTATGGAGTAACTGCATTAAAACAAGCGGCCTCATAAAGGACTGGACCACGTCAAAGCCTAATGAATAGTGCCAAATAGCTTGTTTGCTTGACGTCTTGAGAATCGGGCGCCAGCAAGTTGTGTCAGTCTCGTGCGATTGGCCAGGGGCGAGCTCATGACTTGGTGGGCCACTCGGCTTCAAAGCCAGACCAGGCCATCGAGAAGCCATCATAACGACAGGCAGGCCTGGGCCGTGGTGGCAAGATTAAGCACCACGCCCCGGCAAGGCGGCTGATGTGAGCTAAGTTTAGACCCCGGTCGAACACAGTACGACAGTAACTGTAGATGGCAAGTCGATAGTAGAGGCGATCTTGTCTCAAATGTCACGTCAACACGGGGTGGGAGGGGGTGGAATGTGGGTTCCCAAGGCGCGGGCCGCGATGGTGTATGATGAAATGAGCATGGCAGCGTGGATGGCCCCCACAAGGACGTTGAGGGCACGAGGAGGAGAAGAAGAAGCAAAGAAGTGGCTCGGTGGGGGGCTGTCATTGGCCTGTTAACGCAGCGAGGGCGACGTGTTTCTTCAGCCGACGCCGGCACTCCCGCGCTATTTCCCAGGCCAAAAAGCATGGCAGGGCAAGACGGGGCAAGGCGAGCCGGGCTTAGACTGCGGATGCGACCTCCAGTAGGCGCAGATGGGCAGGCCGATGGCTATTCATGAACCCCAAGTGACGACTTTTGCTGTCATCTGCTGCGTGCAGAGCACTACCACGCACACGCACACGCACACCTACTTGGACATTTTTCTGACTGCATGGACGGCGTCTAGAGATTAGCAGAACAGATTGGAGGTCGAGGACCGAGGCGACGGCCAGCTGAGGGCAGACGGGCAGGCCGGGGGGGGGGGACTTTTGGAGGATGTGACGATAGGAGGACAGCGACAGAAGGGTTAGATTGCTAGATGTCCTGGGGTGGTTGCATGGTTGCATCTCGCAGAGGTGGCAGGTTTAGGAGGATGGAGGTGTAAGAGGCGCCCGGCTAGGACGGCGCATATGCATGGCTGGGTAGGCAGTAATAGTCAAGGTGCAGGTGGCCTGCATGGCTGCACGCCTGTACGCCTGCATGCAACTGGGAGCTGGGTGCTGGGAGCTGGGAGCTGGGCTGCTGGCGGCTGCGGCCCTGGCCCTGATCGGCGGTGCTGCCATGGGTTGCAGTCACTTGGCGGGCAGTGCTTCGCCTTGCGGGCAAAGCCGACGCGTGCAATTCTTTTCTGTTGCACACACAGTCAGTGATGGCATCGACATCTCCGGGGAAAAATCGCAATTGCCATGCGAGGGAGGAAAGGCATGATGATGTGATCTGGAATTTTTTTTCTTCTTCATCGACAGTATACAGTGCGCAGTGAGAGTGAGATTTGGTGCTGGTACTGGGAGAGGGACTTTGCTGGCTGGGGCGGTAAGGTTTTGGAATGAAGCCTTATAGTTCTTCCTCGCATCACATCATGTAAAGCAGCAGCAGCAGGTGATGGGGAAACCCAAGCAAGCAAAGTACATTGGGTGCTAAGGTACATTAGCAGGAGATGACCCACAGTAGATTGGGCAGGAGCGTCATGTACTGCGTACACTGCCTCCGCCGGGGCCGAGAAGCGATCCCTCGCCTTTTCCTCTCCGCTCCACTCCACACAGACAAGCCCCAAGGGGACCCCCCCAGGCCCCAGGCCCCTTCCCCCCGAAGGCCCAAGTCTCATGGGCCATGCCCCCGTGCCCAACCAAACCTTGGGAAGCTAGGCTCCTACCGTACTCCAGTCCACCTTCCGCTGGACCAGCACAGCACAGCGCACTCGCAATCAGGCGCTGCACTGCGCAGCAACCGCACCTGCACCTGCACCGCGCCTTCTCCACCTGTGATGCTCCCTGCTACCCTTTCCCTACTCCCCTGGCCCCCCTTGTCCCTCTCTCTTGTGTTGTGGGACAGAGTAGACTACTATGGTAGAGAGTACTGTATGTACAGTACATACCCTTCTCTTAGAGCCTTGGCCCCTCGTGGGCTTGGTCCGAGCACACTCACACTCTCTCTCGACCGTTCTGTCTTGTCACCGTTGTCACCTGTGGGTTCTATTCACGGAACCCACACTGTGACTGTGGCTTAGGCCAGCGATCTTGAAATCCGAATGGACAAAGACCCTTTAACTGCCTTTTAGCCTTCGTTCGACCTCAAAACCCCATCTCCATCGTTGTGTCCCGCTCATCCTCTCTCACCGCCGCCTCCTGTAGACAAGTCCAAAAGAGCAGTCCCTCGCGACTGAAGAGGAATTGAAATCCTGTTCTGTCCCCAGTCCAGAACCAGTGTTATATACATCCTGCAACTTGCTGCCCTGGGACCCCGACCCCCCCCCCCCTCTCTTCCGAGGATCCATATCCAACCCACCTGGGCACCCAGCTCTTGCTCAGCCCGCCCCGAAAAAACCCACTGACGGACAGACTGACCGGGCTCTGACGTCGTGCCTATACCACGCCTTTTATCGCATCGCATCGCATTGCATCGCGTCGCGACTCGCCTCACCACACCACGCTTGGCCTCATCTTGCGCCGTTCTCCCGCAGCCCTCTTCAGCCCTCTGTTCCTCTCGACGGCTCTGTAAGAGGGTGCGCAAAACAATATTCCCCCGCCACGACGCACGACGCACGACGCACCTCGCACCTCGCAGCGCACGCCGTCATGTCTGGCTATCCCGGCTACCAAACCTCCTACGGTGGCGCGCCCCCGCCAGGAGCCTTCCCCTCCTCCCAGGGCTACTACCCGTATGCTGTCTGCCTATGCCTCTGCCTCTGCCTCTGCCTCTGCCTCTGCCTCTGCCTCTGCCTCTGCCTCTGCCTCTGCCTCTGCCTCTGCTACTGTCTGACACGAACATGACCCTCTCTTTACGAACTCCATACTGACCACCGTATTTGTCCGTACCTAGTCCTCCACAGCAGAATTACAACGGCTACGCCCCTCCCCCCCAGCCTGGCTACGGCTACCCGTCTTCGCCTCAGCCCTACGGCTTCAACGGCGGGGTACGTACGACTGCGGCTCGACGCCCATCGCGCCCGCCATGCTCCTCAAACCCACCTTCATCGTATCCAACCGCATCGCATCGAATCCCATTGCTGACCTTGTTCGTGTTCCACAGCCCCCACCGCCGCAGCAGTACGGCTACAACGCCGCACCACAAGGCCACTACGGCCGACCAAGTGAGCAGCTCCTCTCTCTCTCTCTCTCCGACCGTCTCCCGGGACCTGGCCGCCGCGACGCCCCCCTTCTGACAGAGTGCTCGCTTTCCAGATATACCGAACCCGAATTCCTACAACCACGCACCTCGCCCACCCCCAGCCACCCCCCAGCACTTCGGCACCGGTGCCCCCACCAACTATGCATTCCAGTACTCGCAATGCAACGGCCGGCGAAAGGCCCTGCTTGTCGGAATCAACTACTTCGGCCAGCGCGGCCAGCTGAGAGGCTGCATCAATGATGTGCGCAACATGTCCGCCTACCTGGTTGAGCACTTCAACTACAAGCGCGAGGACATGGTCCTCCTCACCGACGACCAGCAGAACCCCATGAGCCAGCCTACCAAGCAGAACATATTGCGCGCCATGCACTGGCTTGTCAAAGACGCCCGCCCCAACGACTCATTGTTCTTTCACTACTCAGGTGCGTTCCTACGGCCAGACTTGTGTGGGCGCGGCCAGCTAACACGGTTGCAGGCCACGGTGGGCAGACCAAGGACCTGGACGGCGACGAGGAGGATGGTTACGACGAAGTGATATATCCGGTCGATTTTCGGCAGGTTGGGCACATCACAGACGACGAGATGCACAGAATATTAGTCAAGCCATTACAGCCTGGCACCCGGCTGACGGCAATCTTTGATTCATGCCACTCGGGCACGGCATTGGATCTGCCCTACATCTACTCCACCCAGGGCATCCTCAAGGAGCCCAACCTGGCCAAGGAGGCCGGCCAGGGCCTGCTGGGCGTCATCGCTTCCTACAGCCAGGGCGATATCGGCGGCATGATCAAGAAGGGCATGGGATTCTTCAAAAAGGCCACCGGCGGGGAGGAGGCTCACAACCGTGCTCTGGCCACAAAGACCTCACCAGCAGATGTCATTATGCTATCGGGCAGCAAGGATGATCAGACCTCGTACGTATCTATTCTGTTCATGTCAAGCATGTTTGGGTTTTGTCTCTACTATTCTTGGGCATGGAAAGATGAACACTTTCTGGTGCAAATGGGAATCAGATCTCAAAGTGCTGGAATAGGAATTAAGGCACTGAAGGCTTCTCCCAATTTACCAATTTTCTTAAATTTTTCCTTCGCGCTCATCCCCCTCCCTCCCGCGGTTTCATCCCGAAAGAACCAGCGAAGAAACAGGTCTTTCAGAGGCAATTGCTCTTCGTTGAAGTTCAAGAACCACGGAGTGCTCTCATCCACGTTGACATCTTTAAGCTTAAATCTCATCTCTCTTTATTCAAATTTCATACCTCATATACCACGTACACATGCTAACCTCGATATCAGGGCCGATGCAACCATCGCCGCTCAGGCAACTGGCGCCATGTCATGGGCCTTCATCACCGCCCTGAAGAAGAATCCGCAACAAAGCTACGTCCAGCTTCTGAACAGCATCCGCGACGAGCTCGCCAGCAAATACACACAACGGCCTCAGCTTTCGAGTAGCCATCCTCTAAGTAAGTCGCACACGTGAACGTCTGGTAATGAGAAATACTTTAGTCTCAACCATACTAACTACATATTTGCAAGTAGATACCAATCTTCTCTTCGTGATGTAGAAGGACCGCTCGTGCACGTTATAGAAAGAAGCACGGCACAGCACGTCATGTCATGAGCCATCCAGCATGACACGATCATGGCTTACGGATAATTGTAAATGCAAGAACCAGAACTGCGCGGGGACGCGCACCAAAACGGGCGGGAGTCTGTGTGAATGGCAAAAAATGTTGGGGTTTTTGAATATCAATCAATTAATTTCGAGCTGGCATTGACTACAGCACAGCGAAAGGTTCTACATTTACCCCTGTATGAGAGTGCTGGGAACGACCGGCGACGACGAGCCATAGGTTATGACGTTCTGGGACGATGACGGGATAGGGAAATGGTTCTTGTTGGATATGAGCGGGTGTATAGCATTGGGTAGGGTCAACATAACTTGGGTATCTCTATGCATCATCATCATCACCACAAGCCCTCACTGGGATCTAGCTATTAGCCTGCTCCCCTGTGACAAAGAAAGTAGTGAGAAAAATCGTCACTCCGCTGGCTTTCTTAATTTTGGCATCACTGAAGAAACGCTCCAGTCGCTCCTCGTTTGGCCTCGGAAGAGATGTTCATATACAACAACAGCAACCTCAAGCCTCCGTCATAACACCGTCCTCGGCCAGGCCGATTCACCCTTGTCCCGACAGCTTTAACCCACCGAACACCATGGGGACCCCTGGAGCACGACCCTTAAAAAACGCCCAGAATCTATGCACGCATAACAACATGCCGATATGCCACAGAACCCTGCTCAACCCTCAACTCCCTTCGCCCATGCAATCCATCAATGCATTTTATAGTCTTTTAAAAGAACAACCCTGTCCCTGTGTGTGCCGCGTGCAGCAAACGCCTGGCCGTCCCAGCCGTGATGACCTCATGAACCAACCCTTTGAACAAGAATCGGGCGCCACTTAGCCCTCCCGGGTCGTCCTCACGGGAGCACGACCCCCTTCAGCCTCCCCTCGCCGCTGGCCGAGGGGAACCCGGGTCGGGCGCGGGCCTCGCGGAAGCGCAGCTGGTGCATCTTGATGCGGTCCTCGCGCTTGTAGCTCTCCCACTTGTCCGCGAGCATCTTGCGCGTCTTCTCGTGCTTCTGCCACTCGCGCGACGCGATCCGCAGCTTCGCGATGAACCGCAGCGCAATCGCCAGCCGCTTGAGCGTGAAGGGCCGCTTGGTGTTGGTGCGCGCATTGTGCGCCGCCACGTGCGAGTACGGCCGCTCCTTCATGCCCAGCTGTTGGAAGATGCCCTCGAGCTTGAGGAGGTCCGCTTGGTTGCTGTTCCCAAAGTTCATCGGTTATTATTCGGTGCTCGCACGACAGATAACAACCAGCACGTGACTGCGAAGGAGGGTTGGGACTATACGTACCATGTATCCCTCGCGCTGAGCTCCAGCTGCAGATACTTCTTCGCAAACGCCGCGTCGTCGCGCATCCGCAGCTCCCTCTCCCACCGTGCCTGCATCCACTCCATCTGCATGCACATGCCTCGCATCTGCTTGACGTGCCGGTGCTCCGCCGCCTCGGCCGCCCGCACGATCGCGTCCGTGTGCACCTGGGTGTCGTTATCGTCCCTGAAGTGGATCACCCGGGCCGCGTTGTCGTCGTTGGCGGCTTCTGCGGCGCTGTCGTCGTCATCCACCTCTTCCAGCTCGACGGCCCGTGGCACTTGCTCGCTGACTTCCTTTGCCTTGCCCTTGCCCTTCCATGACGAGGATACAGAGGATACGGTGACGCGCGCTCGGGCCACGGCTGCTGCCGCCTTGGCTGCTTCTGCCATCTTCTCGGCTTCGTCCTTGCCCTTCTTGAGATGCTTCATGTCGCGCTGCAGCTTCTCCACGTCAGAGCGGTATTGTGCGCGCTCGGATCTGGCGCGGTCGAGCTTGACGCGCAGGGTTTTCTCGAGTGTGACAAGCTCGTCGAGGGCCTCCTTGTGCTCACGCACTTCTCGTTCCAAGGCGTCCGCATCAACTTGCGTCTTGCGGAGTATCGAGTAGAGGTCGTGGCGCTCCTCCCGCGTCATTTCACTTGTCACAGTGCCGTTGCCCACGCTGCTAACACTGGAGGCGATGCTGGAATCGTGCATGTGGTTGCGCATGTCGCGCCGGGTGGCCGCCAGAGTATCGGTCATCGAGTCGCGCTCCTTCCTGTATCTCTCGGCCTTACGCTTGTACTTGTTCGATGCCTCCTGGAGATCGGCCCTTGCCTCCTCCGCCGCCAGCTGGGCGTCCTCGAGCGCTTGCTCCAAACCCATCTTCTCATCTTCGACGTTCTCAAGATGTCGCTGGAGATCGCGTTCCACGGACGCCGCGTTGCGCTCTGATTCACGAAGCTTCTTCTTCAGGTCGCTGATGGATTGGTGAGCAGTGGAGAGCTGATGACGAAGCTCCGACACCTCGGCTTTTCGGGCAGAGGCATTCTCTGACATTGGTGACTGAGCCATGCGCGTGATATCCGCTTCGTGGGCTCGTCGTTCGAGGTCACCTATCTGGCGCTTCAATCCCCGAATTTGCGCTCTGTGGTCTCCTTCCTTCTGCATGAACTCAAGTTCCTTTTGCCGTGCTGCAGAAAGGTCACGCCTGATCAGCGATAGTTCGCTGTTGCCCTCCAGGGTATTGATCGGAATGGTAGCCTGGGCAAGCTGATGCTCGTAATTCTCAATCTTACGCTCCAGCTCTCGAATGGTACGCCGAGCTTTGGACACATCGTGGGTGTCCGGGACCTGTGCTTGTCTGACTTTGGTCTGCAGTGAGAGGATCTCCTGGTTGAGGCGCTCTTCCTCGACTTCAGCCTTGTCGAGCTCATCCTCCAGAGTCTTTTCTAGGGAGTCTCGCTGGTCCGCCAGGACCCTGTTGTCCTCCTTGAGACGACGGATCTCGTTCTCAAGACGTGCTTTTGTCGCCCGCAAATTGATTCTCTCCTGGTCGATCTGGAAAGTGTCGTTGTCTTGCTGTTTGGAGCGCTGCAGTTCGACATCGATCTCATCTCGTTCTGCTTGAGTCTCAGCCAGTCGGGTCTGAACAGAGTGAAGCTCAGCCCGGATGCTTGTCAATTGGCTTTGAACGTCCTTCTTCTCCTGTGTGACTTGTGCAATGTTGTATTTAGACTCGGCAAGCTGGCTCTCCAAACGCTGGACGGCTCGGGCGTTGTACTGGGCCTCCTCGTGGGACGCATCGGTCGAGGCTCTGGCTGACTCGGTGAGCCTCCGCAGCTCCTTAAGCTGCTGTCGCAGTTCGTCGCATTCTCGTTCGCTGACTCTCTTCTCTTGGTTAGCTTTTGAGAGATTGGTCTTGTACTCATCGAGCTGCTTCTCCAGACGCTCCATTGCCTTTGCATTCAGCTCGGCTGTCTGGCGGGAAGAGTCTGTCGAAGCATTTGCAGCGTCTGAAGCTCGACGCAACTCTCTAAGTTGCTGACGCAGATCATCACACTCCTTGGACAGAGTCTCGATCTCTTGGGCTGACTTCTCGCTCTCCTCGTCCAGTGCCACCTGAAGAACCTCGACCTCGTCTTCCAAGCCCTCGGCCTTCTCAGCCGCTGTCTGTTTATCCAGTTGTGCCTGTCGAAGCTCATCACGGACAGCAGAGAGCTCGCTTCGAAGATCCTCCAGCACCTGCTGCCGATCAGAGAGGTCTTGTTGCAGGTCATTGATCTGCCGGCTGAGGACCGCCTCCTCGTTGTGATGCCGGTCCGTCTCACTCTGAAGTGCTCGCTGTAACTTTGATTCTTTGTCGTTTAGACTGCCCTCGGCATCTCGTAACCTCTCAATTGTCTTCTGCAGTCCAAGCACGCGCTCTTCTGCTCGATCCCGCTCTGACTCGAGGTTGTGCCTCTCAGTTTCCCATTTCTCGCAATCATTGTCGTAGAGGTTCTCCTTTTCACGGACCTCGGCTTGTAGGTCAGAAATCTCGTTGTTCAATTTGTCAAAGTCAGCTTTGTACTGTACTCGCAGTTCCCGTTCAAGGCTTAGTGAATGTTGCCGTTCGTGTTCCAGGTCACCTTGGAGATCTGACATTGACTTTTGCAAGCGGGTGATATCTCGCTGAAGAGAAGCCGACTCAGCAGTCAGGGCGTCGTGCCGGCTCTGAAGCAGGTTCTTCTCATCGCTCCTGGAATTCAAGTCCGCCTGAAGCTCTTCCATCCTGGTGGCAAGTGACCGTCGTTCGCGTTCTGAAGCCTCATGCTCTTGGCGAGAATCCTTCAGCTTGAACTTCAAATCGTCGACTTCCGCCTGCTTGGTATTGAATTGATTTTCCAGGGATTGGTATTCGTGACGACCTGCTTCGACCTCATCCTGAAGCCGCACAAGCTTCTCCTCCAGCTGTCTTGGCAAGCCCTTTGTGACTACCGACTTGTTGGCCATCTCTTCTTGGAGCTCCTCAAGATCGGCCTCTGCACGTTCCTTTTCGGACAATGCGTCTTCCAGCTTGTCTTGGGCGTCATCGACTTGTCGCTCCAGGTCTCGAACGTTTGCCTCGAGGTCCTGGATGGATTCCTGGGCCTCTTTGAGTTTATCGCTGGCTTGTGCCTTTTCCTCCAACTCAATCATGCGTATTTGCGCTTTCTTTGCCTTGTCCTCCGCCTGCTGAGCTCTGGATCGGAGATCACCCAACGCAGTCTCGTGCTCGGTGATGACTCGATCCTTTTCCTGTAGGTTGGCTCGCAGGTCGTCGATGTCGTCCTTGAGACGATCAACCTCATCTTGGCTTTGGTCATCGGTTTGTCTGGCTCTCGATCTCAACTCGTCCAGCTCGTCGTCACGCTCACTGATAGCTCGCTCCTTCTCCCTGAGCTCGGCCTCCAGATCGCCGATCTCGTCCTGGAGCTTCGCCACTTTGTCGACGTTTTGTAAATCAGACTGTATTTGATGTTGCATATCTTCCAGATCTGCCTCTTTGTCGTCCAAGTCTCGACGCAGTTTTTCGATCTCGGCTGAGTGATCGTGAGAACCCTGATTTTTCCTTGCCAATTCCTGCAATTGTGTCATCTGCTGGCGGTAGTTCTCGAGGTCCTTCTCCGCCGATGTCAGATGCTTCTTGTAACGCTGCAGTTCCCTTGACATGGTGACCTTGTCCACCTTCAACTCGGTATTCTCCTTGAGAGCTGCCTCGCCGAAGCCGGGCCCGGCTTTCCGCAGCGCTTCTTCAAGAAAATGGATTTTGAGCTTCAGGCCAAAGTTCTCCTTCTCGATCTTGTCTATCACATTCTCCTGCTCGCGCAAAGACAGCTGTTGGCCGTCCTGCAGTGGGCCTCCATCGCCGCCCTTGCCGCGTCGCATGATCATTGGTGTCGAGGCGGTACTATCGCTGTCGGCTTCGGGCAATGGTGTGCGATCTACATATGACTGGTCCCTGGATCTATACATGCTGCTCTCGCCGACCTGGACGGGACTCATGTCTTCGCTGATTTTACCCAGCGCGGGCGTGGTGAGGCCGTTTTCCTTGCCACTGCGCCGGCGGGCACTATTTCGCGTGGCAGACTTTAGGAGGGGGGTGAACTCGGCACCGCCGATGCCGCCGGGGAGGTTTATCCTGTCGGAGAAAGGAGCGCGGTTCTTTGTGGCGCGTGGGGTCCTCAAGCCTGGGCGGGCGGAGCCGTTGCGCAGAGACTGGAAGACGTTTGGCTCCTTGCTGGGGGACTGGAAGGAGGGTTCTTGGGTGATATCGAAGTCTGGTGCCCGACTGAGGTATGTCGCGTCGCCGACATTTGTCCTGGGCGTGTCAAGCCCTATGCCGGGCTGCACCATGGCGTGTATTGGCGGGAATCAGTTCGCAATGGAGATGACCGGGGCGAGGAAGGCCGTAAGACGCGTCTTTTAAGGCTTTCCAACTGCTAAGAGCGTCGTGGTGTGTTTGATACAGAAGGACATATGGGTCAATTGGATAGTAGAAAGCTAGGTATGGGCTCCTTATTAGTAGGGTGCAACGGTAAGCCGTGTTGAGTTGGGAAGTGCAGAAGCAAGTCGCGTCGTGGTGGCCGTGAAGGCGGACGGACGGCGGGTTGTTTACTTTGATGGCCCAGACTGCGGCTCCCTTACCACACGGTTAGCAGACGCGACTGCGCTGAAGGTTCGTCAGGCTCTTTGGACCCTGCACATGGGCTGCAGGCCTGGGAAGCTTCGGCCAATCAACTCACACGCACTGACCCCACCTTGTCCAGCCAGCAACCGTCGTTGCCAGTGGCCATTCAGGTACCTAAGTACCTACTCTGTAAGTCTATAGGGCTTGAGTCCATGTTATGTATCGTGTGCTGTATGACACTAAACATTTCAATCGTTGCATCTGGTCAAGCTGGCATTCGTTGGTTTCTTTGCATGCATAATAGGTCCGTCTACTAATGACTGCGCGGGTCTGCAACTCGATATCCTGGCGGGCAGGAACCGTCCTGTCTGGCCTGTGCAGTACCTGACGTGGGGCATCCCTGCTGGCCTGCCGCCGCATTGACTAGGCCCAAAACGGCAAGGGCGATCCATCAATGGCGCTTGCCGGCCGAGCAAACTTTCTCCACGAAATTCTCGAGCCTCAAAATTTACCCGCAGACTGCACAGCATAAAAGAGCTTCAAGCTGTCACTCAATCAGACGACAGCCTCACCGCAAATACGCCCAGGACTCGGCCAGAAATCTGTGACGTCACACAATAAACCACAAATAGACGTCGAAATGTCCTTCAGAGGAACTCCGCGCGGTCGCGGAGGTTTTGGTGGCCGGGGTGGTGGTACGTCTTGACCAGCCAACAGGCCATACCTACCGTTTTTCTGCATGCGATCGTCAAGCTGACCACTCACTCGTGACAGGCCGCGGCGGCTTCCAACAACGCGACTTCGGCCCACCATCCGAGGTGCAAGAGATGGGCAAGTTTCTTCACGCCTGCGAAGGCGAGATGGTCTGCGAGAGCATCAACCCCCGGGTCCCCCAGTTCAACGCCATCATGTACCTCGAGAACAAGACCTCGGTCGGCAAGATAGACGAGGTCCTCGGCCCCATCAACCAGCTCTTCTTCACCATAAAGCCCTCTGAGGGAATCCAGGCCTCCAGCTTCAAGCCCGGCGACAAGTTCTACATCGACGGCATGAAGACCCTGACCATGGACCGCTTCCTGCCCAAGCCCAAGCCATTGGCCGGCCTGCCCAAGGTCAAGAAGCCCAGTCGCGGTGGCGGTGGCGGATTCGGTGGACGAGGTGGTGCGAGAGGCAGGGGAGGCCGTGGAGGTTTCGGAGACCGTGGTGGCCGTGGAGGGTCAAGGGGAGGCAGCTTTGGAGGCCGGGGCGGTGGCCGTGGGGGCGGTGGTGGCTTCGGTGGACGCGGTAACTCGGGCTCAGGTGGTTTCTCACGAGGCGGCGGACGTGGTCGGGGCGGCTTCAGCAGGGGACGCGGTTAGAAAGATGTTGCCCTTCCCGTTGCACATTTCTCAGTTTTATTTTTTTTTGCAGTTGGGATATCAAAGATCTCCCACGGCTGGGCACATTCTCGGCGTTCGGAAAAAAGGAAAGAGGACTCTGTGTTATCTGAAAGATTTAAAGCAAAACAGCCGGGTCGTTCTATGCCCTGGTAATATTCGACTCAAACCTCTCCTAACGCCCAACTTGTTGGAAATGCCCATGGCCAGGCCAAGGCAGCGATGGGCGCAGGTGATCACTATGCGATCGCAATTATGGCGTAAAGGGGACGACTTCTGCCAAAGGGACACCAGCCTTGGAGGCATGGATCCTCCAAGACATGACAAACGAAGACTGTTTGCACGGGAAAGGCAAAAAAGGATCCAAAAAGGGGGGGAAGGTGTACAAGTCCCAGGAATTGAACAGGAAACCTCCCGAGGCCGTAGTTGCTCACTGATCCCTAAGCAAGTTAGGGGACCGAAGTCACCAGCTGCACCAAGATGACCTCCTGACCATTGCTCGTTCAAGTGTGGGAAAGGTTTGCTTATAAAGAGGGGTCCCGCTACCTAGACTGTGAGACCCCGATGCGTTTGTATTTCTGTGCAGTGTGCATGAGATGTCCTTAGCCGTTCCTCTACCTCGTACACATCTACCCTGCCTTCGCCCCCGCCTCGGCCACATGCGAGGTCCTCTTCTTCGATCGCAATGCAAACACCGCAGCCAACAATAAGCCCAAACCTCCCAAACCCAGGCCCAAATACTGCGCACCCCTGTAGCCAGCTAACACATCACTCCGGCGCCCTCTCGCTGCCACCTCGACAGACCCCGCGATGCCCAGCGCCAGCGAGATGCTGTAGTTCACAGTCGTCACCACGAGGCTGGCCGCGGTGCCCTGATGCTCCTTGGCCATGCTATTGCTCAGCAGGATCGAGGCCGCTGGGTTCGACATGTCCATCCCAAACGGGATGATCAAGACCCCGATGAACGAGTTCAGCCAATAAGTCTGTTTAACGGGCGCGAGAGCCCAGAGAAGGCTGCCCACAAAGAACGCCCACATACTCATCAACAAAATAATGTACGGCTTGACCTTCTTGCCGAGCAGGAAGCCTGCCAGCATCGACGCTGCAAGCCCCGACACTGGCGCAGGCGACAGGGCTGCCGAGGCGAGCAGGGGTGAGTAGCCTCGAAGCTGTTCCATGAAGCTCAATGCGTCTGGTCAGGTTGTTAGTCATCGAGTAAACGACTTCAAGTTCGTGCAGACTATGTGATGTGACCCTGACATAACATTCCAGGAGCGACTGTCTTCACACACTTGGCGTACCAAGAAGCCTAAGTCTCGCAACACCGCTGGAAAGACACTTACAGTATACCCAGATCGAGAAACATGCCCACCCAGCCCCGGTACAGCCCAGCACGAAATTCGTGGTCGGCGTCATGCTCGCGATGGGGACTAGAGGGTGGGACGCGTGTAGCTCAACGTAGATGAAGCTCGCCAGGAGCAGCACCCCAATGATAAGGATGAAGTACGTGTAAGGCGTGCTCCACGAGACGATCGGCGCTTGGTTCAAGGCGAAGTTGAACAAAACCAGTCCCGATACGCCCAGGAAGATGCCCGGGCCGTCAATCTGCTTCCACAGGCTGACGTCCACCTGTCTCGTCGTCTTCTCCGCGGAGGGCAGGACCAGCACCGAGACGCCCGCAAGCCCGATACAGACTGCCGCCATGGTCCAGAATGCCCACGGCCACGACACCAGCTGCGCAAAAAGGGACGCCATGGCACCGCCCGTCACAAAACCAAGCGGCGCCGCAGCGCCGAACAGGCTCATGACGACGTTCTTCCTGGGGCCTGGCGGGTACCCCCGGCCGATCATGGCCTGGCCGTTAGGAACGAGCAGCGCCGCCCCGATGCCCTGCATGGCGCGGCAGAAAATGAAGAAGACCGTACCGCCCCCGGATGGACCGCGCTGGACATACTCGCTAAACCCGCCGACGAGCTCCCACAGCCCGAGCCAGATGAACCCTATGATGAAGACCTTCTTGTGCCCAAATATGTCTCCCAGTCGGCCGGATGGGAGGACGAAGGACCCTGAGGTCAGCCCGTAGGCGGCTGAGTACCACGAGAGACTCCCGGGGTTCGTATCCGGGAATGAGGTGCCGATGATGTGCTGTGGGACGAGGGCCTGGGCTAGCCCAGCTAGCATGAGTACCTGGGCGAGGATTATGACCGCGACGAAGAGGACCTCCCTGGATGCTGAAAAGCCGTAAGGTCTGTTCGGTGGTGGTTTTGCGGGTGAAATTGATGCTCGGGATTTGCCTCTACTGCTTTGGCTTGATGATTGTTGGTCTTGCCAATGTGAATCTCGGAGCGACGCACCGAGATCGCCTGTGTCGGTTCGGATGTAGGTATACCTGCCCATCCTGAGAACGGGGGAGAAATATTCGTCCCGAGCTCCATCCACGTCTTTGGAACCGCCAGAAATTATACCCGGCGGTGGATGTTCCAGAGGCCATCGTGTTGTAGAGAAACGACTGTTCTGCTCCGAGTCTTGGAAGAAGCTCGATCGTGACTTGTCGTAAGGCTCTTGTTCCGGCGTATAAGGATACTGCTCTTCGTATACAGGCTGTATCGGCCACGAAGGGAGCGCCTTGTGAAAAGCCTCGGGAGGCATACGCCACTGTCCAGCTCCCGCAGCTGAGCTCTTACTGACCATAGTAGAGCCCTCAGACAATGTGGTCCTCCGAGATGATCCTCTCAAGTTCTGGTGGCTCATCCGCCGGGTCGTTGACGACAGACGGCTCGCCTGAGTAGACAGACGTGGCGGAGGCTGCACAAATGTGGCTGGAAGATGGCCATCTTGACGAGACATCGGGGGTGTCAAATCCTCTGGAAGTCGAGACGCAATATCTCCATCTTCTGGGTTGTGATCATCCTGTGATTGTGGGTGGTCTTCTTGAGATAGTGCTGCCACCAATTGCTGGATTGACATAACTCGACCCCGGCTTGAAGTTGTTGGTGGATCCGCTCTGGGTTCATCATGCTCGTCTTCTGGATGTCGATGAGGCAATGATGTTGTCCGCCTTGAGGAGAACTCTTCATGCAGTAGAGTCTGCCGTCGAAACGATGCAGTCGCGGCGGTCATCGCATCAGCCGCTGCTTGCATGGCTTCCGTTGCCATCCTCAGACCGTCTTGCATATCTGAGTCGTGCGGCAGCACGGAATCCGGCCTTTGGCTCTCCCATGGCGACTCTTCCATTTTCGTCGAAGTCTCAGTCCTGCTTGTGGCGACCTGATTGCGCTGGTGGGAGTTCTGTAAGAGAATGAAGTTGTCGTCCCCCGTCTTCCTATATCAACAGCGCGAAAACAGGACACGAAGACCAAGAAGAGACTGTGAAGACGGAAAAATCACAGCCGAGTACAGTGAGTGCAGTAAAAATTAGTCGATGTGTCGCCTTGTTGAAGCCGGATACCCGTGGCAGTGGCAGAAAACTCAACCGATATTCTACCAGGAATATTGATCGATCTTGAGTTGCAACGCCCACAACGCACTTCACTTTTTCCTCGCTCTAAGTCGACACTTGTATCAATCCCACGTATGCAATTTACTCCGGGATGCAGGCTCCGGGATAGTGCAACGACAACGCAACATATGCTCACCGTGAAAGGCTGGCCAACACCTTGTCAGCTGGCCAACCTGTCTATCACATCGTATGTGATTTTTCTCAACATGATCATCCGAAAGTTTCAGGGAGCGAGACGGACTCGACACGATTCTATCTGGTCTCTGGAACTTTTGACGTTGAGATGAAGCAGATTGTATACTGCAGATGAACCCCGGTTACACGCTATGATATCTCGCGAACATTCCAGACGAATAAGCTCCCTCACCATTCGGCCCTGGCCAGGTGAGGAGACGCTCGACCTCTCTAGTCCAAGCATCTTCGTCGAGAAACCGAGGACTTGAGTGTCATTTGCAGCATCGCGTCAGCGACAGTTGAGGCATTGATGTTTTGTTCTCCGCGACCGATGCAAGAATTTTGTGGCTCGATAAGCCCATGTAGCTTCGCAACAACGTGTCTGAGGCTCGAGGCTCGGGTGGTTGACTGCACAGTGCGTCTCCATCTTGGTCATTGACGGGATCTAACAGACTCGGTCTTACGGGCCCGAGCGGCTGGTTTGAGAACAGTGGCAGGCTGGATCTGTGTCTGTGAGGCTAAGGTGTTTCGTTTGAAGCCAGTGCCTGGAGACGCTTCGGGTCAAGTTGACGACAAAGATTTGACCCCTAGTCTGACACTTGACAGCTCGAGCGGCAATGTCAAGGGGATTGGAGCAAGTGGGGGTATCCCTGGAGAATACGACGGACATCCCCATATCTCGTCCCTTCAGGCCAGAACCACGAGATATAGTTCATCCTTTCCCATCATTTATGCGAATCACTGGCAACACCGGCTCGAAACAACCCGGGAAACAGGGGACGCCACGTGGGACATCTACTCTGCCTGCCACTCATGAGCTTCTAGAAGGCATGAAAACATGCCCATTGGGCACTCATTCTCTCCAGGTATTATGTAGCTTGTCAGTGCACTTCACGTCTCTTCCGAATTCCGGTATCCTACCTGTGAGTTCCCAGAGATAATCGGATACATTTCAATGCTCTTTGGTGTTTGGCTAACAAAATTTACAGCCCGTGGTCCGGGCCATTAGAGATTGGTATCAAAGGCTCGGCATCTAGTTGCGATTCACGGCATCCACCGCGCAACGACGTCTATGTCTCACCATACTTAAACACCACAACAACGACTTCAAGCACATGCGACCATATCCACAAGAAAATATCGGATCCCGTTCGCTCTCCTGTAATCAAGCTTGTGAGAGGTCGATTAGTAGTTGGGTCGGTGACGACCAGCGAATCCCGACTGTTGCATGTTTTCTTTTGGCTCTTTTTGCTCGGACGGGGAGGATCCACAATGTGCGTACTCGATGGTGCTGCTGTGATGAACGATTGATTGGAGTCAGGATTTGAGATAAGATTTACGCTCTGGCGAAGGAAGTCAGACGCAAGATGTTGATGTCCCCTGGAAACCCCTTGTGCGTTGTGGCAGCCTTCCGGCTGCGCCTTAGTAGAGTTGAAGAAAGGTGTAAGACCTTCTCTCGTCTGACTCGGATGGTCTTTGTCGAATGACAGCTTTGACGATAGGTGATGCCTCTAGGCTTGGCAGCATGCTTCACTGCACCATGAATTCCGAAGCGTTGCGTCTCGTGTCGGCATAGTCCTTGCCTGTCTAAATTGTTCCAATGCCCTTGGTCATCTCCAGCTTCAGCAGTCCTGCGGTGATGACATTACAGCTTGTACCTGGCCATTCCCTCACAAGGTCAAAAGTTCCTGAAGCTTCGAAGCTTCGGATCAGGTCATTTGATCGTGAGGTTTGCCTAACGAGTCGACTGCAAGGCAGTCATTCACTGGTCTAGTCGCAGCGGAGCACTCGGGTCAAGTCACATGCTGGTAGGCCGATAATGAGCAGAAGCCTCCGAATGAGGACCTTGTCAATCCGGACGTATATTGCGGGGCCTCGGGCATGGAGCCGCGGCATCTGCCTATGGACCCGCTGAGATGGCGATCATGAACCGGGGCCACAGAGCGGAGCGCGCCGTAGGATTGGGACTACACAGGTCTATTTATACTCGATTGGCCGGTCACTTCGACACCGATGAGTCCCAGTAGCTAAACATTTTCCGCAACCGAAAACTTGTCCCACAAACATGGCGCCGTCCTCTACCAAGCAGTGGATTCTGGCGTCGAAGCCATCCGGAGCCCCTATCTTGTCTGGCCCTGACGCAACATTCAAACTCCAGACGGCAGGGTTGCCTGCCCTTAAGGAAGGTCAAGTGCTAGCCAAAGTGAAATATTTCTCCAATGACACGGGACTGCGCAATTGTAAGACTAGAAGCTATTTATCTTGCTCCACAGGCGTCTCGCTGATGAATCCGAACCTGAAGTCATCGCGAGCACGGTGGCCCCGGAGCGGTTTTATGTACCCACTGTCCCCGTCGGCTCTCCAATGCGCTCCGGTGTAATCGCCGAAGTCATTGAGTCTTTATCGGCTTCTTACAAGCCAGGAGACTTGGTCATGGATTTGTTCGTTAGCCCCCTTCCATTCCCAAGTTTCCCAGCAGCAAGAAGACCTGCCAAAGCTTCCAGATAAAGTGTGGCTGACGTCGCATCTCACAGCCATCTCGGAGTTTGGAGCGAGTACATCGTACTAGAGGCAGCAACATGTCAACCTCTGGCCCCACTACCCAATGGGCTCCCCTTGACACACTTCCTGGGTGCCTTCGGCGCCTCCGGCCTGGCGGCCTATGGCGGGCTTTACTTCGCAGGTGAGGCTAAGCCGGAGCATACCATCGTAATCTCCGCAGCTGCCGGTGCCACTGGTTCGATGGCCATTCAGATCGCCGTCAAGCTTCTCAAGGCGAAGAGGGTGATCGGCATCGCCGGGTCGGACGAGAAGTGCGCATGGGTCAAGAACGAGCTCGGCGCGCACGAGTGTATCAACTACAAGAGTCCTACGTTCTGTGAGGACCTCAAGGCCGCTACGCCGGACGAGGTTGATCTGTACTTTGATAATGTGGGCGGGTTTGTGCTGGACACGATGCTGACGCGGATCAAGAAGTTTGGGACCGTCGCCGTTTGCGGTGCTGTCGCTTCATACAATGCCCAGGACAAGCCGATGGAGCTGAGCAACTGGTTTGAGCTTATCTCCATGAGGATCACGATCAGGGGATTCATCATGTTGGACTACATGGACAAGGTGTCTCAGATCCTCGCAGAGCTCATTGGCGCTGCTGCTGACGGGAGGATAAAATTGGACCACGGGGAGACCATCGTTGAAGCGAGAATTGAGGAACAGCCAGAGATATGGATGCGGCTCTTTAGTGGCCAGAACCAAGGCAAGCTTCTGACGAAGTTGATTGTTGACTGAGGCGGTGACTTCTTGGGTGTGCGAGGACAAAAACCACATATTGAAAATAATGCTAGAAATCTAGCCATAGATATACGCGAAATGACGTGGACCGTCTTGCTCTTTGGAGATCATTCGGAACGAGAAGCAGATACTGTTCGACAAAGCATTGGTGTGCAATTTTGACCTCAGATTCTTCCACGATCCTGAGCCTGGATCGAACCACTTAAGCACTCTTGTGGATCAGAAAACGCTGACAGCTGTAGCGTGGGCCCATCCACCGCAGGTTCCCAATCTCAACAATTGTCAATATTGTTTTTCTTTGGGGTGAGACTGCTCGTCTGATACACCTTGCGAGATATTGAGTCTATTGAAGATAGGACACTTTGAGATCGCGACGAAGGTAAGAGTAGACTTGCGAGCATCGGTCATGCTCGAAGGGTTGAGAATCCTTCTCGAGGCGACAGACCGTTTGTTTTGTAAAGCTGCAGGGCTCCCATTTTGTCCTTGGTTCGAGCCCTAGTGCTGAACCCAGGCACGCTCCATTTTGAAAAGTCAACACAAACACCAAATGGCTAGCTGGACCGTCATGATTACTTTTGAAGCCTAGAGGAAATTTGCAAATTTGGTCTCAGGGAAGCCAGACCTGATACTCACGAGGCGTTTGTTGGCATTCTGGGAAGCCAAAAAGAGACCGTCAGGTCATCGATACCAAGCCTGGAGGCTGAACCTCGATACTCCCGGACGCACCAGGTAGCGAGGTCATCTCACCGAGGGTAATTCGAACCGGTGCCGTGATGGTGCGCCACAACCCCTACACCACTCACACGGTCGTTTCGAATGGTCGTTAGGAGGGAAGCGCAGCATTGGTATTTAAGGTGCGGTCATCTGATATTGAGGTCGCTGGCGAAAGGGGAAGAGGTGAATGTGTTTGGGCAGCCAGCAGGCTTTCATTCACTTGCCATCAGCTCACGGGTTGGGACAGCCAGGCCACCACAGCGAATTCCAAGTGTGAGAGCCTCAACATGGCTCCGTCTTGAATCCTGACAGGGTGTAGATCGACTTGTCTCATGCTTCTAGAACCTTGAAAGTAACGGAAGGAAATCACATCTGCTCAAGCACAAGGCATCGCGGCACTCCGTCACCTTAAGAAGCGAGTTCGAGTCGGCAAAAGGCCTAGAAGTCACACTGAACATGCGTCTTGCGGGCAGGGCACAAGCCTGAGTACAGTGAGCGTTGGCACCCATTTCCATGTGAGCATGCTTGCAATTGCGAAGCAGTGATACCAGAAGCCACTTCGCACGAGCTCCCAAGTTGATGAGAGAAAGCCACGAGCTCAATCGTCATCGCATGTCTTAATCTTTGAGATTCCTTCCACGCACATGACGTCTAGTTCCAGAGGCGTTGGACGGCCAGGGAGAGAATGAAATGATGTGGCCCCGACCAGTCGTCAACAATAAGCACGATCGGGCCTGGAGGAGTGCGTGAAATTTCTGTCGTTCATTCTGAGTTGACGAATCCAATTTCCAGCTCGAGCACTAAGTCCTTCCAGCGACATCAAAGAAGAAGCAAGATATGGCCGACCTCACTCGAGGTGCCCTCACCCATGGCTAATGCATAGGTCACACTTCAACACTGGTAGAGAAGGGCAAAGACAGTGAGGCTTCAAAAAGGTCAAGAAGCCATGCAGACTGACTAGGTTGGTGTATAGATATTGGACCGCCAGAGATTCATCGACCATTCGACACAATGATATGAGTCAAGTCGTAGGCGGAATCCAATCTTCATATAGGAAAGGAGTCAACTGGTGCGATTCCGAGGTCAGAAGATGGGCCCCCGGAAATCGTGACGTCGCACAGGACAAGGCAAATTGGCACGAAAGCATCCCTTTAACAGGCCGGGTATATCTCTACTCGTGTTTTGCACAAGAGTCGAGATTCAATGTTGCTTGTACGAAGTAGAGAGGCTGCTGGGATCTGGAGGCACTACCTCGATAGGAGAAAGGGCTACGCAGCCAAGCTTGGTACGCCCCAATAACCCCTTCTCCCGTAAGTACTGTGCGACCTATGGAACTCCCATTGGTATTCTAGGTTCCGGCCTTCGAGATTTGGGATCAGGACCAATGCAAGGTCGGGCTTTGAGACCATACGAGGAGAGATAGAGGCGCAGCTTAGAACCTAGCCGAGCGGGCAGGGACTGGCAAAGAACATCAGCAGCGAATATGGGCATACTCATAAGGTCTCGTCATCAAATTGCAAACGTTGAAATTTCCAAGTGAGAGAACTCAACCTGGGATGGTCTTGTATTACCGACGAGCGTCTTGCTTCAGCGACGCTATCCTCGTCACCATCACACCTCCAGCCCTGAGGGCCACCACCCTTGGCTTGCTCTATGCCTTTAGCTGACCATCCCCTATAGCCGTGCTGATAGAAAGCCGGCCATCCTGATGCGGAGAATGCTGAAAGCAGGACCGTCGTGCGCAACTCGAATGGAGATTGCCCTCGATTGCAACTCCAGAAGCATGGACCGAAACCTCGTATTCCACTTTGCTGGGGAAATCCCTTATGTTTTCGGATTGCCAGCCTGGACATACATCAACGCAACTGAAGCGCTGGGCCCGGATTTCCGGGGCCTGTTGCCGGAGTGGAATCTTTGTCCTCCCTTCGTGAAGCGGGTATCGTAGAGAGCAACTGCTAAAGCTTTGAGGTTGAGAGAGTCAGGCAGGGCCAACAGATAAGTAGATAGGCAATCAATCGATCCGTCCGTGGCCCTCAGGACATGTCGACATCCTCGGTCTTAGGCTTTCCAGGGCCCTTGTTGTCGGTCCAAAGCCCCGTAGCGGCCTCAGCCTCCTTCTGCGTGTACGGCTCCTCCTTCAACTGCTTGACCCTGTAGATAAGGCGTCAACACATGCAAATGAATGATCATGGCGACGGTATATGAGAACTCACCTTCGCTTATGAGGCTTGCCACGCTTATGAGCCACGAGGGCCGACTCGGCCTCGTACCACTTGGCGCATTCCACGCAGTAGTGCTTGCCTAGGGCGGGCAGATCCTCGACAAGCTTGGTGTCTTTGTACTGCTTGAGGTGCTTGGGTGACAGCAGGTCGGCCTTGATCTGGTCGATGTCCCTGATGCAGGGCCGTTAGTGTCAGGCTCATTCGCTCAGTGGCGGTTTGGTGAAGAGGTTACTCACCTTCTGTATCGCCGAGTCTTTGTCAGCGTCCGCTTGTTTTCGACACCCATTTCGACTGATTGGAAGATTTGAAGTGGGGTTTGAAAGTTATGTTTGGATATGTGGCGGGTATGGATTATTTGATGGTCGTCGTGAGCGTGGCGTTTTCACATGCGATTTGACTGTACGGTATGTGAAAGTTTTGATGAGAGTGAGTTGAAAATTCCCCGAGGCTACCTAGTGGTTTTGTGCCTAAAATGACAGGGTGGTGAAAACAAGCACAGACTACACATCTCAGACTGGCCTAGAATAAAACAGCTATATTGCTATCCGAGTCTTACACTCCTACCAAGTTCAAATTGAATTAACAATATAACGTTATGATTGTAGGTAACAAGGCTACCAGGTAGTATTGCCTACCAAGTGATTGTGCTTTGGAGGATACAAAACTAGTTTGCTGGCTACTCAATAGCAGGGGTCTTACATGGGAGGGCTGTGTGGTGAAAGGATTCCGCATAATTTTTACCAGACAGCCAGGTCGGTCGCACCAAGGAGCAAGACCCCTGATGGCGACGCGAGGGTTCGTGCTATGTATCAGAGATGAAGTTCCGATGGCTCTTCGCGCGTGCAGGGCCACAACCGAGTCGGCTTTGGGCCGAAAAACGAGGTCGTCGTGAACCGGCGGCTTAACGCCTTTCTTTGCCGAAGCGGATTCTCGTAGACCGAGGTGTCGCGGCCCCCGTGGCAATCGCCAGACCCACACGAGCTTCCCAAAAAAGCGCGCTCCTCCACAGGGCTCTCCAGGTTCTGGGGCATCGGATGGGCCACTGCAACCTTGGAAATTCACCCCTCCAGCCCTCCAGCCTGTCTAGGCTGGTCTGCAGGCCGTTGAAAATTTTCAGGACTTAATTTTGCCGCACTGCCGCGTTACAGATTGGGGGACCGCGACTATTTTGTCCCGATATGCCTGTCTGGCCGGCGTTATGTTTACGGGATTGCATTGCGTACTTGGTCAGCGTCGCCGCGAAATCGAGATCAAGGGCACTGCTCACCAGATGCCTGCTAGACTACTTTTGAGGTCAGCATGAGGGCATCCCCAGTTTTCGGGATGCGGCTGGGAGCTTTGACCAGTGAACGGGGCCTGATTCAGCAGCCGAGGGTGGTACGTAGCCACAGTGGCAGGATGGTAAGCTCAGTGCGGCTGGTGGGCGGCCGGGTGAAAGGGCTGGCCCCACGGAGGCACCGGTAGCGCAGTCAACAATAGCCCCGACGCCGAGACCGTGTCGCTGTGAGGCATTTGCAGAGCAGAGGTGGCTGGCATGGCTTCAATGCAACCAAGACATTGATTGGCCTGTCATTGTCGGTTGAACTTGTCCTATTGCTCTAATGATATGAGAAGGTTATCCCAATGCCATAGAGCAGGTGTCTCCAGGAAGGTTTCAAAGGGAGATTGCCCTACAAGAGAACATCGCAATAGTGATTAATTCATGAGAAGGTTATCTAATGCCGACAACAAGTGTCTTCAGGAAGATTACTGCAAGGGAGATTGTCCTACGAGAGATTATTCCATGAGAGGTTATCCCACGACAGTTTATCCCATGGCAGGTTATCCCATGAGAGGTTATCCCACGACAGTTTATCCCATGGCAGGTTATCCCATAAGAGGTTATCCCAATGGAGATGATCCCATTAGAGATATCTAATTAGAGACTATCCCACTCTTCAAGCCACAGTCTCTGTACCGATCTTCGGTAATAAGGACAATCACAAGCATGACACAGTCCCACGCATGTGCGTGCTCTTGGACGGGTGGATGCACCAACTGGCTGGGGAAAGTGACCCTGGTGACCCGACAGGTCGGAGCATAGCCTACTGTCTACTGTATGCCTCTTGGCAGTAACTTATTGTTAAACACCCATCTTCAACGGTCGTGGCGGATCTGGAGGTTGCACAGTTCCGGTCGAAAATACGTTTCCTCTCCGAGCGGCAGCCCGGCTGAACACCGGCTGACCGGCGGCATCCCTGTGACGTTTTGTCGACACAATCTTTGGGATCCTTGCCTCCGAGCATTTGAAAATCAAACGCGCGTGATTGGCTGGCCCGGCTATGTCCAAGAGGTAAAACTGGGGGAGACGAACCTCGGTGGGGCTCGAGGTGAGGTGGCAGGGGTGCCAGCTTGGGTGCGTTGCTCTAGCGCCCAGTGCCAGTGCCAGTGGCTCTGCCCTCTGCGGCCGAGGGCGAGGAGAGAGAGCCACGGGCCACGGGCCACGGGGGGAGTTTCCAAGGTTGCTATCTAAAACCTCGTTGCTCCTCTCACACTTTTCACTCGCATTCCTTCCTTCCACGTTTTCCCTCCTCCACAATCACGATCAATTCTTCTTCCTCCCTCCAAGAACCAGGTGGTAGTTCAATGCCTCCTTTTCAATACTGAGAGCTCCATTCCTGTGACCTCTCTCCTCTCCACTCAGATCGTTGATTCCACGCGCACACCTCCCCTCAGCCAAAGGGACCCTCCTCCATAATGTTGGCCTCTCGTCAGGTTTTGGGCCACGTCGCCCGGAGCCGTGCCGCCGTCGGCTCTCTGGGCCTTCGACGATGCATGGCCACCGTCACAGACTCTCCTCTTGACCGCAAGGTGCGTTGTCTACTCTATCTGCCGAGCTGAGCTTCGCATCCGCACCGCCCGTGTTTGTGTTCCGAGCTGCCGCTGACGTCAAGCTTCTTGCATGTGAACAGGTCAAGCAGAACAACTGGGAAGAGGGCAACTTCATCAACTACAAGAAGATGTCTGAGAACCTTGCCATTGTTCGCAGCAGGCTCAACCGACCCCTCACATACGCCGAGAAGATTCTGTACTCGCACTTGGACGACCCAGAAGGCCAAGACATCGAGCGTGGCAACTCTTACCTCAAGCTGAGGCCAGACCGTGTTGCTTGCCAGGATGCCACCGCGCAAATGGCCATTCTCCAGTTCATGTCCGCCGGTATGCCCTCGGTGGCAAACCCCTCCACCGTCCACTGTGACCACTTGATTGAGGCCCAGATTGGTGGTGAGAAGGATTTGGATCGCGCCGTCAGCATCAACGAGGAGGTCTACAACTTCCTGTCCACTGCCTGTGCCAAGTACAACATTGGTTTCTGGAAGCCCGGCTCTGGTATCATCCACCAGATCCTGCTCGAGAACTACGCTTTCCCCGGTGGTCTCCTCATCGGCACTGACTCTCACACCCCCAACGCTGGTGGTCTCGGCATGTGCGCTATCGGTGTTGGTGGTGCCGACGCCGTCGACGTTATGGCCAACCTGCCCTGGGAGCTGAAGGCACCCAAGATCATCGGTGTCAAGCTGACTGGTACTTTGTCTGGCTGGACTTCGCCAAAGGGTGAGTTATGCCCTCGCCGCCGCCGAGTGAAGTGCTATACTAACTTTTACTAGACATCATCCTCAAGGTCGCTGGTATCCTCACTGTCAAGGGTGGTACCGGTGCGATTGTGGAGTACTTCGGACCTGGTGTCGACAGCGTTTCTGCCACTGGCATGGCTACAATTTGCAACATGGGTTTGTTCTCCCAGCATGTATCGCCTCAGGCTCCGTAGCAGGTGACTAACGCATAGTAGGTGCTGAGATCGGTGCGACGACTTCAGTCTTCCCCTTCAACGACCGCATGTACGACTACCTCGCAGCCACCAAGCGCAAGGATATTGGTGACTTCTCCCGCGTCTATGCTAAGGAGCTGCGTGAGGATGAGGGCGCCGAGTACGACCAGCTGATCGAGATCAACCTGTCCGAGCTCGAGCCTCACATCAACGGTCCCTTCACCCCCGATCTGGCCACCCCTATCTCCAAGTTCAGCGAGGCTGTCAAGGCCAACAACTGGCCCGAGGAGCTCAAGGTCGGTCTGATCGGATCCTGCACCAACTCCTCGTACGAAGACATGTCCCGCGCTGCCTCCATTGCTGAGGATGCCATGGCCCACGGTCTGAAGGCCAAGTCTGCTTTCTTCGTTACCCCTGGCTCCGAGCAGATTCGTGCCACTATTGCTCGCGACGGTCAACTGAAGACCTTTGAGGAATACGGCGGTGTTGTCCTGGCCAACGCTTGCGGTCCTTGCATTGGTCAATGGGACCGCCGTGATGTCAAGAAGGGCGATGCCAACTCGATCATCTCCTCCTACAACCGTAACTTCACAGGCCGAAACGATGGTAATCCTGCCACTCACTCTTTCGTTACGTCTCCCGACCTGGTCGTCGCTCTGACTGTTGCTGGATCGCTGTCCTTCAACCCTCTGACCGACAAGCTCAAGGACAAGGATGGCAAGGAGTTCAGCCTGAAGGCTCCCTCCGGTGACGGCCTCCCAACGAGGGGATACGACCCGGGTATGGACACCTACCAGGCCCCTCCCGCCGACCGCTCTACCGTCCAGGTCCAAGTTTCTCCTTCCTCAGATCGTCTCCAGGTCCTCCAGCCCTTCAATGCATGGGACGGAAAGGACTACATTGATAGCCCTATCCTGATCAAGACCCAGGGCAAGACCACCACCGACCACATCTCTATGGCTGGCCCCTGGTTGAAGTACCGTGGCCACTTGGACAACATCTCCAACAACATGCTGATTGGTGCCATGAACGCGGCCAACGGCGAGGCCAACAAGATTCAGAACATCACAAACGGCTCATGGGATGCCGTGCCAGCTGTTGCTCGTGACTACAAAGCCAAGGGTATCAAGTGGGTTGTCATCGGTGACTGGAACTACGGTGAGGGTTCTTCCCGTGAGCATGCTGCTCTGGAGCCCCGCCACCTTGGTGGAGTCGCCATCATTACCCGATCCTTTGCCCGTATTCACGAGACCAACCTGAAGAAGCAAGGCATGCTGCCGCTGACCTTCTCCAACCCTGAGGACTACGACAAGATTCCCACAGATGCTAAGGTTAGTTTTCAGATTGCAAGCATGGATGAAATCTCACATACTAATCCGATTTCTACAGGTCGACCTCAAGTGCACTGAGCTCGAAGTTGGCAAGCCTATGACCATGGTCGTCAAGCCCAAGGACGGCAAGCCATTTGAGGTCAAGCTGTCGCACACCTTCAACGCCGGCCAGATCGAGTGGTTCAAGAACGGCAGTGCTCTGAACACCATGGCCAAGGCCAACAAATAAATATGAACACCTTCATACCGGTGCTCGAACACCTGACTGTGTTAAGATATAAGATGAGAAGCACGACCATCATGGTCCAAAGAAGGACGAAGATGGGGCGTGGGGAGGACAAGAGACGATGAAGACGAAACTTTAAATACCATACTGGCTTGTTTTCGGCGGAGGGGTTCTCGGGTTATGGAGCTCATCGGTTTGGAACTTTACATCACTGACAGGCAAAGTCGCATTTTCTTTTGGTTGTACAAATGAAATCATTTTAAATGTTCAAAATCAATGCCCAGTGTCAAAGCGTATTCGTGACATGAGAGCAGCAGTCTGAAAAAGGCATGACAAGACGATGTTGCGGTTAAAAGCATTTCTCCACAAAATGCTGGAGCGTGGTTAATGTGATAGTTAATTACCAGGGTAGCGAGATAAGAGATAGACACCCTTGCTGGCGCCTTGTATCTATTTGCGACACCACGAAGGCATGCGATCTTACTGTCCCGATGCCCAAGTCGTGTCACTAATTTCTGTGCCAGCAACATCATCGGTGATTTTCGAGCGGAATACCGTTCGCAAAATGACCACGAACTGGGTCTCTCAGCTCAAGAAAGTTTAGGACTCGGACTCCACTGGACTATAACGTCGGCAAACCCGGGACACGTGCGCATCCCACCTTCTCTCTCTTCCTCAAGCAGCCTCTTGCAACACAATTGCCCGCGAAATTGCTGCGATGTCGACACCAACACTTCAGTCATTCAGCGCCGGACGCGCAAAATCATACGTATACAAGCTACCTCTCTTCACGAGGCTTGTCGTGTTCATCATCGTGGCCACGTGGGTCGGGGGTGTGGTGCTGGGGTCGAGATGGGACATCCAGGCGTGGGGGGCGCTGGTGCCGGATGAAGTCAGCTTGACCAGCTGTGAGTGCTGTCGCCCATGATATCCCTTGACACGGGGGGCAATTGGTCAATGGAGGCGACCGGAAGTGTGCGGATGCGGTGTCAGAGCTGATGGTTGTTCACAGTATACCGGACTAACACCTACCCCCTGATACACCTCAACTTCCTGCACATGATCATGAACGTCTTCGCTTTAACACCTCTTCTGGAGCGATTTGAGAGCGAATATGGGACACTGACAAGCTTGGCGCTGTTCTTTGGACGTGAGCATCACCTGATTCTTCTCGCGCCCCCAACTCTTTCTGGCTCTTCTCTGGAAGCAAGCTGACCATAAGCCGAAACGCCAGCCTTCTCAACCCTCCCAGCGGCTCTCTACATCCTCGTCGAAAAGGCCATCCTCCACTCGAACAACGCCGTCATGGGCGCGAGCGTGTGGTTCTTCCTGCTGCTGGGCGCGGAGGCAATGCGAACATACCGGACGAACCCGCACTTCACGATCGCGACATACAACATCCCGACGTGGACGACGCCGCTGGTACTGGTGGTGATAATCGCGGCGCTGGTGCCGAGCACGAGCCTGCTAGGCCACGTGGCCGGGCTCGCCGTCGGCTACGTGTGCGGACTGGGCTACCTCAAGTTCCTGTCGCCGCCGGAGAAGGCGCTGCGGTGGATCGAGGCACGGCTCAAGCTGTTGCAGAGGCTGCCACGCTATGTGAGCGTGGACCAGAAGACGTACGGACGCTTCGGGGTGCTACCGAGCGCAGGTTCTAGTAATGGGGCTTCGCAGGGCGTGCCGTTGGGCGTTGTTGGTGGTGGTGGGCAGAGGTTGGGTCCTTAGGTGGCAAAGCCGGGTCGCTTGGATTACCTTTTGGGACAGGGCTATTTTCATCACTGGAAAAGTGCATGTTACGGTGGTCAAAGAAGGGGCTTGCTGGCGTTCATGGTCGGGCAGATATTACGGTCTGGGCGGAGTCCTTTACTTTGGTAGCTCACGGAGCCATTTAATAATTTAGCTAGTTGAAATCGGAGAGCTGAACAGGTCAATTGGCCAGGACAAATCTCATTTCACAGCCATGATTCGTGGTAGCTTCGGTCAGAAGTGATTGCCATTTGTATGGCTCCTTCGCAGGCAGAGCGTGGAATGCATATAACGGGGATGTTATGCAATTTATAGCTTCAAGCCAGGTAAGCTCCTGGAAGCTCCGTCATCAACAACACCCCAACTGTAGAATAATAGCAGAATCGGGTATTGCTACATCACAACTCGGGTTTTGGGGAGCAAAGTTGTGTCCGGACTCCATGGATCCTTGTATCTGAAGAGTGATTCTGCTGGGTATCTCATCGGCTGGCAGGCGTCTGAAGGGACACCTGCTGCCAGCACCTCTCCTTTCCACACCCCGAGCTCCCCCTGAACGCCAACCGCAGCAAGGGCTCTAGAAGATGTCGCGGCTCCTATGTAGGTCGCACCCAGATCGCCCTCTGACTGTCCTTATCAGGATTCTCGACAAGCACTGCATCATGGCTGACCTCTTCTGCTTAAGCTGGCGCCCTGCGCCTCCGTCGCGACCCGCGCCTTCTGAAGCTGCCGCCCTACATCTCCCTGCTGTGCATCGTCGTCGGCGTCGCATGGCTGCTGATGCTACCGCAGAACGACTACTCGCGGCGAACCTACATCTCCGAGAACGCCCTGCTGCCGGGCCAGGTGCACACGTATTTTGGCGGCAGCGACCAGAACGTCTTCCGGGCGTACAAGCATGAGGTGGACGGGCTCGTGGGGCGAAGCAACGTTGAGGTCAATGACGGGCTGGAGGGCATCTTCAAGGCGGTAGGGCTCAAGGTCGGCCGACAGGACTTCACATACTCGAGCTCCGGCAACACATACGCCGGCGAGAACATCTACGCCATCCTGCAGGCGCCGCGGGGCGACGCTACCGAGGCCATCGTGCTGGTCGCCGCATGGAGGAACGTCAAGGACGAGCACAATAAGCGGGGCGTCGCGCTCCTCCTGACGCTGGCGCGCTACTTCCGGCGGTGGTCGCTGTGGTCCAAGGACATTATCTTCGTGGTGCCACCGGACAGCCTGGCGGGCCCGCAGGCCTGGGTTGATGCTTACCACGACGCGCACGACACGCGGCACATCGACCCGCTGCCGATGAAGTCCGGGGCGCTGCAGGGCGCCATCGCCCTCGACTACACGCAGGAGCACCGCTTCCAGTCGGTTCACATCGTGTACGACGGCATCAACGGGCAGCTGCCCAACCTGGACCTCATCAACAGCGTCGTCAACATTGCGGGTGGGCAGATGGGCATCGGCGTGTCGATACAGGAGATGTGGTCGCACAGCGACTCGTACGACGACAGGCTGCGCACCATGCTGCGCGGTATGATGAAGCAAGGCCTAGGAATGGCGTCCGGCCCGCACAGCAGCTTCATCCCCTACCACGTCGACGCCGTCACCATCCGCCCATACGGGGAGGGTTGGCAGGACGAGATGGCCATGGGCCGCGTCGTCGAGGGCACCTTCCGCTCCCTCAACAACCTACTCGAGCACCTGCACCAAAGCTTCTTCTTTTACCTACTCATGCACAAAGACCGCTTCGTCAGCATCGGCACGTACCTACCGAGTGCGATGCTGGTCGCGGCGAACTTTACGATCATATCGATTGCGCTGTGGGTCAAGAGTGGACAGGCTGGGGAGCCCGAAAAGCCAGCAGAGACGGGGAAAGAGAAGGGTGCGACCGATGAAAAGGGGCCGGCCGATGCTATTTTGACACCGGCCACAGAGCGGGATCTTTTCCTGCCTTTGGTTCTTGTCACTGGGTGCCAATTCCTCGGGGTTGTGCCGTTCTACATCTTCAACAACCTGCCAGAGGGCGTAAGTCTCACCCCGTCGTATGTAATACATTGGAAAACAGACAAAACTAACAACTCGCAGATGCACACCCCCATCTTCATCCTCTTCGCAATCCTCAACGTCGCCCTTCCACACCTTGCCTCCCACGTACTGACAACCAACTTCCGCCCGACGCTGCAGCAGTATTCTCTAATGCAATCCTTCTCCCTGCTCCTCCTGGGCATGTTTCTCTCATCCCTGGCGACACTGAACTTCTCCCTCGCACTGATGGTCGGCCTGCTGTCGACGCCGCTGTCGTTCGTGCGGCCGTGGCCCGCACTCCCCGCCGCGAGGTGGGCGTCAACGCTGTTGCTCAACCTGCTGGCGCCCATGGCCGTGCTGGCGCTATGGAGCGTGTACTGGTCTGGGTGGGGCAACCTGGGCGAGGTGCTGCGCGAGGCGGCGTTCGGGTGGCGCGTCTGGGGCATGTACACCAGTGTCGTCGTCTGGGGCGTGTGGTGGCCCGCCTGGCTTGTTGGCGCCATCGCAGTGCTAGGGCGGCCGGGGGCGGAAGCGAAGACGACGAGGGCTGTAGGCCAATGATCTCTTTGCTATTACCATCTGTACGGGTGTTGAAAGCCTTCTTTTGCAAAGATACCATAGATAGATCTTGAATTTACATGTTGCTTACGGTCTAACTAGTGCATAAACGTTTCTCATCGACCATATGTCAATGATCTCGTCCACAGGAGTCTAGAATTCTAGTGAAATGGATTAGACTGCTTGTGGGCACCTCCTTGTAGCAATATCACACTACAGACGGGGATTACTTGGGCGGAGTTCAATTCCTGGGCCTCCTATGTTTTTCTTCTCTGGCTTCCTTTTTGTTATAGGCATTTGCTTTGGATTCAACCCCTCCTAATCTTTCGATAGTGCAAGAAATCTGCCAAAGCCCCCCGGCCTTGGCTTGGTGGGAAGCAGACTGACTTGTTTCGTTTGTTATCAGGCTTGACTTATTAAATTGTCACTGGGAGTCTGGTGTAGCGGTAGCATGGGTGTCTCTGCACACCGAAGAGTGGTCCTATCGGACGGCACAAGTACCACAAGTGCCTGTAGGATGCCATGGGCTGGGTTCGATTCCCGGGGGCTCTCATTTTGTTTCTTTTCTTCTTTTATGCAGCAGCTTGGGGCATGGGTTTGGGGAGGGGGTTTTGATCCACGCCTTACATAGGATCAAGCGATCAAGACATCAACATCCGACGCGCTTGACCAGGTAGGAGACTGCATGCGCGTATGCGGACAGGAGAAGTTCAAGTTTCTTCTTCTTACCACCTGGTTATAGAACTATTTGCAAGGACGCAGGATAAATCTTGATGCCTGACTTCCTCGCAGTCCACTTGCTGATGAGGTTCAACACGTAGACATCTTCCCAACTGCATCAGAGCATCCCGAAGTACAATGCAAAGCCAATGGACATGATTTCGTACTTTTCTTACACCCGGAGTATTTTTCTTCGTTCAAAGCTTCAGGTAATGCCTCTGATAAATTTTCGGGATACAAAAGTCGAATCATCATCCCCAACTCCAAGACATGCAGAGTGCGGCAGCCCACCTAGGTATCATCACCTCATGCCATCCCGGTAACACGGCGACCTCCTGTCCATGGCCCCTTCATTTACTCACTGCCAATCACTCTGTGTTCAGAACGACCAGAGGCAAAGCAGCCTATCGTAGAAACTCGTCGAAACACATGCAATCTTCTTTCCCTCCCCTTCGCCGAAGAACTCCCGCCCGTCAACCCACGTGTAGTCGCTCCCATAGTTCATACTCTTGTGCTCTGTAAAACGCTTGACGACTTCGATACGGTCGACCGTGTCGATTGTTCCCTGGAGGCGGACAACCCTCGCACCGGCGTGCATGCACGACACCAGGAGTGTCACCGTCCAGCAGTCCCCCGGGTACGCACTAAGTTCCTCGATGACCTTGAGCCGCCACACGCCGCCGCCGAGGTTCTCCCTCTGCAGCAGCTTGTTTCTCCGATAGTCGTCTGCCCTGTAGGGGGGAATGATGCCCCATACCGAAAGGTGGTCGCTGTAGCTGCCTGTTAGGACGACATAGTACCCGTCGGAGATGTTGAGGCGTAGTGGTAGGATGGCCGTCACACCTGCGTCGTGACGGAGGCCTTTCCTGTTGGGGGTCGAGACGAAGGTCTCGTCGGTATCGGAGTCTAAGGCCGTGGCAGATTCGGGGTCATGGCTCAGGTGCGCACCGGAATCGGACCCGGAGCTTGAAGCCGTGACGTCTTTGACGTCCGGGAATGTGCTGTGTGAGTCGAGCAGAAGCTTGGAGTCGTCGCCCCCGGAGAACACTGTAGAGAGCGTCTCTCCTGAGCTTGTCTTTTGGTGTGATACTGGTGAAAAGGCGACGCACCAGGCTTCCGCTTCATGCTTGAGTACAGTGCGGAGCCTTTCGAGCTTCATGTGGTCTTTGTGGATACGGGCGAGGATCACTTGGCCTGTGGATGTGGTGACGGCCATGAGGCCTGGGATTTCTGGGTGCCAGGTGAAGTAGGTGAATAGGTCGTCCTTGGATAGTTCCGGTATACTGAGAACACTCAAGGTCTGGATGTAGTTTTCTGCCGAGCCTTCAGTCGATGCTGACGGTTCGATAGTTAATCTGAAAATGGATATGGTCCCCGTGCTGGAGACTGCTGCGCAAATGTCGCCTCGGTCTGCCTGTGGCGCAAAGTGAAGGTCAAAGACTGCAGAAGGCTGGGATATTGTCTGCTTTATGTGCCTATAAAAAGAATTAGAATGGCACCTGAAGGGTTGACCAGAATCATCTGAGAGATACATACGCCTGTCCATCCTTGAGCTCGAACACGATGATGCTCCCTGACCTGCTCTGGGATTTCTTTGCCTCGACCTCCACCTCGGGCTCGTCCTGGTCCTCGGACTTGACAGTTTCCCTTTCTTCTGCCTCATTCTTCTCAAGATTGTATGTACCAACCAGGAAATGTGAGGGATAACGAGGACAAAACTCGACGCAGCTGGGTGGGAGGTCAAGCGTCAGCGACTGGAAGGACTTGATCTCCTCGCCTTCGTCGCCCATTTTACCAGCAGCCTGCTAGGACAGGACGCCAGGTCAGCTTCAACAGATTTTGATCGTGAATTTAAAATCAAAAACAAATCTCTGCAGACTGTGTTGCCTGCTTGCGATGATTGAGCAATGTTGCTCAGATTGAAGAAAAATGCTGGGTATTTGGTCCGTTATGTGCAAGGGTTGCAGGGGGTTCTCGATGTTGACTTTACAGGGCAGCTTGCAACCCTGGCTCAGTGACATCCTGCGTCCAGGTTGAACGCGCCTGTCGTTTCGAGTGTTGTTGCTGTCTTTCAATTGTCGTGTTTGTCTTGTCGTTTCATTTGATCGATTAAAAGTAAATCACCAGTGTTAGTGTCCTAGGCTGCGCCGGCACGATGGACTCAGATTCCGATTTCTACGGTAAGCCGCTTCACACCATCTCATCCGACACAGCCGGAGCCAACTCACTAACACGCGTGCGAAGGGGACGAGGAGGAGGTAGCCATGCTAGAGTCCAGAGCACAAGAGTTCGATGTACAGGCCTACTGGCGCCATAGCGAACAGACTAGCACGGTGCACCCAGGCTACAAAAAGGAATCTTCCTCATCGTCGTCCTCACCGGCCAAGGCGCCTGCGCTGCACAACCCCTACGAGGGCCAGGTCTCAGCCAAGCAGCTGAACGAGACTATTGCCGCCTTCCTGGCGCGCCTACCACCCGCCACGACGGATGTCACGCCCGAGATCCCATGGATCTACGTAGCAAACCCCTTCATCCCGCGCGAGGGCGGCGCGGGCACCGAGGAGGCCCCCGCAGAGTCGGGCGCGCAGCTGCACACCTTCATCGAGGGGGGAGGCGAGCGGCTGGGGCTGTTCGGGGACTTCCTGCGGACGGTGCAGGAGAAGAAGGGCGGCCGTGCCAGCACGGCGATGAGCAGGCAGATCACGACGGAGCGGGAGGGGTGCGTCAACGATGTTCTGATGCTGGCGAGACTTATGAAGGTTAGGACAGGCAAGGTAGGTCATTCGTCCATCTCAAGTTGCCCCTAGGTCCTCCTCTCGCTCGTGCTGCGAATGCTGACGTTAGGAACGGCAGTGGATGCTCTTCGTCGAGCCCGCTTTCGTCAACGACGTCTGGGAGAGGGTGGCCCAGGCCACGGTCAAGAACGAGCTGGGGATCGCGGCCAAGGTGGCGCCGCGCGAGGAGCGCGGCTCGGTCAAGGAACGCCTGGTGTGCATATACACGTACGACTTCCGCGACAAGGACGACATCGCGCGCGTGCTGCACCGCCTGCGGCAGTTGGAGCTCGTGCGCGACCGGGCGGCTGGCAAGCCCATTTACTATAAGGCTGGTGCGTGTTGCTCTTTGATCCGCTTTCGCAAGTGGAAATTTGCGATAAGCCATCGCTGACCGGTACACAGATGCATTCACATACCTGGGAATAGGCTACGGCAATCCTTGGGGGATGAGGGCGTCGCTGTACAACTCGAGGGACATCTTTGCGTATCTTAAGGAGAAAGACGGCAAGGCGTCGAAGAGGGCAGTGAGCAAAAACGATGAAAATGAGGATGAGGATGGGTGGGCATTTTGATCTTGCCGGCGACCTTTAAGATCTGTGTGTTACGTCTCTCAAGCGAGCTGGGATTCCAAGTTGTATGATACCCTTGCTGCACATGTTGCCTGATGTCGCTGGTAGACAAGATTGATGTCCAGCTCTTTTCGGACAAGCGGAGTAAACTGAAGCATTTCGCAAATTTCATTGTTGTTGCGCCAGAACAAAACTATATCTCATGTCTCCAAAGAGGAGTGGGTATACGTTACGCATAATACATGCCGCGTGAAAACATCTACAGTCCTCAGACCGATCGATAGCCGCCGAACCACCGACCTCTAGAACCTCGCGGACGCCTCTCATCTCTAGACTCTCTCCTGTATATGTGAAAAGGAATATATCGTCCGAGAACCCCGATATTTGATCGATTAATCCTCCTCTTCAAACACCTGAACCTTCTCCGCATATTGTGATATGTTACTCACGACGTAGTTGTTTATCGTGTTTCCCCTCCCGGCAGCCACCCTCAATATCAGCTCGTTGAGCGTCGACCTGCCGAGAATATCGACGTGGTCCGCAGTGTTCGGCCCGCCCCGCGGATTGAACCTTTCCGGCTCATGGGGCATCTCGACGACCGTGACTTTGACTCCAGCAGGGTTGTACCGCTTCATATGCCAGCCCTTGTTACACATGAAACCGGAGCTTAAGAGGTTCACCGTACCATCGCCCTCACCCATAATGACGCCGTGGTCGACCACTCCATGTATAAGCCCCGTATCGATCGTGATGTTGAGGTTTGATGTCGCCTCTGGGGTTCGGTAGTAGTAGGCACGCTCGGTCGGCTTTCCGACACCATAGAAGCAGTAGACCTTCAAGCTGGGGGCAAGTGGCAGGCGCGTCTCCAGCGGATTGATCCATTTTCTGTTGTCGTGCTCGTTCTCCTCGACCTCTTTTGTCGTGCGGGCGACACCGTGGGAATAACTGCCACGGATTTGATCCTGGTACCAATCCTCAGTTGAGTTCATGAGATATCGCATCGTCCCGTCAACCGTCATATTCTTCTCAGGGACAGTCCAGTTGACACCCTGGCGAAAGTTGAGGAAGGACCCGAACGAGTTCTCCTGGCCTGGCAGATCGTCCGGGGCCCCTGACAGATTGCCCCAGACAGCGTCACCTCCGATTGGGAGCATTGATGAGATGCCAGGCATTGCGCGGAACATTTCCGCTCTTTCCTCCCTGCTCAGGAATTTCTCTAGGCCGTAGACGGCAAAAGCGTTCTCCAGCATTTGCAGTCAGTATTTTTGTGTTGGGAGGCAGGGATTCTCTGGGTTCTGGCTCACAAGTTGGGCTGTATCCTTCATTTCTCCGGAGAGAACAGCCGGAATATCCTTCACTGCCCCTAGCATGCAGCCGCTGACATTAATCCAGGCCTCGACGTGCTCCTCGACCCAGGAGTCACCGCCACGCCCGCCGTGCTCGGACGCCACCCAGTGGAAGAAATAGAAGAGGACCTGGCTGCCCATGCTGTGCGACACGAGTACCACCTTGCGATTCATGCCGAGCTTTGCGGCCTCGACGTAGAGCTTCAGGCGCGTGAAGTACTGGTCCCTAACCTCGAGATTCTGATACGACAGCCGCCAGTCGTAGGCTGCCGTGAAGGAGTTGGTGGGGTCATAACCCAGCGACGCGAGGTTCTCGTATATCTTGCTCCATATCCAGTAGCCCGTGATGAAGAAGTCGGTCGCGTCAAAGCCCTGGGCGGCACGCAGCTTGATGTTTGGCGGGTCCAGGCCGGTCTTCTTGTCCAGCATGATGTGCTTCTTCCAGACCTCCTTCTCCATCACCAGAGCCCTCATCATAGTCCAGGACCCCCACAGGCGTTTCCGGAAGTAGGGGCGAGAGGCATTAGCAGTCCCCCACGACTCGAGACCAGTCGAGATGACGCCAGGAATCATGATCATAGGGTGGTGGGCCTCGAGGCCCTCTGACCGCACCTTCATGCCGACAGAAAAGGCATCGTAAGAATCCACCAGGTCGCGCTCTCCTTTCTGTTGGGTTGAGATAAAATTGGGTCAGGTATAAGGCCTTTTCATAGATGCTATATTGTCTATCTTGGGTGCAGAACTTACCACCAGATCGCGCACATCCTTGACCAGGCCGGCGGGCAGGACATCCAGCAGGCTGTCGACGCTCAGCTCGCCAATCTCGGGGAAGTCGATCAGGTCGTTGCTCTTGGCAAAGAAGCCGGCGGCGATCAGGCCAAACAGACTGCCGAGCAGGAAGATGGCACCGGTCCTCCTCTTGCGCGTCTTTTGGCTGTGGTGGACGACCTTGACCTTGTCGCCGGGCCGGATGGGGCTGTCGTCGCGCTCAGGCGTGACGGATATGGGGGTCTCGGGTGGAGTGCCGTCCCCTTTGAGAGCGACTCGGCGGCGCAGCTCCGAGGCCATGGCATGCAGGCAGGGCGGCTGGCTGGCAGGCTGGGAGGCGTCGAGTGCGGTCGCCTTGGACGTGCGCTGGCTGTGCTGTGCTATGTGCTGTGCGGCAGAGGGGCTGCGGGTCCACTGGCTGCCAGTGAGCTCTGCGCTCGCTGCTGGCGGGTCGATGTTGTTGATATGTCGATAATGTCTTGGAGCTAGTGTCAGCCCTGTCTCGGGAGTCTCTGCAAGAGGGAGAGGGAGCCAAGGCGAGGGTATATATGAATGGCTTTCCTTCCCGCGTCCCTATGGTCTGCGCGAGGTTTAATTTTGGCCGAGATCGACGTCATGGGTGCTGTGCGGCAGCGGCGTCGGGGGCCAGCGTCGGGGCCGGGTAGCTCCCCTCCAGGCCCAGGAATCTGGCTGGCTGGCTGGCTGGTAGCCTGGTAGTCAGCCATTCCCATCTGGCCATGCACCCCATGGAAACATCCAACCGCAGGCGCCTTCCAAGGGTTGGCTCTGGGCGAGCAGGGGGTGGCCCCTCCATCTGGGCGTGCTGGCTCGCTGGGTACTGTGTAGAGACACTCCGACCCCCTAACCCCTTATCCCTGCCATGTCTCATCTGGTGCCCGTTGACTGACACTTTTGCTGTATACAGCCAAAAGCAGCTATGGCAGTTCCGTCTAAGCATGTGAAAGCTCACACATCAGCTGGGAGCTGGCTGATGGCTGTCATTGGGTATGAGTCGACTGACTGACGGTTGAAATTTTCCCTCTCTTTTCCCTTTTTTTGACAGCCCTCTCACTGTCCTTAATATCTTTCCGAGAGTTCAAGACCCATGAGTAGGAATATACCGTCTCCGCATCTGGCGAGTCCCTAGCGTAACGGTTTCCCAAGTTGGCTGCGCCTAGACGGTGCAAACGGAGTCGGGAAAAGCTGCATACGGCCACTTCTCACCACGCTGACATTCCTCTTCCACTTCGAGCCCGCCCGCCCTCTCAGAGCAGCCTCACTGGCTTGACTCTCACCTGCCCACTCATCCCACTCACTTACTCTTGTTCGCATTTCGCACAATGATCCTTTGGAGGCACGTCTTTGTGCTGCGCTCATGATTTCGCTCTTCTCCTTTTACTTATTGTCGTCTCTTGTAATTGTTCTCGTCCCCGCGGTTAGAAACCTCTCAAAGTCCAAGATGAGTCTCCCGGCCGAGCTCGAGTACATCCAGTACGCCCACCGTCTCGAGGCTCAGTATCTTCCCTCCATACGCGCCTTGATCTCAAAAGACTTGAGCGAGCCCTACAGCATCTATGTCTACCGGTATTTTCTGTACCAATGGGGTCACCTGTGCTTCATGGTAAGACATGCCTCTCTCACTCTTACCCTGCCAGGACATGCCACCACACCTCCGCCCCCAACGTGGACACACCAGTGCTTACCCGCGACTAGGCGCTCAATCCCGTGGACTCCTCTCTCATAGGGGTGATAGTCTGCAAGCTGGAAACCCACTCGTCGCACTCACCGCCCACGCGCCGGGGCTACATAGCCATGCTTGCGGTGTCCTCGAACTTCCGCGGCCAGGGCGTGGCTACTGCGCTGGTGAAGAAGGCCATCGACGCCATGGCAGAACGCAACGCCGACGAGGTTGTGCTTGAGACCGAGGAGACCAACATTCCCGCCATGCGCCTGTACGAGCGGCTGGGATTCCTACGGTCCAAGAAGCTGCACCGGTATTATCTCAACGGGAACAGCGCGTACCGGCTCGTGCTGTTGCTCAAGAGCGTCGATCCGGACTCGGCGACCGACTTTGCGCTGGACGAGAGCGAGAGGCAGGGATAGGGTCCTGCTGGCTCCCAGGGCTTGGATGGTAATGGGTCTGGGTCAGGCGAAGACGCGGGGGTTTCTATGTCCACCACGCCGCTCAGCTTGCACACGATGTCGAAGGCATCCAGGGGAGACGGCCATCGGACCCCCGAAACCGTATAGGCGTGCCTGGAACAGCTCTATTGAGGTCTTGGCCTCACATGGTTGCAAATAACGACCTCGACGATGGACTCAACGGGAGCAAACTGGCTGTCACCTAAACAGCATTGCGACCGAACCAATGGCGTCAAGGGCTGACCATGGCCAAGGCCTGCGCAAAGAACACAGCACCGTCCCTTCGTGGGGAGGAAGCTACGATCGAGGTTGAGGCGGAGGACAGACGAAGGCTTGACCGGAGGTAGTTCGGAGGTCCAGCGATAGTTCCTCACAGCTCGGCGTTTGGGTACCGCACGGCATATCTTAGTTATGGAAGCATCAGAGTGCATTCAGGCGGCGAACTGGTTTGCGGGACTACTTAATCATTTCAATACAAGATATTCTTCTATCATGGTTAAGCTTTGCCGCCGTGCTTGTCGAGCATGGAGTCTGTCGTCTGTCGGTCTTGGCTGACTGCAACGGGGGTGGCTGACAGAAGTGAAGGGGCTCTTCGGGTCAACCGTGCTGCAGCCGTGCTGATGGATGGTCCAATGTTGCACTCGCATTCTCTCTAGATGTGTTGTGGTGTGTGTCTGGAAGAGACGGCATAATAAAGACTCGCAGCACCTATCCCCTCTTGAGGGATAGTCTGTTTCGGAATGTCATGAGGGCCAGCCGTCGAGATGGCTTCCAAGTGGCCAGCACACGAGATCAGCCAGATCAACGAGGGAGCGGGAGAGCTTGGCCACACATACTCAAAACGGCTGCCAAACCGGGATGCGTCGCGGCGGGGTCCGTATGCGACGACTCCTTTCCCCACATTTGGCCCTGCTCACGGGTGGGTTTAGACTGACTGCACTGGACTGCACTGACTGACTGACTGCACAATTGCAGTGGCTGCACCGCACTGCACTTTGTAGGTGGGGGGGGGGGGGGCTGGCAGTCTGGGCGGCATTGGCGGTCCCATGCGCTGCACCTGCAGGTGCGGCCAAGTAAATTGAATCTCCAACTCGTTCGTATCTTGAATCTATTTGTCTGTCCCGTCTGTGTGCACGCACCCGACCTCGGGACACTTCCCACACCCAAAGAACACAAACAACCCCAAGCCAACCCGCCTGGGCAGTCTTGAGCACGGAACTAACCCGCCTTTTTTTTTGGTTCTACTACTACTAACAACATCACACCAGTCCGTCCTCGTGCGACACGGCTGCTTCGTGATGATAGTGCGCAAGCTTGCGGTTTCCAACCTTCAACATGGCGGGCATTGAAGTGTCCGTGGAGACAGAAGAGCAGTTCTGGGACGGTCAGTCTCCCACCATTTCCCACTCGCCCGCGCGGACCTTTGGTCGCGACACCCAGATATGGACGTCGGTGCTGATTACTCGAGAATCCAGAGCTCCAAGAGATCGTGTCGGTAGCACAATGCGACTCGTATGAGACCATCGACGACTCCCTCCGCTCCTGGCTCTACCTCGTCTCGACATGCCGGGACAACTTCCTACACAGCGAGGACGATGTCGCCAGCTGCTCCCAGATGCTCATCGATAGCCCCATATTCTGTGGGCACCAGGACTATGTCCGGACCCAGATCATGTACAGCCTGCTGCAAGAGGACGATCCGACCACCCTCAACGTCATCGCGAACTTCCTGCTTCTGGACGGCCGGTCCGACGAGACCACCTTCAAGTCCATGATAGACGAGGGCTGTTTCCCAAAGCTGGTGGAGCTGATAAAGAGCCGCAGGGATGATGACCGGAGGCTACACCGACTGCTACTGGAGCTGATGTATGAGATGGGACGCATCGAGCGCCTGCGGGTCGACGACCTGCTGTGCGTCGACGACGACTTCGTCATCTACATGTTCCAGCTGATCGAGGGCCTCTCGGACGATGTGAATGACCCATACCACTACCCGATCATACGAGTCTTGTTGGTGATGAACGAGCAGTACATGGTTGCCTCTACTACAGCCGCCGTCGATGCTTCCTCGCCAGCAGTCCCTATCACGAACCGGGTCATCAAAATACTCAGCATCCACGGCCCCAGCTTCAGGACCTTCGGAGAGAACATAATACTCCTGCTGAACAGGGAGACGGAGACGTCGCTGCAGCTTCTGATACTGAAGCTGCTCTACTTGCTGTTCACCACCAAGGGCACCTACGAGTACTTCTACACCAACGACCTGCGCGTCCTCCTGGACGTCATAATCCGCAACCTCCTGGACCTTCCCGACGAGTCCATGTCACTGCGGCACACGTACCTCCGCGTGCTGTACCCCCTCCTGGCGCACACCCAGCTGAGCCACCCGCCGCACTACAAGCGCGAGGAAATCCTCAAGGTGCTGTCTATCCTGAGCGGCGAGGGCAACATCCACTTCGCGCCCGCGGACGAGACGACCCTGCGCCTGGTGGACCGCGTGTCCAAGGTCAAGTGGCTAAGTGAGAGCCCCGAGGGCGAGGTCGCCCGCAAGTTCCTGGGCATCAGCCTGTCGGGCGCCCAAACGCAGAGCAACGTCAGCGTCGTCGACGTCGCGGCCGTCATGGAGAAGCCGGGCGTCAAGACACCCAGCCGCCGCGCCGCCGGCGACGCCAAGGCCGCGGAGCTGAAGGAGGAGCTGGCGGGGGCCGCGCCGCCGGGGACACACGACGGGGCACCCGCACCTGCGCCGCCGAAGCCGAAGAAGGTCCTACCTGCGGTGCCCAGGCACAGGCACGGAAAGCCTACCACGCCCATCCTGCCCGAGGTGCTGGTCAATGGCGGAGGGAACAACAGCGCTGGCGGCAACAACGGCAATGGCGCGCCGCCCACGAAGAAGCTGCCGCCCAAGACGCCGCCTCCCCGTAGGACGAGATTGAGGGCCGCCGAGACGTGCAGCGAGGCGCCCCCAGCGCCCCCGGCGGCACCATCCGCACAGGCATCGTGATACTGAGCGGGTCTCCTCTTCAGGTGGTTTGGCAGTCCTCGGGGTGAGAGACGTCTCGTGTCAGATGGACAGAGCGCCCGCGAAGGGCGTAATATTACATGCTATTCGACTCTTTTTTCCCTTTTAATATCATGGCATAGCATCACGGAAACGGCGCATAGCTTCGGAAGGGCTGGTTGTCTTTTTCCTTTTTTGTTTCCCGTGCCGACGAGGCATCATGGACAGGGTTGGTGGGGAGTTGGGATTGGAGGTGCGGACTCGGGGGGCAAGGAACACTCTTAGGGTAATTAGGAATAGGACAGAGGAATATATGCAAGAGCATCGACATTGGGCACATGTGTGTTGGTTGTATTGATGTGATGATCGGGTTTCTTTCAACCCCCCTTTACTGTGCTTGGTAGCACCTGACATCAGGGACCCTAAGGATCTCAGAGCATAGCAGTGATGCCTGAAGATATGGGGCAAGGGACCGATGAGGTGTGCGTATTTAGATATGAGCGTTAAATCCGTGACATGGTGTGGTTTGTACTGCTCCAGCAGCAGCTTCTGCTGGATTAAACCCCCTTCCAGACCTGATCAACACCATCCACTTAGAGAATCAGCCCTCCATTGAATTGACTTATCACGGATTACCCTCCTCCACGACCACCTGTATGAACCTTGAAAATACGCTGGACCTAGTATATTTCCCCCACATATTCTCACTCCCACTTGATCAAAGACACACTGCAAACAGGTCGGACACGAGTGACAATAGCAATTCTTTGAATTCATACAGTCTCAAGCACAGGCCATAATCAAACAAGCTACTCGTATTCGCAGATAAGGAACAAAGGGGAAGGAGATCAGGGAGACCTGAAAGCGCAACGGGTATTTAGACAACTCCAGAATAGAAACCCAACCCCGCTGCCTCTTTATCCTCGTGTATTCCGTGCCTTCCCATGCCATGCTATACCAAACACCATTCCTTCACGCGCTTTTTTTCTAGTTTGCCGATGCTTTGGGGTACTCGCCGGGGATGTGAAGGTTTGAGATAGTCGGCACGGTGATCTGGCTGCTCAGCGTGGCGTCACTCTCAGTCCTCTCGCTCGGGGCCGGCCTGCTCAGGTATCCTGCCGTGTTGTTCGTGTGCTCCGCCGGCATCGGTGCAACTGTCGTGTGTGGGAGCTGTTTCAAGTTCAAGTAATGATGGTCTTGGGCCAAAACGGCCTTGTCATTGTTCAACGTGCCATCCATATAAACACCTGTGTTGATGACACCACCACTCCGGTCGTTGAGCTCTTGAGGCTCGTTCCTGCTAGCAACTACTGGGATTGCAGCAGCCTCGACCGGCCCTCCTCCCAGCCACTCGGCTTCGTGACTGCTCTTCCTTCGCATCCTCAAAGTCTCGGTCCTGTTATCCTCGTTCTGTGCCTGTCTGGCGATGATTGTGGCTGGGTGTTGGTCATAGAGGCCGGATCTATCCTGTGTGTGAACCGACTCGCTCGTGTAGGGGTTGATGCCATCCTCTTGTGCCTCCTGGCTTGCCTCGGCAGCACGCGCGTGGGATTGCTCGATCGGAGCTTGAACGGTACTACCATATCCGTATCCCGGGTCGTTCGGCGGCGCTGTCGTGGATGGGTAGTGCTGTTCAAAGCTGCTTCCGGGAAGGGCCCCTGCCGCAGCTACGATATCGCTGTCATTCCTAGGTTGATGTTGTTGTCTGTCGTTGAAGCCCTGCGAGCTTGAGCTAGAGGGCGACAGAGGAGCCTGTAAGCCTCGTTGTGCGGTGACCTGGAGATCTGACGGAAAGCGCCCACCTGGAGATGGACGTCTCGGTACGTCTTGCTGATATCCTGAGCCGGGTTGACCAAGGGCCGCTGCGGAGTTGTGCGCCGAATACGGCTCGTCGTCATCCTCGTCAACAACCCCATCACTAGACACTGATCGTCGCGATGACGATCGGCTGAAGCTTCTTGAGTGGCCACGGACGAATTCGGACCGTTCCTGGGGTGTCTTCTCGGTGAGGGCTTTGATGTCTTCATACCAAGCCATCATGGTGTCGAAGCTTTCGGCGCGGAAGACCCACGAGTGTCCTCTATGAACGCCGCCGGTCTGTCGGCCTTTGAGAATGAACTTCGGCGAGCTTCCACCGACCTGCGAGCGAGATCCCAATTTTTGTTCCGGCAGATAGAGGGACATGACAGGAGACTGAGTCTTGTCCGCAGATTTGAACTCATGAAGATGAGTTGGAGAGAGCACATACCTAGATGTAGAAAGTCAGTTGATACGCATTGACACCCAAGCGAGGATTGTACTTGCCACCCAGCACTATAGCTTTTTAAGTACTTGGTCTTTCTTTCTAACAGACCGGCTCTGATCTCCTGACAAGCATAGTGGTCTTTCCCAGGATAGTGAATGTGCTGGGAGGACCGAATAGGAATGTTTGGGTCCACGAATTGGTCGTCCCTTTTCACAAAGCTGGCCCATTCGTGGTCCTTGGGCATCGCGATGGGTCCAACGCGAAGTTCCTCGATAGCGGTCCAGGCAGCCTCGGCTAATCCAAACTGTTAGCGAAACCCGACGAGGTTGATAAATTTGGGGAGGAAAGGCTGAAGAGGGCGAGAGTCTAGGATTCGAAAGACGAGGCGCGGATTCCTTACATTCTCGCTTCATGATGCCCGCGTAAGCATTGTAAGATTTCTGAATTTCTCCAACGACAATAGACTCGAGCTCGCGGCCAGAATTCTCCAGATTCAAGTATGCCTGCGTTGTCTTAGCATATAATGTGGGGCTGCATTTCGGTCATTCTCACCTGGTGCAAGTAATTCTCCTCGTCCAGCTGCCTCTCGAGCTGTCTATCCACAGCCAGGCGGAGCAGGTATGGATCCTCCTTGCCAGTCGTCAAGGAGGAGTCAAGGTCGCTTTTGCCGAGAACTTCTTGGAGGGTGCTGACGACGCGGGCCGTTGTGTCCATTTCCTTTTCCACGGAGTTCTTGAAGTCACCCGACAGACCTTTGATTTCCTTGATTTTGAGTTGCAAATCGCTCCTCAGGCCTGTCAGAGCCAAGATGACGTCCTCCTCGATTTCGCGAGCTTTGTTGGCTTCGATGATGGCTTGTGAGTTGTAGTTGCGCAGAACCTGCACCGCATCGTCGAGTCCACCAGAAGACAGGAAGCCTGGCGGCATGTGAACGTTGTTCAGGACGTTCGCGAGCTTCACCAGCGATTTGGACTTTGTCTCGTAATGGGTCTGGATCTCCTTGAAGTAGGTGATCAGGTCTTTGAGGACCTTGCGCCATTCTGTGGAGAGCTGGACTCAGCTGGATGGTTCGGCATCGCTGGGAGACTGGAGTACTTACCCTGGAAGCGGTTCGCCAGTGCTTCAGTGGGATTGCCGGTGGTGGGCACGGGGCAGTGAAAGGCGCTATGCAGCTCGTCCTCGTCCGGGTTGCTCTGCAGGGCTAGGCTCCTGACACTGCCGGCCTTCATGCTCCGGCGACTGCCAGAGCGCCTCATGCTGCTAGCCCTGCGCAGCGAAGACCTCTTCTTGAGGGTGTTGTTCCGCGACAGCTGGACGCTGCTGTGGCCATCCAGGCCGCCCAGGGCACTGCCGGTGGTGGAGCCGGAGAAGGAGTTGGAGCGATGTATGCTGCCCGCCATGTTGTCGGTGCGACGGGGGACGGGACCGTTGATGATGGAGCTTCCACGCTGGCTAGCATCCCATTCTTCAGTGAACTTGGCGGCGCCGCCGAATCTCGTGGGTGCGGGCGCGATGAGATGGTCGATATTGGCGTGGTGATGCGAGTTGGCGAGGGTGTTGGAGAGGGTCTGGTCGTTGTCCTGGTGGCCGGGAAGTTGCGGATGGTGGCTGTACGACGTCGTGGGATAGGGATCGGCGTGGTTTTGGGTCGATGACGAAGGGCGATCCAGAGAAGGGCCGTGGGTAGCAGCAGGTACGGGCTGGTGGTAGTAAGTATTGGTAGAGTAGTCGTAGCCTATGATTGTCCCATTTGCAGCAGAGGCAGAGGCCGAGGCCGAGGATGGGAGAGCAGGACCACTGGCATGCGGGGGATTGGCGGCCATGGTGTGAGCGAGAGCGTGGGCGTGAGTGAGTGCGTCCGAGGACTTGTTCAGCACGAAACAGATGATGCTTGTTGACGTAGCTTGCTAGCTGCTGGCCGGCCGTTTCTGGTACGCTGAGCGCCAACGCCGCTGCGTCAGCCGCTTTGGTCAGTGCCAATCAACCGTTTAGGTTCTAGCACGTCACACAGGCGATGTTTAATCTATGATTTGGATTGTGGACCCTTCGCGGGATGAATCCGAGTAGATGGCAATTGGGTTTGGAAGCAGGTCTGGCGGTTGTCTCGGCCAGGAGGAAGGGGTATCGCTGCTAAGAACCAGTTGCAGCAGCTGAGGGTAGCTGAAGGTTTGATTTCCGGAAGGACGAAGGTAGGGTAGGTCGACTGAATGAAAGCGGCGAGAGGCAGAGGAGGAATTGGATTTGGATTTGGATTTGGATTTGGATTTGGAATAGATTATCAATTCCCTACATTGGGCAGTGACGCAAAGACACAAGGCACAAGGCATGGACGGTAGATATGGAGGTACGTACATTCATTCATACATATACATACATACCCAGACAGACAAATAAATGGCCTACATGGCAGCATGGTCAGAGTCAGAGTCAGAGTCAGATGCTGATGGCGCAACAGCAACAATCTTGGAAGGACCCTTGGTCGGCAAAAAGGTCAGGTTTTGCGGCTGTCAGGGTGTCAATTAGTGTGGGTGAAGCTACCCAAGCTGGCCACCCTAAACACCCAAACTGGACCCTTTCCAAGGTTCACGACGACGGCTCGACACACCCGGCAGGGATCGCAATTGCAAAGTCTCCGATGTTTGAAAGTCTGGGGCAGCTTAGCCGACCTGGTGGTCCCAGAACGGGGCTCCCGACGCTACGGTTCCTCAGCCCCTAGCATCCACAGTAGCTTCGCCTGTGCTGCTGCTTGGTCGTCACAGAAACTCCCCTCTCCGGCAGACATCTCAGCACCTCAGCTCCACCTGCGCTCCATGTAATACTTCCTGTACACTGCTTTGGCGGGTCGTGTACATACATGCAGACATGCAGCCCACAGGGATCCCAAGTGTTGGCATGTGAAATTCATATCCATATAATATTTACACAGTTGAGTGCGAGAGCAACAGCTTGTACGATAACCTCACATGAGGCAGATTCCCACCTTTGTAGCCTGCCTCTCTTATCAGCTGGTATATTTGCTATTGATGCCATTGAGCAAAGCTCTGTAGGGTCCCTGCTGTCGATCTCTCCCCTTTGCGAGTTGCAGCCCGACAGATCGATCCAGGTCACCGTTGCTTCGTTGCACCATGGTGTCCCAAAGAGGCGCTTCCTATGACGTAGCTTGCTGACAATCCCTGGCCGTCGATGCTCCCGGACGTGTTCGCGCTAATCCCTTTCTGAGCTACGGATGGAATGGTAGCAAAATGAGTGGGCCGCCCTCGCCGACGACATTTCTCCAGCGTCGCGGCAGTAACTTCGAACATGCACAGCCTCGGCACTAGGTCCTGCAACGTCAAGACACCATGGATAGCGGCCGCAGCTCTTTTCCGCTTCGGGGCGAGTATTACCAGTGTGCCAGTGCAATCCAGCTCAGAAGAGATGAGATGAGGGCAGATCCAGCGCAGCGAGGCTAAGAGCTCGCATACGACATCAAGTCAGGGCCGATCGGGCACCTCTACTTGGACAAGGATGCCCTGGGCGCTGCCATTCGACAATGTCTGCATTGTTTTCAGGGTCCAATCCGGGCAATATTCCCAGCTCACCGACCAAGCTAATGTCCAGTTTCAGTCCCGGGATAAGAGCAAGTTGACCAATGCGGTGAGATGCTACCACTCCTTACCAATTGTATTGAGGCCTGTGGTAGAGGCCCCATGCCATGTGCAAATCACAGACATTCTCGCTTGTTGGCTGGCTTTTGCCTGGTGCTGACTGAACGCGGCTATCATCTTTGTATGAGGAAGGCGAAGAGGGCAGATGAGGCTGTCTCAGTCACGCTCTCGGCAGAAAGAAGAATTTAAAACTTATCCCGTAGTCTAGGATGTTGAACGAAATCGCCTCAGTTATCTTTGGTGACATACACCACAGCACTGATGCAGCCAGAACGCCCCATAGACCGCGTTGTACAACGTAGCATGTAGGCGAGCTTCCAAAAGAAATGCATGCTTGGCATCATCTATGAAGGATGCTGCCTAGGACTACCTAGAAACGAGGCGCTGTTCCTGCCTGCAGAGTCCAATGGCAATGTCGATTTTGCGTCGTGTCTCTGCAAGAAGCACTTTGGCGCCCATCCTCAGCCTCACTCCAACACCCGAGCCACCCCACCCCTCTGCTGTCTTTATCTTAAGCCAGTCGAGAAGAACGCACTTATCCAGCGTGGCAGGTGGGATTCGGCGAGAAATATCAGTAGGCTTCTCTATTCGACAGCCTTGCGAGCTGTGATGTGCGGGGCCATGTATCTACTCAGGTACAGCCATGGCCCTCAATCTACCCCTGGGCCAGAAGGTTCTTGTCTCTTCTTCACCAAACCGCCGTAATAGAATTTGAGATCCCCCCCGCTCTTGCTGTCAAGGATGAGCAACGAACTTCAAGAAAACAGCCGCCGGGAATCATTCCTCGTATCCCCGGAGAGTGACAACATCCAGAGCCCCGATATAGCCCGGCACATGGATGATGACGACACGCATGAGAAGGAGTGCTTCAACCCGATCGAGCTCGACGGCCCAATCGTCCCACGTGAGAGACACTTCAGCGAGACATTCTCCGCCATAGCTCCACAAGTCATCAGCACGAACATCACCTGGCCAGACTCATCCAGCCTCAACACAACGGAGAAGTCGGCAGCGGCCGAAGTTGCTGTCGTGCCAAACGAGAGACATACTGGTTTAGTTCCGAGGGGGGCCGGCACACTATGGAGGCGGATGTCCAAGACAGTCCGGAACGTTCTGATCGTGCTTGTGATCTTCGTCGTCATTGTAGTGGTCGCCAGTGTCCTTGGGGTCCTCCTCGGCCGCCGGCACAAGAGCAGCGAGGGCCTAGTCGAAGGCCAGTACGACATCCTCGGCACATCGAGGCTGGCCGCAGTGACTTTCCAGAACGAGGGCAACATCACAGACAAGTCGGTCTTCTTCCAGCACTCGCCGTCGCTGGCCATCATGCGGGCGCGGTGGAATGACTCCGCCACGGGATGGACGTTCGAGAACGTGTCGCAGTCCATGATGGACGGCGGCTCATCCATCTTCCCAAAGGCCGGCACGCCCCTCGTCGCCGTGGCGCCGGATGCCGTGGATCGGGAGGACCTACCGCACTTCTGGGTTGATCTATATTTTATGTCGCTGTCCAATGTGCCTTACCAGATCTGGACGTGGAGTGTGCCGCAGACAGACCCTTCCAAAGACCTGCTGTGGCACCAGGAGGGCCTGCAGACATACCAGGTCATCTTCACCACACAATTCGCGCGGGGCACGCAGCTGGCCGCGTATCGCGACCAGTGCGCGGCCGACATTTGCTCGCAGGACAGCCGGCTGCTGTATCAGGGCGCCAACAACGACCTCATGCTCGCGTCAAGCCCGGTCAGCAACTGGATGATATGGAACGTGACGAACCTTTCGGGCGACGGGGTGCCTGAGCTGCAGCTGCCCGAGCTAGAGACGAACTCCAGCCTTGCCGTGACCCGGTTCTCGCCCGGCCCCGGGGTGGAGCCCAGCGGGATGCGGATGTATTACGACGTGAGTCATCAGTTGGAGGAGTACATATTCGTGAACGGGACGTGGACGAACGGTATGGCACCATGCTAGCTCTGACTTTCAAACTCACACACTGGCGTGAGTCGCATCGCAGTACCTCTGACAGACAAACTCCAGGCAGTTTCGAGGCATCCCTAGACGACCAAGTCACGCCCCCCGAGGTGGCCGTCGTGGCGTATGCGAATGAGATTGGTGGCGGCCTAGACCACACCCTCCTCACCATCCTTTTCCAGAATGGCACCGTTGTCGTTCACTGGCAGGAGTCGCTCGACGGACCATGGCAGATGGGGTTTGCGCCGGCCGAGGTGAATGCGACAGCTCTCGCTGTGGATTATGACCTACGGGCGTATTTTCTGTCTCCTAGGGGGCAGATCCAGGAGTGGCAGATCGATAGGTCTGATCCGACTGCGTGGAGCTGGGTAAGTAATGTGACCACTGCGCAGGACTGAAAAGGACTCGGGAAGGGAGTAAATGACAGTAGTCATTGTGTAACTTGATTGATATACAAACCTGCGTCCTTGTACATGCCGCATGCCGGGACTTTTTAAACATTATCTCGAGCGATCAGCATTCATGAGCAATGCTTAAGGTCCCACAAGAGCGAGCGAGACCTTATTTGGTTCTACAGCTCGAAAAATGGTCAAATTGGTCCGTTGGCCATGATCACCTGCAGCTCAGAGAGTTATTTTCTGATGTCAATCTAACGTCCATGATTAGGTGATTGATGGTTCTATGTATCAGAGGTTTTGACAGCTGCCGCTGTATACATCTGGTGAGTATAGACGGATCAGCACCCGTAATGGGATTCGTGACGTGGTTGTGTAAGCGGATGGAAATTGAGAAGTTGATAAAAGGCTCAACCGAGTGACAGAGAAGCTTTCCAAGGTCAAGATGGTTATCTGGGGTAGCAACACACGGGCGCACGGCTACAGTATTGCTACGCAGGCACGGCAGGCCCGGCGGGTAGCAATCATTTAGACTAGGTGACGCTAAGACATTGAGCTTCTGCAGGGAACCTTAAGAGAGCCTTGAGAAGCTCGGGTACTGTGGTCCACAGTAACTTTTCAGAACCCCTGCCACAACTACCCGACCCTTGAATCAACGACCTCATCGCCAATCCGCAGATACACTACACTAACCTTCATAATACCATGTCCCACTGACGTCGACGTCGACTGTCGAATACGCTTGAATTCCCATACTCTATAGTTTGCTCCTCACATGCTAGCCGCCTGGCTTCGCATCGTCTCGAAGAAGCTGTCAATACGGCCGCAACCTCCCATGGCCCCGAACTATGGCCCTGGCGCCCTGGCCCAGCACGGCCAGCAGGCGCCTTTGACCCCGACCTCTATGAGCAGGTGGTCCGTTTCTACCAAACAGCTACCACCCGCGGAGGACATCAAGTCACTACACATCTACGACTTTGACAACACACGTAAGTCACACCTGCGGCCTGTGGTCCACGCGAATTGTCCAGTCCGTCGACGCTAGAACTAACCATACACCCTCCTGTGTCACAGTATTCAAGACCCCCTTGCCCAACCAGAAGCTATGGAATGGAATGACGATAGGCCTCCTCTCCAACCAGGACGCCTTCGCCAATGGCGGTTGGTGGCACGACTCGCGCATCCTCGAGGCAACAGGCGAAGGCATCGAGAAGGAGGAACCGCGTGCATGGGATGGCTGGTGGAACGAGAAGATCGTGGAGCTTGTGAGGCTCAGCATAAGGCAGAAGGACGCCCTGTGCGTGCTCCTGACGGGGCGGTCCGAGTCTGGCTTCGGCGAGCTCGTCAAGCGCATCGCGGCCTCCAGGGGTCTGGACTTCGACATGGTCTCGCTCAAACCTGCCGTCGGCCCCAACAACGAGCGGTTCAACTCCACCATGCACTTCAAGCAGGTCTTTCTGCGGAATCTCATGGAGACGTATAAGCCTGCCGAAGAGATCAGGGTCTACGAGGACCGTGTGAAGCACGTCAGGGATTTCCGTGACTTCTTTCAGGAGTACAACAAGAGACTACAGATCGCTGGCGCGGGGGCTGCAAGGAGTCCCATACTCGCCGAAGTCATCGAGGTCGCAGATATGTCCACGAATCTGGATCCTGTGGTGGAAATTGCCGAAGTACAAAAATTGATCAACGATCACAACGACACAGCCCTGAGTCGAGCCAAGGCGAAGGAGAAGCTGGTGATGAAGAAGACAGTCTTCTTCACGGGTTACATGATCGATCAGGCGGATACTAAGAGGCTGCTCACTTTGGCCCAGATCCCCCAAGGAGTTCCCGCCCAGGACCTAAAATACCATGCCAATAACATCATGATCTGTCCGCGGCCTTGTCCAGCTAGTATTCTGGAGAAGGTAGGTGGCATGGGTAGTAAGATGAAGTGGGTAGTCACAGGAACGGCCTGCCACGACAACAGCATATGGGCTGCATGTTTGAGGCCTGTTCCCAGCACCGCGAAATTCCATACCGATAACCCCAGCCCGCTCGTGGTCCTGGCATTACGAAAGGGGGCCAAACCTATCGATGCTGCCAAGATCAAGAACTGGCAACCTGTCCCACCCGACAAGGCCTTCGAGTTTGAGACAACCGTCAACGAGAAGGTGCTTTTGAGGATCGAGCCAGAGGACCCTAGTGAGAATGCTTACGAGAGCCTGTTCCCCAACAAGACTTCTAAGAGGAAATACGCGGGCGACGATTCTCCGAATGACCGGGGCAGTGGCCATTTCAACCAGCGGAAGGAGCATTTCAACAACCAGAACAACAGCGGCAATAACAATAATAACCACGGCGGAGGAAGAGGCCGAACAGCCTTTGGTCAGTTCCGCGGCGGCGGAGGGGGCTTTCGCGGGGGCCAGGGAGCCAAGGGCGGACGAGGCGGGGCACGCGGCCGCGGGGGGCGCGGCGGGCGAGGCGGCAACCATTACCGCTCGCTGGACGACGTCGGCACGCGGGACTTCAGCGGCTCGTCGAGGCCCAACGGTGGCGCTTCCGGTGGGGGCGGATCCGAGAACTTGCAGAACTACTACTAGCAGCGGCAAGTCGGAATTTCGCCCATCCAAGGAGACGAAAACAAGGAAAACAAATACCAGCATAAACCCATCAAGAGGTCCCATGAGAGTAGCAGGGACCCTGCGCCTCTGGCTGCGGCCAAGGGGTTTGGCGTAGAGCGCGCCGCGAGGACTACATGCCAGGTCAATGTCAAGATGACAGGCTTCGGCGGCGTGAGGCCTGACTTCTCCCGTAACTCGTCCGCGCGTTTACCAACCGCGCCCTGGAATCGTGTTGCCCCCCGGCTGTACATGGACATGGACGACGTGCGCGACGACGTCCCCGAGGCGGCAGACCTACAAGACTATTACTAGCTGCTGACTATTATGTGTCTCACCCGACGCCCCGTCCGATACGGTGGAAGTATCGCTACTGCAGCAGAGATACTGAGATTTATTATGTACGTATATATACGCATGTTTCTATACCCTATCCGTTTAGCGGCGGCAACGGCAGTGAGAATGTCGGAGGTTTATCTTTTCACAACCTGGTGAAAGCGTAAAGAGCCAGCCTAGCAAAGGAGTTTCGGCACGGAGAAAGGAAGCAAGGAATCAAACTAGGTATGCCCCCTTTCGGGCCGGATAGGGAAGGGCATTTACGTTCTTGGCCCCACCGTGGGACGCGGAATGTTGTTGTAGAGGTCAAGGACCAATTGTAAGGGGTAAACGGCATCGAGTTGGAATCATTAGAAGCGAGAAACGACGCTTGTAATCCATTTTTTTTTTTGACGCGTCGAACGACATTTGTGTCGTGCCAAGGCTTTGAAGACATTCTCGACCCGTGTTTAATTGCGAGTGACCTCTACCTCGGGGGTTGTGATTCTTACGTGAATGCAGCTTGCTTTCTAACTTTTTGAGAATGCTGCGAAGCCACCGAGGGTGCGCAAGGATGTGATGGTGGCAATGGGTCGTCCTAGCAAAATAGTTCGATCCATCCAGTTACTCCGCCATCATGCCCTTATAACGAGATCAGTGTCTCCTAGTCGCTGTCCTCGTCATCGTCGTCATCATCGTCATCATCATCATCACTGTCCGCCTCCTCAAGCCAGTCCACCAGGACCTTACACCTGCCCCGCACAACAGTCATGCTCTCGCCGTCGGCGGCGCGCTTGTCGGCCCACCACGCCAGGATGCCGTCCTCCTCGACGACGTCCTTGTTGTACATATGCTGCAGCATGGCGGCGAGCAGTGTGCCCGCGCGCAGCGTCTCGACCTCGCTATGGCCCACGAGCGCCTTCTGCAACGCGAGTATGAAGTCGACCTGCTCCGCCACGCTGCCGGCGCCCACGCCCACTTCGCGGAGGAATTTGGCCGTGCCGTGCTTAGAGGCGATGGCCTTCTCTGCCGCCTTGGGCGGCTCCAGCGGCCCACCGTGCCCGGCCTGTAGGAGCTCCGCCGCCCGACGCACGAAAGCCGCTGCCACCGCCCGCCGCACTGACGTGTCCGAAGCGTCCTGGCTCAGGCGTAGGCCCATGAACTCTAGCTTGGCGCCGTCGAAGTCGTTCTCATCGCCCCGAAGAGCATCGAGAAGCCCGTTGACCGCCTCCTTGTGGAAGGCTGCCTTGCTGTGGCCTGACTCGGAGTCGTCTGAGGCGAAAGAAGAGAGACGTGAGCGCTTAATAGGATCGGCTGCGGCGGCGGGCTCGTCGTCTTCTGAGTCGGATTCGATCTCTGAGGAGAGGGTGGAGACGGATGATGTGGAGATGTTGAACTTTTCGATCGAGTAGATGAGGGGTTTCTGAAGCTGGGATGGGTCAGATGGGTCGATGTCGTCCTCTTCCTCATCCTCATATCTGAAGACGGCGCCCTTGCCCTTTGGTCCGAGCAGCTTGGTATCGTTCTTGACAGATTTCTTCTCATATGTGAGGACCGACAGGACTGTGGAAGGGGAAATCGAGATGTCGTCGCTAATTGTGACTCCATTGGATATTATTGATCCTGCGCCGATCTTGCAGTTCTTGCCTACAGTAGCGGATTCACCGATAATAGAGCGTGTCACAGTCGTGCCGTCCTCAATCGTCGCGTCGTCCCATATGTAACTGTCCTCGATGGTGACATTCTTGCCGATGAAGCATCGTCTTCCCACAACGCTGTTGGATATCCTGCTGCCGGTGGACACAGTAACTCTGGCACCAAACACTGATTTGGAGGCGAATGTGTCTGATTCAAGTATGACTCCCTTCTCTCGGCACACACCTCCTTTAGTCATGACATATGAGTGGCCCGACACAAGGTTTGACTCTGGAACGAGAGGGAAAGTCCATCCTCCCAGAACGTCTCGCGTAATGGAGTCATACATTTGTAAGCTGCTGGCCCTTGCAGCGTAGCCATCATCCATGATGTGGGTGTAGATGAGTTTGCCGTTTAGCTCCCAGTCCTTCAAGACACCGTGCAGGAAATTCTTTCGTGGAAGTTCGTAGTCGAAGCTTTCGGACCACAAAGCCAGAACGTCAGGTGTACAGATATCGATACCGGGGTCGATAAGGTCTGTGCGGATTTCCAATGCGTCGTGCTCGAAAATCGTGGGGTCCAGGGTGGCATAATGGTCGCTCTGCAAAGGGTGCATCTCTTCGTAATGCAGACACCGGTTCGTGTTTGATTCGACAGCAAAGATAGGCGTGAAGCCCTTTGATTTGGTACGGTGCTCGCTCATGCCACCGGATCTTAGTACGACGGTCATTATGGCGTCCCGGTTCGCCTCACGCCTGGCCTTATGGGCTGCAAGGGCAGCATCCAACTGGATATTTGCAACACAGTCGCCGTGTACAAGGATGAAGTCGCCCGAGACCAAGCCTCGCCCATCCAGATCGCGGAGGAAGTCGCCTACGGAGCTAGCGTCCGAGACTCGTATGAACTCGAGGGACGTGAAAGGGTTGATCTTGCTGGTGGGGCTCCATCGGGGATGCTCGTTTATGTAGCTCTCGATCTGGTCGGTGTGGTTTCCTGTGTATATGATGACATCCTCTACCCCGTTCATGTCCAAGAACTCGAGAGTGTACTCGATCAGGGGAGTGTTGGCCAGAGGCAAGAGACACTACAGGCGGGATATCGTCAGTGTGGGCGGGCGCGCAAGCGAGAAGGCGATGGGGCTCGGGTGCGGCTCACTCTTGGCTTCTCGAGAGTAAATGGCACATATCTGTCCTGGAAGTAGTCTGCCAGGATCTTGCGGAGCAGGAGTTAGCGAGACATTCTCGACAAGACTGTCTTGTTCATACTCACGACTGCTTGGAGGGCATCTTCGCGCTTCTCGTCTGCTCCAGCCTTGCCACCGGGCTTTTTGCCCTTGGCAGCGGCACCTTTGCCGCCTTTTTGGGACATGACGGGGGATCTGGAGGCAGTGGAGGTGTTTTTTGTATCGAGACAGCGGCGGATCAGCAATGGCTGGTGGAAATCAAGTCGAGATACACGTCATGGTCAAAAAGCTGCAGAGTGTGTTCCCTTGCAGCCTTGAGTGACTCAACGCCCAAAGGGAGGGCAAAAAGTAGGTGGGGCAGACGGTGTCCCGCCGTGGCAGGGGCCATTTAGCTCTTGACCAATCACGTTCAGATCGCATTTCTGAGCCTTGCGAGAGCTAGTCGAGGCCCTGAAGGCGCCCCTGTCCTCTATGATTAACCATGATTAACTCCCAAGTCCGTCTGCACTGCAGAGGGAAATTGCCGTGATGGGCTCTGAGGAGCAAGGCCTCATCAACCATTTGATTTTGGAGAGTTCTGCCTGGGCAGCAAGTATCTCGGTGTTAGCTCCTCGCCCTGGTTTATAACACACTATACGCAAACCACACACGCCGAGCTGCAGCATCCCTGGCAACGATGAGGAGCACAAAGTCTATGTTTGATCGCGTCAACGCAGTGCTACGGACCTACGACGTCCTCCTGGCTGTCTCGGGAATATTGTGCTCTGTCTCAGTCCTCCCACCCTAGCGCAGGCATCAAGATTGGCCTGGTGCGATGACAACAGCTAGCCACAATCATGACCATGATATGACCATGTTCATGATGTGATACCCTCGAGTCACAAACATCCGTGCCGGAACGGACGCTCTGAGATGTTGCCTGAGTGTTGGCACTGACACAGGTCAACATGTTCCCGCAAATGGATGGCCTCTTGTTGCCAGTGCCCTGCTTCGATGAGAGAGGACAGGCTTGAATGCTCGTGGTCAACAAACAATCTCGCCCAGCATTTGCAGACAAGCCGACAGGAAAGACAAGAGACAAGAGATGGCTTGACCTGCCAGTCTGGATCTCTGATCTGTAACCTATGGACTCTTCCAGACCCTGCAGCCATCCTTGTCTCGTCCAGTCGTCGGCGGCGATCCACCCGCTCACACGCCTGCACGAACAGTCGCGGCAGGGATCCCGCGGCAGCCCTCAGTCAAGACCACGGTCAAGAAGCTCTCCGCCCTTGTGCTCGGCTGGTCTAGGTCGAATCGGGCACTATACCACCTGCTGTACATCCTCCTACACAGCACTACGACAGAGTCAAGTTTCAAACCCGCCTTATCTGTCCGGCTGTCAGTCAGTCAGTCGGTCGTCATGGCGGAGACTGGGGCGTAGCGTCCTCTTCATCGACTAGTAAGTGACTCCCGTCCCGGGGTATCATTCCAGCTCCACTAGCATGGTCATTCGTCCGTCTGCTCGCCCTATGGGCCCTCTTCTGTTCACTACGGTACATGGTCTAGATACTAGACTAGATATGTATCCCGACTATGTTGTGTCTCTCTCTGTCTCTCTATCTGCCCACGCCTCCCATCTTCCCATCTGCAATGTCAACCAGGCTGAGACGGGCGCACCAGGCGCAGGGCCAAAGAAGAGAGGTGCTTGCGTGCGACGGGAAGCCGCATCATCCATGCAGAGTCAAGTTGCAGGGTGTGGATCGATCCCAAGAGGTCCATGACAGTCTGGGCCCTGGTCATGACCTCCTTGCCGGCACAACATCCCCTCCTGATTCGACAATCCGACAATCCAGCTGGGACCGGACGGGTAGACAGACACACAAACACACAAGGCGCGACATGAGCATAGTCTGGAAGCCCAGCCTACGCTTGCCTACCCTTCCTTATTCTCCCACTACTATCACCGCCAGAGGTCCAGACGCCCTCCTCCCCAGTCTGGACCCTTCTCCGTTCGTGCCTAGCGGCGGAACGACGAGGCTTACTTACGACCATCTCCCTCCCCCAGACCATCTTAGCTCCAACGGCGCCGGTCTTTGACAGGCCCAGACCGATTTCCTTTGGCTTGTTCACTGCCTTTACTGGCTTCACCTGGGGTCTAGCCCACGGCACTCGGGCGACGTGACGGTCCCATTTGTTGGTTCAATGTAACCATCAGCAGAGCCAGAGGGAGGGGGTGTGGCCCGGAACACTCAGGTACACTGATATTTAAGCCAGCCCGCCTTGCTCTCGGCCATTCTGGCTGCCCATGCAGTGAAACTTTGTGAGGTTTGCTTCACCCCTCTGGTTCTCGCCGGGGGAGCTTGGGGGAAAAGGGCTCCGCCGGCGGACCCTATCATCATCCCGTGCTGACTTGGCTGACTGACTCTGCCCTGCTCCCCCTTCTGCCTTCACTGTTGTCGTTGTCCTCTTCTGCCCAAAAATCTTCATCCCAACTCACACACGCCCGTCCGTTCATCCATCCGGGCTCACGGAAACCCACAGACTGGTTGTTGCGACGCCCCAGTGCTGACGGGCAGCCCAGGCCCATAGCAGCACTACCTAATCCTTCACGCAGTCCCCTGCCTCCGCTCCGCTCGGACCAGAGACCCCTTCCTGGCTCACGGGTGTCACTCACTCGGGGGGGCACTGCCACCTCCCGCACGGCAAACAGGGCCACAACTCTCTTTTTGAGCGAAGATGGTGCCAGAAACAGCATCTCCTGCGGTTCGCGTGGGGCTTAAGCTTCCAATTTACCCCGGCTGTTATTGGACCACCAGTTCAAGAAAACCAAGGGATCCAAGGAGGAGCTCCGGATCTTACAGTGCCCAGGGTATCGGGGTCTCAGGGAGCCAGACGGGGGGAGTGGGCTGGGTTGGTTGGCATTGCGGCTGTTGGCAAAAACAGCGCGGTATATAGATCCACTCACTCATCCGCCTTCATCATCATCTTCTCCCCACCCTGTCCCGTCTCGTCCAGCCTACTAGATTGCTACCTCCTCGAGTCGATGGTACCTGGCCACTAGCATGGCAGCGACATCAACTAGGTCCCTTGATAGACACACTCGACGACCAGCACGAACTTACCTTACGAGTGTCGAAACTAAAAACTGCGCGGCTATCATCATCATCATCTCGACTTGTCTCTAGGAAATTATTTGGAAACGACGACGTTGAATTTTAGACAGACACCTCTGTCTCCACCGAGCTTTCGTTGGTACGACGGGTCCGACCTGAGCAGCACGTCCGAGCGACCCGATGAGGATCTAGTCTAGCAGTTCATCCGCCACTCTGTGGTTCTCATTGACCGTATGGGAACAAGACGCGTTCGAGGAACTGGTTGATAAGACCGATCTAGCAGCTCGCCAACCACGCACAATCACCACCAAGTGACTCTCGTCTAGGCGAGCTCGACCCATCCGAGCGTACGACACGCCCAGGGGACCTCGTGAGAACATCGGCTTCACAGCTCGCCATTCACCCCGTTACTACCTCGTCATGTTTATTCAGGCGGGCCCAACCTGAAGACTCGATACGTTCGGTGAAACGGATGGGAAGAACGATCTCGCTCGCAGCTGGACACACACTGATCCACCATTACGTGGGACTCCGTTCAAGCCTTCCTCGACATGTTCGAAGAAAAGAAACACGACTAGTATGGACTGCTACGATCGCACATGACGGTCCCGAGCCGACAAGACGAGAGAAGGCGATCACTCCAGCAGCAGCCATGACGAGAACGACAAGAGTCAGCCAGGCCAGGCCAGGCCAGTCATCAGTTTAGGTGGCCCAAGTTCTTTTGACATTTCTCATTATTGACCCGGAGTTCGCCAAAGAAGATAAGGGGAAAACATCAGTCAACAATCCTCTCTTCGCAGGAAACCCTTTTTTTTTGCCGCCGAGATTTGTTTTCTTCTCTCTTGCTCTCCGCCTAGCTTTTCTTGCCCCTTCATCAGGAGATGCTATGCATATGTAAGTATATATGCTCATTGTTCCTCTCGCTCCAAAAGAACACTTTGGACATCTCACCTCGGCTCATCACCAGGGAAGAGCCTCCTCACGTACATTCTTACGCAACCCTAACACTACTAAACACACATCAATATGCAACAAAGGGCGAGTCAGGAGCTATCGCGCCATCGTAACGATCGGATGAAGTGTGTGGGGACGAAAGAAGCGAGAAGCCCTAAGAAACGCCGTCGGTCCCGGCCAACCATTGAACTCCGTATATCATATGCGACGTTTGGCTACCGTTTATTCGCCAAGATGACAAAGACCCAGCAATAAAAAAATGACCACATCGAAACCAGCTTCTCGAGAAACACCAGTGCCCGTAGAGAGCACACAGATGGATGGTATCTTTTCCCCTCGGATGGGGGCAGACGCGAGTACCCGAACCGACAACATTCTATGCGACACCACGAAGCCCAGTTGCCTGTCTCAAAAATATGACCGGCCGGATTTCCCCAGCGGCCGATCTGCACAGCGCGCTGCGCCAGTCTCTATACGATGGGGCGGATTCGAATCCAAGCAAATCGTCGTTATTGTTGTATATACCCTCCGGCGCCGGGCCCGGGCCCGTACATTCGTTGTCTTTTCTCCGGCCGCTCGTCGCCCATGTTATCGGGCATTCGCGAAATGGGCGGCGTACCGACCTGCGGGGGAAACCCGCCCCGGTGCATGCCCCCGGGTGTCAGGACCATCTGGGGACCGCTGACGCCGCCGCTGGCCGTTATATATCCTCCAGCATCTAGGTTGGGTGACGCGTGAGCTAATTGTTGGCCAGGCGAGTGCCATGAGCCGGTTGTTGCTGGAGACTGGATTGGGGTCCCGGATTCGAACTTGACAGTACTTCCCGCCGTCGACATGGTTCCAGAAGGCATACCTGAATATGAGGGCGTCGAGCCTGAAGGCACTGGCATGGGGGCGACTCCATTGGGCTCTACGTCTGCTGCGGCTGGGTTTTTCAAAAGGTGTCGAAGATGTTGCTTCAGGATCCTGATCATCCCGTCCTTGGTGAAGGGTTTTGCCAGCACACCATTCATTCCTATGGCACAACCAGATCAGTTTCTGCTTAAACACAATCGAGAGGGCAAGTGAGTGCTTACCCCAGCTGTAATAGCTCGATATATCCTCTTGTCGGATATTCGACGTCATCGCGATAATAGGGACTTGTGAGTTTACAGCCCTGATATACACCGTCGCCGAGATACCGTCGCAATTGGGCATGATGATGTCCATGAAGATGAGATCAAACCGTTCGGGATCATTGTTGATCTTGTTGGAAGCTTCCTCGCCGTCTCTCTGCGATTAATTGTTAGATCCATATCATTGATTTTTCTTTTTCGTCGACCGGGGAACTTACCGCAACCTCTACAGAGCACTCAACCTGGGACAAGAACTTGGAGCCTATCCTGGAGCAGGTTTTGTCGTCCTCAACGAGGAAGATTCGAGGTTTCTTGGGGCCCCACAACGAAGTATCCATATCTTTGCCTGGCGGAGGTGTTATTTGTGCTTGTGGCTCTGAGGGACCGCTCTGATTAACAAAATAGGGAACATGTTGGATATGATCTGGATGGAAGGGATCGATACCGACTGTCTGTCCCACGGGATACACTAGGTGCCGCGGGTCCTCGACGAAGGGGTTGTGCATCATGGCGGCCGGCATTGCGGCGGCCGCGGCCGCGGAGCTGGGTTGAGGGTACATGGCGACCTGGGAGCTCGCAGAGTCTGGGGGCGTTTGCGTCTGCCAGGCCATCGATAACCGGTGGAAGGCGCGGTCTGCGACGGGATCTGGCTCGATGCCGGTCATGAGCTCACGCGCCCTGCGCAGCTCGGCGGAAGGCTCGTCGTTGCCATCTGGAAGGACGCCCAAGGTGCCGTTGTGGAAGTTGGCCGAGGACTGCCCGGAATGATTCGAATGCGCCGAGTGCCGACTGTTGCGCCTACGTTCATCGAGACTAGTGAGGTGGTTGAGCAGCTCGTGATTGACCTGGGTCGTCATGTTCAGGTTTTTCTTGAGGGATGTTATTTCATCTATCAGTACCTTGTTGGACTGGGCCAGGTTGAAGTAGTTCTCCTGCAGCTGCTGGACCTGATGCTGGGTCGCGTTCAGGGTCTCGCTCAGGAGCGCGACTTGCTGGTTAGCCGGGAAGGCTTCCTCAGTAGGCTGGGCTTTCCTTGGTGCGGGCGCCTTGCGACGGATGTTGTCGAGGTTGTGCTTCTGGTCCATGCGGAACTCGGGATGCTTGAACTCCCAGGCCTGCAGAGACGTTGTGAGCCAGAATAATTCTTCCGGAACCATGCGAGGCGCTGTCACAAACCTGTGGGCCATATGGGGACTGGCCATTCTCTTCATTTTGTCTGACTTTGTGGAAGTCATACTTGTTTAATTGGCGAACGAAGCTGGCAAAGTTGCTGTGCTTGAAGTGCTTTGGTAATATCGTTTTTGTAAACTTCTCGTTCTGTTCACCGCATCATGCTTAGCACACAATTCACCGCGAATCAGGCGACTGTCGGGGTCGTACCTCGAGGACAACGAAACTGTCGCCCTCATTCCCCCAACGAACTACCGAGGCGTATTGAGGGTCTTCCAGCATCCTTTATTCCGGATTAACAAGGGGCGCGTCGCGATACGGGAGGGGGAGGGCATACTTGTAGAGCTTGCGAACCTGTCGGTGATGTCAGCGTCGGATCTTGGGACTATGATTGCGATCTGGAACGATGCAGGAGGGCAATTTGGGGTTAGGCTGGACTCACGAAGTCGCTGGAATTACTTCCTCCCGTCTGCGCAGCCATGTCGCCTTCAGGCGGCATGTCGATGCCGGCGTAAGGTGAGCTTGAGGTGTGAGAGATGTAGTCGTCCTTCCAGACAGGTTGTCGAGATCCTGCCGACCCTGTCCCTTAAAACATAGCCCGGGCAGACCAGACTGAGGAGTTCGGATGGCAATCGCCGGGGCCAGAGCGCGGGCGGGTGGATCTGTGCAGTATGGTATGCGATGTGTGTGCGCGCGCGAGATCAATTTGCGATATTCGAGGGAGATGAAGGTCGTTGTTGAGGCCGAGTTCAGTGGTGGTTGATTTGGCTGGTACGTAATCGAGGGCAGCAGCTGCTGCAGCGGGGAAGTTGGCGGCTGGCTTTCGGTGGGATCGCGGTGCGATGGAATTGGTAGTGCGAGTGTGTGGATGTACGTGCGTGCGTGCGTCTTTATCCAGCAAGCGAGACAGAGTGTCGAGGCGCTCGTGGGCTGAATTCTAGGGGAGACCGGTTCGATTTTAGATTGGGCCGTGTGGAACTGTCAGGAATGTGTCGCTTTGAAGCCAGAGGAGGGCTCTCTTTTTTTTTTCTCTTGCTCCTTCGAACTGATGGGGGGACTGGTGGTGCCAGAGGGCCCTAGTAGACTATAATCTAACAATATGGATACGAGAGACGCAACTCAAATTGTTAGGAGGGCTGGAAGGAGCGGGTGCATGTGCAGGTGCAAGTGCGGATGCAGAGGCAAAGAATTGGCAGGCCAAGGCAAGGTGAGACCCGAGAAGAGAGACTCTGTGCCCAGCGCAGCATGGTCCCAATGGGGTTGAATCAGAGGAGAGGAGCAGGGCGGACGCTGGTCGCTCGAAGCCGAAAACCAAATCAGATGAGGTCGGATAAAATCATTCAAATCAAGCCAAAGTAGGGCAGGTCAGGTCAGGTCAAGTAAGGGAAAAGGCAGGGAAAGGCAAGCCAAGTCAAGTCGACGAAGTCACTACCCAGTTGATGAAGGCTTTTGGCACTTTGCTCTTCGCACTGCTTGCTTGCTTGCTGGCTCTCTGATTGCTGGCTGCTTTGGCTGCTGATTGCGAGTGGTGGGGATCAGGATCGGGCAGTAAGGATGATGGGATTGGGGGACTGGGGTTAGTTGGGAAAGCCGCCAGACCCAGAGAGGCCAGGACTGAGTAACCAGCAAAGAGCGACAGCGACAGCTACAGCAACAGCAGAGCAGAGCAGAGCAGATCAGATCAGAGCAGAGTACCTAGGTAGAGCAGCAGCAGCAGCAGCAGCATCGAGCCCGAGCGGAGGCAGACTGTGCTGTACATCATGCAAGCTGAAGGCGGATACATGACGTTACTGCCAGATTCACACAGAAGATGAGGTACCGTTCCGGCACGGCAAGCCAATGCACCGTGCTGTCCATTTCCAAGGTTCCAAGGTTCTTCTCGCTGGCCCTAGCTTAGCCTCTGTCTGGCTGCAGGCCCTGCCAGTCTTGCCGCTGATGACTGCAGCAGCCCACTTGCCTGCTTTCCCACCCGCCAGCCCGCCCACTCGTCATCCACCAAGTCCACCCACAGACCAGACAGGGGAGGGCCCAGCTGTGGCCCTCAAGGAAGGTGCCCGTCATCAGCGTGGAGGGCAGGGGCACAGGGGAGGCAGGGGGGCAGGGGGGAGAGTCCAGCTGGGGCCGCCAGCACTTCAGCACCACAGCACCACAGCGTCGGATAGAGGCGGAGAAGGAAGCCGCCCTAAGAGTACTAGCGCGAGATTCACCACTCGGGGGCTTGCCCGATGGGGTAGGTGGCTCATCAGCCCCGAAACTGCCCAAGAACTCAAAACAACCGCCAACGACTCGAGCAGGGTCGAACCACCTGGCACATGCGGCAGCAGAGCATCAACCCGCTCAATGCCCTCACCTTCCTCTGCAAGGGTGAAGGCTGGATCTGTTTCTACCTTCTATATCTGGGTGGTGAGACCACTGACTCTGAGGTGAGCTTGTATATATTTATGTGTGTGTGGGTGTGCATGTCTGAGGGACGACACCCAAAGAGGAGACGGACGAGAAGGAGAGATGGAAGGGAAATAGAAGAACAGAAAAAAGGTCACTGTCCGAGCTATGATGGGGGCGGTGGGGGTGGATTAAAGGATCTTCTCACCTCGAACTTGGCTCATCGTCACTCAATTAGGGGGAGATTGACGACGATCACCAGATAGTGGCCTCCAATCTTCCAGCTCCCTCCCTCCTCCTCCTCACAGCTGCTCTCCCACTCTCCTTCCCAAGCCTTCTGGCTCTTTGATCAATCTGGTGCTCGTCCTGTGGGCTCCACACTTTTCGCCTTGCCTTACGTAGCCAGCTCCATCGTGCTGGGATCAATTGGCTCATCCGACATTGACGATGCAGATTTGTCTGCGCTTTGTGCGGCCTCTCTCTCCCCCCCCTTCGCTCGCCTCAGTCTCGTTGACACAAGCACCACCTGCCAGCCGGCGCCGTATCTGGACAACAGGTACGTATACACATAGCCTATCGAGGTAGTACGGCACGCTGGATTGGTCTCAGCGGCCGGGACCCGAGCCGAGTAGTCCAAAGGCATTCTTGATCCCGTCACATTGCTGTTAATGACTGTCAAATGACAGAGCAGCTGGGCTACATACAGATTGCGACCACGGCAGCACCTCTGCAGTCTTCCGTGCCTAAGCTCCCACTGCATCCGAGACCGAACGGTGTCAAGCAGTGTCGGCCTTTATTGGTCTTGGTCATTCCCCTTGGGTGAACTCTAAAGCAAAAGCAAGCATGCCGCCGGGAATGCCCTCATGATCCGTCCAGGCAGTGGCATCAACCGTGCCCGGCTAATGGGGTGGTGGAGTGGTGACCATTTATCCCTACCGTGTCTCCCCCAGAGCATCCAGAGTCTACACAAGCACTGGCACATGCGGGTGTGGTGACTCCCGTGTGTGTACACCTCGCACACTCTGCCCTATGGCCTTGAACCTCCCGAGATGCAGGTTCATCCTGTCAACCTTCTTCGAAAGCAGCCGCGCGAGACCAAACCCAAACCTGTCACCGCACCCGATCCGTCGGCGACAGCGATATGGCTGCCATCTTGTATGCTCCCCACGTTTTCCCCCTGGTGGTCTGGTGGTCTAGACCTTTCCACAGAAACACCCAAGGTCCCTGACTTGCAAAGCTTAAGCGAATCGCAGCCCGCCCAGCGTGCCTTTCCGCTGCATGGGGACCCGTTCGCCCTCCCAGGCTGCCAGGCGGTCCAGAGGGATCTAGACCTCGAGATCTCTCGTCGCCCTGGCGGTACTTGGGACAGCTGCTGCCCACACGGCGGCTCGTTTCGAGCTCCCTTCCCTTTACCTTACCTTACCTTACCTTACCTCCCCCTTCCCGGGACGCAGCGGCCCCCCAAGCCGGCTTGGGTGGGCACTCTACTTTCAATAAGCTTCTGACTACCTGTTCAAAAATACGGTGAACTCGCACGCTCAGCAAAGAGCCTCAGACGCTCGTCTATTCGGTAGATCTGGCTCGGAGACTTGAAAATCTCCTTCGGGACCGGGGCCACCGAAAGAGCTCATTTCAAACATGGGCACATGGTCGCAGGGTTCATCCAGCGTGTGGTGTTCGTGTCTCATCCCGAGTCCTTGCCCCCTAGGTCTGCTTCAGCTTTGATCAGTCGAGGAGGCATCTAACATGCCCTCAATACGATCTCGCCATAGGGGAAGGTCGCCTCTGTGTGAATCTCAGGTTGTACAACCCGTTCAACCCCCACCCAGCATCCGTTGAGCTATTACCCGCCTCAACCCTCAATGGTCGCCGTTTGTCCTCCCGACGCCATCTGTACACAGCTGTCTCTGAAAGCAAAACACCGGAACCTTCCGCTCCCATTCCCGAGATACTTCGGGCAACTCACACACACATTCCGCGCGTTTGACTTTCCGCCTCAGAGGCTGACATCGGTCGGGCCGAGACAATAGATAGATATAAGCCGAGTCCTGCCACAGGCACACGGCGAAGACGATCAATGTCTGCTGAGCTGACCCTTATTCTGAGCATAGTAACGGACATCTAGCGAAGGGTAAGACAAGGCCGTTGGTTGCGACTTCAACAAGACTTTTCGTGGGAATCATAGTTGCTCAATCATCTTCAAAAGGCGTACACACCCTGGTTGCTCTGTGTGACTGACGTGTCGTCCAACATGAAGTCACACTCTCACATACCCTCATCAACGAATTGGATCTCGGAATGAGCTCCTAGAGGGAATCTCGGTAATGAGTGAGACTCTTTGGCCACCACAGGCATACCTCATAGTACAGGAATATTAATGAACGGGACGAACTCGTAATAAGCAGTAACCTTGCCATCTGAGCTCAATAGGTAGCTCTCTGGTGGCGGTCGAGAGGCATCGAAGTGAATATAATCATCAAGCACCTGATAGGTGGACAACCCAAGGCTGAGCCTGGTTCGACACAGTCCACTACGCACATTGAGGTCTAGGACAAGGCACCTCGCACAAGAGCAATGGCGAAGGAACGATAGCAAGCGCGATGGTGCTGAGACCAGAGTCCCCCGGGCAGTAGAAGCAGCCCGTGTGCGACCATTGGGCGAAGTGATGAAATGTGACCTCTCCATGTGCAAGCACGGGACTGGCTCCCATGCGAGATCCCATGCGTTCGAACCCTTAATGGCCCTCTCTATTAATCTGCGCCGGCCAGGTTCTCCAGAACTCACCGCATAAGATCGCGAGAGAGGCCCAACCGATCTATTGGTCCGGGCCGCCAGCCGCCATCTCGGCGGCAGCCACGAGATCGAAAAGGGCAAACCTGGGGGAGACATCATCGGCGCCTTGGTTTTGTCTTGTCGGACCAAGCATCGCGACCAAACCTACCTATCGAAGCAGATCCAAAAGCTTGGAAGCGATTTGTTTTAGCCCTACATGATCAGAATAATGCGAGCTCAAACGTCCTAGAACATGCTAACGGGACTATTTACGATCACGTCGCACCTTATGCCAGACACCCAGCGGACTTGGCCACTTGGTGGTGAGGGACCAGCAATAATTGAAAGCATATCCAGCCCTCAAAACAACGGATGTGTAGTCCTGTGGCAAAATAGTCAAAAATAGAAGCGATAAACTTCAAAATAAAAGGTTGATGCCAGCAGTGCGGTTCGAACGCACGCATCCTTTCGGATAGCAGAGTATTAATTGCTTAAATCTGCCGCCTTAGACCACTTTTCGGGTAGTGTGAGCGCGCGTATTTGGAGAGTTGGGGAGTCTGAGCAAAGTCTTACCTCGGCCATACTGGCAAATTCTGATTGGTCCAGAATGCCCAAATTGGCGACTTATATACCAACACATGCGTACTGTGAAACTGCGCAGCTGCTTTTCTAGCCATCTCGTCCCTGCAGAAGAGCAGGGACTGCCAGAGAAGGCCTCCTTTATCCTGCTTTGAGTGTAGCTGCCGCTATCCTGTCGGATTTCCTTGTGATGCGTGTCATGTCGACTCGCGGAGAGCAGTATGCTCTGCTCACGTTCCGGGAGAGTGCAATGAGGCAATGATATACAAATGATGATGTGGCGAGGCCTGGGACCTAGAAAGGGGAACAGAAAAGCGTCTCGCGGCAAAGGTCAAGGCAAAGGAAGTGGCAGGCCTGGCAGCAAGCGCGAGCCCTCGTCGTGTTGCAAGAGCGCGTGAGACCATCAAGCAGAGTTTCATCTACAGTGTTGGACTTCTGAATCAGAAATACAGAATGACATTCGACTCGTTCAAAATGAAGACATACGATTGCACTTTGGCAGTCAAAGTCACGGAAATTAATCTGGTGGGGCTAAAATGGGGCCACGGGCATTGAAGGGCAATTTCAACATAGACAGCACTATTACAAGTGCGGCCCTTTTCTTTGCCACGCCAGGGATGAACCGGCGATAAAAAATTCCTCATTCAAATTCTAGGGGTATGGACGACTGAAGAAGATAAGGAAGGAAAAGGGATCATCCGCTTCGTTATGTGAACTGGTAGCCATGCTATCGTGCCAACTCCATGATTAGTCATCGGGGAAGTATTCCTTGATGTTCGACACGAAAGTGCACGTCTTGCGGTCGAAGCGCTTGAAGAACTTCCCCGCGACCTGCATCAGGGCGTCGGGGATCAGCCTCGGGTCACGCACGATCTCGATCCTGTCCTGCGCGACGACGTGGCGGTCGTGATCGTGCTTGCTGCGGTGATGTGTCAGTCAAGAATCATATGAAGGGTCGCGATAAGAGCGACGTTCCAACGGTCAGAACTCACAGGCAGGTGTAGAATGTCTTCTTCCGGAGTCGTTGCCTGACCGTATCGCTGTCCGTCCCAGAGTCCCCCATGTCATCCATTGCCTCCTCAAATGACATGTTGTGAGGCGCGGGCAGAGACTGGGTGCCCCGTTCGCCCCAGCCATTGATGATTCCGATGTAGCCATATCGCTTATGCCGGAAAACTTGCCCGACAGAGTACCACACATTCTGGTGAATTTCCTGTGTATACCGCCGGTTGACTGTTGGCTGCCTATTGTCCATGTTGCGGATGATCCCTAGCATTTCAGGGACGTTTTCCCACGTGAACCTGATGCGTGGCTGTACAGACTGCGTGTAGATTGTGTACAGGGGCAGTATATACTCCTCGACCATCCAGCCATCTTCGGGGAACTGCTGCGCGAGCTGGTTGAGGAACTGGTCGAGGGTGCTATCCCACTGGAAGTTGCTCACAGGGGTCATCAGCAGATTGGCCCATCGCGCGGCGTACGCGGCACTTTCCACTGTCAACTTGGAGGCAGGACGGCCATACAACGCTGCCAGATCTTCCTGTCTCGTGGTCCAGAACGTGCCAAATGTAGCCGCCAGACTCCTAGAGACCCGTTGCACCATAACTGGTACAGGTGCGGCAACCAAGAAGGCTTCCCTGCCGTTTATCCAGTCCAGCTCCACCAGTCGCGACCGCAGGTCGTCGAACTGGACTTCCTCGCTCGACCCGTATGGGTCCAGAAACATCCTATCCACATCCTTGACAGGGACAGACGACGCCTTCCCGTTGAGATCCTGCCCAGCTGGTGCCAGAACCATTGCATGCACATGGCTTGGGAACGCGCAGCACACCGCGCGTAATCCAACCCTCTCGGCCAGGGAGGCGTAGATTGCAGCAGATATGATGGGAAGAGAAGGGTGTTTCTCATCACGCAAGGCGTGGCCGATGAGACAATTTCGCAGGTTGCGGTAGTTCTCATCAGGCTCGTCCATGCCGACCAGGTTTCTATTGCGCACCCATTGCAGCAAAGCGAGCGCCTTGTCACGCGCGCAGAGCTCATTGGGTTTATCCTGCTCCTGGAGGAAGCTGGCGGCTAGTCGGTCGAGTATGACGCATGTGTCGTCGATGTCGTCGTCCTCCCCGCGGACAAAGAACATGTCGAAGGCTGCAAGGGCGCGGTCGAGGCCCTGAGCGGCCAGGGGTGCGCGCTGGTACTGGGACCACTCGTGGACTGCGATGCTTCTGTGTATACTGGCCAGAGCCGTGTTCGCATAGTATCGTCGGGCTAGAACATCGTCGGCAGAGTCGTCGATCTGGCTCTGCCCCACAAGGAAGTCTTTCGCATCGTAGCCGAACCTGCAGATCTGGCCGATCTTTTGTAGGCGCCCGACCTTGGTCGCGATGGTATCGTCGAGCAGCTGCGATATCCCTAAGTTCCGCCTCTTGCGCTTCGTCCATAGTTTCTTCCAAGCAGTCTGCGACGCCCTCAGCGAGAGTTTGCCGCTGAGGTTGTGCGAATGGTCCCAGTACCGGAAGGAAGAGAGACAGTAGTACCTCCACAGAAGGGCCTCATTGGCGAGACGATTGAACCTCCTGGAGACAAGCTGTACGTGCGCGCAGCTATCCTCAGGTGAGACGTACTGGAGGATGTGGCGGATGATTTCGTCCGGGACGCAGTCGAGGGATGCCATGGCGATACTCCCTAAATATTGTTCCCCTGCGGTCTGGACGGCCTAGTAGCAAGTGGAGAATGGATATGAAGCAGAGGACTGGGGGCTCACCCCATATTTTAAAGGTTGCGACGGGTGAGGAATGTTTTGATTCGGTGTTTTTTTTCTGGTCGGTATCGAAGCCAATCGCAAATGGAAGTCACCAAAAGTTGCCGCTAGGTCGAGCCGATTCAATGTCGTCAGGACCTAAACCGACAGGGGGGCGCAAAATGGATTCTTTTGTCCGATACCGATGCCGATGGGTCAGTGGGTGAGGTGCAAAGTGGAGGAGGCCTGGGACGTGCACAATCTTGGAACCTTGGAAGCCAAAGCTTGGGGACCTGGGGGCCACACCGGGGGAGGGTCCTGCAGGACCCAGAGACCCAGGGACCCCCTCCTAGCACTGGTTATCCGCTGCGACTTGGCTGCCAAAGCAGGCATTTGAGCCGCGAGCGGCGTGCCGTTTCGTTTGGCCAGTCTTACGGGCAGTCCAATGGCAAGGCCTTCCTTCTCCTTCGATCTGCGCTTCTTGAGCTGCTTGTGGCACAGCAGGCTTTGCAGTGGCCGGGCTGCTGGCGCGATTGAATGACCGACCATGCAGCAAGCCAGCCAGCACCTAAAGTGTTACGGAGCTGGTCGATAGCTGGTCCCTAATAATAATCCGTGATCAGAGATCAGGATTCCTTCATAAAATATCTGTCTACTGTACTCCTACTCCCATCACGGCTTGCTGTGCTTTGCGCTGCTGCCCATCAGCATATTCAGTCTGTCCATATATCTATCTACCTTCGTTGATGTCGTTCCACTCGACCGCGGCTTTTTTGGTTAAACCTGTGTACAATTGCCTCAGGCCCATGCCCATGCTCTGGCTGTAGCAGTAGCACAATGGGTCTCATCCTGAATCATCTGCTTGCCATTGGCACTCTGCTCAACACATTGCTCATCACTCCTGCCCAGGCTGGCAGCGACAATAATAAGTTTGACTGGGAGACATGGGGTCCCTACAGACCGAATTTATACTTTGGTGTTCGTCCACAAATACCCGAAACCCTTCTCATGGGGCTCATCTGGGCAAGCGGAGACGACCGCAACAGACTTGTTGACAGTATGTCGCTCCCCAACAAATGGTCCTGATCAACAAACCTGTGCGAGTACTCACATCATGTTACACAGCCTTACGGGACACTTGTGAGCAGGACGATGGCGTGAAAGGGTATGGTTGGACAACCTACGACCCACGCGTGGGCGGCTCCCAGCTCATACACGACCAAGAGCTTCAGATTGATCTCACCACTGAGTTCATCAAGGCTGAGGATGGTCAGGGCTGGTCCGCCAGAGTCACCGGCACACCTCGGCCAGGTGCTCCCGCCAACACCAAAACGACTCTCGTCTTCCACGTCGCCTTGGAAGGCATGACTGGGTCGACATCCAAGAGTCTGTACTGTGAACATCTTAACAAGGGCACTGGGCATTCGCTAGCTTTCGGCGCGTCTTGTCATGGCCAGGACCCCAAGCTGGGGCCTTTTGATCTCGTCGTCAGCACTGACAGCAGGGAGAACATCATCCACCGCACCGCTGTCAAGAGTGTTAATATTTCCGAGGACAAGATATGGCAGGCCAAGTGTAAGTGGGAAATCCAGCGAAGGGAGCTAGTAAACACCTACTAATCTGAAATTCCCGCAGCTGTCTTCACTGATCTACTCAGGAATGACGATTCGCAAGACTACAGAAAGGTTGTGCCATCTAGTAATACTGGCGAAGGCAATATCCACTTCGTGCATTACAATTTCATTGGCGCCTTCTCGGCAACATTTAATTATCGCAACTCACGTAAGTCCGATGTGGAAAGAAATCGAGGGCAGGATATTGACTGATCTGGCCACAGCAAATGTCACGAGACTAGACGATTTGCGCGCGTCATTTCCTGCGCAAGTCGACAAAGTGTTCCCCCGGTCTTCCGCTTTCCGTGAAGACAAATTCGCAGTCTTTGCTCAAGGACTTCTGTCAAACCTCCTCGGTGGCCTAGGCTTCTTCCATGGCGACAGCAAAGTTGCTTCGAAACTGCCCGAGTATGAAGAGAAAGAAGTCGACTTCTGGATGAAGGAAAAAGCGGCCATGGCTCGCGCCGAGGTCACTACCACAGAACCGACCTCACTCTTCTCGTTCACACCCTCAAGATCCGTTTTCCCTAGAGGTTTCCTGTGGGACGAGGGCTTCCATCTACTGCCCGTCATCGAATGGGACATCGATCTGGCAGTCTCCGTTATCCGAAGCTGGTTCAAGCAGATGGATGCCGAGGGTTGGATCGCACGCGAACAGATACTGGGGCCTGAGGCGCGCAACAAGGTACCGCCTCAGTTCCAGACCCAGTATCCCCACCATGCGAACCCTCCCACAATGCTGGCGCTGGTCTTGCCTGCTCTGCTCAAGAAAGTGACGAAGCCCTCCACCTACTTCGGCCATCCATCAAAGTATCTCGCCAGTGATGAGGCAGGAAAAGCCCTGATCAAAGAGCTGTATCCCCTGTTTGACCGGCATTTCTCGTGGTTCCGCCGCACGCAGGCCGGCGACCTGAACGCCTGGCCACGCCCAGATGAACACGTGCTGGTCGAGAGCTACCGCTGGCGCGGCAGAACCCCCAAGCACACACTGACGAGCGGACTCGACGACTACCCCCGAGCGAACCCGCCCCACCCGGGCGAGCTGCACGTCGATGCCCTTGCCTGGGTTGGTGCTTCCGCACGCGCCCTGATGCAGGCGGCCCAGGCCCTTGGCGATAAGAACGCTGCGGATGTTCACCGGGAGCAGATGGTGGCGGCCCAGCACAACCTTGACGCGCTGCACTGGGACGAGAACGAGAAAGCTTATTGCGACGCAACGATCATGGGGCACGATGCCACCGCGAATTTCCAGCACGTGTGCCATCAGGGCTATGTCTCATTATTTCCGCTTCTCATGGGGCTCATGAAGGCAGACCATCCGCACCTCCCAGCAGTGTTGGATATGCTGTCCGACCCACACAAGCTGTGGTCGCGGCAAGGCCTGCGAAGTCTCAGTTCTGAGGACCATGGCTACAGGAAAGACGAGGACTATTGGCGCGGAGCGGTGTGGATGAACATCAACGTGCTGGCCGTCCAGCGCCTGAGGGCTGTGGGTCTCGAGAGCCATTTAAAGCCAGCAACAGCCGTCCAGGAGCGGGCCTTGACCCTCGCGGCGGACCTCAGGGACCGAGTGGTCAAGGCAGTGCAAAGGAGCTACCAGCAAACAGGGTTTGTGTGGGAGCAGTACGACGACAAGACGGGTAAGGGGAGGCATAGTAGGGCGTTCACTGGCTGGACCGCGTGCGTGATCATGTTGATGGGCCTTGAGTTCACGAGAGGGCAGGCCATGGAAGAGGTCATCGAACATGTCTTCGAGGACCTGAGCCGGGACATGGGCATTTCCATGAGAACGCCTCTCATCTTGCTGGTGGCTGTCCTGTTGGTTGTGGCGTTCAGGCGAAAGGTGATGGGCTTGATTGCGTCTGTCGTCGAGTACTGGCAGGAACGGAATGGAGGCAGGACGGCCAGGGGCAGGTATGAGGCCGTTGAGCTGAACGACCACAAGCCGTGAGGCGGTGTATAATCTGTACAATATTTACCTAGATTTCTGAGTCGTATATGTCTTTATCGAGCTACATAATGCTCCAGTATGGGGCCATTGAACATTCAGCCTCCCTCGTGAATGAGCAAAGGTCAACCAGGATATTTGAAGGATACTGAAAAGCACCGAGGAAGGGTAATACAAGTACCAATCCGTTTATCTGGGCACACCTTGTGCAGCTCTGTACACCCCTGACCCTTGGCACTTGGGCTTGGGAATTGGGTGGAGGGGTCGACTTCGCGGGGCAGAACCTTCAATTCCCACCTGGCCAGAAGGTGGTGCATATGCTGCAATTGAAATTGGAGACACGCACCATTTTCGAAACTGCAACGAGCACCACACCTTTCGAACTCAGCCCAAGCCTGTGAGTCACCGAGACGACCGGCCTGTAGCACCGCCGCCCTCGCTGACTCCCTCACTCACTCACTGCAGGTATAAGTGAGGCGAAAGGTATTCCGTGCCACAACTCTTCGAACCCGCCCGCCGTTTAGTCACAGGCTTCACACACCACCCGACCGACGACCATGGCGGACGCCGCAGCACCCAAGCAGAAGGCTTCCAAGAAGGAGAAGAAGGCTGCCGCTCCCAAGGCCGAAGACTCGGGCCCCTTGGAGATGCAGCCTCCTCCCTCCTTCCTGCAGGACAGACTCGATCTCTTCGACCGCCTGAAGGCCAAGCAGGACGAACACGCCGCCAAGCAGCCGCGCGAGCCCATTAAGATCACCATGCCAGACGGCAAGGTCATCGACGGCACATCCTGGGAGACCACGCCCGGCGACATCGCCAAGGGCATCTCCAACTCCCTCTACAAGCGCACCGTGGTCGCGAGGCTAGATAAGGACGACGAGAAGCTGTGGGACCTGGACCGCCCGCTGGAGGCGAGCTGCGCCCTCGAGCTCCTCGACTTCGACCACCCCGAGGGCAAGAGAGTCTTCTGGCACAGCTCGGCCCACGTGCTGGGAGAGGCCTGTGAGCGCCGCTTCGGGTGCTCGCTGTGCATTGGACCCCCTATCGACACAGGTTTCTACTACGAGATGGCCCTCCCAGACGGCGCGGCCGTTCAGAACTCGGACTGGAAACCGCTCGAGACAATCGTGAGCAAGATCTCCAAGGAGAAGCAGAAGTTTGAGCGTCTGGTCATGTCAAAGGAGGAGCTCCTGGAGATGTTCAAATACAACAAATACAAGGTACGAAATCCACGGCTGGCTTCTGGTCGTGACAAGCCTGGTACATGCAATTGGTACTAAATTTGAACTCCTCTAGCAACACATCATCAAGGACAAGATTGCCGATGGAACATTCACCACTGTATATCGAAATGGACCGCTTATCGATCTCTGCCGAGGACCCCATGTGCCCGACACTGGCAGGATAGAGGCCTTCTCCATTCTCAAGAACTCGGCCAGTTACTTCTTGGGCAACCAAGAAAACGACTCTCTCCAGCGTGTCTACGGTGTGAGTTTCCCAGACAAGAAGAAGATGGCTGAGCACAAGAAAATGCTTGAGGAGGCCGCCAAGAGAGACCACCGGAAGATTGGAAGGGACCAAGAGCTGTTCTTCTTCGACGGTGTCAGCCCTGGTTCGGCTTTCTGGCTGCCTCACGGCGCCCGTATATTCAACAAGATTGTCGAGTTCCTCAAGGAGCAGTACTGGAAGAGAGACTACGACGAGGTCATCACCCCCAACATGTATAACGCGGACCTGTGGAAGCAGTCCGGCCACTGGGCGCACTACAAGGACGACATGTTCATCCAAAAGGTGGACAAGGAGGAGTTTGGTCTGAAACCAATGAACTGCCCGGCTCATTGTCTCATGTTTGACAACCGCGAGCGCTCACACAGGGAGCTGCCTCTGCGCCTGGCGGATTTCGGAGTCTTGCACCGCAACGAAGCATCCGGAGCGCTGTCAGGTCTGACACGTGTGCGGAGATTCCAACAGGACGACGCCCACATCTTCTGCCGACAGGACCAGATCAAGCAGGAAATGGACGACTGTTTCGACTTCCTGAAAGAATTCTACGGTTTGCTGGGCATGGGTTTCAAATTGAAGCTATCTACAAGGCCAGAAGGCTACATGGGCGAGATCGCCACCTGGGACATGGCAGAGGCGGCTCTGAAAGAAGCGCTGGACGACTTCACCAAATCTATCGGAGCTGAGTGGGAGCTGAACCCCGGCGATGGTGCCTTCTACGGGCCCAAGATTGACATCAAGGTTGTCGACAGCCTGGGCAGAGAATGGCAGTGTGCCACAGCTCAGCTGGATTTCGTCCAGCCTGAGAACTTCTCGCTCGAATACATGACCGCCGAGGGCGTCAGCGCGACGGCCAAGGCGAAGGAGGAGAAGGACGCCGCCAAGCCAGCTCCGATCCCAGCGGCCACGGAGGAGAACGCCGACAAGGAAGTCAAGCGGGCGACCAAGAAGCCGCTGAGCCCCGGATGCGCGCGGCCGGTCATCATCCACCGCGCCATGGCCGGTTCGGTGGAGCGTTTCGCGGCAATCCTGTGCGAACACTACGGCGGCAAGTGGCCACTGTGGCTGTCGCCGCGGCAGATCATGGTGATCCCCGTGGGCAAGGGCTTCTACGGCTACGCCGAGGAGGTGCGGCGCCTGTTCAAGACGCGCATGCGCATGTACGTCGACGTCGACACGAGCGGCGAGACGCTGCCCAAGAAGATCCGCCGCGCCCAGCTGGCGCAGTACAACTTTGTCTTCGTCGTTGGCGACGAGGAGATGCGCAACCGCCAGGTCAACATCCGCTACCGTGACGACACTGACACCCAGTCGCGCGGCACACCCGTGTCGCTGGACGAGGCCGCCGAGAAGATCGGCAAGCTGAGGGACGAGCGGGCTATATACAACCCGTTCCCGGCGGCGAAGGAGCTGCCTGTGCAGACCAAGGAGTAGCTGGCGAGGGGGGGTGGTACTTAAATACGGAAAGTGAACGGGGGCGAGGCCTGCCTTCATCCCGATCTTGTAGCAGCGAGAATCGCGAAGAGGAGTTGAAAAGATGAATAGAGAAGAATTTTATTGGCCCACCATTGCCTTGGGCCATATTTGATATTTTTGTAAACCTCGTTTCTCCCATCATGCTAAAAAGGTATCATTTCAACAAGTGCCCCTTACAAACAATCCGTATAGAATTCTCCATCGTTTCTGTCAACTCATGACTCCGTGAAGTACTACCGCGGGAAAGAAGAATGCACCAATAACAGGTCTCAAAACCCTCACACCGGAGTAGCCCCATCAGTCGCTACACATATCACACGCACTAGGGCAAGGCCTAAAGCCCATCTCAATCAAGGCTTAGGGACGTGGATGGTCTTGCTCGTCATGAGGCACCCGTGCAGCATGAAGACGGCGACGATGGGGTGGACGGCAAAGGGCGTGCCGCTGAACCACACGCCGCCCGGGATGTTGTCGTGGACCCAGCCCTGCGAGACCCAGTAGGCCATGACAGCGTCGAGCCCCAGGCTGGTGGGGATGGGCGTGCCCTCGAAGTAGCGCGCCTTGCCGGTGGCGTCCTTGGGGATAGCCGTGGCCGTGACGTTGAAACGCGCCAGGCGCGTCAGCCCGCACAGCACAAAGAAGGCCAAACACACATGGTCCAGCGTCGTGCGCATGCCGATCGAGAAGGCTACAACGGCCGGGGCGAGTCCGAACGAGATCTGCGGAGGTGAGGAATACTTGTCAGCTACGTTGCTGTATCTTCTCGGATGACTTATCGGGAGCAGGGATGCAGGTTCAGGGGAGGGGAGGGGAGGGGAAAGTGGTTGAGTGGGCGGTTTGAATATCCAATGTATAGGAACGTACCAAGTCCGCCAGACTGTCCAGCTCCTGGCCCATCATGCTGCTCTTCTTCCTCCAACGCGCGACCTTGCCATCCATGAAGTCGAAGAACAGGCCGAAGGGCAGGAAGGCTAGGGCGGCGTAGATGTTGCCGCGCGAGTAGTCGTCCTGGAGGCAGTACCGCAGGGAGGAGAAGACGGACATGATACCGCAGAAGCCTGGCAAGGTGGAGGAGAGTTAGCCGATGTCGTCTTCATCACAGCCACGGAGGGAAACCTGTAGGTGTCTCGGGTCTTCTTACCATTGAGCTCTGTAATCAGGTCTGCCAGGTGCATGGCCCGGATCAAGGAGAAGTGGCCCGTCTCGGAGGACAGGAGGTCCTTCTGCTTGTCATATGCTGCGTCCCGAGGAAGATATCAGCGCTTTAGTTTCTATAGAGGAGGGTGCCGGCAAGAATAACATACACGAAACTTGGTCAGCCTTTTGGGCACCGCCATTGGTGGCGGCTGAAGAGGTTCTCTTGGACATGGCAGCGCTGGTGGTGCGGCGAGGTGTAGTCGGTGTGGGAGCGAGGACAATCCTGTCGTTACGTTGAAAAGCTGTGAGGGAAGACTTTGCTCAACAGTTCGTTCCTGGCGCGAGGTGAGGAGGGAAGAGACTGATCAAGTAAAAGGTTGAGAAGTTGCCTATGACGGTAGTGGCACGGTGGTGGTACGGGAGAGAGTGTGTGGTGTATTATCGCGCTGCACGCCAGTGGTGGTTGAGAGGTACGGAGAGCAGTAGTGCAGAACCACAGGTTGAAGCTTTTCTTGGCCTGCGAGGGCTCCAATGCCGTCATCTCCCATGCTGGCCGCCCTGTTTGGGGCCTAGATCGTCACCCAACCCACCAGGGGGGGCCAGGGTCCAGCCTCTGAAGTCACAGCTTGCAGCTCCCCAGACCTTCCAGACCCAAGCTGTGCCGTACCATACCGTCGTACTAACTCAATCCCCACGTCACAGAGACGTACCGCACCGTAACATACCGTGCCGTTCCATGGCTCCTTGCAGCTCCGATTGCATTGAGCTCGTCTTCATATGCTATACGCTCACGTCGATGCATGCAATTTAGCACATGCTGCACCAACCGGATGTCCGGTTCCTGTAGCATCTCCTGCCTGATAATAAGGTCACTCACAGAGGAAAGGCAGGATGGACAACAGCAACTCCTGGTGACCATCTTGGGCGGCCGCGATCTCTCCATTTGGAATCTTACTGCCTTTTCTATAAATATATACACATCACCAAACCTATGTCTATGTCTATATCAAACCCAGTCAATGCATCAGAGCGAGTATCTGAACCCAGGATTATCCAGCTCAGTCTCGTCGTGCATCCCCCTCTCGATCGCAGCCCGGTCATTGGTGTGCCCGGCCGCGTCTCTCGCCTTGTTCACCCGCCACATGTAAATGTACAGCACCACCACCGACAGCAGCTTGATCGTATACCCGACCAACATGGCAATATATGCACTATGATATCCGGCTATGATGAGGAATGAGAAGTTAGCATTGCTGCGCTGTTGTACGCTCAGGCGAGGCACCCCATGGCACCATTTTAAGGGATGAAGTCATCCCTGCAGCAAGGTGGACTTACGAGCTTCACTGTCAATAAAGGTCTGTGGCCCGATGATGTTGCCAATGCAATAACCAGTGAACAGTATCGCAGCGGTCAGCTGCTTCTTGGTGCTGCCCGCGACGTTGGATGAGATCATCGTCAGCGACATGCTGAATCCCAGCCCTTGGAAGTAGCACAGCCAGAGTGCGACAAGACGTCCCCACTTGAAAAACAATCACGATTAGTTCTCACTGTGCATATATACTTTTCACTGCAGGATGGGAATCTCACCTTGTTGTCATCCGGCAGCCCAACGAGCAGAGCCGCACCGATAATACAGATCGTGTTGGCCACGATCATTGTAATACATCGAGTCTGTGGCCATTTGGTACAAATCCACCCGCCAATAATGAGAGCCAGGAACTGCACCGCACCGCCAGGAATCTGCAAGTACTGCGAGCCAAGGGTGTCGAAGCCGAAGGAGTTGATAATAATGCTCGTGAAGCTGGTGATGGCGGCGTTGGGCACCTGCGCGGCGACAGCCAGGACGAACAGGATCCACGTCTTGGGATCTTTTGCGCACTGCACGGCCTGGTACTTGCGGAAGTGACGGTTCTTGACGCCCTGCTTGTTGCGGGCGACGCGGTCGACGGCGATGGCCTTCTCGCGCTCGTCCAGGAACCTGGCGGTGGACGGCAGGTCCGGCAGGACGATGAGGCTGACGAAGCCCCAGAAGACGCTGAGCGAGCCGAAGATGATGAAGACATACATCCACTTCGCGATTCCCGTGGTGATGTGGCCCACGGCGTAGCCGATCAGCCCGCCGAACATGGTCGCGATGCCGTTGGTGCAGTAGTACGCCTCGAGCCGCAGCGGCTGCTCCTCGGATGTGTACCAGATGCTCATGATTAACACGAAAGCCGGGTTGATGGCCGCCTCGAAGAAACCCAGCAGGAAGCGGTTCGTCGCGATGCCCGCGAACGATGTGCATGCCGGCGTCGTCATCAAAATCGCACCCCATAGCACAGTGATGATGCTGACGAACTTGCCGATCGGAAAGGCCTGGAGCGCGAACGATGATGGGAATTGTGCGACGAGGTAGCCGAAGTAGAAGATGGATCCTAAGGGGGCAGTGTGAGTTGGACCAGCCAAGTGGTAGTCGGGGAGGGTGCGAAGAACAAACCTAGCCATGAGTAGTCCTGCCCGTGCAGGTTTGTTCCCTTCTTGAGCCCATACACACTGGCGAAGTTCAAGGAATCTGTCCGGAAGAGAGATGTCAGCGTGGAATCTCTTTAGAAGCCGCAGATGGGCTCTCCTCAAGTCCTTTATACTCACTCTTGTCCAGGTACTGCAGCATGTATGTGATGAACAACACAGGAACCACCCTCCAGTCAATTTTCCGCACCACGCGCTTCGCCTCTGCCGGGTCGACCTGGAGGTCCTCGGTCGCCTTGAATACCTGGTAGCTGTCATCGAGGGACTCATCCGAGCTGGACTCGACGCCGTGGTCCACGGATGCAGACGCCGCGGTGCCCGCCTCGGCCGCAGGGGCAGAGGACACAACCTCCCCGTCCTTCTCCACGCTGAAATCTTTCGCGGAGGACATCTTGGGGAGAAAAGGTAACGTCAAGGCCACTTCAGGGGGAAGTACAGAATTAATAGACCAAGAAGGGGCCCAAGAGATGCGGCTCGAGCTAGACTAGACTAGACCTCTCCCAAGCAGTCGGTTCGCGAGATCAGATCGAAACAAGTTTACGCTAGGCCAGGCTGTCTCGGCTTATTATATTAACTCAAGCCTCAGGTCCAAGAGAAGAAAAGCTTTCGCCCAGGGCATCAGGGGGGGACGTAATCCACGGGGATATCAGAGCTGGCCTGCGAGCACGCAATGCGGGTCATGACGGTAGAACTCAGGATATCGCTCCCTGGCGGGTCCTCAGCTACCCCCTCTCGGAATTAGAGCTTTCATGCACAGGAGAAGGGAGCGCACATGGTGGGTGGGTAAAGAGTCCAGGGGATAAGAGGGTAGAGCCCGTATTAGTGAGTAACTGGGGAGAGTTCATGGTAGCACCCCATCCGCAAACAGGCATGTGCAGCGACAGCCGGGCAGCGTGGGGTGGGAATTGGGACAGGGCATCACCCCTGGACCAACAGACCACTAGGTCCCGATATGCAGTCGTTCCTCAGAAGTGTTTTCCTAAGAGGGGGTTGAGGGAAGGGGATGGGCGGTTTGGGGTGCAATACCCGGGCGCGGACTTATATGACGAGATCTGTGGTCAAAGCACGTCAACGGCCGGCGGCCAACCAGACTGGCCGAAATCCAACCACCACCACCGAGCGGGGACCGGCAGTCATTAGCAGGACCGAGGCTTTAGTCAGAAGAATTCAACGGGTGCTCAAAAGCTGGTAGGCTACAGTACAATATTATACAGACAGGCACGGGTGTCCAGTATTCGGCCGAGCTGTGTGATGTCTCGCATCGGATCCGAAGGAGCTGGAGGTGGCAGAGTGAGGTTGACATGTCAGCTAGAGAATTGTGAGTTGATACATGTATTGTATACTATCTCATCCAACCGCCCGTCGCCCCTCGATGTGCAATGACGGAGAGTGAGACACACGCGTGGGAACAAACTGATTATCTTCAAATCCGAGAAATCGGATAATGCCCACCTGCCCAACCAAAGCAGGCATTATGTACTCTATGCAAATGCACAAACCAACGCGCCATCCCTCGCCCCCTCGCCCCCTCGCCCTCGAAACACAAAGAGGGCAAGCCAAGCCATAGAAAAAGGTGTACAGCTCCGCGCCTTCGTACGCATGGAACCGCATGGTCTGGAGAGACCTATCATGTCCAAATCCGCGGTGGGTATTGGATAATTTTGAAGGAGAGACAACGCCAGCCTCGACAATATCAGAGGTCCCATGCTGATTAGCAATTAAACTCGTGTAAACTGTTGCCTCCTCCCAGGAATGTTGTCGTGTACCACCTTGTGTAAATGCAGTTTCGTCAAGTTATCGCACCGGCCGTTCGTGGCGAACGGCTGTCATCCCTTCGACAAGTATGTGCGTGTGTGCCCCATCATCTCTCGGATGCTTGGCATCGTCATGTTGGACTATGTGTCCAGCCCACAGCTGTCTTGCTGGCTGCCTTTCTAGCAGTCTTGCTACTTATTACTTCCGAATGATGACACCAAAGCCATCAACCCACTGGGCGCAAGAACCCCAGACGCCGCAGATGTTGTATCCGTAAGGAGGGATGAGTGTGTGCCTTGTAACAGTCGTCATTAGCTCCACATCTCTCGGCCAGAGGAGGGGGTTTTGCGTTTCACTCACATGTCTCCTCCGTGACTGTTTCCGAAGAACGGTGAACGGTTGCCCAGACTCGTCAGAACTTGTATGCCATCGATCCAGAAACCAGATCGGACAAGGAAGCCTGAAATGTACTCGCCCTTGCGAATATCTTGACATTCTAGTATTAGTACATGCCTGGATTTCACCGTGCAGTATTTATGAGCTGAGATTCGGGACTTACCGAGGTCGAACACCCCGACTTGCACGTTGCCGCCAACACTACCAAATATCTGCTTCGAATCATCGTCATAGATGAACTCCATGCCATCCAGTGCAGCGCCATGGTAGAATACGATGCGGCTGAGCACCCTTTCTTGCTTTGTGGCGCTCGTGAACACGAACTCGATCGGTTTAGTCCCGTCCATCTCACTCGTGCCTAGCTTCTTGCTACGGTATGCCGTCCATCCCGTCACGGGGTTGCCGACAGTCAGCTTACTCTCCTTGCCGCATAGAACCCGTACATCCTCAATCTGCAGATCTCCGCCGCTCTGAGACTTGACGCCCAGCCGTATCTTGCCCTTACGCTTGTTCTCAGGAAGACGTTTCCGAAGATCTTCTTCAGAGACCACGAGTTGTCGCTTTATGTGTTCACCTTCAGTCGGGCACTCCATCCAAGTCGTACAAACGTCGTCTCCGTCGCCGTAGATCTCAATAAAGGATATGCCAGATGGCGCTGTTATTGCCACCTTGCCATCCTCCATAGGCCAGGCTTGCACGGAATCGTCGGGGTGTCGTGGCGGGTCGTTGGGAAGCGAAAAACAGGGATGACTTCGGAAACGCAAAAGGTCAAGACGATGCCAGGTGCATTCGTCTGCTTGGGCGACAGGTCCACCCTTGGATTTTGTTCGAGTGCAGTAAGCTTCGTGTGTCACAAATGAGCGGTGTAAGTAGACATAATCCCGGAGCATCACGCCGTTGGCTTGGTGTGGACAGCCGAAGAGGTGACCCGTCTCGTGCAGATGTGCACCGATTCCGATATTGGCATTCTCCCAGGAGCTACCAGCCTCATTGCAGTCATTCGCAACATGTTTCGTGTCTGTAGGAGTACAGTCGGTGAAAGCGGGGACGACTTCCTCCAGCATCGTAGGATAGCTGTGCAGACTGTGTGACCCAAAGATAGCCAACTTCAAATCTCCGCTGGAGCTACCAAGCGCAGCATGGCCTCGAATGATCTTCTCCTTAGGGTCCCATTGGCTGTCCAGAAACATGCATGAGACGTACTGCTGTTGCCCTGGCTTCAGGTTGAAGTACTTCTTCACAGCGTCCGCGGCGATCGGGAACAGCCCGCCCTGGTCCGCGGCGTCCTGATACTGCTGTGCAATGTTGAGGTCACGGATCTCGGCCAGCGTCTTGTCCATCCGGATGACGTGGATTCGAGCCTCGTTGCGCATGCGTCCGTTCTCGTGGTCTCTGGCGCAAGTTGTGCCCTGTGTCCATTCCTCTTCAAATCTAAACGTGCGGCGCCCAAACTTGTTGCGGAACATCTGCTCAGCCGTGTATGCCTGCCATAAGTAAGCAGCCATGCGAAACTTTCGAATAGCCACTTCCAAACTGTTCCCTTCTCGCTCGGCTCGTGCCGGGGGTGCATCGAAAGTGCCAGGCGAGTCCTTTGCCAGTAGGATAGCAAGTTGCAGCGGCGGAGAATTGGACACGGGCATCACATTAATTGTCATTTGCGTAGAGTGAATCGGATTCGTCGTGTTGCTGTTCGGAAGTTTGGGGCTAGCAAAGTCGAAGCGCAGCCTGTTTAAGCCAGACTGCAAATAGACCAGTGCCTTGAATTGGCAGTCGTGCACCGGCCATGAGACTGCTGGGTAATCATCGTCTATTCGCGAAACTGTGACCTCGCCGTCGATGGACCGTCCACCAGGGCCAGGAACCATGCCTGTAATGATGAGGACTTTCTGAGAGACCTATGAAAGTTGCCAACGTTAGTCAAACACCAGCAAATCAAAAGAACCAAGTCAAGTATCCTTTGCACAGCAGCACGATTCAGAAAGCCGTGGACTTTCCCACTGAATCGAAGACACAACGCTGCTGTTCCCCAATGTCCCCCTCTCGCCCAAAAAAATTACTCATGGGGCTGGAACTTACCCATGCTCCATGTCGAACATTATCAATCTGTGGCGCATAAGGCGACACAGGCAGTTGCGGATATGGTCCCCGTCCTCCTAACGCCGGCGACCCCAAACCCGTCATGCCCGACACGCTGTTCCGGTTGGAACCATTGGTAGCCGACCGCAGTGGTGGTCGGAACTGGGGGATTGGAGGGACTGGCGGGGTCAATAAGTCGCCATTGAGCTTCTCTTTGGATAGCTGGTGGTTCAGAGCGGGATCTGACTGGCCTGCCACGGACGGTGCAAGCGAAGGAGGGGTCAATGAGCCGCTCGTTGGCGTCCGGCCGTTGCTTGCGTCACTTGAAGTATCGTTGGCATCTGTGGTGGACTTCTCGGTCTTGAAACTGGCCTTTGATCGTCGTCTGATAGACTTCAGGGTCAACAGGCTCGGTGCCATAGCTGCTGGGTGAGCTCAAAGCTGAATTGCCCGGCGGCGGATTGGCAAAAAGGTCGTGGAGAAGAATTGAGGGCTGTTTGTGCTGGGTTATGTGCAGGACACGTCGGGAGTGTCTGCGCGGTCGTCCAACAGCTTTCGCGTTCGGATAACACAAGCTGTATATTGCCCACGAGTCTCGGGATGGCCGGCCAAAGAAGAAAGGTGACGGGATCGTCGCGGGACTAAGAAAGGTCCGACATGTGAATGTGGTCGGAAGTGAGGGGAATTGCTGCTATGAGGCAGAGAAAGTGTGGCCTCCCACCATGGAAAAGAAAAGCAAGCTCGTGAAAATCAAGGGGGTGTGGGATAGATACGCAATGAGCTCAGTCAGGTCCCAGATGAATTGGCCGGAAGTGCAGGGTGGGCCGGGTGAGCAAGGTGGGCTGGCCAGGATTCCTTGCTTGAGTTGCCGTAGTGTTGCGACGGATGTGGATGTCGAGGTTGTGGCCGGATGCTTTTAATAAACGGATTCGTCTGCGGCGATTGGGCGGGAAAGGGCAGTGCAGGGAAGGAGGAGCGAGTGGGATGTGCGTGGGCGTGGGACGGGAGTTGGACGGGGGCTTCCAGGTTCCCACTCTGCTCTGCACGACCTTTCAATTCAGTGCGTGGATCAATGATATCTCGCTGAATTGGGTGGATTGCCCTTTGATGACGTCGGGCCGTTTCGAAATTTCGGTGGTATTGGGATAACGGAGACTCGGAAGCCCAAAAGAAGCAGAATGGAAGGGCGCTATGGGCCAACGGAAATAGTCCGGCGCAGAGACAGAAAAGAGCCAGGTTCTAAGATGGAAAGAGGATGGAAGGGGGGCTGGGCTTGGGACCCGGCCGAGGACTGATTGTAGCTCGGCCCTGCTGGTCTTTTGCCTAGGGAAGATACGGTCAGGGGGCTGCTGATGATGATCTTGATTCAGAGAGAGAGAAAGGAGGCTGACCGAAAAATAGACAGGCGAGAGTCGTGGATTGGTATGGAGAAAGAAAGAGAGACTGAAGGAGTGATAAACACCAAGTGGAAAGTAAGACAGACAGGCAGGCAGGCAAAAAAAGGACAGATGGTGAGGATGCTGTGCGGTGCGATGCGATGCGGTGCGATGCCGATGCCGATGCAATGCAATGCCGGTGGATGGGCCGACGTTGGACTGATAGAACAAACAGCAGATTAAGAGCCAGCCAGCAATACAGGTCGGTGTGCTCAGCAGGATCGTGGTTTATGACTTCCTGGAAGGATGGTCTCCCAAGGTTGCAACTGTGAAAAGCGCAACCTCAATTGCCTGGTTGATTGACTGGTCGATTGATTGAAATGTTTGCTGGGCTGGGCTCGGGCAGATCAGACGGTTGAACGAGGTGGACGGACTGGACGGACGGACACAGGCCTGACCAAGAAAAGGTGGTCTGTCTCTGTCGGTCTCTGTCTCTGTTGGTCTATCTGGTCTCGTCTCCTATCAGGGAAAGTGGGAGGCAGTTCCAAGTTTCCTTACGCAACGCGCGGACGCACTTGCCTGACCAGACCAGACCAGACCAGGGGAGGGGAGGAGGAGGATGGCAGGGCACATTCCAAGGAAATTAAGAGATTTGTTTCAGCCCTTTAAGAAGCAGAACCGAGTCCCATCAATTCGGGGAGGGGAGGGCGGGCTCTGCCTTGAAATTCTTCCACGTGTGCCGTGTGCCGTGTGCCGACTGTTGGCTGTTGAGTTGTTGAAGGTGGAAGCAGCAAGCTCTGACAGCTCGTGTAAGCCCCGTCGTTCATGCTGTGCCCATGCAGCCATTCGCCATTCTGCCCATTGTGATATTGTGATCAAGGCAGGGGTGGCTGATCCCTGCCCGGCTGTGGATCTGTTTCTCGACTGACCCTTGCCCGTTTCCTAAGCTTGACACTCAATTGACTTGCCGATGGAGCTGTTTCAGCATCCCAAAAGCTGTGTCTGCACCGTACTCATTACTCTGGACCACGGCATGGGACGGAAACAGCTTTGTGAACGACTCAGCACTGTCTCCCTCCAATCTACTGCACAACGTAACAACGCCCACCGGCCAACCTTCGGTGCGTGGAGAAAGCGACTCGCTCACCAGGCGACGGTGTCGCAACCTCGACAATGAAGGAGAGTCGTCCCGTCTCAGTGGAACCGAATCCCACGGTCAATCATGAGCTGGCCGCTACCAGTTACTCTCCAGTTGCACCAGCGGTTGCGCGACTAATTGTGTATCTCTTAGCGCAACTAGCTTGTCAGTGCGTCCCAGTCTCTACTACAGTAGCTCGAGCAGGTACTCTGAAGAGGAGCTATCAGAAGCTCGGATGATTGGGATTTTCGAGCAGAACCCACGAGTGTGTGCAGAATACGAGAAAGCCGCATGCCGAATCCCCGTGCAGGCTACATGGTAATATGCAACCCAAATAATAGCAGCTGACCCACCTTGACAAAGCTCACCTTTGTACAAAGACGCCTCTCAAGCCCTGAAGATCTTTGATGGAGAAAAGCATAAGACGACCGGGTTCCTACGCTTCGCCTTGACATTATCACGGGCTGCGTAGCCTCTCCATGCGGGCGTCCCGTTGACATAAATGCAGGGTGCTGTGGGCTACCGTTTCGTGACCACCGAATCGACTTTATACATGAGATCTTGTAAGTCATGGAGATATTAAAGCGGTCGCACAACATCTCCTGAGCGTCGACGGTATCACACCCGCACACCTTGATGCAGGCCTCTGCAGTCTAGCGGACGCGGCCAGATCGGCGGCTCGTCCCCTCAGGCTGGGCTGGCTGCTTGGCCAAGCTGGCTCGGCCCACCAGATCCGATCCTCCCTTCGTCTGCTGCGCGATCTGCACATGATAAGGACGTTGCATCTGCCAGACAGGGCGACGCGGCCGCTGCCCAGGGAGGCCAGCCTGTCTAATATAACTGAACCAGTTCAACACTCTCCTCGTTTTGTCAAAAGAGCATTGAGACAACGCTGGATCACTGCGCACATGGAACTCAAATCACCGTTGTCGTCGTCGGCCTTTTTTGTCGTCATTTCCCCGTCAGCAATGGTTCGGCCGGACCCGTTCTGATGCAGGTCGGACTTGCTGGCGCGCTCCACATCTCACCACCTGGATGGAGGCTGTGGGAACGGTTGGGATGATGTGCGTTGCTGCCAACGGTGCGACTCTTGACCCATCCATTCTGTCCATACGAGGTGATCGCTGGCCGACGTCTAGTTCAATCCGCTCGTGATGATGCAGCTATATAATACAACTCTGCTGGCCAGAGCCTCCTTTCTCAACCGCCACATGTGAAGAGTGAGCGTGCATTGTGTACGTACATTGACAGTTCATAGTAGTCATGGTATTACAGAGATATAGCATTGTCTGAATTGCCTAAAGAAGACGAGGAAAGCCCCCGACATCTCGATCGAGCGATCCACTTCGCGGAGTGATCTGGGATCCCCAGGCCCGCTCGACATGGGGAGCTTGAGTTTCCATGGAAACTGGCCAATGTGAATGTCGCAAGGGGGAGGAGCAGTAGCTTGGATTTCCAAGAAGCTCCCGAGGCCCGACCTGGCCACTCTCTTGCCAGCGAGTGGGCAGGGGTTTAATTGAAAGTCGCATCGCACCAGCGCTTGCCAATACTTTCTGGACCGGGTTTTTGGGAATCCCATGTATATATAGATAGTAGGCGCCAGCCGTGTGCCAGATGTCGCCATTGATTGACCAGAGAGGTTTGAGACTCCGTGCAGACGTCAAGACATCTGCTGGCTGGCCGTTTCAAGCAACTCCAGGCGCCTACACCCGACAGCTGCCGACCGGACCGTCAAAGCGCGGAGCTCCACGCGTGCGCAGCTGAATCCCGCCCGAGAGCAATTGAATCCATCTGCCTGCTTGCTTGCGTCGGATAGCGGTGTTCGATCAAACCGGTGCAGTCTCGCCCTGTCTTGCCACACCAGACGACCAGCCAGCCTGATCACTTGATTCAAGAGTCGATCCTTGCATTCCAGGTTTTGTTGTGGGGGTAAACTGCCTCGAGGTTGTCTTATCCTGTCAGGGGATCTGCGATAGTATCTTTATACAGAGTAGAACAACGCATTGACAGAGGAGAGGGTATTGATTGGAGCACGTCAGAACTGAAGGGTATTATCGAGGGCGAGGGCGAAAGGCTATCAATGCATCTGAGCAGCTGAGTAGGATGAACGGTGCAGCGCCTATGCCTGTGTTGGTTGTCGAGGTTGGCCCAGAAAGGTAGACAGACTAGTGGGCAGAAATGAGTGGATCGCACACTCCCACCGAGTTGGTCTAGCTGCAGCTACGCCGTACTGCGAAGACTAATAAGTCGTCGAGCAAGCAACTCCCGTCCTTCCTCATGGATCTCCTGGCCTGCCTGGGAGACCTGACACTTTTTTGCTGGGTGCCAATCGCCGGCCATGCAAGCACTACCAGGCATGGCGGTCGGACGACACTAACCAGAGTTAGTTGGTGAACTGATACCTCAGCCTGGTCTTGTCCCCAACTGCCCAGGTGCACCTGGGCAACTGGAACGGAATGCCTGGGCGCCAGCGCCAGTGCCAGCGCCTGCACCCAGCACCCAGCACCCAGCTTGCCCTCCTCGCCCTCCTCCCTCTTACTCTGCCTGTCAACTCCCTGCTGAGACGGCATAATCCTCATTCCCGGCCTCTTTTGAGGCGTTTCCCATCCTTGGTCGAACGTGGTTCTCCTTTCACGATCTCTGATGCGAAAGGCGCCTACCCAACCCTGTCCCCGACTCAAGCAAAGAAAGGTCTGCCTCGGGGGTGCGGACGCACGAGTTGCAAGCGCAGCTCAGTGCAGTACATCAACCACTAGGCGCCCGGCCATTTTTACCGAGCCGTCGTCTCATTGGCACCACCAAGAAACTTCTTACCCCGATTCCCACTTCTCGACCTGGTCTCTGGCCGTGAACAACCCACTTTGACGACCATCAGCCCAGCCTCCGTCAAACCTCATGTCAAGATCGATAAGCATGTCATCGGCGTCGACCCAGCAGCCTGAGGCTGTGGCCGACAAGGTCCTCAAAAGGGCTGAAGTGGGCAAGGTAAGTCTCTGCTGCCGCTGCCGCTGCTCTTCACGGCCAATTTCCCCCCGGAGCCCTCCCTCCCTTCGTTTGTCTGTCCACCTGGGCATGGGCATCTCGTCCCCGGGCATCAGTAGCCGCTGACCATGGGCCCATCCTACCTCTCAGATGGCCCGCCAACTCCAGAGCCGCCTGGCCCTAGCACAATTCAAGGCCAAGCGAGGCTGGGAAGACCTATCACTCGACGTTATCGAGCCCAAGATCGAGGAAGAGCTGCGCCAGCGGAAGGCTGCCATCCGCCGCAGACGCATTGCCGACGGTGAAATCCTGTCCGACTCGTCGTCGAGTGCATCCGACCTGCCATACCCCACAAGAGCCCTGATGAGCTCTCCGCTAAAAGCACCCTTTTTTTCCGATGCCATCGGCTCCAGTAACGGCAGCACCGGCCACCGCAAACGCACATATATATCGAGCTTCGACGTCGATGTCAACCTGTCCTCCAGTCCCACCAAGCGTTATAGAGTCTCGCCCACAGCCCACAAGTCTTTTTCGAACCACGTATCGTGGAGTGACACCCACCAGTTAGCAAAGTCGTCGCCTATCAAGCAACGCCGCCAGACACACTTCAAGACCTCCAACGGGCCCGACGTGTCCTTTTTCCAGTCTTCAACAGGTCTCGACCGCAGTCTTGCTTCTCCCAACTTCGCCGCCCCCGATGACGATGATGATGAAGACCTCCTACCTGCCCACTCCTTCCAAGTGAATGGATCGAGGTCCTCGCCGCCCAGTACACCCCCAATGCGCAACCGACGCCTCCCCCCGAACAACGCTGGCAAGGACGGTGCCAACTTTGAATCAAGAGACGAGGGTGCACAGCTGCTACTATACATGAAGTCGTCACCAACCCCAGCCAATCTACCTCCCAGGAGTCAGATGGAGCCGCCTTCCACGCCACCCCCGAAGCACCTTGGCTTCACACCACAGGCAATGTCGACACCCAACCTGAACAATCCCTTGTTCCCCCACACGCCAGGCCAGGGCTTTGACTTTGCCGATTACCTCACCTTCACGCCCAGTCCGGCGCAGAAGTCTTGGAAGACCCCCAATGGCATTGGATCTGGCAGGACTCCCCGGACCGTGGCGAGAAGGCGGCTCGGGGCTCTTGATCAACCATGATTACGGCCTAAGGCTTTAGGCCCTCAGGATCTCTCGTATTGTCCTGTTCTACGATTAATCGGCCGAGCATCTACCGCCCCGGCGGCCGTCTCATTTCCTATGTACATGATACCTGGGCTGCAACAAGCCCCCGGGACCCGACCAAGACCGCCAAAATACCTGCGAGCCCTCCGTTACTTTATGTTTCTTTCCGAGCTGCCCCCAGTATTGCGTAATCATTTCCGGCCCGATGCACCAACCTCTATTCTCGTCTCGGAGAGACGCACACGAGCAGCAAGATGTCAGCCAGCCGAGTGCACACACGCCCCATTGCACCGACAGGGCTTCCCACGGATTATGCCCCTGCCATATTATGCGTTTTTGCTTCTGTACGAATTTGCATTTAGGATGGATAGGAAGAAAGGATTGGAAGAACGAATCAATGATACTAAGTTTTGGATCAGTCAGAAAAAAAATCGAAGGAGCTCAGACGTTGCATTGGGGGAGGGAGGCTGGAGGAAGGAAGGAGGGAAGAAGGCGCGGCTGCCCCTCATCGAGGTAGGGAAGCTGTTTCGCCCAGGGAGACGCGCACCGCGACTTTACGCGAGCAGGTCGCGGCGGGAACCTTGTATTTAGCCAATCAGAGCCGGCGTGTCCCTCCAAGTGGAGAGCGGGATGACGTCAGCGAGCCTCGGCGATGGTCGATCGGAGTTGCTTAGGTACCCACATTTGCGAATGACTAAGTTGAGCTTTGAGCTTCTCGAGCTTTGATGCGTGCGTCCTGAGAAAGAGTTCGTAGACGTGATGAGACGTCGGCGGTGCCGTGTCTGTCCTGTTTGATGTCCTGTGCCACGCAAGGTCTTGAAACTGAAGCGTCGACTTCGGGATGTAGGACTGCGGTGTCAGGAGGCTCTTTCGGCTCCGCAGGTCTTATAACCTTTCATCAACGCAACGTCTGGTATCTCTTATTCCCCATAGAACACTCTCAGTTTTCTTTTCTTCGCGACTAGGCCAGGCGACGCGTCTGAGAGAAGACTCATTTGACAGAGCTTATTCTATGTCCCCGTTTAGATACTGCTCTTCATTGCATTGTTCCCAGGCCATTCCTAGGTGCGCTGGCTTTAGCCATGCCGCTTCTCAATTCGCGCTCGTTGTTTTCATGAAGTCCTTGTTTTTGTTTCCGTGATATTCGCACCTGCTGAGCAAAATCACTGTTGCAGGTGCTCATCGGACTTTACCTGTCTATTTTCTCCATTCTCTAACTAGGTACTCTGATCCCCCGAACGCTGCTCCTAAAAAGCCCGGGAGGGCTAGCCCGGCCTACAACTTCCCACTTCCCCTTCTGGCCTCCAAAAAAGAAAAGAAAAGAAAAGGGTCTCTCTAAACGACCAAATCCATCACCACGTTCATGCTCCTATAGGAATTTCTCCGCAGCTTATTCCTTCCCTCTTCTTCGCGTCCTTACACCGAGCCAGCGGACCTCAAACCACTCCATCCGGATCCCAGAGCTAACAGGCATGGAAGCCTTAGGCGGGGAGCTGGGCAGACTCTGGCGGCGAGTCCTCCTGCGACTCGGGTAGCTCAGGAGGCTCCAGCAGCGAGTCCTCTTCTTGTGACTTGGGGAGCACCGAGAGGGTGGGGTCCCCATCGTAGCGGACGCTGTACGTGCCACGTTGCTTCTCATCCCTCTCCCATCTGGAGTGTCCAAACTCGTAGCCCATGACGGAGGCGTATGCGGCGAGCCATCGTCCCTGGCGCATGTGGACGATGTCCTGGGGCCAGCCATTGGAAATGCGATTTGCCACATCGTACGACGTCATCTCGTACTGTATGACCAACGCGATGGTCAGTTCCTTCGAGGCCGAATTCTCCGCCAGGTCCGCCAACAAGGCCCAGTATGCACGGTCAGAGGAGTGTTCCTCGATGGTATGCCAGATTCGAGTCTTCGGGTCCATGGCCTGGACGTCTTCGATTGGGCAGGGGCAGTGGGTAGTCAATTCGTCGTCACTGAATGGACAGTAGCTCGACTTGATGAACTCATAATCCCATGGGAACGTGATCTCCAGTAGCTTGAGGTCGGGCATGTTGCGGAGCTGGCGGAAGCATTTGTACACAGCACGGTCATAGTTGTACTCTCCAAGAACGCGACCTCGCTCCTCGTATCTGGCTCGGAAGCCGTATCTCGGGGGACGCATGCCCCGGCGTGCCATCAGTTGCTCGAAGTTCTTCCATCCTGTCTTGGAGGAAAGGTCTTGGCTGTATCCGTACGCACGGTTGGGTATCTGAACCGTGATATGTTTGAGAAAACTACAGTTGGCTGACCTGATTGTGTGCATGAAAGCCGCCATGACCTGGAAGCCGTTGACGTAACTGAAGCGGAAGTTGTTTCCCCCGTAGAAGAATTCGCGGACCTCATCGCAGACTTTCTTGCAGACGCGCATCACTCGCAGGCCTCTCTTCTGAGTGGCGTACGTCAGGGCTGAGTTCTTGGCCCGGCTGCCCTTCTCAGCCCACTGCTTGGGGGCCCAGAGTTCGAAGAAGTTGTCAGGGACTTTGAATAGGTGCTTGTAGACTTGAAGGCGAATCTCTGCAGGGAGGTCATCGCAGAAGCTCAGGGTCTGCTTCTGCGTGGGCTGTGGATGAATAGGTTAGAGCTCATCTCTCCTAGAAAACTGTATTATAAGAGGGAGATATTGTGATACTAACAAAGTCTCTCGCGAATTTTCTTTCACCAAAAAGCACCTTGTACTTCTTGTATGGCTTGGCCTCCTCCTTGGTGCATATCAGCCAAGCCTCAGTGGCAGGCTTGCTGTTGCCCGTGGCATTCTTAGTTCTTGATGTAGAGATTAGTGTCGAGAACAGAGAGAACCTAAGGTTGGCATCATGTTGGAGAGCCTGGACATACCCTTGAGTCTTGGGCAGCACTGCCCAAGAGGGCTCATGGCTCCAGTCCCATTGCGCGGAGTACCAATCTGACTTGAACTCCATGTCGATGGTTGTTTCAGATGAGGTTTATTCTCTTGTCAAGGATTGAAGGAATGTGTGTATAGGGCCTGACTTGTCCCGAGGCCTTTGGTGAGAAGGGTAGGTAGGCTGAAGAACCAAGGACGTCGGGTGCCAAGAGCGGTCGAAAAAGGCTGCCGGGTTGATCTCTTTAAGTAGTCTTCTAGATCAAGTGACAGTGAATACTCGTAGTGAATCAGAAAAAAGTTATATGGTCAGAAGTTCACCGACAAGGGGACGAATAACTCCCCTCATGCGAAATTGATCAAAATTCCCTGGCTATACACATGCCTTTGATTGATTGAATGAAGAAGACCAAACGATGTGGCTATGGTTTGTACAACTTGTGATTGTTTATCATGTGTTCAATTCGTAGGAAGCACTATTGAATTCGGCCATTAAAATACTGCCCTAGCAGAAAAATACTAAATTATTTTTGTTTTGAATGTGGGCACGGATTGAACTGGCCACGCTAGGTTCGTCTTTAAGGATGTGGTTGATCAATGTAAGAGTGATCCGGCGCGAAACTACTATAGAGACTATCTCACAACAACGTATCCAAGGCGTGTGAGCAGCGCACAAATTCAATAATGATTGGCTCAGAATTGATCAAAGTCCTTGCATACGGAGCCACTTTAAGGAGTGAAGACTCTTGAAATGAATCTGGAAAAACAGGATGATGAGCAATTCCGTCTAAACAATGTGAAGGAAGATGGGAATTGAATTATTTATAAATTGAATTTGTGACATTCCCTCCTACTGACTGTCCGCCGTGAGTCACCCGTGTAACATGTTGCAAGGTTGACGTAGGCTGGACCAAATGCAAGCAATACTGTATGTACGGCTGCAGCAGAATATAACAGTTAAGACTGTACGAATGGAGGAAGGCAAGCACGGCAAACAGAGGTGGAGGATTGGTATTTACCCAAAGATGATGACAATGTTGACGTATCTTCCAGCTTTGCTTGTACAACTCCATCATAAGCTGACTCTTGTCCATCATAGTTCATGTCCCCCTGCTTGTGACTCCAGTTATATGCCACCCATGGTTCTCTCCCACACAAGCAAGTAAAGCCTTGTCAAAGCACGGTGATCTGAACTTGATTCAAAACTCAGCTTGTCAGCAATACTGAGCTCCAGCGAATAGGTGACAATAACTTGAAAGATCTCTGCATAGCTTACAAAGAAAGAGATCAGGTCTACAACCTAAGATGTCCCAAATATCTAGAACGACCAGTAGCTAGGTATCTTGAACAGCTATCAATTGGACTTGGGAAATAAAGACTATGGACATGCGAAGAGGTGTGAGGTACAAAATCTGCAGCAGAAATATCATAGAAAGTCATAATAAGACAGAATACCATATTCTGGTGAAAGGCGAGCTGCGAAGCTGCTTCTAAAGCACTCTACCTACTTACCTCGCTCTAACCAGCCGTGGACGGTCAATTAATCAGCCACGTCCTTTATGGACCCATCACGGCACCCCTAAAATGGCATACACCCGCCGGACTTGCCCTCGATGGCTTCTTCCAAGCTTGAATGCCATCTCAGCGTAAGTTCTGAAAGATAATCTTGAGTGACAAGACCTTCTGAAAAGCACTCTACAATCTGGTCCTCCCCAAATATGAGACTGGCCAAATTCGTGTCGCCATCCAACTCCATGTGGGCGGATGAGCTCTGAGTGCTTCTAAAAGGGCTATCTCCTATCTTCCTACAGATTCCCTCCATCAAGCCGTCGGCTCACGACAAGGAGATCTTCCATCTGTGCATCTACTGGGCGAAGCATTCTCGTGCAACGCCCCATCAATTGGACTCATCCAGCAGCCTCTCAAGCACACCCAGCTTGGCAAGTTTCTCGACCCACTTGTTGGCGAGCGGCATATAGTTCTTCTTGCGTCCTGTGCAGTTTTCCTCGACATCGTGGATCTGGTGCATCTCTTGGTTATATTCGCTCTGGATCCTGGCCTGCTCAGTTTCCAGACGCCGCACAAGCTCGAGTTTTGAAGGGCCATCAGAGCCCGCCAGTCGTGACTCGTCTGGCTCAGTCTCGTCAAGCATCGCCCAAGACACACCATATTGCCGTAGCTGAGCCTCGTTGACATTCTCCAGGTAGAAACGGCCCTCAACTGGCTCGGGCTTGGTGTCGTCGGAGGCTGCTGCTCGCGCCGCTGACAAGGTCTTGATGTTGACGGCAAGCTCCTTTCGCAAAGCCACAGTGGGGCTTTGGCAAATGGCAAGGATGCTTGAAAGGTCCCCGGCGACAGAAAGCTTCTTGACGAGTTCTTCGATGGCGAGAGGGATCCAGGTCTCTGCCGACGCCTCGCCCAGACAAACGGGGTTCCACTCCAGTCCATCCAGAACCCAGACCTTTCCATCCAAGGGGACGAATGCCTTGTAATGGCACGATTCTTCATGCCTTTTCTTCTTGGGGTTGGGACGCTTCTGTGCCTTTGTCTTCCGCTTGCCACGATTCTTTGGAGGGCTTTCGGCCATCGGCACACCTTTGCATTCCTCGTACTCATTCGAGAGCAGGAGATCTGCATTCAGAAGCTCGAGGCGCCGGGCGTATGCATTGTGAATTGTCCGCATGCTTGCATCTGACTCGAGTCGGTAGCCGCGCTGGAAGGATGGGAGGTCTTGTGTCGTCTTCTTGAACTCGCTCAGCTTCTCCCCAAGTTGGACTTCTGGCGAGTTCATGAGAATGTTGAGCAGAGCTACAGTGGCGCACCCGTTTGCCATGGTTTGATTCGCAAACCAGAGGGATTTCGGGGCTTCTTCAGTGTCCTCGTCATCCTCCTCGGCATACTTGCACAGAAGGACAAAGCCGAGTACGGGTTGTGGGAGGAAGTCAACCTCGTCTACTGAGAACAGCTCGGTCACCCTTAAGTCTTGAGCGCCGAGGTCTAGAAGCAAGCCGTTGAAGAATGCCTGGGGTGAATTAGCGACGGAATGTGAACTGCAGCAGGGTGCAACTACGTAGTTGTGACCAAGACTTACGGGATCAGATTCGATCTCCACCCAGGCCTTCCACTCGTTCTGCTCAACGTCCCTGATGGGTGCCAAGGCATCACGCAGCAGGTCCTCAGGGGGAATGCTCAAGTTGTGTTCAAGCGTGCTCTCACTGCGAGCCGCCTCTGAGATGACGGTCGATGCCTTGGTGGCAGCGCCCCGCTGAGGTCGGGTTCTCTTTTGCTCCGGCTGGGTATCACCTGAAGAGGAGGGGCTTGGCCGCTTAGTGGCCATCTTCGAAATTGTGAGCAGTGCTGTTCGGTTTAGAGACGATACGGTAGGCACCCAAGTCGTGGGATGAGTTCCAAACGGCCCAACAGGACGTGATGGGCGTATCGGTGTTGTCTTTTTGGTGTAGACAGGGGTTCAGAGAGACACAATAAGACTCCTGTGTTTGTTGGCAGCTAGGTGGAAGTGGGAGGTTTGGCTGCGCCTCAGGTTGCTCAGGGACAATGAGAGGCACTGTAGTGTAATTTCTTGAAAGGGATAACTGCCGCCCAAGGTTCAAAGTTCACTTATCGATACGGCCTACAGAGAGATTTGTTGAAAAGATGCTGCATCATCTTGACAGTCACTTGTGTAATGGGTACTTGATAAAGGGCGGCCTCAAAGCTGGATATTTGCAGGAGAGAAGGTGCTGTAGCAAATCTGTGGATTGCTGCAGCTATGCCAGAACAATGAAGCAGTCAAAGCCGGACAGAAGGCCACAGGCTTGGATGGTCAGAAATGAGGCTCAGTGCAAAGCTGGACCTGGTTGAAAGACAAAGAGTTCCACTGGTCGATTCAATTCCACACAGCGGCATTCATTCTTATCCATAATGAAAGGACAAGTGATGGACAGGAGACATGAGACTAGCACCCTGACACAGACGAGCTATGGCAGGTAGGAGAAGCTCGAGTGAGGTGGAATGCGCAGGTACTTGGGTACCTATGTACACTTGCGCAACGGTGACATCCAATCCAATCATTGGAGACCGCCACGAAGCAGGGGACTAAGGGGCCCACTGTACAGCTACACCCCTGCTCCTAACCCGCCCATGCCCTGCTGCGCTGCGAGAGCCGGTCGTTCTTTTTTTCAAGGCGCGTCAACTGCCCTGTGTTGACGTCGCGGGACTGGTTGCCAACCAAGACTTCTGGACACGCCCACAAAGCATCCCGAACCCCCAAGGCGAACAGCACAGCTGGAAGCTCTCTCTGGCTCGAACGGATTCTTCTCGACTTGCGATATGATGACCTAGCAGGAAAAGTGCGCCGACTCTCCCCTGTTTATCTGCCTCGTCACAACTTGTTCCCTGACCATCTTTACAGCTATCGGCCGCAGAGAGCTTACCACGACACCCACAACCACCACGACCACCATCGTGTACGCCTTACGCTGATCGATCTTGCTTCCCTCGACAGTAATGCTATGAATGAAACACCAGAAAGGGTCACGGGGGCGTACCCCGCCACCCCTGGCACGAATGTCCGAGGCAGAGCTCCTCCCACACCAGATGGAACCCCCGAACGAGCGCTGCCCAACAGAGGGCCAGCGGCAAATCCTCTACCACTGGCCCCCGAGAATCAATCACGACAACAACCCGGGAGCAATCCGGTGATACCACTTACCATCCTCGATGCGCCTACACAGCGCTTTTATGCCTTCGGGTTTTACATAGCCCTTGTGGCCTGGAAGCTCTACGAATGGGTGGGCTTGATGGAGGACGAGTCCAACTCGGTCTGGCTGTTCCTCAAATGGAACGTCATCGACCTCATATTCATCATGGGCCTTCCTGAGCTTAGGATTCCTTGGCTGGAGCTGACACAGCCTGCATGCCTTGTCTTATTCTTCGGACATGCCATTTTCAACTTCGTCCTCATGTTCAACATCACGGTAGGCATCCACGCGCCCCAACTCCCGAACCTTCGTCGCTGACTCTCATAGGCTGGCTTTACGGCTGCGCTTCTTGCTTTTCTCAAGGTCTTTTACGATCGCGAATTGGCCATATCCGAGCATTACGTCCAGCCGGCCCATGTCTTGCACAATGCGTCTGTTATCCTAGGAAAACAAATTATCAACATTTTGCCCGAAGGGTATGTTCAATGCCCCCATGGCCACACGTGGTGTAGCTAACGACTTGCAGCTCTGCCGTCCTCAACCCTGATGGCCAGGCCTTTTGCCTTGGAGACTCTCAGCCTACGATCACGTTGCCCCTGCTGTTCAACGAGACTGTCCCGATCGAGGTTGAGATCATACGCGTCGACCTCGAGACCAATGTTCAAGAGACCTTAAAGCTCGGCAAGGACCAGATCAGGACTATCACGAAGATGGCCAAGAGACTAGCGGACAGTCCAGAAGAATCCGAAGTCAAATTCGACTACCCGGTCAAGAAGCCCGGCGTCTATAGGCTAGGGAGGGTTCTTGACGAGTACAAATTGGAGGTGCAGCGCTTGACTGGGAACACATTTGTTGTCCCGTGTCCAAAAGCTCGAGTCCTGCCCTCGGTGTCCTCTGATCGCTGCCTGGGCGACCTGTCAGACCTGTCGCTACAGGTGGAGGGTACACCTCCACTGAAAATTGTCTATAGCCAGATGATCAATGGCAAGGACCATAGCTTCCACTTCCAGAGCTTGCAGCCGGAAGGCTTTTCATCTCCGCTGATGGGCTCGAGCAGGTCGTCGGCCCTGGTCCTTCCCGACGACGAGTCGTATGTCACATGGGCACGAGCACAGGTAGTGACGGTGGGCTTGAACGAGTCCATGAACTCCGGAGGAGAGTGGCAGTATTCCGTGGACGAGGTCCAAGACGCTTTTGGCAACGTCGTCAAATATGCCTCGCCGGCGGATGACCCAGAGATGCGACCGAAACCCAAGCATCTAGTACAGCAATTCAGCGTCAAGGACCGGCCAACGGTGAGCCTTTTCGATTGCAATATGCGCCATCCCCTCAAGGTTGCGAAAGGCAAATCTACGAGCCTGCCTGTCAAGTATGAGATCGCGGAGCAGAAGAGCACCAAACATACCATCACCTGGCTCTACTCGCCTATCGACACACTCACAAAGAATGGCGACCACGGGGAAGCAGTGACGACGGGTACGTACCACGCAAAGAAGGCAGACGACGTGCCAAGTGTTTCGGCACCTGGACTGTACACCCTCAAGTCTGTCTCGGCTGGCGTTTGTGAGGGCGAGGTGCAGGAGCCGTCATCGTGCCTCCTGTTGAATCCGCTCGAACCGAGCCTCGTACTGCGGTCGAGCGACATCCCAGACAAGTGTGCAGGTAACTCCATCGGTATTTCTGTGGACTTCGACTTTGTTGGCACCCCACCTTTCGTTGTTAACTACAAGGCAATTCACAACGGATCTCCCGAGAGGAGGAGCTTCAAAGCTACTAGCATGAGGCATCAAGAGGAGTTCATCCCCACCGTCGCAGGGACACACAAGTATATCTTTGAGAGCATCAGTGACAGGGTATACCCTTCGCAACAGCTCAGCGGGCCGGGCATGACCCTGGAAACCACTGTCAAACCTGTGGCCTCGGCCAGCATCCGCAAGCCTTCTCAGGTTATCAACGCGTGTCTGGAGGAGGAGGTTCAGGTTGATGTGGTACTGCAAGGCGAAGCACCTTTCACCCTGGAATGGGAGCTCGTCCACGACGGCAGGAGAAGGCAACACAAGATCTCGGATATCCAGGACAAGAACTTGAAGATCCAGACACCGCCGCTGACTCAGGGTGGAGAATACTCAGTCGCTCTGATTGCTATCACCGACACATCAGGCTGCCGTTCTTTCTTGCAGGATGAGATGAAGATTTCCGTCCGGCGCCAGCGGCCTCGGGGAGCATTTGGCCAACTGGACGGCAAGTTCAGGACGAGGACCTTAGAGGAAGCCAAGGTCAGGCTTCCCGTCCGTCTGAGCGGAGAAGGGCCTTGGGACGTCTCCTTCAAGAACTTGGACGACGGTGACACGGCGCAAGTCAGCAAGCGCAAACTCAAATCTGGCAATGATTTCTTGACTGTGGACAGACGCGGAGTCTACGAGATCGTCGACGTATCTGATAACAAGTGTCCTGGTGTTGTCGACCCTAGAGCAGCACAGTTCGAAGTCGACTGGCTTCCTCGGCCAGAACTTGGCCTTGTGCAGACCCCCAGCATCTCGCTGGACCGCGAATACGTCTACTCTAAGAACGAAGTCTGTGAGGGAGACATTGACGGTTTTGAGATTGCTCTTAAGGGTGAGTTCTCGTATTCTTCCCACCCCCGCTCACCTTCCCCCCCCCTCTTTGATGGTGAACAGACTCGTTGATATACTGACCTGATGCAGGCTCGCCACCATTCCATGTTGAGTATCAAGTTAAGCACAAGGATGACAACGGTGGTATGTCCTCGCCGCACAAAAAGACAGTCGATGCCGCACTTGGCAAGGCCTCAATACAGATGGACACATCAACACCAGGCCTCTATGCATATCAGTTCACTGGGGTACAGGACAGCGTTTACGTGGACAACAAGAAGCTCAATTCCGTTACGTTACACCAGACGGTCAACCCCAGGCCCGATGCGTCATTCATCAAGCCCGGTCAAACGTACAAATCCTGCATGGCAGATCAAGATATCGAAGAAACTATACCCATCGAGCTCAAGGGCACTGCACCATTCTCGTTGGAGATAGAGATCAAGCATCAATCAGGCGCCGGCTTGGAGACCTACAGAATTCCGTCCATACCGACAAACAAGTTCGACATCCAGATACCCCGGCAGTATCTCAAATTGGGTGGTCAGTCAGTCCGCATCCGTCAGGTTGGTGATGCTCATGGTTGTCGACGGACCTACGATACTGGTGGCCCATCTGTTCAGGTTCAACTCTTCGACGCACCAACTATCTATGAGCTTGAAGGTAGACAGGACTATTGTGTGGGTGAGCGTATCGGGTATACACTGTCCGGCACGCCGCCGTTCGAGGTTTGGTACACCTTCGATGGCCAGCAACGCAAAGCCAAGTCTCCGACCACCAGTTTCCGCCGCTTGGCCGAGTATGCCGGCACCTTCGCTATCACGTCGATCAGCGATCGAGCATCCGAGTGCAACTCCAACGTCAACATCACGAAGATCATTCATCCGATGCCATCTGTCAAGATTTCTAAGGGAAAGACATCGCGAGCATCTATCCACGAGGGCGGAGAGGTGAACATCCTTTTTGAGTTCACCGGCACGCCGCCATTCGAATTTGTCTACACGCGGAGCACGAACGCGAAGAAGGGCCAGCGGAGCCAGGTCCTTGAGACGAGGGCTGACATGAGCTATGAGTTTTCGAAGGTGGTCAAGGCGAGCCAGGAGGGTACATATGAGGTCATCTCAATCAGAGACCAGCATTGCTCGTTCCAGACGGCCCAGGTCCACGGGGAGACGAGCGATAAGCTGTTGCAGTACTGAGTTGTCCGTGGATTGGAAGTGAGATATAGTGGTGGACCTGAGACGAGGAAGACGATGGAAATGGATTTATCATAAATACCCAGGCAGTGTTGGGGGGAGTAGATCACGGTCCGGCTAGGATTGCATGAGCATGGCGTTTTTTCTATGTTGTGTTCTTTTTATGGGAGGCACTTGTTGTGCTTTGGAAAAAGAATGGATCTGTTTGTTTGACACAGCCGCGAAGCAAGCAGTGCCTGTGCCTCTGAAGCAATGCTGTCCCAAGGTCGATTGAATGTGACGTTTACAAGAGGAATCGCCTTCGTTTCCCAATGCACCGGCATGTGGTTACAGTCAACAAAGGTATGTCCGATCATGGTACTCTGTGGCTCGAGCTTCAATTGACGACAAGATACATTTCCAGAGTTTTTGGCCTGCTCAGAAGACGTGTGGTGCATACGGCTTTTGACGCCTTCCTCTCCGTCCTGAGGATGTGTTTAGTTGCGTGAGCGGGAGCGGATTTCTCCGTGAGCGCGTCTCGGGTCCTGTGCCCCAACGTTTTGATGGCAAGGTTTCTCCGCGAAGCTCGGTCACCCTTCATTTCGACAGAGCGTACAAGCTTGATGGATTTCGCCTTGCGACGCCCACGATTTGCTTCAGACTCAGGGCGAGCCAAACGCACTACTTTGGCCAATGGCCACTCTCGCCGGATGGGAAAACACCAAGACTAATTGCAGAGTAGTGCATTATAGATGGGATATTATCCTCGGCCAGAGATAGCTCTAAGCGATCTGGTATATCTAAGCCTGGCAGACTACTCTGGTCTACATTCACTCTTGGGCGTTATATTATCTCGATAACCCCCGAACCTCCACTCATATTTGACGTCGTACTGTGTCTCCTCCTCACACCGAACAGCTTTCCCCCCGACCTGCCACCGCTCTCTTTTCTCTTCGACTTGCCACCACCACCTCCCGGGCCCGGAGCATTGGCGTCGTCTCTGAGGGATGATTCATCTACATGGCTTCTTGGAAAGACTCCGAATTTCCCTTTCGAAGTCGACCCGCTCCAACACCATGCCTCCTTGCCCGCGTCCACCGGCCATCCCACATTCGTCAGCTTCTCGCCCTTATCAAACCCGAGCCAGCCCTCCTTAGCGGCCGCGCCAGGGTCGAACTTCCACTTCGCCACCACGACCACTCCACTTGCCCCGATGCCGTGCAAAAGAGGTGGTGCGTCGAGTCTTCCCGGCTTTGGCTTCTCCAGCTCGATGCTCTTGGCGGGGAAATACCCCCATGTCCCATCGTGCCACCCTGTGCACCACTTCCCGGCGTACTTCCCTGGATACTCGACCCCAACAATCCGCGAGCCCTCGAAGAACTGGAGAAGGCTGTCGGAGTTCTTCCCATCCGGCTTGGGGAGTTTCTTCTCCGCGTACCGCTGAACATGGCCCTTCACGGCGGTCGCGACGGGCAGCTTGGCCACCTCAGGCGCCACCTCAGGCGGAACGCCGCCGGGCTGGGGCGGCTCGGTGAGCCACAGGTCGAAGTCGTTGACCAGAGGGTCCGTGGTAAGGATCTCCTTGCCATACAGCACAGTCAGACCCGAGACGTCCGGCAGCGGCTGCGGGTGCGCGGCCAGATGGCGGAAGAGGTCATCGCTGCTCTTGAAGACGGTGGCGTCGCCCTCGCGCACGACACAGCCCTGCTGCGCGCAGAACAGGCAGCCGTAGAAGGCCTCGCTGGGCCGCGGCGCGCCAAGGTGTGACTTGTAAAGCAGGCGGATCCGGAACAGCACGCCGCCGGCGCGCGGGAACGTCGCGCGCGGGAACTTGTCGCGCACGTCCAGGTCCAGCTCCGACCACGCATGCCCATATGAGCACCCCGCGCACCGCGCCGTCGCCGTCGACTGCCCCGCCACGTGGCCTGCCAGCTTGCGCACGCCGTCCTCGTGGCCCGACGTCCGGAACTGCTGCGCCCCCGGGCAGAAACCGCCCAGCGCGTACAGGCTGCTTCGCGGGCCCATGGCCACGTCCGCCTCGCGGGGCTGCTGCGAGCCTGCGGAGAAGTTGGCGGTCGAGGCGCGGTCCGAGACAGAGAGGACGGTGCGTGTCGCCCAGTCCTCGGAGGAGGGCCCGGGCGCCTGCGTGGCCGCGTCGGGCAGGCGGTGGTGCTCTGGGTGCTCGAGAGCGGCTGGTGGGAGGGAGATGGGTGAGAAGGAGGCTTTGGGCTGGGTGCTGGGTGTGTCACCCGGTGTGATGGGTGTCCTGCCACCGTTGAAGGCCTTTGTGCTGTGGGCCGGGCCGGTCTGGATCGATGACATGCTGGTGGCGTGGCTCAGCGTCGCGCTCCGGGTTGTCTCGGGACTATTGGGGCCCACGGAGGGGCTGGTGTCGGCCGAGTCGTCGACGCCGAACCTGCTCAGCTCCGATATAATGGGCGTCAGTGCGGTGTCGAAGTTTATGAATGAATGCCCTGTCCTCCTGGAGGGCACGCTTGCGTTTACGGCGTGGTCTTCCGGGATGGTCGTCTGCTGAAGGCTTTGGATTGCCTGTAGGGAGTGCGGCTCGAAGCGTGAGGGTGGACGGTGTCCGTGGTATCGTGGATTTGATACTCCAACTTGGTCGCTCACCCAGGCGGTTGTCCTCGTGCCGGTTTGTGGCTGCGGCATGGGGAATTCGGGTATCTCGGCGGTGCTGCTTGCGTCTGTTGTCGTCAGGCTGGGCTGACGGACAAGAGTGGTCTGATACGGCGTTTGGGTGCTATGTATGCCCAGACTCGACGATGCTCGGCTCTCTGGCCGATCATATGCGGTGTTATGAGTTATCTGCGGAACAGGAGGCGCCTCACCGTCTGCTGTGTAAGCTGGTGGAGGCAGGCTACCAACACTGAAGGCACTGGACGCCCGCGAGTGTGCTGTGCCATTGCTCCTCAGACTGCGCTGGGAGCCCGTATTCAGTCTCGCGAGGTCACGCTTGGCAGGCGGCAGTCTGACACGGGATACTGGAACTGGCGCCTCGGATGCGTCGGGCGGCGGCACGGGTGTGCTCTGTTCAGTGCGGTCTGGAGAAGGCGTGCCTGACGGAGGCAGAGGGGCAAGTGCTGATGGCGTCGCTGCACGGCCTCCTTTCCTCCCTGGCGGCGTTGGTGGCCTTGGAGACTTTGGCCCGTGTCCCGCTCGCGATGGGCTCTTCAGGGGCAGCGGAGGTAGGGGAGGAAGGGGCGGGAACTTGGAGGGCGGTGGCGGCGAGTAGGGCGGAGTGATGGGCGTGTCAAGCTTCATCTTCTTGATGATGTCGATCACGTCCATGGCGAGCGACTTAGTAGCTGCCTGCAACTCGGTGAAGCGCTCCGGCTCGAATGTATCTGGCTCGGCATAGTCTTCGAAGTCGTAGAGCAGATCGTCCAGCTTGCGCCGCTTCTCCTCGATGGCGGCATTCTGGCTCAGGCTGTCTTTGAATGCATCGCCGTACTTTTCGACCTGGCCGTCCCAGAGAGGCTGCAACCTCTTCAAGGCCCGCTCGCCTTCCCTGACGACAGCCACTCCGGCCTTGGCCATAAGTCGTGAGAGCTCGGCATCCTCACCTGCAGCACTTTCCGCGTTAGAGACCGCCTCCTTTCCTCGATCGACAACTTCCTGAAAAGGATTGAGGATCAATTCCTCGGCGTCGACACCCATGTTGTCCCTACGTCAATTGTGCTATAGGATGTGCGGACAGGCTTCTTTGCTGCGCTCGGCCCACGGACCGGGACAGGTGGTGCTGAGGGGCCGGAGCGGAGCGGGACGAGATGGAGCCCCAAGGCTTGGAAAATCGGTCAAGTCGGAGATCGTGCCGGATCTCGAACACAGTAACAATCACGGTGGAAGATGCTGCATCGAGCAGTTCGGACAATTCTCGCTGGACGTCCCGACTGCACGTCCTTTGGAAAGCAGTAACTGACAACGGACGAGCAAGAGATACAGGACTCCTCGGCTACAAAAACAAAATGGGTAGGAGACTCGGACTCGTTGGTTAGAAGAGGAGACCCAGTGTCCAATGGCTTGGCGGCGTGCATCTGGCCCCCAGAGGACCCCTGATACTTACATGGTCCAAAATTTCTCCCCAAAGCTTACATCCTGCCTGGCCTGCCCACCAGGCACGAGTCGCCCAGCTCAACCCAGGCGCACCCTGTCGGAGGATCCACCTCGCAGGGTATCATTGAGGAAAGCTGTGCATCAGACACGCTATTGGAGCGAACCAACACGGCTCGGTCGGCCATTCGGGCCAGCCTATGCCCTTCCTGCCTAGCCACTTAGACTTTGTGGCCCATCTCCTGCCCTCCACTCGAATCTTACCCAGACATTTGAATGGGTAAACGAGAGGTAGTTCGATAGATCCGCGGGTGTGACTGAGCAGGAATGCCCCAGTCCAGCGATGTGAGTGGCTTCTCACGCTGCGATTTGGTCGTGGGCGTTGCTGAAACGAGTGTGTGACATTATTCCGGATGCACATCTATCACATCACCGCTTCACATCCGCGGTCCTGGCTGTTATCATGCATTGCTGTCCGCGTCTATCGCCCTCGAAGGTAAGTGGGCGGGTGGCGTTTCTCAAATTTGATGGCATCCTTCAAACCCCTCTAGGCCCCCCCGTCGAGTTTGAAACTAAATCGCTTAATTACTTTCCGTCTCCCGTCCCGCATATCTTGCTTCGCGGCATCGAGCCTTCCGATCGCTTAGGAGCGTTGGCTACTCTCCAATGTTGATGTGGTGCAAGATCGAAGCCGGGTTGCCTGTGCAGCGACGTGGTGGCCAGATATGGATTGCTCCTATCGAACAGGTATGCCCCTGCAGTCGCCTATTGTTATTAGGTCAAAGTTTTGAGGTTGTTTGGTAGATGTACAATATGGCAAACTGGTTCCAATCAAAGCATCAGAATCAGGAACAACATTGAAGTCTCTCAGTGTGCCGCTCTATTTCATAGGTAAGAGCTTCCTTCGAACATCAGCTCCATGACACCAGGGATGCACTGAGTGGGAAAGCCAACGGGCATATTGGAGGCCAGTATCAGATCGATGTTTGACTCTGTTGAGTCACCCTTTGGTTCTACAAAGATGCTGGAGAGAGGCAAAAATCCAAAGCTCAGGCGCGTACGGGTGCATGATCTTGGTTGACGTACATGTAGTAAGGGACATCCTTGACTCCTTAGATGAGCTGTTCCTCTTCGTTTGTCTCTTTAATCATATAACGTAGCCGACTTATATGATCTTGATGGACTCAAGTCTCTTCATAGCAAGATGGATATCATCTCAATGCAGTGTTTGCTCAAGTAAGCCATATGAAAGCGTACTGAAACCATCCAAACATTGATTTTGTATCTTTACTGCTTTGATTGTGTGATATCTTGAATGTTGTTCGCTATCTGTACTCGGCCGATGTGATGCACTACGCCTGTGACAGATATTGTGCAAACACCGTCACATAAAGACTCACAGGTAGCGCTGGCATTCCCTATTGTTCATCTGTCTCCAAGCACTTTGTCTCGCATGCTGACAAGGGACTGATTGTTTATTGTTGACTCTTTAGCATCAAGACTTACGAAACTGACACCTACAAATGGATCAGACCAAAGGCTATCAATCATCATGCGCACATGTATACCTTTAAAGTTACCATTTACAGATGGAAGCCAAACCTTCTACTACAGATCGAAGCAAACGTTTAAATGAGGCCTCTAAAAAGGAAACCCATGGAAGCTTTTAATTTTGTCTGGCAGTACTACAAGCCTGCTGCAAGGTCACGACTTGCCTTACCTTTGAAACAGACAACAACTCTTCTTCGCAACCTGAACCAATACAAACAAAATGGAAGACCAGAATATGGACTCATCGAGCAAGGTCCTGCATTTTCAGGGCTCTCGCAGCACTTCGCCTGAGCAGCGCAACCCTTCAGGTACCCTTCCTCCTCAAGCTGCCGAAGCCCCCGAGTTCGTCCCAGGTGGGTCAACTCATCACTCTGTGTCACCTCAGCATACTAACTACCAGCAAGGTGACCAGAAGACTTCCGACACCAGCCCCGAAAAGGGAAAGTCCCCCAAGAAGAAGCTGAAGAAGCTCAAAAAGGCTGAGAAGAGGGCCGAGGACAAGGCTCAGAAGGAGAGGGCGATGGAGGAGGAGTGGTGGAGTGGTGATGACGTTCTCGTCCCCAATCTGAAGTAGTGCAAAGTTCTCCAGATTAAGCAGAGCCAAAAAGCAACCATTCTGATTGAAAAGCCTGCCTAGTTATGCAAGAGTACGTGGACTGATGCCTCGTCATCCGGGGTAGGGGGGGTTCCGATGGAGACATGATGTTTCTGAGACCGACCGGACCCCTCTACCTCAAAAGGAACATGCTCAAGAATCGAAGAAGGAAGAAGCCAGAGCGCCAATAACAAGAAGTGAAGAGTGAGGAGCTAGCTGTGGGCTTCAGACGATCAAGTATGACAAAACGATCTGAAGGCAAAGTGGCTAGCTGTAAGCCGTGAATCCTCATGTGGCAAATGGACGATTGAATTCCACAGATGTAATGCTGGGGTATGTGAAAAAGAATCTCTGTAGGTAATGCTGATCAGCCACCTCGTCGATCTCAGTGATAGGCTCACTACTCATAAGGTCGTTATTGGCCACCATGCACAATGATGTCCTACAAGGATTCATCGAGACCTGTCATAAGTGGCACTTTGTTTAGTATTGGACTACATGCAATTAGCCTTGACTCAATGAAAGATACTGTGATACCGGACATGGCAACCCGTTGGGGCTCTCCGTCAAGCATCATCGGCCATTTTGCCCATTTTGCCCATTTTGTGCGGCCGTAGATCTTATAGAGGAAGAGCAATCATGAACCACATTGGTCCGTCTAAGTTGTTCTCGCGGAAACAAGCTCGACATGTCTCCTCCACGATGTTTGCAACTCGTGCACCCCCAAAGATGGCAGCTTTTTTCGCATGGCAAAACAGTATTCGAAAGTATTTCTCATGTGCTTTCAGGACTTTTGTGCAGACCATCTCAAATAAGCTGATTAGTGGTTGGTTTGAGCAAAGAAATTTGCCAGGTCAACGTACAATCCTTTGTCTCCAATGTGTTAGATCGTGTTCCTTTCCGAGATCGCGACGCAGTCCTTAATGGCGAACACCCCAAAATAATGGGCAAGACACCTTTTTGTAGACATTGCCTGATTTCTGGCCGGAAAGTCCAGAAGGAGGCCAATCTCGCCCGCCACGGATGCAATGTAGAGGTCTCAACCTGTCCAGATCCAGATGGAAGAGGCACATCAAAGTGGTAAGAAGCGTAAAAATAGTCCGCCATGGGCTCCTCCCGTTGCAATGGCCCAGAGGATCTCAAGGCGGGCGGCGCAGTTGGGACAGCGGCTGGCTCAATGGTTCGCATTGGGGCCGGAACATGGGGCCACACCGCACACACACAGCTGCACACACCAAGTTTAATTTAAGCTCCCGGTCATTCCTGATCTCCGGCCGGGCAGCACCAGCCGCAGTTCGCAGCTGAAAGCCCAGCGCGCATTCGCTTTGATATTGAACCACCTCGATATTGAACATAATTGCCATTGCCCCTCCCTCTCTCATCTGTCATGCTTTGCCTCTCCTCATCAACGGATTGCCGCGCTTCTTACGCTTTTTTTGAAAGCTGACTGTCAGCCACACCCAATCTCTAACGATCTACTGTCAGCACGCAACGAACCTCTAGTCAGCGCCACATCGCCTGCACTTATATCAAACTTACACCCAGCAGCAATAAGTTACCAAGACGCATATGGCCCTGCCAACATCATCGCCCTTGGCCTCAGTGTCGGTTCCATCTCTTGGACGGAACGACCAGCGAAGGTGTACGATGGCCACCACCGAACCCATCTTTGCCCATAGATGCGCCGTGCCAGCTCCGCTTCGGATTTCCCCAAAGCCAGTCAGCAACCCCGGCCACAGACGCGCCAGTTCGGACCTGAGAAGCCCCCCCTGCCCATTGCGATCCAGGCTGCCGGGTCAGCCAGTCTTCGATCCTGCGGAAGGATTCAACCCCGAGACTTTGCGAACATCCAACAAGTGCAACTGTCCGAAAAGCCCAGCATCATCTCTCTCCTCGCCACTGTCGCCGCGGCAAAGCTTCCTCAGCGGCAACAGAGGCCCGTCTCTGGATTTCTCCTCGCTGTCCATGAGATCAGAGACTCTTCGTCATGAGCTCGAGGCTTGTGTATGCCACCAGGGCGAGACAGCTCGGTTCCCTGGCTCTCACGTGCCTCCTGAGTCTGACCGGAGCGACAGAGACAGTATCAGCTCGGGTTACACATCAATCTACTCAAATTGAGATCCTAAACGGGACCATCCAAGGAGGCCGGTGCCGGGAGACTGACGTGGACTATTTCTTCTCGATCCCTTATGCCAAGCCGCCAGTAGGAGATCTTCGCTTCGCACCCCCGGTGTCTTATTCCAATGCATATGACGGAGTTTTGGATGGGGAAACCGCCGCACCCGCATGCCCCCAATTTGGCACGAGTTACGTGGAAAAGGGACCACAGCATGAGGATTGGTTAGCTGAGCCGCGCGTACATTATGACGACGTTTACTAACTCGATTAGTTTGTTCGTCGATGTGTGGAAGCCAGCCGATGCAAGTCCAGCCTCGAGGCTGCCTGTGAAGGTCTGGATATTCGGCGGCAGTGACGAGGCAGGCGGCATTTCTGACCCGACCTACAATGGCTGCTACTCAGCCACAGACTCAATAGTGGTGTCTATCAACTATCGTGTTGGCCCTTTGGGCTTCCTCGCACTTCCTGACCTCGGACTTAATGGCAACTTCGGCATCATGGATCAGATCTTAGCCCTTAGATGGGTTCAAGAAAACATCGCTTATTTTGGCGGTGATCCAGTATGTGAACACATAGTCCACTTACTTTGGTGTCATTTGGAGTGCAGATATAGATGCTATGATCTGTGATCTGGTGCTAACCGACAGTGAAGAGTAGAGTCTTACTCTTCGGACAATCAGCGGGTGCTTCGAACGCCTTCGCTATTGCAACAATGGAAAATGCCCCAAAGCTAATCAGTGCAGCCGCTTTACAATCAGGTGGAGGTCGCGACTACGCTACCGCAGCCCAGGCAGAACCATGGCATCGCAGCTTTGCTGAACAGCTGGATTGTGAGAACATCGACGTAGGTCATCCCATCGAGATACCATGTGAACCATCGCCATTTGACACTGATGTCAATTACTAGATGTCTTGCCTCCGTTCTGCTTCCGTTTCCTCTCTCAAGAAAGCCCAGCTAAAGATGCCCAGCAGCTCAGTTCCAGGCGCAAGCACTCTGCTGGAGAATGATGGTACCGGTCCAGGCTGGGGTCCCTTGGTGGACGGGGACCTCATTCCTACTAATCCGGGAGATGCAGGTGTCCGCATCCCGTCTATTTTTGGTTCCAATTCCCAGGAGGGTAGCTTGCCTCTTCTGTCCAGATACGGACCGAGAGTCACGAAGCTCAACCAGTCGACGTATGACAATTTTCTTAAATTCAATTTTGGTCCACTTGCCTCAACGGTAAACCAAACATACAGCCTGTCCAAATTTGCTCGGACAGGAGGCCCGGGGTATGCCGCAATGATGACGGTCTTGACAGCTCACTCCTATCGATGTGCCGCGTACCGTGGACTCAAAGGGGCGGTCAGGAACGGCGTACCTGCTTGGACATACAGCTTCGGCCATACACCCTCGTGCGCTTGGTATCAAATGATCCCAGATGCGAGGCCCGTTCTGAAATTACTCGGACCTACTCACACAGCCGAATTACCCTATGTATTTAACTTGACAACCCATATGCCACCGCCGGATGGGAATTGCCAGTTCAATGAAAATGAGAAAGAACTTGCTGCAACGATTTCGACGCTTTGGACGAACATGGCGGCGACGGGAAGACCTGGGACCGCGAGCCAGTGGCCAGAATGGAATATGGAACAAAGCTACGGGGTCAATATAAACAGCCGTCTAAACGTTGGCGCTGTGGACTACTCCATGTGTGCTGCCTTCTGGGACCAAATCATGGATGGTGTCAAGAGGATTGCTCAACCCACCAATGGCCTCGAAATACAAACCCCGGATCTTAGCGAACCATGGCCACCAGAAGATTTGGCTCAACAACCACTGAAAGACATGTCAGGGTCTTATACACGAGTAAGTCTTCATGGTGACCTCGTGCGGAATACCTTCTTCTGCTTGTTACCCAGGCTGATGGCAATACAGTCACAAGAAGCTAAAGACCAGACTTCAAGTTTTGTTGAGGATGAGCTTTGAGGAAGCTCCAACGGAATGACAACCTTTGGTTATCATGCTTGAAAGTTGTTGACAGGGGTTGTGTCAAGAGACAGAGCAGCATTGGTCCCGTGTCGCTTTGAAGCACACCACAAAATACCTGGATTGATCAGGGACCTCGCCAGAGACATCATATAGGTGCAATATCATGACTTGCATGACTTGCAATGTATGATACGAGGCTGAAAATGGATTTTCAGATCGGATTGTCACCGCTTTAAAGACTCGTCCATGGGGCGGGCCACTACAGATATATGACTAAGTACGTACGAGCTTGAGCTCGGGTGTCCGCTTCGCAGCCACAGTATCTCTGGGACCAAAAAAAAACATGGGGAGCTATCGTGTAATTGGTTATAGAATAATATCTTATGGGATAACCTCCTCTAGGATAATCTCTTATAAGATATGTTCCTGAGAGAGAATATTCTAGATAAGGAATTAACCAAGTTAAAGGGTCCCCGCAATGATAAGTTGCGATCTGGAGAGTGTGGCGGTGTTGTCCCAAGAGTGTATGTGATATGATGCTCGATATCAATGTGCAGCTTAATGAGACAGACACCCCCTTCAAGGTTCAACAGCTTAATGAGCGGAACGGGTTCAAAAATTACAGCGTACGTCTAAAAATTGATTTTCGATCATGATGCATCAGACCACGTTCAAGTTTTTGATACTTCGAAAGTAGAGTACTGGTCTCGTTGCTCGTTTAGCTGGCTCAGAGCCAATTTCGAATAGAGGTCTAGGGTAAGTTTGCTTAGTAAGCAGCTCTCGAGTGGCCCTCCACCCCTTGCGTCCTCCCTGTCTCTCTATGCACATCCGAGCAAGGGACAGGTCAGCTCGCTTACCCTAATCTCTGTTCCCCCATCATTTCGAATGACAGTTAAGGTGACCTCAATGTCTTCTTGGACTTCCACTTGCAATCCCAAATCGCCGGTATCCTCCCCGTCTCTTCACTTGCCATTGTCTACATTGGCCTACCATGCTAGACCTGCCGAATGAGCTGTGGCTGCATACTTTTTCGTATCTGAGATTGAGACTTGATCTACATGAATTCCCACGCCAGCCATACCCTCGATATATCGTACAGTGTGCCACCCTGGCGAGCATTGCACGCGTCTGCAAGCGCTTCAACGCAATGGCGGTTCCGCTACTCTACCACACCTTACCGGTCCCCTCTCATTCGTCAATGAGTGATCCTCTTGCCAGAACACTCAGTACGTCGCCGCGTCTGGCACAACTCGTCCAGGAGGCTGATATCAGGACCCAAGATGGATTGAACAAGGCGCTGCGGCAAGCTCTCGAAGCTGGAAGTTGGACGCAATCTACACATATCACCAATTTTCTCCAGAAATGTTTGGATGGGAAAGGGGTGGGGAACGCAGAAGCACACCTTGCCTTGTTCCTCTGTATGCTACCAAATCTAAGAGTGGCTGAGCTAGAGATTGACATCGGCGCCGAGCTGATGCTGGATTTTGTTACTTGGCCAGAAAACCTGTTATCACGAATCATGGAGTTGCGCCTGAGCAAAAATGCAGTGAGGTCATGGACGAATATAAAGGGTATCGACTATCTGATGCAATTGCCATCCCTACGAAGCCTGTACGGTGCCGAGATCCGCTGGTACCAATACCAAGGTCCACCTCTCGATTTGCAGCATCTGTTTCTGCTCAACTCATACCTTGATTCGAGTTCATTCGACAACATACTATCCTGTTGTGTCAGCCTTGAGACGCTACAGATTCACTGGGCACCCTTGTTGAGACATACCGAACTAAGCTACCATGACTTCTCTCGGATGGGCGATACCCTTAGAGACTTTGGAACGAATCTGGAGAAATTAGACCTCGATCCCTACCTCGGTCCCTTCTGCGCAGAAGATTCATCGGGGAGATTAGATTCCCTCCGCTCGTTGACTCGCCTGAAACAGCTGAAGCTACCGCGGGAAATGCTGGTAGGAAGGGTCAAGGGTGATACGAACAGCGAGGAGGTTCAAAGTGACGACGTAGCTTTGCAAGAAGGAAACCCGAGACTCATAGAACTCCTACCGCATGGACTTGAGCATTTGCATCTTTACTCCTGTCAGAAGGATCTAGAGGCTCTGGACGGCGAACTACTAGAGCTTCTCGAGTCTGAGCAATTTCCAAGGTTACGATGTATTCGGGTCGACCGCGATAATTCATTTAGCAAAGATCTGTCCAACCTCAGCTGGACCGCCGAGGACGACGAACATGGAATAGCTCTGAGAAAGAAAGGCGACCTAGGTGCTGGCATCCCACATCGATTCGGGCCCAGAACATGGGTACTTCCAAGCCTTAGCTAATCAAGTCGTTTACGCCCTGCATAAATGTACACAATATATATTCAAGCTGTCTTCGAAGGCTTTGTAGCCAGTCGCTGTCTTCAGCTCACGGCCCCGTTTCACGATTATGCCTCCCAAAACCACCAACTTGGTCGTCTCTTTTGTTTTTGCGAAGTCGGCTGTGAAACATTCAACAGAATAGCGAAAGCCCATTCGGACGTCGCATTGTGGGGCTCCGTCAGGTTGGCCTTCATCCAGCAGCTGTGCTCCGTGCCATTGTCGCCTTCGAGGTACCCCCACCCGGCCCCTGTGCAATTGGACTGCGAGGCGCAGGCGTCCATGCAAGCATCCATGCTCGTGACCTTGACGTTGCCTACGTCGACCGCCTGGTCGCCGGAGAAGTCGATACCGCAGTACTGCTCGAACTGCTTGGAGTCGGCGTCGGACGTGTACAGAGTGTTGTTGGACCCTGGGCAGGTGATGTTGGAGGTGTCCGGTGTGGCAGAGGCAGACGCCGAGGAAGACGTCGCTGTTGGCGTGCCCGTCGAAGTTGGCTTGGCTGTCACATATACTGTTGTTGCTGCTGATGGTCTATTCCGGAATTAGCCACGGAGTCTGGTGGGAGGTTGTTTTGGCTCAAACGCGGGTAGACTCACGATTCTGTTGCTCTCGCAAGATCCGCCTTCGCGTTGCGCAGATTTCTCTGGCTTACGCCCAAGCCGGCGCTGAGCCCAATAACCGCGGCAAGGAGGATGAGGAGGGCAACAAATATGGCGAAGCAAGTGCTCCTCTTTACACCCGACGATGCGGGTGCGCTCGGTGCGGGCTGCGCGTATCCGGATGCTTGGGGAGCATAGCCATAGCCAGTAGGGTTATAGCCATTTCCATTTGTGAATTGCTGCTGGTTTGGGTTATATCCCATGTTTTGAGGCGCTCCTCCCATTGTGTGGCCCTTTTCGACAGCCTGTTGCGGTTGGTAGTATTGCCCTTGGGCCGGCTGGTACTGTGCGGCCATCTTCAGCTTTACTTGACTAGGCGAGCACTGGTTGAGAGATCCTGGTGTGTGTTCTATTGTAGAGGCTCGAAGCTGGGCCGTGTAAGGGGACCGCGCGAAAGCTCCAAAATGGTTTCACGGGGTATCCTCTGCACTTATCTCTTCCCAGTTCCTAATACAGCATGCCATCCTAGACATTTTCTGCAGGTCTAGTCCTCACAACTTGCTTCTTGTGCCCTGGCGACTAGGAGTAATTGCTGGCCCCAGCTAGCGCATTCAGCTCGCTGAAGGATCACACGCGAAACTCTAGATCTGCTCGGTGGACAAACCCACTTGGAAGCTTAAGTCGCTCCGTTTGGCCCGGGAAGCGGCTGAGTAAGAGCTTGCTTCCAGGCAGCTGTTTTTAGAAATACAGTGGTGGTGTTGTGCTCCCGTGGCACCCCTGGCCAAGGGGACATCGCGCGGATCCTGCAGAAATAGCGGGAGCTGGGAACTCGATCTTTTGCAGGTGGCTTACCTCCCTAATGCAACCCTGAGCGAGGGAGTGGAAGGAAATCTTCGATCCTCAGCTAGAGCCTTTCTTAATCCATTGTTGATGGGAAATCATTGGAGGCGGATAGAAGACGAATATCCTCTATCGTACTTATGGCAGATGCAAGTTGGTTACTCATTTTGCACATTTCCACACCCCTGTCCGCGGTCCGATAGGATTCTAGCATCTATCTCACTACTCTTCTAAATACTGATCCCTCGCTTAGTTGCAGCTCGGTTGCCGTCGGTAGACCTAAAGATATAAGCCATGCTCAAACTCAATCAAGCACATACGGCCACAGATACAGGAAAATACGGGATCCCGTCCGCTCTCCCATAGTCAAGCCTGTAATCGCTGGATTAGTAGTTGGGTCGGTGACGACCAGCGAATACCCGGTGCTGTATGTTTTCGCCTTTTTTGCTAACTTTTTGTTGTATCCACTCCAGTGGAGCCAACTTTACTGGCTTTGTAGTCGAGGAGTTTCCCGTCCACTCTCGGTAGTTGGCCGGCCCCGAAGCCGCTCTAACGATTCTAGACCGTGTCCGTCTATCATCAGGTCCGTCGTGTACTGCTGATGAGGGTTAGCGTCAAAGAAGAATATAAAAGAAGCCCGAAAGTAATTCGTAATAGATTGCACTATAACACTAGGAAAGGGGCCAAATTGCATTCAATGTAGCCCTAATTGTGTATTGACAATGTGGGTTGGGAGAAGAACAGCAATAGTATCGCAGACAATACTCATAGAGGCTGTTGCGAGGAAGACAATTATGATTGAATCAGCACGGCTGTCATATGTTTACAAGCGACTTTCAGCGAAAGCTTGAATGGCTGCACTAGATTCAAGCGGTACTTAAGCCAAAGAGCTGAGCTTGTTCGGTCCAGATGCCGACGCCTTCAACACAGAAGGATGGCTTGACAGGGAGAGAGCCAGGAAGATGACACCTTTCCTATTTCATGAGCGTCATTGCCCCTGCAACAATACCAACTCCTCGACTTAACAAGAGATCACAAGGTGGCGGTTGGGAACAGGTTAAAATCAGTGTCCGGGCCGGAACCTGGATCATCCTGACGTATTTAAGGTGGCAGCATATTTTATAAGGGACCATGAATTCGAGCAGATTAATCTGAGAAAACCCTGCAAATTCGAGACTAGACTTACAACGACTCCCTGTAGCATTGATGAGTGTTTCCTTGAATTCGTTTTGCGGTGATACTTAGGACAGCTCGTGTGTGATTGAGCCAACCTCAGGATTTATTTTACAGAGGTCCGATTACGTTTGTAGTAGTACCTCTCGTCTACCGGGCAATGGACATTGTGCAATGGCCACAATCGTGCTAATCGAAGGCAAACGTGGGTAGGACATCCCAACGCTACGTCAAACTTCTCATTGAAATGTAATTTGAAAGCTTTATTCCTGGAACAATTTATGTCGTTGCAGAGGTGTATTGATCGTGCATTTCCCAAACCTATGAGCATGTCGCCACCGCGCCTCCTGGAGCCACATATGTCGTTGGGTCGAATCCGTTGTAGAAATTGGGGATGTAGATGTCGGTATCGGTCGCTTTGTAAGCTCCCGGGAGTTTGATACTCGGACTGCAGCTTCCTGAGCTTGAGCCGGAGACGCGTATTTGCATGCAGCCAATGTAGAATTGAGCACCACCCTGGGTTTGTGAGCCGTGAAGTGCGAGCATCTCACTGCGAACCTGTGTGTGTCCGTCAGTCAGTCATATCCAGCATCTGCTTCAGGGCCAGGCTGGGCTTGGGGTGTGGGCCAATACATACCAGATAATCACCACTCTTGAGCTTGCTTGGCAATGTGAACTCGTGTGTCATATTCTGTGCTTCCATGATCTCGTTCGCCCACTTTCCGTTCTCGTAGTCCAACTCGTCGATCTTGACCCACGAGCCTACTCCGGTCGCTTGAGAAGCATCGCTGACAGGCCCGAACAGCATGTGTGTAATGGGACCAGGGTGCGTGGACGAGTCCCATTGAACTTTGATCGTATCGCCTGCCTTCGCAGCAACAGTCGTCACTCCTGATGGAACGTTGTTTCCGTTGACGTTACACGTGATGTCGTTGCTGGTCACATCCGTAACGGGATTATTGCTCGGAGCTCGACGGATTCCAATTTCGTAGCCAGGAGAAACATCATTGACCCAGAACTGATGGAGGTTTTGATGTGCAGTCGCCACTGCTGCCAGCGTAGAAACCAGAATAATGGGAGCAAGCATATTTGCGGATGACTGAGTTTCTGGCGCAAATCCAAGTGCTGCGTGTGATGGTCTGGCACTGTAAAAGGGCGTATAAAGACAGTTTACATCTGATGTGAGGCTGGACTACAAGAATCCAGTATCTTATATATAGCATGCTTGCTCATTCTCCTCTAGCATTTCCCTCAAGCCGGCTCCACAGCAAGGCCACGGACTAGAAGTAACTTGCAAGCCGGGGCTAGACATGATCTGATTAATTTGAAGAGCGTGAGTCTTCAACAACAGATCTGCAGTACCCGACTGGACGGAAAATCCAAGGCTCGGCCGCCAAGGTCGGGCCGTCAAGCTCCGTTTTAATCTACCTGAAGCCTGCAAGCCTTAGCAACTGGCCAAGTGAAGGCTATGACGGTGATATTCATAGTATGAGAACTGCTGCGGACTGGACTGCCCGTGGGCTGTGAAATGAACTATAATGTTTGTACTGTATCAGGCAATTTTCGGATGCAAGGGGATGTGTCCCGTTGTCCACATGGAGGAATCACATTTGGTGATGCGGAGTGAGCCTCGGCTCTCATCTTACATGGTGTGGGTACTGTTTTTTCAATTACCCCCGCGAGTTATGAAATCAAAACCTCTGACACTCCACCCAAATTCACACATGTATCCAATGCATATATAGATGGTGAAGAGATCATATGGGCAGTCTCTAGCGTCCGGAATGCGTTGCTTACCAAGCTTTGCAGAACCGGGTGGAATTAGCCTACTATCATGGTTTCGCTCTCTCGCCCTATCTTTGGTCTATACTGTGCGAAGTACGATGATGTGTTATCATTCTTGCAAGCCTCACGAGAACATTATTTCAAACTGTCCCGATCTGATGGGAGACCGGTTTTCTGAGCATTCAACTCTTCTAACATAGTAACCGCAAGGTCGCATAAAATTACTGATGGGGGCTTGGTCTCCACACCAACTCCTCCGGAACGCCGGACCAAGCCTCCGACACCATTATGATTTCATTCATATTTTGTATTTGTAGTCCATTCTTTAACAAGGTCTGTTGGCCCAATGGCAAGGCGTCTGACTACGACTTGTAAAGCTATCTTACAAGAATTCGCTATCAGGAGATTGCAGGTTCGACCCCTGCACAGATCAAAATTATTTCATTTTGAAACGTGTCTCAATTTTTGGATTTTTTTTTTTACATGCCCAGGACCAACTGTGGAGATACTGAAGATTGCCCGATGACTTCAGAATGTGAACTTCGGCTACAGAAAGTGAGTTTGGGCTGCATGTAACTAAATTTACGCGACTGGAACTGCCTGGTTCCCCAGTTGTACTGGTCTCCCGAGTGAGCCTGGGATACAATCCACAAGCCTATTCCGCCTTTCCGTGCCTGGAATGTTATCATATTTTTACCTTGCTTCAACAGCCGGGACTGATTTATCTTTGCCGTTATTCCATCTATCTTTGGGTTCGACAAGATACTCACCGGTAATTTGTCCGGTTACCGATATAGCCAATTCCTGACACCTAGGAATCTGCGATAATATCGGCATCCTTCTCAATATCAGCAGTCTTATGCTCCTTTGCAATATGATCAACCAGATCCTCGGGTGTCTCGCACAAGACAATCACTGTAGAATCTCCACGTGGCCCAGCACATAGTCCACACGCGTATTCTCCCATCGGCGTGTGGCATTTGACCACGAACCTCGCAGGAATGCGAAACGTGAGTTTCTTGCCAGTCTGCTCAGTTACCGCCACAACTTCCTTCCCAGTCCTGCTGCGGCCACGAGACACGTCCCCATTGTCTGGCGACTTTTCTTTCTTGTGCGGGCCTTTAGATGACTTCGGCAGCCCGGGACTTGGTGCGCGCGGGTGCACTGTAGCCGGCGGCAGTTTGCCTTTGATGGGGAAGTCGACATCCCACATATCGTCAGAGTCGACTGGGATCCGATGTTTACATGCCGGGCAACGGCTTTCCCGACCCGGATCGAAGGAACGCGCCAGAAGCATCTTCGGTGAGCGCTGGAGATCGATGCTGTAGCGACAAAAGAAGTCTTTGGCAGTTCTCATCATCGAGGATGACCGCGGGGGCGGAGGTGCCGTTGTTTTCGATCTCGATGGTGGTGGTAATAAAGCTCTTGGAGCAGGGGGACGCCGAGGCGACGAGCCGCGGGAGCTCAGTTCAATTATTTCCGCCTCCACGGCTGCTGGTGTTCGTGGCGGTGGAGCTGACTGCACAAGCCTCTGATACTGACCCTGCAATGCGTCGAGGGACCCATTCCGTGCTGCCCTGGATGCGTATATCAGCTTGTTCACGCCATCGCGGTCGATATGGCGACCGCTGTAAAGTGCATCCTCGAGGACACCGACTGCAACCTTGTTAGTCACTTTCCACTACTTCTATGCGTGCAGACGAAGGCATGACAGATGCAGGGGCGAGAATGACGGTGAGATAACAGATGCCTGGGCCTGACCCATCTCTCACCAAAAGTTATCCTCCAAACATAATAGCAAGAGATATTGTTCCTCTAGCCCACTTACTCACGGTTTGCTGAAGCAGAATGATCTGCTTTTGAAGCTCGTTCTCGGTAATCACTGCTCAGTTATTAGTCTGGCCGTGTGCATTGCGAGGTTCATCCCATTTCGGCTGCATTGAAATGGCAGCGTTTCATTCACGCCGGTAGATTGGGTTCATGGCCGCATGAGAGATCAGCACTGTCACTTACTGTCGCCGACCGCAAACCGTCGACCGAGCCTATCGTAGCCGACATCATATTCCTGTTTGATCACAGGCCCCGAGGTGTTGAGGTTTCTTTCAAGTTCATCTGGCTTCTTCTGATCGCTTTTCCCTGTGCTTTTCATCTGCTCGAGTTCTCCCTTCAATTTCTTGATCTCGTCGTCCTGGCCTGCATCTTTCTTCTTCTGCCCACCGGACAACCGCTCATACAAATTGTGAGAGGCTGCAAATGTTCCGACGAGCGTGGATACAAGCGTTGCTACAATGAAAGTTTTCTAGCATAGTCAGCGACGCTATACGTCCTGGTTCTACTCATAAAAAAACCCAGTCCATGCTGTCCGGCGACTTACTTTGAGGCTTGCCTCTTCGATCATATTGGCATAATTCATATTGACTTTGTCCGGTACCAGCACCGGCATTGTGCTGGGAGCTCTTGACGTGACTTCATGGAGACATTTGATGTTGTGGTCGGGTGGATGGCACGAGAGTAAAGAGTGGGAGGAGTCTCTGGCAACTCCGGAAAATTGTCAAACTACGCGAACGGACGATCTAAATCCGTATGCCGAGGAGTTTTGGGTCCTTCTAGACGTTGAGTCGGCGACGCGCCAAGAATCCCGAGCGAGAAAATCACAGGCTCACAATTTCTAGGTTTTCATTCCTGCAAAGCAAACATCAATGTGCTCTGGTCGACGGAGGGCAACACTGGTCCGATATCGAAGTTGGGTTCCGGGCGCTGCGTGGTGCCCAACCACCACGCTACGAGTCTATGTTTTTGTTCCGTGATTTGAGCTTCTCGCTGCCGTCAAAAGCGACTAACTGGGATACTCCTGGTTGACGAGATGACGTTTCACCGCGCCGTCCAAGACACACACCACGTGCCCGACGACGAGCCTGACCAACCCAGCCGTCAGTGCTCCACACCGTGACAGCCTAATCAGCGACAGACCGGTCAGGCGCAGGGCACGGCAAATCACCAAAGATCGGCAATCACGTCGGACACTGATGCAGTGTCTCTGAAGGCCCGGGCCGATGTGCAGGGCATACTAAAGACCAAAGGCTGTGCCCTGAATGTTGCACACACAGCGCCCGAGCTGCCGGGCTGCTGTCAACTTTTAGATAAGGTTCAAACCTGTCGTGACTCAGTGCTTCGGCGCTTCATCAAGCACCTGCTGAGCCTCACTAGTGACCATATCCTTCTCGATCATGGATGATACCAACTGACGAATCCACCATTGACAGTCCCGGATTTCTACCCGCACACGGCCCTGCCCTCAAAAGCACATATATCAGCAACCTCTGTCTGATGTCATGTAGTTTGTATACGAAATAGCATCTTGGAACTCCATGGCAAGACAAAAAACGAGCGACTCACATTTCTTGAAGCTCCATGGCCCAGGCTTCGTCCCGGGGCATCGATCGAGAGCGCCAGTCGTTCCAACTGATTATATGCCGTCGCATCTTTTCCATCTGGAGCAGTGCTTTCAGTTTTGATGAGTTGCTCTGCTATCGTCCCCAACTTCAGCATTGCTGGTGGTTTCTCCGGGTCCTCACTTGGGGCGTAACCCCTTTCAAATTCGTGCACAAAGCCATGAAGAGGATCGCCTCGAACGTTAAGCACAGTACCTCGGTGCGCGCCTGCCTGGTAGGGAACGAAAAGAGCCCAATGTGCATGGAATAACGGTGATGGCAGATAACAAAGGAGGAAAATATCAATTATTTGAAAATCAAGTGCTGGAGCCGTCAAGATCGAATCGGCGGTGGATTTTTGTGCGTCGGCCATCGGGGATCACGTATATATGGTATGATTCAAGTACGGAGTGGTGAAGACGAATGAATTTTCCAACACAAGAATGCAGACAGAATTGATGCATAACAACGCCGTCATGGTTGCCTAAGAGCAGAACCAACAGGCAGTGCATAGCCCGGCTGCTCGGCTGCCTGCTGCCTGGGACGCTCAGCCACTATTCTACGATCAGACCACGATACGATTCCACTTTTAAGCCGGAAGCATGGAATTTAGTTTCAAGAACAGATCTCTCGAACCAGAGTGATGAACCTCGAAGCTGCCATTGCGGTGAAGACATGCCACCAGCCATGGAGCTCGAACAAGAAAGCCCAAGGCAGCCCGATAGCTCCGCGAATATCTCTCAACGGGTAGCACAACTCTAAATCAATCAGCCACACTATTATCGCTAAAACCATAGTCCCAACCGCTGTCCAAAACTGCCTGGCGAGCCTCGATCTGACAACCGCAGACCGTTCCCGAAAGTAGATGAGGTACAGCAATCTTGGCCAGATGAGGTTTTCCATTATTGCGAATGCAACTAAGTGAATGAGGATGTGCTTTTTCTGGTAATAAATGGCAGAGATTCCCACCACGGTAGACACTAATATTATCGTGATAGCTTTCTGAGCGGTGGGTTTGAAGCCCGTGGTGTAAAGTGGCTGCAAAAGGGCAGAGCCAAGCATGAACATGGACATTTCATCTAGAAATTGTGTCTCCGGATGCAATGTGGCATGGTAAATGAAGGAGAACGCTCCCACGAAGAATAACGAAATTGCCAGGGCGTCCATGCCAAAATATCTACCCATTTGGCCAGCGCGGCATGGCGATTTCAAGGCGTAGTAGACTACACTCGCACATTAGCTCCTTGGAATTAGATTGATGACAGTATGGCGATATTATACCGTATGCAAGGTTGCTCAAAGTATTGATGAACTCCGCGATGTACTTCGTGACAGCGTAGTCCTCCTCACAAAAGCTAGCAACTCATTTCAGTGTTTGTCTGGAGCACGCACATGCTCACGAGCAATGAGCTGATTTCTTCAAGCCAGGCACGAAAGTTACTCACTTTGCGCTGCTCGAAGGAGTTCCCCAGAAGCCCGTGGCGGCAAGGGGATCGCCATGGTACACTCGATTATGATGAGGCATATTGTGTAGCTGTGTGCACCTTGTCCTGTTTTTGCTGGGTTTCAAAAAGACAAAATTCTTCGGAAGGCGCGGGAAAAGACCTAGGCGATGAAGGATCAGGAGTGATCCGAAACAAGGAAGTGATCGCATTCTGTCATCACTTGCTATTCCCGTTATGGCATCAGTGCGCCAAAGCGTGCATCATCTCATCCAAGAGTTTCTCGCTTAGGCGGACTTCAGGAGTTGACATGGGCTCATCGACGAATTCTTCCAATCTTGTCTAGCGCTCTTGTGTCAAAAAGCAAAAATGACTTTGCAGAACAAGATTCAGTGAACAAAGCATTCGTTGAGCTATCTAACCAATCATGAGATCAGCGAACTGATCCTGAGCATCACGAGACTTTTTAATTGAATGCGAAAATAAGTAGTGATAATTCATTTCGATATTGCACAGCCTTATGTATCAATATAAAAAAAGGTTTCCACTGTCTGCAAGATTGCGGTCATCGATTGTTTCTTCTTGAGATTGGTTCAAGTGTGACCAGGTGGCTCATGCTCTCAGCTAGCACCAGAAACCTGGTCAGCAAACACCAAAATTGTTGGAAGTCAACTTTCACCTCGATGCGAATGTCTTTAAATTATACCAGGAAATAACTTGCTCTTTACATGAGTAGGAAGTGGACAGCTTGTGCGCAACTCTAGATTGGCTGTATGATCGCGGTCAACCCTTTCTCTTTGCCTCTCTTTGCCTCTCTTTGCCTACAATCAAAGGAAGGACAGCAAAATGGCCTCACGCCCGAATTCGAACCGGGATTTCCAGCGAAGGCTTCTTCTGAGTGACAAGCTGGTGTGTTGGCCTCTATACTGCGCAGGACTGTGGGTAGTTGATATCGTGGCCGAAGCTTTCCCCATAAGGATGCTTGCTGGAAAGCCAGGGCAGTGGGTGAGTTCAGATATTCGGCATTGGCATTGTGACTCTGTGCGCACTCCAATAGGTGATAATATGCCGCACGCTTTCCACATATGTCTTGTGATACATATAATGAGGCAGTAAGTCTACATGTGTGTCTTAGCAATAGCACATACGCTAATAAAACTTCGTAGTCCTACAAAATGCTTGATCACTACACTTAGTCTATACGCTGAATCTAGACGATAAATCACAACAGAAATTCTACAATCCGATCGGAGTACTTTCCGCAGGTACTCAAGCTTACTTGTACGAGCTAATCTCGGATTCACAATATTCCCAGAACCGCTTCGCGAGGCCAGTTCCGCCTTGCTCCTTTGACTTGATCCCCACGGCAATGTCGTCCCGTATGGATCCGAAACGGCCCCACGGAATCAAGTAGGACCCGGTATTTTGCACTTTCAAGTCTGACGAGAACCCAGCAAATAGCTCAGTGTAGGCGCCGAACTTGGCAGGCTTGAACATGATTCCCTGATGGTCCGTCAGTCGACTTGCAATCAGCTCGAATATGACGCCGTACTAACCATTGCAGTCTGCATTACCTTATTGTCACGCTGTAGCTCCGTCCTCATAAGCCCAGGATGTAGACTCTAAAGCTTGGTAAGCGTTGTCCTGTACGCATTTGAATGTGAACTAGAGCCCGTGTAAACTCACCACGCTCACAACTCCATTCTCAGCGAGACGCTCGCCCCACTCATGAGCTAGAAGCACATCTCCAACTTTGGTCTGCATATATTGGTCCATGCCTGTGGGCAGGATCTTTGGCTTATTCAGCGCGTCATCCCAAACTATTCCACCTTTTGGTGATCCTGAATTGATCATTGATGACACCCATACAACTCTAATCGAGTCTTGCTGGACCGACTTATTCCGGGAAGTCTGAATCAGCGTTGGCGCCAATATGTCCGTCAGCAGCTGAGGGCCGAGGCAATTCGTAGCCATCCGCAATTCATGGCCTTGGGAGCTTTTGGCATCATTCGATGTCAACATTACACCGGCGTTGTGGAAGAGAACGTCGAGCCTGTCTTCTTTTTTCAGGAAATCTTGGGCTGCGGGTTTGACTGTACTCAGATCGGACAGATCGACCACAATGCTCTCGAGGCGGCCGAGGCTGGACGGAAATTCCTGCTGTATGGTATTGATGGCGTGTTTGATCTTGCTTTCTGACCGGGCGGCGATATAGACAGTGCCGTTCTTTTGGTAAAGCATTTTGGCGAGCTCGAAGCCAACTCCAGAGTTTGCGCCAGTGATGATGAATACCTGTCAATCATTAGCTGGGGTAATTTCGTTTGATCGGAAGACTAAGGGGTTGGTTACCTTTCCGGCCTGAGTTCCGACATGCTGCTCTGTGAAGCTTGGTTTTGGCGGAAATACATCGCGGAAACCAACCATGATTGTAATTATGACTGTGAATTTTACAATTGTGGAGTTTAAGGTACTGAGAAAGCAGTGAGACGGTGCAGTGCAAAGTGGAATGTGGGACTAGTCCTTTGGCCCAGATCGATGTCCTTTACGTTCCGCTGAATTTATACAAATTCTAGATGAAATCTGCTAAGCTCACTTGCTCCCCCTTCAACAAACCCTCAGGGTTTGACGCGTCAGTCATCATCTGTGCTGCGGTCGTCTGGCATCTGGACTTCGGATTACGGCTGTCTTGGCGGGTCTCGAAGGAATGTCCAAGCCGGAGATAGATGGTCGGTTTCCAATAATCCCGATGCTTGTTCGAATTTGGACTCAAATCCTGCACCAAATCCGACAGGCATCCAATGTCTTGCGCAAATCTGTGGCTTGTCCTGCCAAGCGTCCTCACACATTTCATCGTAGCCCCAGAAAGTGATGGCCAAGACAGTCTATATTTGATAGCCTCGAATCAAATCAGAAATTCGCAAGGCAACGAGACAGACTGACGGGTGTGATTAGGCCATTCTCTTCCTGAAAGCCGTCGTCTGACGATTGCAACACTGCCCAAAGTTGGTCCGATGACCTTGCGTCTTTGTCATTCGGAGGATGCGGACTTCTCTGGAGCTCTTGACGCAGTGGTAAGATAGAATTCTATCTCAGGCGATGGTGCGGATGGATATTATGATCCCGGTGAACGCAATGTCGGTCAGATTGGCGACGCGAAAAAGACGTAGAAAAGGTCGGGACAACTGTATACATGACACTATGTGTTGCGACGTCCATGTAGTATAGTTACGGCGACAGTCTGGGGGTGTTTTGGTTCATATGTGTAGCCGGTCTGCAGAGAGAATTCTTGGATCGCCTCTGTGGACCCCTTCCCCCTGCCACATGTAGCTGTAGAGGCTATCACTCTTTCTGCGGGTTTTGGTTGGCTCTGTGCTCGTCATCTAAGGAGACGGGCCTCGGCGGCTGATCGACCATTATGAGACAGTAAAAGAGAAGCAAGGTGGCCGGCGGATCTATCTTAATTTTCGGGAACTCCTAGAAATTACCTTCCCGCTCTTCTACCAAGTACTATTACTGATGGTAGTTGGTTTTGAATGCAGAGGTTTCGTGAACCCTTCTATAATGTTCCTCAGGCCGACCCTGCCGACCGATTGGCTTTAGATTGAAGTTTCTTGGTCACTAGGTCGCAACGTCTTCGTCAGTGTCAATCTGGACTTGGAGACAAAACGGCCAGTGGTATGCTTAGCCAATGGGCCAGCTTGCAGATAAGGCGCTCGAAGCAACTTCGCTAAGCCCTTTTCTCATCCCTCAAATAGTTGGTTGGCCTAGTCGACTATTGATATGTTGGCTTGTTCCCTCGGCCCAAGAACCGAAGATCACTTTTCATAAATAACAGAAGCAACGCTCATGTAGCCATGAACGACATATCATTGATATCTCTGTATTGCTACAAACAAATCTATTGATAGTTTCAAGACTCTATATTTCTTTTCTTGTTGCGTTCGAGGTTCCAAAGGCATCTTTCACCGTTGCATAAGAATGAAGCTAGACTGATGGCCATTTTGCGTATCCTAAAATCATAATCCCCTCTTCAATCACGCAATACGGGTTACATCGAGCTTATACAGTCTTCGCGATCCATGCTTGCGAGTAGCGCGGATCTCGTCATATGCACCGCCGATTGCCACCACCCTTCCCCCGCTGGCATTGAGCCGATAATTGGCCGTGCAAACCCTCAACATCAGATATGACCATTGATACCAGAATGGGCGCCTTCAGATCCGATTTTCCATTTGATATCGCAGGCTGGCTTTCCACGAGGAGTGTCTGTTGATGATAAGCAGGCACATGGCTCATATGACAATGGAATGGCGCCATCCGGTAATACCCACCGGATATCGCTGAAGTCTACAAAAGAAGCAAAGACTCCAAATAAACTCAAACTTCATTTTCGCATTTTGAAAGGTCGCCAAGGTGGATAGCCGTCTACGAAAGCTTGTTGTCAAGCCCCTGGCGCCAGTCTTCCTGAAGATTTACAGGCAAGTCGAGAAGAAGTCCCGAGGAGCACTCAGCAATATCGCTATTCCTCCGAGAACATAAAAGATGTCGGACTCAACAGAGATCAAGACCGGGCCTCAACTGCAAACCTTTTCGGAGAAGACGGGGGATGCCCGAGAAGACTCTCTCGATGTTAGACAACAGCGACGAGGCTCCTTCTGGAGAACTTTCCAGCGCTTCATTTGGGACGATCCGGACAAGCCGGCCTATGAAAAGAAGTTTCTCTTAAAACTCGACTTTTTTCTACTGACTTACACTTGCCTGGGTTACTTTTGCAAAAATTTGTGAGTGGTTCCAAAATGTCTCAAGCTTTCTATCAGGCATCGATGATGGGAGAAGATGGCACAAGAATTCAAAAAGCGATATCCTTAAGATACTTTGAGATGCATTCATGAAGCCTGAATAAAATTCTTTTGAGAAAATCAAATCACTAACATAATACTTTGAACAGAGACCAAGCCAACATCAGCAATGCATACGTGTCAGGGATGAAAGAAGCCCTAAGCATGCATGGAAATGAGCTCACGTACGCATCTAACGTCTTCACAGCCGGCTACGTGATTTCCCAAATTCCAGCCGTGATTCTTGTCACAAAAGTACGGCCTTCTTACATCATCTCCACGTTGGAAATTCTCTGGGCCATTTTTACCTTCTGTGCGGCATCCGTTAAAACCGTTCCTCAGCTCTATGCGATTCGCTTTCTGGTTGGGCTCTGCGAGGGCGCTTTTTTCCCTACGATAATCTACCTCATCGCGAGTTGGTACACCAAGAGTGAGCGAGGGAAACGGGTCACTCTGTTTTATTCCACCGCTACCCTCTCACAAATGTTTTCGGGGTACCTCCAAGCTGGTGCGTACGATGGCCTGAATGGGAAGATGGGTCGCGCAGGATGGCAGTGGCTTTTTATAATCGTAAGTCCTCATACATCTGAGGGATCTTGGAACCTCTTCCAATGCCGGTCAAACAATTTGGTGTGAAGGCATACTAATCATAGAATTCCATAGTGTGGCGTGATCAGCCTTCCCATTGGAGTTCTCGGTTACTTTTTTAACCCTGACTTCCCAGAGAACACCCGAGCGTTCTATATCAAGCCAGAAGAAGCCGTATTTGCTCGGAAAAGACTCCTCGACGAAGGCTACAAACCGCTAGGGGCATCCGCATGGAGCAAGAAAAAGATACTCCGCATTGTATCATCCTGGCAGTTCTGGGTCTTGTCGTTTGGCTACTTCTTCGTGCAGTCCAGCTTCCCAGTCCAACAACCCTTCTATGCTTTGTACTTGAAGGCTACGGGGCACACAGTCTATCAGATTAATGTCTGGCCAACCGGGCAGGCCGCGGTCGCCGTCATAACTCAGGTTCTCGCTGGCATGCTTTCCGACTCACCTCTTCTACGAGGTCGGAGGTGGCAAGCTATTCTAGTGATGCAAGGCGGGACCATCTTTGGCTGTATTGTCCTTGCAATCTGGGACGTTCCTCTAGGGCTGAAATACTTTGCATTTTACATCTCTTGGATGTCTGCTGGTGTTCCAGGTATTTACTACTCATGGTTTCCTGATCTGATGCCAGAGGATCATGAGATGAGAGGTTTCTTGACTGCCTTCTCGAATATCTTTTCATACGTCAACCAAATTTGGTATACAGATGCAGCTTGGCGCACCTCAATGGGACCGGAGTTCCGAGCCGGTTTTATCGCTGCTGCAACTTTTGGGGTAATTCTCATATCAACCGCCTTGCTGATGCGTTGGCTTGAGAAAAGGGATGTTCAGCAGAGGAAGCACGTCCAGGGAGGCGAGCCTACGGTGGAGCCGGATTTGGCTGCAACTTTACAGGGAAACCCTGCTGCTGTAGTATAAATTTGCTTCTGGACATCTGAATGCATGTATGACATATTCGTACAGCACTTCAGAGACTCTGCTGCCTGCGCGTTTAGCACGTGACTGCAGGATGGAAATGCGGCGTGTACCCGGTATCGACACCGCAACCAAGACTGAGCTGCATCTGCAATACATCTTTCATCATTGTTAAGAATGAGACAAAATTAGGTCAAACGCACGATATTTCCAAATAGTCAAAACTTCGGTCAGATTTCTGGTTCAATCGTGCAGACTTATGTGAGCACGAATACGTTGGGTACAGAGCGTAGATTTCGGCTACCAGGAAATAAGGGCAAGAAGCAGGCAGTCTGCAACTTCCCGCAGTATAAATACCAGCTAGAAGGTTTGAGGTGACCTGGGCGTAGCCGAGTAAATTGTCAGTCAGTGCATACGGTCGGCACAAGACTCACAGTATGCCTTGACAGCTTTCATGTGGCAATTGATTTGTAGTGGCACTCAAGGTTTTTAATGAGCACCGTTCTCAGAGTTGAAAGCGTGCCCACAGACTCCCGGTTTTCGAGAACCTCCGAATGATGAACGCAAAATCAATCGCTCTATGGTACAACGTGACTTCTGAAATCGTACACTTTTTTCGGCATGTTCCGTGATAGGCAAGTGCAAAATATGCTAGTCGACTTGTCAAAGGTCCTTTTCCCCCATATGGCGGGACTGTACGGTCGGTCGGAGCATCATTCCAATTTGCCTCCCTAAGAGCACTTCTAGTCTCCTATAATCTTAGTACGTCGTACCAGAGGCATTCAAAACAAGGAACTTCACATTCCCCTTAATATAGAGAATACTCCCTTGAGGTCAAGCCGCCTTTGGGAAGGTAGGTGCTGGTTGAGTAATGAATTGCAACTAATCCTTGCCAAGAGCACATATACCTCGGCATCCCTGACAGGCCCCGTATGATACGATGGGACTGTGATCTCGGAGGACGCCATCAATTTGGGTTGGCATGCTCCGGCTGCGGATACAACGCCGCAAGACCACCAATCAGCGAAAACGCATATTGTGATGACGGGTGATCCGAGTTGCAAACAAGCTATCGCTTCGGAGAGGCTCCGTAGATCATAGCGGGATGGAACCTCGCTGTCCAACGTTCCTGGGGTCCACGGGCCGCGAGACAAAACCTGGCTTAATGTGTATGTTGGAATTGAAAAGAATGTGATTCCTCACAATTTTGGGTCATCCCATGCGGTCTCCATAGGCAAATTCTTCGTGCTGCTCAAGCTTGTTGTCTTCTGTCAAACATCATGATACCAAAGTTCTCCCTCTTGTTCGTGGCGCCGTTGGCCGTCGGCGTCCTGGCTGATGGGAACTATGCCTGGCAAGCACCATCATCAACTGACCGTGAGTCCATCTCCAAGTACTCGTAACATCACCCACCTTTAAAACTATCTTGTAAAGAGCTATGTGTCCTGGGACAAAGCTGGGAATGATTCACATGCTAACTATTATTTTGACCAGGACGAAGTCCTTGTCCAATGGTGAATACTTTGGCCAACCATGGCTACCTCCCCCGTGACGGCCTGAACATCACGCTCGAAGATCTTTTGACGGGCTTCACTAATGGCATCAACCTGGATCCAACGGCAACACTTCTTGTTGGCGTCAAAGCCCTGGAGACGTCAACGACTGGTACCAACTCATCATTCAACTTGGATGATCTTAGCAGACATGGCAGTACGTCATAGCTTACCCTTCAGATTTTCAGACGGACTTTTCTGCTCACAAATGACAAACACAGTCATCGAACACGACGGCAGTCTAAGCCGTGCTGATATCTACTTTGGTGACAACCATAGCTTCAACTCGACCATCTGGGAGACAGTGGCCTCATACTTCACTGAGGATACCATCGACGTCAAGACCGCTGCACGAGCACGGGCAGCCCGTCTAGCAGCGGATGCGAAAGAGAACCCAGAGTTCAACATGACGTCCAGCGCTGTCAACTTCAGCTTGATTGAGTCTGCCTTGTATCTGTCAGTCTTTAACAACGGATCGTCTTCCACAGCAGTCACGGAGTGGGTCAAGGTTATGTTTCGTAAGTCTGAATCTTGGCCTCTTTCACACAATTCGTAACTCCTGAGCTGACATGTGGTAATAAAGAACACGAAAGGCTGCCATTTGAGGAGGGTTATACCAGACCAGAGAGCATAGTGAGCACTGCCGGTATACTGGCGAAAGAAGCCGAGGTGGCTGCTGCGAGCATTGGATTATGAGCATAAAAGCAATAAATCAAAGAGCTGATGCTCACATCAATTTGTTAATGAACCATTTCCCCCGTATCATTGTCTTGAGCTTGATCTCGACGAATCTGCAAAGCTCCCACCTTCGCCTGCTACCTGAACATCCAAAACCTAGAAGACCTAGATGAGTCGAGACAGGCATGTTCATGGTTGCCGATCAAGCTGCACAACTTAAATGGGGTAATAAGCTGCGGAGGAAACCGCTGTAAAATCACTTGATACAAGATAATTTGGCGTGTGATATCCTGGCGTATGAGAACATTTCATAGGGTACCCTGTTGTTGCTGTGTTATAAAGTATAAGATAACATGACCCGTTGTATGCTGTCTTTGTATGCAATAAATCATTGTGTACATATCTATTGCAAGGTACAGGAATGAGATAAATGAATGAACATATGCTGGTGCTGGTATGTGCGCCCGTGGGCAAGTGCGAGTTCAATCTTCTAATTCGATCGACATGATCCTTTCGAAATTAGAATGACGCTTGAGCATCCGTCAAGGTATTTCTCGGATCAAGTTGATCTGAACTTCAAACGAATGCTGAGCATTCGTGAGCGGTATGATGAGGTTTCAAGTGCTGTTCAGGGCCTGGGAATGGGAAATGCTCCCGAAAGAAAGTAACTTGAATCGCCAGAAACACATCTTTCGAGCTTGATCCAAACATATCCATGGAAGCTCAGATGCATGCAAGGGCGAGCATGGCTACGCAGAAGGGCTAAGAAACCAACTATAGTGAAAGGAACACGCGACCTATGGATGGCTTCTTCAATAATTACAGTCCATCGCTCTTTGAATTGCTATCCAGAGGCTTTATGTTGAAACATTTTGAAAATTTGTGCATTGCAAAGCTGTTGCCAGCGCGTCGGTGGGCACTGGAGCTGAGTTGCGCCAACCAAGGACTCGGAAAACTAGCCACTTAAGGGCCTTCTAACTTGCAGACGAAGACAACAAGTTCAAACTCCCAAAATGGGCGCTTACGGTTGACAAGCAAAGACTTCCACAGGAAGTCCCGGGCCAGATTGCCGAGCTTGGGGGACGACTCGCCCAATTTACGTTCCTAGTTTTAGGACGTGGGCTCTTGAGATTTGACCTAGTGATATTAGGCAGATTTGCTCTACGGACCGGAACTGACCGCGGGCCTGTGGCATTCCGAGCTTGGGCTGTCTCATTCGCCCGAGGTCCTGCTTGTCAAGCCGCGCGACATCCGAAAACACACTGAAGCCCAATCAGTTCGCCGCTGAACAGCAGTTGCATGTTTCCAGGCCTTGGGGTTCATGACAGAAAGTTATTAATAGTTTATTGGAAAAATTGTCGTCGGAAGCTTCCTTGACCGTCCTGTGTGCCGGAGCACCGGAGCACTCACCTACTCCGTATCCCCGCTTCCTCCGTGACTGCCCCGGCCCCGCACAAAGCCAGCTGCCGCGGTCAGGAAAATTGTTCCCCCCATTCAATACGTCGTATTTATATGTCCCACATAGTCTGGTTGTCTCACTTCATTTGAAGCAGTTCGCAACTTCGGTCCAGATACCCAAGTAGTAAGCAGTCACGAGAACATGGCATCAAAGACAACAATTCTCGAGCACCCTTCCGTGGGGCAAGTCCATGGAGTGCAGCCAAAGGGACAAGCCCATGTGGAGCAGTATCTCGGCATCCAGTATGCAACGCTAGAGAATCGGTTCGCTAGAGGGAAGTTGGTCGAGACGTACACGGCCCCGATCCAGGCAACAGAGACAGGGTGAGGCACTGTTCAGACTTATCCTTTTCACACGCCTTGGGCTGACATCAGGCTAGTCCTCTGCCTGTTGCTGATCCCAGGAACTGTGACAATGAGCACCTATTGCTGCAGCACAGCCTCCCTCATCCCAATTTCAAATTCAGCGAGACTGAATGTCTGACCCTCAACGTATCGGCGCCATCCCTTGACGCCCGGGGTACGAGAGCCGAGCCGTTGCCTGTCGTTGTCTTTGTACACGGTGGTGGGTTTGTTACAGGGAGTGCAAATTGGCCGCAATGGGACCTCGCTCGCCTAGTAGAGCGAAGTGTGAAAGTCGACAAGCCAGTCGTTGCCGTCGGAATTAAGTAGGTGCATGTTTCACAGGACCCTTCCGTTCGGTGATTTTATTAACGCAGTAATCACCAGCTATCGTCTAGGCCCTTTTGGCTTTTTGGCCTCATCAGCCTTGAGAGACGCGGGTTTCAAGCCCAACAATGGTCTCGATGACCAGAGACTTGGGTTGCGCTGGGTTCAGAAGAACATCTCGGGCTTTGGAGGAGATCCGAGCAAGGTCACCTTTTTGGGAAGCAGTGCTGGTGCTGGTAGGTCTATTACAGAAGACATGCTGCGAACCTGCGAGGACGAATAGGCTGACATCGCCATTAGCGTCTGGCTTTTTTCACCTCCAGTCTTCTGAACCCGTTTTCAGCCAGTTGGCCGCATATGGTGGCAGCCCCCTCATCCAGCCAATTCCTCTAGAAGTCACAGAAATCGCCTATAGCATTGCGGCAAAAGTTCTGGGAATTGACAGTCTCTCCCCAGCTGACCAAGTCAAGTCACTCCTCAAGATTCCCGCCGAGGAGATCTCGGCCAAACTTGCTGGTCTGCCCGTTCCCTTATCTGCAGCCCTCGATGGGGACGTCGTGCGTTCTAAGACGACCTACACCGCGCTGGCCAACACTCCTTCACTTGAGAAGGCATTCCCTGGCGTTGAATGGTGCAAGACCATCCTTCTGGGAGATGGGCAATTCGACGGCATGATCATAGGTCTGACAGCTCTGGCTCATCGGACTGACAACCTGTCTACGTCCCTCAAGAATTGCCTCAACACGATCTTCGCAGACGACCCGGCTAAAGTTAAGACTATCTTGGATGGTTACGGTATCAACGATTCCAACGCAGACAAAGTTCCCGTGTTCAACTTTTTGAACGACATCGGCTTCGCCCAGCCCGCAAAAGCCACGGCGGAAGCATGGGCTGGAACTGGTGCGAGGCTCGGGACAAAATCTTTCCTTACCCATTTCAACATGCCCAACCCCTGGCCCGGCATGTGGCAAGGCCAAGCTACTCACGCGCTGGACATTGCAATTCTGTTGGGTAACTACAATGACTTCCTCAGTACGGGCCAGAAAGCGTGCTCCGATCAGATGTCTGGGGACTTGCTGGCTTTCGCCTATGGCAAGGAGCCATTCTCATCCTACACTGCTGGCAATGATGGTGTGTCGAAAGTGTACAAGGCGAATGTGGATGCGAGCAATGACGAATCCAACGTAGCCAGGGAGTCTGACGAAGGCGAGACGGGCCGCAGGCGGATTTTAGACGATGTTGCGGCTGGAGACCCGACCGTGTTGGACAAGCTTTTGGATGTTTTTGGCCTCTTCGTCCAAGGACCCAAATAAACGCAGATGGAGGTGTATGAGCAATTTGTCACAGCCTGGTATACCAACTCCTTCTGTTGTATTGTTGTGCTGTACTTGAATGGGAAGGAAAGGATCGAGCCAGAGCGTCTATACTTCTTTGAAATGCTTTGAAATTCACAATATTCCAAAATGTTGATAAGGGAACTTAACCTTGGCAGACTCTCCAGATTTCGCCTTGCATGTTTCTTTTGCAGACCTGCAGCGTTCCCTGTCCTCGTACAACCGCCACTGTCCATATTACATAAATAACTATACAACAACATCCTGGGGTTCTACATCTATCGAGTTGATAGACTAACACTTGAGGTATTTCAGTGATATTAGATTTTTCGACTCGGCCACATTGGTTGTTCTAAATAAGCCGTGTTCCAGGGGACAGTGCGCCGACATCTCGGGCCAAAGAAGAAATTAACGGAAGACGCTGTATGGAGAGAGAGTGCGTGAGGAGACCTTGACACACGTTTTGCTGTATAGTAAAATATGTATATGTACATACCGTCGAAAATATACAGGTATCTAGACTTTTCCTTTCCATCCTCCACCAAGCCTTCTCTGCTTCACCACCTTAGCTGCCATCATAAACCCGCCACCCAGAATCATGGTCCCTCCTGCGAAAGCCTGCGCGCCGTAGTACTGGCCCCCACAGCTGCTGATAATCGCGCCAGCAATCGGCGGCCCGGTGAGAGTCGCAAAGCTGACAATCGTGAAGACCATGCCCATCCTGGTGCCCGACTTCCTCAGGTCCGTCGTCAGGCTGCTGAGCCCAGCAGGGAAGAGGGACTGGATGCCCCCGGCAGCTATGCCGAAGAACACGGCCCATGCGTACAGGCCGGAAGGGTTAGTCACGGCGATCCAGGTGAGCTGGCAGACGCCAGCGATGACGGCCGTGGGCACGAAGACGTTGATAGGACCCCATCGGTCGGCGAGATGGTTTGGCACTAGGCGGCCAATGATGCCGATGCCATTCAGGAGGAGCAGAAGGTTGAGCGAGTCGACATAGGAAAGGCCGATGATGTCGCGAGAGTAAGAAGCTAGATAGTAAAAGGCGAAGTAGACGCCGAGAAAGCACTGGGAATTGCATCGTGTTAGCATTCGATCTAGATTCACGTGCTATAAATAGCCCATGGATGTTTTCTAGGCCAGATAATGATCCTCTCTCGCAAAAGGGAAGGGGAGACTCACAGAAAAGCTTCCAGCGGCGTAAAAGGTGTACTCGAGCTCCTTGAAAGCAGCCCACTCGACAAGCGCCCCAGCTTTCCTAGGCGGGATCCTCCGCTTCAACCCAATATTTGCAACGATCAGGCTCGTGAGCTGGATAAATCCGATCGCCCTGACTGTCCAAGGAAACCCTGCCGTGGGCAACAGCTGCCTTGCCATTGCAGGGAAGATGAGCCCTCCTGTCGCACTTCCACACGCCGTCATGCCTATCGCCAGCCCTCTCTTCTTACTGAAGTACGTTGACACGGTCGCAACTGTGGGACAGAAGAGACAGCCGTTTCCGATGCCCATGCACACGCCCTGGGCTAGAAAGAGCTGCCAGTACTTAGTGCACACTGATGTGGTGAAGATACCTAGCAGCTGGAAAGTAGTTCCGAGCAAGAATACCTCCCGAAAGTACTAGAAAATGTCTGTCAGTCACTTTGGAGTTTAAAATCGATGAATAGAAGCAAGGCTTTCTTCTACACTGCTTCTAGAAACTCGGCCTGCCCAAGATGTGCTGCAGCCGGAGATGACAAAGCATGAGGGCAAGTGAGGCAGTACAAAAGTAGGGGTAAGCCAAGGATCTCACTTACTCCTGCATCTGTGATTCGACCAGTAAACGTGCCAATAAAGAACAACAGAAACACCTGGATAGAGCCTATCCAGGAAATCGTCGCAGGTGGGAGGCCAAGCTCAGTAGCATAGTATGTTTGAAAAACACCAAACGAGTTGATATATCCCCAAGTATTCATGATAACCAGGTGGCCTGCTGCGACAGCCGTCCAGGCCTTCAGGCCACCGTCAGGCGGAGGGCCAGGGTTGAAACTCGATCTGCTCGTCGTGCGGCTGAGAACGCGTTCAGCGAGGCCAGAGACACCACTGCCACGGCTGCCATGATCCTCGACGGCACCTGGTGCATGCCCAGCACTGTCTTCGAAGTCACTCTCATCGAGTTGGACACCGGGTATAGCCTGCGTGTTGGAGTCTCGCGTCGCCAATCTTCGGAGCCCAGCAGGTTGCTTCTCCGAGTCATTGTGCGGGAAGTCACCGGCTTTGCCGCAACCTTGTATTTCGTCGATGGAATCTCTGCCCTTTTCTTCGGTACTAGTCGACGGATCAAGGTCGGAGCTACCGCTGCTTGTTGATTGGGAGCGGGCCATCGTCGGCTTGTGGCAGGGGCTGTCGGTTTCCCTTTGTTGATCGCGAGTACTAACGAAATCTTGATTCGATGGCAGGCCGAGCAGTTGGTTTTGCCTGATTTTACCAAGGGAGTAAAGCGAGAGCAGCTAAGGGAAGAGCGAAACAACACAATGTCGTAGTTTCATCCTTGTTTGCAGATAACAGGTTTCGATGCTACTAAATGGCCAGACATTGAGCAAAAAGAGGTCACCACTCAAGTATAGTGCCTATCTAAGGGGGTTGCCCTGGCAGAGAATGCAAGAGTAATCTGCCACTAACTTTCCTGTAGACAGAGAAGCAGTGTAGATTTCTAAGCTGGGCGATACCAGCTATTTAATCATTACTAGCACCAATTTTTCGGGAAAGAATTCCCGATCGCTGCGAAGATTAGCTCCCTGTTGTGTGGGGCGGGAAATCCTGCCCCCAGGCTTTTGGACTAGTTATGACAAACTCAATGCTTTAAAGATCAGTGGACTCACATATTTTCTGGGGAAGGGCGCCGAATGCATGGGGAACATCGTGGCTTAACCGGTTTTGTATTATTCCCGGCAACGAAAGCCCGGCCTATGATGCGGAGACCCGTGGACTGGGCCGAGAGCCGGATAGGCCGACCTCGGCGCGTTCGACCGATCTTGGCTGGAAGTAAAGCCCTTTGACATCTAGTGACATGGACCTTGAGAAGAGAGATCGCCTCGTAGCATGGACAATGGGGTTCAGATCATAAATTATACACTCGCATTTTCTATGGTAGTCAGTTGTGATCCGCCGCGAAGCTCGAAGCTCGAAGAGACCAGAGACTATCTTCGCCAGCATAGAAGGCGATGTGATTTGTGTTCCATCTCCTTCCTTTGCCATTACTGCCCCGAAATTTTGGTTCCAAAATACATTATGATGAGATGAACAAACGAACAATCTTTTAAACAGCAAGTGAACAACCACTCAAAAGAGATGGCTCCCAAAACATCAAGATGAGCAACAATTATGTCTGGTAAAGACAATGAACAAGAGAAGCCGTTGAGCATGGACCCTCAACCGAAATGGACACCAGCACATAAAGGCGGTGTGATGGCATGATAGATCAGGGATGGCCAATCTTGACAATTTGAGTCATTCCGTGACCGCGGCCACGCTTTGGATAAATGTCGCGCACACCGGAGCGGCATATAGCAGCCTCGCACGAAGTGTCAGTCCAGGTTACCGCCATGTCGTCTGCCCACCACTTCTGTGGCTGGTCATTCGCGGTGACATCTATGAGGAGAGACGTGAGGTTGGACAGTCCAGCTGTTGCGTCTGCAACAAGAGACCCAAGTTTGCAGTTCATCTGACGCGCACAAGCGCGCGTGCTGGACATCTGGGATCCTACAGTCATCTCGGTCTGAGAATCGTCGTCCCATGAAAGACCAGTGATGTTGAACATGCACTTGGCTTTCTTGGAAGCGCATCCAACCCGCAAGCCGGCGAAGTCAAATCGGAAGCATGGGTTTGCTTGAAGGTTTCCGACACCCATCTTCGCCTGCTGATCATCTTTTATGACAATTGGAACCTCGAGCATTAGGTCTCCGGAAGATGGCTTGTAGGGCGCAACTGAAGCAGGGATGATTTTGAAGGCCTCTGACCACGTGAAATGGCGGTAGGGGCTGTACATCGGATCAGGTGCGATGTCCTCAGGGTCGGTGCCAGGCGCCAAGTGAAGACCGGGAAGATTATCGAACTATTTTGATCGTCAGCGAGGGCACAAGCATGATGATCCAAGAGACACTTACATCAAGTACTACATTGCTTTGGGTCACGAGATCATCACATGAGGGTGCCGCCGTTTCTGTAGGCTCTGACCGGGCCTTGATGACTGAAGAAAGAGTTGACCGTCCTTCGACAGAATTGATTTGGGTGGACAGTGCCTGATCAGGTTGAGCTGGACCAGACAGTGCGCGTGCTGATTCGGAAGTCGTAAATGGCGGCGGGACGGAATGCGGCGGCGCGGACTGAAGAGGTGCTCCTTGAACAGGCGCGCCTTGAAGAGGACCACCTTGAGAGGGACCGCCTTGAGAAGGACCACCTTGCGGAGGTGCGCCTTGTGGGGAGCCTTGAGGGGAGCCCTGGGAGGGCGCGCCCTGAGGAGGTCCACCTTGAGAAGGAGCGCCTTGAGGAGGGCCCTGAGAAGGAGCACCCTGTGGAGAGCCCTGAGAAGGAGCACCCTGTGGAGAGCCCTGAGAGGGAGCACCCTGAGGAGGCCCGCCTTGAGAAGGTGCGCCTTGTGAGGGAGAGCCCTGAGGAGGAGCGCCTTGAGGAGGCGCAGACTGCGGGGGAGATGACTGAGGAGGCGCGCCTTGAGGAGATCCAGACGGAGCGCCTTGAGGAGGTGCAGATTGGGGAGGTGCGCTTTGAGGGGGAGCACCTTGCGGAGGGGCACTCTGTGGGGGTGCAGATTGAGGTGGTCCGCTTGAAGGAGGAGCACCCTGAGGAGGAGCACTCTGAGGAGGCGCACCTTGGGGAGGCGCTGATTGTGGGGGAGCAGATTGAGGTGGCGCAGATTGACCAGGTCCACCAGATGCAGTCGTGTTGGAAGTGGGAGTAGGGGTTGTGCTGTTGAGCGGCGTAGTCGTGTTCAACGGCGGCTCTGAGGTGGGCAACGGACCGCTTGTGGCATTTGCCGTGGGACTTGCAGGCAGACTTGAGTTGGCCAGGGACGACGGCCCTCCTGTTGGCAGGATAGAGGGAACGGTCGTGTTAGCTGGCGCAGTAGCTTCAGGCCCAGAGGGTGTAGGCGCAGTACCATTTGACATGCTGGTCACGTTTGCGGAAGGTGAGGCAGTAACAGTACCGTTGGCAGAAGTCGGAGCTGCACCGCCTTCAGATGTACCAGCAGATGGAGGAGCGGTGGGAGCCGTCCCATTACCCGTGGAAGGTGGAGGAGCAGCACCTGATGCTGAAGTTCCATTGCCAAGTGGTGGAGTGGGCACGGTGGTATTGCCAGGTGCTGGAGCTGTCTCAGAGGTAGGCAGTGGGCTCCCTGGGCCTGGGCCTGTTGAGGATGTCCCATTGATTGATGTACCGTTGGTAGGGAGAGGCAAGTTCTCCGTGGTTGTATTCAACGGTACAAGGACACTGCTGGTGGCAGAAGCTGTTCCGTTTGTCGGAAGCGGGAGTGCCAAGGTGGTGGAATTCAAAGGCACAATGATACTGGTAGCAGTCGACGCTGTCACATTGGTCGGAATGGGGGAGGCCGCTGTGGTCGAATTCAACGGCACAGCAGTGCTCGTCGAAGCCGGCGCCGACTCAGACGCGTTGCTTGGTGCAGACTCGGAGATTGGCAGTGGAGAGCTGGCACCAGTGCCGGACGGCGGCAGAACAGATGTTGTGCCATTGTCTGTGGGGAAAGGAGGCGGTGTGGTAGAAGAGCCTGGCAACGGTGGTAAGGAGGTATCTCCGGTTGGCAGAGGTGCGAAGACTGTGGTCGAGTTGGCGATGATGATGAGGCTTGTTGCGGCAGCTGATCCACTGATGCTAATGGTCGTAACACCGGTGATGGCACCAACAGACGAGATTGCGCTGATGGAGATGGAAGCGGATGTTTCGTTCCCAGTGGGCAGCGGTGCGATAAGAGTGGTCGAGTTGGCGGGAATAATCGCACTTGTCGCGGGAGCTGTTTCATTGATGATGACGGTCGTGAGGCTGCCCGTGACTATACCTGACGAAGGGAGTGCAGTTTCAGAGGCTGAAGGCGAAGACGCGTTGCCAGTAGGGAACGGGGCAATGACTGTTGTGGAATTGAGAGATACGATGACACTGGTGGCAGCAGCTGTTCCATTGGTAGAAACAGTAGAGAAACTGCCTGGAATTCCACTTGCGCCAGTAGTGCTATTCGCAAATGGTGCAGAGGACGGAAGACCTGAGGTACTGGGTGGCAATGAAGGCGGCGGCTCAGGCGTCACGGTTGTCACAGATGGTACAAAGGAGCTGTTCACACTCGACGTGCTAAGCGAAGGACCTGGAAGTTGATTAGAAATAGAGCTTCAAAGAGAGAAGTTCGGACTGGAAGGAAATGGAAGAAATACCAGTTGACACCAACACAGTGGCGGTGCTGAATGTTGTCACGGTTGACACCGTGGTGAAAGATGTCCCGACTGCACCCGCTGATGCAACGTAGGTGAAATCTGTCGACTCAGTCAGAGTGGCGATAGGAACACTACCTTCCGATATGGTGTAAGTGAAAACAAGAGAGGTGACCAATGGCGAAGGAGGCGGCCCAGGGACCTCAGTTGTTCCGGAGTACAAGGTGGTCGTCTCGGTGATGACTACTGGAGTTTCAGTAGATGGGCCACCAGTAACTGGCGTGGCTGCCGTGATGGTGATGACCTGAGCTGATGAGCCCGGTACGCCCGGCAGAGTCACTGTGAAGACAGTAGGAGAGACAGGCGCAGGAGCCGCTGTAAGAGTGACAGAGGGTGGGGTGGTAGCAGACGATGGTGGAGGCTCTGCCGAGGCCACAGGCGTAGACGTCGACTCAATTGATCTCGAAGTTGGAGTGGCCGTTACGGTTCCAACAGTGAGGGTGAAGCTGGCCGTAACCATAGAGTGACTGGAGCTCGATGTGGGAGCTGTCTCGACCACCGTATAAGTGCTGGTCTCAACGACCTGAGGGCTATAACCAGAAGTAATGGTCGTGGTGAAGAAGTAGGTTGTCAGACCTGGGCCAGCAGTTGGAGCACCGGCAGGAACTGAAGGGGTTGTGCCACAACCAGAGTCAGGGCACGGCTCAGTGAGAGTGACAGTACCAGTAAAGGGGGAACCTGCAGGGCCAACGGGAATGGTGAAAGTCTGCGTGGTGATGATGCTACCAGGACCAGATGCAGCCTCCGACTCTATCTCACATTAGCAGTCAGACTCGAGAAGTAAAGAGGAGTTGGCCTAGAGCCTGAAGAGATGCTAAATCGACTTACCTGAAGCAGGACCGGTACCCGATGTGGCCGCGGTGGGAACAGAGTACGGCGTGGCAGAAAAACCGGAAGAGACAGACTCGGGGTAGACAGTGACAGTGGAGACGGCGACAGTCTCGGTGCTGATCATGCTCATGACAGTGGTGCCAAAGGCAATACTGGGCGCAGGTGCCCCGACGGTGATGAAAACCGTCTCGGCAGCACAAGTTGCGCTGTCGCTGCAAGCGAGAGAGCACGTATGGTCAGCATCGGCTTCCTAACGACAAGTGACTAGATCTGCATGACGTGCAGGCCTGCAAGAGCGATCACGATGTCGACCATGATACCATCTTACCTGGGAAATTCTCCTCCAAGTGACTCAGTACCGGCGTCCAAGGAACACTGAGTCCAGGTCCCTCGGGAAGAGACGGCTTAGTCCAAGCGGATGTCCAGTTTCCTCGTTGGCTGTTGGTTCTTCTTATTTCCAACAATCCCGTTGTCTTTCACAAAGACTCAAAGACTTCAACACAGCCAGCCAGCACCCTTACACTCATGATCGGTCAGAGGATTCGACTGATAACAAGTTCCCGTCCTCTCTTGGTAATGAGCCAATAACCACGCAGCCAAGAGAGCAGGCCTCTGCAGTGAGAGGAAACAGGGTCGTGTGACGGTAACATTGAGGATCGGCTGTGGTGAGCATGCTGACTTGAACCATAGGTAGCATTGGATCGTATCTCTCTTATCTCGTGTGGCTTCGGAAAGACATACCAGCGATTACGTCTAGCGCTTGAGGTGACTTTCCAATACAAAAGCAGCCGCATCCCGTTTCGCCCCCACCGACCTTTTTATGAATAAGACTTCCTGGTATTTATATCTCAACAGTCCGAAAAAACTCCAATATGATCATCATGGCCTGGTCGGCCTCAACGCTGAACAGCCAAAACTCCGATGCGCCTCTTCTGCGACCCATGTTCACCATCGACTACTTGTTGCTGTCGTGGTTTTGACTCCGCCAGTAGTTTCAATCATACGATGTTGCGAGAACCAGTCAGTCTCGCTGAGGTTGCGCCTTTAGGACGTCGAACGGGTCGAGCGGCACGGCTGTGTTTTTGACGAATCCGCACTGCAACAAGGTCTGCGAGCTGTCCGGACCAGCGACCTGCCTTGCGTTGCGGAAGGCAATATTCATAGCGCTGAATGCTGGCGTAACAGAATTTGCGGCAGAAACGGCGCCATGCCAGGGAGGTTGTCTCCCAAGAGAGGATTGTGGACTTGAGAGGGAGGTGTCGGAGGTCCACGAGGAGAACCGAAATGGCGCTTCTCTGTGGAGGATGCCGACTTGTTAGCCACCCAGGTGGCGATGTTCTAGGCACCTGCTGGGAGGGCTTCATCGGTGCTGGTCTCTAGTACCGGTACCGCTCTCATCGCCGATGGCGGTGACGACCCGCTTCATCAGCTATGAAGGCCGAACTTCAACCCCACTGCGAGACCCACGGCAGAGGCCGCCACCAGCAGCAGGAGAGTCAAAATCCGGCGCCAACCTCCCAGCCTGGCTACCCAGGCCTCATCCCGGACCTGGGTTAGTTTCTCGTCTATCCCCGCTTCGATATCCGGCAGGTCCCCGCTGTTCGTCGCCCTCGAGCTGAACGTGCTCTGCCGCGACGGCGCTCGTGGGGTGGGCGACTGCGCTACCCCGACAAGGTCCCACGATGTGATATAATCCTCTCCGTACCGGTAGTATGGGCCTACGCTGGATATCCTCGACCGTCGTTTGACATCCGTGAACATGGAGTTCTCGTCCTCTAGGATTTTTGGCATTCTGTTGATGCTAATTGTGGAATTGCGGTGGATAGTCGAGGGTCTGCCGGATGTGAGAGCTGGTGGAGGAGACTGGACATTGTCGTTTGGGGGCTTGGTTGTTGATGGGAAGGCACCAGGGAAGGTCTGCCTCTTCTCCCTGCGTCTGTCCTCGTTGATGTCCATCTTGGCTCTGAGTATGAAGTGTTGTGTGTCAAACAGGATGAGTTTGTGTTTGAGCAAAGAGTCTGAACCTGACACAGTTTATGGAAACTCCGCAAGAGACACTACCAAGCCGCGACGAGGTTTCAGGGCTAGATTTCTACCCAAAACTTCATTTATGGGTCCGGGCTCTCAGCCGTGGAGTGATCGGACGGGTAGACCGAGCGCTTCAAGGGTAAACGAGTGTGACGATGCGGCGCAGCAAAGAAAGGGAGAAGGCATCAGAGCACGCAAAAAAGAGTTGACACATCAGTCATGGGGAATCCGGGGCGCCACCAGTTCTCAGCAGCGGCACGGCAGCCACCACCGTACTTATTGAGCTGAAAAGGAAAACCACACGGACATTGAACCTGTCGGAGAAAACAAGGTTCGTCTAGCCCAGGCCCTCGGGTCTTCGGAGGTAGACAGGGAAGGAGAGAGAGAGATCGACGACTAATGTACAGAAGCGTGGCGCGGCAAGAAAGCAGCTGCATAAGTGCTCGACGCAGGCTGCTAGGAGGGCGGAGGGCGGAGGGAGGACAAGAAAAAAAAAATAAGTTGGCCCTGCAGGCTCGCAGGACTCGCCCGTTTCTCGTCCAGCCCGCGCAGCTCGTCAGACGTAGCGATGCACATCATCAACAGGGGGCTTATATTGCGTGACCACAGACTCGGGACACAAGGCATCCGGCAATGGCGGATGCAGCGCGGGCATGGCATTACGTTGCGAATCGGGACAAAGTGCCGGCCTCTTTCATATACCGGGCTGACGACGATAACTTCTAGACGCGCAGTCCACCTTCCCGACCGGGCCAGCAGGGACTGACTGGCACCGTGCCGTGGGGACAAGGGAGTATATCCATAACACCTCATTGGGCCCCCCAGGATCTCGTCGCGGAAGGTAGTAGCAGCCGCCTCTGCGTTCGAAGATTAGAATTAGGGTTGTGTAACCTGCTGGCAGTGGCATGCGGCAACGACATAGTCCAGAAACAAACAACAAACATCCCATCTTTCCGGCCATTATAGTAGAGGTGAACTGAGAGGGATTTGCCTGCTACCAACCAGGAACCAGACGGCTAATTTCAGCCACGCTGCGTCGCTCGTGGCAACTTAGCCCTTCTACACACAGTAACTAGACTAATTACCTCCTCCACACCCCCCTCCCCTCCCTCCAATTCCTTTGCCCCCTCGCGGGAACGAGCCGAGCCATAAGACACCACTCAGAAGCACTCTACTCCAGACGGCGCCGTCAGGTCCCAGCCCGGGGTGTTCGCACCACAAATCAAGGCAGCGGCCACAATATAATAAGCGTAAGCGGAGCCCCAGCCCTAGCTCGAGCTCACTCGCCAGCTGGGCCTAGCCCCGTTCCAGCTGCCCTCTCTCTGCCTCTCAGGCCTCTCCACGAGGGGGCGTGTGATTACTGCCAAGTAGTCGAAGGAAGCTTGGGGAAGCTTGGGCCCCTCCCCGCCAGGGACAGGTGAGCTATGGAGGTCAAAAACGCTCGGCCCAGCTGAAAAAATAAAAGTGGTCAACAGAAGACTAGTAGACTGCGTGGGTCCAGAGACATAAAGCCACAGGCGCTTCGGGGCTAGCAAAGACCATGTCTCAGCTGGCTCCATTCTCGAAGGCTGCCCGGTTGGGCTACCCGCTCGCTCTTTGGGGTGGGGAAAAAAGATGAGCGGGACGGGAAACTAGCTAGCTCGATAGAACCTGACTAAAACCGCTCGTAATAGAAGCGGTCGTGCTACGTGACCCCGGGGGTGTTTGATTTTTAGTCATTCGCTCGATTTCAAACGTGTTGCAGGTGCAGGTCTGACTGCGTACATGAATATCAGAGACACACACACAGAAAAAGCGTGTGTTTGCGGCAGGAATTGCGAAATCATCCCATCATGTATGTGCGGTTGGCCCCGTGCAACCTCCCTTGCCTATCCCTCCCCCCCTCTTCTCCAGATGGATGGCACGCGCCGCACACGCGCGCACGAACCGGCCCATGCCGTGCCCTCCCTCCCAAATCCTGCGGTGTCACGAAGCTATTAGGCCTGGGTTATCGTCGTTCCGGTTCGGTCGGTCCGTTTGCGAGCCTCATGATCGCCGTCCATGTCGTGTAGCCACATGTAGGTGGGGCTTGCAGCGTGTGTGGCTTGCTGTCTTATTTGTGCTTTTTCTTTCCTTTCCAAGACCTTTCCAAGGTTCAAGGGTCAATACCAAAAGCCATCATGTCACCAGTGCGGCCGTAATCTGGGCAAGGCTGATCTGATTGTTCTCTTGTATCTCTCCGGCGCCATTAAGAACTATCGAATCCTGCTTGTGCGCAGGTATCGTGGCCATGGCCGCGATGACCTCGGTGGCTTCATGCTCCAGGCAAGATATACACCAAGGCGCGAAAGGTATCATGCAAAAACACCTCAGTATTATACAGAGGCCTCTATAGTACCGGATTCACTTTTAAGAGCTCCCCATGCCATTGCTCATGCATGCGTGCCAGCCTCTCATCAAGCAGTCAACCAATCCAAGCAGAGTAGAAGCCAAACAGGCCGTCTTGTCGCCGACAAGATGGATGCAGGAACTTTTATGCAACATACCATGGTCTCATTAAACCCTCTTCGTTCCCTCTCGCCCAAAAATGCATCTTTCGTGATTCGTAAGCCGCGATGCTTCGTGATAAGTGTGTTGTTTGTCTTCTGAGTCCAACAGTCGAAGACGTAGACTGGCCCACAAATAGCTTTGATGAGCCCCTCATTATCCCAATCCCAGAACTCCAGCCGCTCATTTTTCTTGGCAGTCAGTCTCCCCATATCACGTTACTTGCTGGGCTCTCCCCATCAGTTAGATTATCAACTTCCACCACCTGTCTCATCTCGTTACAACTGCTCGGTCTAAGGTCCGTGCAGCTTCTCCCTCAGATAGACCACAGCTGCATATCCCGCGCAACACTGTGTGCTCATATTGTGGCTACACCACGGGCATTTGACGCACGTGGTCACCTGCCCGGACACCCCAAGTCTCTTATCCCTGACCGTGTCCTCGGGCCGCGCCATGGCTTCGTACACCCGTGACGGCATGTCCTGGTAGAATTTGCAGCTGCAGCACTCGACAAACATTTTGGCGATGGGCTTGAGACCTGTCGTGTCGAGGTTGCTGTGCCTCAAGGAAGGAACAGCAGGCCCACCTGATGGTTTGGGATGGCTGGATAGGGCGAAAGATCGAGGCACCGGCGGGCCCATGATGCTGCTGGCAAGCGTGGTCGTGCTGCCGGGGAGCGAGGTACTGCTGCCGCTGGTCATCGCTGTCGGGGATCGTGGGGAGGCTGGGGCTGCTTTCCTGGCTTGCTGTAGGTGCCTCGATGCTGCACTTGGCGCTTGGAAAGAGTCGGGGGTTCCGGCTCGGGTTTCCTGAATTGGGTATGGTCGGTCATCGACTTCGTCGTGCGTCGGCGATGCCTGAGCAGGACGGCCGTTGGTTCGCGGAGGGAGGGCCTGGTGGCGAAGCGCCGGAAGGAAGCTCGTGTCGTTTGTGGGTGAAGGAGCGCCGGAAATGGTTTTCTTCGCATACGCTGGGCTCTTCACAACCTCGAGCTTGACACCTCTGAAGGTCACTTTAGTCCCGTTTGGAGGATTCCTATCCAGAGAAAATGGCTCGATATCCGACATGGGTGAGCCCAGGTCTTGGAACGAGGTCTTGACGTCCAAACTCGTCAGAGCACTAGTGAAAGAAAGCTGATCCATATCAAGAGGTTTCTTGCCCAGTGGCCATAGTTCGTCTTCTTGGGGCGGCGGTCGTGCAGGTACATCGGCGAATCGAGACCTAGGCTCATTTGCAAGATTCCATGACTCACTGAAATCACCGGTTGCAAGATTGAGATCGATGCGTGGTGAATTTGCCCGAGGAGCAAAATTGCTGGACGAGTGAACGACCGCTGAGGATGGGTTCTGCAAGCCCAGACCACTTGCTCCATGCGTAGAGACCAACGGTGTCTTCTTCATTTCGTCAACGCGGCCAGGCTGATTGTCCTTCAATGACTGCGGCCGTGATGTGTCCGGGGTCGTCACTGGTGAAGGCGGTATGGATTCAGTGTCGGGATGGGATGATGAAGACGAAGCCCCCGAGTCCTTCGAACCATGACCCTGCTGGCGCCCAGGGTGCTCATCGGAGCCCCTATTTCCTCCACCACTTGTTGAAGGCCCCGCCGTTGAACTACTTTGAAGAGGATGAGAATTGTCGGAGAGGGTTGGCGTGATGTCGCCACCAATGAGTGTATCGTCTGTCCCCGTACGGCGGTGTGAAGAGGGTTTCAGGTCAGGGCCGGTAGAAGACCTGAAGCCAGCTTTGATGGTCTCTCTGAAAGTCTTCTTTGGGACCTGGGACACAGGCCTTGCACTGGTTGCAGGGGTGAGCTGAGGACTCATCTTGGCCTTAAGTGAAGCCGACAAGCTCGCGGGGGGTGAGAGCGGGCTTTCAATCGGCGGTGAGAATGGGCGCTCAAGGAAAGTAAAGTTATCCTGCTTCAGCCCGCTGGTCTCTTCAGTTGAGAACGAGGCATCCCTCGCCGAGTCTGGCGGGACAGCCATCATCGAAGTCGTCCTGTTCTTGCGCCCGTTCTTCCAAGACAGAGGTGGGAGGCTGAGTGCGCCTCGTCTCTCGCTCATCGGGGTCGATGCGCCTGAACGACTGTAGACATCGTAGCTCTGGGCGCGAGCCTGTGAATTGGCCGAATCGCTCCTCTTCCGGCCTCGTGAGAAAAGTGAGGAGACCGTTTGCACGGAGTCCTGCGAACCACGTCTGTCCAGATAAGGCTTGGGGTCCTCAGAAGCCTTGGAGGAGGAAAAGAGTTTAGAGACAACGCTACTGAGAGAACCACTTCGCTTCCTGGCGTGACCCTTTGCTGGAGGTGGCTGATTCAGGAACGGGGTCTTGGAAGCAGTTGGGGGGTATGAGGTCGGTGAATTGGGCCCTGTCTTCTTTGGTCTCTCGCTTGATGCAGGTCGTGACGTCTGACTCTGTTCCAACACTTCTGGCCCTGGGCGCTCGGCGGATGGAGCCCTCGAGTTGACCAGTCTCTGCATGGCCGCTTCGCGTTCTCGCTCCAAACGTACGCCACCAATAAATGCAGGACTCCTGACCACAGTTTGAGTTGTCTCAATGGAGCCTAAGTTAGCAGGGAGCGCCATTGTCTGAGGCCTGCTTCCTTCGATTTGTGCTTCCACGGAAGGCGGCTCCGATGGTCGGGTGTCGTCGAGGCTCATACGGTCCAACAGAGGCGCAGACATAGCCCGAGGGTTTATTTTTGGTCGATTCTCCATTGCCGCAGGAGGGGGCTCCTTGGTCAGCCGCTTCTTCACCAATTTCGTCTGGTTCGCTGCTGCTGCCTCCTTGTCTCTCCTCCTCTTCTTTCCGTAGTCGTCCCAAGTTGGTGAATGACATATTGAAGAGGTCTCCGACTGCCCGTCGTCCGAGGGGAGAAACGTCACCGTCTTGGTCTGTGGGGAGCCAAGACCCGCGGTGGCCCTCACCACTGACGGCAGACTGTCGCGATCTGCCGAGCCCTTCCTCATTTCCTTCAGAGGAGCTGGCCTCGTTCCTGCCGGCTTCGCAAACCTCTCCTGTGTCGTGGGTAATGGCTGAGTATGGACTGTTAAAGGCGGCAAATTATAATTTGGCATTGTGGATTTTCTTCGGTCGTCCTGAGGCGGCTGTGAAGAATCTCGGCGGCGGGTGAGCAAATTCGACTTTGGGCGGGCAGAAGGTGAGTCGCTGCGACGGCCCGGGCCAGCCGCATAAGGGTTTTGTTGCATTCTCGCCATCTGTGCGGGAAGAACAAAGTCAGAGATTTATTACTTGGAGCAAAACGGCTTCCTTTTGCACACGGGTGGTTGGTGATGCCAAGGGGGCCGGCGCATAAACTCACCTTTTGCTTTCTCTCGATTTCAAGCATGCGCTGGAGACTTGCTGCCCTAGAAGGGACTTTTGGGCCTTTGCCCTGCTCTGTGTTCGCCATGGCTGAGACCGCGTGGCGAAATTTGAGAGACTGTCTCGGGAGTCAAATTGACTGAGGCAAGGGGGTGAAGAGGACCAAATAACCTCCAGCCCACTTCGAGTGACGGAGCTGCAGGTGTCTGGTCAGCCCGACCACGCAGGTCGAAGTGGTCGATAAAGCTGGGCAAATCTGTCTGTCACGTATACGATGCAGCTTTGGTTGGGACTAAAGAGAGGCGAAGGATGAGGTGGTCCCAGAAGCTGCACTGTGGGGTATATTTGGTGTTTTAGCCCTCGCACGGCTGAGGGTTGAAGATGCAAGTGCGGCAGCTCTGCTTGCAAGTTGGCGCGCCAAGCTGGCACTGGGACGTGGGACGGCCAGGATCGTAGGGCGGACGGGGGACACGGCAGCCTCAAGTCAGAAGGTAGCGTGCGCGTGGCCGAAGTCGTCGGCAGCGGAGATGAGGTCAGTTGCAAAACGAATGTCTTGGTCGATTAGCGCCTGTCCGGCAAAAAAAGAGGTGAACGAAAGGTTGGCAATGGTGGGAACCGTGAGGTGGTGGTGTGGATGGGTGCCTGGGGGGATATGCGAGTGAAGTGGCGTGGAGTGGCGTATTAAAGTGTGCAGTTGCTGGCGTTGCTGGGCAAGTCAATCTGGGCCGAAGTAACCTGACCGGTCGATCATGAGGAGAAGTGACAAGACAGCTGAAAGAAGGGAAGGGTGGGTGTGGATGGTCTGACGAGGTCGGACAGGAAGTGAGCGAACACCGAACGGGCTGACTGGTAAGGTGAGGGATGATTCTGAGGGCGCCCGGTATGTGGTCGGTGGCTTTTTCGAGGAGTGAGGGATAGGTGAAGAAAAAGGGAAGCGAATGAAATGAATGGACAAAGCAGCTACCTAGGTACCCCTGCGATGGTGATACCGGGGAAGAGTCCAGCTAGGATTCAACAGCATCAACGGCAGGTGAGGCAGGAAGTCAGATCGAACATGGGACGATGAGATGACGGAGGGAGGGAGAGAGGCAAAGTGAGAGAATGTGTGTGAGAGAGAGAAAAGAAAAGAAAAAACATCATAGCAATCAATGGACGGCTTACCTGGCCAGGATCGATCAGATCAGATTTGATCGTGCCAAAAGCTAGGGCTCTGTTCGTTGGTGGTATCGATCACCGTCAAGGTCGTGTAGTTGGTGGAGCTGGAGCCGAAGACGGCAACTGGAGACTGGACGAATACACACACACAGCCCACAGCCCACAGTACCTAGTAGGAAGGAGGTAGCCCGGCCTGGTGTTTCGCGACCCCTTCTTCCAAGATTCCCTTTCGGCGTTGCACCTGGGGGCAGTTGGGGCAGTTTCGCCTTGCTTCCTAATGCTACCTCGTCATGGCACGCTCGTGGCACGACCGAACCTCAAACTGGCGCCAGCACGCCTTCTTTTGACGACAGCACTAAGAGCCTGCTTGCCAGCCTGCCCAGCTTTGCCCAGCCTAGCAACCCAATTCAAACCTAAGCCCCAGCTAGTCACCCCCTGTGTGATACTGAATTTGCTGTGGTGGCAGGGTGGCAGCTAGCACCGATCAACATGCAGGTCGACGGGGGCGTGGTGGGCTTGGAGCGTGGACATTGACATTGACATGGACAAGGGACATGGATCTGGGGCATGGGACAGAGACAAGGACATGGTTTGTATTGGCCTGAGAGAATGCGGGTGAGCGATTGTGGATTTCCAAGTCCCCTTTGGGGTGCTACTGTCATGGAGGCGTGCTAGGCCGGGGGACGGATGAGGAGAGGAAAAGTTATTCTTATTACAGTATTGGCCGCAAGATACGAAGAGGCAGATGCTGATCACTTGCTTCGCTCTCGGCCGGGCCCAGCACAACACGACACGACACGACAACGCACAACGCGATCCGATACGACACAAGACGAAAACGACAGAACGAGCACCCTACGCCGACTGATGGATACAGAACAGCACAAGAAAAGGACTCCGCCCTGCCGCGTGTGTGACCATTGGGGGCCCACGCATGGGGACCCGTTCGTGCCATTCTGGTTGACGCCGAGCGGTGTCCGCCCTTTGTGGGCAGTCAGCAGTGGGCATACAGGCAAAGTCCGGCGGGATCGGCATCGCTGCCATGGCTGCCATGCATGCACACGCATGGCCGAGGGAAACCAAGCACAGCAGCATCCCCAAAATCCTCAGCCGCTCTGCAGCCGCTCAGCTGGAGCATGGAGCATGGAGCATGGAGCAGACAGGCGGGCGGACAGGCGGGCCAGCTTCTTCACCGCTGCCCGCAGTTCACATGCTCGCCTGCCACCTGCTGCCTGCATTGCGCATTGCGCATTGCAGTGCATACATGTACATGTAATGTTCATCTTACATACATACTTGCAGTGCAGTGCAGTGCTGTGCATGTGCTGGCTTATTGCGGGGACGCCTCAATTGTTGGGTGAGGAGATCAAGATCAAGATCAAGATCACGATAAAGAAAGAGGCAGGCGAGGAGGGGCGAAGAGAAAATGCAACCACCGACCATGGACCAAAACTTGGCAGTACCATCGCGGTGGAAGAACTGCAGATGTGGAGGACCGACGCTCGGGTAGCCTGTCCAGTCCCTGTCGTAGGGCAGGGGGCCCCCCCTGGCTGTGGTCTCCGTCAATGGTCCTTCCACTCCTCGTGCCCTTGTGTCACCGTCGCCGGGTGCCGTGGTTTTCGCGTGCCTTTTTTGGTACGGCAATAACAACAATGAGCAAAGTCTCACCACCTTCGACGGCTTCTTCTCCGTGCTGACCATGTCACCTGCGTCCTCCAGCCTACCTAGCACCAGCGGCTACTGTAGTTCCGCTGATGCAAATCATCACTAGCCTACCAATGTTTTGTGCTGTGCGCCAGAGGAAACAGTCGCCAAGACAGTCAATACACGGTCACCGGGCGAGCCTTGCCATCCCTGGGTCAAGAGAAACCGATGTCGACATTCAATCAATCGGCAATCTACCCGAGAGTGTTTCCAGAAAATCCCAGGGAAGCCCAACCCCGGGCCAGCCTGCAGTTCCAGTTTGATGTGATGGATGCGCCTTTCTTGCTCCCGCCGATACGAGCTCTCCGAAATAGCCCTTTTCATGGCATGATCTTCAGACATCCTCGCCCCCTCCTTTCCACCCTTCCCCCCTTCGACCCAAAATGAATAGGGAATCTCCAGCATTGGAGCCGAAGGCAGAAAGAAGCAAGTGTGCATCATCGTCTTTGCAACGGTTCCCGGTCCCAAAACGGACCGCTTTTTTTTCTTCTTTAGCTCTTTCCAATTTGGCTACCCTTCCCGACTGACTCGACGAAAAAGTCTTGAGGCGCGCTGGGCTCATCAGAGCAGCGCCGATCAGTTGTTTCGAGCACATGGGAGAACCCGCGCCGCACGGCGAGCTGTGCGTAGCGGGCCCCGCTTGAGCGCGTCCCGCCCGCCCATCGCCACGAGTCTGTGTGCCGCGCCCAGGCCTCGTATCGTGAGACGGTAGCCTCTTTGCAGTCCGAGGAAGGAGGGGCTTTGTCTCAGCGCGACGCATCTCTGGCACGGTTGGCAAAATCTAATAACTCTTATGGGGAGGACTCTGGTGGCGCTGTGACCCCTTTTTTCTTGGACTCCCTCGTGGTAGAATCTTGCCGCCGCTTGTTGGCACTGGTCCCAGGGTCCTGGACAAGGAGAAACGTTGGCCGGCCCGCGCGACAGTGGATGCTTTCCTTCGGCCGAGTCACAAGCCGGGCCGCCGGTCCACCACCGACGACCAGTTCATGAACAGAAGTGGAGCCAGTGCGAAAAGTCAATCTACGAGCTGACCAAAATCGTCCTGAAACGGTATTTCATCGCATTTGGAAGAGGGTATCTACGCTCATGGCAATGTGGAAGGAACACAGAAAATACAGGCGGAGAGATAATCCGAGAGTTCCGTCCGGACGACGTCACCCAGAGCTCGCCGTTAGAACCGCCCAGCTAAACCCAAAGCAGCCTACATCGTTGGGCACCGCAGGACACGCCGCGACCGTTGCTCGTGCTCTTCGCCATCAGACCGCTCGCCCTCCCGCATGTCCCGGTGCTCCAGGCGCCTCTCCAAGTCTTCCAATCTAGGGCACATGTGCACCCACATCTCCTCGCCCGGCCCCCACGTTTTGAGCCCAAACAACGGTCTTCCCCTGGCATCCCGGGGCACATTCGCTGCCTCGGCGTTCTTCCTCTTCCGCCACGTCTGAGCCCACAAGCTCTGCAGCCGCACCTGGAACTCGTTGTCGATCTTGAGCCGGGCCGCCGTCCACTTCTCGTCCGGTCGGTGCTCCACCGAGATCTGCGAGTCCGGATGCGACTTCAAGAGCAGGCCATCGTCGACCCAGTTGCTAGTATCGTAGGACGAGGTCTGGGTCGGGGGCAGGACGATCTTGAGGAATTCGAGGGTTGGTGCGATGGTGAGGTAGATCCCACGCAGCGGATGGATGAGGGTCTTGATGAACAGGTCCATCCATTTTGGAAACAGGACCGCGAAATCCGTCTGCGACATGTGCGTCGAGCCCCGCACAGTCGTCATCCAGCAGAGCGCGTCGTTCTGCGCGGCCTCCTTGCAGATGTCCTCGATCTTGTTGTAGTTCTCGCGCCAGTGCATGAACGCCTCGGACCCTATCGAGAGCAGTGGCTTGGTGATCGTCTGCTCTGCGTGGCCGGGCTTCACCTCCGGGGCCGCCGGGCCCCAGGCATCCAGCAGTATGCCCTGGCCAATCCAGGGGAAATGGTCATTGAGCCTGAGAATTTGTACTGTGGTCGCGCCGCCGAAGCTGTGGCCCATGGCCGTGACGTTCTCGAGGGATAATCGCCCTTTCCAATCCGCCCAGTCGACACCGTCCAGTCCCCGGGAGCTTGACCCTCGGTTGGGCTTCTTCCTCAGGTTGTTGTCTCTGATCCGGTCTTCCGGATCGCCAGCATCGATGATCTGTAAGACCTTGTAAGCTTCTTCGATTTCCGCCAGTCGCATCTGGATTTGAGCGTCCCGCAACTCATGGTCAACTCCTATCGGATTGTGCGGCGCAGTGTCCTGCGCGTTGTCTTTAGGGAAAATGTAGTCCACCATGTAGCTCCGGGTTGCCTTAGGTTGTCCCTCGTTCCTACTGTCCGTGGCCTTCTGGGGCTCTGATTCAGACGCGCTCTCTCGCTTGTCCCTGCTGAATTCCGGTGAGTCCCTCTCCGCCGGCACATTAACATATGACCTCGCCCCAGAGCCATCACGATGCTCCATAGCCACCACGACAAATCCGTAGGAGGCAAGATCTCCACAGACAGTCGAATACATTGTCCTCGACCCTCCCAGCCCATGGCTGAGCACAACCACGGGGAATTTCGGCCTGAGGTCCTCAAACAGCCTCTGCCGCGCAGTGGCCCTCACGCCCGACGGCCAGCTGTTAGCCAGCTTCGCGTTCCGGAAGGCGGGCAACTTGGTGAACATGCAGGTGGTTGCCATGTACGCAGTGATGGGCAAGTGGGGGATGTTAAAGAACTTGGCGTAGCCCTTGCACGTCGGCACGCGCGGCCGGGGCAGCCAGGGCACGCGGTGCTCCGCCGCCGGGTCGGCGTTGGTCGGGTAGTAGACGGAGAAGAGCACCGTGTCGAGCTGCAGGGCCGGGCGGTGCTCCCGCTTGATGCGCGAGAAGGTCCTGGGCTCGTCGACGGGGAGCTCGACCTCCATGTAGCCGACGCTGTATGGGCCTGTGTAGTAGGGCAGCGCGTGAAAGATGCGCTCGCGCCATGTTTTAGGGGGTGGTGGAGGGACGACTGGCTGCTTTTGTTGCGGTCTTTGCCTTTCGTTCTCTTCCATTCCTGCTGTGTTTGGACCGCTGGGTCCGAAGGAACGCGAGAATACAAAAGGCAGAGGTTATCGGTCGATCAGACTTGGTGAGGTTCGTAGAGTCTTCGTAATGTTGTAGGTTTTACCCATTGAAACACCATGAGTCCTGGACGCTTTCTTTAAGTCGCCGACAGATGATGTATTTTCTATATCTCTTGGCACCATAAAACATTCGAAGACTCTTCTCACGACAAAATACATTTGTGTGACCTTAACGGATTTCTTCGCAACCAGGGAGACGAGAGAAAGTTCCTGGCCGAGTGACGTCACTCCAAGGGGTAAAACGCAAGTGAGCACTTCGAACGTGAAGCATGCTGGACCGAAAGCTCCGGGTTTTCGCACCCCGAGCGACGTCACTTGAGGCCGCTCGAGCATCCATCATGAGGATTTTTTAGACGACCATCGAATGCCAAATCTGTCGAAATGTCATCTGGTCTGATCTTGCGCTTTGGTAGGCGCCAAACCGCATATGCCTCCTCATGCGAGCCGCGTGTAGTGCGGCAGTCGGCAAGCGCTGGCTGTGGCTTCGGGATGGGAGACTTAGTGATAGTCTTACACGCCCAAACCTCGCCGGCCCCATCGGTCCCATCTGTGTAACATCCGACAGATACAAACATGACAGCACGCGCTTGTATCACGGTACTGTATGACTGCAAGGGTTCATGGATAAATATTGTAGGAAACGCCTCTTGCGCCCCCTTCTGCACCCGGTGCTTACGCGGTCCTTTTGTCACGGGTAGCAGCAGGACTTGGCCGTTGCACAACATGATACATGATGCCAAAGTTGCTTGCTACTACTAGTGCCACAGGGATAGGTCACAGCCTTCATACGGCCACCAGCCTTGTGAGCCTCGAAGCTGGAGTCCAGCTGTAGATCAGGCTCCAACTACTCCAGTTTGCCGCCGCAATATGTTCTTGTTACGCGATTATTTATAGTTGCAAGCGTTCAAAGCCACCAAGGGAAACGATCCCAGTAAGATACTTCAGGGCTCAGGTTGTACATCTCGTCACTATCAGTCCCCGCCAGTCCCAAGGAGAGTCTTTCAGCAGCCTCGCAGCTTGACTCTCAAGAGCTGAATACTTTGGGCTATTGAGCTGCGAAAATACGTGGGTGCAAGTCAATTCTATTCTTTAGGGTGAAGACGTAGCGAATTATGAAATGTACATTATGATGTAGAGTCTATGATGCATAAGTGTCAAGCAGAACCAAACTGACATCTTTGCCCCTGAAAACCGACCACCGTCTATCTGTTTCCAAAACTAGACGCCCTTACGCCACTAATCTATGCTATACAAGCACCAAGCACCAATTACCATGTATCGTCACGACAGCTGTGCTTTCGCAGTTCCTCGTTCAATATCTCCAGGCTCCTTGCGCTCCTGAGCTTGTTGCACAAGAGCCTGCTTCGTCACATGCTCCTGCTGCAAGGTGTAACCCTTGACACTCACGCTCAACACCATACAGAAACCCGCGAACGCGATCATGCTGACATAGATACCCTGGAGGGCAGAGTTATAAGCATCCACCAGCTCGCTCCTCTGGTGCCCAGGGTCCATCGCTTTGATGATCTCGACCACGATCGTTGCGTCCCGCGAGTACTGGTCCGCCACGCCCGCGAAGTCCGGCAGCTCCAGTAGCTTCCGGCGGAAGACGTTCTGGAAGATGACGCCGGACACGGCGACGCCAACGGCCTGGCCAAAGGTTCGCATGAAGCTGAAGAACGCGGCCGCCTCGCCGTTGAGCCCGGGCTCCGACGCCGCCTGGATGCTGAGCGCCATGGCGGGGAAGAGCATGCCCGTCCCCAGCCCTATCGGGATGTTCAGGAAGATCCAGGCCACCGTCGAGGTCCCCGGCTTCAGGAGCAGCAGGAGGCCGGCCCCGAGCGTGGTCAGCGTCCAGCCGGCCCAGAGGGACCAGCGGTAGTGGCCTGTCTTGCCGGCGATGATGCCAACTACGAGGCCGGCGGGCGCAACGGTCAGGGTTTCGGGGAGGGCTGCGACGGCAGAGATGACTGGGCTAAAGAACTTGACGCCCTGGTAGTAGAGGACTGTTCAGGGCTTATTAGTAGACGTTCGTGTGTGAGTGACTAGTTTTGGGGCAACTCACTGAGGAAATAAAGGACACTCCACAGAATCATGCCATGGAACACCGTCATGACGTAGGACACAATCATGTCCCGGTTGTTGAATACTCCTTTGTGGATGATGGGCTCCGACGCAAAGCGGAATTCCCAGTATGCGAAGGCAACCAAGCCAAAGGGCCCAATGATCAAGGGCAGGAGCACCCTCCAAGAGCTCCAGTCATACATTACGCCGCCTGTGGTGAGACCGAAGAGGAAGCCCGTTGAGCTGACTGTGAACAGCACGGAGCCCAGCCAGTCAAATCGTTTGAGCTTGCTCACAATGTCGCCGGGTATCTTGGTCTGATGCAGAAAGAGAACCACAAAAAGGACCCCGATTGCGATGATGGGCAAGTTGATATAGAAGATCCACCGCCAGGTGACATCCTGGGCGAATCCCGCTCCGATCAGGGGCCCGGTTACAGTCCCGATCGACCAGAACCCACTCATAATGCTGAACCATTGGCCCCGAAAGGCAAGGGGGACGAGGTCAGTGATGACGACCTCGGTGAGGGCCAGGATGCCACCTCCGCCAACACCTTGGATCGTGCGGCCAGCCAGAACTACACTGAAGTTACCCGCTAGGGCGGCGACAAGGGAACCGGCCGCGAAGAGGACGGAGCTCAAGTAGATGAGATACTTGCGGCCGAAGATGTTGCTGAGAGACGCCACTGTGGGCTGCAACACGGTGGAGGCAAGCAGGAAACTCGTGCCCGACCAGAAGGCCTCCAATGCCGTGCCGCCCAGCGCGGAGCTCATGGTCGGCAGGGCGACCGACAGCGTGGTCGCGTCGAAGGCGCAGGCGAGGCCCAGCACGCATAGTGCGATGAAGGCCAGTACGAAATCCTTGGTAGGCTTGAACACGGGCTTGTCGTCGACAATCTCTAGCCTCCCCGTGCTCCGGACTGTGGGTATTCTGTGCAGGTCGTCTGTTGCAGGGGCTTCCTCCTCTCCTGATGTCGGGGTACTAGACCCTGGATCCATAATAGACTTAACTCGTTCCTTGGATGTCATGCTCGAAGTATCTTCAGCCATTAAAATGAATAATGCGGCTATAAGAGGGTGTATTTATGAGCTCTCAAGAAGCACAATATTGTATCAGGAATGAAATTGGAATCATTTATATCGTGACGGATGTAAACTCAAGAAGTGGCACTCGCATTCCCTCTGTCCAGAGATATATAATGAAATAGTTACGAATCAACCAAACCCACCCCATCCTCTGGCTCCGCCGGACTTTTCATGACAAAAGACTACTTGTATGATGCCGACTTGCCAGCAGTGAATCACTCTATGGCGAATGCGAGGTATGGATGAGAAATGTGATAATTTGCGGGTCAAAGATTGCTCCGCGGGTAGCGAGCGATCCAATGGGGGTTAGCAGCTTAGAAGGATCGCGAACGCGGCTGGAAGAGTTGAGATGCGGCGAGAGGTTGCTCCCTCTCCGCCGGAGCCATAAGCACATGCTGATAATGTGCTGATTCCCCTGGGGAGGAGGAGTGAATCATACGACGCATACAAAAAAAATTGCACTTGCAAGCATGGAATGAAGCCTTCGTCGTCGTCACGGCTGGCGTTCCAACTTGAATGATGACTTGGAATTCGCGCCTCCATCGTCACCATCCCTGTGATGCGTGCGCACTGCACAGTCCTCGAGCTGACACTTGGCTGAGGCTGTGAGTAAAAGCAAGATTGTCGGTGCTCGACGGTCTGGTCTCGTCATGCCTTGCCTGCAGATTGATGATCAGGGGCATGAACGAAAGATAGGCACAGGCGTCGTCTGAGAAGGTTGAGCCTCAACAACAGAGTTATTGAGACGAGAGCGTAGATAAGGTTCTGCTGGTACCACTTGATACACGACCGCGGATGCTACCCGGAGAGCGTGGGCATGTCTGAGAGCTGATCGTCCTATGTTTGTGTAGTCTGGTTGGTTCTGTGGCAGTAGGCGATTTCACTACAGACCAGTTCTTGAGATGCCGCATGGAACACCTGGGCACCTGGGCGTGTCCGGCACAAAGAGGATGCTTCTGGACTGAGCCTCAGCCACGAGGCAGGACGAACTGATGCTGCTGTCTGGAGGGAGACTAGACAGACATGGCAGCGGATGAATTGCTGTTTCATGGCCCCTGCTCCGTCGGCTAATTGACGCCCCGAACCGGGCAACACGTACAGTACAGTTCCTATGTACAGCACCAGTCCGTCTACATCTGCTGTACTGCACAGAAGTGTACGTAGGATTTGCCAGTGATCTGCCATGCTCAGGCCTGAGCTGATGTCGGTCACTGGACTCGATAAGGCCTTGATCTTCCCGTCCCTTGCTCGGCCGAGGCGAAGGGCTCTTCGGCCCAGGGATCAATCCTTTCATCGCCTTCGATCCACTTCCAACGTCCAGACAAAGCTTACTTCATCGTCCAATCCATTCAAATTCAATATCACGGGACAATCATGCTGTTCACACATGCACTCACGCACGCACGCGCGCCTCGGCTAGGGACTGTCGGATGCTGCACGTTGGATGGATGAGGATCGGTCGGCCCTTCAGCCCAAGATGCCAAAATGCTACACCATCACATCACCATGGCCCGGGTTGTTTCGTTTCATGCCCGCTCAACCCCAGGTTCGCCCACCACGTTGTGATGCCTGCCTCATCGGCTAGCAGGTTCGATCACCCCCTGACACGCCCCAATCATACGGGAGCGTCTTGTTTTTAAGTTTACCTGCCCGGCAGGTCGACTCGTCCTGCCAGTGGCCCGTCTCGTGCATGCCTGCACTGCTCTGCTGCCAGCTGCTGCTCCCCATGAAACAGCGACGGCTTAGCGAACGCCGATATCCTCATCGTCGGGTTTCACATCTTCAGACGAGTGCCCTCTGAGGCTATCTGCTCCTCGTAGCCAGCGCTGTCTCGTGCTGTCTCGTGCTGTCGCCTCTTCGCTCCCTGTTTTACCACCCTCCCACCTTTTCCGCTTTGACTCTTCCATCTTCGGCTTCGAGCCGACCAATTCGTATGACCTGCATAGATCGTGGAGCGCTCGGGACTTTTTCTCTGCGACCCATATAGAGTGAAAACCACTGCCACATGGGCTCCCTCCGCCGCGCCTGTTCACAATCTTCGCCACGCTGGGTCGCATTCGTCTGTCAGTAGCTCAACATGGTCAACACGGGAAAGCCTTCGGGCGGCTGCAAGCTCTGTCGCGCCCGCAGAATCAAGTGCGATGAGGCCAAGCCTTTCTGCTTGAAATGTCAGAAATCCAAGCGGCAGTGTCCCGGCTACAGGGACCCCTTCGACGGCAAGATCCGCGATGAGACTCAGGCAACTATCCGAAAATTCAAGAGGACGCGCATCGTCATCGAGAAGGAACAGGTGCTGGAGGACCAGGCTTTGATGGAGGCAACGAACGACGATGAGGCCGAGGATATCAAGGCGAACCCCCCGGAATGGAAATGCGGCTTCTTCGAGGGCAGGAGAGGCAGCGACTCGGGCAAGTCATCGACGTCCGTCACATCAAGCAATTCGTCGAGTTCTTCCTGGGAAACGATACACGAGGACTACTTCGCTTCGCTTGTGACCCCCGTGGAGCAGCAGGCAACTTGCTTCTTGCTGTCTGACTATGTTCTCGTCTCAGAGATGCCCGGAGGGCGGAGGGGATATTACAAGTTCGCATACAAGATCCTGACCAAAGGTGATCCCTCGAGATGTCTCTTGTCGGCCTTCAAGGCTGTTTCGTTTGTGGCTCTGGCCTCCCGTCCGAATTCTCGTCACCTAATGATCGAGGCTGAGTCCTACTACTCAAAAGCCCTGAGGGAGGTCAACAAGGCTATCCAGGATCCTGCACAGGTCAAGAGTGACGGGACACTGGGTGCCGTGTTGCTGCTGGCATTTTACGAGGTGAGCTAAAAATCCCCAAATTATTCCAATCCAGGAGCTTACGATCGGTCCCATGGCGAAGACGTTAGCATCCACACGTGAAAGGCTAGATGAGTATGTCAACCACATCAAAGGGGCTGCCCAGCTCGTCAAAATGCGAGGACCAAATCAACAGGAGACCGACGAGGGTGCAGAGATGTTCGCAATGACACGCAACCAATACCTCTCCATCCGCAGCATGTCGCCCACAGTAGAGCACGATGACTACTCCTGGCTGCTGCGCCAACACTGTGGCGAGCCGTATGTCAGCCGAGTTGCGACCCTCACCATCGCGTGCAGCGAGATCCGCATGAAGACTGACCGACTTCTGTCCGGAGGAAATCGAGACCCGAGGAAGATCCAAGGCGTACTGGAGCTGCTGCGGACGGCACAGGCCATGCAAAAGAAGTTGTTGAGTCTAGACCAGCCTCAAAATGCTGTATGGTCTGTAAGCACCGTAATCCGAACCTCTCACAGGCCACGCGACGACGACGAGGACCCACCTGGAGAGGTGTACACTTTCCACAATCTTTACACTGCCATGATCTACACAATTATCTGGTGTTCTCACATTTTCCTCACGACCTGCATATTCCGCTGCATGGCCTGGCTGGTAGCTCCCGACGACTGGAAAAACGGCGAGGACTACGAGGCTGCCGTGAAAGCCACCAAGCAGCGCATTGCCGACATCGTCGCCGCGACCCCTTATTGCTGCTCTTGGAACGGATATGACGTGGAGTATGCCGACTTTCCTGTCGGCATGCCCAGCGCGGCCGCCCCTGCGAAGGGCGTCGCAGGCCTGGTCATCTACAGGGCTGCCTTTACCGCTTTGGTCTCAGACTATGCTACTCCGGAGCAGAAGAGATACCTGCATGGCCGGATGAGATTTCTGGCTGACGTTGTTGGGATCAAGCAGGCGAATGTCTTGCTCAAGGTACGTCTCCTGTCCTCTGACTTCAGTAGTGCTTAGGTAGCGCTTTGCATGTTAACAACTGGCCTAGACAAAAGACGAATCCGCGACTCCCTCGCGCGATATTGAGCGAGACAGAATGCGGAGATAGGTTGCAGCCTTCTCAATGTTCTGTTTCCATCCTTGGGTAAAAGGCTCGGATTAGGCGTTTCTGTAAGGTTTTCAGACGGGGAGCATTGTCTTAGCATTTGCTTCTGGGCTCGCAAGGCGCGGACACTCGCATTACGGGGTTTCAAGGTGTTTGGTCATGATATACGCAGGTCTGATTTACTTCTCCTGACGTTCATTAAAATACACTTTTTCTAGGGCCATGGGACCGGCTGAGCTTGAAAGGCCACGTCATGGTCATAGCCAAATCGACTTATTCTCCACCGCGAACTCCCTGAATGTCTTCGGTTTCCTACCGGTCACGCTGAGAACCACATCGTTTGTCTTCTCCTCCGATCCGTTCTTGATCGGGGTGTCCATGGCCGCTAGAACCTGCGCATATTCTTCGGCCATTCCGCTGTTTTTGACATGGTGCTCGGCCAGCTCCTCTACGCTAAGGTCGACATGCACGATCTTCTTGCCGACCACTTCGCTGAGAATATCCGCACACTGCGATCCAATTAGTCCACCAGCCCCAACACGCCGACACCGATGGCCTTAAAAAAATACCGGGCAAAGTCGACTCACCTCTGCATAAGAGAGCAGCTCGGGCCCCAATATAATATAGTCACCATTAGGCGGTGCCTCGGCCGTCAGCGCGGAGAATGCACACGCCGCGATGTCCGTCTTGGAGATCCAGGGTATCTTGCCGCTCCCGGAAGCCGAGTAGGCCTTACCCTCGTCCCTGACTGTCTTCTGGAGGCTCTGCTCCGCCCAGTTGTCCATGAACCAGGTCGGCCTCATTATCCCGAAACCGACCTTTCCTGCAGCCTCCAGCTCCTGCAGGTACTTCACGGTCCCGCCGAAGACAGGCCCGCCGGCTTCGATTGAGGTGGCGCTCCTGGGGGTGTGTTAGCCTTATTTCGGTCTCCGCTGTATGGTGGTGCACTCGGTACCAGATTTTCCTAAATTCCCGGATACTGGAACCTGAGTTTGGGGACGAGCATACTGTAGTACAAATCGCTTCACTCCGTACTGCTCCCTGGCGAGGTTAATGAAGTCATTCATGATGGTGCTGGCCTCAAAGATTGGTGGCGAGATGAGATATATCGCTGTTATGGGCGAGGTCTTGGTGGCCGTGATAAAGGGATTCGACCATGTCGTGCGGTCGAGCCAGTCAAACTTCACAGTTGGGTGAGGGGTCGAGGCAGTGGCTGAGGACGAGGACCGCGAGGCAACGAGATAGGGCGTGGACGAGGTCTGGCATAGCTTGGCGATACACAGGCCTACTTTGCCAGTGCCTCCTGTCAAGAGGACCGTTCCTGCAGTTGAAGACATATTGGGAGCTATGAGGTACCGCGTGGTCGAACCAGCTTCTTGGGTTGATATTCGGCTGAAGGCTCCGGTATATATAGCGTGTAGTGGGTCAATCCAATCACAGGCTTTTACAAATCAATGAGCCAACAATTCCCCCGAACGTGTGCATGGGCGAGGTCTGGACAGCTTATTGACTTCCAGTCCAGGTGCGTCGTGATGTTTCCCCGCTATAATTCCTCGTAGGATTGACTGCCCGTGTCTAAGACGCCTGAGTGGTCTCCGGTAGATCCGGACCCCCGACGGAAGTAAAGATGTTATATCCGATTTCCAGCCAGAATAAATCACATAGTTTCAATTACCACAGCAGGAGATTTTTAGTCTATTTAATCATTCCATTTACAAGATCACGGCCTGTTCACCTCCACTTTGGCTCTACCAGTGCGCGGAGTCGAACGGCTACTTTAAGGGCAAGTCGTCATCTCGCTGTCGAAGTTCCCGTCCAGCACACAGAACGCTAGCAGTCCCGGGCTCTCGGTGTGTTGTAACAAGGCAAGAGATTTTTGAGACCTACATAAGAGGTGTCGTATCAAAAGGCTAGAGGTGCATGTGGTTGTACGGTCAGGGGAGACACAGCCTTTGTGGCTTGCATTTAGCTACTCCAAGCCTCTGGCACCAGTGATGGCGGACGAATGATGGCTTGGGATCATGGTCCCCCCACCACACCACGGCTACACATAGCCGCATCTGCAGGCTGACGAGTAGGCACTTCTGATGCCTGGTGAGTCTGACGACCATGGGAGCGTTATTAACATGATGACATTGAAACAATTCCTCACCTGCCTTCCAAGAACAAGATTCAGAGGCTCTCGCTTTGGTCCTATGGTATCGCCCACTTCTTGTCGTCATGGTTCTGGACCCTTTCACTTCGCTTAGCCTCGCCTGCAGTGTGGTTCAATTTGTTGACTTCACGTCGAAGCTGTTGAGTCAATCCAAGGAAATCTACGACTCTGCGGTGGGATCGACCAAGGATAGTGAGGACCTGGAGGAAATCTGCACCGAGCTCCGCGATCTCAGCCAGCACATCGTCACTACATCCTCATCTCAAGCATCAAGATTCGGTGCCCTCGACAATAGGGAACAGGCCATACAGAAGCTCGCGCAAGAATGTTCGGCCACAGCGGACGAGCTCATTACAGCTCTGCGGTCACTTTCGCTCAACAAGTACCCTCGGCGTAGGGCTGCATCCGTCTACGCTGCCCTGCGGACCGTCTGGAGCAGACGTAAGATCGAAGCCCTGGAAGCTAGGATGGACAAATATCGCGATCAACTAGCGGTCAATATCATAGCGCTCACTAGGTAAGCAGTGTTGTGACATACACGATGAAGCTCACTGACGCCAATTCCGAAGCGACAAGAACGGCACCGTTCTTGAAGCCCTTCAAAATCTCAAAGACCAGTGTCATGACATGCAGCTGAAGCAGGATACTCGACTTGGCGATGTTGAGAAGGTCCTCGCCGATATCAGAATCAAAATTATGGCAGTATCCAAGGGCGCGGCACTACAAAGCGGAACAGAACACAACCTGCCGGACCCTTCTTACGGCTTGCCCAAAAGGTTGTCCGAAGTTGCTTCGCTAGCCAACACGATATCCGCCGAGCAAGAGGTTCTCACATCCCTGCACTACAAGGTCATGAAGACCCGTTATGAGAGCATCCCGGAGGCATACCAGCAAACCTTCGACTGGATCTTCAAGGCCTCACGCTCGTCGTCGGTGGGATCGAAAACCACTTTCCGCAGCTGGCTAAAATCGAAGAGTGGGATTTTCTGGATCACCGGCAAGGCCGGTTCCGGAAAGTCGACATTGATGAAGTTCCTCGGCTCGCACGAGCGGACGTCGAGAGCGCTGAAGAGTTGGGCCGCCCCTGACGCATGCGTCATTGCCAACTTCTACTTCTGGAGCCTCGGCACGGAACTGCAGAAGACTCAAGAGGGTCTGCTTCGATCGCTGCTCTTCGAGGTTCTCAGGCAATCCCCCGACTTGATGCCGACTGTCTGTCCCGACCGTTGGAGATCGTCACAAATCAGCGGCGCAAGGAATAGTTTGATCACATCTTGGACCTTGTCCGAGCTTCGAGAAACCATCACCAGGCTCTCGCAGGCCAATGGTCTGTCGAAGAGGTTCTGCTTCTTTATCGACGGTCTCGACGAATACTCAGGGAACCACCTAGAGATCACCAAGATCCTCAGGGAGCTGTCCTCCAGCCAGAACATCAAAATATGTGTCTCAAGCCGACCTTGGAACGTATTCGAGGACGAATTCGGTCGGGATGACGACAGGAAAATCTACATCCATGATCTCACTCGAGGGGACATCACGAAATATGCCCAGGGAAAGCTTCAAGAGCATCCCAATTGGAGGCTGATGTCCGTCCAGAGCACGAGATACGATGCCTTGGTCCAAAATATCACAGATAAGGCGCAAGGTGTCTTTCTATGGGTGTTCCTCGTCATCCGCTCGCTTTCGGAGGGTCTCACTAATGGTGACACGCTCTCGATACTCGAGGCCAGGATTCGTCAATTTCCAACAGACCTGGAACAATATTTCCGGCATATGCTCAATTCTGTCGAGTCCATCTACCACCATCAGATGGCTGAGACGTTCCTGGTTGCTCTGAATGCATCCCGGCCGCTATCCCTCATGCTTTACTCCTTCCTAGACGACTTTTCAGGGGCTCCGGGCAGGGCTCTTACCTTTCCCGTGCAAGGCATGGATAATTATGATATATCGTTGCGACACCAGCAGATGAGACGGAGGCTCAATGGAAGATGTAAGGGCCTCCTGGAAATATATCAGGACCCTGGAAGTGTGGATTACTTGGGGTATCGAGTTGAGTTTCTTCATCGGACGGTACGAGACTTCCTGGACACCAAGGAAATGGCCAACTTCTTGCTAGAAAATGCGCCAGATATCGACACCAATGAATCGACCCTACATGGGTTCATAGTCCTTATCAAATCGCTACCTCAGAGGGAAAGCTATCTGGCAGAAGGCGGCCCGTTGTCCAGCCTCCTTCTGGAGGCTTTCCATTACGCCTATGTATCCGAGCGCAAACGCGGTCAACCCCAAACAGACCTGTTAGACGAGCTCGAAGATGCCTTGGATACTCTATCTTCCACCCTCAAATGCAGAATTCCTTGGTACACGGGGTGCTACGGCACCGCCACCGAGCCGAGACCTATTTGCACAAGCTTTCTGGAGTTCTCAATTCAGAGTGGCCTGGAACTTTATGTCAGAGATCGGCTCACGAGAGCTCTCCCCATGGACAGCGACGTCTCCGAGGACAGCTTGCTCAAGTGTGTCTTGGCGCCGTCACCCTACCCTTCCGCCGAAGAGCCAGACCTGACCGGCCTCCTGGCCTTCCTGCTCTCCCGCCGCCGCACCCCGGCTGTGCCGGACGTGCAATGGCACGCATTCATCCGTCGGTCCGTCTCGGCGTTTTGCGGCCAGACTAGGGTCGCCGAGAATCCAGCCTCGGCGCGCTGCCGGTGCCGCATGATCGAGCTGCTGCTCAAGCACGGAGCGGACCCGGACGTACAGTGCGGCGACACGGATCTCTGGAACGACCCCATCATCCAGCAGGTCCGTGCCAACAGCTGGGAGCCCATCTGGTGGCCGCTTCTGAAGTGGGCGCTGAGGGACACTACCGCGTCGTCCGAGATGCTGGACGTCGTCGCGCTCGCGCTGTGCGCCTTTCTCCGTGCCGCGCCAAAGAAGAAATACGCGCTCGGGGCGGCCTCCCACGGCAGGTACGGGTCGGTGTGGACGGATTTGTGTTCTGAGGTCTTTGACAGGAGGGGGACCGCCGCCGGCGGTGCCAAGCCGGCCAAGCTCGAATTCGAGGCAGCGGTGCTGAGGGCGTATCTCGTCTATGGCGGCGCGGACCCAGGCAAGGTTGAGGGCCTCAGGGAAAAGATCGCCGAGCACTTCCCCCAGAGGAGGTTCTCCAGGCCTCTGCTGGACGCGATCGACGCCGCGATCGAGGCTAAGGTGACGCCTCGGCGGGCTGCTGACGAGCGGCCGCCTGTGCCGCAAGGTGCTCTGGCATGGCTGTGGGCGAGGACGGGCGGTCTGCTCTTGGGAAGTGGCACCTGAGGATTTGCAAAGACAGGAGTGGAAGGGCGCTCCGAGCGATTTCTGATGTCATAATCAGCGGTTTCATGTGCCTTCATGCTTCGCGGCGGACAAGCCAAGACCAAGGCAAAGTTCTTGCAGACTAGGCAGAGTGATTTGTGTCACGACCTCATGCTTCTGAAATCAACCTTCAGACTTCAGACCCGGCGACTTTTGTCATATCCCTTTCCCAGTAAAGTTCTCTGGGGCATAGCGCCTCTGTCCGTCCTGATCTTGCGCGATTGGGCGTGAGCGGGGGCTCAGATGTGCCACTCGAAACAACAAATGATTTCCTTCCTCGGAATAGTCTGACGTACATCGACGATTGCCGGGCGTTGGGCGTGCCGCCAAGTGTCCGTAGTCTCCGCCGCCGCGTTATGGGTGACGGCAAGCACGTGAGGTGGACTTTTTCGACGCGCTGTCTTTGAATTAGGTCGTAAATACACAAGTCTTGTCTTAGCCGTCGAGCTTAAATCCGAGGGATCCTTCCCGTTTGGAGCCAAGGATAGAAGGACTCGTCAACTTTCTAGACCTTGTTCAGCAGCTGTTTGACACATTGGTTTTGACCACTGGAAAATTATGTTCAAGGTTCATGTCTTTTTTGCCCCCAATACCGCCTCTTGCACTTCCTGACTTCCCGAATTGTAATGACTGACATTTGATGGTGAGATTGTCTATGATGTGTGTATAGAGATAGATAAGCACTTACCGTAGTCATCAAACATGTTGTTACAATAGCACCGGTGCTAACACGTTTGAGACCGTGACACGTTTTCGCGCCCCTGGCCGATTGTTGTACGGAGAACCAGCTTGTAGACCTAATGATAAGAAGGTAGCCCGTTCAGTCGATGAGTCCCAACGCGCAGATTTGTAAAAGCATTACGGCGCGGTAAGTCCCCTAAGTACACCGATATTCCACTGTGTACATCCAATTCTGTACGTGTAGCAAGTATCGCAACAAGCCGTCCCTGGTTTCCCATATAACGAGAGTCTTGAGCAGTACTAGAAGCTGCTGTCAACTCGAGCGAGCGAATGGATCGTCGCCGTGTTCAGGGTTCTCGCACAGTGGTTTGTAAAGAGACAAGTCGCAGTCGAATTGATGAGAAAGTATGTGTCCAATCGCAACCGACCATACCATACTGCGGCCCAATGGCGCCGAACTCACAATAGCAGACCTGGGCAGCCGTCACGTATGTCTTGTATGCCTCACCCGCTACCCAGGCTCCACGCCGGCCCCTTTCTACCTAGGCGCCTGCGTCCCAGTGTCTGGAGCGTTTGATTGGATAGCTTCACAAGTTTGTAACTCTGGACTTGAGATTGATTTGCATGAGAAGTAATCAGATGTCGGCTGGTATAGGCACTCGCCCTAGGTTTGTCACAAAGTTCGATCGAAAATGCGCCCTGGGCATTGGACGAGCTCCCCGCAAAATAGATAGTGATGCCATTGCTTCATCAGTGATATTAATACCACAGCATGCGTTTCGATTCATGGATTAATCCTTCGCGGTTGATCTTCGGGGCGGCCATGTATGCTTTCGTCGTCCGTCGTTTTCGAAATCTGTCGGTTGTAAGCAACACCGAAGGCTTTTTAAAGCATATGAATGTTGAAGTAGAGATTAGTTCACAAAGGTGAAGGCTGGAGTTTCAGATCAGAACTGCATATGGCTCGGTAGGTAGGTGCTATGTGTACATTCTGGTGTCGTCTCAGCATCAACCGCCGACAGCCACTCGCTTCGATGACCACGGGTTCTTGTATGAGATTCATCATCAGCTTTTGTTCGCTTTCGTGCTCGCGTCGCTATGATTGGGGATACAAATAGCTTTCATAATCGAGTAGCCACTAGCCGCCTGGTACCCAAGGTACTTGAGATGAAATTCACAGCCTTACAGACTCCTAGCACCAGTACGTTACATCATAACGGTCTGGATTCAGCACCTCAATCAGCTATGACGCAGACCAACGTCCATGACCTCCCGCAAGTAGTCGTCCGAGGTTACATGCAGGGCAGCCCAGGCGATCAGGGCTGGATCAGTGGTGTGTTGACATGCCATGATCAGACGGAGTTCTGATACCACTTGGGAGCTGCCGGTTAACAAGTATTAATGCAACCAGAGCTATATTTGTACTCGGCATATTTTCATAATCACTTGAATCTCAAACTTAACTTGACGGGCTTTGTACGCCGAACCTGACAGAGAAAGAGTCAGGCTCACCCCCAATCATCGATGATCATCGCGTCGCGATTTTCTCAGGTGTCCAATCTTTCTATGTACTCTCGGGATCTTCGGGTATGTGTTTATCAGTGCTTTGTTCGTCTTAAATGTATGCATGAAGTTCGACCGAGAAGCTTTTGCTGATTAGATGCGTCTGAAAACTGCCGACTATACGTGGGCTTGGGGTTGAGTTAGCCAGCCAGTCAGGTCTAATACGGCAAAGGCCCGACCGCTGCACTGAAACTCTGTTTTTCTTGTTATCAAGAAGTATGCCTTACCAGACATCCAAGAAGGGCAATTTTCAGTGCTTGGGTTCGAGCCTTTACTTCACTCCACGTTTTGTCTCAAAGCCAACGGCGCATGATCGTCGCCGCACATCCCCATTATTCGTCCGGTCTCGAATCCTTGATTATGATGACTTACACCAATGGTCTGCCAACATATGCCGGGCCATTTCCGCTGAGATGATGCTAAGACGAACATACTGGAATAATCGGACTCCTCTAATACTCTCTTTCTGATGGCTACATAAATTTTCCCCACGTCGAGGCCGGCCTCACTTTACTTTCTGCGCAATTATGGATATAGAACGGCAATGGCACGACTTAATGATACGTGCTGCAAGCTTTGACTTGGAAGGCAGGCAGAGTTGCAATATCCTCGTGCCTGTCAACTGTGGCAATGGAGTTTGTTGCCCACCAGCCAGTACCTGCGTCGCTGCTGGCAGTGGGAGTAATTGCTTGGGCCCGATCGGCGGAATAACCGTGAGTAACTCCTCAGAATGCTCTCATTTTTGCGGTTGATACTAGATGTCTTTGGATCTCCTGAGAATTCTGGGCCAATTTGAATAGTTTGAGGCCGCTGAAATGGCTGGCCACTTATGTACGCCATGATCGTCTCTCGAAAGACTACTAACCAGTCGTGTTCAGGTACCAGGGCTTACTGTGAGCGCACCAGCTCCGGTTTCGAGTGAGTTCAACGTTGAGGACATGCAAGTCCTGTGAGGCCTTACTGACATCATCACAGCATCTGCGGCTGCGCCGCTCCCTCCGACAACAGCACCATCGGCAGAGACAACTACTTCAACGGCAACACCACCGCCAGTCAGCTTGACAACTTCGACATCGACACCGCCGCCGATAAGCTTGTCAACTCCACCAGTGGCTCCGCCGCCGTCAAGCTCGACCACCTCGTCAGCCATACCACCGCCAGTGATACCACTGCCAACTAGCTCAACGAGTTTAACGAGTCTTGTCAGCTCCACAGCAACTGTCGTTCCACCATTCGAGTCAACTTTCTCTACGTCTTTAATATTTCCATCGTCGTCGACTGGATCGACGAATGTAGCGGGAGGAGCAGAAGGGGGCCAAAGCACCAGTAGCTTGTCATCATCACGAACCGCATCAACAGGATCCACGGGGGCTGCTGTAACCATCCCGCCGACCACAAATGAGGCTAATAATGGCGGCTCCGGCGGAGGAAACCGACTGGATACGGCGGATTTTATCGGCATTGCCATAGGAGCAGGGGTTGCCATTGTTTTGCTGATCGCGATAATAGCCGCCGCTGTGATTTTGTGGCGGCGAAAGTCCTTGAGAAGCTTGAGAAGCCGACCGAGGGATTCAGATGCGCTTCCGATCGCCAGGGCCATCTCCCCGCAGCACCAGAGCCTTCATGCACCTTCGGAGCACTACAGCGTGGATTACGACAGCCGAGGACCAGATGAGCCGTGGGCAATGTCTGGTGCCCAGCCAACCATGACCGAAACTGCTGCTCCTCAAATTCGCGGCACCAGTTGGTTCAAACTACCGTCGCCTGTCCGAGTGCACAGCGGCAGGTCGTCGACGTGGTCGAGACCCGGACCGGCGACATCCCTCCACAGTCACCCACTCGTCCGCAAATCATCAGATGCGAGCGTATCTCAGCACAGCAACAGGAGTTCCGGCGGTGTGCCGCGCGTTGTCCGGCAGTCATCCTCGACGTATCGGCGGCCCGAGAGTCCCCCGAACGTATCTATCGACCGGCAAGCCAGGGGCTCCGAGTCCGCGAGCCTAGGCAGCCTCTCCAGCGAGGCAGAGAGACATCTAGCCGTCGGACAAAGAGGAGACTCAGTAGTTGGGGCCAGCAATCCATTCGATTCACAACGCGGTTCTGGGACCTCAAGTGCGCAGAGACAGCCTATGGCTCTGTTGCCCGTCTTTCAGCAGCCGGTGTACGCTCAATTACCTGGGAATTCAGGCGCGATCGTTGAGTTGATATAGAGGGAGCCACGTTCAGATTAGATACATTGGAGGAGTAATTGGTTAATGTCAGACGATGTATATCTAAAAGCCATTTCCGACTGTTTATAAAGAGGTCACTCAAAATAGCGAAAACGGTTGGAGGTAGATAGTGTAACACGAAGCCATGCATTAATTTTCTGAGCAAGCCATGTTTTGTTGCGGGCGCCGATTACCACGGCACTCGAGAGATTATGAACGTTCGTTCGAGCGGCCTTCGTTCCCTTTTAACCCATCTTCTCTGTTATCTTGAAACTCGAGCCGGCTTCACAGCACTTTGGTGAAGGATTAGAAAACTCAATCAAAAGACTCCAAGTGTTATCAATCACAAATGATCAATCTCGTCTTCCGGATATCAGTGGAACATATGAGGTTGTTTTGCTGGATCACCCACAGTCGGTGCTGCGATTAGACTCGGGCCCTTCGTTGAAGAGGAGTGACAACATCCTTGGTTGGATTTCAAAAACGAAAAGGCTTCCCAAAATGTAAAGTGATGGTCAATTCCTTCCTGTGATACCTGTTAGTCAAAGGAGGATATCAAGACTGTCACTTTGTCCTCAGCCGAGCTAGAGATTCGGGTACCATAATTAGCAATTCTCTTCTTTGTTCGACAATAGCCACGGCAAGGAAACAATAAAAGAGCCGCCTCACTCTGCGTCCAAATACAATGGTTTCTTGTCTACGGCAGTATTCAACTTTTTATAACTCGACATTGAAGATAATAGACTTGTTCTACCCGGGCGGCTGCTGGGAGTTTATATCCACATACATGCGCATGAGCAACCCAAAATGGCACCCACAAAGACACAGAAATTCAGCGACCAAGGCCCTTACAGCCAGAAGAACACCCAAATATTACCAGAACACACGATATACACATGTCTCAACTCCAAGATCACCTGTATACATTCAATCACCCTCCAGTTCCATCGCTGGCGTGCGCGAGTCTTTCCAACCAAGCGCAGACACTGCAAATGTTCTCCTACCTGCCCGGGCCTCTCCTCGCGCAGACAAGGGCATTCTTCGAGACAGAAGCGCTCCTCCCCTCACAGCTCCAGGCAAGGGACAACTTTATCTTTCTTTTCCGCCTGCACCAGGACGACACATATACCGAGCAGACCACGCTCGAGCAGTTCATGGTGTGCCTCGATGAGTTCTTCTTCGCAGGGCAGCTCACGCGCGGGGGCATTTTGCAGCGTCTCGAGTACGAGCCGGACATCTTCGCAAGTGCCCCGACAGAAGGGTACGGCAGAAGGGGTCGCCTTTCGCACGGCGACGTGCGCACGTCCACGCCCTTTGGGGAATCAAGGCTTGCGCCGCGGCCTTCTGACGGGAGGTGGGTCGTCACGATCTCCATGGATCCGAACGACCAGGTGGATGGTCTGCCACACCCCCTGCACAATCTCCTGGAGACGCTTGTTCACGAGCTGGTGCACAGCTTTCTGCACTCTTTCCTCTGCTACTGCGGGCCCTGCCGCGCTGAAAAGACGTGGGCGGGGGTGCTAGGGCCTACGGGCCACGGCCGGTTGTTCGTCGAGCTGTTGCATTCTATCGTGCGCGTGATTCGCGGATGGGACAAGGACCTAGCTGCGTTGTATGTGTTGGACGATTTCAGCGATGCTTAGGTCACGAAGGCTGTGTGATGAGAGTGACTGGGCTATGAGGCCATGTCACAGATGACAATGCTTGCGTACTATGACAGCACGCTGAGCCCACCCCGTAGAGACGTTGTGAGGAGGCGAAGTTCGATAACGACGGTTGAACCGATCGGTAGATTAAAAATGTAGAATCGTAAGAGTGACAGATATCCCACCGGTTTGTGAGTTGTGAATCCAAGTATCAAAATCTGACACGCCGCGTATGCTATAAAACAGACAGAGACCATCCATAAATTTCGTACAACATTTTTGCCAACGCCATCGCCATGCCTTTGAGATAAGAGGAAATCAGGGGTCTCGGCCTCGGTGACTAAGGTTAGTGAGAGGCTAAAACCTTTGGAAATATGCATCTTGGGCGTCAATGATGACACGTTCTTTCTAAATAAATGGCACGAGTCGAAGGGACTAGTGCAACAGCTGGGCTGGTTCCACAGGAACACATTGATAGGGGCGTTTGCATACCCTGGACAACGGAGCACCCGGCGTGGAAGGGCTGTTCAGTAATAGCCTCTCGTTCCTGACCCAGCGAACGTATGAGCGGCCATCTCCAGCATACGTGGGACAGCCTCATCGGTCTTGAATGTCTCTCTTTGACCTTGACCGACCAGCGTAGACGTTGACGATAGCGGCGTGCTTATATTCGACGGTGGTCCTATGCTGCCAGGGCTTCCGTGGGCATGAAAAACAACTTGGGGGCCGGTGCTCCAGGGCGTATCGATACGCTCATCAACAAAGTTTCCGCTGCAGCCGACGTCGTAATACCTCGGTTGGGAGCTCTCGACAACCGAGCTTCTTTCCACCTCCTTAAAGTGCGCCAAGTCCGCTTCCATATCGCATAGCCTGAGTGTGCCCCTCCCGGCCCACTCGTCGATCACGGCGGCGATGTCTCTGAATCCCTGGGTGTGACCGCCGCAGTGTCTCGCCTTGAAACCGCAACAGATAAATAAGTATGAGTGAATGAGCTCATGCAGGAACGTCGAGATGAGTAGTCGGCGATTGTAACTTGTGTCTTTGAGTAAAGGGCTGCTCAGTACGATGAGCGTCTCGTATCCTGTCAATGGAGGCTGAGCCTCGCGCAGCGCAGTCGTGCCAATGATCCGACTGCTATAGTCATCCTGCCCGCTCGACGACCATTCCCATTGCACGCGGCGAGACAAGCGGCCCTGAAAGAAAAGCTCGTCTGCAGCGCTGAAGATGGACTCGAGAGCGGTGTCGTCAAGTGGGAAGTCGGCACCCCTGTGGTCTTTGGGGTGGATGAGGCTTCGCAGTATGCGCTCATGTCGCTTCACGTCCCGCCGCGGGTTGTTCATGTAGCGCCTCACCCGGGCTGCAGCAGCTTTGTCTTCTTCGGGCGAGAAGTCATTGCACTCAATCAGACTCGGATGAAGATCTGGTTCGGTCAAGATGGTGCGCCCTGAATTTGTTCGTTCCATGAAACAGGCCACCGGGGCGGGGTCTGGTGACAGGTGGCCATCGCTGCTCGGGATGATATTGTGGCGATGCTCGTCCCGCTCTCCCCTCAAAGCTGGTGTTCCTTCTCTGATGACAAAGAACTGCGGTTGCTTGGGTGACCAGCCCACATCTGGTGGTGTTCCTATGTCGTGGTCGAGATCCCAACTCCTCGGACGCGGGTAGAGCGACGCCTCGTCTGAGTCGTACTCGTAGTAGTCATCATGAAGGATGACAGGTAATCTGACTCCCCTGTGCGATGAATATTTGTGTGGGCCATGGTCATCTGTATGACCGGAAGAGTGAGCGAGAGCGCCTCCAGCTCCAACCCAATGCGCCATTGAACATTATAGAACTGCTGTTGTGGGACGGATCGAGTCAACAACGGCGTTGGTGGAGGAAAGTGCAAGATCAAAAGTGCATAAGCGCAAGCAAGGGTAGTATAAAAGACGCTGGGCGGGAGAAGGAGATGATTAAGCGCATAATTGAGATCAACAGCGTGCCAGTTGTTCAAGTCATGCTCCGTGCTTTAGGTATGCCGATGGCAAGAAGTGGCACTGGACTGTCTTAGACGGCCCGCCTCACTTGCATGGAGCGTGTACTTGGCTGGCGGGGCAAGACTTGGGCGCCTGTGAAATCTTGAAAGTCTCAAGTTGGGATATGCCTTGGGAGGAAATGGAAACCGGAAGGGAAATAGGGGACCAGCGATGGGATGGAGTGCGACTCTGCCATGGCAGTCCCTGACAAGTCTCGGACCCCTGCAAGAAACGTCGTAGTCGTTCCGACACCGAGGAGCCCCACGGCAGAAGAGGCCAACAGACAGGACAGGACACAAGACAGCCTCGAAGTCCAGATTATGGATTGTTGACATGTACAGCAGACAAGCTAGACTACTGCATCCAACGAGATTGAATGGCAGTCCCGGCAAGCGGTGTGTCTCTGTGTGTGTGTGTTGATTTCCAATGGGCTGGACCGGTATGGGTCCTGCTGCTGCTGCACCCGTGCTTGCAGGAGACTAGTCTGGGCCTCTTGACAGAGAGGCGACAACAGTTCCTGACTGTATTTGCATCGTGTGTACGTGTACATCTTGGGAGCGCACAGCAGCAGCTGTCAGCCAGGTAGATTGCAGGAACTAGCTGCGGGTGGCTCAGCGCGGTGCCATCTCGAACCGCTGTTTCTCTGCCGTGCGCCAACGTTGGTGTTTCAATGCTGTCGACGTTGCGCGCGGGCCTTGTCACTTGTGTAGCGGTCTGATGTTTTCCGGCCGTCAGCAGCAGATCTAAGGGACCGCACCTGCGCACGTAGTAACCTGTGGACTGGGAAGGATGCTGGCAGGATGCTGGCAGGCTGTCAGGCCTGCCATGCCAGGCAGGTAGTGTAGAGGTCGAGTGATGTCCGTTCGTCGTTCCTCAGGCACAGGAATAACGAGGCGGACACCTGCAGACGGCCAGACGGGCAGAGGAGATTGGCGTCGCGGCGATCTGCAGCGAATAGGGACTGCGCTTCTGGCCACCAACTGGCCACCCCCTTCCCCATCCCATCATTGGCCGTATGCCCCTGGCTGATTGGTTGATATGCACCGCCTTACTTTCGATGGAGCGATCGGCCATGTGGCGCCGGCCCAATCGTCCCTGGGAACCAAAAGTCTGCCCTCTTCCGAGGCTCGTCACGCTCGTCTTCTCCACAATACATACTTCCAGGCCCCTCCAATCCCGGTCCATGCAACTGTGCAATGTTGGAGCCCACGCCAACCCAGAGAGCTGCAAGCCTGCAACACGAGGACGTCAGTGACGGGACCACGGGCTGCCCATGGTGGCAGTTCACCGGAGCCGCTATCGCCTTCGGGGCGTTTCAGGGGTCCACACCTCCCCACAGGGCTCGGTAACGGCATAAAGACGAGCTGGGCTCGCTGGCTCGGCACGACCTGTGCTGCCTGTGTCTGTCGGGGGGGCTTCGGTCAGTCTAGTGTGCCAGCGAGGCATGGAGCCCGTCGCAAACAAGTTCCTCATGACCGAGCAAGCAACTGGCACGGCATTGAATCTCTGTGCGCCTCTCTCTCTCCCCCGCGCCGGCCACGCCGGTTCCACGTCGAGCCTTTTATGCAGGCCCATGCGGACGCTCCTCCGGTCTGGTTCGACACGCAACACTCCCGACGGAACACGGCGCAGCATGACGGCATTGGCCAACATACTTCGCCTCGTCGTCTCGGGAGGGCTTCATGGGCTTCATTTAAAGTGTGCTGGTCTAGGATGGCTGAATGGATCTGCTTCAGCATCTGCCCCTTCCGGGTGCCACATCCCAGTGCTGTTGTCTCGAGTAATGTGTGCTACTGCACGAAACTGATATCTATTCGGTAGGAGGGTAACCACCGTCCGGATGACACACACACAGGCTGTCAATTAAGACGGGCCACATCCAAGCTCGGGATCGGCTCCCAGCCTCCAAGCCTTCTATGAACAAGGTTAACGCTGGTCACTCGCTGTCGTACAGTGCATTACGTGATTCTCCCTCGCCTCCTCCTGCGACTAAGACACTGCCAACTTGGTCAATGGAGCATAAGCATTGGCAGTGCATGATACCTCTCCGTTGTCACAGGCGCAATGGTCAAGGGTTGCGTGTGCTAGACCCTAAGCCCGAGATTCCTGACGAATCGTACATCGTCAGCCTGCCTCTCGAGCGCCCGCCGCATCTTGTCGCTGAAGATCCTTTCCTCTTTCTCCTTCTCTAATTCTGCAGCTGACCTTGCTTCTTCCTCGAAATCCTCAGCTGTGAAGGCGGGCGAGGATGTGAATGTAACCAAGCCGAGGTTCTCACCGGTCCAAAACAGCAGGTCGTTACTATTGACGGCGCTTTTGGATCCGGTCTGCGTCGCAAGCAGTTTTCTTGCGATATCATCGGATCCCGGCATACTTGCGAACAAAGAAGGGGCCTGCGCACGCTCACAATGGCCGATCTTGACTCGTCGCACTTCTGTGAAGCCATCCCTTTCAAACCATTTGATCCGCCCCGATCCGTCCGAGCAAACGAGCCGCGTGCCTTGGTTTGTGCACGAAAGTAGCTTCGAGTCCGAGGATGATTGCCGGTTCTTGAAGACCGAGTTCGACAGACCACCCGGCACTGAGGTCGGCAACTGAGAAGAGGGCTGTAGACCGTACATCTCCAGAGAGCCTTTAGTATTGTATTCACCACATGCAATAAGCGTCTGGCCGCCAGGCGGTGTGGTCTTGGATCGATCGATTTGGTGAGGCGACAACAAGCCCTCCCTGCGAAGCTCGTTGTCCACTGCCGAGAAAGGGACGGGTAGCGATGTCAGGCTAGATAGTCGCGCGCCCGAGTGGAGGCTTCCCTTGATTGATGGGAACATTCGTCGATCATACAACAGGATACTGGGGAAGCGTCCCGCGACATAAATCTCGTCTGCGATGTCTGCTTCTGCTCCAGGTCGCTGCATATGGAGAATACTGAGGGGCCCGGGGTGAGATAGTGGTGCATAGGGAGGCAATGGCTTGTCGTCGAACAAAGCCTTAAGACTTCTATTGTAGAGCTGCTGTGCCTGCAGCCCATTTATCTCGTCAAGCTTCTCCGAACTATCGGTCTGTTTTCCTGCACGGTATCTGTGATCGTATGGATGGACTGGGAGTTCTCGTCAGTAAATTATGCCCACTCGCGCAAACAACGTGTCGATCCTGCGAAACTCTTGAACGTCCATCTTTCTAACGTTCCTCATACATGGAGACAACCAGCCTCGAGATTGCCTTTGAGATCTCGGAGAGAAGCTTGTTTTGTTCGTCACTTACTGCCATTATTGGTCCCAACTGTTAGAGGAACGCCTGCATCTGTAGTGGACAGAGCGGTGATGGACCACGGGAATGATTCGCATCCCACCACCGTGAGCCTGCGTAAATCCACCTCGATTAGATCTGTAGAGTTCCCGGTTAGCATTGAACACCACTTCCAAAGTGTATGAGACCACTGGGCAAAGATACTGTGAAGGTTGTCAGACTTACGGTTTTGGACGGCGAAGAAAGCAATGTGTAGTCTACTGTCCACGCTGACGCACTCAGTGACCCCCGAATCGATCCGCTTCGACCGGCTACTATTGTCCGCAGAAGGACCATCAATGTACAATATACCTGGCCGGCTCTGAGCGAAGATTGCCCCTTTGCGGCCCTTCGCCCCCGTGACATCCCACAGGCAGACAGAACCGTCGTCTAGGGGTGACACGGCAAAGACCGATTCCAAGCCATGACGTACTTGTTGATCGTTGTCTGGTCGGTACAGCGCAACACCTCGTGTCTCGATGTAAGTGCTCTCGGCTCCATCTCTCAGCACCGGCTGTTGCAGCCAGTTGACAGCGACAGGCGCATTACGTTGAATGTACTCGTCGTACCAGTTCACGTTTTCCCCAGGGTATGACGGGTCCCAATTCTCCATAATTCGTACATGCTCCTTTTTCCTAGACTCAGCAACCTCAGCCAGACTCGACACTTGATGCTGAGTGGTGCCTGAGGTGCCTGAGGTGCCTGAGGTGCCTGAAGCATTCGACTCGTCTAGCCGTCCCAGGAGCGCCTGCCGTCGGTGTAAGGAATCGAGATAGGTGGACCTCTTGAAGCATTCTGAGCGCCAGAACGGATTATCTCGACAGATACGAAGGAGTTTCTTTGAGATGAGTTGCAGGCTTGTGCTCTCGGACGGCTCGAGAACTAGGGGAAACAACTCGGTCAGTCAAGACTGGCCAAGCTGCTTGCCACCAGATGCGGTGGGTGTGACGAGTGAGGAACCAACATGATATGATTTGTAACAGTATCTCATCTGGGAGGTCTGGGAGCCCTACGGGCCGACCATGTTCTTCGGACTGCATCTGAGCGAGGGCTTGTAGTGGCGAGGCTCCGGGAATTCCGCGGTGTCTCGACCCCCCATCCGGAGGCCAAGTGCAAGGCAGAGACCAAGCTCTCTCACTGTCTGAATCCTTTGAGGAAGTGTGTGGGACGGAAGGAAAGTATGCTCGTATTGCTAAGCTGTAAATGAAGGGCAATGCATGCAAATCATCAATATCACAGGAGGGTGGAAAGCTTAAAGGCAATAGACTCAATGAGGAAGAAAACAACAGCAGATTGGGAGCTTGGAGCTTAGGGGGCCTGGAGATCCGGGGAAGCACGACTGTTGTACCCAGCAGTCAATCAGACAATCACTCGCGGAAGAAGGCCCCACTCACCACAACCCTACCCCCCATACCCACCGCCTAGCGCAACGGCTGGGTGGGAAAGCCAATCGGGCCCTACTCAGGCACGCTAGATAAGCGAGGGCGGGGCTCAGGTTCATGCCTCGTAGAGGGACCCCTGCTGGTGGTTCACAGAGCCGCTTTTCAACCTCACTCCTGTGCTTTGCCCAAATGCGGCACAAGAAGACCTCTTTGTCCGTCTTTTCATGCTCCGAGTCATGGCATCTGCAACCTATCTCTAGACTGCGCTCTTGGATGATCTAGCTGCTCAGTGTCCACTTAGTTGCATGTCTGCTCCCATCACTGTCCCACTATCATGGACACCACTTGATTGAACCCAAGAGCCAAAGGCTGGCCCGACCGTAGTGCTTCAAGCCACGGGTATCAACGCTGGACCAATCCATAGCACCCGATGTGGAAAGTCGCAACTGACGGGATCTTTCAAAGAAGACTTGCCTGACTACGACTAAGTGCGTTCCAGGACAAGACCTGGGAGACGATAAACTTGACTTTGTGCCGTTTACTATCAAGAGACTTACCACTCTGCATATGTCTTGTGTTATGCACATATTACGGAAAGAGAGCATTTTGTTTCCTGGTCTTTTGACTTGGCTGAGGCCAACCTATCTTTGTTTCTTAAGCCCCTTCCCAGGATTCTATGAATTACCTAGGTATCATGGTATTAATTGAATTGAATTCTTACACAGATTTCAGGGAAGTTATACATATACAATGAAGCCAACCCCTACTCATTTAAACTATTGCTCTCAGACATAGGAGGGCTGGATTACCCATGGTGAGTCCAGCCATTGTATGCTAGCGACTCCTCTAGAAATTCTCCGGTTCTATCACCCGGTGGACAAGAGGCCACGCATATAGTGCACAGCTAAACAGGAGCACACCACTATTATATTTACAAATGTGATTTGGCTGTTGTCCATTAATCTTACTCTCCAATCTGATCGTATAGTACACCACCATGGATGATATCAGCTGAAAGCGTTGTTCAGGGACATGACTGGAATTGAGCTGTACCAAGTTGAAGCTATTTCATCCTCTTGTTTTCTTGGTTGGTGATAGGAGCTGGAAGTATATTTGTCCGAAATCTCTCTGTGATTTTGATAGCTTCACAGCTTCTCCCAATGTGAGCATCATACGATGTGAAAGCGAGTCCTGAAAACACCAACCTCATCAGCAACACAAACCCTCACACCATTGCCAGCATAGGTATGCTTATACAGGCCTCAGAAGCTGATTTGTCCAACAACCCACTTCTCGTCTCTTGTCAGAAATAAACCGTTCATCCAAAAGTCTAGTCCAGTACCTTGTTTGGCCTTGCTGACAGTCCATCCATCAACAGGAACCCCCTCATCGCGTCCCCGGCGCGTCCATACGCGCGTGCTACGCGTAGCCCAAGGCTCACCAGGTACTTCGCCCTGTTTGCTTGCTTTCACCCCCTTCACCATCCATCATCATCTCAGAAACCTGCAATATTCACACAGACAAGGCCCCCACCCACCTGCCTGCTCGCTTGTGTCTGCAGTCTTGACCTGTTCTCTCAATCATCCTGACCCTTGCCTGCTCGATCTCATCCCTCATTCACCATACCCTTCGCTCTCCTGGAGTACTCCCTCAGTCGTCCTCTTTTTTCCATCTTTGCCTTTTCCCTCGTTCTCTTGGCATACTAGCCTATCGCGCGCATTGCCGTATGTTCATACTCATTTCGCGACTCAATTAGGTGAGAAACGGCACCATGGCGAAACCTCAGCGCCAGGCGGAAGGTGGAAGGGACGGTGCCTGCCGTCCTCCAGCCAAACAACAGAACGACCACTCGCCGTCGGATGCCGGAGACCAGTCGAAGATGGTGTCCTCCGCTTTTCCCAGCAACCAAACACGCCCGCTTTTCGGCAGCCTCGAGGAAGCACACTCCCGCATAACTCGACTGCGACCAAGTGGCGGTTCCCGGAGCGTCTCTCGAGAGACCAGCTACAGCGGAAGCGGAGATGACACGGTCCTCAAGGACATGAGGTCTTTGTCCCCCACCGATGCCAGAGCCATTTACACAAACGTTGGCTACCCAGTGACCCGCGCGTTTGGGCGTAGCTTGACTGATGCAGTCAATCGCACGGTCGATGAGCAAGCACTGGTGCCGTCGCCTTTGCTTGTCCAGAAACAGCCCACCGCTGATCCGCAGAAGAACAATGTCTTCATCACCCCACCGGTCTCTAAGACCGCACCGATCGTTTGGCAGAGTCCGGACGAACTGTGGCAGAGTCCACAAGCCTATCTCACTGAGGCTCGAGCTTTTGCAGAGGCGCACACATCGAACCAGCCGCCGCCCTACTCGCCTGTAAGCAGAGCGGATCGCACCATTGACCACTGCGACCCAAAGACTCAGAACTCCTATGTCAATCAGTCCGAGTCTGGCTCTCATGTGCTTCCTGTCGACGGAGATCAATCAATTCGCAAACGCCCGGGCGAAATCGAAGCGAATGCTACGCTTGGCCGTATAGCTGAGAAAGGGGTTGGTGTAGTGCCCCAAATTTCCCTTCCAGAAGTCCCGTCATTCCATCACACAAATTCATTTGCTGCCTCAGCTCGACCCAACCTCACGGAAGCTGTGCTGGGAGGATTGAGTGCTTTGCAGGCTTCAGAGAGTCCCTCTCCCAAGCGACTGTCGTATTGCAGTGACAGTAAGGATGATCGAGCCCGCATCGGTAGTGATCTTGGAGTTGGATCCGGCATTGGAGTTGATTCTGATGCTGGAGCTGCGTCTGAAGAGAGCAAAGTACCCCAGTTGTGCCCCCCTCCTGCTCGCATGCACTCTGCAAGGCGACGAGAACGAGGCAGACAGAGCTTGCTCAGCAGTGCACGCTCATCGATTACTGGTGTGACAGAAGGCTCGGAAGAAGATCCATTCCATTACGACAGCGTGTTCCTGCGCCCCTCAAGAGAGCGAGAGGTTTCTGCTTATCTGCGTCAAGTCAGTGGTGTTGAGCGTGGAAGTACAGCAATCATTTGCTCACCAGATGGCACTCCTCTGAGAAGTCCACGTCCTCTTTTGGACAGAGACAGCCCCTCGCCTGAGGTGTCACCACTTCGCTTGCCGCAGCGTACAGCTGTAGGAAATGATGCAAGAACCCAACAAGATCAAGAGTTCTTTGAGCCCAGTGCAATCAATCCTCAATGGACTGTGGGAAGCCCTGCTGTTGTCAGAGTGCCGGTGGGGGAGAAGGGCCATGCCCACCAGAGGCAGAACCTGCCAGAAAGCCATGCAGGTGGTGGAGGGGGTTTGCATAAGCTGGTGTTGGAGGGACTGCGTGATTGTGAGGAGCAGAGCCGTCTCCCGACTGGAAATACAGAAGGTTAGGAAACTGAGTACACCGGTCATGGAGGATGGTCTGGATCTGAGATTGGTGGTGCCGGCCTTGCTTTCAACACAGAGTTTGGCACAGGTGGTTTCAAGCAGTGTGGCAGCTCCATTGCGAACTATTCTGACTGCGAAGCTCCTTTAGATGCAGCTTCGACCAATCCCGGTCTTGGAAGCTCTCTCACAGGTCCACGAGCAGGTATTTCGCAGCCAGCAATTGGTCCATTCGACACGCAGCCTCGAATTGTTCACCCACCAGGCACTGGCAACAAACCTCAGGACCTTCGATACCGAAAACACAACGTCAATCAGGCACCACTGCCAGTCTTTGTTCCTGAACAGCGGCATCATAGGGTCAATGGACTTTTTCAGGACACCTCAAGACCTGTCGCCAACACCAACCCAGCCAGCAACAGTCAGGATCAGAATCGATCCCAGTTCTTCGGTCAACGGACCCCAAGTGCGATTCGAGACCCGTTTCTACAAGCCAACAGCAAGCGGACGTCGTATCGGTCTTTCACTCTTCATCCAGGCCTAGCGCCCCGTCACCCCTTTACTGAGCTGGATTCTGATGACGGCTCTCTTCACGAATTACAGCACATCACTTCTCAACCAGATAGCAGACGGCCAGGCACTTCAGGCAAACGTTGGGACGCTTCGACCGAACTCGACCCAAACAAGCAGCTGACTCTCCAGCCCGATCAAATGAGTCAACAGCGTCAAATGCCTCGGCGGCGTACCCCATGGCTGGTCCCAGTGACCGATCTGTCAACCCCCTCAGGAATGCCGCAGGCTCACCTCAACAGCCGCAATCGTGGCGATAGTTTCGAGTCGGGCGCATCTATCAGCCTGATTGAGTCGACTCAATTCGACCTAATTCCTCTGGCAGTTGCGCAACAAAGGCAGGCTATTCGACTCGCCAGCGGTCAAGAGGATCAGACTCTCACTGGACGCGCGCGTCTTGAGTCGATGAGGAATGTCAGCTGTAACACCGATGCCAGCCAGGCCGGCTCTCGGCTTGAGACACCATCTTCGGTCGTTACTCCCAGCACTCGCAAGGTGTCCCGATTTGTTCCTCGTGGGTTTGCCCAAGCCTCCAGTCCTCTTTCAGGGCGTGACGAGAACGATACTAACGGTAAGATTTCCACAGTGAACATAAAAAAGTCGATCCGCGACCTCAAGAAAAGACTGGGCTAATCTTACAAGAAGCGCTCGTTGCTGGCGGCGATAGCCATCCGACCATCAGTACCACCACCGGATCTGATTTGACTGTCACGACGATCCGCCAACCGGACGGCACTCAGTACCGCATTTTCGACCCCGCTCCACGTCTTTACCCCTGGGATAGACTTCATCGGCGAACTGCGGCCCAGAAGTCTACCGATCGATCCCTGCAGCGCATCACTGGACGAATTTTCAATAATCTGGACGATATGGAGCGCGGTGCAGTATACCGACGCGTTCATGACACTGAGCCCTGGCTTTCCGACAACGCTAAGGCAAAACGACGTTCTTTGTTTCTCATTGTCGCGCTTCTCTCCATTTTCCCTTTCGTCTCGCCGATTGCCCTCTGCGGCGGCTTCAACAGCGTGCTGTCGTGGCACACTCATGGCGAGGTCGACCGTTTCAGCACTAAGCAGAGACGGTGCCTGATGATCGAGGCGATCATCGCTTTTCTTTCTGTTATTGCAATCATCATCTTTGTTGTCATCAAGTACGCACTTCACCACTAGGGATCTGCGCCTTCAAACTTGAACGACGACTACGAGCGTGATACACGCCACATCACGGTCTTCAAAGACGTTGTCAGGAGGATGACATGTGCACTTTGCGCTTCTGCTTTTCGGCTACGATTCTCGATTTTACGTTACGCAATCCTTGGTCATTTCAACTGCTGCTGTCCTCAGGCAAACCCGACCAGAGGCCAGCTTTCCGACCGTTGCACACTCAACCTCATAGTACCATGTCTGAATAAGGAGTGAGACCTCGCAACTCTCCTGTGTAACTGCCTCATAAAGCGGCAGTCTTCAAAGAACTCGATCTTGTTGGGCACAGCAGGATGGATACAACATCAGCAACTGCAAACCTGCACACAGGATGCCATCGAATACCAACTTGTTTCACACTCTCGTTTTCGTTCCTATTTCTTTTCAAGCGGTTCGGAATGAAAGCCGCTTCTCCTACTCTCATACCTCCTTGCCAAAATCTCTCCTGGCCTCGAATTCTGAGGGAAATCATCAGCAAGGCGTTCAGTGATGGATCTGCATTCGAAGCAGACTACGGTTCTGGACACGCATCACAAGGCGTTACTTGCAGCAAACCAGCATGATGGCTGCAATGAAATTGAATCAGATTTGTTCCACGGTCCTTCTCACAATCTCGACTTTTCTTCTTCTGTTGGCTCGGATAGGTACCAGACCTTCTGGCCGTTTACTAGGGAGGCATATCTTTAAGGGAGGCGTTCAATCCAGAATCTGCATGCAATGGAAGTTCAGGCAGGAATTTGTTTGTGTATCTCGATCCGCCCAGTATTATTAGGAGCTTGCGGAAATTTGGACAGGACGGGCTGTCTACATTTGTTGTACTTATAAGTAACTTGTAAATTCTGTAAAACTTTCGTGTCCTCCGTGATGTCCCCTGTGTGACAGTGATAGATGACGCTATAGCAACAAACATGGCCCATGAGAGGCTGATTCATAACCCAGAAGAGCATCACATTGACCTACCTGCCGTTGATGGCCCTCAGCAGATCTGCCAACTCGTACGACGCCAGATAGTCGTTGAGAACATGTTCACACTGGTCAAATTGCGCACAAGCTAGATTGTAGGATGAGTGTAGACTCACAAGACCTCAGGTTTCGGAACTTGGAAACTGTTCTCTTTATTATGCAACTTGTCCTTGTTCTCAGGAAAATAGGGAGTAAAGAAATCCCCCCTGAGAATCCCACTTCTCCGGTGCCCCATTTATATACGCAACTTTTCTAAGAGGAAAAATGACAACCCTTTTTTATCCGCGGAACACTCATCCACCCATCTCTCTGTTTATTGCCCAAAGACAATTGCCCGCAGCCTATCCTTCTCTCCACTCTCCTCGCACATACCCCTGAACACACCCTTCCCGCCGTCCCGCTCCCACAGCTCCTGGGGCGTGCCGTACTCGGCCACGCGGCCATCACCTAGCACGAGAATCCTGTCAAAGTCCGCGATGGTCGACAGCCTGTGCGCAATGACCACGAGCGTGGCGTCGGTGAACTCCTCCCGAATAGACCGCTGGATGAGCGCGTCAGTGGACATGTCCACCGCGCTTGTGGCCTCATCAAGGACCATCACGCGCGGGCGCGCGACAATCGCACGCGCCAGGCAGAGAAGCTGGCGCTGGCCTTGGGAGAGGTTCAGGCCGCCCTCGGAGATCGGCGAGGCGAGGTCGGTGAAGACGTTGGTGTTGGTGTTGCTTGCGCTGTCGGTGGACGAGGATGCGACCGGGGTCGCTGTGCCGCCTGTGCCGCTGATGAGGTGCACGCGCTCGAGGGAGTCGCGGAGCTCGGCGTCGGTGTGCTGTTTGAAGGGGTCAAGGTTGGAGCGAACGGTGCCGGAGAAGAGGACAGGATCCTGGGGGTCAAAAGTCAGTATGTGGGTTTCAAGGAAGATGACAACTCAGTTGTGTGTACCACTCACCTGAGGGATGATGGCCAACCGCGACCGTAGGTCATGAAGCTTGATCTTTGAGATATCCAACCCGTCGATGTGGATGGTTCCCGACCTCGCCTCCAAGAACCGGAACAGCGCCAGAGTCAAAGAACTCTTGCCTGCACCTGTGCGCCCTACGACACCGATGCGCTCATTGGTCTTGACGCTGAAGCTCAGGCCCTTGAGAACAGGCGGAAGGTCTGGCGCGTAGCCGACAACAAGATCGTCGACCTCGATGCTGCCTCCGGTAGGCCAGGCGGCGGGCGGGCTTGAACCATCGAGGGTCTCGGTGGGTAGCTCGGTGTACTCGACGATCCTCTCCGCGGCGTTCATGTTCAGCTCCACGTTTGCATACAGCCGGATGGTCCAGACGACACAGTTAGAGAACTCCAATGCAAAAGCCAAGGCAAAGCCAGCCAGAGCGGCGTCAATACCGGGTGTCAACAAGATCAGGAGAGAGACAATAATCGCGAAAAGCGAGCCGACAAGCGCCATGCGCCAGCCCATCCACCGATTGAACAGCCAGAGGTGCCACGTCGCAGTGTCGTAGTCATCTATCTTCTTAAACATCCTCTCGACGTAACTTTGGGCTTTGTCGAAGCCCCTGATAGTGGCCACGCCGGTCAGAGCTGAGCCAAATTGCTCGAAGACCGGGGACTTCGCGGTGCTCTCCAGCCTCTTGACGGGCCGCGCACCGTCAAGATAGATCAGTGCGAAGCGTAGGCAGGCGAGCAGTAGCACAAAAGCAAACAGGACGAGGTAGGGCGACACAAATAGCGATGCAACGATGACTCCAATGAGCTGGAGGAATGAGCTACCACCGAAGGATACGGAATTGGCGAGCTGCGAGTCGATAATGTGGAAATCGGCCGTGAACCGGTTCAGGATGCGACCTACGGGGACGGTATCTAGCCAACGAAGCGGCGCGCGGAGGATCACGAAGTTGAGCTTGGCGAAGAGTTGGCGGGACGCTCGGATAGAGCCTGTATAGGTGTAGTAGAACTTGAAAGTGGCGACGAGAGCGGTGCTGAAGGCGACCGCAACGTAGATTCCCAGGTAGTAGCCAAGGTTGTGGTGTGCAGTGGCAGTTTGGGTGGAAGTTGAGATGTGGGCGTGGGGGTGCACATCGACGGTCTGCTGCAGGGAGAGAGCATATGCGTACCCGTGATCCTTAGAGGCGTTCACATGAAATGCGTTGACGGACTCTTCTTCGTAATTGCCTGTCCAGATCCGCAACCACCAACTTCGCCCCAAAGCTAGGCCTTGGTTCAGGAGGAAGATGGAGACGCAACTTGTCCAGAAGAGAAAACCGCCAGAGTCTTTCAGATAGACCCCATAGACATGAGTCTTGATAGCGCCTTGCTCACGCTTTTCGTCCTCAACGAACTTGCGAGGGTCATTGTCCTGCTTGGACAGCATCTTTTTCAGTGTGTTCCCACTTGCCTCGTCCTCCTCTGAGTCCTCGTCAGAAGGCTCGTTCGAGTTGACCGCTGTAGCATTCTCATCCTCACGGATCTCCTCGTCGGTCTGCTCGTGGCTCTTGATAAGATCAAGCGTGCCGTCATTTTCGAGTTCCGAAAGAAGGCCGGCATGCAAAACCTTGCCATCGCCCAACTCGACGAGGTACTTGGTCTTAGCCTGGCAAAGTGCGACGTGGTGGGTGACGAGTATTCTGGTTCGACCGGTTGCCAGCTCGCCCGTCAGACATTCCTCAAAGATGTGACGACCGACGTGAGCATCAACAGCCGAGAATATATCGTCGAACACAAGTATGCCTGCTCTCGAGTAAATGGCTCTTGCAAGTGTTACGCGCCACTTTTGTCCACCGCTAAGATTGATACCATTGGCGCCAATCTCAGTCCTCTCGCCATCTGAGAGCATTTCCAGGTCCTTCTTGAGGGCGCACACCTCGATGGTCTTCTGGTATCTCTCTTCATCGTGTGGCAACCCAAACTCAATGTTGTCCCTGATACTGGCGTTCTCTATCCATGGAATTTGCGCAACATAAGCAATCGCTTCAGGAATGATCCAATTCTCCCTCGTGGCTTTGTTGTCCTTGCGATCCTCGACGGAGGGTGGTTTGGGCAGCGAGATGCTTCCAGATAGAATATCGACCTCTCCAAGAATTGACGCGAGCATTAATGACTTGCCAGTCCCGGTCTTGCCAGAAATGACACTGAGTTCGCCCTTCGGGAATGTCACAGTGACATCTCGAAGTACGAACCTTTCATCATCATCCAGCTTCTCATCCGCTGGCCATGCAATAGAAACACCATCAAAAGTGACCTCATCGGATTCCTTGGCGGCCTTTTCAATCTCGGGCGACTCCAGGTACTCCTCAATACGCTTGACAGAAGTCCAGGCATCCAGAAGGTCAGTAGTCAGTTCGGGGATGACGGAGAGTGTTACCTCGAGGGCTCTAAAGACTCCGAGACTAACGAATGCAACGGAGGGTAACAGGGTGCCGTGCACCGCGGCGTAGACGGCCAAAGAGACAGCTGCGAGAGCAATTGGACTGGTGACCCAGCAGCCGAGCAATACAGTGTCATTTGCAAACACGTCCCATACAGATTTGAGTTCCTTTTCTCGGACGTCTGATATCTTTTTTTCCCATTCCGGTTCCAGGGCAGAAAACTTGATCTGTCGGATTCCTTGAAGCGCCTCGTTGACGACACCAAGCTTCTCGTCGCGCACCTTCATCAGCTGGTCTTGAGCTGCGGCATAACGCTTGGAGAAGTATATGTTCACTGGCATGATGGCGAGCATGGTGGAGAATCCGGCGATAAGAGCTTGCCAGCCAAGCAGCGAGACGAGGAAGGCTAGCGAGACGAGGAGCTTGAACAAGCTGCCCGGAAACAGGTTTTGGAAGGACATGAAGTCTGACACACGCTTAGCGTCGACACCGATCAAGTTGACCACACCCTGCTTGCTCTTCTTGATCGCTTCGGCCTCATCTTCCTCGGGTTCCGGGATTTCTGGCCGATCCGTTGCCGTCGACTCGGGAACAGTTCCAGAAACCGCTGGTTCGGGGTTCTCGGCTGTGTCGGCGTTGTCGGGCGTGTTTGTTGTCGTCTTCTTGTTGCTGGATCTTCCACTGCCTTTGACATCCTTCTTCCGCATACTTTTCTCGAATATCAACGCGCTTACCTGTCCTCGGACAGGAATAGCTAGCTCCGAAAACGAGAGCCAGAAAACATGGCTTTCAATCCAGGCCTGCGCGACGATCACGATTCCGAGCCACAGAACCCACATGTACACACTCAGAGAGAAATTCTCTTGGCGGCTCCTATTTTCCAGAATCCGAAGGAGCTGCAGGATTACCCACTGAGGTCCAAAGTTGAGGAAGGATGTGATCAGTGTCAGAAGCCACTGCTTAGCGAGGGCCACCCTATGTGCAAGAATGATAGCTAGCCAGAGCTGTCTTTTCGATGCACGTTTCTTCCAGTCGGCAGACAGCTCGGCAGCCCGTGTGTAATGATCGGGTCTTGGTAAGTCGTCAAGGTCTAGCTGGTTCCGCTTACCAGCCATCTTCAGTAGATGAGCCGGCCAGCCCCAGGTGAATCGGTTGAGAGCAGTGGACGTGTACATCCGGTCGATGGGGTTTCCATCTTTATCAAAGACCTCAGGCCTTCGAGGAATACACAGGCTGACCGCCGCCAGACCAACAGTTGACACGATCTCCACAATCCGCAGAGCAAAGTGTACTGGATAGTGTGCCAGCAATTGCTCGAAGACCAATGTGCCCTGGACAAGAAGAATAACTGTGAGAACAAGGCAGGAGAGGAACGAGTACAGGCCAAGATTGTAGGCTTGAACTGTCTTCCTGCACGCAGCAATGGCAATGGCCTGAAACAGAAGGAGAACCTTTGGCGCGCCAATTGGTCAGTACTTAGGTATTCAAGTAGAAAGAGTGTAGGGACACAGGTGGATATGGAGAAGGGACACTTCTTTACTCACTGAAGCACCTGCACTAAGCCAGTTCTCGAGGAACAAACCATCCTGGCCGATGTGAAGGGTAGCAAGCACGGCCGTGGCGACAGCAGTGCTGCACGCAAGCGTAGCAAAAATTACAATCAAGGTCTTGGAAATTTTAGAAGAATAAGCCTTCACGGATTCTGGAGTAGCCTTTCCATCTTCGTCTTCGTACGCGTCTTGCTTGGGCTGGCGAGTTGTGAGCTGCAGGATAAAAGTGAAGACGGCCGGAATTGACACCAATGTGATGATTCCGAGGCCGGTTGCAACCGCCACTACCATAGAGTAGTCATGGCTCATGTTGAAGAGGTAATCACGCCCAGGCTCGTCAATCAAGGCGAGAAATATAAGGGCGGCAAAATTGAAGGGTGTGGGAGTTGGAAGTCAGATTGGAGGCTCAATGTGGCCAAAGGCTTCGATTTATTTGAGCTGCGGGCCGGGCTGCGAAGGAAGGGAATACGACGGCATGGGTCCGATGCTCTAGATTCTGAATAGGCAAGAGCACGCAAGCGTTCCCACTTGTTGAACTCCGGTATTCTTTTTAGTTGACGGCCGCTTACCAATCTAGACGCAACAAGATAAGGAGTCACGGAAGGCGATTCTGTGAAATAGACTATTATGCGGGCGGGCTACCAAGAGGGTCAGGCTTGAGAGCGAGTGGCCTGGGTGACCAGGCGGAGAGATTCGAGAGCGAGGAAACGAGAATGATTCCCAAGTACGGACAGAAAAGGCGGAGATGAAGAAAATGAATATGACCTCGCCGTAGGACTCACCACTACTGTAGTGGTGTGAGCGGCTCTGCAGACGGTCATGGGCCCACCTCCACACTAACGTGTATGCGGTCGTCCATGTATCTCTGTACACAGCAGTGGTCGACGGCGTCAACGGGCGGTCGTTGACTCACGCCGGGGCAAACAGGGAAGACGTGAGTGAGATTGGAGGCGCTTCACTAGCTGCAGGATCCAATGCTGCAGGGCTACGGTGCGGTGAGCAGAACGGCAACTAAGGGTCCAGGAACTGATAGCTACCCGAGATGGAATGGTCATTTGATTTGTTGCCTTCGAGATTGGGCCGGTTCCTCTCGGGAGGTCCTACTTGTTACAGTACGGGACACACCATCAGGACCGGGGTAGTCATCCAGGCAGTCCAGGCAGGAGCATACAGTACCATGAGAAAGTGGCGGCTTCAGGGACTAGGTAGACCTGGTGTCCGGTGTTCATACAGTAGTGCGCAGTGGTTCTGAACGAATCCACCTGCACCGGCACCGAGAGAATGGAGCCTGGGAACGGAGAATTGCGCATCTTGGCACGGAACTGCCAGCTGTGCGTATATGGGGAATCAACCATCCAGACGGAGCCGGGTTTGAGTCAAGGATGCGGAGGCGGATGCCTTGTAGGCGGCCAATTGTGAACCCAAGAAATGAGGCAACATTGAGAGACTAACACGCCTGCGCAGCCGCGTTAGCGACTTACTGTGCATGTGCTGCTTTGCAACGCCTGTGTACGTTGGTCCGAGGGCGTCTCCCGCCCGTCTCCCGCCCGTCTCCCCCATAAATGATGCATCCAGCACGAGTTGGTGCTGGCCTTGTTCCGGGCCCGAAGAATGCCGGGCCGAGACCTCGCAGGCATTCCGAGCGCCGCAGGGCCGCCTAACTGAACGACGGAGCCGCGCAAAAAGACAAGAAATGCAGTTTTAAGAACAGCAAATGCCGAGGCGTGCTTTGGTGGAGGGTATTCTTCATGCCTGTCTTGGTCAGTCAGACGCCCCGGCAGCATGAGAGGAGAGGGTGGTAAGCACGGGGTGTTTGAACTCCGACCTCATAAAGCAGTCTAGTCTAACCCCAGTACGATACTGTTAGTCTGGTTCCCATGGACCCGGACTCTGATCCTGCAAACGTTGAAATGGGATGGATATCCCGACCCTGCAATTGCTTTTGACTCACGAGTGATTGTTGCAGCAAGACTCTGGACGAGGCGACGAGGCACCCACCCAATTCTAAGCGTGCCAGCTCAATTGAGGACGATGGTTGTCATGTTGGCTTCCATGAAGTGCATTCGCCCGTCTGTAGACTCCCAACTCGATGTCGGGGAACGCAGACCCCGCACCTGAAGATGGTGGAGGGGGCGACGTCTGTCGTGCGAGTCGCATGTTATCAGAGGCTCCTCAGGACGAGCAAAGAGAGAGGAGCGCCCGTGCAGCTCTTCTTTGACACAAGAGCGGTTGGCGCGATCCAGACGAAAAGCCAACTTGGTGGGTGTTCCAACCAAAGGATCCAGGACAAAACGGACCAGACGGGGCGGCCCTCAGCTTGCAGTCAGAGCCGGCCCAACCAACTCATTCTCTCCCTCTCTCTCTCTGCATCTCCGCAGAGCCAACTCTCCGCATGGTGTGCCCGTCTGCATGTTTCGAAACTGCCCAGGTGTCACTGAAGTGCACCCGCAGGTCCTCGCTGGTCTTCAATCTCTGCTGTCATTGGCCGTTGACATGCTTGTTCAATGTTTGGCGGGGGTGTCATGACGGTCAGGAGACAACGGAAGCTTGTCCAAGACGGTAGACTACTGTAGGAGTGAGGGAGCTTGCAATGCAGCCTTTGTGCCCGCTCCCAACCATGGACTGCACGCAACCGTACGAAGGAGACAGAGAGTGTGTGTATGTGCATAGCAAGCAAAGCACAGCCTTGGAACCATGCAGTGTTTGGAACATTGATTGATCAATGCAGTGGACTCAGACACAAGTGGACCTGGATCCTTTGAAGGAGCAGAGGAGCCTGCCGGGGACGATTCAAAACAACGTTGGGCCCTTTATCGAATCCAGGCAAAGCTAGGCTGGGGCCAGAAACGTCGACGTTTCTATTCAGAGCTTCTCAGGCGGCCGTTGCAGCACCATGTTTCCCGCCTGTTGTGCCGGCGCGGGGACTGGCCCGTTAGGCAAACGATAGGCGTGCCAACCTGGGTGCCGCTGGGCACCTGGGGAACCAGGGCACCTCCAAGGCTGGGCAAGTTGGAGGAGGCGGGCCTGTTCTGCTCTACTTTGCTTGGTCTGCCGGTCTGCCTAGGGGAGCTCCTACAGCAAGGTTCCTTACTAAAAGCGTCTGCAGACAAGGAAGTAGTGGTCCAACGCCAGCCAACACCTTGGACCAGTTGCCAGCCCGCCCACTCACTCACTCACTCACTCAATGCCTGGCTGCTTGGAAACTGAGATCTGATCTGATCTGATCTGATCTGCAACAGCACAAGACAAGGCAAGACAGGCCCAAATCCACCTCGTCTGAACCAAACACACATGTTCTCTTCAAATACCGCCGTCTCTCCTCCACTCAACCTCAATCAGCCATTCCGAGGTGCTGCAGCGATACATCCAGTTGTCCTCAGCCCAGAACAACATCCAAGCCCGGTGCAGTCGACACAGACAGACAGCCCTGCCAATTCCGCACCAGCTCCCGCCCGCCTACCTACCTGACCCAATCTTCCGCAGGCGCAGACCGCTCGCGGGAACGAGCTTCGAGTCGCGTCAAGGCACGGCCTCCACCCAGTACCAACGCGCCTTGTCGAATCCAACCCAGCCCGCCGCAACGCACGATCCGGTGCTCGACAGCTTGGTCGAGCACACATGTCACCATGAAGAGCACTCCCTTGATCATCAACTGGCATGATCAAAATGCTCCCATCTATTCCGCCCATTTCGAACCCTCGGGCAAGGGCCGTCTAGCAACTGCCGGTGGAGACTCAAACGTCAGAGTACGCTGCCCACCCCCGGGATCACACAAACATCCCCTATCTGCCACCCTCATTGCCGCCAGCAACCTGCATCAATGACCTACGCACGCTCTAGCTGACCTTATGTAGCTCTGGCAGGTCGAGAAAGATGGCGAGGATAGGAAGGTCGAGTACCTGGCCACCCTCTCCAAGCACACCCAGGCCGTCAACGTTGTTCGATGGTCTCCGAAAAGTACTTCCTTGTCCCCCTCCTACCTACGTCGGCCGACAAGCTTCTGACGAGACGAATCCCAGGCGAAACTCTGGCCTCCGCTGGTGATGATGGTAATGTCATCATCTGGGTCCCCTCCGAGTCCAGCAACCCGGCCTTTGGCAGCGACGGCTTCGACGATAAGGAGAGCTGGCGAACAAAGCACATGTGCAGGTCCTCTGGTTCTGAGATATATGACCTGGCCTGGTCTCCCGACGGTTCATACTTCATCATCGGGAGCATGGATAACGTCGCGAGGATATACAATGCCGCTACTGGTAAGGGAAAGGACCCCGAGCCCGGTGTTCCCGAGCGTTGCTGATGGCTATGGCAGGTACACTAATACGCCAAATCGCTGAGCACAACCACTATGTCCAGGGGGTGGCATGGGATCCCCTCAACGAATACATCGCGACTCAGTCTTCGGATCGATCTGTGCATGTCTATTCCTTGAGAACCAAGGATGGACAGTACACACTGAGCAGTGAAACCGACAAGTGCCCCAAGATTGCAAGTCACATGAAGTCTGATCTGCCCCCTCGGCGCATCTCCTCAAGCAGCCCGGCGCCGCCCGACTTTGGCCACCGGGCCCAGCTGTCTGTCATCGACGCCGTTCCAGGAATGGCCCCCGGTCCTACTTCTGGCACAGTAATAGGGTCGCCAGTGCCGTCCGCTCCTGGCACGCCAACTTCGGTTGCTCTGCCCATGAATCCTCCAAGCGTGATCAGCCACAGTCGAAGATCGTCTTTCTCTTCGTCCCGCCGCTCTGTCTCCCCGGCGCCCTCGATGCCTCTGCCTGCTGTCATGCCGATGGAGGCTTCCCCGAAGCCCCTACCCACAAGCACGAATGTCAAGAATGCCAGCCTCTACGCTAATGAAACCCTGACCTCGTTCTTCCGGAGGTTGGCTTTTACACCAGATGGTAGTCTGTTGCTAACTCCTGCTGGACAATACTCATCGCAACAGACACAAGCAGATGGCAAGCCACATTACGAGGTCGTCAACACGGTGTACATTTACACGCGAGGCGGCATTAACAAGCCACCAACCGCCCATCTTCCTGGGCACAAGAAGCCATCGGTCTGCGTGCGGTGTTCTCCATTGTTTTATACTCTTAGGACATCTCCACCAACTACCAAATACATCACCATCGACACTTCGTCATCAGAGGAGCCAATACCATCGTTACCAGAACCTCTGTCAAAACCGTCTCCTGCGCCATCTGTCATGGATCCACCACCTCCGCCGTCCTCTGAGCCCATGGGAAGGAGTCTAAGCACCGCCTCAGAAACAACATCCACGTCAGGAGGCCCCAAGGCGGCTTTCGCCCTGCCATACAGGATGGTCTACGCTGTTGCAACGCAGGACTCAGTCTTCATTTACGACACTCAGCAGCAGACTCCCATTTGCATCGTCAGCAACCTACATTGTGCAACTTTCACAGACCTTGCATGGTAACACACGTTCTTTTCCTTCCAGTGCATATTGGGTGTGCTAACTCATCACAGGGCGGCCGATGGCACAACACTGTTCATCACATCGTCGGATGGTTTCTGCTCGACGGTATCTTTCGGAAGCACAGATCTTGGTGAAATTTACAAAGGCGACGTCTCCGCACACAAACGCCGCCAGGATAATCCAGAGACCGCGGCGACATCAGCACAAAATACCCCTGTCCCAACACCAACCTCTCAGTTCGCACCGCCATCGCCATTCCCCAATGGATCTCAACATCGGCATCGTGACTCGACGAGCTCCTTTGCAGCCCCCTCCCCACCGCCAGCAGCAGCTTTCGCCAACCAGCGGCCGTCGTCTCCTGCACGGTCTAACTCTACATCTTCTGTCATCACACAAAGCTCTACCGCTCCTCCACCAGGTCCTCCCACTCTGGTTGCAGGTAGTGTGCCTGGCTTGACTGCCACAAATTCTGGCAAGGTGACCGGGGTGCCTATCGCGACTCCGCCAGAGACCCCTCGCAGCACGGCTGGTAGTGTGGCCGGTACTAAGAGGGATCAGAGTGAGAGCGAGAAAGAGGACTCGGGCTCGAAGCCCAAAAAGAGAAGAGTCGCTCCCACGCTCGTCAGTGGGCCTGGCACTGATCCGAAACCTTGAAAATAGACTTACATTGTCAGGAGGCTTGCTGATTGAACAAATCAAGGACAGCCCTCACGATCACTAGGAGTCAACTGCAGTAAAATTGCCCCGACGGACTAGGAGGATGTATTCGCGAAAAGGGATAATAATCACTTGTTTTTGGAAGCAAACCTCCTAGCGCGCTCTCCCTCAGCTTCGAAAGCTTCTACATATCAACAGCCTGGTGTCGAATCTCAGGCACGAAAGTACGATGTATCATACGTGGAATGTAATCGCCATTCATTGGCTAACGGTTACTTGGAGTTTGCTTTTAATCAGGCGCGGTAGGCGAGGATTCAACTTTGAAACGACACAGCATTTCGTGTACCTGAACTTTGAAGAAACATACAGCAACAGAACCTGTCTCAATACGGCTTGGGCAGATGCAAGACTGATGGCTTGTCATTGATTCTGCCATTAGTGAAACTTACACCAGCAAGATGGCTGATCATCGTAGACAGTGGTGTGATTGATCGAGCCATGTGTGACACGAGGTCCATGCTGTATGCAAGCAAGTTGATTCGAGGGTTGCTTGCCTTAGGGGAGTACAACTGAGTAGCTTCCACGCGTCTGCTTGTCCTACCCAGACACATCCCTGTCAAGACCACCAAAGCAAATATAAGGAGCTCCGAGATACCCGACATACCTCTCAACTCAGTACATAGATACCGTATGGCATCTCAGAGAAATCAATCGATCGGGTTGAGGAGACAAGCTGGTTCGTACGGTGAGCGGACGTGCTCGATTTCCGCGCAGTCAGGGCTCAGGTGAACCAAGAAACGTCATTGTAGGGTTCAACCCTTGGCTTGATGTTGAATTGGACGGGAGGTGAGCCAAGTCAGCTCTCCGGAGACCATCACGTCTTCGAGCTCCAGTGTTCCTTGTTTGACAGTCATCTACTTCTGGAATCCTCTGTGATACGTATGAGTGCTAGAGTACACCGAAACTATTTAAGTCGATGTAAATACCCGACGGTCTCTAGGCCGTTGAAGAGGGAACCACAGTGGCAAACGCGGCCGGGAACGCGCAGGTGCCCGATGCACCCTGAGGCGCAGAAGCGACACAACAAGCCTGAGTATGTCCAATTCACCTCACGCAGCGAAATGATTAATTCTCTGCTATTACTTTCGTTGTGTGGTGTACGTTGGCTGATGGTACATTCAGATGTGTGATATTGGCAGACTAGTGCTTGAATACTGAACCAGCTTTATCTTGTATGCGAGACCGTCCAGCGTCACATCAAAACAAAGTCTGGCTCTTGAAAGATGAGTTCGCCTTCAAGAAAGAGGAAGGCGAGCCCCGAGCTCGTGTCGAACCCGTTTATCAAGAAGCGGAACCTGGATTGGTCAATATCACCGCCACCTTTCCGGAACCCTGATCGGCAGCATCGTGAGACAGACGGCCAAGGAGTCAAAGCCCATGTATTTGATTATAGTAATGAGGCCCGGTCCAACACAGCAGAAGGCTCCAAGGATGTCCCTGACAATAAAGTCGCTCAGGATTCAGAACAGGACACAGGCCTCGCGGCTGCGAACAACACTCAAGAGCAACGCGACGGCCCCTCAGGCTCTGCGCTGATCGAGAACAACAGCGTCAAAATTACCGACCACCTGGCGTGGTTCTCAAACCTCCTTTCAAAGGCAGCTCTTCAGCCTTTCCCAGAGAACCAACCTCATCTCCCCATTCCCACGTACCAGTCTCTCTATACCCACTCCTTCCAGTCCCCCATGGGAGCCCACTTCGTCGTCACGCAGCACGATCACCCGGTAGCAGGGCCGCACTATGATCTCCGGTTGCAGATCAATGGGGACTCGTCGTGTAGCTGGGCAATTATGTACGGGTTCGTGTTTCCTGCAGTTTCTTCCCCTATCCAGCGCTCTGGTGCATAGGCGAGGTGGCTCAACATAGCAAATCAAGACGGCCCCAGGATAAGCTAAGCCATGGTTGAATAGAAAGAAACTTGACTGACAAATCAGACAGCCTTCCAGGAGACCCAAACTCGCGCGGTCGAACGGGTCGCGCAACAGGTGCGGGCGTGCTTCGCAACGCGACCGAGACGAGGGTTCACTGTCTCTGGAACCACCTGGTCGAGACGGCCAGCTTGCACACGGGCAGCCTTCTGGTGTGGGACACGGGCTCGTACGAGGTGCTGCGGCCGCGGAGGAGCAAGTACGCACCAGTGGACTCCCAAGAGGGTAAATCGGACGACAGCGATGGCAAGTGGCATCGCTGGGAAAGGCTTACGCAGCAGGAGAAGCTCGCCAAGGCTTTTTCCTCGCGGAAGATAAGGCTGCGTCTGAACGGTTCGAGGCTACCCAGGGGCTACGCCCTGAATCTACGCCTTACGAAGGATGAAGACGCGGCTGGGCGTGCAAAGGCGGCCAGGCCTGCGGGCACGCGGAAGAGAAGGGGGAGGAAGACGCCCACCAAAAAAGCCCCGGAGACGAGCAGTGACGGCGAAGATGACTCTGGCCCGGACAGACGGCCAGACCGTGGTGGTGAGGAAAAGGAGGAGGAGGAAGAGTACAACGACGGTTCGGCAGCTGTCAGCAAGAAGGACTTAGACGGCATTTCGGAAATGGAAAAGGAACTCCGTGAGCTCGAGGATGCCGAAGTCCGCAGGACTAATGCATACCCTGGGGCCGCCAACACTATTGGAAGTGTCCATCAGCGGAAATGGTTCCTATCACTGGACAGAGAGGCATGTGGGTTTGCGAAGATGAAGAAGGAAGGCAGAGTGTGGTGGGAGCGGCAGGATACTGCTGACGAAGACGGACTTGGTAGTGATCAGGCTCAAGGCAGATTTCGGTGGCCGTTTTACGTGCGCGGCCCCGACCTCGAGAGAAGCATTGTCACAGGACGGCTTGGGGCCGAGATCCTTAGGGATGAAGGTGTTGTTGGGTATGTTGGGAGGAAAGGATGGAAGCCTATTCTGAGGTGAAGGAGCATCGCGAATTCCAATGCACAGCGTTGAGCCTCTTCCAATATAAATGCAACGTCTCAGCCACAGATCTACCTCTGCGTGAACTTAAATTGAAATAATGATTACTCTTTACATCGATTCTTAGATGACTTTTAGGGAACTGGCGTTTGAAGATGACAGCAGTTGATGGAGTGTTGAACTGATTTCGTTTTCGCAAGACGTATGAATTGGTGAAGGCCGAGTTGCCAGAGTCCCTTGCCCTCTAAGTAAACAACTGATACCCGAAGCTTCTTCCCCGTAGAGAAAAAGGGCACGTCGTAATTGTGCACTGCTTCTCACAATCCTCACCAAACCGAGCTCAGTACATTTAATTGCGCAATGTTGGACAGTGTGATATCTGTCGCGATGAAAATATTATATTACTACTCAATCGCTTCTCAACTTCATGTTGTAGCTGCAACAGGATGAGCTCTGCAACTTGCCGTAGGTGACCCGTGGCGTCCTCGAACGCCTCTTTGCTCCGCACTTCACTCTTTTCTTAAGTACTAATCAATTACAAGAAGCACAATGTCATTTTCCCCTTGGATCCGTGGTACTGATATGACGACCCTTACCACTCATTTCTAATTCGGGCCCAACGTTGGATGATACTGCTGTTGGTGACTGACAGGTTGGCCCTGTGCTTCATAACTACCAACATGCGGACCCGGAACTTGTCCCGCTCCGAAATTGGCTCCCGTATGCTGCGGCTGGATCAGACCCTGCTGCTGCTGAGGGTTGTAAGGATTCGGCTGAGCCACGGCGCTGGGGCTCGGGACCGGCGGAGGCTGGTACATCTGCTGTCCCTGCACTGGGCTTGGTGTGGCTACGGCCGTATGGTGGGAGCCGGCATACTGCGGCTGGGGAAAGACGTTGTGCACCGGCTGGGCCTTCTCGGCCTGGACAGGACCGGCTGTTGGGAACGCGCCCTGGGTGCCGAATTGGGGCGAGACTGGCCTGTTGTGAAGACCGGCTGAGCGGTGTCGGTGCATCATGACGGAGTGTATGGCCAAGGAAACGATGAAGAGGATGCTAGTGTTGAATGTGAGCACGGAACGTCCTCTCAAAGAGGCAGGTTTGGAAGACATGGTTCGCGGCGGGCTACTCACAATTCTACACCACCTAGCCCAGCTGCAGCACATAAACACGCCGCAACAATCAGTTCAGTTCCCACGAGAGCATACGTGGCACAATCATAGTCGTAGTCGCAAATCGTGACTCCGTCCATCCAAGGGGCTACCTGGGAAGCGAGCAGGGCAAAGGAGGCAATCCAGAAAACGATCCCGAAAATGTCCAAGGCCAGAATAGCCCAGTAATTGTCTACTCGGCCAGGGTGCTTAGTATTTGGCATGATGGTAGTTCCCGGTGGCGGGATGCACAGTGAGCTCAAGAGTGGGAAGATGCACTTACAGGTGACAGCTGGACCAAAATGGGCAACAATACAGTAGACTGTGATGATAAGAGTTGCTACAGCCTGATTGCCATCCATGTTAGATGCGAACAGTGTGATAAAAGCACTGGGAGCAGGACTCACGGCAAACAAACTCAAGGCATTCCCAGAGAAGCTGATAAGGGTGAGCGAATATGCGCAGAGACCCAGGATGACCAGCGCGAGGATGAGCTGGACGACGCGCAAGGCGATGAAACCTCTGGGATAGAGAGGCATGTGCTCGCGCCCCGAGGGGCGATGAGACGAGTATTTGCTGCTGTTCATGATGACTGGCTTTTGAGAAGACGAAAACAAACCAACAAGGCCAGGGACGCGAATTTGTCCAGATGTCGAACGTCTCAAATTCCAGCAACAATTTCTCGTGTGAAGAAATAATATTACAAGAATGCCGAATTCTGAGCAAGGTTTTCGAAGCAGAAAAGAACAGAATCAGGCGGAGATTCTGACTTCGACCTCCCCCCAGAGGACTCAGCCTTTGTATACGCCCACCACGCTCGAGTCCTCACCATGATCAAGTCCGAACAAGATCAGCTCTGCCGCAGCCGCAAGGCAGTAGCGCAGCATGGCGTCTGTATCCAGAGGCCCAGCGCCAGATCTCGCACCAGCCTTTGAATCTCAGCAGGCAATATTGAATTGCCTAGGCTAGAAACGGACGAGAGGCTTGACATGGGATCCCAAGGGCCCAACCTGTCCCAATCTGGCGAGTTTTCTTTGGCCTAATTCTCTGGTAGAGACCTATATGCGCGCGCTGAGACACCGTCAGCGCCAAACTTCGCCCAAAACCTCGCCAGCATGCTGGCGCCGTTCTGCGGCTTTAGTTCCACAAAGTCCTGATCGTATGTACAGCGACCGTGGACTAAAACTGTCATTTCCTGTCGTAGGGCCGGGACCTGCACGGATCGCTTGAGGCTGAAAGCCTCGACAGCTGATTCGCGTGGGCAGCGAGTAGCACGGCAGCCCTGAGGTATGCGGCTGAAAATGAGCTCCGAAGGGGAGCTGAAGCCGGACTACATGCGGGCTGCCGGTCATCCTTGCGCAAGACCTGTTGACATGATACTAGCAGAATGTCTTCTTTTTTCTCTGTGGGCTCATTTCGTCCAAAAAAGTCTTTTCGATGGGAAGGCAAGGGGACTTTTCGTGCCTCGCGTACGGACTGTCGACTAGGCCCATCGGCGTTTGTGGGCAAGCAACGTGCAGTTCGCTGGCGGAAGATGCCAAAACCGTCGAAATGCATCTTCTCAGGCTACCAGACCTAGCTTGGTAATTAATCAGTTGTCAGAACAACAGTTGCTTGTTTGCCTAGGAACGGAAATAAAAAGCTGCTCTGGTGGGCGAGTGGCCACGAAGCGAGGCGACTTTACCCCTTTTCGTCTGGCCGCCATGGATCGCAGCTCACGACGCACAAGTGCTCGTGCTGGGGCAACACTCATTCCTGCTTGGGTATGACTGACTATTGAGCGCTATAAAAAAAAAAAGACAAACCCTGGAAGCATCATCAAAGTCCCAAAAGCCTTAGTCGTATCACCTTCGTATTTCGCAATTTATTCGATCCCCAATGAAAAGGGGTTTTTCGATAATGAGTGACAGAAGACAAAGAAGCCAAGTTGACCCGATAAAGCCAACCACGGGAAGACATCTATCTGTACGGACAGCGAACGCAAGGACAACACTGTCGACGTTGTTCTCTGTAGGCTCGTACACCTTCCAATCAAAAAGCAACGCATGAAAACGCCTTGTTCACTTGACGATGCCACTCGGCTGGGCTGGATGTCTCAAACTAACCACTTGGGCGGCGCTGTCCTGCTGCGGAGAAGAAATGAGCCCCAAGGCTGAGCCCAGCATGCCTGCTCGTCGGTCTGCTGTGAAGTCGAATGAGATCGTGTCAGTGATGACGCTCGTCCAGGGCAAGCTTTGTGATAAATAGGCGAGGCTGGATGGGACCCATACCTGGCGTGAAGTCTTGTAGCCGGTCTTTCCAGGCCATCTCGTTGCTTTGTTCTCGCTGTACCGGTGACAAGCCCAGGAACCTCGACAAACCTTGAGGCTCAAGCTGGGGGCTATCAGCAGCACCCAACAGTCGATCACTCATCAAATATCACTTGCACCGTGTCCAGAGGACTCGAGGTAAGAGCTTCTTCATATTGCCTGCGCAGGACAACTATAGACAAACAGCTGCGTTTCCTCTTCTTGTTTCCCTCCCCCTGTTTGACTGACTCTCAGCCAAGCCCTAACCGGGTCCGGATCTGCCCAAAAAAGGAAATACGTATTTACATGCCCATCTATCAAACGTCTGCCCCCGTTTTCCCATAGAGGCATATATGTACATTCATCCACTGACAGGTAATACAGTGTTCCGTGAATTCATAGGAACCGTTTCTCAAGAATCAAGCATCTTGAGAGGGTCAGAGCTTGTGCTGACAAAGAAAGAACGCCGCAGCCGTGCCGCATTAAAATGGAAAACCGAAGAAAAGACCAAAAAGCCTCTCGCTTCCTCTCCCCATGCGGCGTGCATCAGAGGTGGAGAACGGTCGTGGCGGCGAAATGCGTACGCAAGAGCGAGCAAATAGAGAGCCGGGTATCAAAGCACACAAAACATGCTGGCGAGGAACTCGGTCGTAAAAGTCGAGAGAGTGCTATGGCATACCCCTTCCAGCATCGCAAGGGTTCGCCAGTCATAACGCTTAGCGCTGGTTCACTAAACATCGCAATTCCAATCCTAAGAGAAGTCGTCGCCGGTTGAGATCAACTGGTCGATGCGCTGGACAAGCTCCTTGGTCTCGCGGGCGATCTCAAACGCAATTGGCGGCAGCGTCTGTGTCCACATGCGCCACTCGCGGTCACGATCGTCCTTGCCATCGGCTGCCAGGTCTTGGCCGCGCTCGCCAGCCTCCATAAGACGCTGCTGGGAGTCGGCAAGGCGTCCGATCATGTCACCATTGCCTGCTGCCTCGGTCTCAGAGATAACCTTGCCGACCGTCTCGACGATAGAGCGGATCAACGGTTCAATTCGGCTGATGTCGGCGGCGCCACGGATTAAGCCTACAAGGCTTTGGATAGTCTGCACCAAGATGGCGGTCTGATCGTCAAGATATACCTGTTTCACGTTTGTTAGTATAATCGTGCCAGAATCGCCCCGAGTGGAACGATTGTGAGCTCACCTTAAGATCTTCCGTCCTGGAGTCAACTCGGCGCATTCCGTATCCATTCGACGCGGGTGGGAATCCGTTTCCATTTGCCTTGTTGTATGTCTCAACTGACTCACGCGGCGAGTTCAATGGGCTGTACGCAGACGAGTCCATGCTGGACCTCCTTCCAAGCCCCTGGAAGGGAGGGGGAGGTGGCAACTCTTGCGGGTAAGGGTCTTGTTGATAGGCACTCTGTATGGACTGCGACTTGGCGGTTCGAGGTGAGAACACACCGACAGAGCCCACAGGTGTCATTGTGCCGTCATCCTCTTCCTCGAGCTCTCCGTCGGGGGTGATTCGGATCTTGACAACCCGTAGAAGATCGACTATCGCTCCAACAAGGTTGGAAGCCGCAGCGTCGAGTACAGATATCGGTGACATGCCAGCTGACGTTGCGAATGTCTTCGCAGCGGTGATTAAGTTGTTCGCCATCGAGGAAACACGGCTCTTGAGCTGCTTCCGCTGTTGTTGCGACTGGTCGTTGCTTGCTGGCGCGGCGTCAAGATCCTTAGTGATGCGCCGCACACTCATAACAACGGATTTCATCGAATCGATGACCTTGTCTGGTTCTTCGACACGGGCACGCCTGAGCAACTCGTCGATGGCAACCTGGAACTTGGTGACGTGGACATCCTTAACAAGGCCAGAATCAGCAGTAAAGCCCTTTTCACGGACGTAACGGCCCGCGTCTTGATCAACAGACATGCTCATAGACGACGATCGCATGCTGCGTAGCTGAGTCCTCGCTCTAGCGTAACGGTTACGCCAATCCTTGACTTCCAGCTCCAGGGTCTCGATCGTCTTCTCGAGTTCGCCTTGCTTGGCCCACGATGAACCGCTCTGCGCAGACAGCATCTTCATCTCCTTCAAGAACTCCTGGGCTTCTCGTCTCACTTGCAAAGTCGTCTGTCGCTGCTCGTCTAGCGCCGCTCGCAATTCATCGTTTTCGCGCACCAGCTCGGGATCGTTCCGGCCTGAGCCCATTTCTGACACAGAAGACCGAGCCTCCTCGATTTCCTCTCGAAGTTGTCGGGTCTCGTTGGCATGTTCGTCTCTTAGCCGCTCGAGCTGGTCTTTGAGGTCCTCATTCAGATTCTGGGCCTCCGCGAGCTGATTCTCTAGCCCCAAGCGCATGTTTGACAATTCCGTCTTCTCGGCGTTTGCGGCAGTGGATCTGGAACGTTCGCCATCAAGTATCTCGTTTAACTCGTCATCTTTCTTTCTCAACTGGTCCTCCATGCTGTCCAGCTTTTCACGTAGCTCTCGTATTTGTACCTCATAATCTTCCATCATTCGTTTGTCATTCTGTCATGCTTGGTTAGACTCACCATCCAGCATCCGCGCAAAACTTTCACTCACTTCTGATGGGATACCATTCTGCTCCCTTCCACCCAGTGAATAGGCGCTTTGTGCCTGCTCATCTTCGGGTCCTTCATCGTCCTCCTCAACCATGGTACTCTTGTTCGGTATTATCGTATTGCTCTGAAATTGTTTCGGTGTTGGGCGATCGTAGCCACTAGGTGGCATTCCGGGCGAAGGGGGGATGTCGTAGCCATCGATTACTGACCCAGGTCCACGTATGGAACTAGCATTACTAGGCTGCCTTCTACCCATACCGCGTGGGGGATATCCGCCCATGGGAGTCCCAGCTCTACTAGGAGCCCTCGTCGAAACCGGACTCGACAACCGCGGGATGTCACCAGCCACGAAGCGTGGATACCGTCGTTCCAGCTCGCAAAAGACATCTGTGGCGAGATCGCGGAAGCGAGGAGGGCCGAGCGAGGAGAGCTTCTGTCGAGCCTGGTTCCGCTTGGGGTGGAAGGTGTCCTCCGGAATTAGGTATGGTGGTGGACCGACATTGGGCGGTGCATTTGGAGGTCTTCGGCTGAAGGCCTGCCTTCGCAGCAACTCGTCGAACACATCGGTACTAAGTTCGAGAAATTGAACGCCGGTCAGGCGCTGTAGCTTGTCGCGGGCCTTGTTCGCAGGTGGGTTCGGCTTGCCGTCGCGCGATGTTTGTGATAGGTAGCGCTTGAGCGCCACATAGTGCTCCCCTAATACTGCCTCGACATTTGCCTCTCGCCCACTGCGACCGCTCTCGCTTCTCGCATAGATATCAGTTGCCGTGCTCGATCGGCCGACAGAAGGTGGCGGCGAGGGCCCGCCGGCGCTCCTTGGACCTGGTGGGAAACCACCGTTCATCGGGTCGTTTGGTCCTCCTCCTCCGGAATACGGTGGTGATGCTAGTTGACCCTGCTCTAGGATTGGATTTGGGCCTCGAGGTGCATTCGGGGTAGGACCATCGTTGTTCATTTCTTTTCCAGTCGGCCAGATTGTACCTGCTGTAGACACCGGGGATAATGGGGGGTTGGCGCGAGCAGCAAGCATAGTTCGTCGGGGGGTGGCTCGGTTGCAGGAGGCTGGTCTCGAGGTCTCAGGCCGGTCGGACTGGGCGCACCGAGTGGTTCAGTCCTCGACAGCCAACGTGGTCGCAAATGACACGAGGCTGGTCTCCTCTCTGAGAGGGGTAGCCGCTCTGTTCTGCTCTGCACGGTCGCAGACGGTGATTGTCACCGTTGCCGTCAGGTGTGGTGCAGAATGCGGTGTAGGAATGCAAAGTGCGGGACGATGCCGCGCTCCGGTTGACTCCGTCGCCCGCGTTGCAGAAGTGGGCAGGCAGCTGAGCGAGGGTGAGTGCTTCAGCAGAAATCCGAAACGTCAACTCGGCCGGGCAAGGATGCAAAGCCCCAATTAGGGCGAGTGTCTCAATGCGGGAGGGATGGGGTTGGTGGTTGCAGCCCAAATCGTGGCCGGGCGGTAAGACAGATGACCGTCTGTGCCCCCCGGGTGGGAAAAAGCGATCACAGGGGATTTTAAGTTGGCGGCCCAAGTAGCCTCGTTCGCCTTGGCCTGCTGTGTGGTGATTGAGTTGTGTGGGGAAGTGTTGTCGATTCAAAAGTCAAAAAGAGCCGCCGTTTCGCCGCTGTGACAAAGGTCGGCAATGCAACACGGGGGGGATTTGCGGGCGGAAAGGTTAAGTAAGGCTGAAGCAAGGAGAGATGTTAAATGAGTCGAGGTCGAGCAACCAAAAACGACATCTGCTCCTGGAATGCCAACTTTTTGACGCTTGGCCGCAGAATATCCGTAGAGACCAGACTGACACGACAAGTCCAGTTCCAGTTCGGTGTGTGCGGAGTTCCCCTGGCCGTCGGGCGTACTATCGATATCGGACGATTGACCGTGCTTGAATCGGCGGGCGACGGGTCGCTTGCTCCAAAGCTTGTAGGGTAGACGGGGGTTCAGTTTGCGACCAGAAGTGAATCGGTTGCAGGTTGTAGTCCTCGTCGTCGTCGTGAGAGAAAGTTCACAGACAGGATGGGTACGTTAGGGGGTTTGTTGGAGGATGTTATGGATTCGAATTACTATGACTTGGCGGGTAGGTGAAAGTAATCGTCGGAGTGTCATATGCATCTGCTTGACTCGATGCGACCCGAATCGAGGCTGGCTGGAGAGGGGCGACGGCGCGTTCGTCTAGAAGGAATCGACGTCGAGCTCGAGCTCGAGCTCGAAAGAGACCAAGCAGTCGCGACGGCTCGTGGCGTGGCTTGTGTGGAAAGCTCGTGCTAAAGGACGAGCAGAGCTGAGCGCAACAGAGCACAGCACAGCACAGCACAGCAAATGAAGACTGGCCGGGGGGGTTGGATTAAGCGAGTGAGCGGTTGAGAGATATTCCACGCATCAACTACTACCTATGCGTACAAGGCAAGAACAAAGAAGGGGCAAAAGGAGCGTCGAGAAGAGCGTGAAGAAAGAGGAGAAAAAAAAGTGTCTCCCAGGCTGGACTGTACGAATTGAAGATCGACAAGGACGGACATGCAGAGGTTCCCGCAAAAAAGATGCAGCCAGACGGGGATGGGATGTGTTGCTTGAAGAGTGCTTCTAGATGACAGGCCAGGGCTTCTCTCTGTCTTCCTTTCTGGCTGCTTGCTCCCCCCCTGGCTAGACCGGATTGTACCTGGCAGGGTCGGATTCATTTGATTAGCAGCAAATCCTGGGCCCAATCGTGGCAGCACGGCAAGAAAGAACGTCATGGGCTATCGATCTTACTGCCAACTAAGGTAGGTACGGTAGGCACGGCAGGTACGGTACCTTCCTGACAGCCAGCCAACCTGGGCAGGCTGCCCTGCCTGGGTCTTCAGGGTGTTCAAGCAATTTCTCCCCAGGGACGGCAGCTTGGCAGTGCCCAGACGTGCTTGCAACATGGAATAAAGGAGGCCCTGCAGAAGTTGGCGGCGGCGGCCTGGACGCATGGAAGCGACGGTGGGAAGGAGGCCTTTCCCGGCGCCTTCCCCAGCGCCAGGGGGGCTCCTGCCAATGAGGAGCCGCCTTGTCGACGTCCCCAATCTCCAGTATCCCATGCCCCCTGGCCCACCCCCTGACCCGCTGCAACATTGAAGCCGGGATTGACAACAAGGCGTGGGGCGCCATCCAGCCCGCCGATGCGCCGTGTGACCGACTAGATGCCCAGTCTACCTAGGTACAGACAATGCTAGACCAAAAAAGTACTGTCGTTGTACAGGCGGAGATATCAGAGGAACCGCTTTTGACTTCGATGACGGCTCGAGCCAGGCAACTGTGGTCACTGGCCAGCCAGTGTACCTGGTTGTCGTTGTTGTTACTTTAGTCGTCGTCGTCGTGGAAGAACCGCCGTTGCATGGACTTTCCATGGGGAAGACATTTTCACCACCCCGCTGACATCCCGCACTAGAACCCGGCGGCACCCACGCCGTGAGCGGTGAGATTCTCCTGCATGCCGCGAGCACCTGTGTTCGCAGTACTGTGTAAGCGGCCTACTGGATCTGTACCTGCCGATCCATCGGTCTCGACCGTCAAGAAGAACAGGGGCCAAGGAGATGAAATCACTGGAAGCCGGCAGCCCATTTCATTCATAGCTCTATGATGGGCCGAGGAAGAAGTCAAATGTCTCTATCTATTATGCTTGGCAACTACCCAGGTACCTAGATCTCTCGAGATACCTAGGGAGCGTAGCTGTGTAATCTTTGTACGCTCCTCGCGGAGCGAGTACATATGCATCACGACTCCTTCTCGCCAGGGTAGAGGGTAGAGGAGCATAGCTGCACTCCTGGAACTGGCAACGGGTGGGACCAGACAGCTCAGAGCGCAGCATTGACATGTTGCAAGGTCCAGGCCTTGGAATTCGAGAAGCAACTTGGAAACCCATTTCTCGACGCCCGTATATCCATTTACCCACCCGTCTAATTAGTACCCCAGGAAATTCCACGTTTGCGCCCGCAACCGGGCCTTTATCAATCAATAAGCCACGCAGCCTCGGAAGGCCCTAAATCAAGATCACGAGAGAGATCAACATCTGTATTTCCTCTCTGATCTTGACGGCCGTCAAAGCTGATCGACTTGTTCCCAGAGTTGACAGTCGGACCGGGCCACTGTGGGCCCGTGAGTTTCCTCAAGGGGGGCATTGTCGTTGCGGGACGGGCATCATCGTCGACAAGGCTTCGTGTCGCATCAATCGAGAAGCAGATTGCAATCTCGGCCCTCATGAGGCTGTGCAGCCTTCCCTTCTCTCCCGGGGCCCCGTCGACGGACCCCTGTCAGCTCAGCCCTCAGGTTCAATTTCAGAGCCCGGTAGCTACGTACACTACCTTGCCGATTGGCTCCATGGTCGGGGGTCCTTAAAGTGTCATGTCGCATTGCTAAACTTCATCCCATCTTTGTCCAATTCCTTGCCCCCTCTTGGGGCACGAGTAAACGTGGTCCCTTTCGGCATCTGACAGAAGCTTCGATATTTCGAGTCAGGCCGCAGCGTCGTAAAATGCCCAGTCAATACATGTACCGCTCAGACGGTAACACGCGGGTTCCCTCCGCGAACTCTGCCGAAGTCCTTGTTACGGGCACGACGAGACGGTTCCGGACTAAGATGGTTCCGAGAGTAAATAGTAGATAGGGTATCATCAGTTGCTTCTATCCTTCACCGATGGCAGGCAAGGGCACCATCTCGAAAGCCTGGGCATGTCCGCCACCCTGCTCTGTACACGTATAGATAACGAAACGCAGACCTCCATGAAACGCGTCCAACTCCGAAAGGTCAAATCGCCTTGAGCTTGACGGGAGCTACCGTCCAAAGCCAAATTTGTGTTGTTGGGAGGAAACATGTCGCCCCGCCGTGTAGTTCCTTGAACGATTGGTTGAAATACACTTCAGTGCTGTAGTAGCACCCGTTGCGATCAAACGGATTGCAAACATTCCTCAAAACCAAGACAACGTCCACGTAGCAGGAAGATTTGGCCACCGCTCTTGCCACTCTGCTAGGACATCGGGGACCCGCTCGTCGAATCCCGATCGCGCAGCTGCACTTCCCCCATCAAACGCAGCCGCTCCGACAGCCTCACGCTCCTCCTGTGCGGCCTTGTTCAACGAGTCGGCCAGGTCGACCATGCCCCGTCCTCCAACAGACGCCTCCTCATGATTGTCCTTAATATCAATGTTGATGACGTGAACTGGCCGGTTGAGGGGTGAGCCCCTCGCAAGCAGGTCATCGACCACGTTATCCCAACACCTCTCTTCGCAGGTGATAACGACGTCGACTAGCCCCATCTCGGTGCCCTCGCGGCCCTGGTCTTGATCACGACCATGTCGTGGGTGCCCGACCTGCCAGTCCTGCCACCTCTCCGGTCCCCACTTGATGCCTCGGTTCCGCCCGAGCATGTTCAGCAGGCCGTTGGCGCGGTAAAGGCGCGGGTCCTTACCCTCGAGCTCCTTGTACATGCTGTCATATGAGGTCTTGTTGAACTGGTAGACGTTGGGCTGCGTGATGGTCGGGCCCGGGAGACGAACGAGCGAGCCGGTGCCGAAGGATATTACGGGGTAGCCGGCCTGGGCGAGGCGGAGGTGGCCTTCCATGGATCTGTTTGGCTGTGTTAGAATGGATGCGGCACACGATGTGGGAAGTCGTGGAGGGGCGTACCTGTTCTGGTTGCTTGCGCACACCGTGCAGAAGCGCAACTTGTAGCCCTCTGCTTCCTCGCCGCCGCCATTCTGCGCCACGGCAGCAGCTGCAGCCCCATTGGTAGCTTCGACAGTCGCCATGCTGTGCTCGCGGGAGGGAGGCTACCGCAGATCCTGCTTGCACGAAGTGTTAACTAGACTTCGATACAAAAAACAGACCTAACAACGAGGAACGAGAATGGTGTTGGTAAAGTGCGATCAGAATTAAAAGCGTATACGGTATAATGAGAGTCATCAAGGGGTTCAGACAGCTCCAATATTAAATATCATCATGTCACAGCAGATGGATTGAGGCAGAGGGGCATCATACCAGGCGTCCAGAGTCCTTCGTGTCGAAACTAGTCGTCACGTGGCTTGGATTGTGTTGAGACAGGTATCCCGTCACAAGACGGGCAACGCCTCGGGATCTCTCACTTCATCCGTGAGTCTGGCTGGAGGCGATCACGACCGCTGATTGGAGTCAACGTCGTGGTTGTCCGTCACGTCAAAAGAGGTCGAAAAGCAGTGGTTGCCAGCAGGAAAAAGCTCTTGTCTGACAAGCAGACGCGGCAGGTGCCGGGGTGGGGCGGCTGTCCTGGAGTGGTGCTGCTGTGTGATTGGTGGCAGCGAAAGCGCCTGCCGGTGTCGCTGCCGACTGAAAGGGATGGGAACGTCGACCTGAAACAGACGACTTCAGCAGGGATGGCTTCTTAAAATAGAAACGGTCTGTCAGCCTTGTGAGCGTGATGAGGTCGAAAAGTCGGGACTGCGTACTAACACCTCCTCTTTTGAAATGGGGTGAAGGCCTTACAGTGCTTGCTGCCTGGACAGGTACATACGAATGTGTATATGTATGAAACAATTTGACTCAGACCAAACACGTTGATAGGTTGCCCAGGCCTGCCCACATATTGATCAGAAGGTAGGCAGACATTACTTGGATCTCTACTGGAAGAGGCGTGCCAGACTGATGGTGTCGTGCTCACCAACCTACGGTCTCCGACGGCATGCATGCGTCGGGTCACAGTATGCGTCTCGAGGGACGCTGGACGCTGGATGCCCGTGAACAACCCAGCTGCGTTAGTCCGTCAGCATTCCTGCAGCTGGCAACGACAGCAGAGAGCACTCGAGAAGAGTCATGATGGTCTCGGCCGAGATCCACAATACAGGGAAGAAGGCATCGGACGATCCGCTGGATCTCGATCAGTTCATTTGTTGTTCTGCGGGTCCTCTGACGCTCAGAAACAATGCCCAGCGAGGCTGACGCCGACGACGACGCCGACGACGACGAGAGCCTCGGGGGTGACTGTACTGTGACGATGCTAGTGTACTGGCGGCGATGACGGATCTAAAACACGTGTGTTGTTCTAGTGCAGTACAGGTCTGGTAGTGAGGCGGTCGTAATCAGGCCGGTCCTATCTCGGTTGTAGATCTTATGGCATGAATCACAAATGCGTGCTGGTCTACTAATGCATGGAGGGAAGGAGGTATAGTACTCTGGACTCTGGGACCCGGGGTCCTCGTAAACCCCGCCATTCTCAATTGTCGCCAACTTGGCCGGCCTCGAGCTCGAATGTACAGCAATAGCAGTACGCAGCAGTGCGTAGATGACCATACGCGGACAGACAGAAAATAGACGCCACAGCAAGGAGATCAGTTCATCTCATGACGTGCAGCAGTTATGTACAGTGACCGTGTGGTCTGAGTGTGGTGACAGGGCCCCCCACCGTCGCTCATCTTCCGTGAGGAGTGCTCTCGGGTGACATGTCAGTCAGCCGCCAGTCCCCGTTAGAAAGTTGGGTTCGACCATTGAGCCGCCTCAGGCGGTAGGCGGTAGGCGGTAGGCAATGTAGCTTCGAGCCCTGCGAGTCCAAGACAATGAGCAGCTCGGCGGCCGGTGTCTCAACTGCCCAGTTGGTCGGTCCAACAGTCAAAACCCCCCCGTCGACTCTAGGTTCCAGACCGCGCTCACGGACCAGCCTGCAGCTGACATCCAAGCGGCATCCCGCTCCACAGCTAGCTAGCTAAGCTACCTCGTGCATTGGTGGGCAGCTCCTCTCACGCATTGGCTGGAGCGGGCACGCAGAGGGGAAGGGACGAGTACGAGAGCGAGGGGTGGGTTTCGGCGGCTGGGCTGGCTGGGCTGGCTGGGCTGGCTGCTCGCGCAATGTTTCGAGTGGTGAGTGGTGAGTGGTGAAAGGTGAGAGCCGTGAGGACGAGGTGGTTGAAGAGCGCGCTTAGTAGCCCTGTCTGGTCGTCCGTCCCGAGGACAGGGCATGACAGGGCAGGGCAGGGCTGGGCTGGACCGCCCAGGTGCCCAGGTGCCTAGGTGCCTAGGTGGGCTGGGCAGGAGAGGAGGAGGAGGAGGGGAGGAGAGGAGAGGAGAGACATTCTCAACTCTGGCAGGGCGGCGGAACTGGACCAAGATCCCCCAACCCAACCCAATCCAACCCTGCAGATCAAACTGACTGTTTTTGGTCCAGGTGGATCCAACCGTCAGGCCTTTCCAAGGTTCCAGTTCGTTCCTCTCCCGCGCACACAGGCAGACTGGGAGACTGGCAGACTGGATTGCTTGCACACACACACTCTGAGTACTCACACACACACGCACACCAAGGCACATGGGCCACATACCTGGTAGTCTACAGTACCAGGACCGGACTACAAGCCTCTTTCTTCCCCCCCTCGATCCCTCACAATACCAATACCATACCTAGACTCGACACTACACCGAGAGTCGACCCGACCATCCGGATCCTCGACGGGGTCCTCTTCTGAGCCTCATTTCAGCCCACCTTCAATCTCCCATCCCATCCCATGAATAGCATCACCGGGCTCCTCTGCATTAACTCAATTTCTCGACCCGCCATCGCCCCGGCCTGCTGGTTTCTTGCGCTGCGCTGCGCTGCGCTGCACTGCACTGCGCAACCCAACCCAACCCATACCCATACCCATACCCGCCAGCCCGCCTTGTCCCCACGCTGTTTCGTCAGCAGCAGCCATCCGTCTCGCTCCTTGCCTCTCCCTCCCCCCTCCCCCTCGGCCACTGACTGCACCGCACTGCACCGCACCGCACTGCGCTGTGTCTGTGAAGCCGCCCGCCCACCTGGTCGCAGCCACCGTCCGAGGCCCATCCACACAGCCAGACGACTACCCTGTTGATCTGAATCGAATCGAGTCCTTCTCCATTCTCCACAGTACTCGAGGCTGATTCCTTGCACCACTGCAAAAAGATTTCGCTTCGCGCCGTCTTCCCATCTGGCAAGCCCTGCCAGGCAAGGCCAAAGGGATCCCAGGGCCACCCCACGCCTCTCGCTCCGAGTCCAGTCAGGTCTCCTCGCCCTCGCAGGATCGCTCCTCCCCCTTCCAATTGACCCAATTGCTCCTTCAACACCCTATCACTACTACTTTCACGAGGCGGCCTTCAACGACAACGCTCCGCAACCGAGAGCGACCCAAGATTGGCTTTGGGCTGGGACTACTTGTATTGGGCACGGGCAAGGCGGTGCTCACTGCCCGGGCCGCGGTATCCTTTGCGACATCGCACGCGACTCACCCACGGCTTGACTCCAGTCGAATATGACCACAGCCATGTCCGCGACCTCCTCGCCAGCTACCTCGCCCCCTCCAGCCGTTTCCTCTCCGACGTCCAACCCCAACCATCCGCCACTGCCCCCAATCATAACCTCCTCGCCGCAGGCAAAACGATCTACGCTACCCCGGCCAGTCTCCATGTCACAAGCATCCAAGGACAGGCTGTCGCAATATTCCGTCGGCTCCGTGCCGTCTCGGTCGCGGCCGCCCTCTCACATATTCCCGATGTTCCCCTCTAGCCTCCCGTACACGCTTGTGCGGGACTTCGCATATCCGCCCGCCCATCCCATGCACTATGGCCCTCCGCCAGAGCCATCGCAACCTCCCTCGGGCATGTCCACTCCGGCAAGTGAGTCACGCCGCCTATCCGACCCTGCTTGGGAGGGCAAGACGAGCTGGGACACCGGCGCGTGGGAGAGCCTCAGCAAGGTCAACGATTTAGCGCCAATCTACCTTGGGGACGGGCCTCCCTGGAGCGAAGACGAAGACCTTCAGAGCCCCGTGGTGAGCTCCAGGCACCGGAAACACAAGTCGTCTGGCGCGGCCTTCATGCAGAGCCGTCGCCGTAGCAGCCGCGACCAAGGCGGTTCAAACGTCATGCACGCGGCGGATTATGACGAAGAAAGGGGCTACTACATAGGCACGGGTGGGGACGGCAGCGAACGATACTATGTGAACCAGGGCGGAGAGGCGAACGGGCCAGGCGGCGAATATGTCACATATCCGCCGACCCAAGCGCGGCACTCGGGAAACCCTTATACTCTGGCTGAGCTGCAGCCACGGCAGTATGCTGAACCCAATGGCGGTTACCATGATGACTCTGACGATTCTAGTACGGGGCGATCCCCTGGGTACGACCAGGAAGACCAATCTAGGTACTCCAGGGACTATCAATTCACAATCACCTCGCCCGACGAGGAAATGCACGGCAAGGCGGTCGCGCTGTTCGACTTTGAACGGGAAAACGAGAATGAGCTGCCACTGGTGGAGGGTCAAATAATATGGGTTTCTTACAGGCACGGGCAGGGATGGCTCGTGGCGGAAGACCCCAAGACAGAAGAGAGCGGCCTGGTCCCTGAGGAGTATGTGCGGCTGCTCAGGGACATCGAGGGCGGCATGACGAGCTTGACCGGGCAAGCTGAACCACTCTCCGGGAGTCCTGGCGACGTGGGCACGCCAACACAAGCCGAGCACACGAACCTTGGCCACAATCCTCCGACTGCAAGTACCTCCTCCAACGCCAATGGATATCATCAACCAGTCGTCTCAACTTTCTCTACTTCTAGCAAGGACCTTGAGCCGTACCCACACCACATGCTAGGCAACCAAGCCGGCCATGTCCCTCCCCAAGTCGTGCACTACCACGGTCAAAGAGGCGGAAGCCAAGCCAACACACCGACGCTCTCAACGCACCACGACACCGGCTTTCTACGACGGGGCAGCCAGGGAGGCGAGGAGATCCCACCGAAGAAATACGAAGGCCAGACCAAATCCGATACGAAGCTGGAGTCTCCAACCGAGGACAGGAAGACGGAGGCGAAATCATGAGGGGGCGGAGTCGAAGAACGCCCTGGAGAAGAGGGCTCCAATAATAAAATTCACGCCGGAGAACGGGGCCCTGTATAATTGGCCAAGTGTAATTGTAACGACCTTTTCGGGGCGGAGCGTTGCTTGTACGGCAAAACAACTTTTGTGACTGGATCAGCACGGAGTGGCGTTTGAACAGTCAATGACTGTTTATGAAGGAGGCGACAAGGGGCAGGGCAGGGACTATATTTCTTTGCCTGTGTTGTGATATTCTGGCAGGTCGGCGAGCCACCAAAAGCCACAGAAGGATTGTTGTCAGGAAGTCACGGGGGAGGGAGTCTCCGGTCCAGAGCAAAGATTGGATCTTGCATTTTAGGAGTACATCACACGGTGATCTGGAACGGCAGAGTGGGCACATCGCCTCTTGAGATGGAGTCTTGCGTCCGCGATGAAAAGGTCCCCATATAGCCGATGCGCTTTGTATAATGTTTCGAAATGCCAGATAAATATACTGCTGGAGCCACGGCAGTCACGGCCGTACAGCTTGTCCACTTCCGTCCTCTGACCTCCACATTGTGATGGAGACTCATCACGCATGCAAGACACAGCTGATCGATCCATCAATATGCAGGCTGCAGCAGATGCGCATCATGGCCTTGGTAAGACCATGGCCATGTGGAGAACAATATATGCACATTTATGTACAACAAATCAGCTTACCAAGTTTCCCTCAATGACTCTCCAAGACCTGATCGACGTGGTCGACTGAGTCTGGTATTGGATCAACAAGAGCGACGAATCTGTCCCGCACATGATAGCTGCACATCAACACGATCGTCTCGCTGCCCTCCGAGCTGGCTTTGTGTCCGGCCCGAGCACACGCGGTGGCTATCGGCTTCACGGCCGAGAGCTACAGGTCGCACTTTGATATTGAGTAGCCTCTAATTGTCCTGGTCACTTGTCCGAGTGTGCTCGAACATCTAATCTAGTAGTATCCTGGAGACATCGTCTAGGCTCGGTCTTCTTCTGCTTACTTGCCCGGGTATGATCGGGCGGATTGTGGGACAGAAGCTCGAGAGCTGCTGAGGCGCATTGGATGTGATGAGTTTATTTGCAGGGTCTCAAGTCCAGATTTGACCAACTGAGAATCTCCTAAACCTCCAGAGCATCTAGGGTTTTAAGAATTGAAAAGCAGTGGCATAAAGAGCTACTGGAACCTTTCAAAGTAAGGCGCTGTGGCTTGCTTGTATGATGGAAGACGTATGTTACCTTACGTCATGCTCGGGTCGCATTTGTAAAGCATGTTTGGGAGGGTCCGATGGTCCGCAATTCCGAGCTCAGCAATACAGCTCCCGCAGCTTGCGTCTCTCCCTCAACCTTACCCGGACGAGATCTTCAACTCTTGTCTCTGGTGACGCCGTCGTTACGCTTTCCAGATACGTTTGACAAGTTTCTTCTCGGACCAATCCCAATTCTCCCACTCAATTGGTTCTCCTACTTCACTACAATATGTTCGCTCGATCAGCATTCCGGGCGTGCCAGTCGGCCCAGCCCATGAAGCATGTAAGTTCTTACCCCAGCCTGCTCCGGGCTGTCGGCCCCTGCCTGTGACTGACCATCGCGTGCGCCAGCAAATCCGCCGCTATGCCGACAAGCCTTCCGCCCCCTCCGGTGGGAGCAACAACACGCTCCTCTTCCTACTCGGTGGCGGCGCGGCCGCCGCTGGTGGCTACTACTACTTCACAAAGAACCCAGGCGCAGCGCAAAAGGCTGAGGCAAAGGTCAAGGAGGTCATCCCCGGTGGTGAGGTCAAGAAGGCCCTGACGGGTGGAGACCAAGGTTTCCTGTCTCTGAAGCTGGATGATGTCGAGATTGTGAACCACAACACCAAGAAGTTCCGGTTCAAGCTGCCCGAGGACGACATGGTATCCGGCCTGGAGGTCGCCAGCGCGATCCTGACCAAGTTCAAGCCTGATGGTGACGCGAAGCCTGTGCTGAGGCCGTACACGCCTACCTCCGACGAGGGTTAGTTGTGCATTATCTCCTCTGATAATTGTTGTCTTGCCCATATGCTAAAACATGTTGGATATACAGACGCCAAGGGCTACATAGAGCTCATCGTCAAGAAATACCCTGAAGGCCCCATGTCCACCCACATGCACGACATGGTACCCGGCCAGCGCCTCGACTTCAAGGGCCCTTTGCCCAAGTACCCATGGACGGAGAATAAGCACGAGCACATCGCCTTGGTCGCCGGTGGAACTGGTGTTACCCCCATGTACCAGTTGTGCCGCGCCATCTTCAACAACCCCAACGACAAGACCAAGGTCACCCTCGTGTTCGGAAACATCAGCGAGGAGGACATTCTGCTGAAGAAGGAATTCCAAGACCTCGAGAACACATACCCCCAGCGGTTCCGCGCGTTCTACCTGTTGGATCAGCCACCAAAGGATTGGGCTGGCGGCAAGGGCTTCATCAACAAGGAGCTGCTGAAGACAGTCCTGCCAGGGCCCAAGGACGGCAACGTGAAGGTCTTCGTGTGTGGACCTCCTGGGTTGTATAAGGCTATCTCGGGCCCCAAGGTGAGCCCCAAGGACCAGGGCGAGCTGACAGGTATTTTGGCGGAGCTCGGATACACCAAGGATCAGGTCTACAAGTTCTAGACAGTCGGTGGGGAAAATGGTTCATTGACAGCAACAAACACGCATGAGTGTGAGTGTACAACTACAATAAATAGACCAACATTTAAGAAGAGCCGAGTCCAGCTCATATTGCATTTAACAAGCTCAACACCTCATTTCACTTCGGTGCTATTTCAGCATATGCGTTTTGCCGGGTAGTGCGAGCCTCCGGCCACACGAGGTTTCTGTCTTCTATGTTAGCCCATGGCGCTTAACTTATCCCTTTATGCTGGGTCTGGGTTCGACCGACAGCTCTTCGATCTATTATAAGGCAGTCGAGCCACTGCAGCAACTTGATAATTATACTAGCAGTAAGCTGAACCATGGTGAAAGTGGAGAAAGATAGCCCGCCTGGTTCTCCTGGAGCTTTTATAAGTCTAACAATTCTGGTCTCAATTAACCCCACAGGACTGGTGGACATTCTGCCTTGTCAGTAATGATACCCATCACATCATGATGCCTCTCTATGTCCAGATACTCGCCCGCCAGCCTCCACCTCGGAGCCATCCTCACCAACGCGGCCCTCGTCTGCTCCATCCCGCGCTTCATATCCGGTTGGCCGTTCTCCTTCCAGTGCCAGTGAAAGGTCGCCAGCGCACAGTAGACGGCGTCAAAGCAAAGCGGGCTCATCCGATCAACAACATCTGGCTCACCGGCGCCCGCATCGGTCATGCTCACGTCTGGGGATGTCGCGGGGCTGTGGGACAAACTCATCAGCTCGCTCGAGAAGTCCTGGATCTTTTTGCTCATCGCCGTGAGGCCGTTGATCGCCTCGACCTGCATCGCCAGCTCCTCTTCGGTGCGGCCGTCCTCGCTGCCGACCCCTGCGCCTGGGCGCATATGCTCGGGACAGCTGTATAGGTCCAGGACCATGATTATCGTGCTCCACACGAGGCACCGCGAGGGGCTCACCGCGAAGTACGTCTCACTACCAACCCCACCAGCATTTGATATGTCTTTCTCGATGGCGCGGCTGATTGTGTGTAGGTCACGGATTATCTCTCTGACCTCCCTGATGCTAAACACATCCTTATCCTGATCCTTCTCACCCGGGCAATGCCACGAGTCCTTGGCCCCGCGGCGGACATACCGCTTCGTCGCCCCCTTGCAGTGCGCCATGGCCCTGGAGGTGAGCATCGACGCCTGCGCCAGGCGCGCAAAGGGGCCGGCCGCCGGGTCCTCCAGCGGCGTGCTGGTGGGCCTCTGCAGGGAGAAGGCCATGTCGCCCGTGTCCCAGGCGTGGTCGTCGACGGGCAGCATCTCGTATTCCATCGGCTCGTCCGGGCCGCCGGCGAAGCGCTTCTTGGAGCCGAGCGAGATGGCCCTGTCGAGGATGTGCGTCGCCCACCACACCCTGCGGCGCTCCTCTGCCTCGGTCCAGGTCGAGCACTGGCCCAGGATCGTGCACGACTCCTGATATGACGGCAGGCCTAGCATCGCTGCGTAGCGCACGCAGCTGCCCGAGGTCATCCACGCCGCTGGGTAGACTGAGTGCCCGAACTCGTAGAGGGCGACTAATATCAGAGCTTGCAGGTATAGAATGGAGAGGGTGCCTGCGGATTCAAGTTGTGCCAGAAAACGTTTGCACGCAGTGTACAGATGCGAGTCTGCTGCAGAACGCATCTCGGGTGTCGGCGCGGTTGTGACGAGCCTCATGGCGAGGAATAGGAGGGCTAGATCGGGCCCGCCGTCAGAAAGCGAGATGCCTAGATTCATGCGTTTCTTGGAGATGAACGGAAACCAGCGGTGGATGGTATTGAAGTATGATGTGGCGGTCTCCTCTACGACGTTGCTGGAGGCCAGGATCTCAAGGACTTCCTAGTACTTGTCAGCTCCCTCCCTTCTCATACATCTGCGAATTAAAAATGTAAAGCCAGGGCTGATGAAAAGATGACAATATGTGTTCAGGAATAATAGCAGATACATTCAGATGTCAAATACCTATTGAGGAATCTAAATGCGCCTTTCAGCAAATGATCACTTGAGTGTATGAATGATATCGAGAACTAGCAGATTTGTTCTCAGATGAACCCGCCGCTTCGACAGTACCTGCAAACATAGCGATAGGTAGTCCATATGTCACACTGTTTCCGTCCGGGTTGCGTTTACAGGTATATGATCCTACGCTGGGACGCTATAATTAAGGAAGACAAGGTAGATATGGGCACAACTGTGTGCTTAAAATCCCGTAAAGTCTCCCAATCTCCTGTCATATGTGCATGTTCCCGTCGTCTGTGGTGCGGAAGGGTGACACTCGAGCACCCAGCTTGAGGCTAAATTCAATAGCAGATAGCAGGACTCGGTATTCGTTGAGCGGAACAAGCTTTTAGCAAATTGGACTTACCATCGGTATATCAGTGTTCGGATTAGGCACTGAGATTCCGCAATACTTGTAGATATCGCTGTCCAGAAACATGACAGCAGGGAACTTGGTCCTCCCGAAAGCTGCTTGGCCGTCCACCCACAAATCACCCCTCGATCTGGCAGCCCCTAGTCCTGCGCTGTCCGGGCTGGACTCGGACCTCCCAACATATGTGCTGGAGCCTGGTGTGCCGTTGATCTGGTTATGTTGAGGCATGGCTCTGGCTGAGTCCAGCCTCGCCTCGATCTCTGCCAGCTTCAACTGAAGACTCGCAAAGGCCTCCGCCGAGGGTGTCGCGCCCGGAGACGCTGGGTCTGAGTAGTCGCATGCTCGATGCAATGAGGCGCACCTGGAGCACGCCGGCAAGATCTTGTCACACCTTCGCTTTTGTTTCCTGCATGTTATACAAGCTTGTACGGCTCGTGAGCCGTTGGCGCTGTACATGGCTGTCTCTTGTTCCCGGGGTAAGAGAGAGAGCGCCATCTTCCGCGATGTGCAACGTTGTAACAAAGTATTCTGACGAGGGTTGGAAGAGTTGGATTGATGAAGCTCGCCGAAAAAATATTGAGACTCGTCTTGGAGGGAGCTGAGTGAGCATGGCTCCTGATGAGTGTACCGCCAGAGCTGAAGTAAAACGGAGGAAACGGAGATAACGGGGGTTTGTCTAATCCGCGCTAAGTGAGCGTCTCACCTACGTTATGGTCATCCACAGCTGGCTTAGCAAGCATTTTAGCGCTAGGAACGGCCCAAGTGCCCCCTGGGCAGCTTAATTTGACCTCAGCCCGCCCCAAAAGCGCACCTGACGCTTGAAGTTGGCATTGTTGTCATTGCCCAGGACTAAGCTGCCGGCAAATCCAGATCAGCCTTCTTCTCCCTCTTTTTCTCGCCAGCTTCTGAAGTTGGTGACCTTGCGTGAGAGAACTTCGAAATATTCGCAAGCGCTATGAATCTGTTTGTGTGTCTTGATGTGTTTGCGTAGCACGTCGCCGTCAAAGGACGGCCCAGTGTGTGATGGCCTCAGCCCCTCATCAGGCTCCCTTTGGTGACACCTGGCTCTGGATCCTTGAGCACGCTTCCTACCGTTTCTGGTTGTAAGGCCTGGATTAGGTTGAAAAGAAGAACCTGGTGGCACTTTTCGTTCCATGATGGTTCACCAAGGAGACAACCCTTGATACTTGTGCGGCAATGCCTTCTACGTCGCACCTTCCTGTGTTGGGGCAACAGGATAGAAGTAGTCCATCATACATCATACAGACCCATACAGACCTAGAGTGGATGACTTGCTGCACATTATCTTGATGAAATATATCTAATAGGCACAAGCCCTTTTTCAGTAATCGAAAAGTGATATTTCACAGAACACACACAACTTGACATCCTCAGTCTGCGATCAGCACATACCGTTGCTTCAATATTTGCTTTGGGCAACTCAATATCACTAGGCAATGGCAATTCCAGCCTCTCTCGTCAGGAAATTCCGGCCCCTGGCTCGCTGCGTCTTCCTCTCCGCTTTCTTCCTAGTTTCCATTACCCTCGTATACCAGCTCGATGCGATTCCTGGCCGGGACATCTTCGCTACCTCAAGATCCTATATCATCGATCGACTACCTTCACGTACAACCACGGAGCTAGAAATCCCCTCCGAGTCCTACGCTGTCGAGCTCAGTTATCTCAAGTCTTTGGACCTGACCAGCACAATCAAGCATTCTCGTCGCTGCGTCAAGCCCCTGTTCTCTGTGGGTGTAGATCGAGATGCTGTTGCGAACATCAGCTCTCGCCTCCTCACCAGGAAAGGGACGTTGAATCTGATTGACGCATCCACAATCAATGCCGACGCCATACCCTGTGATCCACTCGAGCTTCCCGTCCCGCCGGCGTATCCTAAGAGTGAAGGACAATTCGCCCATCTCACCTTCGGTGTAGCTACTACATATGCTCGCCTTCAGGACTCCAAACCTTTCTTCGCGCACTGGCTGTCCGAATCCGGGTCCAACCTAATCGTCCTCCTGACTGATGGCCTTGAAGAGTTTGAAAACATGGATATCGCCGCTCTCGAGGCAGAGTACAGGACCGAGGGCATGAATCTCACCCTCGTCCCAAAGCATCGCTCTGAGCATTCCACCGAGCAATCCCATGTCATGATTATTCGGGACATGCTTGAACATGCCCGAGAGACAGGCACAGAAACACAATGGCTTGGAATCCTCGACGACGACACCTTCCTGCCCTCGCTGCATGCTCTCGCAAGCGCCTTTGCCCAGTACGACCATACAAAGCCTCAGTACCTGGGACAGACTACAGAAAACGCACACATCCTCCCTATCGGGATTCTAGGAGGCTTCGGTGGCGCTGGAATTTTCCTGTCGTGGCCGCTGGCTCAGCAACTTGAGCCACATCTCGAAAGCTGCCTCGAGAAGTTCCCCAATCGAGGTGGCGACATGCAGATCATGAGCTGCGTTTATGCGCACAGCTTCGCCAAGCTCAAAATGGTGGATGGCTTGTATCAGATGGACATCATGGGGGACACGGCAGGCTTCTACGAGTCTAGCAGGCGGGTTCTGTCTCTACACCACTGGAAGAGTTGGCACTGGTCTCCAGTCGACAAGATGGCTGCCATCACAAAGATCTGTGGTGGCTGTTTCCTGCAGAGGTTCGCCTTCCCGGGGGACGGCAATCATGCTCTCACCGTATTAAACAACGGCTACTCAATAAACATGTATAGTGCTGACCTGGAGGAACTGCCGGATCTGAGTATGACGGAGCAGACTTGGGACGGAGGAGAGGATGGGGCATATCAATGGAGCTTGGGCCCTCTGAGGCCAAAGGTCGACAGGGAAAAGAAGAAGTCGTATTGGCTGCAGACGGCTGTTGCTGGCGAGAATGGTGCTCTGACCCAGGTCTATATTCATCGGGGCAAAAGGGATGAAGGAGAGATTGACGAGGTGATTGAGTTGGTTTGGCAGCCTTATTGAGAGCATTAATCACGAATAGACTTACCATGACGATTGTGTTAAAGATAAATTTTGCAAACCCTAGGAAAGATTCCCTCGCTCGCTGACTATCTGACTGCTGTGTTGGATGTCACTAAACTAGAATTTGATGAGGAAAGCGCTTGCCCCATCGACGCTCACCAGATCATGATCGTTCTGAGCGTTCTGAGCGTTCTGTGCTTGGCCCGAAGAGTTGATGGTGTTGTAACCAAGTCCACGGTCAAACAAGCAAAGGAATTTTCGTCAGAATCCTCTCCGGGTGCTTTCAAGGCTAGGAAAAGTCATGACCAATATTTGTGTATTATATTCATATGCTAGCATACTGGTACACATGTTTCCACGGCCCAAGGTACGACACGGTATAAACATCCACAAGCCTTCCTGCTCGCTTGTGGGAAAAGAAGAAAGAAACCCATTTTCTATGCCCCCAACGCCTCAATGCAAGCCATGCATATGCCAAGTAGTCAAACTGTCAGTAAAAAGCAACATGAGCAATGCGACTAGAAATCGTACTGTTGCTATCCCAATTGCACCTGAGATCCCCTTAATTACGTGCCCAGGTCCTTACCTGTCTCGGACACCCTTCGAAGCCGCGTCCCAGGCGCCGAACCATTCATAGTGCCATAGCCAGCACTGCCCTTCGAAGCCCGCGAGTTGACCCTTGTCAGCGGCGGCAGGTCCTCGTCGTCCTCGTCGTCCGGGTCGGGGATCACGACGTCCTCCCGCGTCCCGACCAGGTCTGTGACGTCGCCCGCGATGATAGCACGGTTGGCGGGCTGGTCATCAACATCACCCGCCTCGTCCAGCAGCGCCGACTCGTCGTCCGTGTCCTCCTCGCGGCTGGGGCCCTCGCCCTCGACGATCAGCCACGCGGGGATGGCCTGCAGCACGGCAACCGCGGCGAGGAGCCACCAGGCCGGGATCACATAGCCCCTCTTGACGCCCCAGCTGAACGTGGCACCGGTCATGGTAGGGCCGACGGCCCTGCCGAGGCCGGAGAAGGTGGTCGCGAAGCCGTTGAGCGTGCCGAGGATGCGGACCGACGGCGCCGAGTTGGTCAGCAGGATGGTGATGCAGGGGAAGCCGACGATGACGGCGAAGCCCTTGATGAGCAGCAGAAACATGAGCGCCGCGAACTGCAGGCTGGCGTCCTGGATCAGCGCCGTGTAGGGGATCAGCACGTAGACGATGGGGAAGAGGACCGTGCCGGCCTTGAAGCACGTCAGCGCGCCGTAGCGCGAGCACACCGGCGGGAAGAGGAAGAACTGGATCACGCCGCACGCGAGTCCGTAGATGGTGAAGATGGTGCCGATCTTGTTCGAGTTGAGCCCGAAGCCGCCCGAGAAGTGGAACGGCAGGTGCGTATTCTCACTGTCTGGGACTTGGCGTGGGTAGTTCAGGAAGACTGGGAGCACCTGGTCGAAGGCTACCGAGTGCAGGGCCAGGACTGTGTACGCGATAATGTTCATGGTGACTTGCGGCGTGAAGATCTCCTTCATTGTTGGCGGTGGGGCCATGGATTTCTTCTTGAGAACGACACCTGATTTGGGCAGCAGAGGCGCCGATGCCTCGGCATCCACGAAGGAGGGTCGGTGGTGACGTTGATGCTGGTGTTGGTGCTTGTGGCGGGGCCTGGTCCTGAAGGGCTGCGAGATCTTTTCTCCGAGTATTAGGCCCCAGTCCCTCTCATGCCGCTTCGTCTCTAAAGTCTCATGGAGGAACAACACTGCCACAACAACGGAGACAAAGAAGAAGGCACAAGCCACAAGGTTGGGCAGCAGGAAGGGGTACTTGTTGAACAGCCAGCTATCGCCGAAGAGTCCTGGGTACTGTTCTGCAGGTCGTGCGAAGAAACCTCCAAAGGATGGCCCGAAAACGGAGCCTATACTCCAGACCAGAGGCATCAGCGAGAACGCGCGCGGCTGGAGTTCCTTCTGAGGAACCATCTCAGCGACCATAGTGCGTATAATACCAACTGCGGCGCAAGTTAGACACAATTACGAGTAGGGTTGTAGTGGAGGAAACATACCATTTCCGTTACCAGCACCCATAATAAAACGTACGGCGACAGCCATAGCGAGACTGGAGGCCGTCCCCCATATTATGAAGCAAATCATGGTGGAGACGAGCCCCGTTATTATAGTCGGTTTGCGGCCAATCTTGTCTGATAATCGCCCCCAAGGCACTGCGAAAGCGCTTTGTGATATCGAGAACGTTGAGCCTACGAGGCCGGCCCATCTTGCAACATTGTTATCTTGTACACCGAAACTCTTGATCATCTCTGGTAAGTAGGGGAAGACCGACGTCAAGGCCAGCGGCTCCGCGAACCTGGCGACGGCTAAGAGGCATGATGTTAGCGAGCCACCACGAAGACGAGGGATGGTACCTGGAAACATGCTATTCTGTTCCCCCCAGCTTTCTCAGTATTCACCATCAAGTCCATGCCATTCGTCACGTCAAGTATCCGTATCGTGTTGTGTTGTGATGTGGTGACTCTGCCTTCTCCCATGAGAGTGCACAACCCAGTCAATACAACTGCCCGGCACGCAACTAAGCAGTCGGCAATAGGGACTACTGGTGAAAATCCCCAGCTTTTGTGGACCAGTTTGATACGACGAGGCTTCACTTGAGGCATGGCGGCGACACGGAGGCATACGAATGCATGGTCCAGACAGGGGCGCAGGAGAATGTTCCGTAATACGCGAGGGCTGGAGGTCATAACTGCTTACCCAGAATCGCGAGCTGCTTTACTGGGAGCTTCGGTCCATTGGAAGACATTGTGAAGTCACCGAACGCGGAGAGCACGGCGAAAGTATGTCTATTGTGTGTAAGGGTATATGTAACTAGAGGGCTTCGTTATGCAGGATGGGAGATCCAAGTAGATCTTGTCTAGAAGCGATTTGAGACGACAGGGACTCCAGTCGACAAGAGAGGAACTCTTGGGTTCTACGACTGTGTTTGTGGCCAATAATAAATTATGAGGCACGACGCGTCGTCGAAACCACGAGAGTGTTGGAGTGCGACGCAAGACAGGAAGACCGAGGCCACGAGAAGTAAACAAGCACAGGGAAACGTCACAAGTAATAAAAGAAAAGAAATCGCAGTCTTTTGACTGAAGGCCGCCACCCCACAAGGCAAGGAACGGTCTTTTCAGAGGCGAGTCACCCGGCTGCAAAGAAGTGGGACCGCAGCGGTCGACGATGGTGCGGATGTCCACTCAGATCTCGCAGAATTACAAGCCAGGAAAACCTGGGCTGCACAGCCCGGCCTCGCCTAGTGTTACAGGGCGCACAGAGTTGGCCGGTCCTCCGCCGATTCAACCCAGCCTCTGACGGGGTGTGGCCGAGACAAAGGCGGCGTACAGGAGAGAGACAGAGGAGGGGCCTCGGGGCGGCGGTTGTGGAGGGGAGATGCACCCCAGTCTCGGCTGCTAAGAGGGGACACCGCTCTTGTGCATGGTCGAGACCGTTTCAACGACTCGACCAAGAACTACACATGCGCGGTCTTTGCCGCCTCTAGCAGAGTCATCTGAATGGTTGCAGCTGCATGTGCATGTGTTGATTCGTGTTCTGTGTGTGTGTATGTATGTGCACACTTGGTAGTCTTGCTCGCTCACACGGCCGATCGATCCGTTGTCGGCCATGTCAAAGTTATCGAAGGAAGATAGGATGGGTTGTATTTCATGCGGGCATAGTCCCATGACCCAAGTACGGACTTAACGGCGGGCGACCTGAACAACCACAGTCCAAAATATGACGTCGCCCCGCTTTTCCGTTGCGAGGCTACGCCGCATCTCAGCAGGCTTTGCTGATCCGCACTTTGAGCAGTGCTGATTGGCACATGTCTCGATATGCCTTGCCTGCAACGGCAAGGCGCCGATGTCGAGATGGCTGCACCCAATGTTGTGACAGTGGGTTCTCATTGGAGACGCCGAACTCTGCTCCACCTGCGAACCCTTGGATCCAGCTGCGCAGGTGCTGCGGCGGGGCAGAGGCAGTGGAGGCAGGCGGCTGCTAGCAGAAGTTCATCTTGGCAAGAATCGACGACAGCCGTGGTCACGATCTGGACCCTCAAATCCGAGCACCGAGTACCGAGACCTGTGGTGCCGAGAACATCGGCTGAGAAGAATTGAATTTGACAACAGCATGCTGACAAGGCTATGCTGTGTAGCAAGATGACGTCTCAATTGCGATCTTGATGCCAGAAAGCGTTGCACCTGTCGTTACACTCGAGCGTGTGCAGGGAACATGCGAAGCTTGTTCTGTTCACCAGCGGGTTGCGGTGAATCTGGGTGACATTTCCACAGCCGTAGCTGGGTCGCCTCTCGCGCCTCGCACCAAGAACTGCACCACCACGATCCTGAGGTGTCCAGAATTGCTGAGGGCACATCAGTCACTGGCGACATGATGAAGCGGTGAGCACTGCAATCGAGGGCATCGTGGAGGTGTATCAAAGACTCTTGACCAGAAAGCCGGCACTTGGAGCGCTCAAGTGTCTGCTCCGGTCCGGTGCACATATGCATCGATATCTGACTCTAGGAGCCAATAATGCATGTGAAAAGACCCTGACAAGCCGGCAGAACTGCGGGTGGTGCGTAAGCACAGTTTGACGACGGACAGCGTGCAAGCTGAGCACGGCCGCAGATGTGACCTGCGTCAAAGCAGTTCAGGCCGAGCATGTTCGAACATAGACGCGATGCTTTGAAACTGGCCCTGCGATGCCACTGTCGAGACTCTGGATAGAAGACTGGAGTTCATGCAGTTATAAGATGATTTATAGCATAGCTGTCACGTCACTAGAAAAGAGGGAGAGTGTCTCATCGGGGCTCAGGGCTTTGCCCAATCAGGCAGCTCGGTGTGAGCTGCCCGCAGTCGGCCGTTGCTTGCCGCTGCCGGGATGTTATGATGTCAACCGGGCCCGTTGATAACGACATTGAGCTCGCGACACTCACAGTGGAAGCTTGAAGCTCCCTTTCTGTTAGTGAAAGTGCTACCCCGTCGTTCAGGTCCTTATCTTCGAGTCCACAATTGTGAGACTGCCGGTGGATCACATCAGTCCGCGCTGGAAGCGAACATAGCTGCATATCCTGTACCGGCAACCGTGCTTGGTGAGTTTCCCTTTGCTTCAAGTTCACCTGTGGCTTGCGGCTCTTCAACGGTTGTGCAACACTTGTACAACATCTCGACGCCAGACGACAAGACTAGGTCTTCTGCCTGTCACACCATCATCATGCGGCTGACAAGCAAGGAAAAGCCGGACCATAACATGGTCAATCCCGAAAAGATGGCGGACGAGCACACGCCTCTCATCTCAACTGTGAGGACCGCTCCTCCACGCCAGCGCTATCCTCACCATGCCGTGCGCCGCTTCTGCACAATCGCACTATCCTGTAGCCTCATTGCCTTGTTTGCCACCTTCCTCTTCGTCTTCGGCTTCGGCGGTCCTATTGAGCGTCATGAATGGGACTTCTCGTGGCCCGACTGCAAGGAACGGCATCTGAGCTATGAGGAGCTCAAGAAGATACTGCTCGACACACCAAGCAGTGAGAAGGCCGAAGAATGGCAAAAGTATTATACTGAAGGGGCTCACTTGGCGGGACAAAACTACTCTCAGGTGTGTATATATACGCCCCCGCCCCTCCTTTTAATTCTCGTGTGATTTGGTATCTCATCGCGAAACAGGCGCTGTGGACCAAAGACAAATGGGCAGAGTGGGGCGTTGATTCATCAATTGTCACCTACGACATCTATTTGAACCGGCCCGTTGACCACCGACTGGCAATTCTGGACAAGTCAGGCTCGGATGACGCCTCGACTTGGAAGGTATCATTCGAGGCCTCGCTTGTGGAGGACGTCCTCGACGAAGATCCGACTACTGGCTTTGATACGAGCATCCCGACATTCCATGGCTACTCTGCCAGTGGCAACGTGACCGGCCAATTTGTCTACGTGAACTATGGAACATATCAGGACTACGAGGATCTCGTCGAGGCAGGCATCGACTTGGACGGGAAGATCGCCATCGCCCGTTATGGCGGTATCTTCCGCGGCCTGAAGGTGAAGCGAGCCCAGGAGCTCGGCGCAGTTGGCATAGTTCTCTACTCTGACCCTGGTGACGATGGAGACGTCACTGAAGAAAAGGGCGTTGAGAAGTATCCCAAGGGCCCAGCGCGTCAACCCAGCAGTGTGCAGCGCGGAAGTACCCAATTTTTGAGCTTCTCCCCAGGTGACCCGACTACTCCTGGCTATCCGTCAAAGCCTGGCGTTCCCCGTGGACCCACCGAACCATACATCCCAAGCATTCCCAGCATTCCCATCTCCTACGAGGATGCACTGCCTATCCTCAAGGCTCTCAACGGCCACGGTCCTTCTGCAAAAGACTTCAACAAATACTGGAAGGCCGACCTGGGTCTGGGATACAAGGGCGTGAATTATAGTGTCGGCCCATCACCTGAAGACGTTGTTATCAACCTGTACAACAAGCAGGACTATATCATCACGCCCAACTGGGATGTCATTGGCATAATCAACGGATCCATCCCTGATGAGGTGATAATTGTGGGAAATCATCGAGATGCTTGGATCGTTGGAGGTGCGGGTGATCCCAACAGTGGATCAGCTGTTATCAATGAAGTTATCCGCAGTTTTGGAGAGGCCCTTAAGAAGGGTTGGAAGCCACTGCGAACAATCGTGTTTGCCTCCTGGGATGGGGAGGAGTATGGTCTGCTTGGAAGCACCGAGTGGGTAGAAGAGTACCTGCCGTGGCTTTCGCATGCTAATGTCGCCTACCTGAATGTTGACGTTGGAGTCAGGGGCCAGGAGTTCCACGCCTCGGCCGCTCCTCTCCTCGACAGCCTTCTTTACGACATCACTGCCCAGGTGCCATCACCTAACCAGACTGTTAAAGGTCAGACCGTGTACGACACTTGGGACAAGAGAATAAGCACGCTTGGCAGCGGCAGTGATTACACAGCATTCCAGGACTTCGCTGGTATCCCCAGTATTGACTTTGGGTTCGGCGCTGGATCCAAAGATCCGGTTTACCACTACCACTCCAACTACGATACCTTCCACTGGATGGCTGAATTCGGCGACCCCGGTTTTGTCTACCATCGAACAATGTCACAGATTCTCGCACTCGCCACGGCTAAACTCGCCGATGAGCCGGTGCTGTCCTTCGAGGCGGCTACCTACGCCACGGCTCTTGACAAATATGTCAGCAAGGTCGAGGAGAAATTGGCGGCCGCATTGATCCAGTCGGAGCCCACGGACAAGGATGAGATTCTTGCCATGCGCGGCAGTGTCATCCGCCAGGAGGCTGAGGCCCAGGGCGAGGTTTCAGGTTTCCGTAAGAGCCTCGTGAAGCTGCATGAGGCCATCGCGGGCTTCGTGACCGAGGCGAGCAAGTTGGATGCCAAGAAGACTGAGCTGCAGAAGGAGGTCAGCGAAGAGATCCCGTGGTGGAAGTGGCCCAAGAAGCTGAGGCTGGGCTATGAGATCCGCAAGGTCAACACAAAGTACAAGTACCTGGAGAGGGACTTCATCTACCCAGAGGGTCTGGATGGACGTCCCTGGTTTAAGCACGTTGTGTTCGCGCCAGGCTTGTGGACTGGCTATGCTGGAGGTAGGATCCCCTTTCCCTTGGAAGTCAATTCACATTGGATGGCTAAACATCTGTTCCTGTTTATTTTTCACCTGTTCGCATTCATCGTGTGATAGTTTCTTGCTGACCTGATCTACAGCTGTCTACCCGGGTTTGGTGGAGAGCATCGATGCGAAGAATTATACCAATGCAATCCGCTGGTCTGGTATTATTGAGGATTCCGTCAAGACGGCTACTGCCAATATCAAGGTTGGTCATCACGGCTAGATGGTGAGGCGATAGGGGTAAAATAGCGTGCAGTTCGCAAACGAAGACAGTTCGAGTATCATGACGGCGACGCCAAACGATAGAATGGAAATATTGTTGACCTTATTGAGATGAATTCCACGTTCTGTTCTACTTCAGCCTCCGCGGCCAGAATTGATCATCTCTTGTATATACGTCCTCCCCAAAACTTAACGTAGGGACGGAGTTCGTACAAACATCTCTGCGGAAGTCTCGAACTTGTGAGAAGTCCATTTATTACTCACGAATCATGGTTCTCACCAAAGTCGAATCATACTATGAAATTGCCCATGTAGGGACAGTGACTCACCGTCTATCACGTACGATGTTGTTTTCCTACCAGGCGAGTATGTCTCCACCTTTGTCTGGGCTCGACCTTCTCCTCACCAGTCGTCTCGCCGTCGCACCGCTTTGAACATTACCAGGCCAAGCGCCAAACGCGGGCAGGTCCTCGTGATACGCTTCTCCAAAACGCCAGGGGCTCATCCCGGCGTGCACAAAGGCCCCTGACCTTAATGCACGTCATTAATAAGATCGTTCATGCCGTCGCCATGGGGGTAGCTTGGCCATTGTTTGTCTTGGACTGCGCAATCAACAAATTGTTTCTTTTGCGACTTCTCCGAAATAAACAACCCTGACGAAGCCTGCTCCATGAGACAGGTCAACCAATGTCTTGAAAGCAGCACTCCATCATGAGCGACCGAGGACCAGGCAGCCGCCGCGCCGGCAGCGCCAGAGGGCGCAACTCATCCCGCTCTGCGACTTCGTCGGCGCGCTCCTCGGCCGCATTTGAGCGTGACCACGACCAGCACCTGCAACCGCAACAACGGTATAACCCCAGCCTGCGCTCCGTCAGCTCGCGCTTTTCCCTCTCCGACCAGTTCGCAGCCACCAGAAGGGAGTATGAGTTTGGCTTTGACGACGGCGCATCCTTCATCACGACAGATGCCGAGGTGGAGACGGACCAGGAAGACACCCTGACGGGCACTGGGAGCTTCGACGGAGTTATCGTCACTCCTCCCGCATCGCACCGTGGTGCCGGCAATGCGCCGAGACAATCAGGGATAGAGGGGATACGGCGCTCGCATTACGAACTGTTGTCAGTTCCAGTGGGTAACGAGGCGTCTGAAAGAGACATCCGTCGGGCTTATTTCCGACTTTGCGATATCCTTCGCTCAGACAGTATCCCAGCGCAACAACAAGATGTAGCCGAGCGGTATCTTGGGCATGTTCGGGCTGCGTTCGAAACTCTCATCAGCAAACACAGCAGAGACGACTATGATGCCTCACTACTAGACGAGGAGCTTGAGGATGCCACACTGTTGTCAGGCGAAGAGGGTGAAGGCGATGGCGACACGCGACAAGCTAGACGAGTAAATACTCAACTGGTGCGGGAATTGCGGCGGCAGCAAGAGCGGGAATCAACAGACATAGGATTGCACATGGATGTACAGTCCATAGTCTCCTCAGGCCACCGAGAACTTTACCTTCAACGCGGTCTACCAGCAACTTTGTCTCTCACCCAGACTTCAATCACTTCCATTCCAGCCATCAGTCAAGCTTTAGAGCCCAAGCTGCGACAATTCCGAAAGTCTTTGGGCGGCGCAGCAGCTTCAGGCGCTGCGAAAGTCGAAAAGAACGAGCTCTACTGCACCACCCCCAATGTTACCCTCACATCTTCAATTTTCGCAACAGATGCGAAAGACTCCTTCCTCCCTCCTGCTAGTGTGTTAGCCCGCCAACAGAACCTCAGCCATGACACCCTTCCAAAAGACAGGCAGCTGCAATGGTTCTCATTCTACTTTGCACCCACCCTCAATCTAAAGCTCCGGCAGGAGCTCTTCGTCCGGGAGCCCGGGCTCTCTGAGGCTGCACTGAGGCGAACACTACCAGATGCCGTAGTGGAAATCGAGACCGACACTCTCAATGCTGCGTCTCTCACGGCGAGAGCTTCACATGTACTGCGCTTCAATGGCGACGAGGAGGACGAGCACCAACCGGCCGAGCCACTGCACACTGAGGCGAGCGTATCGGTAAGCCGGGCGTGGCCGGCTGCCAGCTACAAGCCGAGATTCGGACTCGGTCTGCACCGGCGTGTGGGTGGCCACAATGGCGGTACTGTGTTTGCCTGTACGGACAGTGGGACTCCATCTCTCTGGGAAGGGCTTTCACCGTCTTCGTTTTTCAAGGATTCCGTGAGAAGAAGGCTCGACCGAGACTCAACTGGGGCTTCCTGGCGCAACTACATGAGTCAGCTCTCACAGATGTTCGGACCAGGGGGCATGCCGAACTACTACAGCCCGCCCACGCTCGAAGTCGGATACAAGTTCGGTGCTTTCTCTGAAGATACCTTGGGACTACGTTCCGGCCGTGCTTTCACGAAGCCAGCAGGGAGTGGACTACGACGGCTTCACGATAGTGTGACCTTATGTGGTCCAGGCGAGGGAGGATCGTGGACGATTTCCGGCGCGTTGACCCCTGGCGGAGTGGCCGGATATTTGAGGTTCGGAAGGAACCTGCTGTCATCACTTCCTGATCTGGAGCACAGCCTGATTCCGAATCGGTTGAGAGGCCTACTTGGCTGCCGCTTTGAAGCTGAGCTATCCACGTACACATCGAGGCCCAGCAACCTGCTCGGCAGGGCGCACTCGCTGGGCAGGTCAGAGATCATCCAGCTGGCCGTGCGCGGGCTCAAGAAGTTCGGAAAGTCGTCGAAAGTAGGCCTCGAGATGTCTGTGAGCAGTGCCAACAGCAGTCTGGCTCTGTCACTATATTACTCAACAAAGAACAACAAGAGCCTGACCATCCCGTTGATGCTCTTCCGAGACCAGCCCTCCCACTATCAGTTCCTCGCCAAGTTCCTCCTGTGGGCCGGCTTCCTGCCCGCCCTGGCTCTCGCAGCACTCGATCACTCGCGGACTCTCCTGCCCCGAGCGTCCGCCGCTTCCCAGGCAGAGAAGAGTCGGCGCTCGCAAGACATCCAAAAGTATATCGCCGCCCGCCGCGCCGAAGCTGATGACCTCGTCACCGTTCTCGCCGAGCCCATTATGCAAAGACAGCGGGTTCAGCGCGAGCGCGGCGGTCTTGTGATACTGAGCGCGAAGTACGGAGTCATCGATGGCCCGTCCACTTCTCACCCCTCAGACTCGTCCACGGGTCCTCCTGCTATCCAATTGGGACCGAGCTGGACCTCCCCAGAGGAGGTCGCCGATGTCACTGTGGCGCTGGCGGCGCTGGTAGACGACGATGGAACACTCAAGATCCCCGAGGGGCTGAGGAAAAGCCGACTGCTCGGCTTCTGGGATCCCAGGCCCAGACGGACCAAGTGTCTTCTCGTGAGGTACATGTTCCGGGGTCAGGAGAAGGTGAAGGAGGTCATGGGGAGAGAGGAGCTTGCGTTGCCGTGAGTCTAGGACGGCGGGTGTTCTGTACGATGTGATGCATATGATGTCCCAGTAACTGCATGAGTGATGTTGTATGAGAAGTCATGATGGATCTGGAGTCTGAATGTATATTTACTTGCAAGCCGTGGCACCGGTTTCGTGATGTTACCTGGTAGATACGCTCCTCACAGTGACGCGTGAGCTACTCACGCTGGGTGGTCGTGTTTCAGACGGCCCCTCTGAAATGGTTGTATAATCCAACTCTTTACAGGTCAAATAGGGGCTTCGTGCTCGCATTCTCCCTCTGTTGCTTGTAAGCTTCACAATACATCATGACATCGACAGCGTTGTGTCCCAACAAGCGGCGCCGGAACCGACTCCGACGAGATCATCCACTTCTTACCACCAGAATTTTACACCATCACGGACTGACTCACCCCAGAGAGTATTACGCTTGAGTACCAGCTTCTCGGCCAAGTGTAGGACTACGAAGAAGCTATACATATCCCCGCACCCAAGGATCAAGCAAGCTCGTTGGATGCCTGGCACTAATGCGAAAATTATCTCTTTAATAGTCACCCGTATGGTTTCCCTCTGCTTTTACATTTGAGCCTCAAGACTACCCCAAGGCAGAGGTTGAGCAAGATATGTTGGCAATACTTTAATTTGCCAGCAACGCCTGATAATATGGGTGGCCCAATGAAGAGGGGTCTCGTAAAGAAGCGATACAGCAGAGGAATCAAAGGACAAGATAAATGCGACGATTCTCTGATTTTAAGACGTCCAGTCAATATTTGATGAGGTTCTCCTCTGTCGACTCCCAGGAGGTCTACGCTATATGCCCACTAATCAAGACCAACACAGTCTGGGCGGCCCCCACAGCACCCTCAATGCACACAACCCATGATATATCCCAATTTTCAGTACCGAGCCAGGTCCAGCACGCCAGAACTCCTATAGAAACCATGCAATTTAGATCGCAACCGGCCGCAAGATTCAAGCTCAGGCGTAGAGCTTCTTCTCGTACGACTCCATGTTGACACCACCCTCAAGCTGGGCGCTGGCGGTTCTGATCTCAAACCGCACAACACTGTCTTGGACACCTTGGTGAAGCTCGTGCAGGCTCTTGATTCCGGCGTCCTGCATGGAGTGCTTCAGACCAGCCGCAAGGTAAGGCACGAACTTTGTGATCGAGCCGCGGTGAGCGACAGCACCAGCGACACCCTGGGCCACCAGGACGCTGTCACCCTCAGAGAAGTACCGAGCCGTTCCGGCGTTGCTCTTTTGGCTATCAGCGCCACCACCTCCGGCCTTCTTGTCCTGCATGGCATCGATGCTACCCATACCACGGTATGCCTTGACCAGTTTGCCCTCTCGGGAAACAAACGAAGTTCCAGGAGACTCGGTGGTACCAGCCAGGAGACCACCCATCATGACCGTAGAAGCGCCAAGGGCAAGACCCTTGACAATGTGGCCGACGTTCTGAATACCACCGTCGGCGATGCAAGGCACGCCAAATCTGGCAGCAAAAGCACTGACGTTGTAGACGGCGGTTGCTTGAGGACGGCCGACAGCCATGACTTCCTGGGTGATACAAGCAGAGCCGCTACCCATGCCGATACGAAGACCGTCAACCCCAGCAGCAATGAGAGCAGCAGCCTGCTCTCTGGTCACGACGTTTCCGCCAATGACGTCGAGCTCAGGGAACTCATTCTTGATCCACTTGATCATCTCAATCTGGAACATGCTGTTTCCCTGGCTGCTATCGAGGATGACGATGTCAAGACCAGCCTCGACGAGCCCGCGCAGCCGGATCTTGTCCTCTGGTCGGGTACCGATGGCCGCAGCGCAAATCAGCTGCTTGGAGTCGGGAAGCTTGGAGGCGAGGGGGAAGTTGAGGTTCTTGCGGAGATCGGAGCGGGAGATCATGGAGACCAAGTTGCCATCCTTGTCGACAATGGGCAGCTTGCCCTTCTTGGACTTAGCCAGGATGTTGTTGGCCTCTGCGAGGGTCACACCCTCTGGGGCAGTGATCAGATCAGTGACCATAACGTTGGCGACGGGCTGGTCGTCGACGTCCTCGAACTGCAGGTCTCGGTTGGTGACGATACCCAAAAGCTTGGAGCCGAGCTTGCCATTCTCTGAAACAACAAGATGTCAGCTGTCTGTTTGTTTCATGATGTTGTGTTTGTTGTTGATGTGATTGTGATAGAGCAGGAATGTCATTGAAACAAGTTTCTCCCCATGACGGCGACCGTCGATACGGTGGAACGAAAGTTATATAAAATTGGGATTATAATCATGATAGCTGGCTGATGGAGGTATTACGGATAGTTGACCCGAGAGGAGGCACTCACCAGTGACGGGGAAACCACCAAAACCCCACTTCTCCTTCAGAGCCTTGGCCTCGCCGACATTGGTCTCTTTGGTGATCAGAACGGGATCGTTGATGAAGCCATTCTCGAAGCGCTTGACCCTGCGGACCATGTCTGCCTGGGCTTCCGGGGAGCAGTTGTGGTGAATGACACCCACGCCACCCTGCAGGGCCATGTGGATGGCCATCTCGTGCTCAGTGACGGTGTCCATGGGGGAGGAGACAAAGGGGGTCTTGAGGGTGATGCGCTTCGTGACGGGAGCGTCGAGAGTGACATCGGAGGCGGGGAAGCCAATGTAGCCAGGCAGAAGGAGGAAGTCGTTGTAAGTCAGACCTCCATGGACCTTGGCATCCATCAGGTCCTGAATGCCGAGCCCATCGCGGCTGTCGTACTCCTTGAGGAGCTCCTCGGCCTTGGAGTAGTCAAGGGCCTTGGACACGCCGTTGACGGGGGTGGCACCGTTTGAGGAAGGCATTTTGATGTTGGCCAGGTCTGTCCCGGAGACTCAATTCAGAGATTGCAGCAGGGTGCTAGCCAAGAAGAGGACGAGATGGGTTGTCAGCTGTCTTGACTTCTCGACGGGGAGGGTTTCCCAAGAAAAGAAGAAGAAGAGAAGAAGAACTAGGCAAGCCCGTGAAGCTCTTGCATTAAATCAATTTTTTTTTCAGAGAGGACCCCTGCTCACTACCAAAACTCGACGCGCCTACCCCACTTTCGCGACTTTGTGTGTTAGATTGGTGCTATCGATAGTGGTGCTTATCGATAGGGCCTCTTATCGATGTGCAGTCTTATCGATAATGAGGGTGTTTCTTTGTCAGCAAGTGGGACCTCCCTCCTGTGGGATGCCAGGCATCAGGCATCCGGCATCCAGAGTGTTGGGACCTGGGAAGGGAGAAACGTCGACTGCAGTAGCGTGGTCTGCATGGCTAACCTGCACCTTCTCGGCCCTATGCACTCGCGGATCGATTCATTCGAAACCAAGACTCAGCCTTCAGAAGCAAGAATGGCATTGTCCTGTCTCAGGGCTTGAGTGACAGAGTGAGGGGTCAGAAGTCTGGCCCTTCAATGGTTGTGTTCCGGCCTGCAGCAGTGCCCAGGTGTGGGTCCTTTTTTCCCTGTCCCCAGCCACCTCAAAGCTCCAACAACAGCCAGCCAGACTGCCGCCCTCTTGCTTGGGCCACCCGATCTTTTCCATGCCCAGTGGGACCTCAATTGGCAAGCGTGAGAATGTCCAGCGTACTCTGATCGGATTTTTGCTTCTTGCTTTGAGGTGTTCCTTCATTTTTCTTTTGTCTCAAGATAGATCGCTGATCTGAAGTTGGTCCAAACTTGTCGGCCCACCCCGTGTGACGTCTATTTTCCGTATTTGGGCTGCCAGCTTGGCGATCACGTTCCCGCTGCTGCAGCAACCATCGCGCGTCAAAACTGTAAACAAGGCTAACGAACCCCCGCCCCTGCTTTTCTCCATACGGTACCATCCTCCTGCTGTGACTCTGTGCCTTCGGGCAAGGATCTTCCAAACCTGCCCGAGAACCGAATACTGGTGGCTGGTAGAGAGCACTCTTCTCTGGCCTGTACATACTGTCACCAGGAACCAGTTCCATTCCATCGGCATCAGCTTCTTCTCGTCGCCGAATCGGTCGTCTCTCCCTCCCACCCAACATCACTTTACACGATATCATCTCCTTTTTTTCTTTGCGCAGTGCGCGCCCTCATGTCTCATAATACGCGTCGCCGCCCGGGTCCGTTTGCGTGTTGATCGGTGCGGCTTCCTGCACTGTGCTGGCCCTGCTTCTAGGATTTCTTGTTTGCTTCGTCTCGACACTCAGCTCGACATCCAAGCCTGTTCGACTCCACCGCTAATCCACACTGTTGACCACATCAGGCCCCGGGGTCATTCCTTTGCAACAATCGCCTGCCTGCCTGCCTGCTTGCACAATCCCCAAACCCCCGACGAGCCAGCATTTTCCAATGAGGACTGAAGGCCTTTAATGTTTTCTTCCATCTCGAAATCCCAACAGCCTCCAGATAGAGCGACTTCGCTCTCGCTGTTGATAGCGCCTTTGCACCATGTCGTATCGACCCCACCCTCTACGGCAAACATATACAGCTGACCACATTGACCGCCACCCGTCGACAACCTCGTCGGCTTCTTCGGGCTACTCCTTCTCCTCCGGCCAGTTCGACTTAAGTCGCCAAACCACTCAGTCGTCTTCAGCATCTAGCGGTTATGGATCCATGGGTCACAAGCGCGGCAAGAGTGAGGCCAATGGCCGGCTCCCACCTTCGCCCATGAGCCCAGATACTCGTCCCCAGACCAGCACCGGCAATATGTACAGCGCCGCAAGGCAATCACTAAGGCCATTGCCACAAGCTCCCGTTTCAGCGCCCACCACCCCTCCTCGTGAACCCTATCGCCACGACCGAGGCCAATCCATTGATATCGGGAAACTAGCTCATTTTGAAAAGGAGCCCTCTTCTCCGATACCCCCATCTCGGCCACGAGCTTCCACCATCCGCCCGCATTCAATGATTATGACGCGCTCCGATGGTGCCATGACGGGTACCGCTGGTCTCCCTCCGCCACAAGCACCTCTTCATCAGCCCCATGCGGTGCAGCTTGCTAGGCCCGACCTCATGAACATGGGCAGATCGTCCACAAGTCAGCTGCGCACTTTGTCCAAGCTGGCCCAGTCCGGTGAGGCAGATGAGTTCGGCATCATGGCTCCTGCGCAGCAGGTCGTCGGCATGCGCAACCGTCGCAGGCTCCAGAAAGAACCAGGGTCAGGTCCTGCTGGGCAACGGAGCAGTGCTTACGGCTGGGAAGGCAGGAATTGGATGGACAAGCAACGACAATTCCTGCAAGCCTACGAATACCTCTGTCATATAGGAGAAGCCAAAGAGTGGATCGAGGATGTCATACACAGATCAATTCCCCCAATTGTTGAGCTCGAGGAGGCATTGCGAGACGGCGTCACGCTCGCAGAGATAGTTGAGGCACTCAACCCCAATAAGAGGTTCAGGATATTCCGACACCACCGACTCCAGTACAGGCATTCCGACAACATCGCTATCTTCTTTCGCTATCTGGACGAGGTCGCGTTGCCGGACCTGTTCAGGTTTGAGCTGATCGATCTCTACGAAAAGAAGAACATCCCCAAAGTCATATACTGTATCCACGCACTCAGTTGGCTACTCTTCCGCAAAGGAATAGTTGACTTCCGCATCGGTAACCTTGTCGGACAGCTGGAGTTCGAGCACCATGAACTGGAGGCTATGCAGAAGGGTCTGGATAAACTCGGCGTCAATATGCCCAGCTTCGGTACTATGGGTGCCGATTTTGGCGAGCAAGCACCGCCTGAGCCAGTGGAGACTGAAGAAGAGAGGATCGAGAGGGAACTTTCGGAGCACGAGAATACCGTCATCGAACTGCAAACTCAAATCAGAGGCGCTATGTGCAGAATGCGTCTGGGCAAGGTGATGCAGGGTCTCTGGAACACGGAGGATTGGTTGGTTGATCTTCAATCACGCATTCGTGGAGACTGGACCCGCCAAGTAATCGGATACAGACTGCAGATGAGACGCTTCGCCGTCAACCTCCAAAGCGCAGCTCGAGGCTATCTTGTCCGCCGAAGACAGGTGCAGAAGGACAGGCTCTGGAAACATGTTGAGGGCGACATCCTCGACCTACAGAGCATGATACGGGCCGCTAAAGTCCGTAGCGAGGTACGCGACGTGCGCTCACAACTGGCTCGAGTGTCCGGGCCTGTTCGCGATGTTCAGGCGGCTTTCATGGGCTACCTTACCCGCCAGAACATCGTTCGCCAGAAGCAGGAGACGGCTAGCATGGCTGGCCCTATCGTTGGGTTTCAGGCTGCTCTCCGTGGAGCGCTTCTGAGGAACAGGTTGGGCGACGACCAGGAACTCCTTGCGAAACAGGCTCAGGCCATCACTGGCCTTCAGGCCGCCGCCCGGGCAATGCTGACTAGAAACCAGGCCGCCGTGCAAAGAAAGACCCTTGAACATTATACCCCGGAGTGGGAGTCTCTTCAGGCTGCTTGTCGCGGAAGAAAGGCAAGGATGGCTGTCAAAGAAACGAGAGCCGAACTAAGACAGCACACATCAGCAATAGAGTCGCTGCAGGCATCTATTCGTGCAGGCGCTGTTCGCAGGAGGGTTACGAAGCTTCTTGATGATCTGAGTGACCACGAACTTGAAGTGGTCGATCTCCAATCCGCCATTCGGGGGATGCTACAACGACAGCAACTTGCCGACGACCGCCAGGCGCTGGCGGAACAAACGCCTTTCATCACCTATTTCCAAGCATGCATACGTGGCGACTTGTATCGCGCAAAGCATTTCACATTACTCGAGGAGCTCGAATCTCATGAGGAAGCGGTGGTCGGGCTGCAGTCACTTATCAGGGCCGCGATGCTTAGAGAAAACGTCGGTTTCCTTATTGCCGCGCTCGAGGAGGAAGAGGAGTCCATCGTCGCCGCCCAGGCCGCCGCAAAGGCCTTCATTGTTCGAGCAAGGTTCGAAGAGAAGAAACGATTTTTCAATGAGAACATGCAGAAGGTCGTCAAGATTCAGAGTTTCGTCAGGGGAAAGCTCCAAGGCGAAGCGTACAAGAGTCTGACAACTGGCAAGAACCCACCAGTTGGAGCGGTCAAGAACTTCGTACATCTGCTCAATGACAGTGACTTTGACTTCCACGAGGAGGTAGAGTTTGAACGCATGCGGAAGACGGTGGTTCAGCAGGTCAGGCAGAATGAAATGCTTGAACAGTACATCGACCAACTGGATATCAAGATCGCGTTGCTGGTCAAGAATAAGATCACTCTGGATGAAGTTGTGCGACATCAGCACAATTATGGTGGACACGCGGGCACACTCCTCGCGAACAGTTCCATGATCACAACTAACCAGTTCGATCTCAAAGCCCTCAACAAGAGCTCCCGAAAGAAGCTCGATTTGTATCAGCAGCTCTTCTTCAACCTGCAGACACAGCCTCAGTATCTGGCTCGCCTCTTCAAGCGTGTCCGCGAGCAAGGCACCGCGGAGAAGGAATGCAAGCGTATCGAGATTCTGATGATGGGGTTGTTTGGATACGCTCAAAAGCGACGCGAGGAATACTACCTCCTCAAGCTCGTGGCGCGTTCGGTCAAAGAAGAAATTGAGGCATGCAATGCGCTCCAAGAATACCAGCGAGGCAACTTCTTCTGGACTAAACTTCTCAGCAACTATACCCGGTCTCCACGCGATAGGAAATACTTGAGAGACCTTCTCGGGCCCCTGATCCGGGACAACATCATCGAAGACCCTGCGTTGGATCTGGAGAGCGACCCGATGCAGATATACCGGTCTGCTATCAACAACGAAGAGCTCCGGACCGGCCAGCCCAGCAGGAGGCCGCTCGACATTCCTAGGGAACTGGCTATAAAAGATCCGGAGACCCGCGAATTGTTCATTGACCACCTCCGGGATCTTCGCGAAATCTGCGACCAATTCCTGCTAGCCTTGGAAGACCTTCTTCCTCGACTGCCGTATGGGATGCGATATCTGTGCCAGCAAATGTTCCAGTCACTCTGTCACCACTTCAAGCGAGAGCCACAGCAACACCTCCTCCAGATGGTTGCCAACTGGTTCTGGCGCTTCTATCTTCACAACGCATTGACTTCGCCCGAAAACGTCGGTGTAATCGAGAAACAGCTGAGTCCTCTGCAAAAGCGCAATTTGAGCGAGGTCGCGAAGGTGCTTGGGCAAGTCGCCTCCGGACGACACTTCGGTGGCGAGAATGTCTACCTGCAACCACTCAACGCTTTCATCGGAGACTCAATCGAGCGCCTAACTCACATCATGAGGGAACTCATCTCGGTGCCCGACGCTGAAAGCACCTTCGACATTGATGAATTCAACGACTTGTACGCAAAGAACAGGCCAACACTGTACATCAAGATGAGCGATATATTTGCCATTCACAACCTGGTGGCGACCGATCTCCCCTTCATTTGCCCCAACCGTGACGATGTGCTGCGTGAGATCATGCAGGATCTTGGTAGCGCCAAGAACAACGAGAACGAGATGACAGCTACGGGCTCATCCGATATCCAGATGTTCCTCACACCGAAACTGCATGATGTCGATGATCCTGAGGCTGAGGTCAAGGCTTTGTTTATGGAGACGAAGCGGTGCGTATTGTACATTATACGCGTTCAAAGCGGTGCGCATCTTCTCGAAATCCTGGTCAAGCCAATCACGCCAGAGGACGAACGTAAGTGGGATATGGTGCTGCGTGAAGACTTCTCCGGAAACGATAACACCAGAGGTGCCTACTCTGATGCCAACATGGTCGATGTCACGAGGATGTCTTACCACGAGCTCAAGCGGACAGCGCTGCAAAACGTCATGGCACTCGAGCATATGGGTCGGATCTCAAAGCACAACTACTATCAAGATGTGCTCAACGCCATCGCTCTCGACATCCGCACCAAGAGCAGAAGAAGGATCCAGAGGCAGCGGGAAGTGGAGGGTGTGCGTCTCACTCTTGGCAACCTTCACGAGAAGGCAAAATACCTCGAGCAACAGCGGAAGAGCTACGATGACTACATTGAACAGGCCATGTCAACGTTGCAAAAGAACAAGGGGTAAGTCTCAACATCAAACACATACGAACCATGCCATGGGTGCATGCTAATCCTGTCACAGCAAGAAAAAGTTCCTACTCCCTTTCACCCGTCAATACAACCACCAGCGCGAGCTCGAACGCAGCGGCCGCGTACCGAAATTCGGCTCGTACAAGTACAGCGCGCGGCAGCTCATGGATAAGGGTGTGCTAGTTCAATGGACAGGCACAGCGGACCGAGACTGGGACAAGATCAACCTCACTATCTCTTGTGACCAGGTCGGAGTGTTCGCGATCGAGGGCTCACGGGGCCACATCCAAATTCCGGGCGCAAGTGCCTTGGTTCCCATCGAGGACTTGCTGCAGGCGCAATTTGAGAGCCACCAATTCATGACGCTGTTCGAAGGGAATCTGAAGCTGAACGTCAATTTGCTGCTGCATTTGGTGTACAAGAAGTTTTATAAAACTCAGTAATGAGCAACCGGTCTGGCCCGTGTGGGAATGTGCAGGCAAGCGCAAGACTTGCACGTCGGACATGAAAGATGATGGATGACTTGGACGAGGATGAGGGCCATCGCTGGTCACAAGACTTGACGCAGGAAATGAATGGTAAAGGAAGGATGCTTGGCAGAGATTTGAAAGGATCGGATGGACTCATGGATATACCTTTTTACCCCCACAGGCAGAGTCGGTGTTCAAGGCGTGTTCTGCATCTGCTTTCGAATTGAATTGATTACTGGAACACATGAAAAAAGTCACCGAAACTTTGTAAGAGTGCGGATTACGCAGTCCATTCCGTAGTCTAACCGTTACGTCGTTATACATTCACAGTAGAAAACGCCTGTTTTGTCTCACCTCCTGAACTTCAGTCTCTCCACCGATCTCAACGCCAAATAGGCCACAGCACTGAAACCAAACGCCAGCTCAAAGCCCACATCGCCACCAAATTCAGCACCGCACAGCCGCCCTATGGGCCCTGTATACCAAACCTGTGCCATTCCCAAGACCGCCCCCATCACGCCAATCAAGAACGCACACAGCGCAGAGAAGCCAGGAGGCAGTCTGCCGGGCGTGGCATAGTCCTCCACGGCGTATCCACACTTCCTGCGGAAGACAAAGTGCTCGGTCAAGGCGATGCCCTCATAGATGGCTAGCCAGTACCCGATGACGAGCATGAAGTTCTCCAGCACGACCTCGAAGTTGCCGTATCCGGGGATCGAGATGGCGACGTAGACGGCCGTCGCCACCGCGGGCCAGACGAAGCGGGGGATGCGCTCGGTCTGCCTGGCCAGGACCTGCAGCGACAGGGACACGCTGTAGATGTTGGGGCAGTTGTTGGCGATGATGCTCAGCGCCAGCACGACCAGACAGAACTTGCCGAACCCGCCCAGTGGTGGGACCAGCACTTTAGCCAAGACCCCACCAATGTGATTGGTTTCGTATGCATCCGCGTAGCCTTGGTCCAGCACGGAGGCTGTCATCACCGCGGTGCCGAGGAGCTCTGTGAAGACCAGCGGGAAGATCAAGCCCCCAAAGGTCCAGCAGAAGACTGACCGTCTAGAGCGAGTCTCGGGCTGATAGACAGCATAATCGGCAGCCATGGAAGTCCAGCCTGTCGCGAAGCCGAACACGCTCGCGGCGAAGCTCAGGATGTTGCCAGCCTCCCCGGCCCCTGCCGTGAGCGGCAGGAGGGAATTGAACTTACCCGAGACGCCGAACTCACCCGCGACGATGCAGAAGATGACCAACACGGGGATCCAGGACCAGCGCTCGTAGGCATGCACCAGCCGGTAGCCGAAAGTTGTGATGAGCAGAGTGGACAGCGATATGACTAGGATTCCAGCCCAGCCGGGTAGGGCATGTGGCCCTGGGTTGACTGCGGCCAGCAGTTGAGCCCCAACTATCACATTGACAGAAGACCAGCCTAAGCAGGCTAAAATATTGAAGATAGCGACTGGTAAAGACAATTCTGTCAGTCATACACCCATGGGGGAGAGGTATGATGTTCAAAGGCTAGAGACCCGGGGATGTGATGGGTTCTATTGAGACTCACTGAGTTTGACACCATAATAACCAAAGTAAAATCGAGACAGGACCATCTGTCGGAGACCAAAGCGAGGTCCAAAGGTTGAAAAAAAGCAGACCGGGATGATCCCCAGGATATTGATAAAAATGATCGTCAATGCCGCGTCAACGAAGCCAAGCCCAAAGACAGGCTGTGCTAGGGCTCCCAAGGCAAAGGTCGAAACGGTCATGTTTGCTGACATCCACTAGAATCGGGTCAGAAGGGTGGGATCTCGCCGGTGAAGCATATGTCTCATCTGTGTCGCTTCCTGGCCGTGAGGGTTCTTACCAGAGTCCCAAGCTTGCTCGCGCGTGTGTCGGTCCTCTCGTCAGGAAGCACTCGCTCGATGCCCCGTTGCTCAACACCAAACCTTCCGGCAAAGTCCTGGACTCTCGCAACGAGGCCCCTTTGCTTATCATAAGCCGGATTTCTCTCCTTGCCAGGATATACCACATCTTCGCTCTCCATTATGATGTCCTTTCCTTCCATGCTGCTTCCCCTTTCCAACTTTGTGTCTGGAATTGGGAAGACCATCACGATTATATTCTAATCTGAAAGATGTGATAGAGGTGCGGTGGAGAAAGAATTGGAAAGCCCCTGGCTATCTGCGAGGGCTCCCGATAAGGTTGGCTTGGCAATTACCTGGACGATATCGTAAGGCCCAGTCGAAGGAGAGATAACATGCCGGTGCGTATACCGGAACACGGAAGCGTACGGTAATGATGTTGGATGACCGATATGCGCGGATGAGGCGTGCATTGATCGCATGGAAAGATTTGACCAGTGGGTTTTATATCATAATAACAAGTCTTACACAAGAAGCAGACAAGAACATACTGTGCAGCCACTATCAACTTCAGTGGCGGCATCTACAGTGAAGCTAGAGTCGTGTAAGCTCTAGAGGATTGAGGATGCGTAGGTGGATGGATGCTGTGATGCGCGACCATCGGCAATCTGCTGACGCGCCCCCTGACCAAGATGTACAAGATGCATATCGCATTGTCCCTTGCAGTAGACAAACCTTTCAACTGGGCAACTCTCGGGCTCGCATTGGCAGAGCATCTAGGATGAGCTGTTACTAGCTGCAAGCCTCAATGCATCGGTCGCGTTTGGTGGAGTGTCAAGATGGGCGAACGAAGATCATCCAAATCCAATCAGGAAAATGGTAGACAAGGTGCGTGCTGCGACTCGTCACGATTCTGTTCGCTGAACTGTTTAGCAATCTCCCGTCGTGGAGTATACAGTTTGTTGTACCGGCGTGTGAGGTGATGCTTTGTCACCATGAGTTGTAAGCACAACAAAGTAACTGAAGCTCAAGAAACGGTATGAGGCTTTTCAAATGCCAAATAGCCACACCTCCAAGTTTCCGATAGAAGTCTTCGCCATTGGAGAACCGCGCCGTCGACTTCTTCAGCCACTAGTGCTGTGGTCTCATGAGACACTCGGCTCACAAGTGAGTCCATGCTCCAGTCAAGAGAGTGACTGATGAGCCTGTCGGGACACACATGAAACTGCGCATCGGTGCGTTTGGCTCTCTTCCCACCTTATCCAGCATAGAGATTGCACTGAAGTGACGAGTTGACAGAACCTGGGTACGCGGATCCTGAAGCGCTTCTAAGGGTCAACGCTGTTTGTGTATGGTAGGTAGGTCACACTTGTATACCCTCCAACCAACGCTGTCATACAATGCAAATCAGGAGCAAGGGCGTGGTCTCCAAGCCACTGGATAGAACGGCACACCAAGGCTGATTTGATACATCTTGCTGCCAGAAGGTGATTTGTTGCTGGTTTCCCAAGGCTGTACATTTCTGTAGTAGTCGGCAGTTTCGCTCTGACAAAGCCAGTCTTACGATGCGTGTACTTGCTAGTCTTTGAGGCCTTGAAGAGCCGAGCTGGGAAATACAAGTGCAGCCATAAGGTCGTAGACAACACTGCGGCAGAGTCGCTCGATGTTTGCGTGTAATGTGCGTATGACAGGAGCTCGCCAGGCTGACATGACTCTCCTACCTGGTCAGGAATTGTGTTCTCTCGCTAAACGCACAGCGGTCTCGCAGTCGTGGAGCGGCGGTGGAAAAGGAGTCATCAGAAAGTAGGTCTGCAGGCTTAGCGAAGTGATTTGTGAGACAAATCCTAGCCTGTGATACCTAGCACCGCTTCTGTGTATTACATTGTGGTCGTTTGGATTTGCCAGTCGTTCTCAAGTGGCGGGCGGATGCTCCTGCCAAGGCCATTGTCGTAGCCTCGAGGCCGCATCACGTCTGTACTGCTTTGAGGGGAGTCGCAGTAGTTGATACAGGCCTTGAGATTCGTCGGGGGCACTGCCTCTTAATTGATGTACGCAACCGTTGGGTGATTGCAGTTCCAGATCATATCTCTTATGACCTTGATGCGGTCCGTACAGGCCACGTGAGGGTAGCCCACAAATCAAAAGATCCATAAATGTCCGAGAACCAAAAGAAACGGCATCGTGCTACTCAATGTGGCGGCCAGTGGGTTGGTCGGTCTGGCATCCCTTGACCTGTTGTTGTAATACAGAATAGTGGCGACGATGCCAATATCTCAAACATGCAGACTCTCTTTTCCGCTTTGTGTGACTGTGCCAAGCCTTGACGAGTGCGTGAGTGGCATACTGGCTAGTACGTTCACAACCCAAAAGACGGGCACGTCTCGCAACGATGGATGCGTTCCTCTTTACGTCTCAGGTGCCACGGCAGAGCTGGCGCCCTGAACACAAGGATGGATGGCCATGACCGTACTGATGGTTGTGGATGACCGATCTGTAGCTCGGAACAAGCCGCAAAACTTTGATGGGATGGAGGATCATTGCCCCATTCCTGCCTGACTTGAATAGCCACTGCTTGCTATGTGATCGATCTCGACGCTTGCACTGCACGAGGCATGTTTTCCGTTTATGCCGTGAGTGTGGAACATCTTGGACGGGTGCGTTGGTCATTCAACGCATCACTCTGGGTGTCACAGCATTGTACCGCCGGCGACACCCCTTGACGCAGGAACAATTGCTGTTCTGGAGCCACCCCAGCCGGTCTGGGTGCTTGCCGGAGAATGGACCCGTTGTTAATTGGTGTTTTCTACTCAACCCCCTTACCAGTGTAAGAGGCGCAACTGAGCGTGGACACAAGCATTCAGAATCGAGTCGAAAACAGGCCATGTGCTTTTAGAAAGTCAGGGATGAAAGATAGCCGCGTTATCCTGATCTTGATTTCAGTGTCCTCTCTCATGATGTTGTAGATTGTGTTGAACGATTAGTTGCAATTAGGAGGACTCAACTGCCAACCCCGAGCGAGATTCACTTGGGACAAGTGAACACGGAAAGCGCCGCTGGATTGCCAAACCCGACCCTGTCAGCATGAAGAGTCTCGTCGAATTATGATGGGTCCTAGAGGATCGAAGGAAGAAGAGCAGGCAAGGAGTGCAGGTGCAGGTGCAGGTGCAGGACCAGCTTTGTGCGTGTGGGTCTAGCAAGCAGATGTGTGTTTGGTGAAGACGGAATGAAGGTGACTACCGATGACACTGCTGCTTCCAAAAAATGCCTACCGTTCCCGCTGATCAGCACTTGCACAGCACACGTGCACCCGCAACATGCGGCAGCAGTTTCAAGCAAGGGATCGTAGCTTCCCCATCGAGGCATGACCCTTCGTTGGCGCATAATTGCCTGCCTTTTCTATTTCTCCCTGGCTGTGGTGCTAATGACAACGATCCAATTGAAGGGTCACCGTCCGATTGCGCAATGCTGTAAATGTCCTACAGTATATGGGTACCCAGGTGGTTACTATGTGTCAGCGTTTGATGGCGTTCATCCCGTTTCACACGCCGCGGCCCACTCGCTCCGTTTCGTTCCTTGCGAAAAGACCCACAGGCGAGATATGCTTCATCTAACGAGATGCTGATAATCAAACCTTAGATAACATCCCTGTAAGGCTGACTGACGGCACACGCTCTAAGTGACGCACCGCCCCACTGTGTCGCCTAGGCCGCTTTGGTCCACATGAACATGGCCTGACAAACCACCTAGCTACCCAGCGCGTTGAAGGTATACAAGACTTGAATTATGGTGTCCAAGTGTCCCTACAAGACAGCAACGTGCCAGCCAAGAAGCAGAGCGATCCGCCACGGCCATACTGAAGACAAGTGTTCTTCTGCGCGACTTGGTCCATGAAGTACCCAGGTGAGAAGAACATTCATATACAATATTGGAACTGCTCTCTTTTCTTCCAGGTGAGCCATCACAATTCTCTGCTTAGTAGACAATCTCAACCACTTCATTCTCAGCAGGTGTTTTCTCTTTGCCAAAATGACATCAGGTACAACTGGCTTGTATATATGCCTGGGCAACATTGCCTGTGTATTTACATCTCTCCATATCACATACATGTGCACTCAACCGTCAACGACCACATCTTCACGCCACACGATGTTATCCCGCTGTCCAGTCTCCCTATGTACAAGAATGAGTAAGCGTGCAGTGAGAGGCACCCCCAAGCATGAGCTAAGTCCACCACACTGGGACAACCTTCCGCACCAAATGCCTCACTGCCCTGCAATTCTGTCAACACAATCCCCGCGAAAGTGTTCGTGATGAAATTGGAGAAAGTCGTACCTAAAATTCGTCCACTCATCTAGAGCTTGACGCAGCAGTAGTCACTGCCACCAGTGTGTTGGAGGCACTGGTAGCCCTCGTTCTGCAGCACTGCGTTGCAGGCATTGGCGCAAGTAAAGGCGCCATCATAACAACCCTTAATGTCCTGAGCAGTGACACGCGCGTCTAGGGTAGCATCTCGCTCGGGAAGGACGGCTGCGTTGGCTGTCGCCAGGGCGGCGACGAAGAAAAGGACCGACTTGGTGTTGAAGAACATCTTGATTTGCTTTGTAGTTCGAAAGGAATGGTTCGGGGCTAGTAAGCTCTGAGTGTAGGAAAGAAGATAGAGCACCTGCCGTAATTGACCCAAGGATCGAATTGCCCTTTTATACACATGTTTTGCTTCATCGCTGAACCGCTCAATTGCAGTTGTGCTCGACCTCCTCGATTGTGGCTCTCTTCATGACTCTGACTTACTCCATATCAATAAAACGTGGGGAGACAGCGAGTCGAAAGTCGACTTCCCCCTGGGGTTTCTCAAGTTTAAGCGGAGTCTTTGTCTCTTGGCAAGCTAAAAAGAGTCTCTGTATGACAATTGAACACATCAGGGCGGCAAGTCTTTACGTCAGCCAAAGAATTACTTGTTAAGTCTCTATTGCAAGAGCAGGAAGTAGTGCACATTCAACTAATCGCAAACCTCAAGGGCAATCTTGATTACATTTTCTAAGTACTCATAAATACAGTATTGACTCAAACATATAGACTATGAAGATGAGACAGGACCATTACCGCCGTAGAGTACTGAAACAATCTCTATCTCGTGGTCCAAAGATCCAAGGGAGGGAGAAAGGGCATACAACGAATACCGTTAGTCGTGTTGGATTCCCGTTGTAGAGCTGAATTGTCCGAAGATGGCAACTATACGAATATACGAAGACAAGCACAGCACTTGCTGTCAAATGACTGTCTGATGCCGTATTGATCAATGATCGTGAGTCACTACAAGCTCACGTTTGCTAGTTGTGGAGTTGCATGGCACGGAAGCAGAGAAGTGGTGTGCCTAACTAGCTTCTCTGACCAACATTCTGAAAGAGAGTGGATAGACACGCTTCGGCTTCTCAGCAAACATCGTGCAAGGCCCGCGGCACTACCGGGTTACGAGCTGACGATGGAGCCATAAATAGGCTCGGAGGCAACATGTCACAAGGCTCTCGGGCTGGGCAGGTGTGGCGCAAACAGCCACGCCAAATCCTCTTGCGGACGGTCAGCTCGTTGCCCCTCACCTGGGGTCCACTGAGGACTGACTTGACTACTCTGTACGAAACACAGGATAAAGACGGTCTTCTGTGTACAGATGCACCATGTAACCTGTGTGGACGGGTGGGACCCCACTTCCGGCAAGGTCAACCGACGAGAGTGGACCCCCCTCGAGCCAAGCTTTTGCGGGCTCGGTGGCATTCCAGTTGCCAGTTCATCCCAGCCGGCGCAGTATCGAGTAGAGTGGCCGTTGATTGACCGCAATCACAGTGACTGGGCGTGTTTACTCCCGTAGCATGCTGCCTGGCTGCGTGGGTTTTCTCGCTTATTTACTGCTGATCCCACCAACGGAGGCGAGCCCACCGTTGTGGTTTGCCTACAGTTATGTGACCATGCTATTCTTCCGTTAGCCTGTTGATCTTTTCATATGGGTCCATGGGTCCATGTGTGATGCCCCCAACCCCATCGAGGCCATCCATCGCCCTGCAGGTGAGGTGAGCCGGGCTCTGGCGCCGTTTCTCTGACTGCCAGCGTTATTATCTACCCATCCAGTGATGACTGCATGTATATTTCCTTGTGCCCCCCGTCCCATCTACCATCTGTCCTACCTGAGTCAACTGCCTCTCTTTCCACCCCCCCCAAGGCTTGCGCTACCTCTCGGGTTGACTTGAAGTAACCCATCTTCCCCCACGCTGGGCTCCCACTCACCTCAACTCACTTGAGGCTCTTTTATCCATTTGAATTCGCAAGTCACTTCTGCAACTGATTATTCCTTCCTTTCAACCCATACAACCCAAACTACCTCAGCCAAGATGCAGTTCCGGCTCGCAATGCCAGCAATGCTGGCCGCCGTCCTCTTCGGCAGCATCGCATCCGCCACTCCCGTCCCTTGCCCGGACGTAAGTACACCCCGCCATGTGCTCTTCCATCGCATGTAATAGGTTGCTAAAAACGTATTGGCACAGTCAAAACGAGATCAAATACTCATGGGCAAACTCGAGCCCGAGGCATGCTGCTCCTACGGCATCTGCAAGGGCGACGTGGTTGTCCAGGGCGGATGAGCGGGCGTCGACAGCCACAGATTCCACTGCTCAGACTCTGTCCCAACACGAAAAACCCACTTCTTCCCGAGGCCTCTCAAAAAGAGGTCCTCTCTGCATTTTTTGGGCGGACGGATTCACCGACAGAAAGCACGACCCTGACGAGCAAGATTGCGACGTTGCCGAGGGAATTGACGGGGGGAGCGATCCTAATCTCCAGCACGACATGCATTTTCACGGCGTTATCCGCACAATTGGTGGTCGATCATCCTTTTGTGGGTCGACCCAACGACTTCCTTTTTTTTTTTCACGATGACATCCATCAAATCCATCTACGGCGCAACGGCGGTAAACATTCTTCAGACTCTCGGCCCCCCTTTTTTGAGGCATTTACACAGACATGATTGTATTCGACATTGATTTCCAAAGACTCGACATGAACATTACTTTCTCCAGGTCATCACGGCATCTGCTGGCATGCGACCGCCGTGGGGGGGAATTCAAAGGGAGCTGCACACGAACCGACAGGATGGGACGCACAGTGGGGCGGGAAAAGTGCGAGGCCAAACAAAGCTTCGGCTGGAATGAACAAGCATGCTTTTGGTGCGGCTAGAATGTCTTGGAGGCCTGGGAAGGATCCGAACATTCACATGGCAACGGCCAGCGCAGCGGCCGCCTGCATTATCACGCATTAGATACCATAGCATCGTCGAATGAGAGACCTGCTCTATTCAAAAGTCCCCATCGTTGCCGTCGCCTTCTAGACCCGTCATCCATTCCAGTAATACGATCTTCATGACATTGCAGTGTCATTGATTTTCGTATGCACCTAGTTGATCGGAACAGCACCCGAGGCTCATTTTGACAGTCTCTTGTTATCTGCCCATTTGAGCTTATTACCACGGATCAAATGCAAGGGTAACAGTCAGCACGCAGCCAACTGTAATTTGATTCCATACTTGGGCCTTCTAGCCCTTGGCGGATGACGTCCTGCCCTATCGTGAGACCAGCCGCATGCAGCCACCTCTAGGCGGCATTCCTAATCAGTCTGTCTCGTATTCCGTGCGCTCCATACCGTCTACAATGAGACATTCCCACGATTCCGTCAGCCTTCGACGCTCTCATTGTTGTTAGTGCTGCTGCTGAGCCGGGGCGCACAGATATTTCCTCAGACATTCGGGAATCGATTGCATGTGAAGATTCAAAACGCCCTCGCACGACTTCGCTTTGTTTGCCTCGCAATGAGGCTCATGATTCAGCTGCTGTAAAAGTCGTCGAGTCTATGACAAACCCGTAAGAATGCTTGTGAATGGCGTCAGCTCAGACGATCTCAAGACAGCCAGGACGTCAGATGTGGCGTCCCGTCAGGCTCAAACCAGTGACTCAACGGTTTTGTAGATGAAAGCCTCGCCTCCAAGCACAAGGCGAAAAGGTTTGAGGACCACGAAATATAGAACAGGACAAGGAAAGAACAGAACTATCGATTTCTTGAAACAAAGTGGACTCACCGCAACGTTCGCCAAACAAACCTCAGGCGCACCCTCCGTCGTGGTCGCGCAGCAATCTTCAACCAGGACGCAGTCCCACCCGGCATTATACGCATCCGTCAGCGTCCCCAGCACGCACTGGTCGGTGTTGACACCGGCAAACAAGAGCGTCTTCTTGCCGCTCTCGGCCAAGTATCTCCACAGCGGCTGTGCCTCGCACCAGAGCCCGCTCATGCGGTTCTTGGCGCAGTGGACATCGCCGCCGCCGCCGCCGCCGCCGTCGTCGACGGCCCGCCTGAGCGGCTCGTAGATCTCGGCGTTCCACTCGCCCGCGACGAGGCACCGGCCCTTGCCGTCGCCCAGGTCGACGCCCAGCCCGGCCTGGTCCTTCTCCCCGGCGACGACGGCCCGCGCGAAGCCCCGCGCCACGCCGGCCGGCAGCGCCGCCAGGTCGGCGTCCGTCAGCCCCCAGTTCAGCCACGCGACCTGGATGCCCGCCTCGCGGCTGCGCTCGATGACCTGCAGCAGCGGCCCCACCGCCGCGAGGCCCGCCGGGTGCGAGCGGCAGGACGGGTGCAGGAAGAAGTTCTGCATGTCGATGATGACGAGCACTGCCGCGGCCGGGTCGACCAGGATGGATGTGTCGGCCGGGCCGCGTGAGGTGCGTATCTTTAATGGGGATGGCGAGTCCCCCCCGCGGGTGAGGTCGTAAGTTTTGGTGAGCCTGTCATATGTCCATTGGTTACCGGGGGGCCCAAAGGTGAGGAGGGCGTTGTTTTTCGGTTCCATCACGGCGGCGCACGCAGCACGCAGCTCTTCTTCCTCAAGGAGGTCCGGCGTTAGTGGCGGCGAGAAGACGCTCAGAGGGAGGCTCATTTGGGTCAGTAGTCCCCGCCTCGAGCCTGCACTCGAGACTTATCGGGGAGGTCGTGGATCTCTCGCACTCTGTCGAGGCCCACCTCAACAGCGTCACATCAAGGCATTGAGGCAAGAGATAAGCTGCCGCAGGATGCGGGGACCCGGTGGTGGTGGCGCCGTTGGTTTCCAACGCTCGGCACCCGTCGCACCCGGTGGCCGCCTCCCGTATTGGCAGGGATGACTTCCAATAATGCGTTGCCGTGCAATGCATTCCAGCACGGAGGCTTCTGACTCGTCAATCATCTCTATTTGTTTCATGGCGTCTTGCTCGACTTTTGCTCTAATACTCGGAATCTGTAGTCAAAAAACACAAAACAGCAAAAGTTGAAATCTCCGCCAGACGCCATGCCATGATCCTCATAGAATAACTCACACACTGAAAGGACCTCTTGCGCCAACTCCGAGCATGATAGGTCTTTCAATCGATGCCTCTGGCCCTCAGATTTCAAACCGGCCGAGAGCGTCTCCTCCGCGTGACAAATGACTAGTTCATGTCCATACCATCGTCGTCTTCTGCCTCCTCGGCCTCGAGCGACTGTGTCACGTTGCTCGAGATGCTTTCCTTCCTCCTCTCCATATATGAACCACCCCCTTCGAACATGTCGAGCTCCTCTCCGCCGATCACACGGCCCTCAGTGTCAATTTCTTGCGAAAGCTCTACAATCGCAGTTCGCGGAAGTCGCAGGAAACCAGTGGTGCGCACTATGCGACCCCAATGTGTCAGGCAAAATCCAGCCGCCCGCTTGCGCAGCCACTCCTCGTCTGCAAGCCCTGCGCAGTACCAAATTATGCAAGCATGATCGACGTCTAGTTCACGACTCAGACGGTTGACACACAGGAGGCGTAGGTGTGGAATGTTGTAGATGTTGGACATCACCAAAAGCCCAGCAATGTCCGCAAGGTCTCTGCTTGGGCCGTCAACACCCTCGTCCTCGGCAGTAGCATCAATGCGATCTGTATAAAGGTAGTAAAGGAACGCTTTCACCACGGAGTAGGGCTCAGGAATGTGCATCTTTTTGTTGTGGAATTCGGCCATGTGTGAGTCCCACAAGCGTGCGAAATGCGGCCAACGGAGGTATAGAATGAGGCGATGTACGTGGATAGGTGGTGATGTCGGTGAATCTGGCGACAGCCAGGTCTGGTCGCCGTCGGCCACGTCAGTCGCCCGAATAAGGGCTGAACCCAGCAAGTCTTCCTCGTTCGGGTCACCAGAAAGTGCCGTGACGATGAAATCTGTGCCGCTTCCTGACTCTGGAGGTCTGTTGAACGCTTTTGCCAGGTCTGCGCCTAGGCCTTTGGAGGGTGTATCCACACGACGGGTCCTTCCCATAGGCTCTGCAAGTTCGGTTCGCGGTTGTGGTGTTAAATTGTTGCCCAGAAAACCGTACCTGCGGAGATCAATCTCCATAATGTCACTCAGCTGCTCCTCAAAGCCGTTGGCGGCAACATCGAGAGCAGAAGCATCGGTAGGGCAGCCCAGCAGCCATGCTTTGGTGCCATCTTCATTCATCGTGCAGTAATGCCACCTGAAGCCAGATTTGAAGACCTCGCGACCTTCAGCAACTTTTTGCCATCGAAGCTCTCCCAACTCAAGGGCATACAAAGCACATTCCTTGGACGTGATTGTAGCAGCCGGCGTCACGAAATCAAGTAGATTTCCAGACGAGTAAACGTGAAAGTGGATACCCGGTCCTTGTGATGGTACGTTAGGGCCGGATATGAACTTATGGGAATGTATCAGGCCTGGCGCCATCGGCGCATAAGTTTTGATCTGGAACGAGGGAGTGTTGACCTGCTGCGTCCGAGAATTGGCAGCATAACCAGACGCACCAACAATCGGGGACTGGCCCATCGTATACGGTGGCCGTGGTGAGCTTTCGTTACGACTCCCCAGGCCTGGCCGCTCGTAAGTCCCAAACTGAGGCGCACTTTCGAATGCTGGGCTGCCTTTCAAATCAAGCCACCACAGATCACTGACTTTGTCCATATCTTCGCTCAGACCGCCAAAGACCCATATTCTATCGCCCCTGCAAGAAGTCAGTACCAATACAAGCCGGGTGGACCGTATAGCTGATTGTCACACTTACCATATATAAGAGGAATGGTCAAACCGGCCGACGAACCGCCAGGCGCGGGACCATGTGAAGGTCTTGAGGTCAATGTAGCAGATATCGTCCAACACATAGTTGTCGTGACCTGTAATTCCCCCAATAATAAATAGTTTGTCTTCGTGCAAGAGGGCAGAGTGACGTGCGCGGCCTTTCGGGATGGGGCCAGACACCTGCGGTTGTGTCCAGTGGGCGGTCTTGAGGTCAAAAATGATAAGGTCGGAAAGGTAGGTTCTATGCTCGTTCTCGCCGCCGAACACAAGAAGTTTGTCGCCTTGATACAAGGTCGCGGTATGGCCTAGCTTTCAAGTCAGCAAGTTGGTGGTAGCGAGGTAATGTCCAGCACTGATAAGAATACATACCCATGCGCACCCCAGGAATGTCTCCGTAGTTATCCACTAGATTCCATTGGTGGCTGACAATATCAAGGCGAAGAACGTGATTGTAGACTTCGTCCGTGTACTGGTCGAATCCGCCGAAAGCATAGATCTGGTTGTTCCCGCAGTACGTCACAGAGGCGTTGACAAGACATGCAGGGCGTTGGCCCAGAGTGCGGGTGACCTTGGGCCTGTAGCCGTCTGATGCGACTTTCTTCATGGGAGAGCTGGGCATGATGTAAGTGTTGTTGCCAGATGAGCCAGTCGCTGGGGTGCGGCTGAAGGGGACCAGGGACGTGGAAGGGCCTGCCGATGCCGATGCCGCTGGCGGCTGACCGCCGCCAAAGAGAGGCTGCGGGGTGGAGGGTTGCGACATGGTGTGAGGTGGGATAGGATGTGTGGTGAAAGGTTCGACTGCTCACTGCGGCAGCATTTCGAAATTCGCAAACTGCTACCGGGGCGCACAGCAGTGGCAAGGTTGGAGTCGGATGCGAGGTGGTTGGGGGTCCTGGCTGTTGTTGCCTCCTCGCCACCGCTCGTCGAGTCGTCCGTACTCAAAGGGTTTCCAAGGCTCAGGGTTGTTCGTCTGTCACGGGCGGCAGCAAGTGCGAGCGAGTGCAATCGTGGGTGTCTGCAAGTGATAGAATAATGCAGGCCTCACAGTACTCCTTTGACTGCGCGTCTGCAGATGGGACGGGGTAGCGACGTTTGCGATGGAGCGTTTCCCCTGATGTGACGGAAAGAGCCGACTTGGGCTGAAACCTTGGAAATCCGTGCCTGGGTAACGCCAGAACAGGGCAGGGGTTCCGCATCGGGCAAAGGCCAGCGCAGTTGGGGGGGGGGGGCCAGGGGCGAAAGCCGCGGGGACCCGTCTGGTGGTTGGAGTAGGCCACGCCAGGCTATCGCTCATGTACCTCAATGTCGTCGCCACACAACTTCTATCAATTATCCTTCACAAAACAGAGAGGTTCCTAGTTGAATTAATTCAAGGGTTTGGCAATTCAATTAGCACAGCAGACAGCCTGGTCTGCTCACGGTCATCTGACACTTAGGAGATCACCCAGACAAGGGCTTACAAGCTTTGCCAACTACCCAAAGTCAACATCAAGGGACCACAGACGCAGTAGATACTCTAGTTTCGACATTATCGAGAACATTAAGGTACCTGAACATTGTGGACCCGTGCGGTTGCTGGGGGCTAGCGCCTCACTTATGCTCTTCAAGGTGCGCATTATGATCCGTGCCACAGCCGATGTGGGCGACTAAGCGTGAAAATCATCCAGGTCTCCAAAAACAAACCCCCAATTATTCAAGTCCCCGATTATGCAAATCCCCTAATTCTTACGAATCCCTGGACCCTTGTGGTTGCCGTGCCAGCATCTAGTCCCCCCCTAAATTTTGTTTACTTTATAAGACTCGGTCTCCCCCTTCGAGACTGACATCCTTCTCACACTTCGCAAACACACTTCACATCACAAAGCGCGCGCAAGCATCCAAATTCTCTCTGAACTCTCTCTACCTCTACGTCACCTAAATTTCTCTCTACCTCTCAAAACAACTGCTACTGCGCGCGAACAATCAAAACCACACAAACCAGGCAACACACATTGTGCCTAAACATACAAGCAAAGCAACTGCTACTGGGCACACATAATCAAAGCAACTGCTACTGCATATCAAATCAACACCACACATACCAGGCACACACACTGTGTGCACACTCAAACAAACTGTCGCTGTGCAAGCACAACCAAGCCAACTGCCACTACGCACACACAACCAAACCAAGTGCTGCTGCAAAATCAATCAAAATGGCTACTGCTTCAGTAACAACGCCACTCAAGTCCCACACAGGACTCTTCTCCTCCCGGACCGCCGGCGGTCGCATGCCTCTTACTCCATCACCTCGGTCACGCTCTACAACAGTGGCTGTCAACCTGGAGTCATCACCTTTCACGCCAGAGCGCACAAACCAAACCAACGCCCAACGAGCATCCCAAAAGTCAGTCTACGGAGGAAACCTCTCAGCACACCTCGCCCGCTCGAGCGCCAAGTCAAGGCCCTCTCAGCAGAACTCACCCAAGTCCAACATCGTTCGCTCTACTGCCACCCCCAAGAAGGCACTCGAGCTTGGTGTGTCTGACTTCACTTTGACCGGAACGGGCAGACACAACAAGCCCAGATCCCCTATCAACACAAAGTCAAAGTCCACCGCCTCCAAATCAACCTCCTCCAAATCAAGGACCAAAGCGGTTCCAACCCACGCCGCTGATCGCTTCATCCCCAACCGCGGCGCCAGCTCGGCTGTCGCTAACGCCGGCTCTGGGAAGCTCGACGGGCCCTCCAAGAAGAAGAAGATCACCATCAGCTCTGACTCATCGGCCATCCTGTCCGCAGCTGCAGACGACGCCATCGCTGCACTGGAGAGCTTGAACATCGAACACGAGGCAGACACTTCATCAGACGACATCTCGCGCCCCTCACCCAACACAGCCGCTTACCAGGACTCGCTCGCTAATGCTTGTGGTGTTAGCATGAACACGCGTATCCTCGAGTTCAAGCCCGCTGCGCCCGAGTCATCGAAGCCTGTCGACCTCCGTCAGCAATACAACCGGCCCATCAAGCCAGCCAACGCCAGCTCTGCCCAGTTCAGGCGTCGTATTGCCACAGGCCCCGACCGAGTGTTGGATGCACCTGGCCTCATTGACGATTACTACCTCAACCTCCTCGACTGGAGCTCTGGCAACCAGGTCGCTATTGGCCTAGAGCGAAACGTCTACATCTGGTCCGCCGACGAGGGTAGTGTGAGCTGTCTGCTCGAGACAAGCCCTGACACTTACATCAGCAGCGTCAAGTGGTCCGGCGATGGCGCCTACGTCGGCGTTGGCCTTGGGTCTGGCGAGATCCAAATCTGGGACGTCGCTGAGGGTGCCAAAGTCCGCAGCATGTTTGGCCATGACACCCGCGTTGGTGTCTTGGGCTGGGACAAGCACTTACTCTCCTCTGGCGCACGAAGCGGCCTGGTCTACAACCATGACGTCCGCATCGCCGAGCACAAGGTCGCCGAGCTCGTGTCCCACACCTCTGAAGTCTGTGGACTCGAGTGGCGCTCTGATGGACAGCAACTTGCTACTGGCGGCAACGACAATCTCGTGTCCATCTGGGATGCTCGTTCTCTGTCCGTGCCCAAATTCACCAAAACCAACCACAAGGCTGCTGTCAAGGCCCTTTCCTGGTGCCCTTGGAACACGAGCCTACTCGCCACCGGAGGTGGTTCTTACGACCGACACATCCACTTCTGGAACACAACATCTGGAGCTCGGGTGAACAGCATCGATACGGGCTCCCAAGTCACCAGCCTGCGCTGGAGCCCTCACCACCGCGAGATCGTCAGCTCGAGTGGCTTTCCCGACAACTCACTGACCATCTGGAGCTACCCAACACTTGTGCGAAACATTGACATCCCTGCTCACGAGAGCCGAGTGCTACACAGCTGCCTCAGCCCTGACGGACAAATGCTCGCTACTGCAGCCGCGGATGAGAGCTTGAAATTTTGGAAACTCTTCGAGAAGAAGCCTGGCGCGACTGGACTCGCGGGTGCCGGCTCTTCCAGCAAGGCCGCCATGGTCAAACAAATGACGATTCGTTAAATACAGGGCACCACAGCCCCGGAGTTGAAGGAGTTGAAGGACTTGAAGGAGTTGAAGGAGCGGCTATCAATTGCATTTGGAATGACTGGTGGACATTCTTTCCGGCTTAGAGGCCTGTTATGACTCGTCTGTAATTGATAAATTGAATACAAAAAGGGGGTCCCAACATTTGTTCAGTCCTTCGCAGTGTGCGTAGATAAGAATGTGCTGTGATGTTTCACTTCTGTATACTCATTGTTCATGATCTATGTGATGTTCCAACAGGTAAAATGGTAGCTTAAAAAACTGTCCCCAGAGGTTATCTCCCAAGAGGTTGTGGTACAACAGGTTGTCCTGTACCAATTTCCACGTTCCAGTGAACAACTCTGCTTAGGTGACCTCGACCTCGAAGCTATCAACACGACGAAGCGAATCTTCCGATGAGTCCCCGCCGTAGACCTGAATCGTAGACCATGACACAGGCATCGCCGCCCAGGTGGTGCAGCTGTGTGTATCGCTAACACGTTGGTCAGCTCTTTCGAATCTTGGATACTCATCGAGTGCTAGCAGAAAGTGGGCGATTGCTAAGCGCACCAAGCCGGGGGCGTCTTGGCAGCTTCCAAAGCAGCCACGTCTCGGTCCTTCGCGGTTAGCACCCTGGTGCTGGGGTTCTATGTCCGAGCCAGCGAACCTTAGTAATGCACGCAGAATGACACAGCAGCCGCCCCTGAATTGGACTCCCGCGCGGTTGAGAGTGCCTGTATGCTCGTGCTGACCACCACCCTAGCACAATAGCATAGCTAGGTAATCGAGCAGCCACGACAGCTTCGACGTCGAGTCCCACCAGGGCCTTGGGAGATGATCGCGAGCCGACTACGATGGGGTAGGGCGGGCTAGCTATGTAGGGAGACAGTGTCGAGGTGTATAAGTAGGTCGGTCAGTCTCTGGAATGAAAGGTCTTGAAGCTCTTGTCCATCAGACATCATCACATTCAATTTCACATCTCACCAGCTCACATCTGTGCAATTACCAACATATCAAGTTCTTTACAAGATACTTACTGAGTCCACCAACAAGATCATTCGCAATGGCCTCCAAGAAAATCATCACCGTCTTTGGCGCCACTGGCAAGCAGGGCGGCTCTATCGTTCGCACGTTCCTGAACGACCCCAAGCTGAAGGATGCTTGGGCCGTCCGAGGAGTCTCTCGAAGCGTGGAAGGCGATGGAGCCAAGAAGCTCGCTGCTCAGGGGGTCGAGGTGGTTGCTGTAAGTCTTCCCTTGACGAGCGCCTTCTGTGAATCCGCCGCGATAACTAAACGATATCCAGGCCGACCTTGACGACAAGCCGTCCTTGGTCAAAGCGATGACTGGGGCTTCGGCCGTATTCACCATGACCAACTATTGGGAGAAGATGGATATGCAGCTCGAGATCCAGCAGGGCAAGAATCTTGCCGACGCTGCCGAGGAGACCGGGGTCAACCACTTCATCTGGAGCTCTCTGCTCAACATCACCAAGCGTAAGTCCCGTGCCTCACCCCCTTACCTATAGTCAAGTGCCCCTCCCCCCGACGCCACGTAGATAGGGGCGAAAGCCGCTGACACATTTCTACAGTCACCAACGGCAAGCTGCCCCACGTGTATCACTTCGACAGCAAGGCCATAGTCGAAGACTACGTTCGCGAACTGGGCGTCCCTGCCACATTCTTCATGCCTGGGCTATTTATGTCCAACCTGCCCGGCGGCATGATGCGGCAGCTACCGCCCAACAACGCGTGGACGCTCGCGCTGCCGGTGCCCGAGGACGCGGCGTTCCCGCTGTTCGACCCGCCCGAGGACGCGGGCAAGTGGGTCAAGGCGATTGTGCTGAAGCGCGACGAGCTGCTGGGCAAGCAGGTGTACGCCGCGACGGCGTACATGACGCCCCTGGAGATCATCGAGGGGTTCAAGAATGCGTTCCCCGAGGCGGGCGCGACGGCCACGTTCTTCAGGACGTCGCACGAGCAGTTCCTCGACGCCATGACGGGCACCGGCATGCCTGAGTTTGCGGCCGTCGAGATGCTGGAGAACCTGAGGCTGCTGGCTGAGGGCGGCTACTTTGGCGGGAAGGAGCTGTCGCTGGATATTTTGGAAGAGAAGCCGACGACCTGGGAGGAGCACCTGAAGAAGAACCCGGCTACCAAGGACTTGAAGTAGATAGAGGAGCAGCTCCGCCATTTTCTTTAGGATCGCTGTTGGACATTCTTTCCGGCTCGCAGGCCAGTCTGACTTGCCCGTAGTTGACTAATAAAGAGAAAGGTTCCCGTTGCTTGTTCAATTCTTTGCATTAAATTGGATGTAGATGAGAAGATGCCGCAGTATTGCATCTCTGTATGCGCATTATCTGTATTTGTGTATTGTATTGTATTGTATTGTAGAATCAGATGAAAGGACAGATCAAGAAATGCCTGCGGTGTAGTGAGCAGGCCCAGAGCAAGTTGAAAGGGCTGGGCAGCCACTGGCCACAGGCTGTGGCAACAAACAGCCAAGATTTAGCGCCTTCCAGTCAGTTGCTGCTGAGACGGCGTGGACGGCAGGGGGATTGGAGGGGATCAGAGGGACTGGCAGCTTAGCTAAGCGGGCAAAGTACTTAGTCGCCCTTCCCAAATAAAAGCGAAACCTTGGCCATTACAACTCCTGCTGTCAAGACCGACTCGAGCGTCAGCCAGCGACCAGCTTGCGCCCAAAAGCCCCCCATCTGGAACAGAATACCATCGAGGAGAGTAGGAATTCCACGGTAGACACTGGATTTGGTGGATTGCACAGCAGTTTTGCGGCTCTGAGGCTCTGAGGCCGCAAGGGGAGTCGTGGTGATCGATCGCTTAGGGAACCGAGGGCTCTCTCTAACTGCCTTTCGCCCACCTGAGCCTGAGCCTACTGCTGCAGCCGTCGCATTCGCTCTCGTCGCAGCAAAGCGTCACCCCTGGACCACCGCTTGCACTGCACGTTTGTTGCATCTTGCCGCGGTCACTCACCACATCGCAAACGGTAAACTACGGTGCAAGCGACATTCAAACAAGAAAGGAGGAGAAATCACAGCCAGGGCAAAAGACCGGAAGTTAGCAGCCCACCTGAGCAGGAACTACGCATTCGTGGCAGCCATCATCACCACGCATCTCCTGACCACAACCTCTCACACATTCAAACCCGCTCTCTCATCCACTCAAAGAGGAACTCATCTCCAGCGATCAAAATGTCGAACGCCTCAGTTGGCAACATCTACCACCAGATCATCAATGAGGTGATCGAGGCGTCGCGGGTCGACTTTGAGGACCAGGGCGTGGGCGAGGAGGTCCTGGAGGAGCTGCGCAAGGTGTGTTTCTTTCTTCCCTTTTCCTCTGATACGTCACACAACCCCGAGCCAGCTGTCGTTGCCGTTTCATCTGCGTCAAAGGAAGCTTTGCTTGACTTCATCTCTCCCAAAACACAGTGCATTCCGTGCATCGAAGTCGTTGCTGGATTTGCATTGTGAAGGTCGTGACTCCTCCCTTTGAGGGCGAAACTGGCCGCCGTCCTGGCTGCCTGGACTGTTTGCAGTGCTGCTGCGGCCAGTGGCGCGGATTGCGGGTCAGAGAGCGAAGAAGGGCGGCGGCTGGGGACTGAGTCTGACAGGAGGGTGACCGGGTGCTATTTGGGTCTTTTAAGCTCAACCCCTGCCCAGCAAGACTGGATTTGCCACCCCAGTCAGCCTCCCCTCCACTGTGATTGGAGCCAAGCCTCACCCCTTCACGTGCACCCAAGCATGACATATGACGGGGATACAGCAGGCAGCCTGGCACCAAGCCCCCCCCCCCCTCCCAAATTTATTGCTCTATACCGGCCAGTGGTTATGATCAACTGCGGCTTTCAGGAATTTTTATCTTGTGTTACAGTTGTACTACTTGGCTGCTGCTGTCGTCGTCATGGTGGATCAATGCTTGCAAACCGTCTTGCAGACCTGGAATATGCTAACGCTCGTGGCCTTGTAGGGATGGCAGATGAAGTTATCTAAACTCCAGGTCGCCGCCTTTCCTTGGGACCCTCCACCACCTCCTCCGGTGCAAGCGCCGGCCCAGACCCAGTCTCAACCTCAACAGGCTGCTCCTGTGGCTCAGCCAGCCCCAAGTGTTCCCGCTGCTCCCGTTCAACAGATGGGCGCACCGAGCTACACAACGGCAACGCTCAGCCCCCAGCCTGCACCCAACGCCCAACCCCAGCCATTGGCCAATGGTCTTCCTGGGCCATCCCAGGTTGCGGGTGGATACAATGCCAGGCCTGATTCCATGAAGCCCGAGCCTCTTATCAAGCAGGAGCCAGGACTTGCCAACAACGGCATTCAACAAGCCCCTAATCAGGGAAACCCATCTTCGTACGGCGGCAACAATCCTGCAAATGTTGCTGCTCAGCGCGCCGCTGCTCAGCTGCAGAACACATATGGGTCTCGAGCTGCTGCCAGCATCAGCGCAATACAGGGCTATGGTCAGAGTGCCCAGCCGCAGAATGCTCCCCGTCCGGGCGCTCCTGGCCAGCCCAACCAGGGACAGCGTCTTCCACAGCAGGCTCAGTACAGCCAACAGATGGCCAACCAGCTTGCCATGCAGCAACAGCAGCAGCGCGGAGTGCAGCCGCCGCCTCGTCCCGGACAGCAGAACAATGGCTTCCAGCAGTCCCAGGTCGACGGTGCCGCCGATGATTACGAGGGCGTCTTGATGCGGAGAGATCAGAATGGAGAGACTTCCGAGGTTGGTCGTGTTGAGATTGACCGCATGCTCCATGACCAGATCGCTGCTCGAGCCAAGCAGATGGAGGGCGGTGGCCTGATGCTACCCCTGAAAGAGGCCACCAAGCACAAGTCTATCGGCAAGAAGACTGCTTCTAGTGGTCCGTCGGGATTCGACGGCGTCGACGACGACATCAAGAGGGAGGAGGTGGACGAGGACGCCATCAACTCCGACCTTGATGACCCTGACGAGGTTGACATCGCGGATGATGACGACGAGGAGAATATGGGACACATTATGCTCTGCATGTACGACAAGGTCCAGCGCGTGAAGAACAAGTGGTGCGTGTCCCCGAGAGTATCTAATCATGATGCGAATGCTGATTTCGAAGCAGGAAGTGCACAATGAAGGACGGAGTTCTTAACGTCAACGGCAAGGACTATGTCTTCCACAAGGCAACTGGCGAGTATGAGTGGTAAACTTACTCGACGATTCGACGAGCTTGCGATGAGATTGAAGGCGTTCTCAAGACCGGCGTCAAAGTTTGGTATCCGTGTTTGGGGCGAGACCTGAACGACGATCAACGGCCGACTCTCCTTTATCATTGAGTGAACTAGGGCCGCTTTATGGATGAGTCCGCTACTTGCAGCGATTGTGTCATGAGCATCCTGCCAAAAACTGACACAGGTGGCAGCAATTGATGAGATCACTGAAAGTTGGAAAGAAAGAAAAAAACCAAGAATGCGGCTCCGTCCTCTAGTGGGACCACATCAAGATATCATCTGGCGTTCGGAGGGCTGCATTTCCTTTTACTAATCCTGCTTCCAGGTGGCAGGGGCGCATTACAGGAACACGGGTTGGTTGTGTGATACATCAAGATAGGCAGATTATTATGCAGTAGCCGCTATGAGAGCCTCGATACTGCCTTCGAAGGGATGCACTAAATTCATTCATGCTTGAAAAAGACATTCAAAAGATCAGCGAAGACTCAGGCCGCTGTAAATTTGTGAATATTGTTAATTCCAGGAAGCCTTGTGGAGCTCAAACCATGCTCAGGGGCATGGGTGCATCCATTTTCCTCTGTTCTAGTAATATCCCCCTGCCGACTTGTTCTAGCCTTGAGGACAGGATGGCAGAGCTGTGGGCTTCGGATCAACTCCCCCAAATTTAGTCTCGAGTTTAGGTGCTTTCACCACACCATCAGGTGCCCGACCTACATGGGCATCGTTAGCCCAGACCATACTCCAGAAGTTGCAGCACGGCTTCCAAGTCAGGATTGGCACCGAAAGCTAAACCTATCTGAGGCAATTTCTTCGGCTTGTCTTCGCCATCGTGTAATCTCGAGAAGAGCCTGTGGTTGATCTGGTCTCGCGCAATCAGGAAGAAAAGAGAGGCAACCCTGGAACGATCCGGGTGACGCTCGGTTTGTGGGCCTGTGAGGGTGGACTGGTTGAACAGAAACAAGGTGAAGCCGTAGACTCAGTGACTCCATACTTGCACGTGCTTGAACAGGGCCCTGTTCGAGGAATGCCAGGTCCGTTTTGTCTCTCGCCTTGACTGCTGATCTAATGATTTGCTTTGGCCGGGCCTCGAGGTAAATGCGTCCTTTTGGATTGCGAAGATGAAGCAAACAAAGTGGCCAATGATACTACATACCTCCCACCTTGGATTTTGTGCTTCAAGACACAATTACGCACCCACAAACTCAATCGATTGGTGCGGACCTCGACAGTTCTTTCATAGTGAACTGGGCAAAGGGAGACCTGACACGTGGTCAGGCTCGTGTCATGGTCTCGATTATTTGGCTACAAATATAAGAATTCAATTGAGATGCTCCTTCACATCTGGAAGTAATCTCAAAATGGACGTTCTTTACCTAAACTGATGCTTATCACTCGGGAGAATCGTAGGGTGTGGAAGGGGACGTGATTACCGGGTCTAAAGAGTGGCTCACTGTGCAAGATTTGAAGCTGTCCCACAGACTGAGTCGGTCTCAATAGGGGTATGCAGTGGATACCGCAAGTCTTCTGAAACCTTGTGTAACCAACATGAGTAGTAGTTGAGCGATAAGACAGTGACTTGTTGGTGTATAGGCAGGGTGATCAGCTGTGCCGCACACTAGCTGAGTGGCACAGTAACACAGTTTCCCAACAAAATAAAAACGAAATGAAACGTTGGAACATGTGCTCCATGACGAATCACTCTTAATTTCAGGTCCTTCCTGTTATCACAGTCAACGGATGGAAGCTTTCGTGGCCTATTGTGTAGTCGTCCTGCAGCCTTCGGGTGGAGACCTGTCCAGCAACAACGTGAAATATTGTCAGTCTTTCGGAAATGGCCCCTTGAGTAACCAAATTGATTCCCTGCAAGTTTCATCGGAGAGCATTGCATGTAGAGTTGGGTTATATTCAATGACATAGGTATCTACTCTTCCTCGTGTCTTTGCACGCCCATAAAATCCAAATGTCAAGGGCGCTTGCCACGCGACTCCCAATTCGAGGAACTAGAAAAATTTCATTTGACGCACCTGCATATCCAAAGATCTCCAAGATCCTTGGTCGGAGATAGATGTGCATGTCAAAGATGAAGAAACATCTCTGGTGAAGTCGGAATTGCCGGGACTGAAGGAGACTCTTGGGATTGGCTGGTCCTGGATCCGGAATCTCCGACCATTTCGGAATGCGTCAAGTCAAAGCGCCTGCGGGCACAGCTCAATTGCATGAGTCTTTGGATCCGGTCGGATCGAAGCGAGAGACGTGATGGGCCCCTCTGTAGTCGTCATCTCGTGGCCTATCGTCCGTCGTTGGAGTCCTCAGCACGCCAGGCAGAGCGCCCGTCCGGACACCACATAGAAAAGCCATTGCTAGAAAGTAAGCCAAGTCTATGCGACCTTTGCTAACGATCTACTACATTTCGATCTGTCATTCTGTAAGCCTATGTGTGTGCCTGCAGGCGAAGCGGAATGAATGTGCCACCACTCAGCCTCGCAAGGCAGAACCAATCTTCTCGGGCAACGGTGCGGCTTCAGCGCAACAACCAAGCTCCAAGCTCCTCTTCCTTGTGTGCGCGACGAACCAGCTCGCTTTCGGTCGAGTGAATGAAGCAAATTCAGTCAGCCCACCTGATCTTAAATTGACATTTCCAACGCTGGTAGCGGCAATAAGATAGGGATGCCTGCTCATCACATTCCACATGAGGAAGAGTGTCGCGACACATCCCATGGTTGGGTCATGGTCCGGCTAAACGGCTGTAGAGCTCCCATTGAAGCAAGAAAGCTCTCTTTGGGTTGACTCTGACGGCGATGATCCCACAGCCACCATATCCTGAGAGCCAGTGTGACTGAAAGTACAGCAGCTGCCCACCCAAGCCGGCATGCGGAGGGAGGCAAGCTCAAGTACCCGTAGAATATTGTCAGCTCAACCAGCCGCCTCATCGAGTGCCTGACCCAGAGTCTTCAGAAACACAGACAAGAAGCCGATTTGTGTTCAATTTGACGAGGGGGGCACAGTCTGAGGATCGCCTTTCTGGGAGGAAGGAGCTCTCAAGTCGAGGGACTCTCGGTGAGCCCGGTGGTGTTCGTACTCGACGCGCTCTAAGAAATCAGTGATAGGCAATGCTCTGCTGTAGAGATAGCGTATTTGGGGAGGCAATATTATTGTCAAGACCCACTGGTGCTGCCAACACTTAGCTGGCACACTGCCCGATGAGGTTCACTCAAGAAAGTTGCGGAATCTTCGTGGCCAGTCTCTGAATGTTGTGTTGGAACACTGAGTTCATGTTCACCCACTTGCAACCAGTCGTAGAGTGTGGCTCCGTCAGCTCAACGACAACCATCGTGGGTTTTCGAGAGGACGATGAATGATCCAAAGTGGTACTGAGCGTGAGTTTCTTGACGCCTTTCTTCAGCCAGCCTCGTCTTGAGACTGAAACCCAGGTCAATATTGAATCGTTGATCTAGTAGATACTTGGGTAGATGGATCATTCCATCGCTCAAGGATACCCTCATAGCAATGGGACTCTGGTCGTGGCCCATACGCGATATCAGCAACGCGCCAGTGGCCTTTCAGCTCGCGGGAGCTGACCACACAAGGTTCGGCTGTTCGGTGCGAGCCACTCTGCGCAGGCGGACAGGGGTAACAAGCATGGGCCAGATCGGGACAGCAAGCGCCATGCTTCGATCGATCAGGACGAACCAGAACCAAGGGCAGATTAGGTAGAGGGGAATGTTGCATTGCATCACATTCGCATTTGGGCTCACCGCGCTTCTTAGACACAGGCGACGACGACGAGGCGCGTATCACCACGGGTGGGACGAGTCAGCGGGGGGCCCAGCCTCGTTCGAGCAGCAGCTATTCAGGACCGACCAGGTAGTCTGGGGTGGGTGCGGGCCTCGGCCAGGGAGGTAACTTCCGCTAGAGAAAAGCACGTACAGACGGACAGGAAGTTGTACCTGTACATCTGAGCCCCTGTGCCCATACGTGCGTACTGCACTGGCACTGCGCGATGACCGGCGGCAGATCAAAAGGTGGGCCGATTTGTTTGGCGGGCGCGACTCCTGAGCCGAGCAGGATCACGAACTACCCGAGCGCATCTCGGTCCCCCAAGTCCACCATGACACAAGGCCAGCGAGATTGAGCAGGACTGATGCTTTCCTCGCCCGAGATAACCCACAGACCAGCAGATACCGCGATATGCAATCAAGGCTTGCCACGAAGTCGAGATTCTCACACTGCCCTGGCCTTGATCATCGAAGAGAAACTCGCTATGCGAATCCAAGATGTCGCCTTCAAATACCCAGCCATCCGAGTAAACATATCCAAACTCCAAAGAACCCGCACTCATGAAGATTCGAGCTCCACAACCACAACGTAAAAGTCGGGATTGTGGTGAACACGACCGCCCCGTTGTACCGCTTCGGAGGGCCGCCGGCCCAGAGAACGAGACCATTGCATACTGAGGCTTTGCTCGAGCAGATGTCATTGAAGAGAAGATAGCACAGCGTAGCCAACGATTGTACAGAGCACGAAGATACTGCAGTGGGAAAGCATAGAGGGGAGAGACCGTCTGGCCTTCGTCGACTTTCGTCGCCTTTCAAGGCTGCGCTGACGAAGACGAGATCCGAGTACGGATAACAACATACGCATTGGCTCTCTGGTATCAATGTCCTAGCATACTTGCGGACTCGCAATAGCAATACCTGAAGCACACGCACCTCACAAATACTTCTCGAAAAGAGACACCAAAGAAACCGACCAATACACCTATTCCTCCCAAGCCGAAATTTTGCTTCGCGGACACAAGCAAGAGAATTGGAGACAATTGTACATCCGCAGAAGGCGATTGCTCAGCAGACTATTGCTTGTCTAGGCATGTCACATCTAGTTTTACTAGTTGAATCTTTTGGCCGCTTTCGCGCCTCAAAGTTGTGTTGGTTCGACTTCAAGCTCCAGCAATGTAACCCAGTATCGAGACACAATAC